TATAAAACTTATTTTTATTATTTAAATATTTATTATAATAATTAAATTTATTATAATTATTAATATAAAACTTTTAATAATTATTATATTAATTAAAATAATAATTATTATTATAATAATTTATATTATAATATTTATAATAATTTATATTATAATATTTATAATTATTATATTAATATAATTTAAATAAAATTAATAAAATTATTAAAATTATAAATATTTTAATAAAATTAATAAAATATTATAATATTTATTAATATACTTTATATAACTTAATAATAATTTAAATTTATTAAATAATCTAATATTCTATTAAAATATAATAAATATTAAGTTTTAAATTTAATAAAATACTTTATTTTAATTATTATTATTAAAAATAAACTTTATTATTTAAATTTAATAAAAATTTTAAAATAATTATTTAAAGTTTTATAGTTTTATAAATTAACTTTAAAAAATATAAATAAAGTTATATATATTTATAATAATAAATTATTTAATAAAAATTATTTTTAAAATATTAATAAAATTTTATTTTATTATTAAAAAATTTAATAATTCTTATATATTAATTTAATATATTAATAATAAAATAAAATTTTTAAATTTAAATAATAATAAAAAGTATTTTTATTAATAATTAAATAATATATAATAGTTATTAAAAGATTTTATATATATTTTAAAATAATTAATATTTATATAAATAATATTTTTATTTAAAAAATAAAATTAAAACTTTTATTATTTTATATAAAAATTAAAAATATTAATTTATTTAAAGTTTAAATTTATTATATATATTATTATAAAATAAAAAGTTAAAAAAATAATTAAAAATATTAAAATATATTAATTTTATTTTAAATTAAAAATATTAAAATTATATATATAATTAAATTAATTAATTACTTTAATAAATTTTAATTATAAAATATTTATATAAAAATTAATATAAAAGTTTAATAAAATTAAGTTATAAAGTAAGTTATATAATTAATTATAAATATATTAAATAAAATATTTTATAAAATATTTTAAATATAAATTAATATAAAAATATTTAAAGATAAATAACTATAAAATAAATATTAAATAAATAATATATTTAATTATTATTTATAAAATAATAATAAATAAAATATTTATAATTATTTATAAAATAATAATTAATAAGTTATTTATAGTTATTTAATAAAAAAGTAACTTTTAAAAATTAAATATTTTTAATAATAATTAAATATATTTATAATAAAAATAATTTAAATTATTTAACTTAATTAAAAAATAAAATAGTTATTTATATATTATTAATTATCTTTTTTAATATCTTTTATATAGTTTAATAAAAAATAATAAATTATTATAATAATATATTAAATATTTTATTAAATATTTAATAAAATAATTAAATTAAATATTTTAAAATAAATATAAAGTAAATAATAAATTAATTTTAAATTAAAAGTTAAATATATTTTATTTTAAAAATTTATTATAATTAAAATAATATAATTATAAATATTAAATAAATAATTATATTATTATATTTTAAATTAAACTTTAAATTATAATTTTTATTTTATAAAATATTATTTATATTATATAATTATATTTTAATAATAATAATTCTTTTACTTTAAATATATTAACTTTTATTAAATATATATATTTATATATATAATTAATATTTAAAGAAAAATCTTAAAAATTTATTTTTTAAAAGTTTAATATTACTTTTATTTTTATATTTTAATATATTATACTTTTTTAAATAACTTAATTTAATAAATATTTTATTATTATTTAAAAGTTAATAAATTATAAATATATTATAAAGAATTTATTTATAATAAATTAAAAAGATAAAAATTAAACTTAAAGTTATAATATTTAAAAGTATTTAAAATAAAAATTATTTTAAAAGTTTTTATTAAAGTTTAAAGAATTTTATTAAGTAATAATATTATTAATAATAAAGTAATTAAGTTATAAAAGTAAAAGTAATTATATTAATTTTAATTAAAGTTATTATATTATTAAAAAGTATTTAATATTTAATTTATTATATTATTTATAATTAAATAAAAATATATATTAATTTTAAAAATAAAATATAATAAAAATAAAATAAATATAAAAAAGTTATAAAATTATTAAATTTATTTATATATATAAAATTATAATATTTATAATATTTATTATTAAAGTATTAACTTTTTTAATTTTAAAATTTAAAATATAATAATAAAATAAAGTATATAATATAAATTATATAATTAATTATTAACTTTATTAATAATTATTTTATAAAAAAATATATTTAACTTTATAATTATAAATATATTATTTATAAAAATAATTATTATTATTTAATATTAATATTAATAAATTATTAACTTTATTTAATAATATTATTAATAATTTTATTAATTTTAAATAATTAAAAATAAATAATTAATATATTAACTTTTATTAATTATTTTAATATAAAATAAATAAAATAAAAAAACTTTAATATCTTTATAATATATAAAGTTATAATTATTAATTATAATATATAAATTAAAATATAATTATATTATATTTATATATAATATAAAAAAAAGTTTAATAATTAAAAGTTTATTTATAATCTTTAAAATAAGTTTAAAAATATAATTTATATATTTATTAATTAATATTAGTTAATAATTAATTAATTCTCTATATTATATCTATCTATTTATATATAAATATAATTATACTTTATTATATTTATTATAAAAGTTAATAAAATATTATTATAAATAAAATTTATTAAAATATTAATTATATATTAAATTTTAATATTATATTAATATATATTTTTTTAAATATAAAATTAAAAATTTATTATTTTAAAATTTTAATTAAGTTTTATTTAATTATTTTATTTTATTATAATTTAATTTAATTTAATTTAATTTAAATCTCTTTTAAGTTTTTAAATTTTTATCTTTAAAAAATTAAAGCTTTATATTTTAAGTTTTAATATAAATATTTTATAAATTTTAATATACTTTAAATTAAACTTATTATTTTTCATATTTTTAAAATATATTTTTATATAATTATAAATTTAATTATTAATAATTATTTCTTTTATAAAATTATTAAAATTATAAATTTAAATAATAAAGTATAATTATTTTATTTAAAAACTATATTTTAATTTAAAATATAATAAATTTAATAATTATTTTTAAATAATTTTATTTATAAAGTTAATAAATAAATATTTATTCAAATAAAGTTAAAATCTTTAAAAGAAATTATTTTATTTATTTTAATTAATTTCTATTTATATATAACTTAAATTATATAATAAATTTAATATTTATATATACTATTTATAAATATTAAATTAAATAATTTATAATTTAAAATAATTTTAATTATTAATAAATTAATAATATTAATTTAAATTAATTTAATATAATTTAATATATTAATATATAAAATATTTTTAATAGTAAATAATATTATAAATATAAATTATAAAATATTAAAGAAACCTTTATATAATAAATTTAATTAAATTAAAAAATATAAATAGTTTATATTTTTATTTTAATTAAACTTTTAATATAATTTATTTATATAATAATTATTTTTAAATTTAATTTTATTATATAACTTTTTTATAATATTTTAATTAATATTATTATTAAAATAATATTTTAATTTTATTTATATATTATAAAATTAAAATTATAAATATTTATTATATTATAACTATTATTATTAATATTATAAACTATTTATATTTTTAATTCTATTATTAAACTAAAAGTAAATAATTAAGGTCTTAAAAAATAAAATATAATATATCTTTTAAAGATTAACTTAACTAAGTTTATTATATAAAACTTTTATAATAACTTTATAATTTATATTTATAATACTATTTATTATTAAAAGATACCTTCTTATACTAATATATTAAACTATATTTAATTAGTTTAAATTAATACTATTAACCTTAATATAAATTAATCTATTAAAAGTTAAAGCTATTATAAACTATAAGCTAGTCTTAATATTATTAAACACTATATATAAAGTTACTATATAACTTAAACCTTCTAAGTTAATTAAAATAAGTAAAAATAAAAGCTATTATTCCTCTAACTAGGGTTCTAACTCTACTTTATAAATAAATACCTATTAAGTAAAACTATTTAAAAGTAATTACTTAACCTACCACACTATTAAACTAAGAGATAACCTTTAGGTAAGGTAACTATACTCTATTACTATATATAATATTTAAGTTTATAGTTCTAATAGCTCTATTATAAATAAAAAAAATAGCTATTAATAACTAAGTTTATAACTATATAAAAGTAGACCTCTACTTTAAAGAAAAGTTATTATTATTTAAAATAATTAATATATTTCTAAAAAGTTAAAGGATTATAAATTTAATTTAAAATATATTAAAATCTATAAGAATCTTAAACTTAAACTTAAAGGTTTTAAATTAAAGTTTATATTTATAAAAATAAAAACTTTTATAAAACTTAAAAAAACTTAAATAAAACTAAAACTAAATTAAGTTATAATATAATAAAATAATTAAATAAAAATTAGTTAAAAATTATAATTATAAGTCTTTTAACCTTATATTTAAAGGGATTATTAATATTATATTCTTTTTAAATATTAAATTTTAAATATTTATTATTATATAAAAATATTATATATAATTTTAAATATATATAAAATAAAAGTTAAACTATATATATACTTTTAAATATTATATATAAAGTAAATATCTTTATAATTAAATTATTTAATTAATATAACTTTTATATACTTTTCTCTATAGTGGAATTCTAGAATAATACCTAGGTATTTTAGTGACCGTAAAAGTGGACCCGCTTTATAACGCTTTCTCATACTAGGCAACTTGAGCTGAAAGCGCGTAGCAAAACCTAGCGAAGAAGAACGAACCAGATCACCGTGAAGAACGGTCACATAAGAATCGTTCTTGCTTCCTGGGCCGCAACGTGCCCGATGAATGCACCAGGCACGTATTGGCCCTTCACCTTTGCGAAACCAGGGCTTCCAAACGGCCACCCAAGCTGGGAGGTCACTAAGACTGTGGGTATATCAACGGCGTTGCTGCTGGGAACGACCCATTGCGGGAAGAATATACCGTCTTCGGTGAATATGGGATCCCCGCTTCCGGTAAAACCAATCATCTGGATGATCTTGAGTACCTTGCTAACAACTGAGGCATTGCCGCCGTTCCCAGCGTTTTCGGGGATGCCTGAGGCGAACCAGTCCGCAATAAAATTCTGGCCACGCTGGCCGAGGGCAGTCTTCTGTTCAAGAGTGACCATGCCGTCAAGTTTGATCCCCTCATCAGTAATATTTGCAGTTTGGTAGTTCCCATCGGTTGCCCACGTCAAGATTGAGTGAATTTGGCCTTGCGCGGGATAGAAGGTCTTCCCAGGTATGGTCGACCGCTCAGCTGTGGTATATATGAAAGAGAAGTCGTTCTTCGTCTCACAGACTTCAAAGAAGAATCCATATAAGTCCGAGAGAGTAGAACTGCGGCCTTCAGGGACTGCTTGCTCCGTGATGGCGCCATATAACCCCCAGAAAAAGTTCTTGTCGCTCTCGACAAAGCGGCGGTCGAGAGAGCTGAGAGACTGGAACACAGACCTTGAATATGTCGCACCGCTAAGCTGCCTGTCAAGGCCGATGTTGACCAACCCATCAACGTTGGGCAGTTTTTCAAAAGTTTCATAGTCAGTCCAGTTCTGTGATTTCGAGTAGATCATCAAGCCCTCCGCAACCCGTTTGAAGAACTGGATATCTGCGACCTGGGGCTCGTTGGTTGATGCAGCGGCGCCATCAGTCCACGAGCGATCAGTAAATATGTAACGCTTCGCGTTCATTGACTCCTTATATGTCCAAATGCTCCTCACCCACTGTTCCTGATCAATATCAAGTATCGCAGCCTCCAGGTCAGCAGCGGGTGTGTTGGTGAGGTCGGCGTTGCCCGCAATCAGGGGCAGTGTGCTCCGTGAATTAAGACCGAGTGGGACAATGACCTCACTTGCAGCGCTGAAGATGTTTGGCAGCAGGTCCAAGATCTTGCCCTTCAGCGGCGGTTCGGCAGGAATGCTGAAACAGTCGATCCAGAACGCGTCGTGAGGAGAGTTGCGCATAGTACTCTCAAGAGAAGGGAGGGTCAAATTCGACATCAGGAAGCCGTCGAAAAATGGATTGGGGAGGCGGCCATCATACCATCTGTATGATGTTGCGGTATAATTGGGGAAAGTGGCAGCATTATCTGGTGTCATGAACAATTCCGTCAAGTACCAGTCTTGCCCGTTGAGGTGCAGGGATCGATTGACCAGAGCCGGCATCTCTGGAGTTGGCGGAGACGGGACTACAAGTCGTAGTCTCAAGTTTTCAGGTCCGTCTCGAATCCCATCCTCGGGGTCAGCGGGGATGTTGATCGGAGAGATGTCTTCAATGGGGAGGTATGTATTGACAGAGCCTGAGGTTGGTGATGCTGACCGAACGGGGAGAAGAGCGCCGCCGGTTGCAGCTGGGGAACTTGCAAGAGCGCGGGCGAGAAAGACGCCTCTGAGGAACGAAAAGGCAACCATGGTGACAGAAAGCCAAGTTTAACCGGGTGAAAGACTGTAGAATTTCTGTAACAGAAAGTAAACAAGAAAGAAAGACTGCTCGTAATGAGAGTGAAGGAGTGTGGATGCTCGGATTGAAGAGAGAGGCCAGTGATGAGTTGCAGTTATCCTGTAGTCTTCCTGACAGATGAAAGCCATTCTTATAGCACAATTAAATTTTTTCTTTCTTTTCATTCTACGCAACATACTACTATTTACAATATGAGCTGGTGTATCTTTAGAAGTTCTAAGCCCCCTTTAGATTTACTCGTAATCACAACTTCTACACCAAATCGAACAGACGCTGGTCCTCTCACAAAAGACCATCCCAGTTAAAATGCGGTTGGAGTCATGTGCTGCACGGTACCAAGGTTGCTCTCTTGCTGCCAAGGGAAAATTTTCAGAATAGACACAGGCCAACTGTAAAGGGCTTGGATTCTAGTTATGTCATACATAATAGTACAATAAATACATATTACCGAGGTAAGCCCAGCTATGGGGTTATAAAGAGTCGTCCGAAATACAGCAAGTGGAACTTGGTATTACCGTGGTAGGTAACCACTATAGCATGAACTCAAGAATTTCTGCCCCTTGGCGTTGTCTGTGCATCGCCAGGCTGAGGCCACGTGCACCGATCGTAGTTTTATCACTATTATGGATGATGTATTTTTTTAACGCTGGGACTTAATTTCTTGCCACTGTATGAAGGCGCCGTGTATGGATTTTGAAGTATACGGAACCTTGGAATACCTAGGTAGAAACGGAACCAGAGAAACGAAACCTGCTTGACGACTTTCTACTAAGGGAGCAATTGTAATATAACCCCCCCCCCCCCGAGATCTTTGGGATCTTTCGAGATCCTAGGAATGATGGAAACAGTAATATCCTCGCTTTGACCGACAATCTACATGAGAGCTGCCAGCCGTCACCAAATGTCTGTACCGGTGTATGGTCATTCCAGGCTTTATTAGTTCAGACCCAGAATCAGGCAGCGGTTGGAAAACATGAGTTATGCACACTTACACTGACACTTCTACGAAAGAATATCTGGGACATGGGTCACAAGTATCATGAATCACATATTGCAGGTCTCTCGCACGGAAAGTTTTCAACGACATGCTGGGCCGTGGACCCGGCACTCCCCTGCAAGACTACCTTCCTAGGTAAGGACTCGCTGCATCTACCTAGGTAAAGAGGCAAGGTCGCTCCACATGTACCATCAATATCTCAAACTCAACATCTTCTCATTTTTAAGGAATGGAGATACCCTAGGGTAGTATAGGTTAACCCCCTGAGAATTCAGGTTGTCCCTACCGGCTCTACCGGTACCTTTAGGTAACCTTGGCCTCACTTTCGCACTCGCCGTCTTTGCCCTGACTGCCCAGCTGGTCCGTCCTATTTTCGAGTAAATTGGAAGAGAAGGAGGTGTCTTTATATTGATGGACCCGCTTCGAAGTCTGATTCCGTATCAGTCTAAACATAGCCATCAGCCATTGTAGCAAGCCCTTACTTAGTCTTGTGTGGTAGTGATAAATTCATGGGCCTGCCAGCTACTGATGGATATACTCGCTCGATGATACCACCTATAGTGCCGGGGCAAGGCCGCACATACTCTATGTAACGCACGGCCTGAAATGATCTTCGCATAACGGATCATTCATTCCGTGCGCCATGCCAAAGAAGACGCAGGGCCTGGTCCTACCTAGGTAGCTCGTTGAACACTTCCACCTGGTACAAAACAGGATCATCCTCTCCAAACGACTTGTACGTATGCACGACGGAATACTCAGGTCGTCCAATGTCGACGTTGCCCGCCCATAGAAGACCATCCAGCTTGAGAGGTTATTAGTAGGACACAATTCTGGGCTATCCAAGCGCCCCGGGGCGTCTTGCACTGGGAGGTCAGCAATCAGCACACTTCATGTTGATGTGGTCTGCCTAAAGCGAAGCAATAGTTCTATTGCCTTGAGGGCTGACACCCCCCCTAATTAACGCTTGGCAGAACGCGTGTTGGTGTGGCAGGAGGGCATCTCTTCTTCATGGCTGGGCACTTGTTTAGCGTCCAACCAGAAAACTGAGCGATATGGAACCACAAGACCCAAAGTCTATTTTGGAGCTCATGCAAAGATGCACATTGACTCGCGGCTGAGCGTTGAAACCGTACTAACCGTTATCTGTATAAGTGCCTAGGCGGTCACCAAAAGATATTAGCTCGGAGAAAGACAACACAGACCACCCCAGGGTCCTCGTAACGGAATTTGAGTCTGCTGATGATGAAGTGACGAGGTAGTCTAGAAGGGCTTGTACATGGCGAGGTTGAGATGTTTCTACTTCAAGGCAAATGAAAGAACCCTATCTACTTTATGTCTAACTGGTATGGAGTGATCAAATCAATCCCACAGCCCACAACCCACAAGAGGCGGGTGGGCAATTTCGACCGGAGATCTGGCCCGCGAACTTCAGGAAAACAATCACAAAACAAATGACTTCAAGGGTCGGATGTTGTCAGGGCCATGGGCTGATCGCCCGCAGGACCAACCAGTGGGTCCGTGCACACTGCTTATCTTATCAGCCCAAGTGGCCTCCGTACCTCTCGCGACGCGGGATTGCAGCTTCGCTGCTTCCCCCGTACTATTCCTTAGTATCATCTTGGAGAAGACTCGGGGTTAAATTGATGATGAATCAATTATATAAGTAGATACAGATTTACCCCAAGCACATACGGCCATAGACAGTGGAAAATACGGGATCCCGTCCGCTCTCCCATAGTCAAGCCACTGATCGCTGGATTAGTAGTTGGGTCGGTGACGACCAGCGAATACCCGGTGCTGTATGTTTTGCTCCTAGGAATTCTTTTTGCACATTCCTGTTTGGCGTCGCCGGCCGCTCCAGAGCGATGCGTGCAGGATTCGCTGAAAGCTTGGTGGACTACGGATGATTGATTGATCTTGGTGGTTGTGCAGGTGCCCCCCCATCTCTTCCCCGTGTCTGTGTTAGCTGAGCATGTGTGACCTGCACATTTCCGCCGGAGTTGAATCTTAAACACTTTTGGGTGATGTTATTCTTGCTTCCACATGTATGAAATTCTTGTCCCCCTTCTCCTTCTTTTTTTGTAGTAAAACCTGCTGGTGCTTACCTGGTTTGGAGGCTTGAAGGTGGTGAGGCCGAGAAATAGGTTTGCGGTGATCTCACAGCCCACTGTCCATTTCGAGGCTAGAAGGGAACCATTCTGGAGCCCCAGTGTCTAGTTTGGGAAGGTGGTGAGAGGATTTGTGGGCACCCTGCACCTCCCCCCGTCGCATTTCTGGGCAGATTGAATGTTTTCTGCCGCTGACCAGCCATTCATCGATCCTCGCGACGCATTGCGCAACCTCCACGCCCAGGCCTTCAACGCTTACGGCTGCCGCTTTCTCCTGCAGTAGTCTCCTGGATGATTTGCGAGGTGGTCAAGAGATGGCGGACGCTGCAGGGAGTGCGTCGCCGGCGCCAGCCTTAGCGACGCAGCCCAGGAGCGGTGAGTTGGCCGCAGCCCATCCTCTCTCCTCTGTGGCCATGCGGACATGCGATTGTCATCACCACACCCGTCGGAAACCACCGTGCTACTTGCGTGCATCATGTCTAATCTGTTGTGCTTGCAGAGACTCCCAAGAATGAACAAAACCCTGCTGCCAAACCGACAATGCCCGCCATCAAAGCCGAGGAAGGCCCTCAGCAACTCGAGGCCATCAGCAGGATGGGCCCGGACAGTCATTCGCAAGAAGCCGCAAGAAGCCCGACCTTGACTAAAACCATCAAGTCGGAAACCAATGGCTCCTCTGATACACCATCCACCGCCCAAGAGGCCGCCCCCGCAATGCCAACTACAGCTGCCGTTGTCAACACCTCCTCAGCGATTCCTGCTGTCGCACCCCCTCCCGCCCCGGCTGCGGCTGCTCCACCTGCTCCTCTTGCCACGCCTGCTGCCGCTCCTGCTGCCGCCCCTGCTGCCGATTCGTTGGCCCCTGCGAAAAGATCAAGAACACCTGAACCCAACGAGGAACATGGTGCCGACAAGAAGCAGAAGACCGAACATGTCCCTGAGCACGACGTCCAAAAAGTCGACCCAAAGGTAGAGGCAGAAGCAAGCGCGGATATGGCTGCAGAGGCGGGGGCAAATGGCGACGGGGTCTCTAGCTGGGACCTCGAATCGATGCTGGCAAACGCCTTGGGTGCTGTTAATGACACTAAGGGCACGGCGGGAGCAGATTATTCCATGGATATTGACCACATCACCTCATCCCCGCCCCTGCCGCCGCCACGTCGGCGGCTCGAGAAGATGAAGTTCATCGAAACCCCGACGTACTTCTCGCGTTCCATGGGCCTGCCGATATTGGGGAGTCTTGTAAGTGCCCGCAGCCACAGCAAAAGATTGCCCATCTGGTTCTAACCTTCCTTCAAGGCCGTTCAAATACTACTGGCACTCTTCCAACAGCCATCTGAAGTCACGGACAAGATCATCCGTGACGCAAGGACTGAGGGCGGCAAGGTCTACGTGGCCCTGAGAGCCACGTTCATGGCGACGCTGAAGCTATTCACGGATTCCACTGCCTTCCTCAACGCGGATGATCTCGACATTCACGACCCTGGAGACCGGGAGACAATCCAGATGGCCAATCTTGCCAACATGTGCGCGAGCTTCTACGGCCCAGGCGGGCCGACCATGGCTACTGCCCATGACTATTTTCTAAACATCATGATTCCTGAAAATGGAATGATCACAGAAGACATATCAGCCCTTTACCTCGACCAAAAGACGCAGAGCTTCCTCGCCTACGCCAACGTGATGGAGGACAAGGAATCAACGAGGAACAGCCTGATGGACAAGTTCTTTCCCAAAGAGCTGGAGGGGAAACTGAGGGCGTACTACAGAGAGTCAGATCTCAACATATCGGGCATCAATGAGGACGAATTTGTACGCCCATTTACAGATAGGCGAAACCTACTCAAAGCAGTAGGGCATGATAAGGAGAAGAGGCGTGAGTCTGGTGATCTCTCTGTGGTCCTCTCGACTGGAATGACTAATGTGAGACAGGGCAACTCGAGGCCAAATATCAGTTCGCGACCTTCCTAGATAACCTGAGTGCGTTCATTCGATCGAACTTCGAGTCCATTGTGGACTATGCCGAGGGACACGGCTTTGAGATACCCAATGAGCCCGGAGAGGAAGAGGCATTGCTCTTGGAAGGTGTCCAGCCACCATCCACCTATACTGGGGCGTTCCCAGGCCAGAGGCGACCGAATGGGACGGACCTGGACTCGGGCTACGAAGCTACCGGGCTTGCGTCGTTGATCGCCGAGAAGCTGGCGCCTATTGATGTTAACAGCTACGGGCAAGCCACGGCCGGAACAGGAGACGGATCGAGCCTGCCACCCACACAATCGCTGCCCACGGCGGTCCTGTACGAGAGAGCGCGACAGGCAGCTGTGGCCAAGACAACAACAGCACATGCTCGCAAGGAAGGCTTACACTCCACCAGGAGACCTTGGACGCCCGAAGAGGAGAAGGCATTAATGCAAGGCCTTGACATGGTCAAGGGGCCACACTGGAGCCAGATCCTGCAATTATTTGGGCTGAACGGGACGCTCTCCGACATCCTGAAGGACCGCACCCAGGTGCAGCTGAAGGACAAGGCCCGCAATCTGAAGCTGTTCTTCCTCAAAACCAACTCTGAGATGCCCTACTACCTGCAGTGTGTGACGGGGGAGCTTAAAACCCGGGCTCCAGGTCAGGCAGCGAGGAAGGAAGCAGAGGAGCAGGCACGCCAGGGCTCCGTCAACCCGAGCGGCGGGGTGCAGGGCAATTATGCTCCTTCTTATCCGAATGGAACCACGGCAAACCAAGGCCAGCCGGCAGCCGTGCCGCCCAGGTTGAACCAGGCCACGCCGGGCGGACAGCACTACCAGCAACAACAACAAGCGAGTTATCAACAGCAGCATCAACCATATCAACAGAATCACCAGCAGCAGCAGCAGCAGCATCGACCCCAACAACCACAGCACGCTGCCCCTGCGCCATCGCACGCGACCTTGTCGCACCAGAAACAAGAGAACCCTGTATCTCGGCCTGCGGCTCAAGCGCCTTCCCATCACCAGAGCATCGCCCCCGCTCCAGTGCACCCGCAGAGACCTCTTCAGCAAGCAGGCGCACCCACAAACCCTCAGTATAATGCCATCCAGCGAAGACCAGCGCAACAAAACGCACAGCCCGTGTCCCACCAGCAAGCACAGCCCGTGTCCCACCAGCAAGCACAGCAATACGCATCGCCGCAACCACAGAGGCCGGCAGCAATGGCATTGCCTCCGAGGCCGGGTCCGGCTTCAGTGCCGCAAGTCCAGACACGGTCACCTGCTCCTGGATCCACAGCCGCAGCAGTTTCGCGACCGGCTGCCGCAAGCACAACAGGACCACCGACGACCGCCTCTGTTCCAGTCCCAGCCACTGCTGCTGCAGCGGGCCAACACCGGCCCCAAAGCCAAAGCCAGCCACAAAGCCAGCCCCATCATGAGCCGCAGGGCCAGCCGCAGGGCCAGCCTCAACCTCAGAGCCCAGCGCCCAAAGCCGTACCGCCCACCATGCCCGCACCTCCCACCCCCACCCCGTCGCCGTTGACGCCTACTGTGGCATCATTGGCTGCATCTCCGTCACTGGCAGCCCAGAAACTGCCAGGACAGCTTGTCACGTCCTCACAGCCGGCACCCTCAGCCGAGGAAGCAGCCAAGCAAACACAGGCGGGCGTCCCGTCCCAAGCAGAGACGGCACAAACGACAACAGATGCATTGGCGCCAAGTGCCGGGGGTGGGGGAGCCACAGAGGATGACGAACATCTGAAGAACTCGCTGCTGGCGGCGTTGAAAAACGCCTAGCGAACGGGGCTGACAGCCCGTCCTCACCGGAAGACAAGCACGCACCGAGATGGGGCGTTGCAGGGGCAAGCGGGCCACCGGGGTGGGAGAAAAGATGAGGCCCAGGCGAGATGGGGACCGACCAGAGGCAGGCGCTGGCAAACAGGGGCCTGGGGCGACCCCGTGATCCCATGTGTAATTTGTACTCGTCCCACAACCCCTCAGCACGTTGTTTGCCCCCAGTGATACCATGAAACCCAGCTCTGGACGTTTGATAGGCCAGCCTGTCTGTATAGCAGATTATATGGAACGGAGTTCAGGATCTCCGCATCCGCCACGATATGAAGTGTGCACGAGGCTGTGGGCCGTGAATGACAATGACTGATGGCCATATAAAACGCGGCTGAGGGCTGCTGGCAACTGTCCCCACAATGGTGAAACACTCAGCCAGGTACAGCCCAGGCAAGTTTTACGTTGTCCCCAACCAAACCCATCAGCGGCCTCTGTTTGGCATGTTGCCCCATGACTATGGGGCGGCCTGTGCTGTGATAAGTGCACAGTCTGAGACCGGGGGCTTTTCACTATCTGTGCTGACTGTGGTCAAGCATAGCTTCCAACATTGCTGGCAAATATTCCGGGGCGAGTCTCGGGACAGATTTGTTCAAACGTGGCCCGCTGCGAATGGACCATGTACACATAAAAAGGTGAGATTCCAGCGCGTGGCCCACGGGGTGTCGTGTCAAGCGCGCAACGACGAGCCAGCAACGGGAAGCAGCTCGTGGGCTGACAGCAAGGACAAGACCAAGGATGTGGGACATGATGCTGGTGGGCGGGGGACCGTACGGGCGTCGACACAAGGGAGGAGGACACGGGGGCAGCAAGAGGCATGGCAGGTGCCGGGCGTGCCGAGAACCGATCGGCAGGGTGACGCTGTACGGGAGGAGGGTGGAGCTCGCGTACTGCCAGAGGCACCACTGCCAGAAGGTGACGGGGTCGACGATCTGCCAGGAGCCTCGGAACGGTCGGAACCCGAGGTGGCAGTACTGCGACATGCGTGAGTGGCGTGGGGGGGCCTGGCGTGGTTTGGCGTGGGGAGGTTTAGTTGTTGTTGCTGACGATGAATGTGCAGATCTGCGGTGCCAGGCCGTGAGCGACGAGGGGATCGACTGCGCAAAGAGCGTCAAGGACGGGGACCCGGAGCGGTTCAGGTACTGCGGCGACCACGGGTGCCGGTACGGGCACTGCGACCAGGGCAGGCCGTCAGGAGGCAGCAGGGGTTACTGCCGGCAGCACTGGTGCGCGGCGGGGGCGGGGCGGGGCGGCAGCTGGTGCGACAGGGCGCGGCTGGTGGAGGAGGGGTCGCTGTTCTGCGAGGCGCACACGTGCGAGGCGGCGACGTGCAGGGCCGAGGTGGCGGGGCGGGGCGAGCGGGGCGAGCGGGGCGAGGCGGGCGGCAGCTGCGACGACCACCGGCGGTGCGGCAGGGACGGGTGCGAGGGGCGGTGCCACCGGCGGGACACGGGGGCGGCGGCCAGGTGGTGCGGGCTGCACTACTGCCACGAGCCGACGTGCCAGGGCGAGCGGGCGGCGGGCAGCAGGCAGCACTGCCGCGACCACACGTGCCTGGAGCCGCTGTGCGGCAGCGGCAGGCTCGACATGGGCGCGGGGCGCTACTGCGCCGACCACCAGTGCAGGACGGGGGGGTGCCTGGAGCGGCGCGACCAGACCACGCCCGCCGCCGACCACTGCGCCGTGCACTCCTGCCGCGTGCGCCACTGCGCGAGGCCCGCCGCCGCCGGCTCCGACAGGTGTGAGGACCACGGCTACTGCCGCGAGCAGGGCTGCAGGGAGTACGTGCTGGTCGAGAGGGGGCCGCAGGGCGACACCATCAGGCACGCCACCTGCGACCAGCGTGAGTCTGGACTGTCGCAGACATGTATCCCAAATCCCAAGACTGACCACAACAGACCACAAGCCGCTGTGCCCCGCCAGCCGCTGCGCCAACCGCCTCGACAACAACAACAGCAGGGGCCAGGCCTACTGCCCCCTCCACTCGTGCGAGCTGGCCAGCTGCCGCAACCAGCGCGGCCTCGCCTCCCTGCAGTACTGCGACGCCCACAAGTGCGCCGTCGTGCCCTGCCAGCAGCTGCGCAGGAACCCCGTCCCCGCCATGGCCGACGCCGACGCCCCCCTGCGCGCCAGCCTGCTGCTCGCCGCCGCCGCCGCCGCCGCCCCCGCCTTGCTCACCTCCTCCTCCAGCTACTGCGCCGCCCACGCCTGCTCCGCCCCCGCCGGCTGTGCCGACCGCGTCGCCGACCTGCCCACGAGCTCCTTCTGCCCCCGCCACGAGTGCTGCCGCCGCGCCTGCGACCGCGAGGCCACCCGCCACCCCCGTGCCAGCACCAGCACCTCCCGCGCCGGCTACTGTGACCGTCACTACCGGGGGCGAGTGCCCATGGCAATGGGAATGGGGATGCCCATGGGGATGCCCATGGCAATGCCCATGGGATATCCCCCGTACCTCGGACGTCAAGGCCGCTATGGCAGCGACTCGGGCAGCGATTCCGATTCCGCCATGGGGCCAGCGGGTCTGCCTTTCGGGGGGCTGCCATTCTGACAGCTTCACTAAAGCCGCAGCCTTGACCCCAGGGCTGCCGAAATCTCATCCTCGTCCGTCTTGCCCGGCTTCTTCGTCCCTGTCGCAGAAGCCTTTCCAGCACCAGCGGCGCGTTCGGCCTCTTCTCTCAGGGCCCTCTGAGCCTTGCGCCGTTCCTGGCCCTCTCTTCTGCGCGACTCGAGTCTGTCCATGTGCTGCATCATACCCTGCCTCTCTTCTGGGCTCATCTTCGGTGCTTGTACATGAGGCCAGACCTCAGTGGTAGAGCACGCCTCAGAGTCAAATATGTCTTGATATTGACCTTGCAGGCACCGCACGATCCACTCTGCAATCGGTGGGGCAACACTATTGCCGATCTGTCGCCGTGCTTGATATCCGCTTTCCGAGAGCACGACGTCTTCCGGCACGCCCTGGATCCTGAGCCCCTCGCCGAGGCTCAGCCGACGGATGAGTTCCCTGCCACCTGTGTGGGGGACCTGATACCAGTTGTGCATCTTGGTGGTGATGGCCCCAGCTAGTCCCGTGTGATGGTATACTATGTCATTAGATATATAACGGGCCAGCCCTTCCGCTCCTAGATCGCCAAGTCTCCGAAGACCCTTTGCTCTCCCGGGTGTGCTTGGGTCCGAGACAAACTTGGTCTCTTTCCCATTCATGGTCTTTGGTATCCACACTCCCTTTGGATGCTCGGGTATATAAGGATTTACAATGACACCATTGTGAAGTTTGTGGTGACCCCGGCCCCAGACCCGCTTCGGAGGGTCCAGAAACTCCGTCAGGGCCGGAGGACCTCGACCGCGGCTGGGCGCTTGTTCGACTGTCATGATGCGTGTCAGTCACTGCGGGGTGCCATGCGAACAAGGTGACCTGTCTGCGTTATCGCAGGTCTCGCCTCAGCTGGCCCAGACAGCAATTGGGGGACCAACACCATTCTGACCAAAACAAGATGAAAATGAAGATGGCGTGCGGGGCGGGCTCACATCTGAAGGGTCTTGTGGCAAGGTCCTTGCGCACTGCCACTATGAACAGGCGCTCCCTGTTTTGTGGCAAGCCGAAATCTACCGTATTGTAGACATTATGGGACACATGATACCCAAGCTCTTCAAATTCCTCTTGCACCACCTCCATCGCCCCAAAGTCCTTGTTCTCGGCGAACGGCTTCACGTTCTCAAGGACCACAATAGGGTTTCGCAGGTAGATGAGCAGCTTCAGAATCCCGTACAGGTGGTGGCCATTCTTTTCGCAGTCCAGACCTCTTCTTTTTCCAAGGTTGCTGAAAGGCTGGCAGGGGAAACCTGCAAAGAGCACAGTAGCCCTCGGGGGTGGCGGCGATAAGGGACCCCCGGTGCATGTGGCCTGCTCGACGACCTGCCTGACCATGTCCTCGACAACCTGCTCAAATCTGCGCCGGTCGACTTTTGAGACCCCCGGAGCGCGTCCGCAGTGGTTCATCTCGTAAGTTTCGACGTTGGAGCAGTTATTCTCATTGGCGTATACGCACGTGAGTTGACGCCTCCGCGCCCCGACGCCAAAACCCCCGATGCCCCCAAAAAGTTCCATATATGTCGGCCCCTTGATGGCACTGGTCTTGGCTGAGGACGAGAAGCGACACCTGGAAGGGATGCCGTGGTAGGCTCCGTTTGTGGCGCTTTTGGTTGCGGGGGAGGAACGTATGAGTGAGGTCCATCGGCTCCCAAAGCCCCATCTAGATGCGTGCTGGGACCGCCCTTCACTCTCTAGGCATGGCGGTCGGGGCGTGCCAGAGGAGCAATGGCTTGAAAAATGACGACGAAGCCTGCAGGATCCCGAACGTGACGACGCAGGGCTCGGGGGATAGGCTCCATGTCTTTTGGTTGTTGTGAGGACCACCGGCTGCCGATGGACCGTAACGCGCCCACCGCAGCGAGACCAGCTCATTGCCCCCGCGCGCCTGGCATGTGTCTCCTGGAAACAGTTGCATGAAGCGCTCAAAGCACTTGTGATGGACGTTATGGGCCGCGAATATGTGACGGGGGTGATGAGAACGTTAACATCATGGTGTATCTGCAAGACATCAATCTAGTGATGAACGAGCTCGTGGCGTCACGTACCTAATGTTTACTCAGACAAGTGGGGCGTCATCATGCAGCAGCACATGTGCAGCTAAACCGTTCTGGGCGTCCTCATCTTGGCCGGGGGAAGGGAGGGGATTGCACTGAGTGATGAGGAAATTAATTCGAGGTTTTGCTAGGGCTGCATGTAATGCGCAGTGGCCCGGTGGATATATGGACATATGGACATATGGATATAGGTATGTGCTTGTATATGTATATATGTGTATGTGGTATATAGTGTACGTATTATGGTTGAGTTCAGAATGGTTGCATTTGGGTAGAAAAGAAACGGCCGTCACAGGCCTGGCGCCGGCTCATGAGCGTCCTCCTTGCGCGACCGCATGCCATCTTTTTTAACGTGTTCGAATACTCTCCTTACAGACCCATGTGTTTCGGGTCGTTTCCCCCGGGCCTTGCTCGTGCCGTCCCAGCCAGGCCGAGACAGAGACCATGTCTCACTTGCATTATTCCCTTCAGCCTCCTCGAGCCTGTCGACGGCGACTGCTGCTCCCTTGCCCTTATCCATGTGGCCACGACGATCGACCGCCTTCGGGCTGCCTTCACTGCTCCCCGACATTTTGTTCCATTCTGCGACCATCACTTGGGCCTGCTTGCTGTCAATGGCCTCCTCCGGTGCTGGCCTGGAAGCCGACCCGCCCCCTGCCACCAGCCGGCCTGCACCAAGAGGACCTCCTTTGCTAGAGCGCCTCTCGATCTCCAGCAGGCTGCGGTGGTGGGCGAAGCGCAGCTCCTTGTCGTCGTCCTCGCTGAGCATTCCTATCAAGGATTGGCCACTGGCTGGAGCTTGGGAATTAGATGGTCGTAACCACTCGGGTAGTGCAGTGGCCGACATGGTGTTCCTGCGGGATCTTGCGCTTGGGTGGCTGTTGTCGACGGCGTATTCTACGTTGGATATCACGAGTGGTGGCGGTCCCGCCTCAGTCCGGTCGTGTAGAGTCGTCCAGTGGACCACGGCCGATGCATAAATGACTGTAAAAGTGCACATCAGCCACACTCTGTTCTTTCCCCCTGGCACTGCCAGTGCTGCCGGCTACTGGGGAGGTGGTAAGACTCACTGTCGGAAGTGCAGGTCAACATACAGACCCACATGGGATCTCCATGGATCGTGGCAAGGACAGATCCGTTCCTGTATATGAATTTTAGATTTGTTCCCAAAACCAAAACTTCACACTGGCACCTGCGCAGGAGGGCGAGGTAACGATATTCGTCACTGACACAATAGCAGCTGCGAGGAGGCTGGCAAGCCCAACCAAGAACCGTATCATCGTTCGGCGCGCCACCGGGCTTGGTGAAGAACGTTGAAGATAGAACCAGTCTGAGAAACTGTCAGCTCCTCCTTGTGGGGTACAACACATTCTACCCGAGCCGTTACTGCCGAGGGATTCTTACTCCAGAGAGGCATCAAGAACAATGATGAAAGGTAGACCTTTGATGTACATTAGCTCCTGTGCCGAAGTGTTCATTAGACAAGGCATCCCTCGGGTCGTCTCACCTTGGCGCCGATGTCCCACAACACGATGCCGAGAAGTGCTTCCAACTTCCCGTTCACAATGCAAACACCGGACTCGACGGTCGTAAAGCGGCTGGTGGGTCAAGCCTTGGTAAGCCGGTCATCGACGCAAAAAGAAAATTCCAAAAGGCTCATACATACTGCAAGAACTCAAATATGAGGATGAATATGTAAAGCACTAGCACTGTAAGCGATATGAGACTCCTCATTGGGTATTTCAGAGGACGAACCAGACATTGCCAACATGTTGAGAAGCCAAGACTTGGAGTCCAGACGTGGTTTTGTGCGTCCATGTAGCATACACTGGTTGAGACGGCATGGAATCAGTATCCTGAGACGAAGCCGTTTTGGAGGGTCAAGATGCTTACCGCTTTCTCAATCAAAAAGAAGTATATGAGCTGTGAGTTTAGTCAATATCTATGAGATACCTCACAGCGTAGCAATTACACAAACCAGCTAATGATACGGCGCGTCAGCAGATGATGGCGTCCTGAGGCGGGTAGGCCTTGGAGAAATGACAAGAACGACATACTTTTGTACTAAGGTACACTGTGAGACAGACTATGTCGGTGATTTTGCACCGAGAAGCAGTCATTTGCACGTTGGCCAGGCCAAACCTCAAAACTGCAGAAATAATGATAAAGAAGAACGAGTCCAAATAGACCAGGGTGACCACTACGGCAGCGTCAGCTTCATTAGACCACCTCTGACAACTCGTACCCCCGAGGCGGTTTCGATAGGAACCGTGCTTACGCCATGTTGCCAGCGGCTGTGGCCTCCATGAATATGTTGCTGACCAAAGCTGCGCTGTGTGGCAAGTCCTATCAGCATTATGTTGATGCCTGGTGCCCAGTATTATCGCTACTCTCCGACAGACTGACTTAGAAATGATGACAAGAGGCAGACGGATGTCATGGCCAACCCCACGCTGACGATTGCTGCCGCTTGTGGCTCCTCATGCTGCACTCTCATTGTTGCGTCTTGATCGGGATATCCAACCGAAGTCCAAGGGTGACAGAGGGGGGAATGGCAGGTGTGTTAGGCCATTTTTGCGGGCGCATCTGAGATATCGACTCCTCAGAGAAAACCTGAGGAACTTGCGGGCGGCGGGTGTGTTCTGTCAGGAGAGAAAAACTGAAAACCCCATCCAACCTGCCGGTGAATAAGAAAACTGGCTTGGGCTTTGGAGAGGCTTGGAGCCTAATAATGTGTAATACCGGCTGGGCTGTGCGCTGCTTGGTCAAACACTCCGGATCTGCGCTTCGGAGAGCTCGCCGAAGCTGGGCAGGAGGGCGTCATCAAGCTCGGGGGAGGCTGCCGCTTGACTCGTGCGGCACGGCCAAGATACACCGCATAACCTGCGGCCTGCCATTGTTGCCACGATCACCCCGTGCCTGGTGCATTAGCCCAAAACTTTACTGGCTAGAGATGCGGGATCGTTTTCTCTGTTGATCGCTCGGCTTTTACAATGCTTATTCGACAAATCACGATCCTCCAGTGCCCAAATCCCATAATCTGATCCTGCATCTACCCTAGGTATTCTAGATGGCACCAATTCTCCGTCCAGGCGGCAACTAATAATCGGCGAATATATTCGCCCAACTTTTAACTTGACGCTCGTTGTAGCCGGCACAACGCCAGCGGCATCTTTGTAGTCCCGAGAACTAGTATCCGAGATGACGTCGCAGATCTCCAGGCGCTAATAGATCCTAAGCACACAAAAGAATTGAAAATGCTACCGGCTGGCTATTGTTGGAAGGCACGGTTGGGTCTGGCTAACTAAGCTAATTAATACTTATATTCGCTCCTTTTAAGCGTTAGGAGAGATTATAGACTTCTTTTTAATATTAATTAACTAACTATTATTTACTTTAATTACTTATTAGGTTATAAGCTTAACATCACTTAATATATCCTTATTTACTTATTTTTATTAATATCTATTAATTTTAAATTATTTTATATTTAAAAATTATTAAAATATAGTTATTATAAGGTTAGATTATTAACATTATTTATACCTTTTAATAAATATTATACTTCTATATAACTTATAATAATTTATTATTTTACTCTAATTTTCTATATTAATTAATATTAATTTAAAACTATTTAAATTAATTTAAATATTATTTAAGATATTTAACTTTAACTTTAAGTTTAATTTATTATTATTATTTAAGCTTAATTTAAAAGGAGAGAACTATTTTAATTAATATATTACTTAAAACTAAGCTTTCTACTTTATTAGCTTTAGTAAAATTATTATTAATATAAAGGCTAAGCCTATTATTAGTAAAACCTTATAGAATAATAAAAGTAAGATAACTAAACTTTTATTATACTTTTAAGTATTATTTATTTTAACTTAATAATATATATTATATTATATAAAAGCTTTTATTAGTTTAGAAGACTTTAAAGGATTATTTTAATTATAATATTAAAAATTTAATTATTTATTTATTTTATTAGTTAACTAACTTATATTATAAAAATAGTTTTAATTTATAGAAATACTTTAATTTATTTCATTAACTCTAAGTAAAACTTTTACTAGAACTTTAATATTTAATTAGTTTATAATGAAATTTATAAAATCTTTATTTAAAATAATAAGGTTAAAAATTCTTTCTTTTATAATATTACCTAATATAATAAATAATATTATTAATAATCTTAATAGTTATAAAATCTTAAAATTCTTTAATATTAAATTTAAAATACTAAATATTATTATTTATTTAAAAGTTAAGTAATTAAAGGCCTATTATACTTCTACCTTTTAAAAGGTTAGTATTAATTAATACTAAAAAGTTTAAAAAATCTATATTATTAAATACTAACTCTAACTCTTTATTAAAGAAATCTAATAAAAAGGAATATATATAGTATTACTTTTATAACTTTACCTTTATTAACTATTTATATACAGATTATAATAAGTTAGTAAAATATAAAAAGAGTAAAAAAAGGGAAAGAAATAGGTTACTATTAACTAAGTGAAAGATAATATAGTAGAAATCTTTAATAATAATAAAAGATATAGTGTTTTATATTAATATTTTAATATATATAGTAAAACTTTTATTATTTAAAAATATAAGTAAAATATTATAAATTTTTAATTTAAATACTTTAAAGTATATAATAGAATATATAGAGGACTTTAGTTTATTTTAATTATATAGTAGAATAATTACTATTATTAATAGAACTTATTTTATTATAGAAGGAGTTAATATTATAGATATTCTCTTATAGCTCTCTAATAGATTAATTATTAAGAATATTTTTACTAATATACTTTATAGTTAAAAATTAGAGAATACTATTTATTTAATTAAATTATAGTTTAAAACTAATTTCATTTAAATATTTAGGGAATAATATCTTTTATAGCTAAAAGATAATAAATTAAAGTAATATAGGTAAGATTTTAAAAAGGAATTTTAAGATTTAAACTATTAATAATAAGAATATTAAAGCTCTTTTCTTATTATATAAAGAATTTTATAAAGTATTTAAATATAGTAATATTAATAAAATCTTTATTTAATAACTATATATTAATATTAATATTATTTTAATAAAACTAAAAGTATTTAACTATAAACCTTATAGGTTTATAAAGTCTATTTAATAATATTTAAAACTATTATTAAAATAAAAATTAAAGGTATTATTTAAAATTATTTACTTAAATCTCTTAAAGTACTTCTTAATAAAATTACTAAAGGGTTTTAATACTTTATACTATTTATTAATAATTTTATAAAATATTATTAAGTCTTTTATTAAAAAAGAATTATATTTTTATAATTATTAAAAACTTTTAGTAATAATAAAGATATAATTTAATATAAAAGTTAAAATATTTACTTTTAATAATAAGGGTAAATATATTAGTAAAATTATAGTTAATTTATTTTATTAATAAGAAGTTATTTATTAGAAATCCCTATTATATTATTATAAATTAAATAAAATATTTAAATAATATATATAAATAGTTATTATTAATATTAAAGTTATAATTTATAATAAAATATTCTTTATACTTTAACCTAAATATATTATATACTTAGTTTATTTTATAACTATAAATTATATTTAATATTATTATATTAAATTATATTTTTAAAATACTATATGAAAAGAAACCTAATATTAAATACCTTTAGCCCTACTTTTATCCTTATTATATTTATATTTTTATAAAAGTCTATAAGTTAAAAATAAAATTAATAAATTAAGTTAAAAGTATACTTTATTAGATTTAAAGTAGATAAAAATTTAATTTTATACTTATATATATTATTCTATAAAGTTATTATTACTATTATAAATAACTATATATAATAAAAAATACTAACTTATAATTATATAGTTAATTAGGAATTTAATTAAAGTAGTTACTAAACTAATAAAATAATCCCTAATTAGTTATAGATTTACCTTCTCTACTATCTTTATAATTACTTATAATATTACCTAAACTAATTATTAAACACTTTTTAAATACTAATTTAAGAAATTATTATATATAACTCTTATAAAAGTAAGAGCTAATATTTAATATATAAAAACTAACTTAATACTAACTAATATAAACTTTAACTTTTTAACTTAATATTAACTAATACTAATTCTAATTTAAATAATTTAATATTAATAGATATTAACTCTAATAATAATAATTTAAATAATTTAACTATTATAATTATTAAATCTATTATATACTTATTAATATTAATTAATATTAATTATAATAAATTACCTATTATTATTACTATATTTTTAATAATTTAAAATAATAATATTCTATAAAATTATATATAGACCTTAAAGAGTTTTAAAAGTTAAATTAGTTTATCGTTATAAAAGGAATTATACTCTCTTAAAGCTATAAGAATTTAAGTAGAAGTTTCTATTTATTATAATTAATATATTATTAACTCCTAATAGATATATATAAAGAAATATAATATTAGGAAATCTTATTTAATATAAGGCCTATTTAATTATTTAAAGGTTTATATAAATTTATAAAATTAACTATAATAATATTTATAATTTAATTATTTAATATAAAATATTAAAAATTATTATTTAAATTATTTTATAATTAGAATAAATTTTTAGTAATTTAATATTAAAACTATATATCTTTATAGACGCCTAAAATATAATATCTATATATATCTATTACTTAAATATTAAATATTATCTAAAATATTATACTTAAAATCTTTTAGACTTTATATAGCCTAAAGTAATTAAAATAAAAATAATTTAGTAAATTATATAATAAACTTATTAAGTTTTATAACTAAGCTATATTTAATTTATATATCTTTTAAGTAATAATATTATTATTACTATTTATATTAATAATATTCTAATTACTAATTATTCTAATAGTATTATTAAATTTAAGGTAATTCTTTTAAATAAATTTAAATATATTAATATAAACCTTTATTAATATTTCCTTAACCTTAAAATTTATTAAATTAAAACTAAAATTTTATTTTTAATAAGGTTATACTAAATATATACTTTAATAATTTAATATACTTAATAGTAATAATTACTATACCTTAATAGATTTAAACTTATTTTTAAAATAAAAGAAAAATAGTAATATTTTTATTAACCCTATAATATATTAATCCTTATTAGTTTAATAAACTTTTTAGTAATAAGTATAAAAGTTAATCTTATTTTTTAATAGCTATTATTTTAATATTTAACGCTAATTTAATAGAATAATATTTTATTATTAGTAAGAGTATTTTTATTATATTAAATAAACTTTAAATTATTAAATATTTTATTTTAAAATGTTATATCTATAAAGCTTAATATATATAGTAATACCTTATATAATATAAACTTAAATAATTTAAAGGTATTTAAAGGTTAAATTTAACTCTTTAATAGATTATTTATTACTTAGTTATTAAAATATTAGTTAATAGTTACTAAATTAACTTATAAAGCTAAGTATATAGCTTATTTATTTATATTTTTATTTATATTAGATAATTTAGGTGCTATAAGATTTAAAGATTTTATATATTAAGTATTTATTTATACTTTATATTAATAACTAACTATATTAAACTTTATTTAAAATATTAAAATTACTATTTATTTAAAGTATATAGTTATTTATTATTACTTTATTTAAGAAGGTATTAAAAGTATTTATAATATTAAATATATTTTATTTATAGAGAATTTTATAGATATTTATATAAAAGCATTTTTAAAGCCTATATTATTAGGTTTTTATTATTTATTAAATCTATTATTTATTTAATTTTAATAGATTTAAGATTTAATATTAATAGGTATTAATAGAATAGTAAAGGGAAGTTTAATAATAAGTTTATTAATTTAATAATTAGAATATTATATTATTTATATATTTTAGATATTTCTTATAATAATAATATTATTAATAAATAGAGGATATATTAAAAGGTATAGTTAGGTTTAGTTGATTAAGTTAATTAATACTTATACTTGCTCTTTTTAAGTACTAGGAGAGATTATAGACTTTTCCCTAATATTAATTAACTAACTATTATTTGCTTTAATTGCTTATTAGCTATGAGAAAGGAGGGGTGGCGGGTTTTGGCAATTGGTACTTAATGATACCTACCTTTTTTCATCTCGAGACTTGACTGCCCAGGTGGGCCTCAGCATCGAGGGTGAAAGAAGAAGAGCTCACTTCTCATCCGGAAGGGCAGGTCTGCAGGGAACCGGCCGATTGACAGGCCAATTGTTACTGGCGGTAGCAGTCCAACGTCGCACGGAATGTTGATTTCTAGGGAAGCTGGCCTCCAGGTCCCCGAGGAGCCCATGTCTGAGCTTAGAACAGACCGTGCGGGCTCATATCTTGCCGGTTGCTTCTTTGCTTTCGAGAAAGAAGCACGAGGAGTCGCTTGATCCCAAGTGCTGTAGATGGTCAAATTCGCACTTGAAGAGAAGCATCCTGAGGCTTCGAAAATCGCGCCATGCCTACCAGTTCGCTATATAATGCGGGATGAACGACAATGCTTCGAGTGCTTGTCCAGGTGCGGACGTGATAAACGTGAATTACCTTGGCCAATCATGCCTGCCCGGGCAGGTCGCACAAAGCCGACACCATAAGCTCTGCCGCCCGGGCAGCTTCGATGAGCGGGCACCTCAGATACCTTGCCTGAACTCTAATATTGATACTACCTGGGTACTGTTCCTTACTCTCAACTCTTCGCGCAAGATGCTGTTGACTGCAGCCCATTTGACGTTGTCTATGAAGCTGTGCGAGAAGGAAAGTCTGGTTTCGGTGGGCTGAGCCTGTTGCATATCCCATTTCTGGCCTGTGGATCCCGCTCAGAAATCCAGGTGGAGCCCACTCTTCGATTGCCCACGCACATCGGCTCGTGGTTCATGTTCAGGATGGGCATCTTAAAGGTTCTTCAACCACAGGGCTCTTCTCACTTTATCTCACCGCTCTATAGCGAGCATTCAAAGACGGTTAGTTCCTTTCACATGTTGTCTAGACGTACTTGGTGCAAGAGTGTGCATGATCATCGATACTCTGGCTATTCTTGTTCATGCACTTTCCTAATTTGTTGCCCATTGAAGAGTGACGTCTTTGGCATTGCTCAAGATTTTGTAAGAAAGGTTTGTAGATGGCTACCTACTGAGATACCTAGGCAGGTGTATCAAATTACAGTCAACGGATTCGGCTGTAAATCACGTCTCTATCTCCAGGCCCTGGTGAAGAAAGACCTGCTCACAGAGTGTGCATTTCAAATCGTCTGATTAGGCGCTCAAATATGCAAGTCCCTCTAATGATTACCAAGGGAGCCATCGTAAGAAAACATTGAAACATTGTTGAACCGATGAGGCCAAAAGCACATCCCGAGGTCAAATTAACCATTCTTGCGTTGCTCCTGCACCTATGCTCTCTATGTTTATTCCTTCTTTGTTTTCTTGCAAGCGTTCTTCAGCGTTCCGTGTAAAGGTAATGCGCATATCATACTATCGTACATAACTTTCAACCGTTGCTTGTCAACCGTGCAATGAATGCTGCTTCTTGCGCATAACCGAGGGTTGTTATATGATGTCGGATAAATGATTAAGCGCAGCATTGATTACGTATGTACCTAGATACCTGAGTAACTAAGTAGTCTGGCCTTACTTGGAGACATCAATGATTGATCAATTGAAAGATGCTGGCTCTAAATTCATACCATTGCATTTTTAGAACAGCATTGAGACTTGATTGAGAAGTTCGGATCTGGTTCCAACTGTGATACACCATCCTGCCTCTGCAGATGAGAACGGAAATTCGTGCAGAACAGAGAGCATGTGTTTACGTTGAGGAGAGATATATTGTGTTAGCGGGAAGGACCCAACTTTGTAATAAAATTTCGAAGACACCGTGCTCGTGACCAACCCACCGAGGTACCCTAGGGTAATTAATGGGAACTGCCCAGATTCCAAACAACAACAAGGCACCGACCATATGTTATTCCCGTCGGCATTAGCAGATCATCAAGCATTTTCACTTCAATATTACAGGATTGTCAGGCCGGAGACGACATTGGACGCAGCAGGTTTTAATAGGCCCCCTGGCCCCCGGTGCTGTGTATTACTAGTGATTTCACGACCCTGCGACCCTTGAAAAATTAGTCAAGCGGGTCCCTTGGCGCGGCTCAAAAACACGACATCCATGGATCCCAGGCGTCTGTTACGACATCAAAACCTGGTGATTCGCCCTACACGGGCGAGACCCGTACGCACAGCCCGCAGAAGGGCCATTCAGGGCCGTCGCAAAGCGCGCAGGGCGAAGACGATGGAATCGATTTTTCACAATGACAGCAAACAATTAGATGTTATCAGCTCGAACCGCACTCCACGTGCTGGAGGGGAAACCCGCTCTATCGGGCGAGATCATTTTGTGGAGGAGACCCGCTTAACGCCGGCCGAGGGAGGCAAGACTGATGACATCTGGACAACCTCGACCGTCGACCTTGTGCCTTGCTGCTTGTCCGGGCGGCCGGGATGAGTCCAAGTCGCCTTGGACCATGTGGACCTCGATCCATCTGACTCGCGCCTTCGGCGTCGTCTTTTAAAACCCAGCAGTGGCAGACGCGTTGTGCACTTTGTCTCGGCGAGTCCTCTTCAGTGCTCTCTGGCTTCTTTCTTCCTCCCGCCATCCTCCTCCCGATCTTGTGCCAGGCCGTCCTCACCTCGTCCACTGTCCATCCTATCCCCTCCTCGAAGCGCGCACACAGCCACACGCCCCCCCGGCGCCATGATGGACGACATCTCCAGCTCGGCCAGCCATGGTCAGAGTAAGAACAAGAACGGCCCGGACGCTGAGCAGGTCCAGGATCGCAACCCTTGGCCGGTCCATGAGAGCAGCATGCTTGGGGAGACGAGCGACGAGATGAACGACCGCCAGCTAAAGCAGATCGCCGCCCAGGGCAGCGCTCACTTCCACCGCCTGGGATGGAAGCGCCTGGCCATCGTCACTATCGTCGAGGCCGTGGCGCTCGGCGCCCTCAGCTTGCCTTCGGCCTACCACACCCTCGGCATGTTCCCCGGTGTCTTCCTGACCATCACTGTCGGGCTGGTTTCCATCTTCACAAGCTACCTCGTCGGCCAGGTCAAGCTGGCCTTCCCGCACGTCGCCAACTACGCAGAGGCCGGACGCCTCCTGTTCGGCCGCTACGGACGCGTCGGTTACGAGCTCTTCGGAGCTGCCCTCGTCCTCGAGCTGGTCATGGTCGTGGGGTCCCACGCCCTAACCGGGAGCATCGCGCTCGTCGACATCAATGGCGGACACGTGTGCTCCATTGTCTTCTCCGCGGTCTCGGCCATCATCCTCCTCATCCTCGCCATCCCGCCCTCCTTTACCGAGGTGGCCATCCTCGGTTATATCGACTTCGTCTCCATCCTGGCCGCCATCGGCATCACCATCATCGCCACGGGTATCAACGCCAACAAGTCCGAAGGTGGCCTTTCTGGTGTCGGGTGGTCTGCCTGGCCCAGAGAGGGCGTCACATTCTCCGAGGCTTTCGTGGCCGTTAGCAACATCATCTTTGCATTCAGTTTTGCCATCGGCCAGTTCTCGTTCATGGACGAGATGCATACGCCTACCGACTATATGAAATCTATCTGGGCGTCCGGGTTCATCCAGATCTGCATCTACACAATCACCGGCGCTCTCTGCTACGCCTTCGTCGGGCCATCAGTGCAGTCCCCAGCCCTCTTGTCTGCCGGGCCGCTGATCTCAAAGATCGCATTTGGAGTTGCCATCCCAGTGATTTTCATTTCTGGTTCAATCAATTCGACCGTGGCTCTTCGGTATATTCACGGCCGCATGTACAAGAACTCGCACCTGAAATATATCAACACGCCTATGGGCTGGGCAAGCTGGATCGTCCTTGTTATCATCTTTACCCTGGTTGCTTGGGTTATTGCCGAGGCGATCCCCATCTTTTCTGACCTCCTATCACTGGCATCTGCTCTCTTCGTGTCCGGCTTCTCGTTCTATCTCCCTGCGATCATGTGGTTCGCCCTGCTGTGCAAGGGCAAGTGGTACTCCAAGGAGAACATACTCATCAGCCTTGGAAGTATCCTCGCGTTTGTCATTGGTGCCGTGACCTTGGTTGCTGGCACTTACTCGACTATTGTCGACATCGTAAGTCGACCACGAAGCCACATGCATCGAGTTCCTCGTGTCTCATCTTACTAACAACTCGCAGATCGACGAGACGACCTCTGGGGGTGCTCACAAGCCATTTGCCTGCAGGTCATCCTAATAGTCGAGACCTGATATTGCTGCATAGATTTTAATATTAATTTCTCCCGTCAATTTCTGCAAAAGGTTTCTTGTGGAGGGCCCATCGTAGTCAACCCAAGAAATTTGTGACATTGGATACCAGATTTATTTCGACGAGCTGGATAGGCAATAAACGGTAACGCATTTGTCGCCTAAGTCTTGATAAAACAATTTGCCACTGAGTTTGTAGCACCCCCGTGTACCGTCGATTTACAATATAAGGTGTAATAGTAAATTTCAAAGTCGGCACCAGCTTCATAGCATCTCGATGGCCTGACACCGCATGTAAATACAAGTAGAATGAGACAGTTAGCCTTATTAAACGCCGTATAACTCCATCATAGCGTTCTAATTAACACTATCATTAAGACGGTACCTCTTAACCTTATTTATATATTGTAAGGCTAAGGCTATAAACACCTATTATATTATAACTATTATTATTAATATTATATCCTTTTTAAGCGTTAAGTTTTAAATACTTACTATTATATAAAAGTATTAAATATATTTTTATAACTTTAGTTATACTATATATTTCCTTTATATTATATAAATAATACCGTTTAACTTTATTTATATATTATAAAGTTAAGGTTATAAGTATTTATTATATTATAATTATTATTAATAATAATACTTTTTTAAACGTTAAGTTTTAAGTATTTATTATTATATAAAGGTATTATATATATTTTAAAATATATATAAAATAAAAGTAAAACTATATATATTATATAATATTATATAAAGGTATTATATATATCTTTAAATATATATAAAATAGAAGTAAAATTATAATTATATATTATATAATTATTTATTTCTTCTTTAATTTAAAGTTTATATATAAAGTTTTTAATAACTTTATATAAACTATTTATATTTTTAATTTTACTATTAAGTTAGAAATAAATAGTTAAAGTTTTAAAAGAATAAAATATAATATATCTTTTAAAGATTAATTTAATTAAGTTTATTATATAAGACTTTTTATAATAATCTTATAATTATTTATAGTATTATTTATTATTTAAAGATATCTTTTATATTAATATATTAAGTTATATTTAGTTTATTTAAATTAATATATTAAAAGTTAAAACTATTATAAATTATAAGCTACTTAATTTTAATATTATTAAACTTTATATATAAGATTATTATATAACTTAAATATAAATATAAGTTAGTTAAAATAAATAAAAATAAAAGCTATTATTCTTTTAAAGGTTCTAACTTTACTTAAATAAACACTTATCTATTAACTCTACTATATTATAAGTAAAACTACTTAAAAGTAGTTATTTAAATAAACTAAGAAATAACTAGGTAAGGTAACTATATTCTATTATCTAGGTTTATAGTTCTAATAGCTCTACTTAAATATTATAAATAGAAGAAGAAATAACTATTAATAATTAGGTTTATAACTATATAAAGGTAGACTTTTACTTTAAAAAGAAGTTATTATTATTTAAGATAGTTAATATATTTTTAAAAAGTTAAGGAATTATAAACTTAATTTAAAGTATATTAAAATCTATAAGAATTTTAAATTTAAGCTTAAAGAATATAAAGCTTTAACTTACTTAAAGATAAAAGGTTAGAAAACTTAAGGAGAGGTTTAAATTAAATTAAAGATTAAATTAAGTTATAGTATAATAAAATAGTTAAATAAAAATTAGTTAGAATTTTATAATTATAAGTTTTTAACTTTATATTTAAAAAGTAATAATTTTATATATATCTTTATAATTTCTTTATAAAAAACTTTAAATTCTTTTTTCTTTTATTTTATTATATTTTTCTATATTATTAAAAGTTAATAATTATATATTTAAATAGAAGTTATAATATTTATTTAATAAAAGTTTTATTTCTTTAAGTTATATTATTTTAAAATAATATATATATATATATATATATATATATATATTTAAAAGAATAATTTTAATTAAACTTTTTTAATATAATTTATTTATATAATAATTATTTTTAAAACTTAATCTTATTATATAACTCTTTTATAATATTAATATTATTATTAAAATAATACTTTTAACTTTATTTATATATTATAAAGTTAAAACTATAAATATTTATTATATTATAATTATTATTATTAATACTATTTTTTTAAATATTAAATTTTAAATACTTATTATTATATAAAAATACTATATATATTCCTAAATATATATAAAATAGAATTAAAACTATTTATATCCTTATATATATATAGAATAGAAGTAAAGCTACTTATACTAATGAAATTAATTAGGAAAATAAGAGCCTAAGTACTATGACTGGCAGAGTGACTAGCTGCTTGATCTACTACTACTCCCACTGCCCTTGTGGCTCCTACTGCTCCCGCTATTATTGTTACTCTTATTATATTCATCTGCTGCTGTTGCTGTTGTTTGAATGCGATTGACAGATCTGCTGTATTTGCTGCCATTGCTGCTGCCATTACTGCCATTACATCTGTTACTAGTATTGATTCGATCTGTTACTGCTGCTATATCGAGTCAACCAGCCATCGCTATTAACCAAATTATGTGACTGGCTATTGCTTGTGGCCGCACTTAATATCTTGCATCTTGCGGACTCTAAACCAATTGCGAATCACCCCATCATGTCACATGGGCCGATCAATAGAGAGCTGATCACTGGCCCCACCATAGCTGGCTGCAAGTGTGCTAGGTTAGATGATTCATAATTCATCATTCATCCCCGGTACGATGGCGTGCCACTGAATCTAGGTTCATAAGAACTAGTCTACCATGTCGCTTGTCATGACAATCATCTTTCATGTACTCGTCAGGAGTTTACTGCTCTTCATACATTTGCGGACGCTCTCGTGCGCCTTTTCGTACAGGCCAAGCAAGACACTTAGCTTGATTTCGTAACAGCGGTCGATAGAGAAACCGTCTACCGTCAACTCGGGCATTAAAAGGTGAATGTCCTTGATGTGGGAGCTGCCGCTGCGAACTTGGCCCAGTACGTGGATGCTGCGTGTATAGAGGACATCGAGTCTCGTATAGCAACTCAAAACCATGAGCGTCGTAGACCGGTCGTGGTCCTCTCTCTGTGCCTTTGCATGGCTGTCCATGCTGCGAATTCCCGCGACGATGCTCGCCAGCTGGCTCGTCATCTCGAGCAGCTTCCCGATGCCAAGATCAGCCAGGTGCAGATCTGATGGCAATTTCAGGTCGTTACTCGGTAGTTTGGGAGAGGATGATGGATTGCTTTCATCTAGGTGAGACTGGGCCTTGTCCTTTTTATGGTTTAAAGGGTGCCGGAACAGCTCGACACTCAGCTCTGCCAGTCGTGTCAGGAGTTGGACATAATTGTCGACCCACTTCCCCGAGGAATGAGGGACATCGTCACTTGTTGAACAGTCTACCGGCGCTGGGGGTGTGAAGCCGTTCGATGGGCAGAGTGAATTGCTGCCAAAAAGGTTCATGCTCGGATCGGGGATCGACGAGCAAGCACAAACCCCTTGCAGACTGCTGGCATCGGAAAAGCTGGCGTCTAGTTTAGTACATGGCCGAGGCACCGTTTCTGCTTAGCTTACCAGTTGAGCATGGCTGAAGGGTCGGTCGTAAAGTCGCCGGTGTCCATTATCATTGCAGTATCCTCGTGGTTTGAGAAGGCGGTGGCGAAGGTATCGTAGCCGCTCCAGGCATATGGGTTCTCCATGTTGGGGCTCTGGGCTTGGCTTCGGCTCTGGCTCTGGCTCTGGCTTTGCTTGGTATTGCCAAGATGCTGGCGCGGGGGACGGCCCATGGGCCTGGGCAAAGGAACGGTGCACACAGCATTGGCCCTATGGCAACGTTGGCACTGTGGTTCCTTGGCATCCCATGTACATCTGAGCTTCTGTCCGCGACAACGGTCACAGGCGGGTCTCTGGCCGTTGGGCTTGCTGGCCGAGCCCCCGGGCTCGCTCTGGGACTGGCTCATGGCCGTCTGCCGTGTACTAAGGCTGAGTGAAGCGACACGGAAGATGATTGATTATGTCAGGGTGGCAGTCAGCAGTCAGTTGCGCTGGTGAAGCTCGGGGACGAAAGTCAACTGGTAGGTCAGTAAAATAGGGTGAATTAGGCTGATTACTAAAGTAAGTACGGGCGGGGCAGGCACGTGTTCTGGAGGATTGCAATTCAGCTACCTAGCAAGCAGGTGTTGGTGACACAACCACATCCTGCTGCACGAATGTGTCCCCCCTGTCAGCAAAATGTAGGTGCTTGCTTGGTATTAATGTAGGAGCCAGGTCTGAGATAACACGCCATTTGCTGAAAGCATGGCAGCGGGAGCCAAGCCTTGCTGCAAATCTTATAAAGTTAAGCAGGTAGGAGCTAAGAGGTATAGTAAGGTTGGAAGGTATCACGGTACGGTACCATAGGGCACTTATATACTTTATAGAATTTAAGTTATAGACTTAAAATTCTAATCTTTTAATTAAGTAATTCTTTTTATATATAATCTTTAAATTTATATTAATTTTAAGTTAAAGAATATAAATTTAAACTTTTATATTTAAAAGTTATTTAAGTTTTAAGTTTTTAAATAAATTATTTAATATTTAAAGTATAAAAAGTTTTTTTTAATATAAATAAGCTTTTTAATATATTATTTATTAATTATTTTCTTTTATTTAAAATAATAAATTAATAAATAACTTTATATATAACTTTTTAAAAATAAGTTTATAATTAATTTAATTAAACTTATTATAATTTATTTTTATAATAAATTAATAATAAAATTAAAATAATATTTTAAAATAAAGTTTATTTAATATAATAAGATTAATATATTAATACTTTTTATATTAGTTAGCTTAACTTATACATAAATAGTTAGGTAAAGTAGTATATATTAGTGTTAATTAAAGGTCTACCTAATTAGACAGTAAAGTACTTAATTAGGTTAATTAAACCTATTAACTAAGTTTAATAGTCTATATATAGGTATAGACCTATTAATCTTACTTATAATAGCTAATCCACTACAGCCTACTATTCCTATACTAGCACCTTTTTAGTCTTTTAAATCTTCCTTTTAGCTAATTAAAGAGCTCTATTTTACTAATAAAGTAGATTCTAATTAAATCACTAAATCACTTAGAATTACCACTAAATATATAATTATAATTCACTTAATTTAAATATTTAAAAACGCTTTAAATTAACGTTTTATAAATTACCTAAATCACTTAAATTTAAATTACTTTAATAAGTAAAATTAAGTCTAAATTATTAATTAATTAATTACTTATCAGGCCGTCTATTAGGTAATCACTAACTATAACTACATCTAACTAGTTAGCCCTTTTAATAGTTTCTTCTTCTTTTATAGCTAATAAAGCGCTCTAAATTAACGTTTTTTAGTCGCCTAGTTGTTAGTTACTTAATTATTAATTACTTATTAGGTTATCACTAATTATTTACCGGTTATAACTAATTATTAATCAATTTATAACTATCAATTAGTTTAGTTAGTTCTTCTAATAGTTAGTTAATTAGTTCTTCTTATTTATATAATTAATTAAACTATCTAACTAATAGCTAGCTAATAGCTATTAAAGAGTAAGGCTTACTTTAAGTATAAATTACTATTTATATAGTTATTTAAATAGAGGGTTGTTTAATTAATTAGTTAGTTAAGTTAGTATACTAAATATAGTCCTCATCTAATAAATACACTCCTACCCTATCTATATAGTTACTCACTTAGCTTATAAGATCATTACTTATACTTAAAGGTCTCTCAAAAGGTACTTAAGAGGTTATCACAAGGGCGTTCAATAGGGTGGTAGGCAGGCTTGAATTATCACTTACGAGAAAGTTATTATAATAGGTTTTTAAGATTGGGTTAATAAAGGTATTTTACTTATTATCGTTATTTTTAAGAGAAGGTTATAGATTTCAAGTCTCTAAAGATTACTATACCTAACTTAAGGTGTTGCTTATAGCTAAAAAAGGAGTTATTAATAAGAGAAGAAGCTAAATCTTAAGTCTCTAAAAATTACTAACTTCTTCTTAAAGCGTAATAGATGCACATAATACCTTTAATAGGTTTAATTAATAGACTAAAATTAACACTAGCTATCACTATTATTATTATTACAATCGCTTATAGTTTAATTAATAGATTAAAATTAACACCAATCATCCTTACAAATATTAATATAGTTAGCTATCTATAACTATTATAATTCTAAATAATAAATTAAAATTAACACTATTAGTTCTATAATAGCTATTATAAGTAAGTAACTACCTAATAGGTACCTTACTATTAGAAGCTAGTTAGTAACTAATTAATATTAGTTAGCTTAGTTTATATATAAATAGTTAGGTAAAGTAGTGTATATTAGTGTTAGTTAGAGGTCTATTTAATTAGGTGGTAAAGCGCCTAGTTGGGTTGGCTAGACCTACTAACTAAGCTTAGTGGTCTATATGTAGGTATAGACCTATTAATCTTGTTTATAGTAGCTAATCTACTATAGCCTATTATTTCTATATTTTATTAAATAATTATATAATTTTATTTCTATTTTATATATATTTAAAAATATATATAATATTTTTATATAATAATAAATATTTAAAATTTAATATTTTAAAAAGATATAATATTAATAATAATAATAATAATATAATAAATATTTATAATTTTAATTTTATAATATATAAATAAAATTAAAAGATATTATTTTAATAATAATTTTAATTAAAATATTATAAAAGTTATTTAATAAATTTAAATTTAAAAATAGTTATTATATAAATAAATTATATTAAAAACACTTAATTAAAAATTATTTTTTAAATATATATATATTTATATATATATATTAATAAAGGTTTTATTAAATAAATATTATAATTTTTATTTAAATATATAATTATTAATTTTTAAAATTTAAAATAAAGAAATAATTTATAATATATTATTTTAAATTTTTATAATAAGTATTAAAACTTTTAAAAGGTTTTAAAAGTAATTTATTAAAAACATAAAAATAAATATAATAAGTTTATTTTTCTTTACGTTTATACTTTTATTATTAATAATTATTAATTTTTTAATAATATAAAAAAGTATAAAAAAAAATAAGAAAAAAGAGGATTTAAAGTTTCTTTATAAAAGGACTATAAGGATATATATAAAGCTATTAAAGACTTTATATATAAGCTTTAAAGGGAAGAAATGAGTAATTATATAGTGTAAAGGAAAAATATAGTGTGGCCGAAGCCTTAAATAGCTATAACTATAGATTGTCTTATAATCCCCTTATAGAATGGAATCAACCATACCTAGGTAGGTATCTTATACACTGCCCTTCTTGACAGTCTGGCTGTCATTCTCCTCGTCTCGCAGCTTCTTGTTCTTCTCCTCGAGTCCGAACTTGGTGTTGAGCTTAGACCGCAGCGTCACCTCTCTCTCGAGCCACACCAACAGCCAGCCCAGTCCGGCGAAGGCGATCCCCACATACCAGACGGTGCGCATGGACTGCCATATGGTCAGCAGATGTTCTGGGGCAGGAACAGGAACAGGAACACTCGGGGCGGGTAACTCACAAAACGGAAGAGATTCACGACCTCTTGACGGGAAGAAGGGTCCACGATGCTGTCCAGGAACGTCTGCGTGGCATGCTGGTATGCCTTGCCGCTGTTCAGGAATTTCGCCAGGTTCTGATCGGCCAACCCGTCGGCCCTGACACGGCACTCGTTGTTGAATATGGCGGCAGGGATGGTGACACCCCAGATGGTACCGAAACCTCGGGTAAAGGTCCACGTGCCAGTGGAGAGCGCGACTAGGCTTTCCTCGAGGGGTGCCTGCATGGCTGGGAGAAGAATGGCAATCATCAGACCGGCGCCGATGGCGAGTAGGAGTTGGATGCATGCCCAGGCTGCCTTTGGGGAATCTTGGTCGAGGATACTCAAGAGGCCGAAGGCGACGGTCACGATAGCCATTCCCATCAGGTGAAGCGGCTTGTAGCGGCCCCATTTGGCGAGAATGTTCCCGCCAAGGATCGCGAACGGGAACAGACCGGCGAACAGAGGCAGTGTATCCACCCCCGAATAGAAGGCCGAGATGCCCAGGACCGACTGGAAGTATATAGGCACAAAGTAGAACGCCCAATAAGTGCAGATTGTATGAAGGAATGTCACGCCGAGTACGGCGACGACAGTACGATCGATAAGGACAGCCCGAGGAAGCGATGGGTTCTTTGCAATAGTCCACTCGAAGGCGACGAACAGCCCAAGGCCAACAAAGCCGAGCACGAGCGGGACAATGACACGGTATGAGTTCCAATCGTACACCTGGCCTCCCCAGGTGATTCCGATGAGGACCGAGACGGTCGAAGCGACAAAGATGGCATTACCACTAAAGTCGATGCGTGCCATCTTGTCCTTCCAGCTAGCAGGCGGTGGCTTGACCAGGTGCAGGAAGATGAAGAGAGCAACAAGAGAGCCTGCCATGCTTGTCAGCTCTGTAATGCTCCGCGTGGGCGTGACTCAACTTACTTCCTCCGATAGGCAAGTTGATGTAGAAGGCCCAACGCCACGTGCTGCGTTCTATCAGGAGTCCACCGAGGAAGGGGCCCAACACGGCACCCACGCCAGACACCATTTGCACGATGCCCATGTACTTTCCCCGCTCACGCAGCGGCACCATGTCTGTGATGATGATGTTGATCATGAGGGCAATGCCACCGCCGCCGAGACCTTGGCTTCACATGTACATATACATCAGTGACGGCTCAACATGGCTTGACGACGGGACTTACACGACACGGCCACCAATGAGCATGGCCTGCGAGTAGGCACCGCCGCAGATGCCACTGCCGAGGGTGAACAGGGCGACAGACACCAACGTCAGCCACCGGCGACCAAACACGTTGCTGGCCTGGGCCATGAGCGGCAGCATGACAACGGTTGCCAGGAAATATGCGTTGGGGACCCAGATGAAGGCATTGCCACCGCCAAGGTCCTGGGTAATGGTCGGCAGCGCGCTGGTGATGATGGTGCCCTCGAGGGAGGAGCACAGCGCAGTGAAAGCCAAGGCGGTGATGATGGCCCAGAAGCGCGCCGAGTGTTTGGGTGGGTTTTCTGTGGCGGACATGGTTGTTGAGGACTGGATGATGTGAAAGAGAGGATATCCATGTCAGTAAATGCCTGCTCTGGTGGATATTTGAATGTGTGTTTCGGTCACATTGTCCCTGATATTCGGCCACTTTCGGACACTTCCGGCCACATCATCATTGGTCACCCCTTGTGATTACCATAGGTACCAATCTTCACGCACCGAATACAGTGGTCTAAGACAGTAACGACGTGTATCGAAGTTTAATCTCATGCCCGTATTAATCATATCTTTGCCTGCTTCGTTATCGACGCATCGTGTAGCTCGACATGTAGCACTGCAACATCATGTATCCGTTCTTCAAGTACTCGCCCTCGCGCCACTACTTCTCTTATAAGTGGTGCAACCTCGAACTACTGCGACTGCTAGGATGCGAACGACTGGAACGAAAAGTTCCTGGCCTTGGCCGATAGAACACAGTCATGTGCCGAGGAGATGCATTGGAAGGGCCACACGTCTGTCGCCAGGAAGACGTATCTTCGCGCAAGTAATTAATTTCGCTGCGCCCAGTACATGTTTCCTCTGATGGAAGAAAAATATCAACACTTCTTTCTGTCGCTATACCACCGCAGCATGGTGTGTCGCTGAGGCCCGACGGTGAGGTTGTCGTGTCCGCCGTCCTCGACTTTCTCAAGGAATACGCAGGCTCCCATCCCGACGCCGACCTCGATCTGGATCTCGACGCCATCACCATCACAGGCCAGTCGCTCGGCGACTACCTGGCCCTGCGTGCTGCGGCGGACCCGTGCATCAAGGCCGGCGTCGCCATTGATCCCATCTACGACTTCTATGACCTTGCCATGTCGTCTATGCCCCCATGGCAAATCTCGCCAATGTCCCCGAGGGTCAAAAGGAGCTCTGGATCCCGAGCGAGTGGTCCGAGGGCGGTGCTCAGGCCAAGTCTGGTGCGTGGCCTTTGTTATAGTAAGTCAACCGATGGGCCTACGCACACCCCCAGCCACGCACAGCCAATTCCCACCAAAAAGGCTAAATTCCACACTTTTTTATTTAATTCTACCTAAATTTTATAAATATAATAAAATATTAATTAAATCCTTCTTTTTATACTTAATATATAATAGAAATATTAGAATTATAAATATTTTTTAATATATTTAAATTATATAAAAAGATTAAAGTTTTTTTAACTTTTCTTTTTATAAATAATAAAAGATTTAATTAGTATATAAAATATTAATTTTTAAATTATTTTATAAGTATAATTCTTAAGTTTTATAATAAAAATATTTTTATATATATATTTATTAAAAAGAAAGAAAGTTTATTAATAATTATTATTTAAAATTAATTATTAAAAATAAAAAAGCTAGAGTTTATTTATTTTAAGCTCTTTACTTATTTAAAATCTTTAATAATTAATTCTATAAAATATTTATTAATAAAATCTTTTAAATAAAATTTATTATTATTTAATTAAATTCTTTTAATTAAAAATATTCTTTAAATATTTTTTAAAAAGTTTTAATTTATCTTTTAAAAATATTTAACTTTTTTATTTAATTCTTTTTTATTTTATTTCTATTAATCTATTAATAAATTAATATATTAAGAATTTAAAAATATTTTTAATATAAATTATTTATAAATTAAAAACTATATTTAAAATATTTCCTTATATAGATTTATATAGAGTTAATAAATAAAGATTTAAAAATATAACGTTTTAGTCTTTTTAGTAGGAAATAGCTATGCGTAGGTGGGGGTGTGTGTGGGCCCATCGGTTGACTTACTGAACCTTTAAATTTCTAGATAATAAGTTAGGCATCGAGCGGATTCGTTAGATAGGGATCTAGATTAATAGAAGTAGGCTACTAATAAATAGGTACCATTAATAGACTTTTTACTGCCTGTACTTTCATACTTATTTAAATAGATTACTTAAGTAGTTTTACTTTTATTTTATATATATTTAAAGATATACTTATATAATAAGAAGTAATAAATAAAAAAATAGTTATATAATATAAAGTAAAGTTATAATATAATTAAAGTATAATAATTAATTTAAAAGTTAAAAAGATAATAAATAAATAGATATACAATTAAATAAAAATATAATATAACTAAAGCCCTTAGCTAAGGCTATAAGTATTATACTTACTCTTTAAGGATGTGGGTGTATATACTTTCCTCTTGGCTTACTCAGGAACAGAATTCGGCCGAAAACATCAATAAGACGCCATGTTTTACCAGCCAGAAGATGTGGACGGAGCCCGGTTCGTAGAGCAGTGAGGTCAACTACACACTGGGGATGCCAGCGGAGAAGTACTTGAAGGAAAAGGCCATTTGAGCGGTGACAAATAGGGGCCTCATCCGAGCTGACTCCCGCGCTGGCCACGGATCTTATGTACAAGCAGCAAGAATTGGTTTATAGCCACTATTCTCGAGAGAACTCGTGCGCTAATTACGTGCCATACTAGCAGCGGGCGAGCGCTTGAGGGGCCTGCAGCCATGATGCCTGTCTGCACGACTCTTGAGCCTTGGACAAATTTCCACGACCGAGACCATTCTTTTGGGTTCTATTCTGGACCTGATTCTTGACTGTAAAGGCCCCATTACGTTTTGAGCAGGAAACAATCTTCTGCCGAGCTGGAAGCTGTCATGGAGCGCATCGCCCTGGCAGAGGAGAGCAGGAAGCTCAAATGGAGAGGATAGACGGGCATGCTGATAGAGGATAATTATGTGCATTTGGCTGGGGGAAGTACATTCCCCGCCAGAATAAATCGTTTGTAGGGCTCTCAGCCCAGGGCTACTCACGCATGTAGAAGAGAATGTAGATCTAGGGTACCTAAAATGTCATTCAATCTTGCGATACGCTTGTCTGTTAACTTATTTAGATTCTTAGCCACAACTGTAGAGATTTTGTGATACAGACTGTTCTGACACAGAATGGTTGATAATACTACCTACCTAGTCATATAGGTAGCTTCATGGTGCCTCAGCGGTTCCCAAAAAAGGACCAAAAGTGCCTTTCCAAGACAATTATACTTCCTCCTTGTGTCCCAGCTACTGACCTTGGCAATGTGCGCAAGCACAAGACTTGGTTAGCCACAAGCGCCGTCTCACCCAAGCGTCGGCTGGGGTTCAGAAGGCGATGCCGTGTCAGGGACTATCTTTCGATTTTTGCTCGCAATCACAAAATGCCCCCAGGAGCCCCCAGAAGTCACGAGGCTGGCGCATGATGCAGTCAAGAGATTGGACGTTGGAGAAGTGTACTAGCGCAAGCACTTGAGGGATACCAGACCCAATATACCAGCGCCACCCTGTCGAGTAGGTTGGACAACTCACTAGGCCGAGCGACGAGGGTGCTGACCCCACCATCATCCCTGAAATGCGAAGAGGCATCGAACAATCGAAGTGCCTGGCCTAGAGGTGGGCGTGCTGGACCCAGGCTTGAGTGCCCAGATCGGTGCTGCAAAGGTGGATTCAGTTGAGAGTGCAGTTGTGCTCGAGGCTCACATGTGCAGGTCAACAACCGAGCCATGCGGGCAAATTTGAAGCCAACTCTGCCCGAATGCACGACTGATAGACTGCATGTTCCCTGGGGCAGCAGCCATCACATGCAAGATGATGCACCAGGGCGATTTGGGCGATTTTAGAAAAAGCAGCAGTGTGAGGCAAAGAATTTACACTGTATGGGGCGGGGCTCAAGGGGGTTTTCAGCACCAGGGCAGCACTCCGTACACAGTGCCAGCAACAGCCTTGGAAGTCAAGTAAGTAGCTTTCTTGGCCAGCAGCTGCAAACGTGCGCGCGTGCTGCGGGGGAGAGACTCTGGGGGGAAGACTCGGGGGGGGGGGGGGGGAGAGAGTGCGACACTGCCCATCGCATTCTATCTGTACCAAGCCTTTTCCAAGACCAACGTTCCTCACACAGACTCTCACCACATGTACTGGCTGTCCATTGACTGCCACGGGACGGCCATATTACGCCAGGGATATCTGGCCCAAGGTCGCATTGTCCTTCCCGGCAAGTTGGGGGCGCCAAGCGGGTGGACAAGGCTGCCCGGTGGTCTTGGGATGGCTTGGATGTGATCATCCCAAGAGGAGAGGAAAAAAAGGGGCCCCCTGCCTGGTGGCATGTTCTCTCAAATTGGGCACTTGATGAGCCGCCAAAGCACGCAAAGCACGCAGAGCACGCAGAGCACGCAGAGCACGCAGAGCAAGCCAGCAAGCACAGGACGCGCATACAAGTACGAGGCATGGCCCCGGCCCAGCCCTGCCCAGCCCAGCCCTTCCGAGCAGCCTACTTAAGTACTCACGCCCGGCTGTTTTTAAAGTTGGTCGTGTATCGACGTCTTTGCAAGCCTGACACACGGAATATTTGCCTGTTTTGCCCTTTTGAGAAGCCTCCGGCCCACTGCCCTCCAACTTCAACCTCCCCTACATCCTTCAAATTTTCGCCCACATCTCCGCGCCCGGCGTCCCGTTCGCTCCCGCCGCTATCTCTCTCTCCTCATCCTCTCCGCATCTCGTCTTTTGGGTGAGGATCATGGGCCTCAAGGCATACGACTCCTCCAGACCCATCCACTGCAGCCCGCCCCCGGCCATGAGCGACAGACTAGGCAATCACACGGGGCCATGCCCCTTTCAGGACATGCTGCCCGTGGAGATCAGGATCCACATCTACGAGTACATCCTCTTTGAGAACGGCAACTTCTTCAGCCTCGACTACGAGGAGGGGAGGTCCATCCCCACCCTCTTCCCCAGGCTGAGGTCCCCCCCGAAGAAGAAATGCCGCCTGCACGATGCCGAGAGGCCACACGCCGCCGGGAGTCAGCATAACGGCGCGGGCAATATTCTGCCGCTGCTGCTGACGAGCCAGAAGATGTTAGTCATATCACGAGCATGCTCACCGTCATCTAATCTGCAGAGTGAACATGGACCACTAATCACCCGCCGCCCCTCGCACAGCTACCACGAGGCCGCCAGCCTGCTGTACTCGTCATCCTTCTTCCGCCTGCGCGGGATCCACCCCACAATCCAGTTCATCAACACCGTATCGCCCGCCCACCTGGAGCTGGTGCGGTCGCTCAAGCTCGTGTGGGACGACCAGGGGTGGACCGACGCCCCCGAGTTCGACACGCCGACACTGCGGTTGGCATGGCCCTCGCTGTGCGACGCGCTGGCCACCCAGTTCCCGTCCCTGCGCAACCTGTACGTGGCGCTGGGCATGCCCAGCAACGAGGAGCGCGTCGAGGAGCTCTACCTGGAGCCGCTGCGGCACGTGCGGCACGTCGACAACTTCAAGGTGTGTATCCCCGTGGGGCTCCTCGAGAGGTTCGAGGGCCTGGACCAGCGGCTGGAGGAGAGGCAGAGGGCCCACGGCGACGACCGGTTCACGCTGTGCAGACACACGGCGGGCGAGGTGTGCCCCAGCCGCAAGGAGGTGGTGCAGGCCGAGTGGCTGGGCTCCAGCAGGCCGGCAACGCCAGGTCTCAAGGTGCAATACCCCAACGTGCCCGGGCTGGAGCCGTGGGCCGACGGCGAGTGGGCGACGGACAAGGACGACGTGCTGGGAGATGCCATGCTGGCGGGCGACGGGCTGGGCGGCTCGCAGTGGTCCCAAGGTGGTCAAGCTTTTGCCCAGACGTCATGATCAGGCGATCAGGCCACTCGACGATCTGGAGTTTGATGCCGCCCTTCTCCTGCGTGTGCATGGGGTAGCACGGTAGCACGGTGACACGGGATGGGACGGGAGGTGGTGCTGCGTCTCCTGTGCTGCCCGTTTTGGGCCGGCCATGCGTGTGTCAACCGGCTGGTGCGAGGGTCGGTCCTGGGCACAGCCGGGCAACGCGGCTCGTGTGTTCTGGCCCCCGTATAATTCACGTCCATAGGACACCTAATGTCGGGTTCAGCCGGGTGACTGTATAAATCTGAAGTCTAATTTGTAACTCGGTAAAGGAGTCGTGTGTTTCGGGTCCTGCGAGTCATCAAAATAGGTCTCGGGCAGATGGGCGACACGGCACGGGTGATGGATGCAACGGTGTCCATCTACGTACCAAGTAAGCTCCAGGCCGTCTACCTAGGTAAGCTCCAGGCCATCTCAGCCGTGGCGGCGGCGGCGCAGGCGGTGCATGGCCTCCTGTGTAGAGGTTAGTGGTTACCTGGATACCTAGGTACTTAAGAAGTAGTCAGGTAATTAGGTAGGTCCTTGAAGTACCCACCTGGGTACCTAGGTAGGTACTTAAGTAGCTATCGTGGTGTGCACACGGCGGGCGGTACTACAGTAAGTACTGGCAGACAGGGTGCTCAGAGCTGGCCGTCAATTAGCCGCCAGCCGCGTAGAGACCAGATCCCTGCCCACCCCCAAAATTTAGCTGTTCCTGTACGCAAAGCTCCTTGCCTGCCCCGGTGCGCGCGCGACACACCAGGCAACTGGCAGAATTGGCGTACAGAAGCTCACAGGACGACGACGTTTTGCTGCAGCATCGCCCTCAAGCAACCAGCAACCTGCCCATCATGAGTGTCAGTCGACCCGCTCTCCACCCAGACCCCCATTTTGCATACACAGACCAGCTAACACCACAGTCGCAGTTCATGCCAGTGAACCCCCGACCCTTTCTCCAGGACCTGTACGTGTTTTCGCGCCTGCCCCCTCCTGCACGCGACGGCCATATTCAACCGGATCGAAAGAGACTGACTGGTCCGTGACAGGGTAAACAAGGAGATCTGGGTGCGTCTCAAGTGGGGAGAGACCGAGTACAAGGGCAGACTGTGAGATCCCACCATCCCTACCACACACATACACGGGTGCTGGCGCCCGCCCCCATCTACATACACGCGTCCGCCGGGGCGGCGTAGAGGAGCCTGGAAAGCTGATTGTCCTTCTTGCACTTGCAGGGTCTCCATCGACAGCTACATGAACATTCAGCTGGCCAACGCGGAGGAGTATATCAAGAACAACTTCTCGGGCTCCCTGGGCCAGGTCCTCATCCGCTGCAACAACGTTCTCTGGATCCGGGCCGTGGGCGAGGGTGAGAACGGAGATGTCAAGATGGACGGCTGATTGGAAACGGCGATGACGGGCGACTGGCATCTGAAGAGAAGGGCAGGGCCGGGCCATACCGGCGCTCGGGAGGCGGCCTGAGGGCAACCCAGTGCGCTGCGGAGCCCCACGGTATCCGATGCCCATTCTTACCGCAGCAGTCGAGTAATGCGGAATAGCCATGGTTACCATGGCGGCGTTTGGGAGAAAGGGAGCTCTGACGGCCACGGGAACGACTACTTCGTGGGCAACAAATTGTGGTTTGATTGCTATGCATACATATGACTAGGTACGGCAAAATCACACAAATATGTCTGTCTAGAAGAATGCCCCCAGCTTAGCCATATTTCCCACTTAGCAGCAGCACCAGCAATACCAGCGGTACCGGCAGCGCCCTGCATGTGGTCTCGCACCGGCAACACCAGCCTCGTGTGTGTGTGCCCTGCCCGCTACTGCATGAGACATGCCACCTTGCGGCTGCTATGCATCTCCGAGGACGCGACTTTGACCCTCGTCTTGGGGCCGATCCAGACATACGCCTCAACGATCCACTCGTACCAGACCTTGGTGTCGTCCGTCTGGCGCCACATGCTGACCTCGATATCTGAGTCCTGGGGAAAGTAGAGGGGTTGCTATTGATTGGGTGTGTCAGCATGCGAACCCGACCAACATCCAGAAGTACATCTTCCAAGGGTGTCTGTCTTGTAGATTGTGCTCACCTTGAGGGGGAAGAAAATGGGGAACCACGAGACCATGTCCTTGCTCTTCCTGTCGATCTGGTCCGGCAGGATGCTCAGCTCCACTAGCTCCCTGCCCTCGCCCGCCTGCGGCCGGTAGAGTGTGCTCTCGAAGTAGCCCGCCAGGCCGTGGCAGACGCCGCGCGGGCGGCAGTAGAAGGTCAGGTGCGTGTGTCGGGCGTTGTGCTCGTTGGTGCCGCCCGAGTTGTTCATGGCACCGCCGCCCGCGGTCCGCAACCTCGGCGCGTGTGACACGGGCCCGTTCTCGGCCTCCCACTTCTCGATGAGCGAGCCCGCGACGGGGTGCACAAACTCCCACGCCTGCTGAAACCGTGGCTTCCCGGGCACCTTTTGCGAGATGAGGTCCATCTGGTACAGCCGCACGACCCAGGGCGTCTCGAAGGCATTAGCATCGGTCGGAGCGATAGCCCGCAGGTGTGCGTGGATCTTGGGTGTCGCGATGGGCGACAGCCACGCCGTGTATGATTCGGGGATCGAGATGCCGTGCGGCCGCGCGATGTGCTTCTGAATCCCGTCGATGCACTCGGGGGACAGCTCGTTGTCGCCAAACGAGCCCAGCAGTTCCGTCACCAGGATGTCCACCTTGGGCGCCGCGCTGCCCGTGTAGCCCTGGGGCCGCGGGCCGGTCCAGTCCCGCATGTCCGTCTTGATCACCGTCACGCGCCCGCCCCATACGGTCTCATTCTGGCGCAGCAGGTACACGTAGGCGTTCTGGTTCTTCTCCACCGCCCACATCTGGATGGGCATCCCACTGCGCTCGCTGGCCCTTAGCGCCCGTGTTACCAGCGGGCCCCGGCCGGCCCCGGCGACGGTCACCACCAGCTCAGCGTTGTCACCCTTGAGGGACGACGTGGGCTTTCCGAGTTTCTTCCACTCGCTCATGGCCTGGAACATGGCCTCTTCGTACAGGTTGTACTTGACGGGGTCGCCCTCGAACATCTCGTACGTTGCCGACTCGAGGTTGTCGGACAGCGGCTGCAGGGGACTTTGCAGCCAGTCCTGGAAGCTCGTCAGAGTATCCGTCTCGAGCGGCCCGAGCGGCTCCTGCTGGCGCTCCAAGTGGCTCATGTACAGGACATGGGAATTCATGCCGGGGAGGCTCTTGGCTAGCGCGTCGCTGTGGGCTGCCTCACCGATGGTAGGAAACTCGACCTGGATGGCCGAGGCCGCCTCGACGGCTCTGTTGAGCTCTGCCTGGGAAGGCCCGACGTCGTAGAGAAGGAACCAAGGCGCGTTCTTCAAGCGCATGTAGCTAAAGATCATTTCCTGGTGGTATCGGGTGAGAGATGGGTTCCCGGTTTTGTTAGGCTGGAAGGTGTTGGGCCCAAGGGTCAGGTAGTGCAGGGGCTCCGCGAACCATCGAGTCTGGAGCTCCCTCTCTGGGAGACGGCGCGGAACCCTCAGGGCTTGGGTAGGCAGGGAGATCAGCAAAAGAACGGCACAGCATTGGTGTGGAACTGGGCTACTCGAGCAGGGTCTTACCAACAAACAGCCTCGTCGAGTACTGGCAGAAGGACCGGATGGTGTGCCACGTATCCCAAGACCCGAATAGATCAACTTCCTCGTCATTGCTTGGACCTGCCTTGGTCACAGCCTTGTGGGCGTGAAGTTCCTCGGATAGCAGCTTGGACTTCTCGTCTAACCCGGGCTCACGGTACATTGGCATGTGGATGATGATATTCACCCTGGTCGCCACCTCGAAGGCCTCCTGCACCGCCCTCGCATACTGAGCGATAGCCCTCCCGTCACCGTCCTGACGTGGCCCCGGGATGACAAGACTGCGCACCCCACAGAAGTTGGCATAGGCCACCTCGAGGTTGAGCGCCTGGCGGGAGATGCTGGCGATGACCGGGTCAGCCGAGCAGAGGTCGATCCAGGGGCTCGAGTAAGCCAGGACGTTGAGGACATATGAGCTGGGGACGAGGCTCGTGTCCTTGTTTGTGAGAGTTGGGACGGTGGGGCCGGGCAGGGACGGGTTGGCCTTGTCGGCAGCGGACAGGCTCGAGGCTTCGAGGCCGCTCACGTGGGACCTGTAGAGCTCCTTGACGCGCTGGTGGAAGTGCTCATTGGTGATCGGCGCGGTGGCGAATCCGAACTGGGTAGAGTGTCAGTGCTACTCGTCTCATGACGTGGATCGTGACAAGAGAGGGAACCTACGCCGGCGTTGAGGACCTGGCTGTACTGGCCGTCAGTGAGAGCCTCAGTCCTGGAGGAGTCATGCTGGCCGATCCAAAAAGTTGGGCGAATGTGGGCAAAAGCCTCCGACTCCGGGTTCAGAGACCCGCTGGAAGGCATTGTCAATGCACTTTCCGCGTGGGTCGCTCGAGGTTGAAGGAAGATGTTGGATTGTGTGGGAGGACAGACAAACTCAAGTTAGAAAATTACTGGGATGGAAGAGTTTGGCACTGTAGAGACAATGAGGGGATGGCGCGTATGGACGTCTCCAGAGAGAGAGGGTCTCGTCAAACTTGTCAGATGGCCAATCCACAACACAACTTGGGACAAGACATGTGTTTCTCGGCAGTGGCACATGGAGCTCGAGTCTACATGGCCCCGTGATATGTGCTTTGTTGTGCACCGTCTCGAGCCCAGTGCTGCAAAGTACAGCAGCGACGGCTATCTACTTTGAGTAATGTTTGTGTGCTGGGCACGCCTTGCAGTGCAAGACCGGGCTCCTTGGGCAGGGACACCATTGCACCAAGCCACTTTCTGTCTGCAGATGATTCGAGAGAATCGTGTCTAAGCGTCTATCTACGGCAATTGTGAGACAACAGCCTGCTCCTGGCAAGATGCGGTCTTGGTGTGAGTTAGTTATTCTTGATGGTGGTACCTTTGGGTACTATACGGAGTACTATCTAAGCAGTCAGCCCACAAGTGCTAGCTGCCGCAGCGGTTGGCCAGTGCCCACTGCTCACTGCTACTGCAGCAACGGCCAAAAAATTATCGGCTCCGACTCGGCAGGCAAGAATGCCGTCGGCTTGCCTGCCGATTGGACGATCTGCATGGTTTCCCAGGAAAATTTACAGGTCGGTTCCTGAACCGCCACCCCAGAACCCTCCCGAGCCTGTTGCCTCGCAAAGACTCTCCTGCATAGGCACTGAGACGGGACCATCAGCACGTCTGTCTCTCGAACCTCTTGCAACAGTTTGCTTGATCAGCATGGCTGACAAGCTCAAGGGCACCAAGAGGCCCAGCGCCGACGCCGACGCCGACACCCCAGGCTCCCCCAAGCGAGCGAGGCAGGCAGGCGCCATGGATGGGTACAACCCCTACCTCGCCCACCAGTACGGTGACCAGAACGGCTCCGCCAGGTCGTCTGCTTGGCCTGCATTCAACGGCATCAAGCGCCACGAGACCAACGAGAAACAGATCTCCCGGCTGGAGGACGCCGACGACAACCCATGGACCGGCGAGCCGCACACCCAGAAGTACTTCAGGATCCTCGAGGGGAGGAGGAACCTGCCTGTCCACAAGCACCGCCAGGAGTTCCTCGACATCTACCACAACACCCAGATCATGGTCTTTGTCGGAGAGACCGGTTCCGGAAAGACCACCCAGATCCCCCAGTACGTCCTCTACGACGAGCTGCCCCAGTTCACAGGCAAGCTCATCGCTTGTACCCAGCCCCGCCGGGTCGCCGCCACCAGCGTTGCCCAGCGTGTCGCCGACGAGCTCGACGTCACCCTTGGCAACGAGGTCGGTTACAGCGTCCGTTTCGACAACTGCACCTCCGACAAGACCATGCTCAAGTACATGACAGACGGTCAGCTGCTGCGAGAGTGTATGCACGACAACGACATGTCCCGCTACTCCTGCATCATCATCGACGAGGCCCACGAGCGCACACTTGCCACCGATATCCTCATGGCCCTGCTGAAGGAGATCTCCCAGCGGCGCAAGGACCTCAAGATCATCATCATGTCTGCCACCCTCGACGCCCAAAAGTTCCAGAAATACTACTTTGACGCGCCGCTGTTGGCCGTCCCCGGAAGGACACACCCAGTGCAGCTCTTTTATACCCCGGAGGCCGAGAGGGACTATATCGAGGCTTCCATCAGGACAGTGCTCCAGATCCACGCCACCGAGGAGGAGGGTGACATCCTGCTGTTCTTGACCGGAGAGGAGGAGATCGAGGACGCTTGCAGGAGGATCCGTCTCGAGGTTGATGAGATGCTGCGCGAATCCGACGTTGGCCAGATGTCAATCTACCCCCTGTATGGTACCCTGCCACCACACCAGCAGCAGCGCATCTTCGATAAGGCACCGGGCCCTATCAAGCCCGGCGGGCGGCCTGGACGGAAATGCATCGTGGCTACAAATATTGCAGAAACGTCCCTCACGATTGATGGTATGTGTATTGACTCTCTTCATTCTGATGCCCTCACGCTGACAACACAATCTACTACCCAGGCATTGTTTACGTGGTCGATCCGGGCTTCAGCAAGCAAAAGATTTACAACCCCCGAATCCGTGTCGAGTCGCTTCTTGTCAGCCCTATCAGCAAGGCATCCGCACAGCAACGAGCTGGTCGTGCCGGTCGTACGCGACCAGGAAAATGCTTTAGGCTGTACACAGAGCCTGCGTTCAAAAAGGAACTCATCGAGCAGACCTACCCCGAGATCCTGCGGTCCAACCTGTCGAACACTATTCTGCAGCTCAAGCGGCTCGGTGTACAAGATCTGGTCCATTTCGACCTTCTTGACCCGCCGGCGCCCGAGACGATGATGCGTGCCCTCGAGGAACTCAATTTCCTGGCATGCCTGGACGACGAGGGCGAGCTCACCCCACTGGGCAGCCTCGCGTCTGAGTTCCCGCTCGACCCACAGCTGGCAGTCATGCTCATTAGCAGTCCCGAGTTCTACGCTAGCAACGAAATCCTGTCGATCGTCTCTCTGCTGTCAGTGCCGTCACCGTGGATTCGGCCCAACACAGCACGGAAACGTGCCGACGAGATGAAGGCCCAATTTGCCCATCCGGACGGTGACCATCTGACGCTGCTGAACCTGTATCACGCCTTCAAGGGCGAGATGAACAAGGGTACAGACATGAAGACGTGGTGCCATGAGCACTTCTGCAGCATACGGCATCTGAGCTCGGCCGATAACGTTCGTGCCCAGCTCAAGCGTATTATGGAGACGCATGGCATCGAGCTGGTTTCCACGGACTTCAACGACAAGAACTACTACAACAACATCCGCCGAGCACTTGTCGCGGGTTTCTTTATGCAGGTGGCTATGAAGGACACGAGCAAGAGTTACACCACGATCAAGGACAACCAGCCTGTCCTGATCCACCCGTCCAGCGTGATAAAAGCCGACTACGAGTGGGTCATTTACCACGAGTTTGTCCTAACCAGCAAGGTAAATACCCTTTCCTCGGCCCTCCATATCATTCTCTCTTTTCTGCTTTCCCCCATTACTCAGAAACATTTGAATACAATATGCTGACCCGGTCTTCCTAGCAATACATTCGTACCGTAACTGGTGTCCGTCCCGAGTGGCTTCTGGAGATTGCGCCCGTCTACTACGACTTAGACACGTTCGAGAAGGGCGAGGTCAAGACGGCACTGCAACGCGTGACGGAGAGGATCCGCCGGAAACAGGCTATGAAGGGAGGGAGGGCCTAGAAGACCTATTCCTTTCCCCAGTCCGGCTAGGCAGCGCCACTTTCACAGACAATAAGTGTGAAGCCGGCAATGGTAATCACTGAATTCGCAAGCTCGATGTTTCACCATGATAGAGTCAAGCATGTCGTTTCCCACTTCACGGTGGAAAGGTTCGGAAGGGGGCAAAGACGGATACACCCACTGGCTCAAGGTGTATGGCTCCGGTCCTGATTTTGCTCTTATTGTTTGGTTGTCTTTTTTTTTTTTCAATGGGCTCTCAAGGAAGGCCACAGACTGGGCCGGCGTTCGAGTTTTCTCGAGTCTTGGATCAGGGAGCACATGATCCTAACATTAGAACAGACAGACAGGCACATACCTAGGTAGGCGGGGCGAGGTGGCGGACGAATAGAGCATCTATCCGCGGCCATCCTAAATGTTCTCACTTCCACCGACATTGTGGCACCACCAATTGCTTGAGCACTGTGGCCTCGTGCTAAAACTGCGCCGCCGCCGCCCTGTTTCGTTAATAATCCCCTCGGCCGCAAGCCCAGCGAGACCGCCCGCCCTCGCGTGAGAGAACCCGCACCTGCTTCAAGAAGAGGGGGATGGAGCTGTTGTGCCACGGGGCTCCGGCGCCGTGCTACGATGGCCACTGCCACGTAGGAAGAACAAAGGAAAGAGAGGGCCAGGCCGCCAGCCGATCGACACGGACCCTTCGAGATCAGGGGCAAGGAGGGGAGGCGGGACGGGCTGGTGCTATGTAACCATAGGGCCAAGACAGGACGAAGGCACGCGCGGGATAAGCCGAGCATCTGGCGATGGGCTCATCTTCCCAGTGTGCAACTCGAGGCGGGAGACGGGTGAAGTGAAGTTGCATGAGCCCAGGCGCGAGAGGGCGGGGTGAGTGTTTGCCTGACTAACTCAACGCGCCACCCAAGGCAACCCGAGCAACCCCTCGTCGGTAGACTTATATCTGACTGACTGCACTCACTGCCTTGGCGAACAAGAAAGAGCACCTGTCTCAAAAGACGGACGTGACCAACCCGACAACAAACCGGGGGTCGCAGGACCAGAGAGAGTCGCGATCTTGCAGATGGCGTTGTTGATGCTCATCAATCCCCAGGCAAGGATGTGGTGGGCAAGTCTGTGGCTGATGAGCATCTTTACGGGTTCCCCGACTGACTGCCTGCTGTCGTTTCCCCCCTCTTTACCCACTTGGATACCCTCCTTCTCCATGCTCTCGTGGCACACGAGCACGACAGGGGATTGGTGGCAGCTCGTCGGCAGCCGAAGGAACACAGTGATGGAACTAGGTCGTGGTGGTTATCACTGGGTTCTGCGGGAGAATGGAGGCGAGATCTCACATGCATTATCGATTCCTCGTAACACACCACTCTATAAATGCGCACACATTTTACACAGTGCACGCCTTTGCCTTGGGAAAAAAAAAAAAACCGCCTCCCATGCCCACCCGCATCACGCACGCACGCGTTCGCACAGGGCTAGGGGCTACCGCAATCATACCCATTGGCACCTTGATACGGACACAATTTGATAAGTGTGATATCGCATGCGTTCAGGAGGGAGCATTCAGCCCGCGGACAACATCACACTTAAATGACGGTCCCCACGCGCGGCCTCTCTTTGCATATACATATGCCCGTGGTGATCTGCCCATCTTCCCGCTCACGCTCCAAAACAAGGGTGTGATTCAAGGGTATAAGCCGAGCCGGGGTGGTGTGAAGCCTTGTGAGCGACCGGGGGGGGGGGCGACGGGAAACGTGGGGCTCTGCATGTGCCTGTCTTTCTGCTTGTTCTGCCCCTTTCGATTTTCCTCCTCGCCGTGCTTCCGCACATGCCAAGCCGCAACAACGACGAGAGGCGTGCGCTAGCTGCGCGGGTGCAATTGTCCTATAGTTGCTGCTAGACGCACGATGGCGTTCGGCCTGATCTCGCAGCAGTGAGAATTGGCCAAGAAAGTTTGGCACAATGCGCGAGAACGTTACGAAATGTAGCCGTGCATTCGCTCGAGCAGGCTGCGTATTGCTGGTAGCCGCTGCGACGATATCGACCGCAAATGTAAAGACCATCCTGGGTACTTAGGGTACTTGGTGCTCAGCCGGTCTGCGATACAGGTTACTCGATTGGTTCTGCCTTTGTTTCAGGGTCGGACTGCCTGGAACCACATCGGACTCTTGTGTCCTCACCTGGCTTCCCTTCTTTTTCGTGCCCATCACACCGTACACAGTGGCCCTTCGACTCACTTCTCTGGCGACAGGGTGAGTCTGTCAGAAGGTGCTGGGACTGTCACACGCTGAACGTGCTACTCAGCCGCCGACTCGGCTTACATGTTACCCTGGACCTGAATGTTATGGATGCCTCGCACGCATATTTGCTTTTCCCAGCAGTTCATGCCAACTTCTGGGTGTTCTTTTTTTTTTTTTTTTTTTTTTTTTTAAAAAAAAAAAAAAAAGTTTTAAGGCCGTTTGCTCGGAATAAGCCTAAAATAAAAGGCCACAATGGCATTATTCCATCGCCTCGTCCAGCGGAGGGCTCCGGTCGCCATGGCTGGCACATGATGACCGGGAAGAATAAGTGAGAAGCCTCGGCGAGATCTCTTTGAATAGCATACTGCGGGACGGAAGCAAACTGTGCCCTTTGAAGTGGAAGTAACGCTGTTGTTTCTTCCCATCTTGCGCCGGTCATGAAGCCGCCGATGGCGCGATGCTGTGCTCTCGCCGCTGCAGGCGAGGTGATGCGGGACAATGATGGCAGGACATGGCGAAATCGTGGTTCCACAATTCCCGACCCGGTGAAATTGATCATGAACGCCATGCTACGTAACGCGTTGTGGGTGATAGATCAATTCCTCGCGGGATGGTAGTCGTTGCCGGTGGAGCAGCATTCTCGAGGACTCGTGTGCGGCCCTGGAGTACAACAAGCTGTGAGACTGATTACCTTGCGTGTCTTGCTGTATCTACTATTACCGATTACCAAAGTCGGTTAGTCCCAAGACATGCATGCGTATTCTGGAACAAGTGAATCGATAACATGTTTCCCCTGTGATGCCGCCGCCCGCTGTCAACCGGGCATCCACTACGAGCTGGCCAATATACCCGATGCTCTGGTTCGGGTTGCGCCAACTTGTGTGTGGTCGCCAACCCCACAGCATAACACGGGTCGTCAGCCAAGGGGATTTATTTCTCAGTTCTGAGAGAAAGTCTCGGAATCCTCGGCAAGGTTAGCCGACGAAATGCTTATGGTTGCTTGCACATGCAAGCGGCCGCACATTCGAATGGCGGAGGACAAGATCCTCTGAGGGATTGGAGCAACAGGAATGATTCCGAAAATGAAGTAGCTCGCTGACCTCAAAAAAGGCATTGCCATTGCAAGCATGTGACACTGCCAGTCACCGTTGGCAAATAAACCCATGAACAGGTCGCTTGGCGGCCTTCGTCCTGCAGAACCGCGCGGGCTACTTGAATCCGGCCCTGGCGATTCATTTATCATGGCAGTTGCGAAGGCGTTCGGATGCTGCTGAAAGTGGGTGGTTGGCAGGTTGGTTCGCTACCAAGGCCCCAGCACCTCGTGGTGCACGACAGGGTCGACCTCAATCCAGTGCCCAGGCTGGACTTTTGATATTGATATATGATGCATACGTAAGTACTTTCTCGGCTAGCACTGGGAAAGGGGATGGGATTTGACAACCGGGAACTGCCGAACCCATGTGACTGACGGTCAAACAGAACCAGGAGAGGCATCGCGATGCCGATGCTTTGAGTGGTTCAGCATGTGTGTCTTTTTTCATGCCGGCTGCAAGCCCTTGCTTCCGTTCCATCAAAAGTCAATCCGGAAACGGATGAGGACCAGCTGGCGGTAGCAGGCAGAGAGGCGGCACAAAGAGGCCGTGTTAATTTGTTGGGGCATGAGAAGAGCCAGAGGCACGAACAAGTGACACTATCTGGTGCATGATGCAGTCTGCAAAGGCCTGGCAAGGCTGGCTTGTGCCATGATGTACCGTGGATCGCCCAAGTCGTGCGTGCTGGAGATTGGCGCGCGGCGGAGTGGCATGGAGGGGGGCAAGGAGGGAAATCTTGCATAGGGTGGCAAAGGCGGATGACATGCATCGGTGCTGTCAGTCCTGTGTGCCGGAGGTCAAGCCTGTCAAGCTTGTCGTGAGGCCGAGTCCATCACCGGCGCACGACGGCTGCAGGTCTGGAGCGACGTGCGAATGGGAAGAGATCCGCCCGGGGCCGTCAGGCGAAGGTGTGGTGGTGGTGGTGGGTCTGGCTGGCAGTCTGGCTGGCAGTCTGGATGGGCGCGGCAGAGGATGGGTAGATGTGGCACCATGCACGACATGAGCATCAATTTCCCCACAGTCAAGAGTCGAGTCGAGCAACAAGAACAGGCTGGCATGGTGGAAAGATGGCCTGGTTCACAGCATGCGGTTGTGACAGATCACCAAGTCGCGTGTCGTCGGACCAGGCGCGTCAGCGTTGCAGCGGACAACCCTGTGGGAGCGACGGCAACAGGAGCTTGGGGCCTGGGGCCTGGGGCAGGAAAACAGGAACAGGAACAGCAACAGGGACAGCAACAGGGACAGCAGGCGGCCGGGCAGGAACACCCTTGGAGAGACGGGCAGGGCGCTAGCAACCCGGCCGCTACATATCCGGTGCTGTCGTGCGCCCTCAGGCCAACGTCCCCCGTACCGCCCGCCCACAGCTTGTCCTGCTTGTCAGGCTTGTCACTAAAATGCTACCAGCTCCGGAATGTGGGTTGTGATATGTTGGGCACTAGACTACAGCACAGTACTCCGTACTCCGTACTCGGTGCAGACCAGTAGCCGGTGTCATCGGCCGGTAGGGGTCCGCCGCACGGCCTGGTGGCCCCACCTGGTAATTGCCATATGCGTCGTGTCTACCCTCTACACTACTATGACCTGCCGTATCGTACCATACGGTGGATTCCACGCCCTGCCGTACCGTATTTCACCTCACCTACCTAGGTAGGTAGGTACCTAGGTACATAGCAGATGCTGGTCGCAGTACTTCACTCCCAGCATACATGGTGGGGACTGACTCGTCACGTCGATCGCCCTTGTTGAGCCTCACGCCCGTGTCCTCGATTGGGGGCTAGCCAGCTGGCCTTGGGGTAGCACCGAGTACGTCTCGCAGCAGTGGATCTGGGCTTGTCCATCGACATATACGATGATACGAGAGCTATTCGCCGCTCTACGCATTCAAAAACCTCTGGTCCAAACGCTTATCTCGTCACTTTTCACATTTGCCCTCGCTCTTTCTCTTCTTCTCTTCGGTCCTGTTCCTCTGGCTCTCCCTCTCTGGTTCTCTGGCTCTCTCTGTCCTCCCCCCGCTCGCCTGGCTCCTTGCCCCCTCCCCCCGGCCGGCCCTCCAAGTGGGCAGGTCCCACCATAGTTCTGCATCTCCCTGTGCCGTGCCGAGCGAGGCCCATTTTGCCCATTCCCGATCTTTGCCTCCCCAACAACAACAACCACCACCGCGGCCACGTTCGAGATGTCGTGGTGGTGAGATCCATAACAAGATCCTGGGCCTTGTATGGGGCCCACTTGTTGGTCCATCTGCTGCCGCGCTGCAAGACTGACTGGCTGCAGTAAGAACCGGGGCATGCCAGTGGCAGCGGCAGCGGCAGCAGCAGCGGCAGCGGCAACGGGCGAGGCATGTTGGCCTTTTGACGTGCAGCTGAGGCCATTCACATGCAGCAGCCGGGCCCCCTTTGCCCACCCCCCCCCTCTCCCCCCAATTTTAGTCATGGCCCCGGATATCATGGGGACGGGCTGGCGCGTCGGCATGTCGAGGGCCACATCTGCCCGCGCTGCCCTGCCCGCCCTGCCTGCGTGTACGCGGCAGAGTGCATACACATATTGCAAGGCCTCTCTGCGTCCCCACTGCATCCGCAGCGTGACAGCTACAGTGGGGAGGGCCCATGTCAGAAGCCAAGCCCTTGCCCTCCTGGCCCTTGCCCTCGCCCCTGGCCTGCTCCAAGCCTCCAACAGCGGAGGAGGAGCCCATATTCAAGTGACGTGAACCCACAACGGCAGAATGCGACGACGCCTTTTGATCGGCGGCGGGACGCCTTGTTGATGTTTTGGCCTTCTCTGCCCCATGTCTGCTCCATGTCTGCCCCATCAGCGCCGGTGTCAGTGTCCACCACACAAACCCTGCTTGCCCAGCCACGCCTGCCACGCTGCCACGGTACGGTACGGAGCGGTACGGTGCGGTACGGAGTAGCACTGCTCATCACCATCCTTCCATCCATCCAACCCTGGGGGCCCCCCCTCGCTGGGACCCCTGACAGGAGAACAACCCACCCTCTCGAGCTTGACAGGTGTGGACCCCCGGCCTTCCGCCCTTCACACCCTTGTCCCTTGTACACCTTAAATGTCCTCCTTCGGGAGCCACATATAAAGTCTCATGTTCTTCTCGGATGTTTTTGGCTGGTGCTGCCCTCTGCCTACCAGTGTCCGTTCAGGCGAAAACCATCGTGAATCTCTGAGCATCTTGTCTTCCCATTTCCAGAGCTGCACCGTCACCCCTTCCAAAGCCCTGGGCATCTGTCCCCTCTCTGTACCACCACCACTGCTTCTTGCGTTGCCTCCTCAAGCGCCCGCCGGCCGACCTGTTGTCTTCCTCCCCTAGCTCTTCACACGCCCACTAGCGCCATCATGAGTGGAAGCGGTGGATTCTACAAGTACAGGTGCAAGTACTTCTACACGCACAACTGCACAAACTGGGTATATGTCAACAACTCACCATGTGCCAACTGTCTCGTAAGTTAACCCCAGCTCCATGTTCCTCAACACAAACACATCATCTGCCCAGACGTCGAGCCCAGCGCCTAACTAACATTTCCCTTTCCAGGCCGAGGGCAGGGATTCCATCGAGACCCCACCACAACAACAATTCAGGGACATCTTGGTTCCTTATTATGACGACAATGGCATGCGGCAAGAGTGCCTTATGGAATTCATCGCCACGGACCCCTTGGGTCTCTACTGGAGCCTCCGCTATAAGGCCCCGGTGCAAGTTGGTCCGACCGTTACCAGCGATACGCCAAGACCGGTCTACCCATCGGCTTAGCGCACGGCCCGAGGTCGCTGTCTCCGGCAGCATCTACTGCTTGTGCCTTATGCTGTTCTGTAACGACGGCACGGCCGTAGGAGCGACAGTGGTGTCTTCACTTCACAGCAAGCCGACCTGGCAACGGCTCCGTTCCGGTGCCGTCACCCGCCCCGGTTTGTCCCGTGTGCCTCATGCCTCCTACACACACAAAGCATTCTTCGCGCGCCCGGCCCGTTTTTGAACGGCAGCGGTCAAGAATAACGACAATCGGCAAGGACTGGGGGGATGGGACGGTGGCCGCTGGCCAACATTTCCAGTGAAGCTCGCGTTCATCGGGGCGACTATTCCCCATTGTGCGGGAGCCTTGGAACGGCAACGTCCTCTGCGATGACCTCGGCAGGGTCGAGTGTTGACACATTTGCAAGACCAAGTGGTCTTGCTCACGTGGAAGCATTATAATTTCAGGCGGGGGTTTTCTCGTGTGTCTGTTCACGGGAGGCGGGATGGGAAAAGTTTACACGGGGCTGGTCTATCTCTTTTTTTTTTGGGAGGGGGGTTCTGCGTGGTTATCATGGGACAATTTTCCTTATTTCTTTATCGAAATACGTGCCCACTCCGACATCCCCATCCACCTGGACTCTTTTGTACGGGGCTCGGTTTGGCTGGTCATGGGCAGGATGGATGGAGACCTTTTGTGATGGAGCCACGCTAGGGAGGGACTAGCCATATGAGGAAGTAAGAAGCTGCTTGAGGCTGCGGCATATGCCGACGGAAGGTCCCGAGATTGTCTTTGTGTGGTAAAGCAAGGCGCAGGAGGCAAAAAGTCCGAGTTTTGTTACATTGTGTCTTCCCAGAATTTGCGTGTTGAAAACTCAATGCCCCTGGGGTGTCAAAGACAGGCGGCAGGTATATCGTGAATTGACATCCAGCAGGGCACGGTGTGGCCAGCTCTTGAAATCAGCCAGAGATAATTCTGGCACATTGCTGTGACGAGACTCGCCATCTAATGATGGGCCACCGGATGGACCCTCGCACCGGGGCCAACAGAGTGTGACGAGGAACAAGCACCAGGCCGTTGTTGGCATTTCCAGCCCTCCCGGAGGAGAGAATATGTGACGTGCGAACACCGCACGCAGAGTCCCCCCCCCCATGTGCCGACATCGGGAAGCGTCAGGCCAGGACGCGGGCCATGTCCACGCCTAGATAATCTCGGGGAATCGGCCCCCAGCATCCTGACGGTTCGACCGTTGTACCTGCTCGGGCCAGCCACTCCTCCCGCGGATCTATCTTGGGTCGCGAGCCGGGACCGTTGAGGATTAAAAACCCCTCCAACCATGCCGCCCAAAGACTTGGCGCACAAGGAGCAGGGGCCGGGTCTGGCATGTCATGGACTGGGGTCCGCGGCCGAGCTTGTTCTTTTCCCTGTTTGGGGGAGGGCGGGTTGCATTCCAGGAACAGGTGGAGACTGGATAATGATATGGCATACGGGGTCTGTACCTGTGCCTGTGTGGGTATGTAGGTATCTGCACATTACTGTGTACCTAGGTGACAAGTGTGCAGTGTGCAGTGTGCAGTGTGCACATGTACGGGCTGGCTGTACATCAATGATGTTACACACAACAAGCAACAAGTCAGTCCAAAGACGGTATACCGACAGGCACGACGGATAGCTTCCGCCGACCTGCGGGATGCATCGTCCGGGCCAGGCAAGCCTCCACAGCAACCCCCCAAGGTAAACCCAAATCCAATCCGACATACTTCAAATAGTTCAGGAGGCCCGGCCGGCTGTGCTCCGACGGGCCCACGCAATGCATCTCGAAAGCGAAGAGAAGACAGGCCGGAGGGACAGGGCCAAAATTGTGATCTGGCGGGCCTAGATTGTGTCCTATGTCGCTCGCTGGTTGCAACCTGCCTGGCCTGGTAAGGCAGCATGAGGGACCGACCCGTGCAGGCCGTGGCGGCCACGTTTCGCCTGTTACGGCCCTGGCTGCAACATCGGCTACGTGGAGGCTGGGGAGCACGGTGAAGAAGCAATCCTAATAAGCGTTGAGGGCTCGGGCGCCGGCAGCAAGCCGCAGACCAAACACCGGTGTGAAGATGCTTGACATGTTCCCCCCCGCGCCATGCCACGGTCGTACAGAGATCCCAGAGGTATTATCCCCCCGGGGTCCCAAGCAACCAACCCGAGCTTGTTCACCAAGACACTCGGTAGCGAGCCGGGACGGGGGGGATGATGCTGTTTCCGCCCGACTCGTCCGCAAATTGGGAGGCTTCCCGGGTGTGAAACGCCCCACGACCCGAAACATTCAAGATAGAGTGCATGGCTGAGTAGGACCGTGGGTACCCAGGGCTGCCAGGCCGATAGTTGTTGACTGCAGCGCGGGTAAGCACATGCTATATGCGCGTCTGCAATCTTGCTCGGGGGTTTTTGCTTCATCTACCGGTGACGTCCGCCAACAAAGCAAGCCCGACATGGCGGTGAGGAGAGCTTCGCCGTAGCAGGCGAGATCGATATCATTGTCATTGTTATTTGAGTTTATGCCAAACTTGGTTTCCCTCTTGGACACCTTGATGAGCAGGCCGAAACAGCGAGACAACACGAGGTCCAAACCGCACCAGTTGACCATGAGGAGCCTCGCGCGCGGCAAGATGGCACAGCGATGCTTTCCAATGCGGTGGGGACCCTTGTGACGGCGGCAAGTGGGCCAGCCAGGGCTGCGAGATGATGCTCTTGTCCCTGGAAAACTGCCGCTCGGCTCGTAACACAACATGCGCCCTCGACCGGGGTGACAGGAAGGGGAGAGCCCAAAAGGAGCGGGGGGGGGGGGGGGTAGGAGATGGGCCAAGGGGAAAAGGAAAGAATAATATAGGGGGAAAAGAAAAGAAAAGAAGAAAAAGAACAGGGCACATATACAGTACAACGGGCGACGCATATGCTCCAGCCTGCACTGCAGCGTTGGGGCCCGGATAGGCTGCGCTGCAATGACAACTGTCCTCGCTCGGCTGGGGCTCCGGGGCCCTCATCCATCGTCCTCCCTCGTCCGGCCTGCGAGCGAGCTGCGTCATGCGAGCTTGAATTGAGTTTACCGGGGCCCCGGGGGTCAAACACACGCAAACCATATGCAGGCATGGCTTGTCTGTGCAACACGCTACAGGCCAGAACCATGCAGAGATACATGGCGCTTCTCGGAGGGCCTGGCCGAGCCACCAGACAGCCAGAATGCAGGTGAGAGAGGTGAAGTTCCCTTCACCTGAAAATTCCATGCGCGCACGGACGCAAGGGTACCCTTCCTGCCTGTGTGTGGAGTAGTATTTTTCTTGTTTCTCTCCCTCTCCCTCTCCCACACCCTTTCCCTTGGCCCTCTCCCTCCGCGCTGGTCTGGTTGGGATCAGCCAGCCATCCCGAAGGTGACTTGGGTGATTATGCCGTGCAGGCGGCCGCGCAGGTGGCTGCTGTCACATGAGCAACAGGCCGGCAATTGTTGAGCTCCGATACAACGGCAGTCCGCCCTCGGCCCTCCGCCGTGTGCGGTGCCACACATGATTGAGACGGAGCCGCGCTGGCGACAATCAGCCGACGAGAAGAAGCAAAGATGACAACCGCGGGACCCCACCCACACAAATGTCAGATGCAGCCAGGGCACCAGGGCAGCAGGGCCCCGGGGTCGCGGTCCCACATCGCCCGTCACGCGGTCCGACAACACGCCACGCTGGAAACAGCCGTGCAGCCGTGACAGCTGGCCAACTGGCTCATCGTCCCCTTCACGAAAGGGGTGCCAAGTCCGAGCAGGGTTGGACTCGGCCCCGACGCGCCCTGGCCAGCCCCCGGCGCCTCGCTCACACAGAACACCGTACACTGCAGCACTCCGTACAACGGCTTTTCCACGCCGGCCGTATTCGGCTTATGTCGTGCGTCCGCGGTTGACCGCATCAGGCAGCTCCCGCCGGCCGGCCGATGACATACATGCACAACCACACTTGCAGCCGTTGAGCTCTCGCGCACGGTTGTGGGGTGGTCGCCACCAAAAGCCCCTGGCTGTGGCCCACCTCTCTGTCAGACTTGCATAGAGATGCTGTAAGGCTTAGACCAGTGACAGCCAGCTCCAATTCCCCCCGAACTGAGAACGGCATTTCAGGCCAAGACTGGCCGGGGTGCGCATCTCAGATCTCCTCTGGTGTGGTCGATAAATTGCGAGTGGCTGAGTTGGTTGCTTGCCGGCGGGTCGCACATCTGCAAGCTGTCATCAAGCTGTCGTTGTCTCAGGGACGCCTGCCGAGAAGAGTCAGGTCGGCCAGCAGGCTCGGAAAGGGGGGGGGGGGGCGAATTGAGGAATTGATCACTGCGCGCAGTTTATGCAAGCACCGATGACTTCAACCGCACTACCAAAGGTGATGGCGGCCACCGGAAGTGGATGAGATTCAACTCGGCCGACTTTATCCCCATTTCACAGCAACCCATATACATATATATCAAAAGGCACACGCGCCCGTCTCCAACCAAAAAAACGCCATGCCCAAAAAACCGTTTCCTTTCTTCCTACCTCTTCAGTCATCATGCCGTGTGAAAATAACATCACGCCCAATTCTTTAAGCTGACATCGCTGCCACCAAGAGCGTGAGGCCGACACCCCAACTCACACTCCTCCACCAACTCGGCGGGGCCAGTGCACCCGCCGCACTGCCCAGGCCGTAGGGGCCCTGCAGCTGGAAGGTGACGTTCTGGACCACGCTCGCGTTGTAGCAGTTCCCGTTGACGATGTCCAGGTTGGTCAGGTCGTCCGGCACGTTGAAGAACATGTACTGGCTCTGGTTCAGGCCGTTGAATCCCTTGGTGTTGTATGGGAACAGGTCGCTGTCATCCGTAGAGCTCGTGTTGCGGAGGAAGATGCACTGGACCTGGCCGGGGTAGGTGGACACCAGCTCAGGATAGTCGGACATGACATCCGAGTTGGACGTGTCGCCCACCAGGATGAACTTGCGCTGCGGGAAGGTCTGGAAGATCTTGTCGAGGAGGAACTTGCGGATCGATAGCGTCGCTGACACATCGCTGAAGTTAAGCGGGCGGGTGTCGAAGGAGCCCAGCGGGTAGGTCTTGTAGATAAAGTCCATATAATTCTTGGTCACCTGCTCTGGGGTTGTGGTGAGGTAGTGGAAGTGCAGGTTCTGGATGGACTTTGACCAGTTGGCATAGATCTCAGGCATGTTCTCCCAGGGTGTGAATGGGCGGGCGAACGAGTTGAGAAGACCCTCCTTCGGGTCGTAGATCTTGGTGACACGGAGGATGTCGTCAATGTCCTAATATGTGTCTGTCAGCATGTGCGAACTGGTATATTTGCTGCCGGGATACGAGCATACCGAAATAATGGTGATGCCGGTCGGTGGGACGAGGTAGGCTGTCGCGTTGCCCGTGGTCTCGGCCCCACGGACCCAGAGATCGAGCACCTGCAGCCGATCCGTCTCGTTGCCGGGCACCAGGTGGCCGCCGTTGGGCCCGGTGGTGTTCTGAAGGATTACAAAGCTGTCAAAGTCACCCTGCTCCGTGGTGTTGAAGGGCATGGTGATGTTCTGCGCCCCACCAGCTGCGTTGATGGCACCACTGTCGGTGTTGGGGTCAACAGACGCGTCATTGACAATGTCGATGATGACCTGCTCGTCGTCCTGCTGGACGATGAAGATCTCGCTGGTGAGGTTCCGGGCCTGGTTCTGCTGGTCCTCGGGGAGGTCCTCGATGTCGACGTCGATGAGGAAAACATTGGCCAGGTCGTTGAGCTTCTCGCGCGAGATGTTGGGCTGCTTGAAGATGTTTCCGTGGATCCTCATGTTCCAGCCCTGGTCGGTCCAGTTGGCGTACGGCGGCACATTGAGGGCTTGTGTCGGTGAGGCATCGAGGTCGCCCGAGGAGATGCCCAGGCTGGACTCGACAGCTGTGCCTGTTGGCAGGTCATTGAAGAACTGGGGCACGCCCGAGGCCACAAAGCTGGAGACGCCTGAGCCGAGGGACGAGAAGACCGAGTTCAGGTAGCCACCAAAGTCGATGTCACGCCCCTGGAGGCGCTCAAGGGCTCGGCGGTCGAGAGATGGCGGAGGGGTGATCATGGGGTGGGCTGCTGCCACGGGATTCGGGGCTGCTGCTGCCAATTGCGCGCACGCGAGCATGGCCCCGAGGAGGGAAGCCCTAGAGAGCGCCATGTTGATGCCGAGGCGGAAGCTATGGCTGAAAGAAGAGAAGGCAGAGGAGAGGAATGTGCTGACGGTCGGCACGACGATCACGAAGCCGGATCACCGCAGGGCAGGATCATTGATGGGGGAGTCGAGAGGATGTGCCGTCCAGGCTGAAATGCAGTGTTGGCTGTGGGTCCCGTCTCCCTTTTTCTCTGGGGCTGGGCCCGGCTTTGCACAGCGCAGCCAGGTTAAACTAGAGCGGGCGACGGCTAGGCTGCTAGGCTGGTGTTGTCATGGTGGTGTTGTGTTTCAAGCTTGGTTGAAGCTTAACTCCCCTGCGGACGGCATGACGTCAACTGCCCCTTCTGGATCTCGGCAAGCCCAATCCCGTCTCCTCATTCGTCGGCGCCATCTCTAGCGGCACCTCCCCCAGCGGCCAAACCAAGGAAGCACGGTAGCGTCGCATCCAAGGGCTGGACCAAGGATTCGAGGCTGAATTCCCTCGTTCGTCTGCTTATTACCTAGGTAGCCAATTACAGTAGCCTCCACTAGGGCCGTCGCAGTGTGTTTTGCATCTTGTGTGTGTGGTCGTTGTCTGTATTGTATTGTATTATATTGTCTTGTGTATACCACGTAACTACTCAAGTACATAACTGTGTCCCTTCTGCGAGCTCGTCTATCCATTTACTCTTGTGCGCTTCCTATTTTATGGCGCCTCTAAACACCACCCTGGCCCGGCAAGGCCCTCGCCCGTGACGGGCGGATCGAATCGTTGTAGTATCTAGGCCAGCCATACCCCGGATCCTCGGCGGAGGCCTCCTCTATCGGGGCGGCGTAACCCAGGAAAGACCTCGGGTGAGGTGCGTGTGTCAGAAACAGCACAATCACAAATGTCAAGGTCATCATAGGCAGCGGCCACGGCGTGTCGAAGAAGCTGTGCAGGCTCGACGTGTTGGTGGACAGCAGGGTGACAAACATGAGCGCCAGCCCGAGCACGCCAATAAATACAGACCGGAGTATGTTGAACGGCGTCCACCCCTCCCTCTTGGAGGCTGCGTGGAGGAGCACCAGGAGGATCACCAGCGTACCGGCCGCTAGGAATGCATAGACAAAGACGAGGTTGAACATGCGCGTCGTCACCTCGAACGCCTCTTTCTGAGCCCCCAAGGCATCTGTTATCCCGCTTGGCTCCCTTTCGAGGGGCTCAAGCTCGAAATTGCTGAAGATTGTGTCTATGGTGGCTGAGAAGAGCTCCACTAGGTCATCCTCGAACTCGCGGAGTGACTCTCTCAGTGCTTCGCTGGGTGAGAACGACGCATTCACGCCGCCACCCTTGTTTGAAAGCTCGTTCCAGAGCTCTTGGGGCAGGACCGACACATTCCGCAGCGTTTCCGCGATGCCATCAGTCGCCAAGGCTCCATCCTCCTGCGCCGGGTATGTCTCATAGAATCTCGTGACAGTCTCATTCAGCTTAGATGCGACCTGCTGACTCGTTGGGACCTCCGGCAGGACTGAGATTATGTTGAAAATGTCGGCCGCAGACTGCCTGATCAGCTCCAGTAACCTCCACCAGATGATAAACTGATTCATGGCTTCCATCACCAGGAGCAGGGCGAAATGAAAGGGCAGATGGAGTAGAGCCCAGGCAGTCTGGGGCCACGAGGTCATCCTGTTGGGATGCATCCAGTCGAAGTAGATCTGGAAAATCAGGTACACCATGGCGATGCCGGACATGAAAATGAACAACATCTGAGGGCCTGGACAGATTGGAGGCGTCGCGGTCAGCACGATGATTGTTCTACCCGTGGGAGGATGACTTACTCCATGACATCCAGCTGTTCTGGGAGTTACGCTCGATACTCGTCAGGTCGCGGGCCAGATTGATGACACCCTCTCCCAGCACGACGAGCGTAAGCTGGCTAAGCCTCTCGGGCAGGTGACTGCCCTCAAAGCTGACCACACGAGACATCATGGCGACAATGAGATTCGCCACAATCTCAAGCGTGGACACTACCATCCAGGCAACGTAAGCCGGACTGTTCTCGTTGACAAAGAAGGCCGCCGACACTAAAGCGTACAGGCTGGCGGCAAGGATGTGCGTGGCGAGGACCACGACGAGTCCAGTGCGTCCCTGTAAGAAATACCTAGTCTGCCAGAGCACAATCCCGTATTGGCCCGCCAGAACCAGCCTGGAAAACGAGAGGACGAGGGAAAGTGAGGCAAAGACACCGCGAGTCTGCTCGGAGGGGTTGAAAAAGGGTGCGGCCTGTACAAAGACAAGGAGGACACCGAGCTGGACCGCCCTGGTGAGCCGCTCGACGACACTGTCCTCGAGGAAGCGGACGTCGTAAATCACAACCAGGAACCATGTTGTCCACAGCAAGAAGATATACTGCAGGAACGAAGCCAGCTCGTCCCGGGTGGTGATCTCGTGCGCCGACGTGAAGACATTGAGGGTGGCGACCACCCAGAGATCGTAGAATAGCTCAAGGATGGACGAAGTCTCGCGCTTCCTGAACCTGGGCTGCTCGTACGTGATTGTCACACTACTCTCTGGGCGGATGCTCGATTTGTCGTCATCGCTGGCGGTGGCTGACTTGGGCGTCTCGTTCTCGTCTAGCCGGCTGCCCAGCCAGCTGATCTTGTTGGCACGGAACTGGACGACGCTCTGCCGAACGCGCTGGATGCGGGTGCTTCCAGGGTTGCTGGGGACCTGAAGTCGCAGATCTCCCCTGGAGCCCTTGAGGTCCTCGGTCATCTTTTCACCGTGGGGTATAAACTAACATGAGGTGGGCGTTCAAGAGGGTGAGGCAATGAATGTTGGCTTGGGTGGGTTGGCTGCTGACGGGAGTGGATGGGTCTTTAGGGGTTCTCTTTGAGGACGACAGGTTCCCCTAAGCCCGGCTCATCGCTGATCACCATCAACCGAGCATTGAATTTACACCCAATCCGTCTCAACATCGATCGGCGCACACCTGGGCAGCTGTAGCATGCGTATATATCTGCCGGTGGGGCCGGACTGTCAGCTGAGCCACACAGTCGAATATGGAACACGCAAGCTAACTTACTTACTTGTGTAAGCTTTTGCAGGCAAAGAGTCAGCTTTTGAAAAGTTGCGGCAGGCTTGGCAAAGTCAAGTTGATAAGGCTCGCAGAATAAAGTGTTCGGCTAGGGGACACGCCGTGAAGGCTGGGCTGTGCCGCTGGGGGTTTTCACAAGCAAATTCATGGCAAGATCAGCAGTAATGGGTGGGTCGCATCAACCGGCAGTGAACCGTTGGCGACGGCCCGCAAAGTTCTTGGGTTGGGATGTTTCAACCCATGATTGGGATGCGGGCGAGAGTCAGCGTGGGGGTCCACACCAGCAGCGGCATGGAGGCTCGTTTGCTGGCAGACGGCATGATGAGTTTGCATGAGCACACCCTCAGCGGTTTCAAGGCCAGATGCGCCGAAAGCTTGACCGCTGTAAGGCGGGAATAGGGATGGGTCTCTGCGAATAGGACGCGCCCCCTTTTCGTCCCATCTAGGGGCACAAAGCTTGTTTCCACGAGACTCAGCCGCGCGTGGATGCTCCGGAGAATTGTTCCACTTTTCAAGGACAACGTAGCAATGGGCACACGGGAGCTAAAAAGGGTCTCGAAATTGTACATGTGTCCCCGTCGACGGGGTGCTATACTATGTAGTATGCCACCTGGGCAGCACAACACTGGGCGGCTAACCAATAGCAGACCCACTTTCTGTTTACTCGCGGACGACACTCAGCCCCTGGCGAGATGAGTGTATTCTTCAAGTGTTGGTCACATTTTTGGGCACTGGCCAAGATCTTCTCAACGTTGCTTTGAATTGGTTGCATAACAGGAAAGCTGTTCAATTGTATCATCCCGAGTGGAGGTGATTGTCCGATGTTCGCCACCCTATCTTGACCACAGATCAATCACTGTATCATAAAATTTGGCGGGCCAGTCTGCTACCGGTTTCAATGTGCTGAGTCAACCACAAGCTTCCCCGAGCTGGAATGTTGTGTTTGTGCATAGTAAGGATTCAGCCGTCCGGAACGGCCGTGCTCGAGTCCGCTGGTCCGAGGGTAATTGAAATCAGGATCAGCCCGACTTTTACTCAGTTCGTTTTTTATGCAAGCGTTCTGTGTCTCGAACGAAGCGGAAACCTCGTGCACCTGGTACTCGTGTAATCCACAATGGCTCGTATCCAGGCGAGGAGAGATTTGAACCAAGAAAGTTTTAGGCCTTATGTGCATTAAACTCACCCATACATACTGCGCAATTAGATCGCATTGAATTAGGCATCACCTCCTGTGCATGATTTCACCTGTGTTATCAATTGTGTGTCGAAGGTTTTTCGCCTATACACCAGAAAGGCAGCCTCTGTTGTATTTTGATCCGCGTTTTCGAGTGACAGAGACTTCTTTGACGCCCAGGCAATTCCTGCAGCCCTCCGCCCACGAGTCGTATCGTGAGAGGTTGGCCCATCGCTGTGTTTTGAACCGGCAGATATATCAGTTATCTTCCACAACGATCTCATCGCGGTCCAGCTGAGAGATGAAACAGAACCGTGACTCGATGTACTCTCGGGCGCTAGACCTGCTCTTGACAAACGTCAGGGCACCGGAACGCCCTGCGCTGGGATCAGTGCTGCAGTCTCAAGTCGTGTTCCAGAGATACATATGAACGTCTATAAGCTCTGTGCCGAACCTTGTTCGAAAAATTCTCATTCGGTGATGAATATTAGGACTATCACAAACTCCCATAGCCAGGACGGTACCTGCCTAGGTAACTCGGAACCCAGTGTTCAAGCCCCCGTAGTCCATTTTGCATTCAAATTCCAATTGAGGAAATACCTATGCAAGAAGTAGCACAAGGAATGTTTTCCAACATGGGAGTACTTGTTCCCAAGAAAATACCAATTGACAGCATACAAGTTATAGGCGGTCTGTTCACTCGGCTCGGCCAAGTAAGTGTATCACACTCTTGCGCCCCCATCAGTATCTGATCCGCCAGAGACTCCTAGAATGGGTTTCACCAGTCAGAACATTGAATGAATGAAAACTGGCGCTTGAGATTTTGCGAGTAAGGCGAGCCAGCCCGCCCCAAGACGGCTAAATCTCGAGGGTCAGCGCTGGTGTCTGCAAACCTCTCCCAACACCTCTGTTCATTGACACCAGCACGTGTGGACCGCAAGTCGTTATGCCAGGCTAGATTAAATGTTTCCGTCTCCTAAATTATGCCGTGGTCTTGCCTTCCACTTCTTCGTTGCCGCGTTCACTGTGGGACAAGTGGTGATATATCCCAGTAACGGAGGCAACATGCCGAGTGCCTTGTTGCGGAGGCCTTGTGGCTTCTGCAGATACTTAAACAGCTTACCGCTACCAGGTCGTACTCAGCAAATGCCTGCCACACTGAGCAATGAAGCAACGTACACTCTATGCCCTATCTTACGTATGTGTGGCCCAATTCAACACTGATTAGAATGTTATTTTACTACTTCATTAGCTGGGAGCAAGCGCCCGGCCATTGTCACTATCGTCGCAAGCTGTGGGGCTCGGCGCCCTCAGCTCAACTTCGGCCTACCACCTCCCATTGGCTGAGGAAGGTGGTTTCTTTGTTGTCGAGCAAGTTCTGTTTACAAAGCACATTATAGTAGTACTCCTGAGGATGAGGCCATCATATATCATGTTTGAAGTAATTGTACACAATCGACAGCTCATGGCTGGCCTCTTGAGCAAGCCCAGCATGACGAAAACAAAGACAATGACAACTGATGTTGTCTTTTGAACACTCACTGCTATCTTCATTTTACGTTCTTCAGTTCAATGATCTTTGAGACTTTATCAATGCTTAAAAGTGACCTGTCTGGCCTTGACATGGACGGAATAAAATTAAACTTATTTAATTATTGGCAAGACAGGCGAATCACAATGTGACTATATATTCAAGGAGACGGACGAGCCGCACTTGCTTGGACTGACGTGCTCACCTGCTTCCAACGACTTTTCCTTTTCAATATCACCTTGAACCACGTCTTTCCACCGAAAAGAAATTTCAAAAGAAGCTCAGGCACACTTGCCTCTATCAACCGAAACTGCTATCGGCTCACTCTGAGCTTCTCTCAATTGTCCTTGAATTGATTCACCATGGACAGGGAGAGGATCAAGGTGTGGTGTATTGAATACAAAGAGGAAACTAATACTGTGATTGAGTTCCTCAAAGAAAAGGCAGAGGAAACCGAATGCCCGGATGAGTGGTTAGAAGCCCCTAGTGATAACCTCGGGAGACGTCAACATGTCCTGAAACTCTCTAACCTTGAACCTGTCGCCAAATATCTAAAACGACAGGGCAATTTCTCGGTCCCAACACCTATCAATAGAGCTTTGCACAGGGCTATTAAGCTGAGAAAGAAATGCAATAGCATTTACGAGAGGGGAGGTGATAAAAGCCCCGCAACAGAGGACAAAAACCAGAGGCACAAGCATTTTATCGAGGTTCTCCAGAATATCAAGGCTATTCTGCTCCCGTAATTGGCGTCAAAGCCAGCTCATGAGACTATTGCAAAGCAGGCAGTATGTGCAACGAGCGATGTTAGTCCGGGCGAAAAGGTTGTTTCCAACGACGACGTCGTTACTTGCAACTCACTCTATCCCTCAAGACTTGCCTAAGTATCGCCAGCCGTCATCTCGCCATGTCTTAGGCGCCTTGGTACGTACCCTGGATATGTTTACTGTTCTACCCCTGCCCCACTTTGGGAACTTGAAGCCGGGTTGTCTTTGGATTACGAGCGGAGAGCTTTTTGTGCTAGAACGAATTTGTCCTACCTAGGTAGAGCTGGCTTCATTACCTCTTGTCTGGTTGCGCTATTATTACCCTAGGGTAACTTCTCCGCACAGCCCTTTTACCTTGGCCTAGTGAGCAGGTGGAGGAACACCCAAGAACAAGTTCGATGGGATGGACACATAAATGCATTGATGCACATGTATCAATATAATGGTGTTTTGCAGCAGTGGGCGTTTCTAGCTGTAATGCAACCTCGCTTAGGGTACACAAGCATTAATTAGTGATATTTTGTCAGAAAGTACCGGCCGGCTCTTGCTAGCTTCCTGCAGTAATTGCGATGCTCAGATTTGACTGTAGATCACGACGAGGACTCTTTACTACTAAAGCGCATAAGCCACAAGTGAAAAGGTTCTCACGCAGAAGTTCAAGTTCTAAACCTCAAGTGCTCTGAATCATTCAAACCAAGTCTCAACTTCCTCAGGATGGGCACATCTGCAGCTCATACCCAACGACAAACGAATCGGTAGCGCCCTTGTCGCACCTACACATAGCGAATGATAAATTCGGGAGAGTCATACCGGTCCCAGCTCTCCGTCAGGGCCCGATCCGCAGATATCTTGAGCGCGAAGATAGTTAGCCGGTACCGCCCTGCCGGCGCCCATGAGCCATCGGCCAGGCTGCCGTCCCAGGGACTCATCCAGCCGATGGGCCGGTGGTACGTGAGTGGATAGCCAGCGACGTTTCCGAGGGTGACGACCCCGAGGCCGTTGTCCACGGCGCCGGGCGTGCTAGAATCGAGGGGCACTGCCTCGATGCGGACCTCGGCGCTGCCCAAAACTAACCATACGAATTGGTCGGGGAGGGCACCGGGCGGCAAGACCGAGTCGGACGTGTTGAAAGTCGGCTGGGCCCAGTCCGGGTGGGCGGCCGGGGCGGGCAACTGGAAGGTGGTGTTCGCAGGGACCTCGGGGTTGGTCGGGTCGTCACTGCGGCTGAGGGAGAGGCGCTGGGAGGCGAGTACAGTCGCGTTCCTCATGGAGCCCGCGACGCCAATGTACGGCAGTGAGAGGGCTATGTCGCCGTCTCCGTTTGTGCCGTCGAGGACGACCCAGCCGGAGTATATGGGCAGGGAGGCGGCGTCCAGTCCCTTTGGAGGCACGACGCTTATGTGGACCTCGGCGGTGTCGTTGGGCTCGAGGGTAAAAGAGGCTGGCTCGAAGGTCAGTGCCGCGTACACGGGGTTCACTTCTGGGGAGCTGCTGCGGTATATGTCGAAAAGAGTGGTGGCTGTGAGCGCAGGGACGTGTGACAGGTTGTACGTTGCCGGAGTGTCACCGACATTGGTGACGGCGAAAGAGGCCTCGGAAACGAGGTTGTCGGTGTCATTGAATGAGAGGCTGGCGACGTTGAGTACAGACGTCGCATAGGCGGCATCGAAGGCCTGGACCATACCGGCGCCCTGCTGGGGCACTGGACCAAGGGCTAGCTCGCTGTTGGCCTCGCCGTAGTTCTGTGACTTGGCCGGCTTCGCCGTCGACGCGAGAAGCCTCTTGATCAGGTCAGGATCCCTCGTCCCTCGAGCCTAATCAACGCCGTCAGGATACGAGAAGACGAGACAGATATCGGGCAGCTCTCAAGTCGAGCCGAGGCGGGCACCACGTACCTGAGACACTAGGGAGACGATACTTGCCACCAGAGGCGTGGCCATGGATGTGCCCGAGGCGACGGCGTATGAGCCGAGGGCCACCGGCCAGGTGCTGAGGATGTCGCCACCGGGTGAGCCGAAGCTCGGAGCCAACTTGAGCTCAAAGGTAGGGCCCCAGCTGGTGAATGCAGACACGCGGCCGGGGCTGTCCGACGCGTCGCTCTGGTACGACGAGATAGACATGACGCCATCGCCGGTGCTGGGAGAGCTGATCCCAAAGAGGCCCTCAGTACCACCCACCTCGTTGCCAGCAGCAAAAGTGCAGGGCACACCGGCGTCTACAATCCTGGCGACAGCAACGGCAAAGGCATCGCCGGCCCAGCCGTTGGCGCCGCCGACGGAGCCTGTGATGATATCAGACCCATCCTCAAAAGCCTGGATGGCGGCTGCCAGGAGTATATCCCCTGTGGTGACCCCAGGACACCCGAAGGTGCGGTACATGCCGAGCTTCACGCCAGGAGAGGCGCCGGTGAAGCCCATTGGGTTCTCGGCGGCTGCGATGATGCCAGCCACGTGCGTGCCATGGCCCTGGCAGTCGTCGAATGGATCGGCGTCGGGGATGGGGGCGCTGGTGCCATCAAAGGTGTCCCCGACGAGGTCTGCCCCGTACTCAACCAGACAGCCGGGTCCAAAGCAGCCTCCGAGGGCAGGGTGGGTGTAGTCGATGCCCGTGTCCACAATACCGATGCGGAAGCCCTCGCCGGTAAAGCCCTTGGCGCGGAGCTTGTCGACCTGGGTCAGGACATGAGGGGGCCAGGAGTCTGTGGAATTGGCCTGGCGCTTATACTTGGATGGGGCGCTGTCGTTGCCGGTCCAGGTGAGGCCCAGGTCGGGGACGCGAATCAGGGGCACCGGCCACAGCTGCTTGACCTGGGGCAGGGCGGCGATCCTGTGGGCGGCTTCCTCGCCAGGGCCATGGACCTGAAAGGACACGCCCCTGAAGACCTTGGACTGGAGTTTCACGCGCTGGGAGACGCGAGAAACACCTGCTTCAGCCTCGATCTGGCTCAAGAGGGCGGTGGCATCCTGCATTGGGTCAGTCCAAGATTGGCCTCCAACAAAGGCGGCCACACCGGTATAGACGGTACCTGGTCGTCGGCGAGTTCGGCAATATATGCGCCGGGGACGTTTGTGGGCTCAAGACTGGGCGCAGTGTCGTCTCGTCTGGCAGTGGAGGCGCAGGCGATGGTGATGAGGCCGGCCAAGGCGGCAAGAGAGGCCCTCCAGGCGACCATGATGCAGTGAGCTGTGTGGTTTCCCCGGCAAGCAGAGCCTCACAGTCCAGGGCCTTGAGGAGGACATTGTTCCTGCATACCAGGCCACCCTATGCCAACCTTATATAGAAGCGGCAGGCTCACGGGGTGATGAGGCCCAGGGGCCATCTTAATCGGGGCACTTTCCGGAGGACATGGCCGTCCAGGTTCAAAGGTTGCATCGGATGGCAGCAAGGCCAGATGCGACATGGAAGCCGGATAAGACAGCCTGCAGTATTGCATGGGGACGAGATAGGGAAGCGTCCGTGCTGTGGCGGCAAGCTGGACATGCATACATGGTGTGTACGAGTTGGGAACTTGGAAAGTCAACAACGGGCCGAGGGGTTGAGAAGGGAAGGTGGTATTAGGTGGTTGTCGGTCCGTCGCCAACACACTTGGCACTTATCACCGAGGTGGGCTGTTGACAAACGCAACCCTGGGGCCCCAGGGCCCCAGACTCTCCAGGTGGGACCCCAACCCCTGTCCAGGACCCCAAGCATCCCGGCCGAGGGGAAGCTCTGAGCTCTGACCTAATTTTCTCACATCTGCTGCCATCTGCTGCGACAGCATCCCGCAACATCCCGCAATCATCACCAGATTTCTGCTCCTTCTCCCGAGGGCCCTGCTTTATAAATCGGGACAGCCCAAAGAAGGAAAAAAAGGGAAAGAGAGGGAGGGAAGAAGGGCGAGAGCACACAAGCCCATCCTCAACCTCATCCTCAACCTCAACTTTAACCTCATGACACCATGAGGACTGCCCGGCGGGGATTCACATGCCTGCGATGCCGCCTCTCGCAGTCGCAGCCGCAGTCGCAGCCGCAGCCACAGGCCCGGCTCAACCTCAACTACACACACCCGCGCAGGCCACTGCACTCGTCGTCGCGCCTGCGCTCTCCCGAGCAGTCCCTCGCCGCCGGCAGGCCCACCATTGCGCCCAAGCCCACCGTCGACATCAAGCACATCCGCCAGAACCCGGCCCTGTACGAGCAGACATGCATCGAGCGCAACTACAACGCCCAGGCCGCCTACCCCGCCCGCATCGTCCGGCTGCACGACCAGTGGCAGTCTCGCCAGCGCGACGGCCGCGCCCTGCGTGAGCGCTCCAACCTGCTGCGCCGCCACATCGCCAACCCTTCGTCCGTGAGCCCCGACCAGGACCAGGACCAGGACACCGCCGCCGCCACCCGCGACGGGCTGCTGGACGAGGCCCGCCGCCTCAAGCAGCAGCTCGCCTCCATCGAGCAGGACGAGCTCCGCCTGCAGGCCGAGATCCAGGCCCTCGCCCTCGCCCTGCCCAACCTCACCGGCCCGGACGCCCCGCGCGGCGACCGGCCAGCCGTGCTGAGCTACATCAACGACCACCCGGAGCCCCACCCCAGCTCCTCCGACCGCGTCTGGCGCTCTCACGTCCACATCGGCTCCGAGCTGGGCATCCTCGACTTTGCCGGCGCCGCCACCAGCTCCGGCTGGGGCTGGTACTACCTGCTGGGCGACGGCGCCCAGCTCGAGCACGCCCTCGTCAGCTACGCCCTCGACACCGCCCGCCGCTACGGCTGGGCCCAGGTCAGCCCGCCCTCGGTCGTCTACAGCCACATCGCCTCCGCCTGCGGCTTCATGCCCCGCGACCAGAACGGCGAGACCCAGGTCTACACCCTGAGCCAGAGCCCCCGCGACAGGGACAAGGGCCGCCCCGAGCTCAGCCTCGCCGCCACCGCCGAGATCCCCCTGGCCGGCATGCGCGCCGACTCGGTCCTCGACGAGGCCGACCTCCCCAGCCGCCGTGCCGCCGTCAGCCGCTGCTACCGCGCCGAGGCCGGCGCCCGCGGCGCCGACACCAAGGGCCTGTACCGCGTGCACGAGTTCACAAAGGTCGAGCTGTTCGCCTGGACCCCGCCTGACCCGGACGCCGCCGCAGAGGTCTTTGATGAGATGCTCGACATGCAGACCGAGATCCTCGGCTCCCTGGGCCTGCACTGCCGCATCCTCGAGATGCCCACCGCCGACCTGGGCGCCAGCGCCGCCCGCAAGAACGACATCGAGGCCTGGTTCCCCTCGCGTGCCCGCCGCGACACCTCGTCCGCTGCTGGCAAACAAGGCGTCGCCGCGTCGGTCGACGGCGCCCACGACGAGGAGGAGGGCTGGGGCGAGGTCACGTCCGCCAGCATCTGTACCGACTACCAGACGCGTCGGCTGGCCACCAGGGTCCGCATTGGCGGCTCCAGCGGCAAGATGACCTACCCCTGGACCGTCAACGGGACGGCGCTTGCCGTCCCCAGGGTGCTCGCCGCCATACTGGAAACCGGCTGGGACGAAGGCAGCATGACTGTCACAATACCCGAGGTCTTGCGGCCATGGATGGACGGCAAGGAGACCATCAGCCCAAAGACTCGTACGCGCTAGTCACGCAGGCTTGCACGCTCAGACTTTGGAGATGGGGCGTGTGAGTTAGGAGCATATATATGCCCGGGGTACAAGGCACGACCGAAGCAAAAAGGGGAGAAAGGCCGTGGTTGGGGGGCGCATGTACAAGAGGACATACCATGATATACCAGGCAGCCTGCCCTACCATCGCATCATATTCATCGCACGAGTAAACCACATGGCCATTCCTGCGTTCTGGCAGCACCCAGCACGAGTAACGCTAGCTGATTGAACCCCCCGACTGTCTATCTACCTAATGGCAAAGAGAGGGTATTAATGATAAGAAAATCCATACCGTACCTCCTTCGCTCGCCGTCCAAGTCGGTGATGGGCGCGCTGTCGCTGTGGACGTCTTCGAAGGAGCAGAGAGGAAAACAAAACACCCTAACACCCAGCTTATGTTCGAAATTCGGACAATACTCGTGACGTCGTACAAGCACAAAGGGGCCGGTCTGCCATAACAAGTTCCCCATCTGTTGCTTCCCCCCCCCCCATCCTAGTCCAAAGCCTCCCTACCCGGCTCTAACCATTCGTTGTTCCGTAACCTTCATACACCACGTCAATCATGCGTCCTATCAATTTGCCTAGGCCTCCAACAGAGCGGCCTGACCCCCAACAGAAGATGCATCACCATCCACCGTGCTTGTCGCACCGAGGCCATTCTCGCTCTCGGAGCCGCTCACAGCACTGCCAGAGACAAGGGAGCTGCCCACCGCACTCTCTGTCCAGTCGCTACCCGAGTCGGAGTACGTATCATAAGGGTCCTGCTCCTCGGTGCGTGCATCCGTGTAATCGGAGCCTGTGATTGAGCCACTGCGTACACTCGACCGTCGTAATGTCTCCGCGTCACTCTGGTCGCCACCCTGGCCGTCAGCCTCGCTACCACCAGAGACAAGGCTCCCAGTGCCGGCCTCACTGAAGTCCTCACTCAGGGCGCTACCACCGTCGACGAGGCTTTCGGTACCCGGATCGCTCCAGTTGTCGCTCAGGGTGCTGCCGCTCAGCTCCGATGCTCCGACGCCGCTGCCACCGCCGCCGCCGCCGCCATTGCCCACAAGGACAAGCTCCCCGCCGGGATGCTCGCTGGCAGGGGTCTCGTCAAACCCTTCCTCATCGCTCTCTCTAAGCGCTACGACGTCCATGCTGACATTCTCCTTATCACCCTCATCGCCGTGGAGGTCACCATAGCCTTTCTTGCCGGCATGAGTCCGCCCGTTCCAGCTGGACTTCCGCAGCGCCCCTGCGCCAGTGAGTGTCTTGACGCTCTGACTCCTCTTGAATCCAGCGCCACCTGTGATTGCGGCGGCATTCAGACCTGGCTGCTTGTTCAGCTGGCTGAGCGACAATATGCGGCGGGTCTGCTTTGGCGGCTGGAGGCTGCTGAGCTTTGAGTTCACTGCAGTCTTGAAGGCCGCCTGATGGTGGCCGCCTGACTTCGAGGGCGCCACCGGCTTCTCCTCAGGGATGCTGTCCTCGGCGGGCTTTTGCTTGGATGTGACACGCTTGCGGCTCATGATGTCGTGGGTCTCGCGGGCCTTTTTGCTGGACTTGGCCATGAGCAGGATTCTGCTCTGGTCCATCACGCCCTCTAGGATGCGCCGCTCAAGACCCTCGGCGCGGGACTCCATTTCATGGAGCTCCTCCCGGCGCAGCCTAAGTGCCGTCTCCAGGGAAGACACGTCGCCGGTGAGCCGGACCTTCTGTCTGACCAGGCTCTCCTGCTCGACCTTCAACCCAGCGATGCTTTCGCGTAGACGATCCTCTTCCATCTGGAGGTCCACGATGGTTACTTCCGCCTGGTCCTTCTGTGCCAGCCTTCGCTCTAGCGCAACATTTGTCTCGTGGAGGTTCTTGACCGTTTCCTGTAGCGTCTTCTCCATGTCCTCGTGGTCGTCCTCGATGCGCTGGGTTTGTGATGCCAGGAAAGCCGAGAGCTCTGCAGCCGTCTTGACGACCTCGCTGTGCACCTTTTCGAGAGTGCTCAGCTGTTCGAGAGACTTGTCGGTCGTTGCGGTGTGGTCAACGAGCTTGTCTAGCTTCTCGTGCACCCCGGAGTCGTCGTATTTCTCTGGGGGAGGTGGCAGCATGAGTGGTTCGGGCTTGGCTTCTTCGATCTTTTGGCTGATCTTCTCCTGCATCTCGTTGACGGATGTTTTCGAGTGCTCAAAGTGCTGATCGACCATAGTGAGAACATCCCGGATGGCCTCGAGAATCTTGGGTTGGTACTCGCTGACCTCGCCCTTGAGCCCCTCGAACGCGCCCAAGGCTTCCTTGACCTGGTCGCGAGTCTGCGTGTGCTCCGCCTTATTTTCATTGTGGTTGTCGTCAGACTTCAGGTACATGTCTTCAACACGTGTAAAAACAGTCTTCGATGCCTCTTCCATTTTCTCAAGGGAGTCCGTGACTGTCGACCCTAGGGTGTCGATGAGAGACTTTAGCTCCTCAGCAACGGCCTTGGTGCCGACTACAGACTCCTCGAGGTGCTCGTCACGGGTTTCTGCGGCCTTGTTGCGCTCCTCGAGGGAAGCTTGGAACTCGTCGTACTTGGTGATGACCTCGTCGATGCGCTCGTCAATCTTGGCCCGGAGGGTGTCAGTGGTTGAGTCGAGCTTTTCGTCCGTCTCGAGCTTGGCGCCGACGACGCCCGCCTTGGAGTCTTCGAACTCCGTCTTCATCGTCTCAAACATTTCCTTGAGATCTGCGTGGACATTCGCGTTTGCGCCTATCGTCTCGCCGAGCGTCTCGAGGGACTTGCCGAGGCCCTCAACACCAGTGGCACCCCCTTCAAGCTTCTCCTTGACCATGGTCTGCATTTCCTCCAGGAACGTCTTAACCTCCGTTACACGGTCTGCCACGCCGACAGTCTCTGCCTGGCGCTCCTCAAACTGTTTCGCGTTGGTCTCGGCGTGCTTGTCTGCCAGCTCTTTGAGCTCGGTGGCATGCTTCTCAGTCGCTTCCTTCATCTCCGCGGCATGCTTTTCTGCGGCCTCCTTTAACTCTATATTCTGCTTATCTGAAAGATCTTTGAGCTCTGTGACAAGATTTTCAAGGCTCTTCAGGTCATCCTTCGAAGGAAGAGCAGCAATGTCTGACTTGACCATCTGCTCGACAACGGCTTTCACGTCGAGACAGACGGCTTCGATGGCATCCGTATCCGTCTTGGTGACCTTCTCCGGGTCCTCGAGCTGCTTCTCGTGACGTTCTTTCAACTCATCAAAGGCGCCGACGACCTGCGTGACAAGTGACTCCACAGCCTTGGTATCCTCGCGATGCGAGATATCCTCGAGTTTTGTTGTGAGACCACTGAGTCCGTCTTTTGTCTCGAGGAGCAGGACCTCGAGCGCATCGACATGATCCTTGCGGACTGCCTGCTCTCCATCTATGAGGTCATCGAGGCGCGCCTTTGTGTTGCGGAGGATGGTCTCAACGGCCTCGATATCCTCCTTGGTTGCAGCATCGCCGGCAGCCGCTGCTTCTTTTGGAGCCGTGGCGGCGTTGCTGGCCAACTCGTCAACTTGTATCTTGATGCTATCCAGCATCTCCACCATGAGGTCGAGGTCTTCTTTTGTAAGAGATGGGCCAGAGTCAGCTGGTACAGGGGCGGGCTGAGGTGGCGGGCTTTCCATGGCTTCCACTTTGATTCGGAGTTGAGAAATGAGCACTTCAAGGTTCTTGATATCATCGTGCTTCAGCATGTCCGCTGGGACAATAGCATCAGCACTGATTGGCGCCAAGGCCTTGTTGTTCTCACGTAGGCCTTCGATATCAGACTTGACACTGTCGAGACCGGACTTGAGAGCGTCGAGAACTTCGTCGTTGGCGGTCATGTCAGCAGGCTTGTCGGCAATTTTCTCAATGCTGACTTTGAGGTCGTTGAGACCCTCCTGTAGAGCGTCAAGAACCTCGTTTGTTCCGGCGATCGGACGCTGGCTGATTTCTTGCCTGAGATTGCCGAGTCCTTCCTGCAGAGCATTTATGACCTCTTCGTGGCCACCCTGTTGGGTCTGTGGGGTCACGGGCACCAGCGTGCCGTTCACAGATTCTCGCAGAGCCTCTATCTCTTCTTTGATCAGGACCCTGGAACCATCCGCCTGCTTGGATACGATGTCACCGATCTCGTCGCGGAAGTCATCGAGGCTCCTCAAGAGTCCCTCCATGAACTCCTCCTGGCTGGCGACACCATTGGCTCTGTCAACGTAGCCCTCAATGTCGGCTCGCAGCTTCTCGAACCCGTCTTTGGTAGCATCGAGGACCTGCTCGGTGTCGCGGCCATTGGCAGCCACATTCTGTTTGGCTTCCAGCGAGACGGCTTTGAACTCGTCGTGCATGGCCTCCATGATTTCATGCAGACGCCCGATGACTTCCTCATTATTACCTTGCAATGGGACTAGCGGGCCTTTGTCCTTTGCGGGCAGATCCAGGTCCTCGAGGCCTTGCTTAACGGCATCGATCATGTCCTGCTTGGAGAGCTCCGCCCCCAAAGCGGATGCGGCTACGGGAAATTCAAACTCCTCGAGGCAGTCTCGGACGGCCTCGACGATCTCGTCGCGGGAGAGTGCTGGTGGAACATCGATGGGCGGGGGCGAGAAGTGTTGCAGGCCCTCCACCACTGCTTTGAAGACCTCTTCTCGTGTCGCTGCTTCGGGCTGATTGTCTCGTGGTGCGTATTGCATGAAGCCTTCCTTGAGACACGCGAGCACCTCGTCCCGCTCAAGCCCGACCTGCTCCACGGTTATCTCCGGCTTATACCTTTCCCATGCGTCTCTGACGGCGTCAACAACGTCCTCCCTACGCAACTCGGGGACATCCTTCTGCAGTGCCTTGGCGTCCTTGAGTGCCGTCCTCAAGGCATTGTAAATCTCCCGGTAGTCCACCGCAGGCGGCTTGTTGGCGGCCACGACAGCTTGCGATTGCCGCTGGTGCTCCTTGGTGAGATGATCAATGTGCTGCCTCATCTCGAGCAGGCCCTCGCCAACAACCTTGTTGATCTCGGCCTTTGTTGCTGCGGCGGACTTGGCTTGGCTTGCCTCACCGACGTCGTCGAGCCTGCGGCCTATCTCTCTTCCCATGCCGAGAACCTCGCCGCGAAGCTCCCGAACAAGAGCCTTAACCTCGGCGGTGAGGCCTCCGCCTTGTGCGACGCTGTCCTTGACGGTGCGGATGATCTTGACAATATCATCGCTTATTAGATCAGCGGCAGCTCTTGCCATGGGCGCGGACACCCGACGGCCGTCCTTGTCCTGAACAAGCTGATCCACACGGGACTCCAAGGACCGGCCACCGTGTAGATCGGATGCTTCGTCGAAGCTCATGTTCCTAGGTAGCCCTGCCTTGCCCCTGACAGCTCCACTGCCGCCGGGCTGGGCAAGCACAATAGACTGGTCCATGTTGTTCTTGATGAGACGCTGGAGATCCTCCACTTTCTTCTCGACCACAGAACCGTTGAGTTTGTCGGCCAGGTCGGACAGCCGAGCGAGGAGCTGTTCCTGGCCCTCCTTGGTCCCCATGTCACGGATAATTTTTTCAAGGAGGCCAACCGAGGCAGATGCGTCACCGCCGTAGAGTGACGGTGTGCTGAGATTTTCCCGATCCAGGGAAGTTGAAAAGCTATTTGGTGAGGGTATACGAGGTAAGGCGAACGGACGGGAATTATTACTGGCTTTTGAGGATGTGGATAGCGAATATGGCTTGTTATCGAGCAAGAGGGGGCCTCCGTGCATATCCCGGGATGACGTGCGCGAGGAAACTTCCTCCATGTTGTGAAGCAGGTCACGCAGATGCTTCCTGATGTCTTCGTCGCGGGTGTGCGTAGCCTCCTTCAGACTCAGCAAGTCTGTGGCATTATCCCTGCTTCGTCGGCTCAGCTGCGACATCTCCTTCTGCAGCGATGTGGCTATATTCGTCAAGGTCAGGATCTGGGTTGACAGGGTGTCAAGCTGTTGTGGCGACCTGGCCGTGGCGTTTGAGCCATTAGTGAGGCTGGACAGGGGCTTTTCGGCGTCCCGCTCCCGGGGAGAGTCTTTCGGAGTGGACATTGTCTGGAGCGCCAGCATAGTCGCAGACTGTGGTGGTGTGTTCTCGCCGAGGATGCTCTGAGGACGCCTTGGAGTCGGTCTAAGCACTGGTGTCAGGCTCTGACCGATGGGGGTGAGGCTGATTTGCTTCTGGTCTTTCTCGTCCGTCTTTTGTTCGTCGAAAGGATCGGAGCCGGATCGGGAGGGTGTCGTTGGTCCTTCCTTCTTTTCAGGTGATCTCGACGGCGAAGAACCGCCCTCGAGCATCAGGCTCAAGTCTCGGACTGAAGACGGCTGCAGTGACTGCATGCGCCGATGGGCAGCGCCCCTGCCAGTTGCCCTCTCGGGAGAGACGTCGGGGGTCCGTTTTGTGAGCGGATGAGGCACGAGCTGGTTCTCGCGTGCCTTTTCTGTGAGGGCTGCATGTGCAGACTGAATGGCAGACGATGTGCCTGCGCGGGAAGTAGCCGTGACAGGCGACTGCGGGTTCAAGGGCAGCGGAGGAGGAGCCCGCTCGGGATCTGAGCTGTCCCACCTGACGACAGTACTTAGCTTGCGCCATAACGACGGCATGACACGGCGGGAGGGCCCCGTCCTCTGGTCCGTCGGATGGAGGGGCGAGGAGGACGAGGCAGAGGCGGCGGAGGAGGAGGAGGAAGCCACAGGCTGGAGGAGGAATGCTCACTTACATGGGTACTAATGCGCGGGTGTGGTCAAAGGAGAATGATTGGGAATGTGAATGTCTCGAGGAGTGACTTGACCAAGGACGATCCCCATTGCTACTAAAGGAGTCCCTCTCGGCGGGAGGCATGGTGGAGTATGTCCCGGGCCACGGTGGTGTCTTATGGCTGGGCTGGAATGGAGGTGTTTCGAGGCGGAACCGGGCTTGTTGACTCGAGTGAGGTCGGGATCTACTGGCAGGTGGCAGGGTATCGCGGCAATGCGGCCGGGGTGGAGGGTGCACTGTGTAATTAGGAAATGGGAAATAGAGCTGAGGAAATGTCACGATGCGAGGAGAGAGGATCAAGGAATCGCTCTATAGCCGGCAGTGTTATTATGAGAGAGCATGAAGTCGCAATCTGACAGTGTCATGTTGGCAGGATGGCAGGTTGGGCAGTGACGGCTGGGGGGGATTCGACGCGGGATCGGGCGATGGCTGGATGAGGCGTAGCAGTAAAAAAAGGCTGCGGGCCTGCAACTCGCAAGCGCATCTGCAAGGTGCGACTGTCTCCAGCCATGTTGTTTATTCTGCCAAGACGGTTTCCACAGCAGCCAGCCACCCAATTGGGCAGACGGCCAGGAAAGCGCGACTCGACCCGTGCCACCCCTGTCGCGAGTCACCGGCCCATCCCGGCATTGTCTGGGGTACCTTGCACCCCTCTCATCGATAAGCGCGATGATAGCCTCAGAGTCTACGGCGGTGAGGAGGCTGAGAAAACATTCTCTATTATTTGCTTGCCTGCTATTATCCACGGGGTACGGAGTACAGTCTGCCTGCCCAAGCCTGACAAACACCCAAACAGTAAACATCCCGTACTGTGCGTACTGTGCGCGCCGTGCGTGCACTCACCACCTACCTAGGTACCTAGGTACCCAGATACCCAGGTACCCAGGTACTCACGGAATAGAGAATAAAGATTCAACTCCAAACTACGTCACAACACACAGAACAGACAGTACCACTGCGGCGCTTTTACTTGACTTTTGCTCAAGAACAATGTCTTCAGGCAGTCGAACCCGTGAGTTTCGGTTGGACATGTCCTGTTTTGATTTACTACTTGCTTGTCCTTATTCTAGTCCAACCATCTAGCTGGTGCTGGTCGCGATCAGCTGTGACAGCCCGAGGACCTGCGCTGTGGTGATCGGTGTCGACGAGGTGTTGAAGCCCTCCTTGAATGGCAGACGCTCCTCCTCGAACACGACTCTCATCCAATCCAGCGGCGCGGCAGGCTCGGTGAAGCTTCCTCCAAGTGTCCCCAGGATGACTGCGGACTCGCCCAAGGACACGGTGACCTGGCTCGAGGTCATATTGAACGTCGGGTTGGTGGCCTGCGCTGTGACGAGGCGCTGGCTTCGCGCCGAGGCCATGGTCTTGTAGTCAACCGTCGAGTCCACCGCGCCCGCCTCGAGGTATCCCCGTGTCTCACCCCAGACCGTCTCGTTGAGTGTCTTGGCGTCGCCAGTCACGGCAAAGTCTGCCCTCGAGAGGCTGCCGTCATGCTCAATGATGTTGTGCTTCGCAACGTCGTCGAGATTGAAGGTGCTGGAGTTGCCCGTCGTCGATGTTGCGAATGCAGGGGTTCCGAGCGTTCGCACAAGTGCCTCTTCAAGGTTGATGGCCTGGCCGAGGCCCGAGATCAGGTCTTGCATGCTGATCTCTCGCCCGTCGCGGGCGAGGTAGCCGTGGTTGGCGAGGGAGTTGAGCATCGGGCAGGGAGACCGCTTGGCCGAGGCGTCAGGGGCTTGCCAGCTGAAGTTGGGGTCTTCTTCGCGGCGGATGGCGACGGCGTGCGCTGACATGGCACAAGAGGCGACGGCAACCAAAGAGGCGCGCATTGTGGAATGAATGTCTGTATGAAAAGAGAGGCTGGGCTTTCTGCCGGAAACGAGTGTGTGACGGGTGGCCGAGTGTGGAAAGTGTCGTGGGATGGGCAGTCAGGTCGGTGATCTGGAGTCCGAGGTCGAGCCATCTTCTTATACAGCTTCTGCCTCGACACCGCAAGTGGACTTGTGTAGTCAAGACAGGCAGTGCCCCTCGGCCGGCCATTGAAAAAGTTTATTATTAGCCATGTCGTCAGTTTTAATATATTGTCCCATCCCACAAGCACCTGTTCCCAGCTCACCATCGGGCGCCCCGCGAGCCCGGCCGGTTCGACCGGCAACTTCGTCGAGGCGGCCCGGGCTCTCGAACGATGGAACCCGACCATAGAAGCTTGGAAATAGGGGCCCGGGTTGGCATTGCGTATCCACCTCGATATTCGTTTACCTCGACCGTGCCAAGCAGGACAAAGCCTTCATGGGTGCATCCTAACGGCATCAGCCTTGTTGGTGGGCTGTTGAAAGCCGCTAGCTCACAAATGCCCACATTGCAATTGGTTCGGGGACGATTGTTACCATGGAATGGTAATAGTGAATACGAATGGCATCTTGCCTAGCTAACTGCTGCGAAAGGGGCTTCCCTACTTGTGCGAGTAATGTTGCGCTTGGCGTCTAGTTCAGAAAAAAAATATCACAAGGCTAGATGGATGTAAATTGATGCGGCAACACCATGCATTTTCCACGGGGGGTAAAGGAACAACCGCCCGTGACCTCGCCAGCATTTCTGAACCGGCCTTCTTGGTCCTTCAATTCTCGTGGTCCGTGCTAGGTGCAAGCTGTGTAGTTGGCCCGTGGTGGTAGACTCAACATTGTCTAGTTGATATGCATTGTGAACCTCAGCCCTACGAAGCCGTTTCAACGGTGGGAGTTGCCGCTCTGACGAAGCCTGGATGTAACCTTAAAATGCCAGGGGTGAACTTGGGCCAGATCTGATCGAGGCTGTGGCAGTTTCAAGGATAGACAGCTTCTGAGGAGTTCATGCAATATGTGGTCCAGACGCCGACTTCCAAGGTTGGCGGACAGATTGCAAGGGTGCCGGGAGTACCTTAGTAGGCGCAGCGACACTCATGACACGGCCACAAGCGCCGAGAGGGCCACACAGACCAACAGGCCGTTTTTGCTTTCAAAAGAGTTGGGTATTTTTTTCCGGCCAGCCCTTCTAACCCGAGTATCCCTGCTCTTGGTAGACAGGAACGTGAGCAGGGCCAGGACCTTATTGCTCGTGGAGACCTGCCAAAGAACCAGACAAATGATTTTGCACCTGCTGAACGCCATTACCCCCGGCCGATCTATTATAGACTTTGTACATCGTGACCACTTCATCAAGACAACAGCTGTTGTGCCATTTCCTACTTGGCTAGCACCTTGTCAAAAGCCGGGATCAGTGTCTGGGCAAGCCAGAAGGAGAACACCAGCTTGGGTCCAGTCATGAGGAGCTACACGGGTGATCAGTATGCGGTCGCTCCACGTTGTGCAGTCCTTGATTCGGAGGGAGAATTCTACACACCTTAGGGACAAGACCCTTGAAGAAGGAGCCCATGCCCTCGTTCTTGGCCATCTTTGTCAGGATCTGGAACCCGCTCTCGGGGTTCTCGAAGTTCCTGTTCTGGATGCGCGTCTTGATGACATCGAGCGGCGCGGACACGACAAGAGAGGCTGTCGCGCCGGCGATAGAGGCGACGAAGTTCTGGAACCATGTCGCCTTGTTGTAGTCCTGCAGCTTGAACATGTACTCCTTGGCGAAGGCCGAGCCTCCAAACAGCGCGAAGCTGCCGGGAGCATTCCGCGCCGCCGTCCAGCCCCAGCCCCTGTACAGCCCGAAGCCCTCATCTGCGACAATCCTGAGCACACCTCGGCCGCGGAACGCCTCGGGGTTTGTTTGGCGCTTGATCTTAAGCACGTCGAGGGGCAGGAGGACGATTTCGCCGATGCCGATGAGCGACCCTGCGGTGGAGTGCAGGATGGCCTTGCCAGTCTTCTTGCCAAAGGCGTTCTCAAAATCCGAGCCATAGTGCTTGGTCAGGTAGTCACGGGCCACGGGCTGTCCGCCATATTTGTATATCCTTTGGAGGACCTTGTAACCCGCTGCGTATCCCAGGCCAGGGAACAGTGACACGAACTTCCGGCCGATAGGAGCGGCGGCCTTGTCCTTGAAGATGACGGCGGAGAGCTGCGAAGAGTTCCTGATCTTGGTCTCGTTGCTCATGAGTCGCTTCGCGATCGTGTCGACCTGTCACGCCCCAGCGAGTTTAGCACTGGCTCCGTACAATTCAGTCGGGCTGAAGGCGTTCGATGACTTACAGGGTGGAAGACAGCGAGCTCAGAGATACCAGCAGAGCCTGGGACAGTCAGTACGAGCCCATCCAAGCTTATCATGACTGCGGGCGCACATACCAGAGCCCAGCAGGCGCGCCAGGTTGGACTCCTTCTCCGTTGTGCGAGCTGGGGGCGACATATTGCGAGCTCGAGTTGTTTACACAAAAAAAGAATGGCAAGGAAGGCTGGCAGAACTCAGGACAAGGGATTGACACGTCGGGGGCTGTACAATTGATCGCGTGCGGGAGGAGAAAGTCCAAGAGGGCCTGCAAGCTCGGAGTCTCGCTCGAGATTTTTTTTACGTGCCCTGTCCACGGTGGAGAGCCCAGTCCCCGCTGGAGCTCCCCACACTAGCGCTAAGTTACAGTCCCGAGTGCATGGATCATTAGTGTGCATGGGCATCATGTAAGTCTCGACTCCGACATCGTCAATAGAGGGACCCACAATCTCTCTGCATGCTTTATTGATAAATGCACAGCTGCTTTCGATTCTGGCCGAGACCGACCTGGGATCAGTGCGAGCTTGTCCCACACGTGGTGGTCACAAATTCAGAGTTGGTGCTTTTGCCCGGAAGGCAGGTCGACCTCTGGTCATTCATTTTGAACCCCGAAATCATGAAAGGCATGCATTTCGTGGTAAGTATGCTCTCACAATGCCTCAAAGAAGCGCTGCCCATGATATATCTACCATCTCGCTCCAGCGTCTTTAGTACTGGGTATATGTATTTTTGCCCATATCTGGGCTAACCGACCATGAGAGTCCATCAAAGACGCCGCCATGTTGTGAATCTATGCAAATTTTGTGCCCCGAACGCCGTTGATGCAGTTTGTCCCGATTCCAGGGTTTGCCAATTAGAAATCCCGCAGGGTGCCGACAAGGCTGTCCAGTCTCATGATCTGAGCCAGGAGCTTCTCCTGTATCTCCGAGATGCGGACGAACCGGTTGTAGAAACGGCCCTCCAGCAACTCTTTCTCCCGGCCACGAACGTCATCGCGCCTGACCGTGTCGAGAACCTCTCGCTCCATCTCCCTTTGGACCTCGAGCCGCTGTAGACATCGAAGCATGGCCTTGTAAGTATTGTCAAGAAGTCGGTCGAGACAGCGGCCCGTGTCTGTCCAGTACAAAAACAGGGTGCGGCTAGCACTCCGGTTGTTGTCTCGGGGAACCTCTTGCATGTCCACATAACCAAGCATCTGCATCTTCAACATCAATTTCTGGACTTCCCCCTTGGACATAAGAGCCAGGCTCGGAAGCGTTTTCTCGTCCATTTTGCCCACTCGTCGGAGAATGCGCACCAGTCGAAGCCCACTCTGGCCGACGCTGCGCTCAATGACGGCATCTAGTTCCATCTGTTGCAGGGATCGCAGGAGGGGCTCGAAATCGACGGTCCACTGCTCCATGGCGCAGTGACGGAGAAATTTGTGCTGGCTTTCACATAGCAGCAAAAGATGTTGGCGGAAATGCTCCTTTCGAGAAAGCTTTGCTGGTCCGTTTTCGTTGAACTTGACCTTGGTTTCTTTTGTTCCATTTGCACCGTTGGTGAACGGCTTCAGGTCCGCACCTTCGTCATCATCCTCAACGTCATGGCCCGAAGGCTGCTCCTCAATCTCCATCTCGTCTTCGTCGGAACTGGCCTCGCCTTCAACCTCGGCCTCGTCGAAAGGCGGCTTTTTCATGTCAGGCGGGTGCTCCTGGATCTGGTTTGCGCTCTTCCGGTCGGTTGCCTTCGCGCCCACCTTGCCAATGCCAGCTGAGACATCAAGTGACGGGCTCAGATTGTCGTAAACCTCGTTTGTCGAGACTCGTCGGCCATGTGGGTATTCTTCATCGTCGCCGAGGTCAATGTCTGGGTCCGATCGGCATCTAGATATCTTCTTGCTGAGTTGCTGCAAAAGAGCCGCATAGACCTCGGCGGTGGTCTCGCCGTAGACCTCAGAAACGACATGCACAAGCTGTTGATTGCGAAGCTCCACGGTGCATTTCTCGTAGTTGACCCGCAGGGCAATATTTCCCTATAGGGTGTCAGCTGTGTTCAAACAAAGTCAGGACAAGCTACCCACATCGATGAGTAAGTCGTTATCCGAGGCACCACCGCCGTTCGCGTAGCTCCAACCGGAGAGCTTTCTCCGTTTGCTCATGGAGATTTTGGCTTGGAGTGTCCCTTTCAGACTCAGAGGCTCATCCCGCATTTCCCGCAGCCGTTTAGCCCTCCTGATGGCATAGTCCTCCTTGCCCTTTGCGCCACGGACGCCACCAGCGAAGAATGTCTTCATGATCTCATCTTCGAGGGCTTTGTATCTATCTTCCAAGCTCCTGAAGGACTCTTCGGTGACGGTGCCGACCAGCTCGGCCTGGATCAGCCGGCATATGACATCGTCGAGTTGCTCCAGAGACTTGACATAGAGTCCAGTCTTGCTGTCCTTCCTGACTTGGCCAGAATCCATCTCGTCGTCGTCTTCGTCGCCGTCGCCGTCGCCGTCGCCGCTGCCGTGATTTGCATCTCCATTGACGGCAGCCGCGTGCCGTGCCGCTTGGTTGAACTTAGCCTGGTAGGCGTCCCTGAGATCTTCGACCTTGGCATGGCCCATGCTCAGCAAGTTTTGAGCAACTTCCTTCTCTTCTTCGCCGTATACCGCACCGATCATGTCAAGTATCTTGCCGATGCGAACGATGTTATAGGCTGCGTCGATATTTGGTGCGTACACGGCATGGCCGGATTCTACTTTCCAATAGAGAAGATTGTTCTGAACGAGTACGACGAGCCCATGGCGAAGTTGGCGTGTGTTGAGCGAGGTATATTGGATGAGCTGGGGGATAGACGATCTGCCCTTTTTCAAGAGGGCTGAAAAGATGCGCTGTGAAAGGTCAGCCACATGTCCGACGGCAGTGTGCCCTTGGCGGGGAGAGGTGCACGATTTGCGACGGATGGACGTACGGATGGGAGTTCGCCGTAGACATCGTCGACGAGGAGAGCACACAGCTCAGCAAGGCTTTTAGTCTACGTGTCGCGTTGTCAGTGCATGCCCGGGCGGTTCTGGTGACAAGCTAGTGGGGGCGATTCACTCACCACCTGCATCGCAACAGGCAAGTCGGAGGGATGAAGATGCAGGCGGAAATGGGTGGATGCTGGAGATGCGGCCGCTTGAGATCCTCTCACTATCCCAAGTTGGCCTTTAATGCTACCGTGGAGTCATTTGGTAACGGCAAGAGGGTTCGTGACTGACGAACGAAACAACAGGCAGCCGTCTGAAAGTACAAAGGTATCCAAAAGTGAAGTCGGGTAGTGAAGCTGTAGCAGGAAATTTTGGCTGGTGGGTAACGACAAATTTGCGAGTGAGTCGCATGCGACTTTGGCTGCCCCTCCATGTGCGCCGCCGGTGACTCGTTAGTGTATCTAGAGCGTCGAGCTCCACGAGTTGGGGTCCAATCGGCCTACCTAGGTACGTACCCGCCGTGGGTAGGTAGGTACCTACCTAGACCAGAACGGCTCGTGCATGGGCTTCGAAACGTACGACGCAGCTAGACGGGCAGGCACTTCTAGTGCTCTACTGGAGCAGGGTCATCATAAACCACCATCTCTGCCCTCGCCATGAACGCAGTCTAGTGGATTATGAAATTCATCGACTTTGTGATTTTTGCCTGCATTTTAGAGAGCACGACCATGTCAGGCAGGGCCTCCGAGGAGGAGTAGAGTAAACCAAGCAAGTACCAAAGCACCTACACCCTCTACAACTGTGCCGTTTGACGGAGTACCACAAGCATGAATGAGCCCCCATGTGAGATACTACCAAGGTCTGCATTTAAACAGACAAGTTGCCAATGAATGGGAACTGGTGAAATCAGGGAATGGGTGCAAGAAGTTTGGGCGAGACCAACAATTGAAGATGTGCCTAAATCCCGAGGTCGTTATTTTGGTGGATGGCTGCATGTTTCGGTAGGCATGTGGACTTAAGAGGCACCCATTCCTTGGGCAAGAGCCAGCCCCAACACTCGACTGCCAGGCCGGTAACCCAAGCACAAACTCTTGTCTCTGTCTCCGTGATGGAAAACTGTACTACGACTTAAGAGAAGGAGACAGTGCATCGAATTTGACCAATTCCAAGTTGCAAATATCCAGGCTTGCCAATCTATCAATCGCACAGGCCGGGTTGAGAGCCCCCGTGCAATTAAGCCCGCCTCCAGCCAATCCGAGCCCAGAAGTTGCTGTTTAGGCCGGAGCGAACCGGAATTTCTTGTTCCTTCCCGCCAAAGGTCAATCTCGAAAGCTTCGTTTCCTGCCCAGAACAGGTCCCCGTCAATCGGTCGCAGACACCACAGCCCCGTCAATTGACACACCCACCACCCACCCCTCACATCATGATCGGCCGATCAGCTCTGACGAGGGGAGCCCGTCTTGCCCTCCGCCGGCAGGACTGCGCCAGCGTCGCCCAGCGACGCGGGTACGCCGCCGTTTCCAACGAGACCGCATCCTACGAGTCGGCAGACATCAACGGCATCAAGGTCGCCAGCCGCGACCCCCGAGGCCCCACCGCTCGCGTCGCCGTCGTCGCAAAGGCCGGCACCAGGTACCAGCCGCTGCCTGGCCTGTCCGTCGGGCTCGAGGAATTTGCCTTCAAGGCGAGTCGGCACACACGCCCCAGGCCAGCAACGCACACGGATGGATGAGCTAATTTGTTGTCCCGCATGCAGAACACCGACAGGCGGTCGGCCCTGAGGATCACAAGAGAGTCCGAGCTGCTGGGTGGCCAATTGACTGCATACCACACCCGAGAGGCTCTTGTGGTGGAGGCTGCCTTCCTGCGGGATGACCTGCCCTACTTCACCGAGCTCCTCGGTGAGGTCATCACCAAGACGAGGTACACGAGTACGTCTGCTTCCTACATGCGATGCTATCTGAGGGGCCGGCCTGGCTAACGCTCGCGTGTCTAGCCCACGAGTTCCAGGAGGAGGTTGAGAACATCGTGCACCTGAAGCAGGGCAAGCTCACCAACAACGCTCTGGGCCAGGCCCTCGACAACGCCCACTCGGTCGCTTACCACAAGGGGCTGGGCTCCTCCATCTACCCGTCCAGCTCGACGACCTTGGGTCCCTACCTGAACGAGAACTCGATCGCCGCTTTCGCCGAGACCGTCTATACCAAGCCCAACATTGCCATTGTTGCCGATGGCGCCAGTCAGGCCAGCTTGTCCAAGTGGATCGAGCCCTTCTTCAGGGACGTTCCCGCGGCATCCTCGAGCCCCCTGCAACTGTTCACCGAGGCTACCAAGTACTACGGTGGCGAGCAGCGTACTTCTCTTGCCGGCTCCAACGCGATGGTTCTTGCCTTCCCCGGCCACAACCTGCACTCCGACAAGGCCGACGTCGCCGTCCTGACCGCCCTCCTCGGCGGCAAGTCCAGCATCAAGTGGTCTCCTGGCTTCAGCCTCCTTTCCAAGGCCGCCGCTGCCGCACAGGGCTCCACTATTGTGGCCAAGAACCTGGCATACACCGATGCCGGTCTCCTGACCATCCAGATCACTGGTAGCTCTGGCGCAGTAAGGAAGGGCGCCGAGGAGGCCGTCAAGGCTCTCAAGAGCGTTGCCGAATCTGGCGTCACCAAGGAGGTCCTGACCAAGGCCATCGCGAAGGCCAAGTTCGACCTGCTGTCCCAGAACGAGCTGACCGGCACCGGTATCGTCTCCGCGGGCAACAGCCTGATTCACGGCGGCAAGATCTTCCAAGTCACGGAGGCTCTCAAGGGCTACGAGGCAGTCACTGCCGAGAAGATCAAGGCGGTAGGTTCCAACAGCCCCCTGGTCCGGAATGTTGAAGGTACTAACACTCCCTCTTTTAGGCGGCGAAGGCGTTGTTGGACGGCAAGGCGACGGTGGCGGCAGCGGGAGACCTGTATGTGCTCCCATACGCAGAAGAGATTGGCCTCAAGGTATAGAATCTTAGTTCATTACAAGCATCAATTGAAGGGGTGGGAAAATGTATCAACAGTCCAAAGCCGTTGTAGACGTGCCATGGGGCTCTGTGAATATAGCACTTTTCTAGACAGGCGCATCGCAAATTTTCACTTTGTTCCCTAAAGTCCCATCTAAATGTAAACGATGTATATAAACAACCTCCCATTAAGTATCTATTTATCATGCTCAGATGACACAGAGTCAATCATTCAACGACAGAGGCAGGCTGGAGGGGAAGATTGCGTTTCTTGCCGGGGTCACGTGATGACTAAGGCAGGCCCGGTCCTGTCCGTAGCTCGCCCGGCTGGCTGGATCGCTTGAGCTGTTTTGTCGCGGATCCTGGAATCGCCGTCACGATCCTCCACCCCAAAGAAACCCGTTCATCCTCAACCCCACCAACAATCAGACAAGATGACGTTCGCGTGGAAGGCCGCCGGCCTGAGGTGAGTACCCATTGACACGCCTACCAGACCTGCATCAACCAAATGCCCGCCTCAATCACGGGGACTGACGGGCCCTTTTGTTCCACACGCGCAGCTACAACCGCTACCTCGCCGTCGCCGGCCGCGTCGTGCGCCGAAGCCTGAAGGACGACAAGCGACTCGCCGCCGAGCGCCGCGGAGACATGGAGCTGCGATTCGCCAAGTGGGAGGTGAGTTGAGCCTGCAAATCGGGGATGCAGGGTGCGTCCGAGGCAGACGGGGACTGATAGATGTGGATTCGCAGAACGGCAAGCAGGGTGAGGTCAAGAGCCTTGCACAAGCGAACGCCGCCCTGGCCGAGAACACCGGATCTTCATCATAAAGGTGCATGGAGGAGGAAGGCATTGCGAGATTGGGGGTTTGTGCAGCCGCATGAATGGAGACGGACGGCACGACGTACCAGCCCGACAGCCCCGGGAGAGAGGTGCTCCAGGGGTCGAGATGGAAGCGTAGGCTGGATGTATCATACGGCAGAGCGTCGGAAAATACCAATTGGCACAACATGACCGCCATCGTCATATCTTCAGGACCCAAGATATCACGTTGTCAAATGAACCGCAGTGCATCAGTAATTAATTGCCTTGCCACCTAGGTACACAAGGAAGGTACTGCCGCAGAAACGGCGGGCGTAGAATGGACACTAGCAAACCGTCTTAGCCTCTCTCCTGTCAATGCCCAACCTGACCCTTTTTAATACGATATGTCTTTTCCCTCTACCCAGGCAGCTCAGAACTTGTCTGAAGGCATTGATTACCGCATTGAGGGCGTGTGCATTTTAATGCTCGATTGCTGAGTTACGGTGGAACTACGGCGGGCAGTCGTCAAATCTCTGCCCGACACGATCCGAGGTCGTTTGGACCTGAACCTTCGTCAATTAGGCAGGGCCACCTGCTCCTGCACTGCACTGTGAGCTGCTCTCTCGCCATTCCCAACAAAAGCCAGCCCGCATTCCCCGTCGCCGTGCCGCATCGATGAGTGATTCCAGTCGGCCATCAGTTACACCGGCTTTCGACCAGGCAATATGATGACGGTGGACGAATCCGGCATGTCCAGAGGTGTGGATCTATCCTAGCCCGGAGCGGCCCCCCCTCCATCGCAATATAAGCATTGCGCATCCTCTAACGAAGCTTAGAGTTTCTGGGCCTCTCGCTGAGCCAGCATGGCCTATCAGACCTGGACGATGAGCCTCCGCCCCCCAAGATCACCAGCGAGGCCGTCATAACCACAGACATTACGAACAAGTTTATCACGGCCTCTAACAGTGAGCATCATCCACACCAGCTCACACCACCTGTTTGTGCCCTTGCTGACCCGTCCATAGCGCTCGAGCCGGGCGAGCTGGTCAAAGATGGCTTCTTCACGCTGTTCGAGTCCGTCGGGGCTCTCGAGGTAATTTCCTGCCCGTCCGTCCACACTTGCCTCTGCTCCCGATGCTCACTCCCTTGCCTGTCACAGATCATGGACCCGAAGATGGACAGCGGGTGTCTTGCAGAAGGCGAGTCTTTAGATGACGACTACGATGTGACACGCCCACTGCTCCCAAAGGAGGTGCTGGGTATCATCGACCAACTTCTCTGCCATGAGGTGCGTCAGGTCTGAGTCTCCTCAGCATGGGCGGCCTCGTAGCTGATCTGATCACAGGTGGCGTGGCATTTGGGTTACCCCTTGTCCCAGACACTTTTCACCAGCGTCTACCTAGAAGCAATCATGATGCCGCAGCCAGTTGTGATTCAAGAAGCTCATTTCACACGCAATGCCGAGGACTTTGCCCACAAGGACCCCATGCTCTCTGTGCTGAGGGCATACTGCCTGGGTCTGCTCAAAGCATGTTGGTACGTGAACGAACGTATCAAATTTGAGCACTACTATGAGGTGAGTCGACGGATCCGACGCCTGCAGCAGATGATGGGCGCCGGCTGATCTGCGAAACAGGAGGAGGACTTTGTAACAAATACCTACCACCGCTCCCTCCTCGACAATATCGACAGGGAGGAGATTAGGGATGTCTTGCAGGAGGCTCGCCGCCTCCTCCGTAGCCACCAGCATGACATAGGGCAGGAGATTGTAGAAGCATTAGACTTTCGTCTGGAGCTCAGGTATGCCTTCCTGCGTGCGATAGAGCTCTCTGAGCTAAGGAGCCACCCGGAGTCCTTGAAGACACCCTGGATTCAGATGAGGTCCATCCTGGAGCCCATCAACAAGTCCCACCACCTCGGCACCCCCGTCGCCGAATGCTTCAGCGCAAAGCTTCAACGGCGGCTGGCCAGCACGATGCCCCCTCGACCTATTGTCCAGCTCAGCTTTGAGGACACATACTCGCATCTCAAGCGCCTGTTCGTAGACGGCATTGAGGTGACTGACGTCCTCAAGTACTCTGACTCACAAAGCCTGCTGGTGAGTTGCAAAACCCCACCGCGGTCGGCAAGGTGTTGGCTGACGCAGAGGAATAGAACTTCGTCCTGTCCTTCCAGGCCAAGAAGCCCCAACCGCTGGTGTACATCCGCACCCTGTTACAGAATTACCTCTTCAAGGACATGATCCTGCTGGGCTGCCTCAGCATCCGCCAGGTATTTGACGACGACCTGTCCATCGTGGTACTCCCATGTAGCAGACTACTCGACCCGGCAAATGACAAGGTGGAGAGCCCGAATGACGCGCGCTTTGCGATCGCTCACCAGATGGAAATATTCCGTCAGCGTGCCGCTCAGTCGTATCTGGACGTATTCCGCGCTTTCTGTCAGAACCGATGCCGCGTGCGGCGCACTCTGTGCCACGCGATCCAGGACTGGGAGGCTGTCCAGGCCGACGCCGAGGAGTTGGACCAGCTGCTGCAGATCGCGCTGGACGAGAAGCCCATGCAGTACCAGCCATTCGGGTCCGGCGCGGCCAGCCCGACCTTCTCACTCCCGTTGTCGAGCTGGGCGTACCTGTACAAGCTGCGGCTGATGGAGTGGATCGTGCAGCTCGGCTTCGAGCTCGAGGTCTACCAGCATGACGAGCTGGGAGGCATGTACTGGTATCTCAGCTATCTCGCGCGGACGCGGGCCGCGCACGTGGAGCGCATCAAGGCCTTCGCGGTGCGCACGCTCAACGACCTGCGGGCGAGGCCGTCGTCCTTCACGGCCAGCCAGGAGGCGCAGGTGACACGCTCGCTGTCGTATCTGCGCGCGACGATCCTCGACGCCGCCGTGACGTGGGAGCTGGCCGACGCGCTGGCCTCGGTGTATGCGCTGGTGTACGACCGTCTGCGGCTGGCGTCGCCGCCGCCGCGCCCGTACTCGTCCGACGCGCTCCGCTACGAGATCCGAATGCGGCCTTTCCTGCCCGTCGAGCTGCCCGAGCTGCCTACCTTCGCCGACTTTGACCACTCCGCCCGCCAGCCTGACAAGAGCGACCGCACCCTGCTCGAGCAGGCCGAGGCCGCAGTCACCGGCGCCAAGAAGGGCTACGAGCTCCTGACCAAGTTCGACGAGAAGGAAGCCTTCGCCGCCGGCGAGGGCACATATGGCCGCTGGCTCGCCGGTACGAGGAATGGCTTCAAGAGCGTCATCCAGGCCGGCCTGGCCACGACGGCGCTGAGGAAGATTCTCGACGCGCGAGACAGGGGCGAGGATGTCGAGGCCCCGGTTGAGATCCTGGGCCCGGACAAGGGATATCACGAATGGTGGATCGTGCCCAAGATCACGGTGAAGAGGAATCCAGCTGCCGCCGATGTGACAGCTACATGATTGGCCTGTACATGATTCATATCACAATAGAGGGCACGCGGCGTTCTTTTGAGTTTGCATCGAAGCCCTGTTTTTCCATTCTCATCGTCGTCTTTTCCACGCAATACAAACACTATCAAGCAGATACATACCAGCGCCTGATCCGGGTAGTCAGGTTGAGTGGGTCCTCGTAGCCGTCATCACCCGACTCTAAATAATCACATGCCAAAATTCACAGTTTACCCCTGCCAAGCCCGACCCGTTGACCCTGTGTTGAGATGATTTTGGATCACATGCTGCCGGAAAACAAAATATCAGCAGCAATTGGGACAAAACGGAATGGACTAGCATGACTTTGAGCAGCGAACGCGCCCTCCGCACATCTGCCTGGCCCCTCCAGTGCAGACTCCAGACTCCGAAGTATTAGACCCTTGCCAAGACCAGGATCGAGGTAACAATCAGGCCAGCGCCTTGGTCGCCGCGCGCTGTCGCAGCCTCACAGTCTGCTCGTAGAGGACATCCTTGAACGCGAAGAGGAACGCGGCCGTAAGGACACTCTGCGTGACCTTGGGGCCGATTCCCTTGTACAAGCCAGCGTAGCCCTCCTCCTTGACGATCCTCCGGATGGCGCCTGACATGCCCTCCTTCTTAGCGCCATCCCCGCTGCCGCCGGCGACATGGGCCTGCGACTTGACCGTGATGTACGGGTAGGTGATGCTGGTGGCGAACAGCTTGCCCAGGGCGCCGAGGAAGAAGGCCACCGTGGGGGTCACCCGCCGGCGCTTCTCGACCACGTTCTTGAGCTGCTCAAAGAGTGTGTATTGGAGGATGGGGTTGATGACGAGGACAAGGGCCGGGAGCACGCCTGCGAACAGGGCGGTCGGGCCTTCCTTCTTCAGGAGCGACATGAGCGTGCCGATGGTGGTGGGCGCCTTGATGGGCTTTGTGCTTCCTCCCGGCAGCGTTTCCTTCTCGCCCTCCTCAGCCTGGTGCTTCCGCGTGGTCATGCGCGTGTTGATGACCCAGATGGGGTTCGTGATGATGACGGTGGCGGAGCCAGCCAGAGCGCCAGCCATCATGCTCTCGACCGTCGTGAGTTTCTTGGAGGCGCGGCCGGCCTTCTCGGCGGCATTCTCGAAGAAGGCGCGGGTCCATTCGTACCAGTAGTAGTAGACAAAGTTGGTCACGGATATGCCGAACAAGGCCGAGTCCAGGCCTGCGTAAAGACCCGAGATGCCCTCGCGGGCGGTGATCTGGCGGACGGCTTTCAGGAAGGTGGAGTCGGCGCGCTTGGACTCAACCTGGGCGCGTGTGGAAAGGGTAATCAGAGGATAGCTGTGAGCAACATGGCCAAGTTAAAAACACCATACCAGCCAGGGACCAAAACTGCCGAGCCAGCAGACGAGGGGAAGGTGTGTATTTACGTGAGGACCATGGACAGGATACCACCACCGGCACCGGCGAGTGCGTGGGCGACATTGTCGTTCTGGGGTATCACGGGCTTCGATGCAGCAGGTGCCATTGTGTTGTTGGGCTGGTGACGGTCGGGTTCTGCCTTTGGTGCACTCGGATGCTGAAGATGACTGGTGTTTTGGTGAGCTCGGGACAAGAGACGGAACGCGCGGGTTCTAGTTGATGTCTTCGTTCATGCCGCCGGCGGTGGGATGCGGAGACAGAGGCGTGGCATTGCATAGCAGTGGTCGCCCAGTCAGTTGACCCCAGCGAGCCCAGCGAACCGGCGTCTGAGCAATGCAAATCAGCCGAGGTCCGAGTACAGCAGCAAACGGCACGGCAGGACTAAAATGGACCCAGCAGGCTGGGCCAGGTCCCCGAACCGCCGAGCTTTGCCGGGGCATCTGCTCAAAAGCCATGGCTGCGGTCCGAGGACGGGCCAGACGGGCTGGTCCAGTTGACTGACATCTGACAGCCAGCTGCGGGCTAGTTTGCTAGTGTAAATAATGCTGATGACGACAGAGTCGGACTGAGTGTTGGTCGGGCGCAGCGGCACCTTTGCTTCTGTCGGGCCCCGTTCTTGTTCTCGGTTGGCATCTGCCGACCCAGCCTGTTGGGATTCCATAGCGCGGGCGCATTACAGTGTACACCGTAAGCCGGCAGCACAGAGGCCCTCTTCAGCCCCACCACGGATCCCCAGGATCGAGGCCAGCCGGCTGCCCCGAGTTTCCAGAACCAAGCCAACAAGCTTCGATGGCGGGCAAGGCGGCAGGCGGCAGGCGGCAGGCGGCAGGCGGCCGTCGCGGGTGTCCAACGTCGTGCCACACACAGCGGATGGTCGGGTGCCCGGGCAAGGCGACCTCGAAAGGCACCGGGATCTCTAACGTGCGTCACAGCAGATGGGAGGCAGAGAGAGGGCCAAGGCCCAATCCGAGCAGACCTGGCTGAGAAGTTTGGCAGGATGCAACCAATGCACGGTTCTGCGCATGGTCGTTGGTGGTATCCCGAGCTGGTTTTCTTCTTGTCTCTTTTTCTTTTCTCTCCATCTTTTTCGCGATGGCCTATGCAGGCACCCGGCAGGGTTGATTCATTCTTGATTGGGGGCTTGCTGGCTTGTTCAGGGTGACTTGACAAGATGATAGGAGGCCATAGGAGGCCCTAAGGAGGGACAATAAACGGTGTTGCCAGGTAATAAATGCGTGGGTGCGTGGTAGCATGGGAGCTTGGTAGCGTGGTGGTACAAAGAGGTGCGAGAGTGCGCCAGTGGTTCCCCGGCTGCACCGTCAATCCTTCGGCAGGGAAACACCGCCTTTGCCTACTGCCAACTGCCTACCACAGCACATGCCTGCGGCCTGCCAGAGCTGCCCGCCGAAGGATTTGCCCAACTGCAGCTCCAGCTCCTTCTCGAGCCTGCGCGTCCCGTCCACCGCCCGCAACCGCAACAACGCGTGTCTCTCGCTTGGTCATGACACGGCCTGCTGCCTCAGTTCTGTGGGCTGACGGCCGAGCCGTCCGTTACAGATCATCACCACCTGCACAGACAGACAGAGACTCTGTCCAACGCCCCGGGCCCGGCCTGTCGCACTTGGCCTCCGTCATGGCCGCCGCCCTTCTCCACGTGGCGTGGCATCGTCGACATGGCTGGGATTGCAGGCGTGGCGGTGTGTCTGTCTTGTATGTCGGCCACGCTGCCACGGTTCTGCACCCGGCACCGGCCACTGCCTGGATGCTGGATGCTGGATGCTGGATGCTCGACGCTCACTCGCCCGTTCGCGAGCTCATCCCCGTTGGTGCTGGGCGGGCCTCGTGTCAAATCGGTCATCACAGTCATTAACCTCCATTAGGGAATAGTCAGCCAGGCCCGGCTGCCCAGGAACATCTCAGCCCAGGCTGCGTTGCTGTTTGGCTGTGTGCCGAGTACGGAGTATTATCAGACTGCCTCGCCCTAGAAGGGGGAACAGCCCCCTTCCCCTGCTGATATTGCTCTATTTCGGGAACGCCTTATTACCCAGTCAGGTTGGCCACTATCCCTGCCGCTATCCGTCCTGGGAACTACCCTGTACCGTACTGCACACGACACCCCGACTACACAGTAGACTCTGAGATCCACCACAGAGGAGCGACAGGCAGACACTTAGACGCGACCCGTGGTTGGCTCTCTCAACAAACACAACCTCGGACCTGCGTCTTTGTGGGCTTGCCGTGGCTGGGCAATTTGTATGCACTCCTGGCTGAAACAGAGAATGCTCATGTCATATTCTGCATGTCACGTCGATGCTTCAAACAAGACAGTCGACGCCCTCCTGCCCGTCTGCATCTTGCCCTGTCCTGTGGCTGACCAGGGCCCGCTCGACCTGATCAGAGATCGGCCCAGATCTGATCAGATGGCTGGATGGGTGCCATCAACCATCCTTTTTTTACCCAAAGGCGCGCTTGTTCAGCCCTCATCTGCTGCTGGACATGAACACCACACTGTCCTGCTTGTGGAAGGGGGCTTGCCTCGCCTCGGCCAACAGCCCTTGGGTCCCCGAGGCCCACAGAGCCGTGGACGAGGACGGCCATCAGGTCCCCAGAGAGAGAGGGGGAGAGAGAGCCCATAGTCCTTGCGTCTCTGTTGTGTCAGGCCCAGCCGACCCATCCCCTTTGAGCACATTCCCACGGCCTGGAGAAGCAACCTCCCTGGACAGGTACCTTCTGCTACTACCTATGCTACCACCTCACGATGCCCGCCAGACGTCTGCCTCGGCCGTCGCCAGGGGTTGCCGCGCTGCAGATGCCAGGTCTGATGTGATCTGATCTGACCTTAGTCTGCCGCCGGTACTGTAATCCCCGTGGCTGTGCTTTCGGGCCTCCCCTCTGTTCGCACTTCCCGCGCCTTTATTACACGAAACCCCTAGACAGCCGGAATGGACCACGGCCCACTAGGCATCAGGATCCCATGTGCCGTAGCGAGGCTGATCCTTCAACTCTGCTAGGCTGGATAGGAGGCTCCGAAGGCTCGCCTTGAGCAATCCCTCAGATCCACGAGGCTATTGGTGTCTTGCCGACCCTCTGCCCCCTTCTATCGGCCGAGAAAGATGGATGACTACCCTGCCTCCCCCCGTTGTGCTTTCTGATTCTTCCACACCATCCTCCATACGAGCCTCGACTACCCTTCGTGACGTATGTGTTCCCGCCAGCCTCATCTGAATAAGCAGAACTCCCAAGCTCCATTTACTGCCGGGCCGTACTGGAGTCCGTGTTCTATCCCCTCCTCCTCACCAACTCTTGAATGCTTGGCAACGGCTTCGAGGGCACATGCCAGTCCCAGGATGGGCATGATGCATCATCCCGGCACTCACATTCTCTCGAGAAATGTAGTCCCGAGGCCAGCATCCAGCCTTCGTGCCTTGCCCCATAGGAAGGTCACCCCCGATACTATCGACGACGCCTATGCCCAGTTCATCCTCTACTGTAACCCCGGTGTGCCGCCAGAGACCGACACCACGGTCTTGCGAGACGCCTTCAAGATCCCGCCAAAGAGCGGAGGCAAGTCATTCAGTACATACACCTTGTTCGAGTTGATAGGACTCTTCCAGAGCAAGGAGATCAAGACCTGGGCAGATTTGGCATTACAACTTGGGGTGGAGCCTCCGGACCAAGACAAGGGACAGAGCGCGCAGAAGATCCAGCAGTATGCCGTCCGCCTCAAGGTAGTGGCCCTGTACTCAACCAACACTTCGGAGCAACCACTAATACCTCCCAGCGGTGGATGCACTCGATGCACATTGATGCCTTCTTCGACTACCTGATGGGTAACCCTCACCCGTACTGGACAGATATCCCCACAGATCCCAACCCAGTCCTGGAAGAAGGCCGCGACGGGGTAGCAGCAGAGGACGACATGGCCCTACGGTCGTTGATGCCGCAAATTAGACCCCGCAGGGGTAGGAAGCGACCGGAGAACGAAGACTCGAGCAGGTCGCCCTCGCAGAGACCTCGGACCGAAAGTGGTGGTGAAGACCTGGGCGGAGCGGGGGGCGGCGGAGGCGGCATCCAGCCACTTGAACTCTGGCCTGCTCATCCGGGAGCAGCAACCGGCCAGGCGGTCTTCCCCTCACCGTCCCAAGACCAGTTCGCCCGGCTTAACTTGAACATGGGGGCTCCGGGAGCTGCCTGGGTGGGCGAGAACTTCACCCAGACCCCTTTAACAGCACAGTCCTACTCAGCAATGACGGCTTCACCGGGGAACGGGTTCTGGCCCGGCCAGTCTGTGGATACTAAGCCCGCAGCCGCTCCCAGCAAGCCTAAGGCAAACAAACGACATGGGGCCAAGGTTGTGTCTTCGGCATGGAGGAGCGGCGGTCCAGGAGGCCCGGGAAAGACACGCGGAAGACCGCCCCTGAACCGCCAAAGCACAAGTTCTACTAGCGAAGCCTCCCCCTTCCATGCGTTTCCTGCCCAGAGCAGTCCCACATACGAACATGTGTCTCCACATGTGACACCCAATATCACGACCGCAGTCTTGGCCGCCAGTCCGAATCATCCTGCCGCATCACTGGCTCCCGAGCCTCAGTCGAACCTGATCATGAACCAGCAGCAGCACTCTGCCTTTGATGCGTCGATGCAGGAACAATCCCATCCACGGACTCTGAGATCCGCCCGGAGCCGCCTTTCATTGCAAGTTCCAGAGAGAGCAGGCGCCGAGGTCAGGCTTGCATCCCCGCCAGGAAGCACCGGGCCACCGCCCGTGGTGATGCTAAATGGCAGAGACATGAGAGCCCATCACAATACTAATTACGGTGCAATCCCACAGAGCACAGAAGCCCTGGTCATGGAAGCGTTCGGCTCAGCAGACCAGAATTATATCCCTCTCCAGCAGCAGCCGCCACAACCCCAGCACCAACAGCAACATCAACAGCAACATTATCAGCAGCAACCCCAGCCAGTTGTGGCTACAGCGGTATCTCAAAATGACGCCCTCGCTTATGCAACTGCGGCCCAACAATCCCACCAGGTTCAAGGCTCGTCGTCCCAGCATCAAGCAGCAGCCGAGGACCGCAAGGGGGTCCATTTCTCAGACCCCAATGACCGAACAAACCTCGACGCCCTCGAATCCTTCTTCATATACGATATAGTAGGAGCAGACTGGTTCGATTCAGCCGGTGCTCGGATACCGCCGTGCAGCGTCGATGAGGCCGCGGGGATATACCAACAAGTGATAGAAGACGTCATGAACGGCGCGGCCAGCAAAGAGACGTTCCTGATCAACGTGGCAGCGCTGATCGGCGGTGGTCTGCTGAGGAGCGGCAGGAATGTCAAGGTGCACAAGACGGTGGGCGGGGACGGCTCCAGCGTGTACGACTGCAACTGGGAGCTACAGGTAGGGGACGTCAAGGGCGCCTACAGCATCCGCGTGGCGCTGCCGCACGGCAAGTGGAGGGGATACAGGAGCGGCAGGGGCAAGGTCAACACATATGCCCACGGCGCAGCGGGGGCTGATGAAGACGCCGAGGGGGAGGACGACGACGACATCGACGGCGCGCAGGTCGACCAAGAGGCCAAATGGCAGAGGAAGTACCGTGACCTGCTTGAGATCGTGCAGCAACAAAAGTCGGAGCTGAGTGATATTAGAAAGGGCATGTTGGGTTTGCTCCAGCAGCCGCGAACATGAACCCCTGGCAAGCTTGGCATTTCTCACCGCAGGGGTGGCACCGCCGGGTAGATACGACGCAAGGATGAGCCCCCGACACATCAAGAGACCGGGTGGGACAAAACTGTACAGGGCCACGAAAGGCACGGCAAGGCACTTGTCAGCTTGGATACAGTTCAAAAAGGTTGGGATAGAGCGAGGAGTCTCTGAGGAAAGGCGTTTTGTTTTACATTGGACCGGGCTGTGTGTTAATGATTTTTGGATTTGTAGAGCGCGTTCGGTTTGGATGCCTGGATAGATCGATGCCAGTGGTGTGTTTTAGCTGTTGAGATACCATAGCGATTTATTCTTGTCATACAAAGCATTGTGGCGTGCTGGCGACCGATAGCATAGACACACAGGGTAGTCTGTCTTGTTCTGCAAGGAGTTTGTTATGCTCTTTCGGAGATTAATGTCTTTGTTCACGCGTAGGAAACTATTATTCACCGGTGTATGACTTCCTACATGTACACTACCTCGATACGCCCGCGGTGCGAAAAAGGCTGACGGGTCCATTACTCTCCCCGTATACCTTCTTGTCTTTATCCATTCGGTATAGCCATGTTTCTCACTCCGGACAAGACTGACATCAATTGATTCGTCTTGGTATTAAGGCCGGCCATTTTGCGTGATATGACGGATTACTAAGTCGCCCAAATCAATTGATCTGTGGGGATCTTGGCTATTTGGGCAGCTGCTATCCATTTTCTCATTTTCCTTTTTCTCAAGGCTCTTCTGTGCTTTGTTACCACTAGTAATTTTGACCGTGTCAATGCTGCTGAGAACCTCGAGATTTCCTAGATTCTGCAAGAACGCTGCGTTACGCAAATAAGAGAAATGATGCTATTCCTGGGGGCTGGGGGCTGCTAGGAGGGAGCCTACCCAAAGTTACCCAAGGGTAACCTTGACAGGAGACTGACATCTTGGAAGCCTGTGATTCTGCACCGGGCCCTCACCGGTGTATGATTTCGACCTGATGGATCTGGTGAGCATGGGTGTGAACCTTTTTGGCGATTCTATTTTAATGTTCTTGCAACCCCCAATACCTCGTGATGACCTCGGAAGGCTGTCAAGTATAGGAACATCGTTGTGACCTTTTATTGATCTTTCCGGCGATGTCTCGTGGGTTGAGCGACATTAAGACCTAACTCCAGGGGGGTTTGCCGCCCGATTTAGGCTCCTACTTCGGGGAAAGTCCCGATGGGCAGCAAGTTTCAAGTTTTTGACAGATCCTTCGGATTCCTTCAGGGCTTCGGGTCGCGGCCTTGACGCCCTGGATTTGTACGGCCAAGAGTTCCAGACAGTGACACCGCAGCGTGGCTGTACCTGACTACCTGCTTAAGTAGGTACCGAGGTAGGTGGTAATGACACCAAGAGGGAGATCATGTCCTTAGGCAGTCACATCACACTCGTGTATCGTCGTTGTACCTGAAAGACGCCCTACAATAAGATACAACAGGGGCGGCCCCCCCGCGATCATGCACGTCCTCCCGGGTGTGCCGTTTTGCCACAAATCAGTTGGGCCCTCTGAACGGGGAAGATGAACTGTCAATGTACCTAACGACCTTGGAAGTCTACTTCTTACCCTCTTTTCTAAACCCGTCATATCTCCCAGGCACCAAAACCTTCTGCGATCAGATGACAGCTTTCGCCGCACGCGCGAGTGCGAACAGACACTAGGTCTTCAGCAAGGTCCATAGAACAGGAAATGCTCGACGATATACTTTTGTCGAAGAATCTAGTTGCAGTCAGAAGCAATTCCCCTGAGCCTTGTAGATATGGCTGTGACGAGGCTTGGGCAGGCCATGCGCCACCAGTTGTGCCCCCCCCCCCCCATTTTTCAGTAGTATCATTCCAGATGTCATTCAGTTTGTCTGTGCGGTACGAGGCCGAGATTTCGTGCTGGCAGACCATTTTTCTGTTCCCTTTTTACACTTTTGCAGCATTTTGTCTTGGTTTACGCTGCGTCTTTCAGCGTCCATCACTGCATGAAGGGGCCGCATACGCCTTCATATGGATTAAATAGCAACTTAGAAACCACACTTGAAGCCACTTTCAGTGCCAAGGTGTGTGGCTGAGGACTGCCCACTGGACAACTGCCCTCTGATCCATCAACAGATAGGCAGAGCCCTAATTTCAGACTTGAGCAGCGCGCTTTCATCCCCTAATTCAACTGTTGTGCCTGCGCCGATGAACACATACTCTCTCATTTCCTCTCATTTTCGACAACTTCTCCAAGGGGTGGCTGCATTTCTAATCCCTGTACATATGAGAAACGTACATAGCACCTTCATGCAATGGTAAATGCTTAAGTGGTTTTATTTCTAATCTCCATATATGTAAAATATATATAGCGCCTTTAAATAGTGGTAAGTGCTTAAGACCTAGTGTTTAAAAAGGTATAGTGCTAATAACAGTATAGAGAGAATACAGTACGTGGGCACGTGGCCTCAGCCTCGTGCCGCACAGACAAGGCTGGGAGGCATCGCTCCCGACGGCGCAGCTGATCGTCGACACAGCTAAATGCTCAAAGATCAAAGCAGTTGAAAAGCATGCCATGCAGAGAATTATGCATCTATTTTCTTACTTCGCAAAAACAGATTTATGACTTCTGGGATGAGGCAACTCATGAGAATGAAGTGTAGACAGCCAATATGATCCACTGAGAACCATGATTGTGTTTTGAACTCATTTTTCTCAACGAGAAAACCAACCTCGGCGGCTGATGAAACTTTTGTAATGAGCATGCATCAGTTATCCAAATATTCACTCATATGTCTGTTGGCGATGACCGACGCATGTGTAAAAGTGCCCGGCGGTGGTGTCGAGGAATTCTGAGAACAGCGCAAGTCGCAACTCTGTCGACCAGCTGCGATGTGCTTCAATGGGTCACCATATGTGCAAGCAAAATGCCCAGGTGCCTTTGAGGGAGGTGGTGAGACAGGCAGGGGGTCTGTGATTGACTGCCTCCTAGCTTGGGTTCAATAATATTTTAGCTTGTATTGAACCAAACCCATTCGCCGCCCTAGGTTTTTCTGTAACATTTGAATGGAATCTGCCTCCGCAAAAGCCATGATTTCATCGGTAGGGACTGCGCCACCGGTGGGAAACACTATTACCGTAACAACGCCGTGCCTCTAAAGAGTTGAATGTACCGTAATAAAGGGCCTTATGGCTTTCCAATATCTCTTTCTTGGTAGAAAATGTTCTCTAGAAGCTCATCACATAGGTGTCGTAGATATTATCCTGGAGCAATTTCTGTGGGTATCAAGTTAGAATTTGTTTTATAAGATGATGTCCTGTGGAAGGTTTGAGGGTTTAATACATGCTGTCGCCATGTAGTGGACACCTGAGCAAAGCTCGTCACTGGAACATCAGCACACAATTGCATGCACAGGACTCTAACAAAGCCCTCTCAGTGATCAATGGATGCGGGCCTGGTTGGCAGTAAACGATGGCTAGATTGAGTGCTCAGTTGGAGGAACTCTTGGCTGTATGAAGCCCATGGTATGCATGCTAATGTCAGAGTATAACTAGGGTACAGTCAGGAATTGGTAGCACAAACAAATCAGTGATAGTAATAATCAGAAGGCATTGGGCCCCAACCTGCCTACCCAAACTCAATGCCGAAACATATTTAATCCCCCCCGATCAATCCAGCAAAGTTGCAAACCCATGGAAAGTATGGCTCAATGATTGAATGAGCATCTCAAGCAGCCTTCTCGTCCTTTTGGTCACCTCCCTGGTCGCCCAGTGCGTTAGAACTGGTAGTATCACTCTCTCCGCCTGCGATCCTCCCAACAAGATCGAAATGATAAAGTGGCTTGAGTTTCGCGCCCCTGTCGAAGAGCACATGCCGTTTGATGAACCAGGGTAACCAGACTTTAAGTTGATAGTTGATGAATGTGTGGGTGGGGACAGCAAAGATGTAGTCCAATTCCTCCAACGTGCGCTGCTTCGTTTCAGGGACAAACAGGAATATCATAACAAGGGCTACCAGGTTGAGGCCCGCGTACAAGCAGAAAGAGCCGACCACACCGAAAGCCTTCAGAATGGCAGGGAAAGAAACGGTGAGAACGGATGCCCAGAAGAAGCAGGTTGCGACCGCCTAAGCCATCCCGACCTCTCGATGGGACAGTGGGAAAACCTCAGCAGAATATACGAAAGGCACCGGGCCCTCGCCGGGAGAGTAGAAAGCTGCAAATATGTAAATAAACACAGCGACGAGTCCAAGGTGGGTGGATCCTGTCCCGGGGATGAGGTTGCAAAGACCAGCAGCAAGAAGGGCCCAGGCCATCTGGAAAGAGAGAGCGTTAGAAAATGCCAAAGACTAATCGCGGCCTAGGAACTCTTACGTTTGGGAATGTGAACAACAACAAAGACCGCCGACCAAAGGTGTCAATCGTCCAGATAGCAGGCCAGGCAAAAATGAAATTGACAAGACCGAATCCGAATGATGCGATGAGCGCGTTGTAAGCGGTGGTGCCAGCCTCCTCGAAGATGGAGGATGAATAGAATGCTATAATGTTGATCCCACACATTTGCTGGGCGATCATGACGACAAAGGAGGCCAAGGTGGCTCGACGAAGGCGCGGGATGGTGAAGAGTTCGATGAATCGCCGGATATATGTAGAGCCGTGTATGATCTCCCTCTCAACCTCGAGCTGAGCATGGATGTAGTAAAGGTCCCGAGCTGCCTGGACTGGGTGATGTCGGAGTCGGAGAAGCGAACTCATTGCTTCCGGGTAGCGGTTTTTTTTCATGTACCAACGAGGCGACTCGGGACAGAAAAAGACGGTAACCATCAGCGGGACCGCCGGGATAAGTGCGCTTCCAAACTGCAACCTCCACGATATCGAGCCCGTTCGACCGACGACGAGGTTCGCGCAGGTCCCAAGACAGATTCCGAACGCAGTCCACAACTCTTGCAACGAGGTGTTAGCATGGCTTCTGAGTCGGGGTTGGTGTGGAAGTTCTCACGCCAACTCAACACAAGAGCACCACGGATAGCAGCAGGGGAGTTCTCAGCGGCAAAAATAGGAACACTGCTTCCATTTACGCCCATCCCGATGCCAACCAGGAGACGACAAAGAAGAAGCTGTTCCCAGGTCTGAGCGCAGGCACTCCCAATCACGGCCCAAAAGCAAAAGTTTGCGGCAATGAAGATGGCTCCTTCTCTTCTGGTCAGAACAGAAATTCGCCAATTGGAGATGTGTGACTTGCCTCGCCGACCAAAGTAAAAGTTCAACGGGTCAGATACCCAGCATCCGAGAAGCCTATTGTCAAGTCAGTATATTATCGGTAGTGGTAAATGAGGATGGACGGACGAGCTTCCAATGTAAGGACCGGAATTGATCAAGCCCAGCACATAGGTTCCGTATGGACTGGTCACATCGAGTCCGAGGGCTTGTGGAAACGACAGGTTCGCGCCGTTGCTCCCCTCTTGATCCCAGCCTTGGACAGCAGCACCGATGGAACAGGTCAATATTGTCATGTAAAGCATTTTGGGAACCCTCCATTTGTGTTGAAGCTCAGAATGAAGGGCGTCACGTTCCTCTTCAGTGAGCCGATGCTCCCCGGGGAGATCATGGTAATTCTCAGGGTCCTGGGCGATTAGCGCACCCTTCTTCAGCAAATCAGTGTACTCGGAAAGACACTTCTCGTCCGCGAAATCTTCCACCTGGGTCATAAGCTCGTGCTTCGGGATGCCCTCAAGCGGGTTCTTGATCGTCGCATCGAGGTTCGCCGTGAGGTCGGCCCTCTGAACCAAAAGGGAATGATGGATGCCTCTCTCTACGTGGCAGGTGGCTTCCGGTTGTGGCCTTGTACGCTATTAGTCGACTCTTCAGGATGGATGACAGACCAAGAAAGGTGCTACTTGCTTGACTGGCTCGTCAGCCGACCGAATGGGAAGGCCTGGCATTGTGGCCATGTGGTTGCAGTGTCGGGCTTCCGGCTAAGCAAGAGATAATGAACTCGATCAGTGGTGTCAAGAGTGGATAAGAATCTGCTCCTGCATCCACGGTTTTGGGCTCCGAAGAAAAGGAAGTGAATCACAGGCGATCTGGTGGCCCAGGTCCAGGTGGCACAGACGGGAAGCCGAGTGAGTGGTAGGAGTGAGAAAACAAAAGGGTTGGCTTGCCTCAAGGCAATTGCAGTTCCTCTGCAGAGGAAGTCGCACACGAGGCGTCATAATTATTGCTCCGACTTGATGCTGGTTGAACTTGACTTTCCCGTTCACTCCTGCCTTCCCAGCATCTGTGGAATAACCTTCTAGAGGAAAACCTGCTACGGCAGAACCTCCCATTAGATAACCTAGTCTTCTCATGGAACCCTTGAGAACAAACCCTAGCGATAAACTCATGTAGGGGTGCCTTCTAGCTCTCGTATCCCAATCTACCGTGGGAAGAATTTGCCGTTAAGTAGCTTGCCAGCTTTTTAGGGCAAACCTGTCAGAGAGAATCTCTTGTGGGGTATAGAATGACCTCCCTACCCCCTCCAGGACAACTTCCCAAGAAGATGACTGGTTTCATTTCTATTCCGTACACGTCCAAACCCATAAACGGCACCTTGATGAAGTGGTCAAAGCTCAAATACTCACCGTAAGAAAGAAAAATACAATGCCTAGAAGATAAATTTCAATGAAATAACACGTCAGAGGCAGGGAAGCCAGAAGGGCTCTTTCACAATACAATATACCGATAAATCAGAGGATGTGTTAGTTTTACATGAATACTAGGTAGTGTATTCTATAGACCTGTCTACCTGGCTCTTGGGTATGTCCCCACAGTGCTGCATGGGAGAGTTTTGAGGGTTTGCAAGATCGATTGTGAGGGGACAGGCTTGGCGAATGGGGATCAGCAGCCAGGAGTCATCCCACTGGAACAATGAATTCTAGATGCCGGTCGTGAAGTTGTAGATAAAGGTGCCGGTGTGGGGGGAACAAGCCGGAGAGGCAAAAGTTGATTTTCTGAGCGGATAATCCATGTAACTGGCTTCGATTCTATTCCGTATACGTCCGAGGACATACATGGCGCCTTCATACGGTTCAATCCATGTAAACGATGCTCAATACAGCTTGTTCCGCAATTCGAGCCTTGGCTGTAAGCGGCAGAGCCCAAGCGGGGGTTGATATGGTCCGGGTTCGAAGGTTTTCGGGCGCATATCTTGTTTCCTTTTGTCGGAGAGTGGCGCCAAGGAAACTTGGTAGCGGTGATTATTACTGCAGATTGCTGACTGCAGTCCCTCATTGAAACCATACTTGCATGCCCAGGGATTACATGGTGCAGGCATTTGTGTAGATCAGCATGGTGGAAGAGGCCTCAGATGACCCCACGGCCGGCACATAAAGTCCACCGAATCCCCTCATTATACGCTGATAATGTGGGATGCCTTGAACCCATGACCAAAACAATGTCGAGGGGTTTTGTTCCTGACGTGCTTTGGCCAGAGTCATGGACGATAAACAGGTCGCTGTCGACCGCTGTGAGGTCGCCTCCACCGAGCAGGTGGATAAGACACTGCAATGGAAACGAGATCTCCTCCTCCTCCCCATTCTAGGAACAATGCATATGATTCTCTTCCTGGACCGGACCAATATCGCCAACGCTCGTATAGAGGGGCTCGAGGCCGGCTTGAACATGCCGCCGACGGGTTACAGCACCGCATTGTGGATCTTTTACGTCCCTTTCATCCTGGCTGAGATCCCAAGCAATCTGATTCTCATCACGGGCAAGATCAAGCCTAACCTATTCCTTGGTGGCCAAATGTTTCTTCTCGGTATGTTGTGACGGTCGGTCAATCAAAACATCCTACATTGGCCCTGCCAAGTATATACCCTTGTGACATCTGGACTGACCCTGACCAGGTATCCTCGGAATGTGTCAAGGACTCACGGCAAGCTACCAAGGACTCTGGGCGATTCGCTTCTTCATGGGTGCCTTTGAAGTGGCCCTCCCGGCAGGGGCGGCCTATATGCTCTCTATGTATTACACGAAGCGCGAGTCATCGGTCCGCTTTGCCTGGTTCCTTAACTTTGCCCTCGCTGGCCCTATATTTTCTGGTCTCCTCGCCTATGGTCTTGTGAACTTGGACGGTGTGGGTGGTCTGGAGGGCTGGAGGTGGTGAGTCTGGTCTCCAGGTGCGGTTCATTATCTGAAGGAGGAGTTGAGCTGACTTGTTAGTAGGATCTTTGTTGTGGAGGGTCTAATGACTGTCGTCCTCGCCGTGGTCTGTACTTTGCTCCTCCCGGACTTTCCAAAGAATGCGCAGTCTTGGTTTCTAAAACCCCAAGAGCGCGACCGCCTCATCGAAGTCCTCGAAGCATCCCGGGGTACCGAGACCAAAGGATCCGCCATTGACTTGATCCCGATGTGGAAGGTCCTCATTGACTGGCGCATCCACCTCTTCACGTGGTGCTATTTCTGCTGCGACATCACGGCGGCTTCGATCGCCGCCTTTGCCCCGACCATCCTCACCGAGCTGGGATGGCAATCGAAAACGGCGCAGCTCATGAGCATGCCGATTTGGGCGTCCGGGATAGTCGGCTCTCTGTCTGCCACCTGGCTAGCTGGGCGGCTCAACCTGCGGGGCCCTTTCGTGATATGCGGCATCTGCTTTCAGCTTGTTGGCTGGGCTATTATGTACGTGTACATCCCACAGGCTGGTCTGCGATATATGGCTCTTTTCCTCATGTCCATTGGCACTTTCTCCCAGATGCCTTTGCTGCTTGGCTGGCTAAGTGCCAACCTGCGCGGGCAGAAATACCTCGCCATTGGCATGGCATGGATGATCGGGTTTGGAAACTGTGCAAATTTCGTTTCATCAAACATATTCTTCAAGTGGGAATCGCCCAGATATCCCACTGGATTCACATCAGGGCTTGCGTTTACCATTGTTGGCCTTTCCACGGCCTTAGTCATTTGCGGGCTGCTCATTTGGAGAAACAAGAAGAGGGACGCAGCTCGTCGGCTGATGAGCGACGATGAGAGGGAACGATATGATGAGTTGCATTTTAAGCTTGTCTACTAGGATTTTGGTCAATCATAGCTATTTGACCGACGTCCTATATCCTTGGGTCAGGCTCCACTGGGGTGTGGGCTCTAGGGGAGAAGACATCGATATGTCCGATGGTATATTTGGACAACAGCGGGAGATAGAATTTTAGCTACCTATATCGCAGACCGAGAACATGTTCAACGATGGGAAAGGGCTCCCTGTAAGGAATAAATTTCAACACCCACCTCCGTCAAAGACTCGGGACCTCTGAGCTCGTTGCGTAACCACCTCGGTACTCTTTCGCAAATCCTTGCCTTAACCAAGTGAAATCTCCTGTTTAAAGGAACTGCACATTGTTTTCACACCAGCCAATTCGTTCATCCCACCTTCTAGGGCCCGCTTCAGGCAGCTCTTTTGTCTCACCAGTTGACCGCTTAGAAGTTTCGTCCCCTTTCTGACTTCCACCAGTTGACGCCAATTTATAATCGCCGCTTCGTTGCACCAGGCTTCGACCAGTCCAATTATGCTGATGGCAACTGAACCGCTTCCAAGTCTGGCCTCTTGACTTCCTACCACCGCCCCGAGTCCGTCGCTCCAGCAAACTCGACGCCGCTGTCTGCTTGGTGTCGCCATTCGTATTCGGCGCGCGCACTCCAAGCGTGTCCGCTGCACCAATCGCCATGTCGTCCGTACAGCCGGCGAATTACACCCGCTTTCTCGAGCTTCCCTTCGAGATACGCTGGGCAATCTACGAACTGTGCCTGCCCAATCGTGTCATTGGTGGGGAGATTCACAACCTGGGACTCAGTCCAAGAAGCGTTATAAGCACAGAGGACCAGACCGCTCTCATATGTATTGTGACCAGGTCCAGTAAGACTCTCGTCCTCGCGATATCTATCTGATAGTAGTATTGTGAAATGCTCAGGCATGTATTCGACTTGCCAGACGCTGAATGAGTATGGAGCTGGCGAGGCGACAACCTCGAGGGCCTCACCGACCCAAGACCAATAACCTTTGATCCGCGGTCTGAGGATCTCTGCATTTCGCCCGATGATTCGGTCCCGAGGTCCTGGATTAAGAAAGCCAAGACCATCTATACAGAACCCCGTTCTACCTCGCACAGAACAAGGAAGCGTCCCTGGTCATCTATCAAAGATGCGTGTATGCTTTCCTGGCGTACAATAAGCTTGCCGGCCAATGCCTGTTGGACCGCAAGAAATGCATCATCATCCTGAATGAAAATAGACGCATCAACTCGGCTGAGTGGATCTCTTCCTGCGGCATGTTCGGCATGTTCGGCGAAGATCGATAGGTGATTCTGGATGTGGACGACTTTAAACGGATCGACTGTTTCGGTAGGAAGTTTAACGGCCAGGTCATGACCGACGCAGAGAAACTTCGGGATGATGACACCGTTGCGCCCGGCGGCATCAGGCGATATTGGTGATATGGCATGAGCGCTCGCCTCTCGTCAGCTCCAAAGAGCCTGCGGAGGTTATCACGAAGGATAAGGGGGAGATACCACGCCGGCTCGAATTGGTCTGACTGTTCATCAACGACCCGCCCGTGGTCTCGAATCTTTCCAACGATTTATGGGACGAAAACTTCGAAGAGGAGAACCCCAACGTCAAGCGCTGGTTAGACAAGTTGCCAACATTCACATTTACGGTGTAGGTGAGTGCATGGGATCTTGAAGAGACGGCGAGGTTATTAAGTGTCAAAAGAGCACATAGGCGACGATCCAGTTTGACTTTTTGAGACGGACCTAAACAAGTGAGACGAACTGCTAGCCATTGATGGTCTGGTCCCCAAAGAAAGTACCAAAGGCAATTTGATGGAATGCCCTTCAGGCTGCTGGGAAATCGAGGCAACTACTCGTCATCAATGAAAGTGAAGGCTAGCGAAGTTTGGCACAGTCGGCAAGCTTATTCGGGATTTCATAAGTGAGGTTTCCATGGATCACCATTACTACTACACAATACACCAAGGCTTTTCCCGAGATGTGTTGTCAGATGATGTAACAACTTCCTGTGCATTCCGCGATCCACGTGTTTTTGAACAACCGGTAAGTAAGCAGTGCTTTGTACTCCTGCGGAACCTGACGCCGATGCTATGAGAAGACAATGCTACACACGACATGAGCAAGCCCTGGGTATATGCACCCCGTTTTGCTTTGACAACAAACCCACATCAAACCTAACGCCCTCGCCTTGCTCCCGTAGTTGCCTCGACCCGAGTGGCTTTCCCCTGCCCCTTTACGCTTCTGCCGCTGCTTGAATTCTTCCCTTGAATATGATTTGCCCTTGTACTCGGTAGATATGATGATCCACAATCGATGCCATTCAAATGAAACAGATCTTTCCCACCCCAACCACGTCCTTCTTAAGCTACTAGTCCTTCCTCGTCCTCCTCAAACGTCAGCTCGCTGGGTGGCTTGTACGCGGGCGTAGTGCTCGTCACCCTGCTAAGGAAGCTCGGCCTGGCCGGCGTGAAGCTCGGCCGCGCGGGTGTCCGGAAGGGCGTGTAGTCGATGACCATCCTGGATCTCCTCCCATCGTTCACCGGGGCGGGTGTGTTCCACCTCGAGTTGCGTCTCGTCGCCCGGAAGTCCATCATGCCGCCGAGCTCGGGCACCCGGTCCCCGCCGGAACCAACGCCGCTCGTCTGCGAGGCCCACACCCCGAAAAAGTGGCGCCTGTCGCGCCGCGCGTTGTGGCCCATAAACTCTTGCGCGGCGCGGTCGCGACCACGCAGGGATACCGAGGCCAGTTCCCATGCCTCCCAGTATTGTGATGCCGTCTGCGCAAAGTTGTACTCGGCCGCGTCCAGCCGGCCCTCGTCCTGCGCCTCGAGGAGCGAGTGCCAGAGCAGGAGGTGGGCCTCCTTGTCAGCGTCCTCGGCGACCTCATTAGAGAAGGTATAGTACTCGTGCTTCTCGCGCCAAGCCTGCGCAACGTCGAAGATCAAGCCGCCGTCGTCCTCGGCGCGGATGTCGTCTGCCTCCCAACCACTAGTTACGACCTCGGCAGACTTTTGCCGCCACGAGTCGAGGCTCTCTCTGAGGGTGTCGCAGCGGACGCGGTAACGGAAATCCATGTAAAGAACGCGCATGCGACGTTGCCATTCCTGCCGGCGCACATCGCGCCAGTGCTTCATGACGCTGTCACTGATCGAGTAAAAACGACCCAGGCGAGACCAGTTGTGTAGCCTGCTGACTGGCTCAAGCTGGCCTCGCCATTGCTCGATTGCCTTTGGCACCACGCGTTGGAGGATCATGCCGCGGGCGTGCATGGCCCCTATTTCGAGCTGGTCGATGGCGTCGATCGAGGCGTTGAAGAAGCCCGTAATTGAATCGTGGTACCGGACTTCACGGGCGAGGTGGCGCATTGTTCGACTGTTGGTATGTGACTCCGCCGCCGCTTCGGTCCACTTTTCACAGAAACGTGCTCGTTCCTGTCGCTGGGTGACGCGTTTGCACAAGATCAGACGCCATTCGCAGTACCAGTGATAGGTGGAACTGTCGAGTGCCTCCGCATCCTGTTGCTCCTGCCACGCCCTCAGTCTTGTCTCGTACATCCAATGCTTCGCATGCTCCTTTAAGTCCTGGACTATGGCAATCTTTTCGCGACTCTTGCACTCCTCGGCTTCTTGGCGCCAGGCGAGTGACAGGCCCGACCGCAGAAACTCGTCCCTACGAACAATGATCGGCCCGGCACCATCTTCAGCTCTTTCTTGTATACGCGCTGAAGTCTTCCAATACCTCATGTACCTGCCGAGCATGCTACCTCGGAAAATGCCCTCGGCTTCTTCATGCGCAGAAGAAAGCCAACTAGATTCGCCCTGCCAGTGATAAAGACAGGCCGCACGCAAGCGAGTGTGGTCGATTGCCATGGCTATCCGCATCTTGGATTCTTGGTACCATACGATGAGAGCGTCCTCGGTCAAGTCACGCCTGCGCTTGCGAACAGCAAGCGCCTGGGCCCGTCTTTGCTCGCCGGATTGCGTCTGTGCAGCGTCCCGCCAGTCCCTCATAGCGACCAGCTGGGAGAACCACACTGCTTTGCTTTCCGATTCAGACTCATCTCTGTCCCACTCCCCGATCCAAGCACTGAAGCACTTCTTTCGAAGAATGTGGCGTCTTGCAACCTGTGTCCGTTGCACTTCCTCATCTGCACGATTGGCCCAATGCGTGAATGCTTTCGATAGGATGAAGTAATCCCAAGCGGCGGCTGCTATGTGATACTGTGAGCGAAGGCTGAGGTCACTGTCGAGCCAGGCTTCCTCGTCTCGCTCTTCCGGCGCATCATAGAACGAAGGCTGCCGGAAATCGAGATCTGGATGCCATTCGCCATTGAAGGATTGCATTTGTTGACCTTGGAATTCCGGAAGACGACCGTGTGGTGCTGGCCGATACGGTAATTCCTCCACGAACGTTCTCTCGACTGAAGGTGACTTGCCCATGGCTTCTCTGTCTGAATCCTTCAGGTCCGAGATTGACCTGGAGGGCGCAGCAGATGACCTGCTGCGTTCGATGGATTGTCGAACGTGCGGCTGGACGGTCTCGCCGGGGAGGATCGGCGGCACAACAGCAGCGCCCTCAGCGCCCTCAGCGCCCTCAGCGCCCTCAGCGTCTCGCTCAGCAGACTCCCTGCTGCGCTCGAGCCCTTCCATTTCGCGCATGTGCTCTTGATAAGCCCGCAGACCGTCATTCTCGTCAATGTGCATAGTAAGCGCAGTTTCGATCCATATCTCAAGGGCATCACCCATGGTGCCCCAAGCATCCCACACTTCGGCGTTTGCTTCCAACTCGATATTTCGAGTCTTGGTCTGGCGGGCGATCCTGGCCCAATGATTGAACGACGACATCCTAAACATCTGTTCCCTCGACATGAGGTAGTTCACCTGGGCCTTGCTCATGTCCTGCTCGTCAGCGGCGTTTCTGGAAGGTAACTTTACGGAATATTCGTCGTGTCGTAAATCATTATATTCCTCATCGATGCGTTCTGTTTCTCGGGTGTCCTGCTCTTCCTCATACTGTGGAGGGTGTTCCGGGAGACTCGGCTCCTCGATGTAGTCGGCCTGGTCACCAACCAAGTCCATGCTGCTGGAAAAGTCTTCGGAATTCACACCATTTGGCAGGCGATCCCCGGCTTGTTCCCCGGAGGCCCGTCCGTGGTGGCCGAAATTACTGAAATCCGGAGGAGCTCGATTTTCCGCTCTTGTCGAAGGCCTGCCGTCGACTTCTTGCCCTGAACTTGACGGCCGGACATGAGCTGACCCGTTGAGCCCTTTGCCGGGGCCGTCAGCTTCCAGGCCGCTTCCTGGCTTGTCGCGGTAAGGGATGTTCTCAATGGTAGACGGCCCGCTGGCGTTCTGATCCCAGGAACGTTCAGAGATGCTCTGTGTCTCCACAACATCCGAGAATCGCACGCCCTTCTTGTTCGACTCCGGCGTCTCACCCGCGGTCGAATGCGCCCGAGCGTGCCGGATTGGAGGCTCTATACTGGGTAGCTCATTCCCGGGCGCAACAAATGACAAGGCAATGCTGTCCGAATTGCGTCTGCGGCGCGGCGCATAGTGCATGGGACTAGGCGAGCTGAACCTGTCTTGTGGCGGAACAGGTGGCGCCAGACCTGGTTCCAGGGGCGAAGACTCGTCGCGTTGAATGATGTGTGGTCTAGGGGTGGGTCCGCCTCCAGTCTGATCACCGTCGCTCAGATCCTCGTCTACGCCATCCTCAGCAGTGGAACTCATCGAGTCATCCGTGTAGACCACTTCGATGCCCATGCTCGACAGGAGGGATCTAAACTTGTCGACCAGTGGCTCGTCAGTCCTGTCCGCGCCGATGCGGAATAAGAGGCGCGAGATGTGCGGGACATCTTCTGAATCATATCCATATTTTGGGAGGACTGTGTCGGCGGCCATGAACAGCGCATTGGTCGCGAGGCGCTCCCGCTCGGGGAGTGAGTCGAAGATCTCCTCTCCCTGAGCAACAATCTCGTGGAGGATGGTGATGTCTGTTGATCGCACACAATGTAAGTATCAGGTCGCCATGGCAGAGTGGGATTGAGGAGGGGCAGGAACCTACCCTCGTTGCTGTAATATGGTTCTGGTCTGGCTCGGATGGGGGTCGGAGAGGGGCGGTCGATACCACTCCCTCCTCCATCGCCCCCATTCCCGTTGGGAAGAGGTGTGTTGTGGGCGGCGCGTTGCATGGAATCCAGGACAGGGGACTTGACTTCGATGTCGCCGTTGTCGCCGACCTTGACCTCGACTTGTATCTCGCTGAAAGTGGAGTCTGTTGTCTCCCTTTCTTCTGACGGGCTGGTGCTCTGTATCGTGGAAGGAGAGCCCCCTCGACTAAGGGTGGCTGGTGGTACCGGTAGCATTTGCGAAAAGGACGGGTGCGCCGCGGATACATATCGAGAGGGAAACAAAACTCGGCGAGGGTTCAAGCGTTCGAGCTGGCAAGCGAGGGTCTTGGGCCAGGAGAGTGCACAATGTGACTGAGGTCGGGCGCGGAGAGGCGAGGTGAGGTCAGGTCAGGTCTCATTGAGACGAAGAGCGCACAAAAACAGCAGCTGGCTCAGCTCGTCGCGGCCGTCGTAGGACTGGGGCAGTTGTGAGGGGTTGCAGGATATCGATGCATTCAATTGCAGGAGCCAAAAGAGAGCTGAGGGAAAACAATAGTAGCGGTTGGGGCTTGAATAGCGTTGCGCGAAGACAATGGGGAGGCGCGTTGCTCGAATGCCGCAGATGGGATCGCGTACCAGCGGGAGGCTGAAAAGAAACGGCATGGTCTTGAATGGCTTTCATTGGGGGGACACTAGCAACGGGTGACCCCCCCCTCCACAGACCCCGGGAGCCATTGAGCACCAGCCACTGGTTGTCACGGTTGCAGTGGAGCTGCCTGAGATCGATCCTTGTTCAGGAGGACATCCCTGCACCGTCTTGAGTACGGTCGAGAGGCCGTTTCAACACCAATGAATTCATCGACACATAAACTTCTCCTGACCCAATGCTGCATGAACTGCACGACTCAGGACACCCCCCGGTTTTCCTGTTCATCTAAGCTCCCAGATCTATATCCTCACCCTATTCTTTGACTGGAGTACCCATCCAAACCCAACAACCCCCCCTCCCGATTGCATTGGGACAGGAAGCGCAGAGACCAGGCAATATGCAACCAGCAAAGCCAACGAGACCAATCCAAAAGTTTGCTACCGCCGCATCGAAATGCACGGCCGAGGTGAGTACCTACCAGATGGCATGGAGCAGCTGTTGCGGGAAACATGTTGACCGAGAATCAGTCTGCAATCTATGGCAAGTGTATTGTGGCAGATTACAACTCAGTGTACAAGGACAAGTGTGCCGCTGAGTTCATGAAGCTGAAAGACTGCTATTTGGTAATCACTAATGCCTCGGCCTGGACCGTCCTCATACCATAATCTTTTTTGTCTTAAAATTGACCAGTCCACAGAAAGCATACAGGTCTAGATGAGCATGCAGGGCAGCACGCAAATCACATCACTTTGGATTCTTCGCAGCTTCATATGGAACTAATGGGAGGTTCGGTCTATCAAGATTTTGCCTGCCTCTCTTTGGCCAACGGTCCCAGGCGGGGGCCCCTTCTATATAGCTCTACAGCTTCAACAACCGCAGCAAGAAAGTAGCGGACTGCACTTCTTGCATTTCCTCAGCAATCACACCCTCTTGTTCGCCCTTGGGGATCTCGCCGTCCACCTGCGTGACGTTGTGCTTGTCCATGGGCCGACGGAGCGCCTTCTCTAGCTGCTTCGACTGCGTCACGAATACCTCCTCGATGCCCAAGCTCTCCGGGTCAGACAACACGTTGTACTCCATCTTGATATCATCCGTTGGCTGCAGGCCCGCCTTCTTGCGGAGCTTCTGCACCCTGTTGATGATCTCACGGGCGAGACCCTCCGCCTTGAGCTCGGGGTACATCTGGCAATCCAGGATGGTCAGGACATCACTGTCCGTGTTGACTTCCGAGTTCTTGGTCGACTCATCCTCCTTGATACCACGGCGGACCACGAGGTCGCCTTCCACCAGCTCGATGCCGTCCACATTGATCTTGCCTGATGCGACGTAGTCCTTGACCTGGTCGCTGGTAATGCCTGGCAGGGCCTTCTTGACCTTGCCCATGTCCTTCTTGAGCTTCTTGCCGAGCACCGGCCAGTCCGCCGTGACGCTGTACTGGACGTTATAAGAGGCCTCGTCCGACGTGAGGATGAGGTCGCGGACATTCAGCTCCTCTGCGATGTAGCCCTCCAGAGACCGGACGTCCTCCAGATAAGTGGCGTCTGTGTGAATAACGACCAGGGTCTTGAGGGGAGTCTTGACTCCGATGGCTTTGCGCTCACGTGATACTCGGGCGAGATCGATGATGTTCTTCATCCGGCTGACCCTGCGCTCGATGTCCGGGTTGAATAGCTCTTTTCGGACCTCAGGGAATTTGAGGAAGTGCACGCTCCGAGGATCCTCCTCCCTCAGGCTCTCGGGGATGAAAGGAAGGAGCCTCAGGTAGATGTTATCGGTGATGAAGGGCATGAAGGGGGCGAGCCCTCTGCAGAGTGTGTACAGGACCTCGAAGAGAGTGTTCAAGGCATGCTTCGTGTCCTCGACCCCGTTCTCTCCCTTGAGCCGCTTTCGGTTGAAGCGAATGTACCAGTTTGTGGTATCATCAATGAGTCCGAGCAACCTGGGCGTCACTGTGTACAATCGGTACCCTGATACACTTCATTAGCATAAACAGTCGGGCCCCGGGGTAGGGCCTTGCTCACCGTCCATTTCCTGGTTGACCCACTCCAGAAGACTCTGGCAGCTGGCAAGAATCCACTTGTCCATGACATTGGTATTTGTGGACTCCATTGTAGGGTCCCACTGGTAGTCAATGTTTTCGATCTTCTTGAAGAGAGCAACCTGGGCGTTGAAAAAGTTGAAGCTGTTCCACAGAGGCAAAAGCACTTTCTGCACAACTTCCTTCACACCGGCCTCCTTGAAGCGTAGAGGCTCTGCTCTAACCACGGGGGAGTTTATCATGTACATCCGCAGGGCATCGCTACCGTACTTTTCCATGACGATCGATGGGTCGGGATAGTTCTTGAGCCGCTTTGACATCTTTTTCCCATCCTCGGCAAGCACAATGCCGTTGACTACGCAATTCTTGAACGGCATCTTGCCGAACAGATGTGTGCCCATAACGACAAGAGTGTAGAACCACCCTCGAGTCTGGTCCAGACCTAGTTTCCGTGTTAGAGCATCGTTCTCAGAAGCGAGCATTTCTGTTTGTACCTACCCTCGGCAATGAAATTTCCTGGGAAAGATTCCTTGAACTTGTCCTGGTTCTCAAAGGGGTAGTGTTGGCTGGCAAAGGGCATACTGCCTGACTCAAACCAACAGTCGAATACCTCCTCAATACGCCTCAACTGACCCTTGCCCTTCTTGCTGGGGATGGTGATGTGATCGATCTTGTCACGGTGGATGTCCGTCAGTTCTCCTTCGTATCCACTCAGTTCCTTCAGCTCAGCGATGCTGCCAACACAGATGCGCTCCTCGCCGTCGTCGCTTTGCCAGATGGGGATAGGAGTACCCCAGTATCGGTTCCGCGAAATGTTCCAGTCACGAGCGTTGGTGATCCAGTTCGCAAACCGTTTCTCCTTGACAAAAGAGGGTGTCCAGTGACTGGATTCGATCTCCTTCAGCATCTGTGGGACAATTTCCGGGATGCGGATGAACCACGAAGGCACAGCACGGTAGATCAGGGGGGTGTCGGATCGCGGGCACATCGGGTAACTGTGCTTCAACTGGGAGTCGACTACCAGCCTTCCCTTGTTCTTCAGGGCCTTGACGATGTGCTTGTCGGCCTCTTTGACGTGCATGCCCTCGAAGTCCTTGACTTTTGAGGAGTAGCGACCCGTCTCATCAAGCGGGTCTGGTGGCGGCCGTTCTTCGGTCACAATGCCAGCTTCTTTCGCGATGCTGAAATCGTCCTGGATTTGGTCAGCTTCAGTTTCTTGAGACGATGTCTGCGAAGACACCTACCTCACCAAAGGCCGGAGCCTGGTGTACGATACCCGTACCACTGTCGTCCGTGACGTATGTGCCATTCAGGACCCTAAAGGCAACATCCTTGAAATCCTCGTAGTAGTAGTCAAACAGAGGCTCGTACTTCCAGCCGAGCATGTCCCTGCCCTTTACCTTCTCAATGATCTTGAACTTTGCCTTCTTGGGGTCCTTATACAGAGTGGTCAGGAGCTTCTCCAGAAGGAGGTAGTTGTCACCTGACTTCTCGTCGGCGATCTTGACGTATTCAAAGTCGGGATGGACGCACAGGCCCAGGTTCGTAGGAAGGGTCCATGGCGTTGTCGTCCATGCCAGCAGTTTCGTCTTCGGGTCGTCCACTAGGGGAAAGGAGACGACAACAGCCGGGTCTGTTACGTCCTGGTAGTTTTGGTTTGCCTCGAAGTTACTCAGCGAGGTGGTCAAGACAGTACTGTAGGGCATAACGCGGTAGCCCTGGTAGACTTGGCCCTTCTCGAAGAGCTCCTTGATAGCCCACCATTCTGACTCCATGAAGGGCGTGTCCATGGTCTGGTTTGTAACTCGTTAGCCTCTATCTTCATAAACCCTGCCTTGTGTGTGCGGGCGCATGTAGGGGCATTGGCCAGGCAGATGGCCTTGTCGCTACCCACCTTGTAGTCGTTGTCGAAGTCGATCCACCGCCCAAGGCGCTCGATGGTCTCCCTCCATTCTGACGAGTATCTCATGACGATGCTCCTGCATTCTTCGTTGTACTTGTCGAGTCCCATCTCCATGACAGCCTGCTTCCCCGAAATCTTGAACTTCTTGTCGATCTCATGCTCAATGGGCAGACCGTGGGTGTCCCAGCCGAAGCGTCGCTCGACATGGTAGCCCTTCATGGACCAGTAACGAGGGATAATGTCCTTGATGGTGGAGGCCAGCAAATGGCCATAGTGACTGCAGGTCGTGTTAGAGGGGCTCTGTCGGCGAAGGGCATGACACGAGCGGTGAAACGTACGGGAGACCAGTCGCGAATGGAGGGCCGTCGTAAAAGGTGTACCTCTGTCGGCCTTCTGAGAGTTTGACCTGGGCAGACCAGAGTTAGCTTCCTATGAGTTCTGGTCAGATTGAGGAGTCCTGTGGGCATACTTGTGTCTCGAAAGCCTTGATCTCTCGCCATCTCTGGATGATGTCCAGCTCCTCCTTGGGGAAGTTAATGGAGGCCATGATGGGCGCAGTCGAGCAATTATCCTCCGACCAGTACCAAAGAACAAAAAACAGAAGCTACAGATGAACGATGGGTAACGTGTCTGGGAGGGAAGTGGGCTTGCTTCTGTTGCCCCCCTTGGTGTTGCTGGTGGTTGTCTGCTTGAGTCACAGCACCACCAAAAGGATGACTCTGAATTGATGGGCTGCTGGAAGTTTTGGAGGGGCAGAATTTCCAGAAATCGCGGGGTACTCCGACCGACACGGAGCACACACAGTCTACTGGGTATTAGGCACTCGGAAGGTGCAGGGGTTATGGGCTCTGCCGAAGACGGGCTAGGCCTAATGTGGTAGCATCTCATGGACGTGGTTCATTACAAAGACTTGGTGGGAATCCTGCGAGATGAATCAAAATGCGGCAAATTCAACATGTTTGACACTCTCTGTGACCTTTCGAGTGTTGCCGTCCTCGTGGTAAGGTGCCATGGGTTTGGGTAGCCAACTCGTGGTCCTGAATAGGCAGTATTGACATAGAGTAGGACGGATGTGTTCCAGTCTGCGATAGCGGGCTTGTCAGGGGTGCATTGGCGTTGGTGCGTCCCCGTCTGGTGCTAGTACTGTACAGTACACAGTACGAGGTACTCGGTAGATCCGGGACCCCCAGGCGGGCCAGGGCTGCGAGTGGTCGTTGGCCCGGATCAAAACATAATAAACACAGGAGGGGCCGGGTGTGGTGCCCTCGTGCGTAGGGAGTAGGTAAGTACTCCGTACCTACCTAGGCACGTATGTAAGTGGTGCTACCGGGCAGCCCAGCCCAACCCGATCCCAAGCTCCAAAAAAACAAAGGCGATGTTACAGACGGACGGACAGCTTGCCCTATCCTTCCGCATCACCATTCCCTCAGAGGGGCACCGTTGTTGGAACATTGACCTGCTGCATTCGAGATTGCAGTGTGACCTTGGGACTTCTCAGCCCCGGCTGACTACTCAAGTACCTACTTGCCTGCTTGGGAGGTACTCCGTACTCTCTGCCTGCGAGTGGTTGGCTGCTCTGGTGCCTGTGGCTCGTGGCTCGTGGTCCATCAACGCCGCCGGGGCCCCCTCCTCGGGCTGCTCTTTGAGACCAGGCCGGGCTTGGGCATCTGCTTCAATCCTCCCCCCCGACAACCACAACCCGTCACACCATGTCTTTCTTCTTCGGGAGAAACAGGGCGCGTCCCTCCACCGTGGACTTGCCCAAGCAGGCCCGGGATTCTGTAACTAAATTGGAGAAGCTGGACGGACCCTCCGGCCAGGCAAAGGTAAGTTGCGCCGGCGGCCATGGCCTTCGACTCCTTCGCCTCGACACCGCCGCACAATCGACTTGCACCATGCTGACACCAAGGACCTCGGGCAGGCAGAGGAGCTCGCGAAGACGCTCAGCCAGATGAAGCAGATACTGCAGGGTACACAGGGTATGCCTTCACCCCATCATGCCGCTCCGCCCTGATCCCACCCACCGACTGGTGCAGCTGCTGACCAGGCAGCCTGCAGAGACCGAGGCGACCCCCGAGCAAGTATACCAGCTGGTCCACGGCATGATCGAGGAGGACCTGCTATATCAGCTTGCCATCAACCTGTGGCGCCTGCCGTTCGAAGCCCGCAAGGACACCCAGGTCATCTTCAGCTCCGTCTTCCGATTCAGACCTGTCACCGCCTCCCCAAAGTCCGACCCCGTCGCCTTGAGCTGGGTCGTCAACAACAGACCACAGGTCCTGATCGAGCTCTGCAAGTGTTATGACCACAAGGAGAGTGCGACCCCGGCTGGGTCCGTCCTTCGGGAGGTCCTGAAGAGCGAGGCTGCTGCCGCTATAATCCTCTACGATGATGGCGAGGAGCAAGGTTCAAGCGCCAAGGGCATCATGGGCATCGACCAGGACAGAGCCCAGTCAGGGAACGGCGTGTTCTGGCGTTTTTTCGATTGGATCGACAAGAGTTCTTTCGAGGTTGCCGCGGACGCCTTCACCACCTTCAGGGCAAGTCTCACCCGGCGCGCGGCCTCCTCCGTGGTCTGGGCGACCCTCGTTTGCTGACAGCATCAACAGGAGATATTGACCAAGCACAAGGACATCATACCGAGGTATCTGGCCATCAACTTCGACATGTTCTTCGATAAATATAATCACGTCCTCGTCCAGTCCTCAAGTTACGTCACAAAACGGCAGTCTATTAAACTCCTGGGCGAGCTCCTCCTGGACCGGTCGAATTACAACATCATGACAGCCTACGTCGACAGCGGCGAGCATCTCAAGATCTGCATGAACCTGCTGCGTGACGACCGCAAGATGGTACAGTACGAGGGCTTTCACGTCTTCAAGGTCTTCGTGGCCAACCCCCACAAGTCCGTTCCGGTACAGAAAATACTGTTGATGAATCGGGAAAAGCTTCTCCAGTTTCTGTCACGCTTCCTTGAGGACCGCACCGATGATGAGCAGTTTATAGACGAGAAGGAGTTCCTCATCAAGCAGATACGCAATATGCCAGCGGCCCCTGTACCTCCCCAGCGGTAGCCGGCCGGCAACCCGACAATGGCTGGGAACACGGCACCAGCACGGACTTCACGAATATCGCCCTGGACAGTTTCATCTGATCAAGGCAAGGGCAGCACACCAGAGCCTACCACGCCGTTATGTTTGGGTCCAACCCCTGGAGTTAAGGGAGAATTTACACATCACTGGGTTTGGGACTTGATGGAGACGATGGGTTATTGACTTGTGTTTGACGAGGCGTTCTCCCTAGGGCTCAGACTACCAGAGCGATCACACCATACGCATGCATTCCATAAGGCGTCAAGGAGAGGCACATCCACGATTAGTGTGCATCGTTTCTTTTTCGGCGAGATCTCAGAGTACGCGGGTGGCGAGGCAGTTACTTGTTATTTCGACCACTTCCATCAAGTGGTAGCTGACTTATCAATATGGAATCATCAAGCCAATCGCTGGTGTCTGCAATGCCCGTCCGAACAGTCGGCACTATCGGTGAAGCGCCGTCCCATCTCCAGCGACGCCAATCGCACGGCAGACCCCAAACAAGAATGACCCTGATAAACACAGAACTACTGAGAGAGTCCGCCGCCGCCCTGTCTCGCAAGGACACCAGAGACGAAGGCCACTTGGAGAACGCCAACGAGCTGGCGCTCTCCACTGTTGACTTCTACAGCCCAAAGCATGATAAATATTCCTAGGGCTGGGGGAGGGGCATTTCGTAAACTTCAGGCGCATTTGAGTGGCGGGTTTGAGGCAAGAATCTTACAAACTAGGTAGGTGGCTTCACCTCGCGCATTGCAGCGACTCCCAATTGCCGGTGAGCAAGGTGGAAACTCGTCTGGCCCCTTGAGGGTGTGAACTGCGATTCATGCTACCATACAACACCCGGCTCGTCGTCCGCGAAGATGTGATCTCTTCGTCGTACAGCAGCCCACCTCCGATTGCCCGCTCTCGCGTGTTCTTCGGCCTCCCTTAGCCACTGCCTCCATCTCCTCGTACCGGGCGCAGCGCCGCTCCTTTGCGCCCAGCGCGCATCCTTCGTCTCTCGGATGACATACCACATTGTTCTGGTAAAGCTCCGGTACCCGTCACACATGTCGTTTGGGTCAGTCGTGCGGTCGGCGTGCCTCGCGTCCCGTGGTGTGACATCTCGCCACTCATAACGGGACAGGTCCCAATAATGCTCCTTGGACACCATGCTCGCCAACCAGTAAGCACCATTTAACACGATATAGCTGGCGCCAACCATGGTCTGGCCCTCGAACCCGACGTTGCCAAGCAGCACGATGCTGACCATGAGCATTGCCGTACCCAAGGCCATCAGTAGCTTGTGCGCCCGGTCGCCGACGTGATATTCGCACTCGGCCGTGCCGGCATATAGCTCACGCGCCACCTCGTCTGAGCACTGAACGAGGATGAAGCCCCCCTGCTGCGTACGAATGACAATGTCTCCGGCGGTGACCTTATCCCTCCGCGCGCGCACCATCAACACGGGTCGCCACCACGATGCATATCCTACAATGGACGTCCCAAGTGACACGATCCCCACTGCGAGCAAGGCGACCCCATCCTTCCAGTATATCATCATTCCTATGATGACTCCTGTGAGAATGAATGATGCTGCTGAGATGAAATTGGTCGGGCTGCTCCACTTCGGGGTGATAACCGGGCGTTCCTCTGTCAGCGCCATAAATGTCTCCGACATAGGATCGATGGACTTCTCGCTAGGGTGTTGTCTGAACAGGCTCCCTTGTTCTATGTCTGAGGTGTACGCAGCGCTACTCTGACGCCGCAACCCGCTGCTGGATTGGCTTCTCCTGCTACCCTCCCGGCGACGCTGTCGAGGCCGCAGGTCCTCCATTTGGTAGGGTCTTGCAGCATCCGTCTTATCCTTCTCGCCAGGAAAAGTGGTGTCGACTGAGCCTGGATCCTCGCCATCCCTGTGTTTGACTTGAATGACCTTAAAGCCATAGGTTGGCAGGTCATCCAGAGGGTGGATAATATTGGCAAAAAATCCGAGGGTATCCAGAACAACGCCGGAATAAACCCCAGCCACCTTTGCCGGGAAGTCTGGCATTCGATGTGGTCGTGAGGGCTTCAGTAATGCTTGTGGAGCTGGCAAGATACGAGGGAGGAGACAAAGTGCCGAGGCCTCAATCTATACATGCGGCTCATTAGCAACAATGTATTAAGCCCATGCAGATATCGGCTTACCGCTTGAGCGTGAGCTTCAATTTCTGACTCCCCAATGACGGCCAAGAGAGTAATCGCATCTAGCCTCCATGAGTCTCGGCTGTCAGGAAACCAGCCCTCGACCCCGTACGCGCCATTGGTTGCCATATCTCCCTCCTATCAGCCCTTGATCGGACGGTATTGAAAAAACACGGGAAATTTGCGACGAAAACAGTCTCGCAAAAGAGATAGTAGAGTTGGCGGTTCGTTTATACAGTAAATACGCAGTCCCGCTTGTGAGCGCGAGCAACAAGCAGTTGCTCACATATCACAGGATTTCCATCCAGCGAGAAGACTGGCGGGGGGTGTCAGGCTTCTATGGATCGAAGCATGGGTGTGCAGGACCAATATGTCCCCATTCATCGCCCCAGGAAGCATGGTTAGATGTAGCTCCAAACTCTGATCTGTCGCCGGACTGCGTATGGAGCATCCTACCATACCTGGGACAACAAAGACACAGCACGCACGTCATCGGCAGCCCGCTAAATGTGAATTGGGTGACATTTGGCAGGCTCTCAGGAAGGGTTTGGCCTGTAACGAGTACTAGTGCTGGCAATATAGAAAGAAGCATGACATGGACGCCGCGATGTACATCCACTTAGACCTCCTTGGCGCAGTCTGCCTCCAAGGTTTACCACGGTTGGCCTCGCGGCTAAGGTCGCTGCACAAGGCGCTAAATACCCACGTAGTCGTGTGAGATACTAGGATCTCTTCTTGCATAAGCTGCATTAGATTTCGCTTGTGCAGAAGCCATATTGTCGCCCGAAGTTGTTGATATAGAGGTTTATATCACACCCAAGGCAGTGAGCATTAGCCATCACCTTCATTCAACGCTGATTTGCGCTAGCCATACTTCCACCGTGAAGCCCACAAGTTGGCCTGGTTCAGAGTCTACTTCTGCTTTTCAACCCATTCCTGGTGCTTCGCCTTCCATTCATCACGCCATCTCGTGAGTGGTGGCCTTCCCTCAATGGCGTCCGAGGCGCCCCAGAGCATCCGTTTGCGATCCTGCATTATACTTGTATTAGCCTGTGTAAATTGGTAAAAAGGCAAAGCCCCGGATTCTCTTCCCAGCCCGCGTCGAATGTGTGCCCACTCACCAGATCCTCGGTAACCTGGTCATCCGGGCACAGGACCCAGAATTGACCCTCGTCCATTTTCTTCTCCAGAAAGTCCACAACCTGGTCAGGCCACCATGCGCCGTCCGGTTTCTCCTTGCCCTCTCCGGGCCGGTTGCCGCAGAGACCTGTGAAGGTCCAGCCCGGAACTAGTAGGTGCACAGAGAGGTTCTTCTCGTCACGCAGGTCGAATGACAGGTGTTCGGCGACAGCCTTCACCGCAGACTTGGAGGCGTTGTACGCCGGGTTCCCAGGCGGGTTCGTGATGCCTTGCTTGGAGCCTGTGATCACCACGGCGCTGGGCGAGCCGGAGGAAGCCGTCGACTTTACGTTGGGAAGCAGGCTGCTTATCCCGTTGATCACGCCGAAGAAGTTAACGTCCATAGTCTGTCGGAAAGCGTCGGGCGAGTCCCAGGACGACTTCAGCCCGAAGCCTGCGTTGAGGGCCAGCAGGTTGACCTGGCCGTTGAGGTCCTTATCGACCCGGCTCTTGAGCGTAGCCCAATCATCCGTCTTGCTGACGTCGACCTTGATCGTGCCGATGTCCCCGCCAACGTTCTTCGGGGCTGCCTTGAGCGTTTCCTCATCCCAGTCAGCAACAAGCACTTTCATGCCGTTGTTGAAGCATTTCTTGGCCAGCGAGAGGCCAACGCCGGATGCGCCTCCCGTGATGACGGCCGTGTGTCCTGCCTTGAAGATCGATGCCATGTCGAGATGCTGTATTTTTCACAGGCTACCCAGTTCAATGAGTTTCATGAGGTGTGCAAGATGAACACGTGTAGGGTCTTAATCGATGTTGGAGATGTGCGCGACGTCGCTGAAATATGTAGTTGGGAAGCTCGGAGTTTAGTATAGACAACGCACCTAAGTCCGATACGACTCCATTGTACGGAGTAAGTGTACTCCACTGGCTACCTAGGTAATTTGGGGGAAAGATGCAGCACAGGGCAAGACATTGACAAATGTTTCCTGTCAAGAATGATTGAATGGGCTCACCCCTAGCCATCTCCCCGAGGCCATCAGTGACGTAGCGGACACGGCTTCGAGCTGCCTGGGCCTAATCTGGTGTGAGCCCAAGAAGGGAATGGTAATCCGGTGTCCACCACTTGATACATTTCAACGGCCTGTTATGAAATAGAGTCATATTAGGTAAACTCGATTGAGACATGCCTTGCACCCTTCAGAGGAGTCTTGCGTGGCCTCACATGCGCCCTTTGCGGTCTCCAAGCCATGTGCCAACCTTGGAACTGTATGCCCTGGGTTCCCATGATTCCCTTCGACTTTTTACTTTCCCGAGACTTTCCGATGACCCTCGGTGAAGAAGATCCAGAAGTTTTCCGTTCTTCTATAGTGCTAAATCATCATCTGGGTCGGCTTGATAACTCCCTATTAAATTATTGAACCGCGGCCTTCGACGCAACCGTCGCCCTGGCGGTGGGCCTACTTGATCAGCAAATCGTACTCTCAAATCCCTCCCTGGCCTGTTCCGACGCAGGACCCCAGGAGGTGGTTGCACCTGGTTGTTTTGATATTCGGGCCTCTGAGGTGGCGGCATGTGTGACCCATCACCTTGGAGGAAAGCCGCTCTTAGGTCGTCTGTCCTTTCACGGCGACGCAGCGATCCTTGGCGAAAACCTGCTCTCAGATCATCTACCCCGTCGCGGCGACGGAGGGGCCTTGTTGGTGTCTGATTTGCTGTGGACGGTAGCCTTCCGATATTCAGGAGGTTCTGTAACTGTGCTAAGCGGCTCTGTACCATAGTGGCCATCCAGCCAAAGGGTGCTTGTTTAATTCCCGGAGGGCGGTCGCTGCCTTCTTGGTCCTGGTATATCTGCCTCAGGTCATCTACTGGTGCAACGCGACGCGGTGCCAGTCGTTCTGCTTTGTCTGCCACCGTCGCCATGCCGCTGATGCGCAACATTCCTGCCGCCTCGGTGAGGCGATCCATGACATCAGGTCCGATGGCAGCGAGGCCGGTCTGCAGGCTTGCAGGAGCTCGAACAGGGGCCTTTATATAGGGTGGATACAATGTCAGCTTAATCACTCGATCGAGGTAGAGAGAGATTGAACAAGATTTATTCTTACAGCTGGTGGCTGACTGATATGCTCATCCACCCAGGCTCGGATCTCATCTTGTCCCACTCTCCAGTCTGGCTGTGTTTCCCTCCAGCGGGCCCATCTTAGGAGCTCTCGCAGAGACGGTCGGTCCGCTGGATCGGCTGCAAGGCAGCGAACTAATATGCTCGCAAGATTGTTGTCGAGGGGCCTCTCCGATTCGACCACGCTGGGATTCGCGAGCCAGGCTCCATAAGTGTGGAAAGGGTTCACTAAGTTGCCGTCAAAATCAGTGACCCGGAACACAAAATGTGTCGGGAACAGATCGGCCATCGCAACATCGTCGTTCAGGGGACCAACTGCCTTGGGGGGGTTGGGCCATGAAGCCTGAGTGATTAGCATATGCATGCACTTGAGGCCTTGAAGTCAGATTTCTCGCTCTCACGAAGCTATTCAGGACGGAAGCGGTAACTCACGACGCCGATATGCCAGATGTTGCTATGCCACCCGTAATTGCCAGCTATCCTGGGTCGTGGGGATTCCGCCGCGGGCCACTTATTAATATAGTCCCACTCTTTGGTAAATTGTTCCTTAGATGGAATTTGCTCAGCACACTAGATGCGAAGCCAGTCATCTACATCGACACCTCGACAAAGGGCACCCACAGGTAAAAGGTATGGCATTTTACCGCGCAGCCTGGTTCCCCAAGCTCCATTTCTGGTCGCCTTGACGTTAGTTGGAAATCCTTTTCGACGGTGTCTCTTAACTTTCAAAGCGACAGCGGTACTTACGATGAATGGTTCTGATTATCCGAAGCTGTGCGAGCTAGGCCAAAGTCCCCGACCTACTAGAATACTTAGCGGGCCGCCGTTGTCAAAAGAACTGTTCATACTGCGGCTATCGACTTTCTGACCTTGAATATTGGGACTTCAGCATGCTCGTCGTTGTCAAAGTCCCCAATCATCACTTGAAAATGTGAAGCAAAATCAGTTTTTGAATATATTTTCCAGGCTCTGTAGTTGGTGGCCAGGAACCTACCGTTTTGGGGATCGAGATCGAAGTGGACTAGATTATAGGCGAGTAGCCTCTGGGCCTCCTCCGTGACTCCTGGCATCAGACCTTCCTGGCCTTCTGTCCCTGGTGGTTCGACCCACCTATCAACTCCCGAGCTTGCATCTCTTACGTGTCTAGGTGGGAAGGCCATTGATATGCAGGCTCTGATGACTACATATGTATCAATATATCCCGTGAGTGACCCGCATAACACCTAAATGGCGACCAGCGTCTGCATCTGGAGGGTGTGTGAACAACTTACGGCAAATGAAGATCTTCCAAAGGACTCTGTTTGGGACGGGGATTCCAGCCGAACCAACTCGTGTCATGAAGCCAAGCATATCCCCATTCTTCATGTATTCGATACACATGATTTCCAACGAATTATCAGCCTCTTCCCACTGCGCGATGCTCTCCGTTTCGTCCGAACCGTCGCCCTTGGGGATCATGATGTCTCCATTGAAACGCAGGAGCTGAACAAGGTGCCTCGCTCGCTTCATGGCCTGTTTCATAAGTATCAACCAGAAGGTGTCAGAAGTTCGCACCGCAACATGACTAAGATATTTCTCCATGGCGACATACCAGTGTTGTCGCCTTCTCTCGCTGCAAGACAGCCCCCTCCAGCGCAGTTGACTTGATTACAACCCTTTTCCATCCCCTCATGGTGTTGATTTCCCAAAGGCTCACCATCCCTTGGCCGCCACTACCGAGAACTTTCACCAGACGGGCATTGATACCCTTGCTACGAAGCAACCGGCGGACGCGTCCAGCTCCGAGCTGTGCTGGTATGTCGTCATCCAGCTGTTCTGGCAGAAACCTCTGACGCCAAAATCTCTTCCAGTTCTGGGCCTGCAGGCGAACCATCTGGAGATTGGACTGGCTGGGAAGTCCGTTCCAAGGCCATCCTCTGCGTACCGGGCGGTTCTTTTCGGCGAAAGTTGCTCCTTCGCCCCTCATCTCTGCCGCAATTCTTTGGAGTACCACATCAGGGTATAATCGTTTTACGCCGTTTCTGTAGTCGCCGAACAGAACCGCCAGATCTCCCTGGATATTGCGTAATGTCACAATGCGCTGTCGCGTCTCGGGGTCCATGCTGGCTGAAACTGATTGGAACTGTTATTCACAGTGACCAGAAATTTTGGAGTGAGCCAGGTGCTTGAAAAGTCTATCTCATACATTCAACCTTGTTTGCTGGAAGTAGGAAGAGGTTTCCTCACAAAGTCCATTTTAGCAGCCGCCCGATTGTTCCGCAAGCGGCAGGGCTATTCGAACACAAAGAACCAACAATTGCCCTGATGGTCAAGGGACCGGACAAGTACTTGTGCAAAAATATAATTACGATCTATGGATTTCTCATCATGAAATGGGACTGATTCTGATCTATTTGTTCAGTCAAAAAAGCACTGAAGAACAAGAGGCATGGTGCACTAGGAGAGCCCCAGGCATTTCAAACAGCGCCCACCCATGTCGTGGGCGGCCTAGATTCCGACCACACACTTTTTAATGCAAATATACCGGTATGCTCTCTGTTCTTTTCTGGTGAGAATCTCAGATTTAGTATTATATTTAGATAGTATGTAGTTACTATGTTCCAGTTATGTCTCAACCCCCCCCCCCTTCCCCGGCAGGCTCTTCAGGCATCTTCACCAACGACGGGCATTCGGATGAGACCTAATGCAGTCCATGATGAGTGCCGGTCTTGAGTATTCCCATTTGAGTGCAGAAATTCAATATACAGCTATGGCTGATGAGTAGTAGTGCTGTTACGCAGCACCGCAAGCCTTGCCAGCCCTACACACAGTACGTCCACCTGCAGTCTTTATTCGTGGAATTCAGTCTAGTGATTGACTGCGTGAAAATTATTTAGCACAGTCTCCCTAGATAGTGTTGCTATAATTTCAAAGGCCCTGCCATCTGAGCGCGATCATTGATTGAGGAGCGGACACTGGATCAGAGATGAACGATCGGCAACACCGTTTTTTCTGTCAACCCACTACCAACCTATCAGCAGCCTGTCAGTCAACAGCCAAATGTTTTCGTAGTCTCAAATACCCCAGTAACAATTTGGGTATCCCATCCGCGTCAGTGAACGAGAAGCACGGCCGCCAGGGCCAGCAGTAATGTTTAGAGGCCCTCCAAGCTCATATTCGCAAGGGACACCATTAGGAACGGCGTTTTAGATGACATTCTGTCCAGACATTCGGTACTCCTCGGACGTGTCGAGCCCGGCACCCTCCCAGTAAATGGTTTTGCGAGACCGCAAATCTTCGCGCTGGTCAAGGTGGAAAGTGATGTCCCTGATGGAAAGAGGGTCAAGCATGTACAGGTACTTTTACATGTGGTGGCCCAGCTTCAGGCCCCCATTCACTGCCTCGACCTACCTACCTAGGTAGGTACATATGTGAAAGCATGTGTAAATTGCCTATTGCGACCTTGCACGGATCCACGAAAGGAAGGTCTCACCATTAAGCCAGTCCACTCGAGGCCTGGTAAACACGTCCACCATTCACGAGACTCCCCTGCCGCCCTGCCCCAGGTTACGGACCGGGCCAAAGACTCAGAGCAGAGAGTATCAATCTCTGGAATGTTCCTGAGCCACAGCTTCCCTAATCAAGGGCAGCTTCTAGTCTCAAAAATAGATTGGCCCTGTTAAATCTTTCGGGCCAGAAGCCGCCGACAGGCTCGTATGTCTGAAAATAAGAGTTGATAGTGGTGATTCCTTTTCCAGAAGCGTCACTCGACTCTTTCAGACGGCATCACAAATTCATAGTACAAGTTCGAAGAGTGATTATGTTAGTGCTCATGTTCTCAAGGGTACCTAGGTATATCTGTATTTAGGCACATGTGTGTGTTATGATTGCTGTCCGCGACGGTGCGGGCTGGGCGCAATTGCAGCGCCCATGCATTGACCGAGCCGGACGAGAATCGTCACAACGACAGCCACGCGATCGAGGCTCACGACAACAGCAGCCCGCCACCAGCGGAGCTTGAGAAGGCACTTCGCAGGCAATGATTCGCCTGCGATTTCGCTCTTCATCACTTATCCTCTGTCTCCTGCCCTCATCTTCCCAGGCGCGCTGAAATTCCTTTTGTGCGCTGATCACCCTTTCAAATCCTTCCTGTATGCTTGTATGCTCCCGTATCCTGAATTGGGCTTCTTCATGTGCCTGCTGGTCGTGCCGTTGGATCTCGCTAGCTGTTTCCTTTGCTTGCTGAAGCTCTTGGTCTCGTTTCTTTTTCGCGTCGCTCTCCGACTTCTTCACAGCTTCTTTCACTTTTTCCTCGATTTCAGCTTTCTTCTCATTATCCTTCCGGATGCACTCTCTATCCCGCTCGCGTTCACGTTCTATGCCCTCTCTGACCTGCCTGGCGATATCTTCATCGCGTTGCTGCTTTTCTAGCTTCTCTCTTTCCTCTCTTTCCTTGTTTTGTTGTATCCTTGTCTCAACCTCCTTACTAATCTGGTCTCGCACCTCTTGTTTCTCCTTTTCCTCTTTGGCCTTTCTTTCCTCCTCCTCACGTCGTTGCTGCGTGGCTGCTTCGTCGATCCGGAGTTTCTCTTCTCTTAACCTCCGGTCTTCAGCAGCCTGCTTTTCTTCTTTCTGAAGCAGCAGGCGCGCGGCTGCTTTATTGATCCGGTCCTCTTCGTCCTGTTCCTTCTTCTTCTCATCAGCTAATCTCTTGTCCTCGTCCAGGCGCTGCTTTGCAGCCGCATCGTCGATCAGGCGTCGATCGGCGGCCTGTTTCATCCTCAAGTTATCCTGTCTCCTTCTCTCCTCCTGCTCAACTCTCTCTCTTTCTCGAATAATATTAGCCAAAAGCAATTGGGCGGCCTGCCGATCGCTGTCACGAATGGAATCTTGGAAGACTTGTTATTTCACATATTCGGTATGTTATCCATTTACAAGGACTCGGACACCGAAACGATGTAATTGATCAGAGCCTGTTAAAGCCGGACTTTCAGTGGGGAACTTACTCATTTCTTCATCCATGTGTTTTCGACAGTACTTGACGTTCGAGTGCTTGGAGTTCAGACAGAATGGTTGTTGAGGAGTATGGGCCTTGCAAGTATGGTTATCACAATACCGTGATAGTCCCGAAGGTCTGCCACTCCTGTTTCTTAAAACTAGGGCTCTCCTACGGCATCCATTCTTTTGACAGTATCTGTTGTGCGTGCTGTTAAAGGAGCCCATAAGTAGCCTTGAGAAGGAGGAGCTTTGAGGTAATGGTGCCAATATATGCTCCAAATATCGCTCAGACTGAACACAAATATGTCAAGAAAGTTTCAGCAGCGGGGGACCGAGAAGTTCCAGAGGATCATGCAGAGTTTGATGATCCTTCCAGAGAGCCTTGTATTTATGGTAGCTGGGTAAGTCAGGTCCTCAGCCTGCCTCAGCGTGTGATACAAGGCAACCAGTCCCCAGAACCCATCTTGGCAGACCGGCGGTCTAAATTAAAGCAAGTAGCATGCACAGGTGGGTTCAAAACTGGTACGGAAGTTGAAAGGCTCTCCAATAGACTCGCGCAACTTGCGAGCCTTATTTCTGGTCTCACATGTTGGAACAAGCTGGCACGCATGGTATGCACCTCGTCAAATTGACCGGTTTTGAAATCGCAGGTACTGTTTATGCAGCCTGCAAGTCAGCGTTGTATGAGCCACAACTCATCTATAAATGGCGTGTGCCGTGGAGGGGGGGTGCGAATAACGAAGTAGGGACAGCCTGCAGGCTTTTGTAAAGAAAAGAGGCTGAGCGTCATGGTCTTCCAAAAACCTTGAGCCAGTATTCTGTTTGTTGGTGCTTCTTGAGTTGCAAGGTTCTTCAGAATAAAACAGTTCAAGCCACTGCGAACCTTCCGCAGCTGCTCACTGACTCTTTGGTCTCTCCAACTTGGACAATCCGGTTCAATGGGGCGCGGGGTGGTCGTACCCGCGAATGGGGGTGAGACAAATCGAGCTGACTCTGCAGGAGCTGAAGGAAAGCTCAGCAGCTGTCGGATCATGGGCGACTTTATGATCTCAAATGCATCTTTCAGGACCCCAGAACGTGCCAAGGTAGCCTGACTGACTTCCTCCAATTCAGGAGGATAATCGGCGTGATCACTCTAACATACCTAGGTACGCACTTTGGGCTGCATACAAATTGTCCATGATGGACCGCCACCCTGGGTTTCAGTTCTCAGCCGTGACTGGTTTCTTCCAGCACGACCAGGAGCCCGAGGGACCACGATTTCGAGCTGCAAGTAGTCCCATGCCCAGTCAATCAAGTTGCCCTCGATCTGACGTGACTCTTTGATATTAGACCACACTTCCAAGTGGTTTCGTTTTTAATCCCCATACATATAAAATATACATAGCACCTTTATATAGTAATAAACACTTAAGATTTAACGTCTAAAGAAATATAGTATTAATAATAGTAAAAAGAGAATATAGTATATAGGTATATAGCTAAGCTTTATATTATATAGATAAGGCTAGAAGGTATCACTTTTAATAATACCGTATTATTAATATAAGTAACCTAAGGGCTAATTTACTATAATATTAGAGTTAAAGCTAATAAAATAGTTATATAGTGAGACTAAAATAGTCTTAAAATAGCCCCTATAAGAAGAAGAATCCTATAATATAAGACCTAATAAGCTAGCTTTTTCCTATTAATACACTTAATAGCTACCTAAATCTACCCTTACTAGGTAAGCTAGCTCTAATAAAGTTAGCATATAATACCTAGTATTAATTCTTAAGATACTCACATATACTATAATTTCTATCCTAAGTATATAGCTAATAGAATAATAATATTATAATAGTAAACTTATTTAAGAAAGCCTTTTTATATAAATTTTATAAAAAGATTAAAATCTTTTTAAAAAACTAAGTAGAGTTTATTTATTATATATTAAATAAATATTATATAAGGAAAGTGAAAGTTTAAGTATTTAAAAATTAAATTTTTTTTTTAAGTATACTACTTTATTATTAAGGATTTATTTACTTTTATATAATATATAAGGAATATAGTGGAAAAGGGAGCCCTATAAAGGAAGCTAGTAACTCTACTATATATAGATAAGTTTAAGGGTATATATTAAGTAATTATTAACTTTATACTTAAGGTATAAGCTGATAGCTAGTCTAAAAGCTGAGAAGACGATGAATAGATAAATATATAGTTGAATAAAAAATACAATGTGGCCGAAGCCACCACACTTTCAAATCTCGGGCTACTCCCACCCGGCAATTCTTCGGATGATGAGAACGGTTGGGAGAGCTTTCTCGGTCGTCTTCGCCAGTTGAACCAAGAGGGCAAAGCCAAGTACAAATTGTTCTACTATATCAGACACGGCGAAGGCGACCATAATATTAAAGAGGCTGAGGTTGGCAGGGAGGAGTGGGAGGTATGGGTTCCAAAGTTCCCTCGTTCTATTTCTCAACAAGACGCTGATCAAGGTCTCCAGGGTCACTGGGCTCGGCTGGATGGCGACGACACCAGGACTTGGGTAGACGCCTATCTGACAGAAAAGGGAAAGCAGCAAGCGCTTGCTATCTCAACTTTCTTGAAAATATCAAGGGCACAGAACGGTATGCCAGTCCCAAGCAGGCACTACACAAGTCCTTTGGCACGTTGTCTTGAAACGACTAGCCTGGCTTTCTCGGAACATAAGGGCACGGAGGGGCTCAAAGCAATCGTAAAGGAAAACTTACGAGAGCGCATGGGAGTTCATACCTGCGACAAACGCCGCTCTCGAACGTGGTGGATACAAGAGAATTATCCGTCATACCAGATTGAGGATGGATTTGCGGAACAGGATGAACTCTGGAAGAGTGATACTCGCGAGTCTTTGGGGGAACATGCTCTGCGTTTAAATGAGGTCTTGCAGGACATATTTTCGAACGACGAGGAAATCACAATTTCCTTGACTTCTCATTCAGGGGCAATTAGGGCCTTGTATGCTGCCATAGGTCACAGAGAGGTCTGGATAAGCCCCGGAGCCATGGTCCCTGTGCTCATCAAAGCTGTACCAATGTAAGGAAGATCTCGAGAGGTGCTATTGCTTGGAGGTGATTTTCTTCTAGAGCTGATCTATAAATGCTGGTGCTATTTGATACGCCTCTTCGGTGTTGCTGCCTTTCAACCTCTTTCTGGGTGAGGAGTAATCACATGTGACCTTTGATAATGGCCCGTTTCCCGGGTGCAACCAGCGAAGTTTTGATAGAAAAAGAAGCTTACTGTGGCGACATCAGGCTATATTCAAAACCAAGTCCCGTATGTCCTATATAGCTGAGACTGATCTCACGGGCGCAGATATCCGCCTTATATGGTCTCCTGCTTCTTCGAACGCTTGTTGCCAAAATGTCCCGGTGACAGGATTGAAATTAGCCTGAGCCTCAGATGCTCGCACAGGTCCCGGACATCTGGACACATGAGAGCCAATTTTGGAGCTGAACTCAGGCTTTGCCCCCGCCCTCGCAGTCATTTGTACACCTAAGCAATTTATGAAGCCCCCCTCGCTGCCTTGGGATTTTATAAGCGACAGAGTCGTGCGCCCCTCCGCCGCGGCCGGATCACCCATCACCTTGAGATGCCACTCTACGAGTGAATATGCCAAGCCTGGTGGATACAGACAAGGTGTCTGGACTCTGGACTAGTAATATTTAAAGTGGATAAGAGCTCTCAAGTGCTGACATGCAGCAAGGCAGCCTGAGTTTCTCTCGGGGATTCGGCGCTGTCGAGTGGAGATCGCGATTTCTGACTGAGCCACCCCAACCAAGTACCCTGTCAAATCTATAGCAATCTCACCGTGTGCAGGGGCAAGCAGCGGCCTATATCTAGATTGGTGACCTTCCCACTATGTATGTCTTGGGTGCCACTGTCGAACTACGCTCGCACTCGGCAAGAAACAATATCCGAAGGGTCAAATAGTACAGTACCCTGACATTCGGTACATACCCGAACCGGTAGGTCTTCCACGTTCAGTCAATTCTATCCAGTGCTTCTGGGCTTTTGTAAATCCAAATTTTCCATACAGGTACACTTGGGTAAGGCCACACATATTTGAATCGTGGAAATGTCATTTTGTTCAGAATGAGAAGCACAAAGCGAAGACAAACATATATACTGATCTAGATACGGCCATAGGTAGCGAAAGACCGAATTTCCCAGCGAAGCCAGACTGTATATCTCCCCAATCAGTCTAGATACAATGCCAGTCTCTCGATTTTGCCCACGCATAGCCGTCTTCCTGTTCGGGTTTTGGTTCGCCATCCAGGCCAACTCGTTAGGATTTGCAGTCAGGGATACTGAACCTGCCGTCACCGTTGTTAACGTGACAGAGGCAGCAGGCGCTCCCCTCCAGGACGCAGAAAGGCACCAGCTGACGGACGACGTGGTTGATCGTATATTGAGCGACGGGGTTCCGGTTGGTTGGGCCTCGCACTTCGCGTTCGAGGATATCCTCGGTTCGAGTGAGCGAGAGGAGAGTGCAACAAAGGCTTGCAAATCATTCCCTGGCGATTCGGACTGGCCTACGGATGATGTTTGGGACATTTTCGATCAGCTCCTTGGCAGAGCCCTCATCCCAACCAAGCCTTTGGGTGCTCCTTGTTACGATTCCGAATGGGGCGCGAAAGACGAGGCCGAGTGCGCCAACATCATCAGCAATGCCACCAACACCGAGTTCCTCATCACTGATCCTACCGCCAATCTATGGCCCATTTTTCAAGGCCGCACCTGCCAGCCCAAGAATGACACGTCCGAGTCCCACTGCACGATCGGCGGCTATCCAGAGTATGCGATCAACGTCACTACTGTTGCGCAGGTACAGCTCGCCATCAACTTTGCCCGTGCGGCCAACTTGCGCCTGGTTATCAAGAACACGGGGCACTGTTACCTTGGGAAGTCACTAGGCGCCGGTGCGTTGAGCCTGTGGATGCATAATCTTAAAGACATTGACTTCTTGCCTGATTACGCCGGGCCCGGGTACTCTGGTCCAGCGCTGAAGTTGGCTGCGGGAGTGAGCGTCAGAGAAGTGTACCAGGCTGCCGAAAAGCACGGGGTTACGGTTCTAGGCGCCGTCAGCCCGGTAAGCTCTATCTCGCGAACGTGGCAATCTTGACTTGACACTGACGACGTGACAGACTGTGGGATTTGCTGGTGGCATGATCACAGGCGGAGGTCAAAACCCGCTTGCTGGGATATATGGCATGGCCGCCGACCATGTCGTCGCCTTCCAGGTCGTGACTGCTGATGGACGGCTGCGGACAGTATCCGAGGATGAAAACCCTGACCTTTTCTAGGCTCTGCGCGGCGGAGGTGGTGGTACCTTTGGTGTCACCATGTCAGTCATTATCCGCGCACACCCCAAGATGAACGTAGTCACCGCAAAGTGGGCTCTCGATATTTCCAACAATGACATGGATCAGTTTTGGAAGGGAGTGAGGAAGTTTTACGACGAGTTCCTCGACTGGACGGACGCTGGCATATACACCTTCTACATCATGTGGCCGACCCCCCAGCTGAGCATGAATTACTTGTTTGCCCCAAATCATACTCTGGAGTCGTACAACAAAGTCGTCGCCCCTTTCTTCGAGTTCTTAGAGGCGAACAACATCTCACTGTCGACACCACACCAAGCCAAAGCACACACGTCTTTCTATTCTGCATACCAGGCAACATGGGGCTCAAACAATTTCCCCGCGGGCCTCGACAACTCAATCCCCGGAAATCGCCTCGTGCCTCGCCGTAACTTCGTCGAAAAGTACGAGGAGACATACGCCCTGATGAAATCCCACGTTTCCTCCGGCAAACACTTCTTGGGCTACCACAACGCACCCAGCAACGCCGGCCCGGAGATGGGGAACCAGGACAACGCCGTCAACCCTGCCTTCCGGGAAATGGTCTTCTTCCTCGTCACCTCCTCCAACCGCTCCGCTGATCATTCAACCCCGGAAGCCTTGGCTGCTCAGAACAAGTATCTTCAGGACGAGGTCCTTCAGCCGTGGCGCGACATCGCCCCGGTCTCTGAGGGCGGCGGGACGTACCTCAATGAGGCGAGCGTTGGGGAGCCAGACTGGCAGGAGAGCTTCTACGGAGGGTTTTACCCCAGGCTGAGTGAGATAAAGCGCAAGTGGGACCCCAAGGATGTTTTCTATGCCGTGACCGCGGTAGGCAGCGAGAGGTGGGAGGTGCACGATGGAGGCCAGGGTCTCCCGACACAGAATGGAAGGCTATGTCGTGTCTAGTTGTGACAAGGATGGAGATATCCAGTTGCATGACAGAGTCTTGGGCCAACGCGATCAAGTCAGGCAATATTCCAAGCCCAGCGCTCGGGTTTTGGAACGCACACCATATACGCCCGCACAGAGTGATGCCGTGATCATATTGAACATGTGAACAAGGCCCCATAGTACACCGTCTGGACGGTTAGTCCCTCTATGCAACATTACCTAGGTAGCCCTCGCGAGCTGAGCCACAGAAGAGGAGGCCCGTCATTCAAGAGCATAGTCATCTCTACTCGATCGAAAAAGCGCGTCACTGGCCGTGGCCTACACAGCGAGACTTCAGGTACATCTCGGCAGAAACAAACACCCTGATACGTTTCACAAGCGTTGACATGGCGCTCTCCGACCTGGCTGGTATGTCAACAGCACATGCACACTGACAAGAATCTCATTGATGGGCCTCTCACAGCCCATGTACGTCTATTGCGTCACGCGATCAATTGATACCATGAGAGATACCCCTGTCAAAAAAATCTCCTTGGGCTATACACAGCCGGTGACACCCATCGCTAGAAGGGGATATGGCCATATAGTGCTAGGCTTTCTACATCCCAGGATAACATCAAGTAAGCAAGACGCATCATTGTTTGTGTCGAGAATCATCAACCGGCCAGGCCGGGACCAGGCAGTGGTGTTCACAATCACTCCGACTCCATTGCTAGCGCGATGGCTTTTGCCTATTCTGCTAGTCTATCCATTTACCTCCATCGCCAGTAGACCTCAGGGTTCGTAACCGTGTTTCTGTCGGAAATACAAGAAGAGTGTGTTGGTGGGCCGACGCCGAAACCAGAACAGCCGAGGGGGTGAGCACATAAAAGAAGTAGACTGTGAGTTGGTATGGGGGGTTTGGGGAACCAGCAGCAAGCAGCTTTGCGAGTTCAAAGAGGGGGTGAAAAGCCAATAACACAATGTATGGATTTTATTACACGTCAAAAATGTCTGAATCGTCTCATGTGCACTTCCTCCCGTGCTCCCGCAGTCTCAACTCAAATACCGTCGAAGTCTCCTCCGAGGTCATCGTCGTCGAGGTCACCCTCCTGTATATCGTTGGCCATCTCCCGCTCCCTCTCTCGTGCTTCCTGTGCATTCTTGAGCTCGAGCCGGTGCTGGTTCATTGGGAACCGCATTGCCTGGTTCGTGGTTTGGTTAGCAACTTGACGTCCGATTGGTCGCGTGAAGCAGGAAGGTCTCACCTTGACACTCTCATCGTGCAGCGCCAAACACGCCCTGATACGGTCGTGGAAAGCCTCGGTCGGCTCTCTCGTAGCGTAAATGTCGCCCGTCTCCTTGCTCTTCATGAAGCCGTGCTCACGATCCAGTGTTGCCTCGATCACGCCGTCTCGGATCGCCTTTGCGACAATGTACTCAGCCGATTCCTCACTTCCGAGGTGGAGGCGGATGCAGATGTCCCGCAGTGAAATACGCGAGTATGACAGCGACATCATACGGATGCCGGTCTTGATAACATTCTGTCGGAGGCGCAGAATCAGCGTGTAGGTGCCGTCCCTGCGGAAGGTGTCGGCGTGATCTGCGATGGTCGTCTCAAAATCCTCCAGGTTGCCAACACGTACTGCCTGCACGAGGAGGAAGTAGGGGTGCAGAGCCTGCTCCGTTGAAGCAACTCGGAATGTTGCACGGTCGGGGATATCTCCCATCAGCAGCTCGACAACCATCAATAGCTTAGTGGCAGTCTGGGAGAAGCCCAGGGCGCAGAGGCTCGAAGGCGCCTTGCGGGTGGCAGCAGTAAGGTGCTCGTGTGCCTCGGTGTAGCGCAGCTGGATGGCGCGGATGCGGCCGAGGTAGTAAAGGAAGCGGGCGACCTGGTTGTTGGCGGCGTTCTCGGGGAATTGCGTGTGCGACACAAGCAGATCAGCCTGGCTTATGTGGGACATGAGGAGATAGTTCCGCAGAAGCAAGACAATGACCGAGGCCTGGATGTCGATGTCCTTTCGCAGAACTGCTGTTCGCAGAGCCGCCAACAGGGTGGGTCGAAGGGCAACGATCGGAGACTGTGGGGAGGGAGGCAGAGGCGCAATGTTCTCGCAAAACAAGGAATAGTAGAAGTAAACCTTGGCAGAAAGCGAGTCTAACGTCCGGCGGTTGAGAGTGCGAATGCGGTCGGAAAGGTAGGAAGAGAACTGGGCACCATGCTGAAACTGCTTAGAGTCGAACAGGTATACCTGGATGAGAATGCCGAGGAAGATGTCTATTTCGGGGATGACCTCCTTGGTCTCCTTCTTGCCGCCGTTCTTGACCGAAGCCTTGGAATCAACGTCCATGGCAGAGTCTGTCGCTGACTGCTGCCCTAGAGGCAGGTGCTCCTTGCCAAGTGTAATCAAGAGCTGTTTTGCCACATTTCCAGATGTGACTGTCGCGGGGAAGGTCTCGACAATGACCTGGGCGAGGATGTCTGGGGTAAGTTGTTTGCGGATGGAAGAAACGGATCGCAGGGCTCGCAGGGTGAATCGCGCGTCAAACAAGGCCACAGCTCGGTCGAGGAGGGCGAAATTGCTCTTAACATCTGCGTCGGGGTGGTGTTGTCAGCATCGTGATCAAGTGCAGTGACAGAGAGGGCACGAGTGGGCGATAGGGGATGTGCTCTTTACCTGACACGGCCTGGGCGACTGGGTCGACCTTGTCCTCACCGTCCTTCTCGGCGTCGTCCATGCTTACGTCTCCGTCGGCGTCGTTGGGAGGTTGCGAGGATGACTGCTTCTTGGAGATGGGCACCACAACGGTCATCTCCTCATCGCCATCCTTGGCACCCTGCTTCCCCTTCCCCTTGAGCGATGATGAGTCGTCCTTCATATCGATATCTTTGCTGCCGGGGTAACCGCCGTTCTCGACGGGCTCCTTCCCGTTTCCGTTTGGCGTCTTGCCGGGCATGTCGGAGGACGTGTATGTGGGCTGGCTGGTTGGTGTTTGAGACGAGGCTCGGTCAACGACGCGCAGAAGCTGCTGGCGGCTGGAGGGAGAACTGGGACGGGCTGGAGGCGGCTGGCGGTTCGCAGAAACGCGCTCAGGAAAGCGGAAGCAAACGAAAATAGACCAAAGGTTGGCTCGTGCCGCTCAGGTCAGCTGGAGTCAACGGGGCAGGCTGGACCGAGTCTACAGAAGCTTGACTGCTGGCCTGGCTGGGGTCGTCAGGGTTGATGGTTCCAACTATGGCTTCTTGGACTCGACCGCCTTGCTTTGCTTGTGGGTGGATGGATGGAATGGGGTTGGGATGTGATGGGGGGAATAGATAGATGGGCGGGATGGACGACGTCGGGTTGAGGTTGAACGGCTGCAGAGAGACGTCGTCCAGAGCTCATCAAAGATTGCCAGCGGACAGCCGAGCGCACTAGCCAGGGGTACTTGGTCCTCGGGGTGGTCTGGAGGCTTGGAAGAAGTACCCTTGGTACCTAGGTATCTGGCCCCAGCCCAGAGCAGCCTCAATCGCGTAGCCTGCCCCAAGCCCAGGCGCAGGTGGCTTCCGGCCCCGGGCAACACCTGGACCTCGCCTGGGCAAAAGTGGGTCCCTGGTGACGTCTCGACATGCTGCCTGCCTGCCTCCCTGTCAGGCGCCTTGTCAGCAGCTGCTCAGCCTGTCAAGCTAGCAGCCAGCCAGCCCAGCCTACATCATTCCAATGTCGTTACCCGTACCGGCCAAGTCAGATGTCAACAGCTACTTTAATCACTCTTGTGGAGACCACACTCCGGATGAGAAAGGACGTCGCAACTTCCTTGACCTTTGACAAAACCCGGATGCATATGAACCGCCAGGTCCTCACCCCTCATTCGACCCTCAGAAGCGGTCCAAGCTCCTGGCTTATCTCGACCTGGCTGGCCCACTTGGCACTTGGCTGGGAATGTGCCGCCATAGAGGACTCGCTATAGAGAGGCTGACAACGTGGACGCCCAGCCTGCTATATCAGCATCAACTTTCACGTCCGAAAGGTTTTAGAAATACTGATAGACTTTGCCATCATGCGGATTCAAGAGACTGGTCAAGAAGCCTTTACTAGTTCCTTGGATGGCCCGTGGAAGACTAGGCGATAGTTGCGGGCCAAGCTCCTTATAGACACTCCCGATTGTGTCTTTTCTCCTTAGCCCTGCGATCCTGCCCATGCGCAATGACTTGCAAGTCAACGCGCCTAAACCTAGACGCCTTTCCGAGACCATTGTCTCCCAAAACCATGTCGTGCCTCCCCTTCTCTCCCTTCCTAGAGCCTTGCAAACTTTGGGGGGGGGGGGGTGTGGACATCGCCTCGATGTCCATTTATTACTAAAACAAAACCCAAGGTACTGCTCTTTGTTTCACAGCTTGTCGCATGCCCGTTGCGCACCAAAAGTTTTCCCATTAGAGGTCGCCCTTGCCCGGCATGACCTTGGCAGCCTGGATCGCACTCATCTTGGTGATCCAGCCCTGGGCGGGCAGCACTTTGCGAACCGTGCGGAGCTCATCCGAGGAGTAGCCGGGGATGCGGATGTTGTAGGTGCGCTCAAGCACGAGCTGGATGTCACGGATCTCGAGAACCTTGGAGCCACGCTGCTTGGCATTGCTGCAGGCCGCGTGTAAAAGTCGGTCCACAAAGCTGTCGGCTAGGTTGAGGATAGACTGACGCGGCGGATTAGCGCCAAATACAACATGCTTGCGGGGCAGGGTGAAAGGGGATGTCTTCTTACCTCCTCGACGTCGGGCGTCAGAACATTGCCCTCCTGGCCCTCTGCCTGTCCGCCGCAGACCTGGCGGACCAGGTCGTCAAGCTTCTTGCGGTTGAGGACCCGCTCTCCCTCCCCCTCTATCTGGACCACGGGCAGCTTGGAAATCACAGGATTTCCCATGACACCTCCAGCTATACCTCCGCCACCGGTATACGTTGGCCGGCCGGGGGCGACTCCGCCGGCGCTTAGCGACACAGGCTGAGGTGGTGCAGCTGCCTTCTCGGGCAATTGCTTCGGGATGGGGAGCTTGGAGTTCTGGGTGAGAGGCTGAGGCTGTTGGGTCTGGGGGTGGGCGTGAGGGTGCCCGGATGCTTGCGGTACCACAGTGCCCATGACGCCTGGCGCGCTCAGTGGGGTGCCGTTTGGACCTTGCGGTGTGCTCTGCTGTGGTGCCGACCCTGGAAGAGCGCCTGACTGCGACCCGCGCTGGTTTGCGAGGCTGAGGGCGGCCTGGTGGGAGAGAGACCGAGGCCCACCAGTAACTGGAGTTGCCATTTGTGGGGTGCGGACCTGGGTCGGCGTACCGGCTGATGGTAGACCAGAGGCGGCTGCTGCAGACGCGATGGCTGTGTTGACCGGGGGTGGGTGTGGGTGCTGCTGAGTCCCAGGTTCGACCTTGATGGGTTGCGACGGGGCGCCTGGGGCCGGCTGTGTAGTAGGGACAGGTGAAGCCTGGGGGGCTGCTGAGCTAGCAACTTTGGCCTGCTGCGTCTGTGGTTGAGGTTGCTGTTGCCCTGGTTGACCGTTCGCGCCTGTCACTCCACTAGCATTGTTTGCCGGCTTCGCAGCGTCGACCGCGCCTGGCTGGGAAGGTTGTTGTGGCGACGGGCCTGGTCGCGGCGGCGGGTTTGCACCGGTATTCACTGCACCTCCATTCGACGGCGGCCTTGCCTGTGGGTTCGCGGACTGTGCAGCGGCCCTGCGCTCGTTCTGGCCCTTGCGGAACTCCTCGACAAACCGCTTAGCATCCTGATAGGCTTTGACGATCTGCTGCTTCTGCGAGTTGATACTCTGCAGGTTCTTCTGTTCATCCGCCGTCATGGCCGTTCCCTTCGCTTGCAAGGTCCTAACTATGGTCTCGTTGCTCTTCAGCCTCTCGGTGGTCGAGTGCATCTGCATCATGGCCCTCGAGTACTTCTCCTTGTTGGTGGCTGACCACTTGGCAGCCATCTCTGGACCCTGGGACTCCACCTCCGGAGGTGGGATCCACGACATGGCCTCTATGTGCTGCTGGATCTGGCGCTGGGGTTGGCCCTGAGACTGCGCCTGCGCCTGCGACTGTGCCGGTGTGCCTGCTGGCCCGGTAGTCGTGGTGGTCGACAGGGTCTGGCTGGGCTGGCTGGTCCCTGGGGCAGGTGCTGCCGAGTTGGCACCTCCTGCAACCTGACTGTTGCCAGCCTGCGCATTCTGGCTCTGCTGGCTCTGCTGGCTCTGCTGGGCCTGGCCTGCAATGGAGGCGCGCTGCCTCTCTCTCATCTTGTTCAGGAGCTGGCCGCTGAACTCTCTGATCTTCTGCTCGGCCTCCCTATGATGCGGCGAGCCAGCTGGAGCGGTCCCCCGGGCCGCCCACAGCTGGCCGAGCCCCTTCTTGTATCGCTGCCTCTCTTCTGGGCTCAGTTGGGCTATACTATCCATATTTTCAGGTCGGAACATCGGCAGTGCTTTGGCCCCAGGGCCATTTGGCTGAGAGGGGGGGTTGGCATTGCCGCCTTGGCCACCCTGAGGTGCCTGGCCGGGCTGGCCAGCAGGATTCATGGTGCAGAGCTGGAACCACTCTGGATGTTGAAGTGCGCTTACTCCAGGCTGGCAAAGAAGATGGTTGAGCACAAGGGCGTTGGGGCGCAGGTCTTGTTGATGGTGGTCTGGGGTGTGGAGGTCGGCAAGGCTCGGTAGGAGAAGGAGGGTCGAGAAAGATGGGTCGAGAAGATCAGTCGGCACTAGAAGGTAGTGCAGGAGCCGTTGTTCTTTGATGGCTGGTAGCTCAGGGCACGTGAATCACAGTAGTAAGGGTATTAAAGAGAAGAAGGGGAATTAATAACGTGTCAAGCGTGTTGAAGATGAATCAGGCATGGATAGAGGCACAATAAGGTGGCAGTCCTCATCGATAGAGCAATAGAGCAATATGGTGGTTCTGGGCTGGAATTCAGGTGCACGAGCCCCTTTCCCCAGTCGTGCGGGACATCATCGGCTGAACATGCTCCTGGTCAGGCAGTCAGGGTACCTACTGAAGTACCTAAGGCTTCCAGGTGTGCTCACAATAACGCGCTAATAAAGCACTCTATTCCCAAACCTCATGGAAGTGAAAGAGAAAAAAACCATTGTGCCCATCAGTCAACAAGCAATTGTCCCTTTTGATAAGTGCTCAGAATGAGTTCCATACCTTTTCCAATCCAAGACAAGGATAATTGTGTTTTGCAGCAATGTAGCTGTCCCAAAGGTCAACGGTTCATACGGGACCTACCGTCATCACTGTGTGCTGGTGGTCAGTGTATGTGAGCTCGTCACTGTAGCTCTGCATCCCGGGATCTGGACACTGCCATCCTCTAGAATCTAGGGATGGCCATTTAGGAAACCAAGCATCTATTAGCCAGAATAGAGTCAATTCTCCATTTTTAGGCTGTGTTCAACTACCCACAGAGGCTCATGTACCTAGGCAACCGTATCTATACCCCAGACTAGGAGAAGTTCAACACATAATCTCGTTCATCATAAAAGCCATAGCTGAGTCTCCGTCCAAGCACCACGTCCCCGTTCGCATGCTTCCACAAAGAAAAGAAAAAGAGTCCAGCTGGTCATACACTATGCATATAAGGTCCAACAGCCTCCGCATACCGGACCCTCGTCCCCAGCTCGTATCAATTTGAATACAAAACCTAGGCAAAGATTCAAACGAGAACACGCCGTAACACCCAGACAATGCAGTTTCCATGCTCGTATACATGCTATGCCATGTCTGGGAAATATCATGATGCTCGACTGAAAAGATTAAGAGGTGGGGGGGAATCATCGCTTGTGGCAACCCAGATTTTAACAGGTTTGCTCCATAAATTGGCATTTTGGCATTTCTTCGCCGCCCACTGCCATGGGCTTCATTTCTTGTTGTAAAATCCAGTGGCTGTTTTGGGGGACTCTATGCAGTGTATCCTTTTGAGGCAGCGAGTAAAAACGGCTGAAACTTTTGTACAAGGCCAGGCTCTCAAGCTCGTCATTCGAATTGATGGTTGCCCGGGATGATATCTTCATATGAAACGCCGGTCCTTGCTTCTGCGCTCCCGGCCAAGTTTTTGGAACGTATTGGGTTGGGACTCACATCTAAGGCGAGTCCACTTCCATGGTCATGTAAGCATAAAATGGCAGCTCTTTGGCCAGCTTTTCTGTAGCCTCCATCTCCTCCGGGGGCTCGTCGATCTCGTCGATCTTTGGCGGTGGGTCTTGGAAGATCAGACTTCGGCGGTCGCCAACCCGCCTCTTGAGACGACGGGCACTTGAACCGGCCTGTTCAAAGTCCAGACAGTGTCGGACATCCTCGTGGTCGCTGTCGCTCCTCTCGCTCATGGTTCGCTTGCCCATGCTGCTTATACTCCGTCTTTTTTGCCGGTCGTAGGCACGTTGCCGCCGTATTGCTTCTTGGTGTTCATCGTCGCTCACATCGGAGCTATCTGACAAAGGATCTGGATCCGGGCTGCGGAAGTTCAGGTCACGGAAGTCACTGATGACGTGACCCTCGATGTGCGACTCGCTAGGGTCCGATTCGGCATACTCAATGAGATGAGGCTGAAGAACTTCATTCCGGTCGTCCATATCGTTTTCTTCGAAGTCGCTCATCTCTTCAATGTCAAGTTCGTCACTGGTAATAATGGTGGCATGCAACACAAAAGGGTCTGGTGTCGTAAGACCAGGTGGTGATGACAGAAGCGGTGAGCAGGGCCCGTGATCAATGTCCGATTGATCGGCCTCAGAGCCTTCGGCCGGGGGGTCGGAAGAACGAGGAGACAGTTCTCCATGCCGATTTGAGAATGTAAAGTTGAATTGGCAGTTCTCGAAAGGAGTGAAGTTGCTTGGCTGAGGCAGCGGGTCCCGTGGGCCGGGATTCGGCCCAGGACTGTCTCTTGTGCCGTTCTTCTGGCCGAAGAATGGAGGGTGCGGCGTGGCCGTAGGGGTCTGAGGCGGAGACGACGGTCCCACATGTGAAGGAAATCTTATTTCCTTTGGCGTAGCAGGCCGCATGATGGGTGGGTTGGGTGGGCGGGCAGGCGTTGGCGTGGGAAGCAGAGTCGGTCTCTGTGATGCAGAGATACGGGCAGTGAGTGGGCCGACTCTGTCCAGCTAATGAACAGCAGTAGTTTGTGACGACCGTATTGTCGATTTCGATCGGCCCGCCACAAGACCAGGGATGTGCCGCAACGGGAACCAGTGGATGTGCGTGTCCGAATGAACAAATATGTCGTGTGTTCCGGGACTTATCAACGGTTGCTCTCACCGACAGTGTGGGGTAGGAGAATCGCGGGGTGAGGGAAGAGCGGGCCTCAAGGTGTCAGCACCCAAGGTATAAACCTCCGGCTAGGAGAGACGGACAAGCTTGGATTGACGGTCATGATAGTCTCCGTGGCGAATCGGGTAAGAAATAGGGAAACAGAAAGCTGATTGTGTGCAGCACAAGCCCGTTCACCCTCTTGTGGGGGTTGAGATGTATGGCAAGCGCAGAGCCTGAGCCTGAGCCTGCGTCTTCTCAACGGCGACGCTGATTTGGGGGGGAACGGGGAGACGAGAGCGAATAAGTAGGCCTAGACGTCAGACGTCGGGCTTGTGAGGCTTGCGAAGGACGGCTGTCGTGCTGGTCTCTTAGATAGCGTTGCAAGGAGATGCCTGCACCAGGGCGGCAGCCGATGTCGTCCTTGCAGTATTGAGGAAAAAAATAGGCCCAGAGGTGCAGAGCAAGCAATGGCCGATCAGATTGGAGTGTAGCCGTGCAAATCACACTCTGGTTTCCCACCGCCTCTTAGCCTGGAAACCGCGAAGCTAGGAGCGTGTCAAAGACTATGCTCAGTGGCCTGGAACATAGGATCGGGTCGAGAGAACAGCAGAAGAGAAGGAGAACAAGAAGATGAAAACCCGTGGGGGACAACAATAGGAGCGGAGGAGGGACAGGTGAGGGAGCAATCGGGCTCCGCATTCAGAAATCGGCGGTGCATGCAGGCTCCGTCCTAGGCGCATTTCGAACGATGCCGGTGCGATTGAGGCTTCTGCTGGCACGGCACGAAGCTTTTCGTGCGGCAATTGCCTGGTGTCTTTGCACACGGACACAATCGAAGGCCACATCGCAGCCAAAGCTCACGGTGGCCGAGGCCGTGGGCAGCCACTCACTCAGTCCCCGGGTTGGTGGGGCCATGGATAACCGCTGCGAGGCATTCTGGGGCCGCCAGACAATGGTGTTGTTACGGGGTGGTCGACTGCAAGCCGGTCGGAAGGGGGCATGGCGGGCGGCGAATGGCTGAGGCCAGAAGGGTAAGGCGTGATGCTGCTGTGTGATGCCAGCGCATGGCGCCCATCTGCCAGAGTTGCTGAATCGACTCGCTTGGCGGCTGCAGGAGGGCTGGGGGCAGAATCTCGCTGGTCAGGCCGGCCGGGACGGGCTGGACGGGCTGGACGGGCTGGACGGGCTGGATAAGGCATGAATGTGTAAAATGTCGAGCGTCAGGTTGCAGCACTCGCCGTCCAATGGACAGGGCAGACGGCCAATTGCACGTGCAGAAGGTTCCAAGGTGGCGGCTGACGATTAAGAGCCTGCAGGAGGGACGTCGGGTTGGCTCGACGCCGTGAATCGCTTCCGTCTGTCTGCCAGTCTGCCCTGTCTGCCTGCCTGCCTCCCTGCCTCACCAGACGGAGGGCAGCTCATCCTGGGGGGGTGGAACCTTACCCCCCGTCCAGTGCCTGCTTGCCTTGCTTGCCTCCCAGGTTGCCTGCATGTGCCTGGCATGTAAGCTGGTACCGGTAGACTGGAGCGGTTGTCGCCGTTAGGTGAGATGGCAGTATGGGATGAACATCCGGTCACGCCTGTCTGCCACAGGCAGATGCTCACATCCACATTATCAAACATGTCGTTGAAATTAGGTTGACAGGAGTGGAAGAAGGGATGAAACGGATAGCCGAGCCACCGTCCAGGCCCAGGGTGATGTCACGTATCGACGGAGCAGGTGGGTTCTGTTATCGATAGCGCGTGTACGAGAGGGCTGAACTCGGCTCCCCGTCAACATGGCAACACAAAACGTCTTTTCGGTTCAGCATCATTTGTGATTTGAACTTTCCTCACTCGCCACCTGGAGCAGCCGATCCGAAGCAAAGCTTCTTCTTGCCCGTGTGAAAATAACATCCCTACCTCGGTCCAGACTCCGCCACGTCGCGGGTCAGCCTGCGTCTGTCTCAACCAAAGTAAACAGTCTGTCGCAAACACCATGACGCTCCTCGCAGCTCACCTTGAGCAGATCTCCGCGTCTTGCCAAGGTATCGACAGCCTCCCGTACGTGCCCAGCCCCAGGAAACAACGCACAGGCAAGTTGCTGACGCAGCCTGGGTCTCAAGATTCCCTCCTCCCAAGATCTTCACCAACGCCCTGCTTTCCAACCACGACATCACCTCACTGATACGCGACACCGAAACTCATGAACGCGCCCTGTTTTCTGTGCCCCCGCCACCGCCGCCAACCGCGAAACCCGAGCCGCAACCCGAGCAGAGCAAGGTCTCGCGTCGGCAGACCGTCTTCAATGTCGCTGCTGGCGAAGTCACCACCGGCGCACCATCATCCCGGACCGCAGGCAACCCACGCCGTAGCACCGCCGTGGCGGCCGTGTTGGGCGGTGACCTCCATGCCAAGATCACGCGGCGGGCGCCAGCTTCAACCCGCGCCCAGGCGGCGGGCGGAGGGGGCGATGTCGACATCGAGGTGCTCCTCCAGGGCGCCGAGAAGCTGTGTAATGTCTACCCGCTGCCGGGCGCACTGGAACGGATCCCTGAACTGCGCCAAAAGTGGGCGAACCAGAGCAACACGCTGGCCTATTACGAGGCAAAGGTTGCGGAGCAGGCAGAGAGGCTGGTCAGGATGAACAAGCGGCCCGATGATTTTGGCGACGAGGACGAAGACAACGATGCGGATGAGGGCGAAGACGCTGTCGACAGCGGCGTGAACAGTGGCGTCATGGACAGTCTCATGACGGAGGAGGACTTGAGGAGGGAAGAGGAGGAGGTCAGGGGGCTGGATAAGAAGAAGAAGGAGCTCCAAGAGAGGCTCCGGGTCATGGACAAGGACCTGGGCGGGCTGCTGCACATGTGAAGCGCGAGGCCACGGAGAGGGCTGCCCGCTCATGACCATGCCCGCACTTACAGCCTGTTACCCGCCAGACGAGGTGTTATGGGGCACGGGAACTGCTTCGGAGAGTCAACGTGGCTAGCAAATTAAATGATACCCAAGCTACAACCACCTCTCTCTACGCAGCCGACTTGGCCCGAACAAACTCTCCGAGGAACGCCTCGACGTCCTGCGCGCCACCGATCTCGAACCGGTCATTGATGATAAAGTGCGGCACGCCTTGGATCCCCTTGGCATAGGCCCACTCAACCGCCTTGTCGACCTCCTGGCCGCCCTTGCCCTCGTCGAGCCACTCCTTGGCCTCAGCCCTGTCGACGCCGGCCTTTTCCGCGGCGTCGAGGAGCGTGTCATGGCTGGTGACGTCGCCACCGTCCTCGAAATAGCTGTGCATCAGCGCCGCCATGAACTGGCTCTGCACGTCAGAGCCCTTGGTCCTGGCCAGCTGCGACAGGCGGTGGGCGTCTCGGGTGTTGCCAAGCTTGCCCTGGAACGAGAAGCAGATCCCCTCCGACTGGCCCATCATTCTCATGCGCTCGGTGAGCATGGGTAGCCTATCAGCGCCGAACTTTTGGGCCATGCGCTCCTGGACGGGCATGCTTTTACCCTTGGGCAGCGTTGGGTCCAGGTAGAAGGGCTTCCCTGGACGTGCGGCGCGTTAGTGGAGTTCTTTGCTTACTTCTCTGGCAAGCGCCTTTTTATATGTAATATCTCCTCACGAAGCGCAGTCTCCCGGGGGTGGCCTCGGCTGGCATGCAGGTGTCCTCAGATGCTAGCAGGAGCAGGACAGATGGGGAGACCCGCGAAACGTGAGGAAAGGGGCGGTAGCGTGGCTTACAAGTGATGTTGAAAACATCCTCCGAGGCGCCAGGGACGGTTTTCTTGTACACGTCAATGGCGCGATCCAGCCGCTTCCTGCCGAGGTAACCTTTTCAAAAATTAGTCCCGGGTTGGTAGATGTCCACCTGGATGGAGCTGAAGGTGGTGGCTACTCACAGAACGGGCAGATTGGATCGCTCACGATGTCGACGTTAAAGGCTGTCATGGTGGGTCTCCGTGGCTGAAACAGCTTTTTGGTGGATCTCAACATGTATGTATGGGACACGGCCAACGTTGGGGTGAGTCTGCGGCGCTGCGCTTTGTATTTACTACAAATACACGGTCTTGAAGATATCCACTTGAGTAATGACTTGAGACAATTGTAATGGTAATATAAAAGGCCTTCTCGGCGGATATATAAGCTGACAAATCGCCCGGGCGTGGTCGAGTTCCGGTCCGTGGGGTTTGAGCGGGTTGCGGGTCGGCGATGTGCATGGAACATTTCCGCCCGTCCACGAACGGCAAGCGTCCGCACTTTGACACCAGGCATCTATCTACGGAGTACCTCGGCACAGGAGCTAGATGTTATTATTGGGATGCTGTCCATGCTGCCATGTTGTGCAACCAGCTCAAGCCTTCAGCCTGCCTGCCAGCCAGCCCTGCCATGTCTCGGTGGTGTTGATTGCAACAGTGCCCAGGTAGTGGAGCATCCAATGCTGCAGGCCTTACCAGGTGCCAGGTGCGCTAGCCAGAGGATCATCGGGCGCTACCCAATTGCCACCTGCATCCCGTATGCCATCCACCTCCGCCTGAGTATCAGTACCAAGCACCACTCCTCTTGCTTGCGCAAGTACTTACTCAGTCATTCCGCCTCCTACGACTGGGGTCCAAAAATCCTCATCAAGGACCTCGTGATGGCCGATGAGGGGGAGGGGCGGCAGGACTTACAGGAGACGGTCCTACAGGCAACATTGACTGGCCTGGCTTCTCAGGCAGACTCGTCCGAGGCCGCGGATGCTTCGTGTTGCTGCGTGATATGCCTGTCCGACATATCAGAGCCCTCGACAGCACGGCCCTGTGGCCACCGCAACTTTGATTTCATGTGCCTGGCCAGCTGGATGTCACTGAAGACAAGCTGTCCCCTCTGCAAATCTGAAATCACCGAGGTCCATTTCGACTTCAACGCCAACGGGACTGCCTGGAAGACATATCGCGTGCCCCATATCGGACTCGAGCGGGCGCCAGACCAGCCCGCACAGCCGTCGCCCAGCCAGAGTCATCCGCCCTTGTCAAACGTCACTTCCTTCCTGCGCCGAGCCCGGGACCGCAGACCTTTCAGGAATCCGAGGCCCTCGACACCTCAGTCGTCTTCTGTCCAGGATGCGCTTGAGCGGCGACGCAATGTCTATCGGAAAAGGCTCTACTCTCTCCACGTGGGGTCCAACCCGACTTCGGGGTACAGAGACGTCACTCCTCAGGCGTTCAGTGACCAGCTCGAGACCCAAAGCCGTGTGCGGGCCTGGATAAGGAGGGAGCTGCAGGTCTTTGAGTTTCTGAACGATGACAGCTCTTCGAGCCACACAGAGAGCACCACCGCCTCGGAGATGCCCGAGGCCACCCGGCGCCGGCGCCAGAACAATGCTGAGTTTGTGCTCGAGTATATCCTCGCCGTCCTGAAAACGGTCGACATTCAGAGCGACCACACCGAGGAGCTGCTGAAGGACTTCCTCGGGCGGGACCACACCAAGCTGTTCCTGCACGAGCTTCGCAGTTTCCTGCGCTCGCCTTACTCGGTCGAGGCCTGGGATCGGCATGTCCAATACGCCGAACCTCGCCCAGCGCCTCGCTCGCCCGAAGGAAGGAGCGCCCCTGGTCACCGCGCCGACCAGGGGCCTCACAGGCGGCTTTATGACCGGTATAGACCGCCCAGGGGCTCACGACAGGGCGGCAGGTGGTCTCCTTACCGCCAGCAGGGGAGCTGAGACCTCGTCGAACAGAGACTTGGTCCGGCTGAGATTGCCGGCAGATCAAATGGCCACCGTCTTCTGGGCCAAAAGGGCCAGGGATTTCAGACAGCAACTACGTGCCTAGGAACCTCCGTACATCCATGCGGGTAGGTACTTTTCAGGTTTGAGCAGGTAATGGACTCTGGTGCGCTCCCAGGGAAACCGTGACGATGGTCCAATGCTGGCTGGCTCCTGCGAAGCCCCTGCAGGGTTTAGGATGAGCAACGACACCCCACGACACTGGCCGCCGAGTCCCTGGCTCCTGCTCCATCCATAAACCAAAGTTGGGCTGTGGGCATACTTCGCCACCTAGGTACTTCAGCTTGGTTACTGTTGCCCCCGAGGTGTGAGAAAAGGCAGCCACGAGAGTGCATTGCTGAGGTGGTAGAAGAGCGAGAGTTTCTGTGGTGGGTCCTTCAGCTGTGAGATCCAGATTTCTCCAGTCAGAGTCCTCCTCACTTGCCCTAGCATCAGCTGTCCACTCGAAAACTACCTACTACCTACATATCAGCCTACCTAGGTACCTACCTAGGTAGGTAGGTAGGTAGGTACTGTCAAAGTGGCGCCTGGGACGGGGCTATTTGGTGGCATCCCGGCAGTAAAGGAGGTGTTCGGCAGGACGAGACATACCAATGAGTGCTTCGACACAGCAAGGCAGCTACAAGTGGACATGTCTGCTTATCGGGCAGTGAGGCCCCTATACAATGTGTCCATCAAAAGTGCGGCAAGGAGCCAGGGCACTCAGCCTCTGGTTGGCCTGCAGCCCGCGTGGTCTTTCCCAGCAGCAGAGGGTGCCTTCCACATAGGCATGTCTTGATTGCGCGATGCAGAAAGAGATAATGGTATGGAGCACAGAGAAGGCAGGCACGTAGGAGCAGAAATCAACATTGTCTTCTCCCACTCCTCGCCCCGTCAGGCCCCGTTGCTTTCCTCTCTTCCTCTCTTCTTCTTCATCCCCGATCACAACTCCGCCACTTGCTTCAGCATCTCTCATCCGGGCGGCCACAAACCGTAACATTCATTCTCTTTTGGTTGCGTCTCCGTTTCTATTTGCTTGCCGGCTTTCGCTGCTCTCAACTTCTTGGTTCGCTTCTTTCGCCTCGTCAGGAGTGCCATCCTGCCATCATGGCGCCCCTCATCAAGCAGGTCACGGTGGCCACCCTCGCCGGCATCCTCAACACCATATCCAACCTGCCAGGTGGCTTCCACGGTTCCAATGTGACCGACTTCAATGACAAGGCCATCAACATTCTCCCCGATGTGCCCGGCCCGTACAATGTCGGCGTCACTCCCGTTGTCTTCAAAGACTATGGGCATCGTCAATTCCCTCTCTGTGATGATGACAACTACGAGGATTCCAATGATGACTGCTTCCGTCCGCGTCAGATCATAACATCACTCTTGTGAGTGTCACCACTGCATTGCCTTCGTGCCTGGACCCGCGTTTGGTACTAACTCTTTTTTGAATAGCTATCCGTCTTGCCCTCCCCCAGACACTCAGAGGAGGCCGGTTGTGTTGGGCGAGGAGCACTTTGCTCCTGTCTTCACGGAAACCGTTCTGGAGGAGATTCTTCACACTGCTACCACTACTTCCCTCGGTAATATCACGGGTCTGCACAATCTCATGTCACGAGCCGTGACATCGGCCACTGCTTGCCCAGGCCAGTTCCCCTTGGTGGTCTTTGCCCCCGACGTAGGTGGTCAGCGCCAGGCCTACACCCAGGCGGCATCCGAGCTTGCTTCGATGGGTTACATTGTGCTCACCGTGGATTCTCCTTTCCTTTCCGGTGTGGTTGAGAACCCGCCCAAGACCTTCCAGCGCAGCCTGTCTGGGGGTGTCGTCAACGAACACCAAGTTTTCACGATCCAGAACAACGACCTTTGGTTTATCCACAAGCATCTCGCCACGGTAAACGAAACACTCGGCCCTCTTTCACGTTGGACCAATAACGCCTCTGTTCAGGTCGATCATTGCATCTTCGGACACGGCTCGGGCGGCTCGGTTGCTCAAGCGATGATCGACAACCATGTCGTCAGATGTGGTGGACGTCTTGAAGGAACCCTGGCTCTTCCTGCCCCCTTCAATGGACAGGTCAAGGCTGACAGCCCCCTTTCTGCCTCTCCATCACCCTTCCCTGACCGTCCGGAGACGCATCTGCCCGGTATCCCATCATTCATTCTTGAATTCCTCCAGGCCGTGAACCATCTCCGAAACTCAGGAGTCGATGTTCTGAAGGGGATCATTTGCCGTCTCGAAGGCACCTGTGGTACTCGCAGCCGCTCAGACTCACGCTCTCTCGAGAAACGCAATGTCGCCGATGACCCTTGGTACTTTCCCGAGTACCCTTACCACAAGAAGCCTTGGTATGACGACGACTGCGACTACGGATACCACAAGGGCGGATATGGATATGACTGCGACGACGACAAGTGGTGTGATGATTACGATGATCATTACTGGTACGACTACGACCCATGCGATGATTATGACCCTCCCTACTACGACCCATGCGATTACGACGATCCCTACTACCCTCCGTACGATCCTCCGTACTACCCTCCCCAGCCATATCCTTCGGATCCATACTCGCCTTACCCATACCCTTCAAGGCCGTTTCCTCCACCAGGAATCTTCCCACCCAACATGACCTGGCCCCCATATGGCGACGGCAAGCTCCCCTACGGCAACACGCCTTGGGATGACCACTGGGATGACTACCCCAACAGTGGATCTCCTTACAGACCGAGGTATGGTCACAAGTACTATGATCATTACCACGGAGGCTATCCTTATGGGTGTGACGATTATGGTGACGACCTCGACTGCAATGGCTATCCTGATCACCACCTCGTGTGGGACAGGAAGAAGTATTGCCACGGCTGGATCGAGGATTACTGCAACCACAGGCACCACTACGACCATGACGATGATGATCATGATGATTATGATGACAACAATTGCGAGGACTACGACGACGACTGTGATTCCGACTACGACTATGACAATCATGATGACCATGGCGATGTCGACGATTGGGACGAGGAGGATCACAATTGAGGACTGTGTAGTTTCTTCAATTCTTGAGCCGGTAGCTGTAACCAACACTGTGTGACAGGGTGGAGGGTGATCAGTCACCAGCATGGAGACGCAACCACGGACCTTGAAATTGTCGTGGGATTCTGTATAAGTAGAACAGCATCCCTTCCGACTCAACATTTCACCCTAATGAAACATCCATTTCACCGCTCATGATAGCCTCAAGATGTGACATGGTCAAGGTTGTCTCGTATTGGCGTGGTAAACTGTAGGGTCTCCTGCCAGCGTGTTAGAAAACGTCGCAGATCCGGCGGCGGAGAGACGAGAGGAAATGTTTGCTTCGATAGCTACCCAGGTCACTTCAGAACGCAAGAGAAGACGTAGGCTGGCGACTGACCCATATCTCGTCCAGACTGGACGTGGACAAGGTGTACTCTCCTGAGCAGATTGAAAGCCGTGCAGGTCGCAGGTCATCCAGTGACCCAAAGATGCCTTGCAAGTATGGCGCGATCCGTTGCATGAACGACTGCATGGATGCTTTGGCTGATGGAGGAAAGGGTCTGGCGAGAGAGTCTCCTGCAAAGGCTCCTGGACACTTCGTCTACCTATAGGCATATCATTCGTTTTGAGAAGGGACTACTGAGTGACACTGGAAGATATTGCGGCCAGCCTCATGACCACAGAAGCTATACTGCTTGTCTTGGGACATGCGTTGTGCAAGTAAATTGAACAGTGTCATGCCGGTTGGATCTGAAAAGTCCATCGCTGATACATGTACTACCCAACTCTTGGGGACTCCTGACGATGCCGGAAAATCAGATGCCACCCCACCACTAACCTGTATCTACTGAGCCTACGCCTGCAGGTGCCCAAGCCCCAAGGACACTCCGCCACCCGAAACTTGCTCTACCGCCGCCTCCTGAAGCGGCTGTTGAACCCCTGCCCACCCTTGGCCCCCGAGTTCCGCAGCTTGAGGCGCTTGAAGTTGGCGTGTGCGAGCTCGTTGACCTTGCGCGCGGCCTTCTTGACCCTGCCCTCTGGCTTGTCTACACCGCCGTCGCCGCCCTGCTTTTGCTTCGGGGGTAGTACTGTTTTCCTCTTGGCGCTCGCGGCGGCCTTGTTTGCCAGCCGCGGCTCGTCGAGAGCCAGCTCGTCGTCGTCGTCGTCTTCGTCATCGTCGTACTCGGAGCCGGACAGAAGGTCCAGGTCTTCGTCTATGCCTGGCCGTGCAGGCGCCGGCCTCCCGAGTTGTGTCTCTGGGATGGTTTCGTCGTCCTCTTCTTGTGTGGGCGCCTGGTTTGAGCCCGCGGCGGGTGGCCTCCGTGTCATGACCGGCTTCATGTTGGCCTTCCTGGTGGTCCTCTTCTGTCCTTTCTTCTTGAACACCCTGAGTGGCATCCCACGCTGGTCCAAGCCCTCTTGCTGGTCGTCCTCGCTGTCGTACATGCCCTCGTCGTCGAAACCACCAAGCAGCCCGAGGTTCTGCTTCTGGCTGTCCTCTGCCAAGATGGCCTCGGTCAGGTCATCCTCGCGTGCCGTGCGGCCCGGAGGCGCTGCTGCTGGCTGGGTCTCGACGGGCGGTGCCGCGCCGTGTTTCTTGGCCGGGGCGGCGGGTGCGGTGTCGTTCTCCATCTCCCGCAGCGCGTCCAGCTCGTCGTCCAGCTGCTCCTCCTGCGTCTTCCGGAGGTCGGCCACGATGCTGCTCAGGCCGCGGACGAGGGGCTTGCGCGGCAGGCGGATCGGTTCCGGCGAGGCAAACTCGTTGTCCTCGCTGATCTTGGACATCGGTATGCGCCGGAGGAAGGCCGGGGTCTGGAACTGCAGCTTGGAGACGGACCGGGAGCTGCTCGGTGTCTTGGCGACCCTGTTACTACTGTCCTTCAGCGGCGTGGAGAGGACGCTCTTCCTGGGGGTCTGTTGTGGCTGTTGCTGTGGCTGTTGGTGGCGCGTGCTTCTTGAAGAGGGCGTCCGGTCCAGCTCAATCGGTATTCCAACGCCCGTGTCGATCGTCCTGCCCCTGCGCGGTGTCTCTTGGACGGCGTCGGCGGCATGAGGGGCCTTTGTGGTGCGTTTCGGCCTGGAGGGCGAGTCAATCTCGGCATCCTTAAACGGCAGCAAGTCAAACAGGCCCAGAACACGGCCATCACGCTGTGGTGTTGGCCCAATCGAGGTAGGCACGGTGGGACTGAACAGCTTGCGGCTCAGGGACGGGGTGACTGCTGCTGCTGCTGCTGCTGCTGCTGCCGAGGCGGCGGCGGGGCCGTGAGGGGTGGCCAGGGTGGTTTGCGCCTGTGTCTGCTGTCTCGAGGAGGGTGTTTCTGCGGGCCTGAAGCGTTTAGACGAGGGAGTGCTTTCTGGTACGGCGAGTGGTTTCCGCTTCTTGTCCTGCTTGTCGGCGTCCAATTGCGTGTGGGGGATCTTGCCGGAGAGGACGTCACGGAGCCGGTGATATCTCTTGCTGTACGAGGCGATCTTGGGGTTGGCCTTGATGTCGTCGCGGGCAGGCTTTGCGCCGCCGTGAGATTTTGCAAACTCCAGCTCCCATTCTTTCAATTTCACGCGCAGCTCCTTAGACTGCGTCTCGTAACGCTGGCGGTCTGCCTCGTCCATGACATTTGGTGGCTGTTGATACTTGACTTGAAGAGCGGGCTTGTGTGTGTGTGTTCGCCGCGTGTAAAGTGCTTCCAGGCGCAGACGCGGTTTGGGAGACGCGACGCTGAGCGGGCCGCTTACTGCAGGGACAGGGGTGTGGGTACCACAAGGTAGCTAACAGTACGTGGTGACCGTAATGCGTGCATGAACGTCAACAACATGTTTTCAATAACAGTATGTACATAGTGGCAATAAGATGGCCAATAGGCAATCTCGCCAGCTGGTTTTAAAATGCCTCCATCCCGATGAAATTGGGGAAGAGGAAAGCTCTGCTGTGAATGGAGTCATTGTTTGTGCACAGCAGGGGTACTGAGTAGTCTGTGCATCATCAGATAAACAAGCAGCCACGAAATACTGTGGTGTACTGTGGTACCAACGCCTCGCAGGAACCCGAGTGGAGCAGGAGTGCTGGCTGCGTTGCCTGCCCTGAACGTTGTCCATCTACACAGCACAGTACTCCGTAGTCTGAGTGCGAGTGGGACTCGCTCTCAGCATCATCTCGGTCGAGGTCTACTCTACAGGGAAGCTCGAAACGGACGGCCTGCTCTAAAACGGGCACATCTGGTTGTTGTGCCAGCCTGCCTGAAGCTCCGATTGTGTCAGAAGGAGGACTTAGATAATCGGCGCTACCGTCCAGCCGGCCACTCACAGGTCGGCGGACCGCGGCGCAAAGCTCCCATCCCGTCTGACACCGTTCAGCACCCCATCTTGCCCATCCATGCCCAAAGAGCCCGTGCCCGTGCCTGTGCCTGCCACTCACCCACCCACTACCAGGCCTGGTTGCGGTTGCCTCGTCATCCGGGTCCTGCCTTGGCTTATTATTATCAGCTAGCTAGGTTTATCGGTGGCAGCTGTGTCACAAGACGCTGCCAATCCCCCCCGGAGCTCCAGGGTCACTGGCTGGGGGACTGACGTAGGCTCAGGACGGCTGTCGCACTGGTCCAGTAGTGTAGACCCGCCCACCCCATTTGCCCATCCATCATCCATCCCTCCATCTGCCAGTCTGCTTCCGCATCCACACCACACCTCATAGCTTCCCCAGTTTCCTTACCTCACCAACCGTCCTTGGGGCCTCCGTCACTCCTGACCCCTACACTTCTCCGGATCATCAACCACATTCTCTGTCTCGTTTTCCTTTCATCACCAACCACATCTATTTTTGCCATTTTCAACCATCCTCCATCAGTCTCTCCAGTAATCGATATCACAGCTGCCCATCATGAAGGGAGCTATGCTGAGCGCCATGCGTAAGTCCACCACTCCTGCTTCACTTGTCGCGCGACCTCAGTTTGCCCTGCCTGCCACACGCCATGCGCTCCTTGCCCCTACATTCCCACCTGCTTGGGTTTTCGCAGTCTCGCAGTCTGGCTGTCGATATCGCGCTATCCATCCGACCTCCTGCATGTCCCCGATTCTTGTGTGGCGATGACTGACGACGCCTCATGTAGTCTTTGGCGCCTCCGCCCAGGCGGCCGGAGTCCACAAGATGAAGATCCAGAAGATCCCCTTCGAGGACCAGATGGTTAGTGGAGCTTTCCTATCCCGCTGTGCACCTTGTATTGATGCTGAACAACCCCACAGAAGGCGTTCCCCATGCAGGACCAGGTCAAGTACCTCGAGCAGAAGTACTCTGGAGCCCAGCACCCCTTCGGCTACAACGAGCCCAACATCGAGCCCAACAAGGACCACACCGTTCCCATCACCAACTACCTGAATGCCCAGTGTATGTTCTCCCCCCCCCCCCCCAATGTCGCCCTCTGCCTGCCTCGCCCTTCTGACATGGTCTTAGACTTCTCCGACATCAAGGTCGGAACTCCTCCCCAGGAGTTCAAGGTCATCCTTGACACTGGCAGCTCCAACCTCTGGGTTCCTTCTTCCAAGTGCACTTCCATCGCTTGCTACCTGCACACCAAATACGAGTCTTCGTCGTCGTCGACTTACAAGAAGAACGGCTCATCCTTTGAGATTCAATACGGCTCTGGCTCCATGAAGGGATTCGTCTCCCAGGACACCCTGCAGATTGGCGATCTCACAATCAAGAATCAAGACTTTGCTGAGGCGACCGAGGAGCCTGGTCTGGCCTTCGCTTTTGGCAAGTTCGACGGTATCCTCGGCATGGGATATGACACCATCTCTGTCAACAAGATCGTGCCTCCTTTCTACCAGATGATCGACCAGAAGCTTATTGATGATGCCGTCTTCGCCTTCTACCTCAGCAAGGACGGAGAGGGCTCCGAGGTCGTCTTTGGCGGCTCGGACAAGGACCACTACACCGGCAAGATCACCAACATCCCCATTCGTAGGAAGGCGTACTGGGAGGTCGATCTTGACGCTATCACTGTTGACGGCGAGTCCGCCCAGTACGACGACGCCGGCATTATCCTGGACACCGGCACGTCCCTGATCGCCCTGGAGACCGACCTGGCGGAGATGCTCAACAAGCAGATTGGTGGCAAGAAGGGTTATAGCGGAACCTACACCATAGAGTGCAACACGCGGGACAGCCTGCCAGACATCACCTTCACCCTGGCCGGCCACAACTTCACCATCGATGCCTATGACTACACCATCGAGTCTGGCGGCTCCTGTATCTCCGCCTTCATGGGCATGAACCTCCCTGCCAACCTTGCTGGTATCCTGGGAGACGCGTTCCTTCGTCCTTGGTACTCCATCTACGACCTGGGCAAGAACCAGGTCGGCATCGCCAAGGCGAAGCCCTAAATACCGCAATCAGCAGTCACCGGGTGGGATCTATTAACTCTTGTATCAACAGGCGAGACCTAGTAACATCATGGCCTGGCATGGAGGATTGGGCCGGTTTGGGTTGCGCATTGTGCCTTGCGTTGAGGTGCATCACTATTCCCCACGTCATGGGATTTTCCTTGGACCGTCTCGAGTTTTGCCACAGATTGTAAGGTAGTTGGAACTAGCATTAGTGGAATAGGACACGGTGATTTTACAGTATGTCTACCTGATGTGCCAAGGGGCGCGGTGGCCCGGTGGTGATTAATGACTTTGCTCCTTGCGGGTTGGTCTGTTTATTATCAGACGGGTGTCCCAACTTGTCGGAGTGGCGCCCTCTTATGCGAGAGAATGGAGAATGATGGGAGACTAATGCGACACGACATCTAGAATGCTTTGTTGTCTCTGATCCTCTATCTATACGCCTCCAGAGCTCCGAGAGCTCAGGTCTCCGAACGCTGCCGACTCGGGTTGCCAAGCCTCGACTGGTCATCAGAGTCAGTCATCCCGCAGCTGGTGGGAGCGATATCGCACAGGTCGGCCGTCATGCCCGCCATAACCCTCCCCTGGGTCAGCCGGGGGTTCGGGGGTTGTAGGCACCATCCCTGCCCCGAACCCCGGGGCCCGAGTCCCAGCTCCAGCTCTGGAACCCCGCCATGTCCCTTGCTGGCCCCCCACTGGATTTTTTTCTCGCGCCGCCATATCTGCTCTGACTCCTCCCTTTCCCCTGGCCTTCTTTCGTCCTTCCTAGTCTTCTCCAAACCTCCTCTCCCCTTCACTCATTCTTTACTGATCTAGTAAAACACCTTCCTACCGCAAGGACAGAAGACTCAATCCACAATGGCTGCCAACGGCTCGACATATGCCCTCTCCCAGGGCCACAAGGACGCAAGTTTACCCCACCACCACGCCGTTTGGCGCTCTTGGGCCGTGGCTTTGCTAACACACCTGTAGTTGCTCGAGAAGTCCTTGATCGACTCTGACCCTGAGGTCGCCCAGATCATGACCTCGGAGATCCAGAGGCAGAGGGAGTCCATCATCCTGATCGCCTCCGAGAACGTCACCTCCCGCGCCGTCTTCGATGCCCTCGGATCGCCCATGTCCAACAAGTACTCCGAGGGTCTCCCCGGCGCACGGTACTATGGTGGCAACCAGCACATTGACGAGATTGAGCTCCTCTGCCAGAAGCGTGCTCTCGAGGCCTTCAACCTCGACTCTTCCAAGTGGGGCGTCAACGTGCAGTGCCTCAGCGGAAGCCCTGCCAACCTGCAGGTCTACCAGGCTCTCATGCCTCCCCACGGTCGTCTGATGGGTCTGGACCTTCCCCACGGTGGCCACTTGAGCCACGGCTACCAGACCCCTGCCAAGAAGTAAGTCTATCAAGCACGGACATGTGCGTTGAGTGGTCCGACTAACAACTGGGGTTAGGATCTCTGCCGTGTCTACTTACTTCGAGACCATGCCCTACCGTGTCGACATTGAGACTGGCATCATCGACTACGACACTCTCGAGAAGAACGCCCAGCTGTACCGCCCCAAGATCCTTGTCGCCGGTACCTCTGCCTACTGCCGTCTGATCGACTACGCCCGCATGCGCAAGATTGCCGACTCTGTTGGCGCCTACCTCGTCGTCGACATTGCCCACATTTCTGGACTGGTCTCGTCTGGTGTCATCCCCACTCCTTTCGACCACGCCGATGTCGTCACAACCACCACCCACAAGTCTCTCCGTGGCCCCCGTGGCGCCATGATCTTCTTCCGCAAGGGTGTGCGATCCGTCAATGCCAAGACCGGCAAGGAGGAGCTGTACAACCTGGAGGACCCCATCAACTTCTCTGTCTTCCCTGGCCACCAGGGTGGTCCCCACAACCACACCATCACCGCCCTGGCCGTCGCCCTGAAGCAGGCCAACACCCCTGAGTTCAAGGCCTACCAGAAGCAGGTCGTCGACAACGCCAAGGCCCTGGAGAACAAGTTCAAGTCCCTCGGCCACAAGCTTGTCTCTGACGGAACCGACTCGCACATGGTCCTCGTTGACCTGAGGCCCGTCAGCCTCGACGGTGCCCGTGTCGAGGCCGTCCTGGAGCAGATCAACATTGCCTGCAACAAGAACTCTATCCCCGGCGACAAGTCTGCCCTGACCCCTTGCGGCATCCGTATCGGCACCCCTGCCATGACCTCCCGTGGCTTTGGTGTTGCTGACTTCGAGCGCGTGGCTGCCTACATCGACGAGGCCATCAAGATCTGCAAGGAGGTCCAGGCCGAGCTGCCCAAGGAGGCCAACAAGCTCAAGGACTTCAGGGCCAAGGTCGCCGGTGGCGAGATTGAGAAGATCAACAGCCTGAAGAAGGAGATCGCCGCCTGGTCTCAGAGCTTCCCCCTGCCCGTCGAGGGCTGGCGTGTGGACGCTGGTATCTAAACCAGCGAGTGAGTTGAGGCCAAAGTCAGTAATGATTCATGCGGCCACTAAGGGTATGGGATCCGGCGTTATTCAACAAAAGTCATTGGACGGTGATTATATCCCAGGCTTCCACAGCCTGTATTCTTCTTTCTTCTTTGGGTGGGTGTTCGGGGAACAATGTAGCAAACGAAAATGGAAATCAGGAATAAGGGAAGGCCATCATTGCATAAGCATTCATCAGGCGTCGCAAACAAATCTGGGATCCTCTAGGTGTGGCTTTCTCGAATACCTGCTGCTTCAACGCGGCACAGAAACCAATATTATTACACATGCAATAAATCTTGGACGCAAATTCTGCATAACGGGTTGAGAGAGTAGAACGCTTGTCTCAGCTGAATGTATCATTTTGCGTTGCCGCCTCGATCGATCTGTCTCCTCGCGCCGACAGCTCACATGCAACTAACTGGTTCCGTCGAAGACAGTCATAGATAGAAACGTGTCCGCCGAACCTCACTTACAGACGCTCCATCTGGAAAGGGGCCATCGTCGCCCACTTTGCGACGTACTTCTGCAGCGCCGTGACTGAATAATGAATGCATATCTGACTCAGGAGGCAGACCAACACCTCCAGTCTCAAGGAGCCGTGACACCAGGTCTGACGTCTGATGCAAAGTCGCGCTGCACAACAATACCATCCAACGGCCCTACAACACCATCCAGGAACGCCCTGAGGTTCTCCTTGACCCTGCGCACCTGGTTCAGCACGGTCGTGCCAGAGAACCAGGCCAGGTGGCTCGTCAGCGCGAGGTTCAGGCCCCTGGCCGCCTCGCCGAGCAGCGGGCTGTCGCCGCCGTCCCCCGCGGGCTCGCGCGCGAACACGTCGGTGCCGTACCCGAACAGCGCCCGGGACCGCAGCGCGTCCACCGCGGCCGCCTCGTCGACGATCCCGCCGCGCGACACGTTGACCACCACCGCGTCGGGCCGCATGCGTGCCAGCTCGGCCGCGGAGATGAGCCCTGCGCTCTCCGGGGTCAGGGGCAGCGCTAGGAAGAGCACCGTCGCCTGCGAGAGGACGTCTGGGAGTGGGACACGAGGCGGTGGCGGCTGCTGTTGCTGCTGCTGCTGCTGCTGCTGCTGTCCCGTCGTGGCGAGCGTGGTGTCGTCGCTGGTGGCGGTGGTGGTGGTGCCTTTGCGCTGAGATATCACGACCTTCATCCCTAGGGCCCGGCATAGCTTTGCGATTTGCTTCCCCACGGCGCCGTAGCCGATAATACCCGCTGTCTCCTGAGAGCATGTCCGCGGTAGCGCCCCTGTGCCGTTTCGCATGATGGCGTTCAGGCTGCCTGTGGGCATTATTAGCAAAGAATGTGCTGTTTCTTACCACCGCCCCCCCCCCACCTTGCTTCCTATTTCTGCTGTATTTGTTACTCACCCTTGGACTTCCAGTCGTTAGGACGGTCTGGCCCGAAATCGGCCAGCGCAGTGTAGAGTGGGACGAGACTCCTCCTCGTCGCAAAATACAACGAGAGGGCGTGCTCGGCGACGGACTCGGTGTTGCAGCCCGTGCAGGTCATGACCTGGATGTTGGCCTGCCTGCAGTAGGCCAGGTCGATATGGTCTGTCCCGACTGCGTGGCTGATGATACATTTTCTTTGCACCTCGACGAGTTGCCGTCAGCTGCACAGCTCCCTGTCTTTTTTGAGTGTAGCTCACAAGTGCGGTGCCTGTCTCAGCGTCTCAGCCGTGAGCCGGCAAATCGAAAGGATGACGATGCTGGCGTCCCTGACCCGCGCGGCAACGTCGTCGTCGTCGGGGTCGGTGTATTTGTACAGGAGCACCTCGTGGCTACTGGGCGTGCTGTCGAACTCCTCCCATGGCACGTGTATGGACTCTAGCACGGCTATGACCTCGTGCCCGGCGGACGGGAGCTGCTTCGGGGCGAGCGTGGGTTCCGACGGCATCTTTTGGGGGCTTGTGGGCTTGAGATGTGAAGGAAACGCCGTTGTTCGATCAACGTATTCGGAGACTTGGGCCTTGAAAAGAAATGGTTGATGGGAAAACGGATTCATAGCGATCTCGATCTAGTAAAATACACCAACAAAACATACATTGCATTTCTCCGTCTGTAGACAGACATCCCCCTGGCTAGGCCCAGGCCGCTTCGCCGCACGCAAATGCGCGCAACGCCAATGCGAAAGATAAGTAATCACATCTCAGAGATCATGTTGAACCAACTTGTTATGCACGACTGAGGTCTTCGACATAGTTCTCCTTATTCGCATGCAAGTATGCATCAACTAGCGATTCGAGCGGTTTGCAGAGCATGCACGAACGTGAGCTTCCGGCAGTGAGAACAATCTCTCTTGTACAAATGTTCTTTTAGATGTTCGTCCCTGCTCCCAGACAACACACATTCTCTGGCTAAAGCTCGAAAAAGAATATGCGAAATTGATGAACGACTTCTTTAAATGTCTTCACATTTGCAACTACGAGTCGTGCATCTTGCGTTCGGTTCTCGAGGTCTGACGGGTTAGCCAGCAAGTGCATTGTGTAGGTTTTGATTTCATTGCTGTCTGTTTGCCTCTCGTGGGCAGTGGTATCTAGTAAAGCCCTTCCGCCACCGAGACCAGGACCCTCATCCACCAGACACCGGCCCCTGGGAATTACCTAGGTCCGATGCGGTATCTCTTTCAACATGGTCATAACAAGACACACCTCCCCGTAGCGCCGTCAGCATCGAGATGATAGCAGTGTGCCGAAGCCACCTCATTTCTTGAATGTACCTGCCTTGCCAGTACGTTCATGGTGCATTTTCCGGGCGGCTTTGGGGCCCTCGGCATTCATCCTCGCCGCGTAAGGATCAAATGCCTTCTTCTTGCCCGATGCGTCCCCGTTGCCGTTGGACGCGGCAGCTGACCTCTTCGCATTCAGGACTGACTGCGCCTGGCTGTAGTCGAAAGGAGCATCTTCATCCTCTGAAGTATCCGCCTGCTTAGTCCCTTCCCGGCCTGATGAGCCGGCCTCTGCTTGTTTTCTGGCGTTTCTGGCCTCTTTGGCGGCCCTCTTTCTCGCCTTCTTTTCACGCCGGCCGCCGCCGCCGCCTTCTTCTTCATCTACGTCAAGGGATATCATTTCTTCCGTGTCCAATGGTACTCCTCCGTCGCCCGAGTCTTCGTCTTGTACTTCGTCCATTTTGCGCTTCCGGCCCTGTCGCAATGTGAATTCGGTGTTTTCCACATCCAGGTCCTTCTGTGCTGCAGAAGCCGCCTTCTCAGGCACTTCTAATGGTATCATGTCCACCTCTCCATTTTGAGGTTTAGACTGGCTTCCCTTCTGGGACGCAGCGGCCACGGCTTCTTGCACAAATTGTGTCCAAGGCAGTGCGATCTGCTCGCTCATGGCGCCGCTCAGAGGCTGCGAGGAGCCGTCCCATAAGCTGCTCAGGGGGATAGGGCCAAAGAGCTGAGACTTCTCGCTCCGAAGCTCCTCCACTGGAGGTAGATCCAACTCTGGCTTATCTTCTTTGCCAAGCTCCCTCTTTGCCACAGCAGCGATCGAGCGATTATCAAGATACATACTCCTGAAATAATCAGTCGTGCTCGGTCCCTCAGCCCCGGCTTTCCTCGCTTCAGTGACCAGGGAGAAGAGCTCCTCAACCGACTGCTTCGCCTTTTGAGATGACGAGTTTCCCAGTAGACTCCACAGCGCTTTGGGATCACTTGGAAGGAGCTTGGCTATCTCCATGATGACTTGTGGTGGAATGATGAATGTTGGGTTTTCATCTTGCTGCCGCGCCACATCGTCGCGCCACTTGTGCAAGGCTTTGTAGACTGCAAATTGCTCGCCACTGAGTCTGAGATGACTCTTGTAAAGGAAGTTGGACCAGCCTCGAGCTCCCTCGCCGGTTTCTGGGTCCGCGGCAAAAGGCGTGTACCTGTCTAGTGATGTCTCCTTCGACTTCTGGAGCGTGTATCCAATCAAGTCCTTCTCGGGATCACTGCGGTCAGACCGCTCGACAAGCTCGTTTCGTACTCGGTCATAGATGTAAAGTAGGAAGTGGGTGTCTGATCGGGCATAGTAGAACATCTCTTCCGGTAGAGGTCTAAGCACGTTAGCACTGCGTCGGTGATATTTCGCGGAATCTTAAGTTTACCGTATTCTCCAATCCGCCATTTGGTACTTCTTGTCGGCGTCAAAGTCGACAAAACTCTTCAGAAGGTACGCCAAGCTCCTCTGCGGGTACCCAAGGGCTGAGCTGGCGTGGAAGGTGTCGAAGAGCCCGACAATATACAGTCCCAGGTCTCTCTGCAGCCAGATGATGTCCATGAAAGCGCCGTGGAACACCTTGAGGATCTTAGGGTCAGCAAAAACCTCGTTCAGAACCTCAAGCTTATGCCGCCATGGTCTCAGTGTGTCCACAATCCAGTCCTTGTCTCGAGTGCTGATTTGCATTAGAGAGAGCAGTCCATGGTAAGAACGATAGTCATGGTGCTCCAGATCGATGGCGATTTCTGTTGCTCCCTTCAGCTCTTCCAGCATCTCCAGAACACCTTCGTATGTGTCGATCCAAGTGGCAGAGGTGGTGTCCATGGGCTGGTATGATATGGGGTCCCGTATCTCGTAGGTGGCATCCGGGTACTTCAGAGCCAATATTTCGGTCTCGTAGGGATGCTTAAATCTGAATAGACCGTCAGTATCTTTTGTTGCTCCTGTATTGACCACATTGCGGCTTCCCCCTCGAAGCTTCCCCTTCGCCTTCCTGCTCCGTTCGACGAGCGGTTGGTCTGCCGACTGGAAAATAACAGAGGGTAAGAAAGGTGCGTTGCCATACTGTTGCTGGTTGTTTTCGTCAACTGCCACACCAAGACTGTCCTCCAGCGGCACTGCAGCATGCGGCTTCCGTGTCAACAACGGCTTCCATGGACCAGCAGCAAAATTGTCGACTTGTTTCTCAAAGGCAGTCTGTGGCTTGATGATGTTGGCGCGTCGGAAATTGAAATCTAGCCGGTCGTTCGTCTTCGTCTTCTTCTGTTGGGGACCATTCTCGGGGAAATCCGATTTCCTCTTGACCAAACCAGTGTACTCGTCCAAGCAAATGTCGGCTTTCTCAAGGAGTCCGTCGATCACGTCCACGATACCACGCCATTGTATGTCGACGTCCTCAACATCCTCCAGTTCGCCGGCGCTCTTCTGGCCGGTGCCAACGGCGGCTGACTTGAGGAGGTCGCTGGAGAGGCTCAGCAGGCGCGTTGACTGCTCCTCGAGACGGTCGCCAGTGTTGGGGTTGACGGTCCGCTGGAATGTGAGATCCTCGCTCGCGATGCGCTGGACAGCCTTGGTAGTCGAGACAAGAGAAGCCTGAATCTTCTCCTGCAACGACTTGAAGTCCTGCGAGGGGTCCATGGTGTTGAGTGATTCGAGGTAAAGCTCGCCAGTGTTGGCGTCCCGAGTGGAGGAAACAAACCCAAGAAATTATTGGGGAGTCTGCCGCATTCATTACAAGCTGGGCTCGAAAATTTACGGCGGTAGCGGCAGGCAGTCAGCGGGCCCGCAGGCTGCAAGGCCTGTAACTTTACCCCCCAGTGGGGATGATCGAGGATCCAAGCAGGGTCCTCACTGTAACCAGATGGCTGATAAGATAAGCTTACCGTGACGAAGGTGTAAATCAGTGGGCAAGCTTCATCATCACTACATGCAAGTTAGCACTGCTCGTTAACTGCCTTCATTTCTCCCATCTCATTTTCTAAACTACCAAGTTTATTCACTACCGGGCTGACCACACTTCGCCTATCTGTACCTGCCACCAGATCCTTGGATCCCAGTCTTCTTGATCCATCCAGTCTTGTTCCCCTCAGCCGACGCCAACTTCATTTCTCTGGCATTCCAGAACTCGGCTATTCCTGTGAAGCCAGCCTAGGAAACCGATTCGCACTTCCGGCCGACAAAGCTTAGCCTCCACAGCTGGGTAAACCACACTCACTCAATAGCGTGACGGCAAGCGCAGAGGCGTATTTCAAAAGCATTCACAAGCTTGTCTGCGGAGCCCCGGAACTTGGGGGCTGCTCCATCTCACTCTGGTTCTAGGATTCTGGCGACATCTTACAACAAACATGTCTGCTTCGCTGGCCCCAGAGTGTAATGAGCTTAAGGAGTAGGTTTCAAAGATTGTTGATCTGTGTGGCTCTTCGCTGACTGGAGGTATAGAAAGTACGATACTTGCTTCTTGAGATGGTACAGCGAAAGCAAGTAGAAAAAGGCTTCCTCTCATCATAAATGGAGCAATAGCTAACTCAACTGTTGCAGAGTACCTCAGAGGAATAGGAAAGTCCGATGACAACGAGTGCTCAGACCTGTTCAAGGACTACCAGAAATGTCTAAATGTGCGACGCCCTAGAAGACGGTGTTGTGTGATGGTCCACAACACAGCTCACTGTTCTCGTCACTATCCCGTCTACGAGAGAAACTTTGTGTACGTGACTAACAAGCAGTAGGTTGCTCTGAAGCAAAGAGGAATAGACAAGCTCCTTGAAGAAGCCAGGGAGGACAACAAGGAGAATGATGCCATACACCTGGGCAGGAAATGAGGCTTCCGTTGAGAGCAAGGAGGGTTTGGCGAAGGGGTGTTCATGATGGTTTCGTCCCAGTGCGACTGCCATCATCACATGTGTGGCCTCAGACGTGTGCATGATTTTATTCCGCTGGTTTGGCGTTTTGTATTGGACGGGCTTGTAGGACCACGATCATCCACCACTCGAAATTAATTCCACTCTGGATCACTTCTGCATTCACACCACAAAATAGATGACATGTTCTTTACATATAAATGATCAACTGAGGCCGCCACAGGAAGTCTGGTGCGACTATTGGCGTGGTGAGTTTTCCGTATCAATGAAGTCAGGCCAACCACGGGCATACATGAGCGGGTGCCAGTCACGGGTAATCCAGCTGGGATGACGCAGGCATCCCATGAAGTTCGGGCACCGTTTGAATATTATCCCAGTCAACTATGCCGTTGATATTGCCTTGCTCGTCCGCCATGATATTTTGAGTATCAAAGTCAGGAAGGGCCAGAGCATAACTGCGATTATGAAAAGGTATGAGCAGCAATATTTCCTTTAGAATCTTGGCTGCTCCGACGCCGAATGAGGAGTCCTCGCTGGGTAGGACCCAGTAGTGCTCGAGGAAGAATGTGGTTCCGTCGTCCGCCTCCTCGGAATCAAAGCATGGGCCTATGTGATGCCCATCTCCTGGGTCATTCGGGATAAGCGAGCCGATCTTGTCGAAGCGGTACATATTGGGCTGCGGAATTCTCTAGGCTAGCTAGCTTCTTCAGAATGTTTGTCGTCTCTGCTCAAGTGGCGTAGGCCCGCTGTTACCGAACCAGAGCTTTGAGAGTGCACGTCCGCCGATGTAGCTCATGGCGATGTAAGGTGCACCAATCTCGTTATTTGCCGTGGTGTCATAACAAAAGACCTCCGGGACGGGGATGCTAGTGTGGGCTTTGATATATCATAATGCATAGACATGTGGTTCGAGTGCTCCTTTCGCCGGTTGATGCAAATCACCTGATTGACCGGTTCTCGGAATCTCTGATCACCATTTTGACCCCGTACAGTTCAAGCACACGTGTGAGATTATAGGAACCGCTGTGGGCTTCTACCATGCGGCCGTGATGGCATGGAGTCCTGGATTTACAAACATATTCCCGTAAACATGAGTCAAGAGCGATTAGCTCATCGTCGATCATGTTGAGCAAGGTCCCAAAGACCTTATTGTCGTCCCTCGGGTCGGATTCAGAGGAGATAGAAGACATGGCTGTCAAAACAGGAACAACACGACTGTTCGGGGTTGAAAGTTTAAAGCTCCTCGCGACTTCGTGCTCTTGGAAAAGCGACCTGGCCTGATCGTACCATCAGATGTTACTTTGACGCCCAAGCTGAATACCCTAGGGTACCTACTGGAGCTATACCGTAGATGAGAACGGGACTTGCTACAGTGGCTTCGGCTTTGAATGGTCAAACGTATTAGACTCTGCTGACTCAACTGCAATGTCGGCTGTGGATCATTATGCTCAGCAAGGCGATCCAATCGATGATGACAACTATGGATGACCCCTTCCACTAAAATTCGATAAATGTCCTCTCAAGATTTAGTGCTCTTCATGCTTCTTATTTATCTCCTCTAACCCTTCCAAGGTTGCATTATATCCATTAGTTAACTTGTACAGATAGGTATTTAAGTACGGACTTGAGAACAAGTGGGGTGATCTTTATAAGTAAGTCGACCCACTTCTCTCTATTTTTCTTGAAGTTTTAATATCGACAAGCAACATCACGGCCCAAACCTGGGACAATATGAAAGCAAACTGTGGTTTTGATGGAGTTATTACTCCAGTAAATGATTTCTTAAATACTTTAGAGTAGTGAGTACACCTCAGTCGATATAGGTTCAAGTCTTGCTAACAAACTAGTAGTACACAGTGATACTTTGATTCCTGGCCCCAATTCCACTCTTTCTCGGACTCATCCCCAGAGCATTGCCGCCAATGAACCTTCGACCTGTTAACAAGTAGCAGTAGAAGGTTAAACCCAAAGTCAGGGCCTCTACGCCGAGCGCCCCGCTTTCATGTCCAATCACCGTCGTCAATCTCGAGAACACTGTAGCCTAGAACACTAACACATTGAGCGTCGAGAACTGAGTTGCGAATTATGCCAACTTTACCCTGGCTCAGTTCCTCTTATGCAATCCTATAACCATCAAAGCCATGTTACTCATTGTAATACTATCTACGTCAAGTCAGCCTAAAGTACCGATGCCAAACAAGCGCAAATGCTTACATCTCGCTGTAGCCCCCCCCCCCGGGGCCGGTGGCGGCTACCGTTGCCGAACCGACTGTCTACACAACAACCGCGTACGTTTCTCATTGCCCTTTCTGAACAACTAGCTAATCTCTTGTAGTTCCCATGCAGATCCTACATACACCGTCTGGAACCATTCCAAACTGTGGTCTCTGATACAAAATTTCGGACGAAGATGCTGACGTAGTATTAGACTTGAACCCTTCGATGGATTCTGCTTGCTCTAACCTCAATCTCGGAGACGACTACTAGTAAGTCTTTTGGAAACAGGAAGAATTCTCGCTAACAAATAACAGCGTTGCTGCGGTGAATGGGACAAAAGTTTCGACCGTTACCACAGCCCGAGCACCTACAACGAAGTCGTCCATAACGGCAACACCAGCGTCAATTTATATTTCTGCTCCAACGGAGACCGCCACGGGCACCACGCCCGACGGTTACGAACGACACATAGCACAATCCGACGATTCATGCGCGAATGTTGCAAAAGAGTTTGGCTTGACACTGGCAGAATTCATCGCTCAACACTAACGTTCGTACATCTTGTAATGGATTTCGGGTTGGGTACGCCTACTTCGTCGAAGGGGTAGTGCCTGCAAGCACAACTTAGAACGGCAACGTCCTCCATGACAACGACGACGTCAGCTACGTCAGTGACAACCCCTACACCCACACAAGCTAGAATTGCAAGCAGCTGCAATGCCTTCTATGAGGCTGTAGCGAATGATAGCTGCTACGATATTGCGCAGAGCCAGGACATCCCGTTGGATCAATTTTATGCTTGGAGCCCTGCTGTGGGAGATGATTGTGGGCAGTTATGGCCCAATTATTGGTACTGCATCAGTGTTGGGTACCATTCAGACAAACAAGTGTATCTTCACTTCCGTCGATGTACATGGTCTCAGCTGCCACTCTCATGAATTATGTTTTCTAATACTCGCTCGGCGTCTGCTGCCCATTGGTCTTGTCTGAAGTTCTCTGAGCCCCATCCGTACTCGTCTAAGAGCACCTTCTTTGCATGGGCACACTGAACCGGTGCGTCAGCCTCCAAGCAGGCCGAGTATCACGATAAGTTGTGGGAGACTTACGATTTCAGGATACGCGTCGCTGCTAAAGAACTCCCTGTCGTACTTGTCGCCCCCATAGGGGATGTACTCCAATGAGCGAACGTCAGCAATCAAGGTCTTAAAGTAAGCAGTCGCATCTTGAGCGTGATAATTCCGGTAGTACATGGGTTCTTCCGGTCTTTCAAGTGGCGTTCCTTCAGGGTTGACAACTTCCGGACTGTCGTTGTTATCCAGCATCCTCACAGTATCTATTATAATGCATTAGGACGGGCTTGGCCTGGTCCAAGCAGAGGTATTTGAACACATACTGGCTTTCGTGTCTAGCACTAAAGTCATACCATCCCTGAGGTTGTGTGCCAACGCAATGTCATGGCCGAGTAAATAATTCAACCTATATCCCTGTGTTCCAGTAGCGTATGGGTCTCGGCTCTCCATGATATCATCGTCACGCAGGAACGAGTATGCTAGAGAGCCGGTCCAAGAGCCGGGGAAGAGCAGGCATCCATATGCAGAGGCATCCTGGTCAAGTTGTCCATCACCGGCAGAGTATGGCCCATCAATGTATGGTAGTTTCTTCATTAGTGATATCACCGCGGCATCAAGACCGAGCGAGTTGCATAGCTTCTCGTTAATTACATGGCCGGAGGGCGGAGGACTGACGATTTGAGAGGCGCGGAGGTAGGATAGTGAGATGAGTAGAGAATAGTATTCCTTTATAAGAGAAACGATCATTGCCTCGTTGTAGGGAGATGTGGTGCTCATGTTGAACCAGTGCTGGGGTTGGAGAGGAGGCGGTAGTTGATCAGACGGACTTTTCCAACGAAAGGTAACAGTACCTATAGAATGTCTGCCTAGGTATACACCTAGTAACTCTATGAGCTCCTATAAGTTAAATTATATGAAAGAACTTGAGAAAGGGTAAAAGCTACTCATTGAAGTAATTAATGTTGAATTTAAAAGCGTGCCTGTATATTACAGTATTAGAGACCTCCAACCCTTGGCTGTCGGCTTCCTGCAAGCCCGTGTGGCCAGAGCTGCTTGCGAGGCTTGTTAGTAGTGTGCAAGCTAGGCAGGTTCGCCTGCGGTCGATTGGTGGCTCGACCTGCAGCTCAGGGGACGGTCCTGGGCCTAGAACCAGGGGTCCCCACTGAAGAAGGCTGGAAATGCCGGCAGGCAGAACCACAGCATGGGTCTATCTAAGCTTGGCTACTCCAGCTCCAAACAAGTGCATGTGGTAATTAAAACTGATTGCGACAGCTCGTCACGTCTGGCGAACCACGGCCCTCCCGCCCTGCATCTTATCGTGCGTGGACAAAACCGACAGACCTGGGGCTCGATCCTGCGACTGTCCTGTTTTCCAAAAACCCGCGAGACAAACAAACTCGGAATGCGCTTAAAGTAGCGACCAGACGGCGATTCTATGCACCCCTTCTCCGCCCTGACGATCGGAATCTTCGTAGCCGGCTACACCACCGCTCGATGGGACCTGGTTACGAGGCTCTATGAGCTTGCCATCTTTGCCTGGGACTACGGGGTTGTTGTGAGTCCAGCCCACCACCCGCGCAGCACGTCCACGTCCACGCCCACGTCCACGTCCACGTCCACGTCCGCCTCCGCCTGACCCCAGCTGACCTGTCTGTCTTTCCCCGCCCTCCTAGTCGCGCGCCGCATACGGTTTCGTCGTACTGTCGCTCTTCTTCCTCGTCGTCCTCCTGCCTGTGGCACGTCTTGCAGTAAGAGAGTCAGACCTGGTACGACCACCTCCTCCGCCCTATCGACTCCCTCTGTGCCACCTTTCGCGACATGCGCCGCTGACACCCACTCAAGCATCCCCGGTCCACCGGTTCAGGCATATCCGCGCGGGAGCAGCTGAGACGAAGAGGGTCGTTCTAGAGTCGTAGCCCCGCGTCAATCGAGGCTGTCTGTCATGCCAGAGCATGATGGGTTGATGCGCATTTTCTGGCCGAACGACATCCCAAGGTCCGACCTGCCTGGGGTGGTCGTGGGCTGGAGGAACTCGGCATTGGATGTGTTCGTGGTCGCCATTCTGGAAGCCGTCGATGTCAGTCCCCTCAGTGGAGACCCCAGCTTGCGAGTGCCCTGCTAAGCCCTACCTACCATCCAGGCCCGAATGGTCGAGGGCGCGCTGAAGTCCCTCACCCTGTTCAGGAGCGCTCCCCACCCGATAGGACGCATCTTCGAGCTGTGCGGCCAGTCGAGCATGCACGTACTTGGTGTCTCAAATGCTGCCGACTCGGTTATTATTGACCCGTCGTGGGTGCGCGTGAACATGGATGCCAATGCTCGAATCCCTCAGGTCCGATGCGCCAAGGCCTCAAGTATACAGATCATACTATTCCAGCGACCGCTCCCGACGAGAATGCAATACATATCGCTCAATCCCATTGCGCTGGCCTTGGGCGACAAGCCCACGGACGAGAGGACGGCGCCCGTCGGCGAGGCCGAGGCCCAGGAGGAAATACAGGAACGCCTTCGGAGGGAGAAATCCGAGCGACTCGTCGAGAAACTCAAACAGCATTCTGTCATAAAGCGACCTGCCTCGAACAAGGAAAGGGCCCTCCCCAGAATCGTCAACCAGATAAATTGGTCCTTGGAGCTTGAGACGCTTCTTCAGAAAAACGTATCAAGACTAGGAGCGAGACCCAAGCGAAGTCTGAGTGTGTCTGAGCGAGTGGTAGAATCTGCGACTACGATGAAGAACATTGTTCTGCTCTGGATATGGGAACTGATCACTGTCTATCTGTATCCCATCATCAGGCGAGGCTTCATTCTTGGCCTCATCGGCCATCGGATAGCGGCTGAGATGCTGCTGGTGGTGTTGGAGTGGAGGCCCCAGCCTCACATTGCTGCTCTCAAGGATATTTCGGCCACTGCGCAGCAAGTCGAGATTCGACTGCAGCAATTCTGCTACTGGCCAATGCAGTATGTCACTTTGAGACAGCGAAAGAACGACTGGGAAAGTGTGACGACAAGTCATCCTGACTACATCCGATTCTACAACAGCCTTTGGCTAGTTGCTAATGATGTGATCATCGGAATTGCCTTGGGCTCATACATCATCGACAACGCTTCCTGGGTTGCGGACCAGATCAGCCTTATCCTGACAACATACACCGTCGAAGCTCTACAGAGCGGTATTTCCTGGTTGATGGGATGGCCCGCTGGTTTGAAGCTCAACACCGAGTTGGCGGCGTTTCTTGGCGACTTGTTCCTATGGGTCATCGATTATTGGGCCAGTGAGTCATCGCGTGTGTTCCCACTGCGTGGTCTTTTTTAGCTGCTGACATTCTCCAGGTTGTATCGATACATTTCGGCCGGCGCTGCCTGGTGTAATCTGGTTCATCGGCTTCACCAGTTTTGCTGGGGCTAGCATGCCCATCGCAGTGTTCTCGGACTTGCTTTCCGTGCTCACTGTCCACATATACTCGTTCTATCTCGCCTCCGCCCGTATATATCACTGGCAACTGACAATCCTCATCTCGCTCTTCCATCTATTCAGAGGAAAGAAACACAATGTCTTGCGGAACCGTATAGACTCTTGCGACTACGACCTTGATCAGCTCTTGGTGGGCACGATCGTCTTCTGTCTTCTGCTATTCCTGCTGCCGACTGTCGTGGTATTCTACCTGAACTTCGCCATAGCCCGGATGGTCATCATCTCGCTAAAAGCCGCCTTTGATACACTTCTTTCCTGCTTGAACCACTTCCCCCTCTTTGCCCTGATGCTCCGGATCAAGGACCCCCAGAGGCTGCCAGGTACGTCTGATCCAGTCAGGAACACGCGGGCGGCGTGGCACGGCTAATATCTTCCCAGGGGGCATTCGTTTTGAACTTCGTGATACCCAAAATTATAGAGTCGTACATAATCCAGCAATACCTGATCTCCCATCCACATCGGTAATCTACCTTAAGGTAAAAGCTCCGTGATGTTCACTCTTGGTCGACTCCAAGCTTTCCCCACTTCGACAGCACAGTAACACACCCGCTGACTCTTTATCGGTCCCAGTCCATACCCTTGACGTTCCGCGCCATGTTCCACCAGTACTTCCAGATGGCCGCGCGCATCCGAAAGCACTACCTCTCACCCCGTGTGCTTCTCTGCTTGCTCACGGGCAAGTTTGTCCCGCCTATCAACCGCAAGAACCTGTACAGCCTTCAGTACAGCATGTTGCCGGCCAAGAGGTCGGGGATCATGGAGATGTGGGCTGCGGTCAACTCACTTGTGAGGAACGAGAAGAGGCAGCCCATCCCAGTGATAAATGGGAGGCTAACTAGGACACGGGTGTACGGTGGGCATTGATGGAGAATAGAGATGCCAACCTAGGGTCTAGTAGAAAAACAACGAGCGTGACCAAATTTAAGTTAATGTCCTGAGTGTGTACCAAGGTTCATTTCTGTGTCCCCTGAAACCATCTCATGAATTGCGGAGAATACAACGTGGCCGAGAAATAAAATTCCGCTGGGATTTTTTTCTGTCAGCCACCGCCGTCATACGCACTGGCGTTTTGCTGCTCATGTTCATGACCTTGTCCCATCAATCAAGCCCGAATCATCAAGGCATGGTTTGCATCATCTTTTCTTCATGCGAACATCCCCAACTACGTAGGCACTGAGCATGACAAACCCTTTGCTAGGCGATTGTCGACCAACTCCTCGTGTTTCCGCTCGTCAGTGCGTTGCTATGAGAAGAGGAAGACAACCGTGAAAGAGATTGGAACTCTAAAGTTCCAGGCTGTCTTACGGAATGGTCTTGCTCGTTATATTTGACCAAATTTTATCCATAAATCCTTCCAGAAAGCATGGGAACATTGCACCAATCAAGTGGGGAAGACTCGCACACAATTTCAAAGGGGACATCGATAATTAGAAATATCCATACAAATGAATGAGGATTGAATATTCATAAGCCATCAACTCAGCCTTATGGCGTGTGTGGATGCCCGACTCGATGTTTAACATCAAGTCAGACAAGAAACAAAAGTCGGAACCCTCGGGAAGTGAGCAAGCCCCGCCCCACCTCCACGTCAAAGGGAAGGCAACATTTCGGGACAAGTGATAGAGCGATGGGGGCTGGGGCGATGATCGTACGTTTCGATAATCCTCGCCTTCAACACCGTGGGGAAGCCAGAGTGTCTCTCATCTCGAGTTCGAAAGGTAGCGCAGACACGGCGCGTCCGAGCCGAGGGGCTTCGTCGGTATGGGAACACTCGCATTCTGGAAGCCGAACCTGGAACGGAGGGCGGACCTACAAAGTGGAAAAACGTCGGGAACACTTGCTTCGATTGCTGCTATATATCCATTGTGAACGGCTTCATGGCATCTATAAGTTTGTGGAGATTGGTGTGCTCGAGGCCGCCACACACCGCCGGGAACGTGCTCAAGTGTGTGGTGCGCGTGGGACTAGTAATTGCAGAGCTGCATTTCTTTCATTTTTTTTTTCAAAGTGTATGAACTCGAGTCTACGTCAGGTATCTGGTCTCCGAGCTCTGGAGACGGTAGGATGAGGTTGGGATCTGATTTCCTTGTCCCTGTATCCGCCTTCATACTGGACTGTACTGTAGTTGTTCCGAGGCCAGCTGGGAAAGGTCTGGCCGCCGTCAGGCCAGATCCATCCAGGATTGGTAGCTGCTTGACTGGTCAGACCAAGCTCCCCTAATCTGCTTAGCAATTGACGTTCTGCCAAGCGCCTCGACTCCAATTTGGAAGTGGAGCGGGAACCAAACGCTTGAGATTCTAGACTGTTGGCAGAGAGCAAGGCACCCGCGCCACGCCCGTCCAATTCACTGCCTACTTCAGTAGGTGCCCAGATGCTCGAGGACTTGAGTGCTTGATGTCCAAAAGGAGCACACTCGACACATAAGTGGTCAGAGGGGCCGATGTGGGGGCAGGCTTTTGGTGACCCCCTTCTCTTGGATGTTGGAGGGCTTTGCTCTTGCTGAAATCGACAGGAAACGATTGACCGAGGTAGTGACCATTACGAAAGGTAATTGGAAATAATAACTTGAAAATCGAAACAGGGAAAAGAGGACAAAATTACCTAGGCACCCAGAAACAACATCCTTTCACGAACAGCCAGTATGTGACCAAGACCAACTACCGTGGGCTGTGTCCCATGGGGAAGGAGAGTGAGTGTGGGGTAAGGGGAAGTCAGACCACTATTCCCCCATTCCCTCCTGTCCTTCGCATCGAAGGTTTGAGGGGAGGCCTGTTCACACGTGACCCTCCCAGCATGAGGGGAAATGCAACGACAGGCGACGTTAATTCAACGACATGCGTCTCCTCCAAATTCCAACGCTGGACAAGACTTCTCCCATCAATTGGCGATATTGAGCAACGTCCCAGCGAGGGCCGCACTTTGTCGATTTGTCCGTGTTGTTCGACTCGCACCACTCACAAAGCAGCCCCCGCTGCCTGAATCGCTCCACACGATCGGCTCGCTGAGCTCTAGCTTACCCGCAAAGACCCACTGCTCACACCATGACCGTGGAGATGGAGCCTTTCCCCAGGAATTCCCGCCAGCAGAGGCCAGCAATCTATCAGATTGGCCAGGAGCCCAGATTGGGACTACGATAAGCTCACGGCGCCTTCGAAAGCGAACGCACTCGGTTGTTGGCCCTTCAATTGATCTCTCGGAGCGAGCGGGCTTCATCACCGACACGATCACCACATCCGCCGCGGCAAGCAGATCCAGTGCTGCCGGCCTCGACTGGCCCAGCGACACCGTGGAGCATCTCGTGGAGAATACAATGGAGCCTCTCGATCACAGACCCCCGTGTCGACTGGGATAGCCGGTCTCGGAGCCGAAGACGTGCAATCGACAGAGAAATAGAGTGGTCTTTTTTCGTCATCTTCAGGATCCAGTGGATCGGGATTGGACTGGCATTGCTATTGTACAGTTCCCGGAAACCTGAACACGCAAGTCTCGCCGTCTATGCTCTATGGTTGCCGCCGCAAGCACCCCTCTATGCAATACACGCCCAGAATGCTCCTTCCATGCTTGTCTATATTGCCGCCGAGTGGTGAGCACAAGACACTCGGTGCCATCAAGATCTGGGCAAGTGGCCCGTCAGCTTTCGGCGAGGCATGCTCCATTCTTCCATTGAGAGAATGAAGTAATTGTTTACGTCTGCAAGTGCGCCTGTTAGCCGAGGTCCAGTATCGAGAAGCTGTCGTTGCATTGAGGCATTTTCATCAAGGTGTGGGTCACTCTGCCCATCAGGGATCGGCGAGCCTCGGCTGGGGAGTCGGTTTGCACGTACGAACTTGGCCATGAGGGCAACCATGAGGTCGAAAAGACCAATGGCCTCGACGAAGGCGAAACCCAGAATGGCGTAGGAGAAGAGCTGGCCACGCAGGGCGGGGTTGCGGGCAACACCGTTCAGGAGAGCGGCGAAGACGAGACCGATACCGATACCAGCACCAGTCAGACCGATGGCGGCGGAACCCATACCCAGGTTCTTGGAGACCTCAACCAGGGCGTTGGCCATCTCGGAGCTGTAGGGGCGGGCCTGCTGCTTGAAGGCAGAGCGGGTGGTGGTGTTGATGATGCTCTGGCGCTTGACGGCCTGGAGGGGGCTGGGCTTGCTCATGCCTATTGAAGAGTTTTTTCTCAGTACCGATCGGGAGCTACGGCGGCGTGGTGACGGGTTCAATTGGGTCAATTGGGCGTCCCAATTGACTTCGAACCATCTCGGGCCGATGACGTTGAGGGCCGACGGCTGTGGACCGACAAGCTCTAGATGACTTCTTACCAGTGATGGTGCGCTTGGAAGCGTTGGCGACCTGGACACGCATGGCAGGGCGGGCGACCTTGGTGGTCGTGGAGGCCATGGACGAGGCCAGGCGGGAGGCGAGCACACGGGTAGAGGCCATTGTGTCTGATGGAGGGGAGAGAGGTCTCAAACAGAAGAACTTTTGATAGGAAGGAAAGGGTTGGGCAGGATGCTTGAGGACGGCAAGGTTCGAGTAGATGCTCGGTGTGGATGAGGGAAAAAATGAGAGTCGAAGGGAAAAGGACAGAGCGGAGGTCAGGTGAATGGGTGGGACGGGGACCCGGAGCTGCCAGCCAACAAAACCCAGCGAAACCACCGACTCTCGAGTATCACGGGCCAATGACAACCTAAAGCAGGAACACCCGATCCACCGCATCATCGAAGCCACCACTATGTCAGGATCCACCATCCTGTGCCGTCAACAAGGAAAAATGACGCCCCGGGTGCCGGGAGCTCACTCGAGCTCGGGCGATATCGGGACTCTGCCCGGACGGTTAGGACATTCATAAAGAGCTATGCCCCCTCGAACCCAGGTGAGCAGTGTGATTCTTTCACTACCATGCTGCCAAGATGGCAGTCGACACGACTCATGAGAGTTTCGACCGTCCTACTTATCTGATCAGATTGCCCGCGGGGAATCTTCGCAATCACATCCTGGGCATGCAGCCAGCGACTTGCAGCTTGCCCATAGCTATTAAGCTCTGAGATGAGTTCAGAAGGGGGCATCAAGATGATGGAAAAAAAGTTTTTTCGTCCGAGACTCTCTCAGGGGCAGGCAATGTCAATGCTGGCAACGAGCAGTTCGGGTAGCATATGATATGTGACCCCCACGGGCCGAATCCTTGTCTGCGGCTAGAGAAAGAAGCGGCAACTTGCTCAAGGGTGTACCTGAGTTTGGGCCATGCGACTCTGCCTGCACACTCTGCCTGCACACGCTGCACCGAGCATGGTTGCTCGGCTTCCGGGTGGGAAGGTTGCAATGCCTGCGACAGTGAGTGCGGATAGCTAGGCCAGGACCGCCTGCAAAATTCGGTTGCTTCAAACAACAAGAGCACGTTCCGTTGGGCCGGTGCCGATGGGCTGACGTCGGTCCCATACTGCACTTGGCAGCTGTCAGGAATGGCTGGACGACCAAGTGATATGTGAGAATTAGGGGCTACTGCGATGCCACCGAGGCCATCAAAGGCAACTGAGTTTATGAATGTCCTGGGACATCATGTGGGACCCAGAGCAGCCTATTCATGATTCAGAATGACTCTTGCCCATCGGCTACTGGAAATTGAGACAGCTGCACAGTAATGGCAGTGCAGTAGGCTTCGACGCGCTGACGTCGAGTGAGCATCGAAAATTTTTCCCAGCCCAAAACCAAGTCATTCCGCGATCACCCGTGTAGTACAACCCTGTCTGGACGCTCGCTCAGGACTGCACGCCCCTGCAACACTCCAATCAGGCCTTGGCATTCGGAGCCTCAATTCTGACGTTGTACTACTAGCTCGCGCTTGAGCTTGAGCTTGGGTCAGGACAAAAAAGCAAGGATCGCTCGCTCACTACTACGGCTCAATGCGCGCGACCTATCACCTCGAGAATGCCCGGCTGCAAGGGTGACAGCTGAGGGCGGATTCCTCCAGCAGAGTGCAGCTGAGCCGATTGTCTCTGAGGCCGTCTTACTATCCTCATTTTCTTTTTTCTGTTGCTTACTGCTTACTGAGGCCACCCCTAAATCGCACATATTCATCGAATGGGCGTATATCACACCCATAGTCCCAGCACAATCGACCCGGCTTACACTGCATCGAGTAGCTCTCACATCACGATCGTCGCTGGTCTCAATTGGCCCAAAGGGAGGTCAGCAAGCACCACCCACCTCGGACCAATTCGAGGCTTTACCTTGGTCTGGTCCGTTGGATTCCGCGGTTGCATTCCCGCGTGGCTGCACCCGAGATTACTGCAGACTAAGTTTTCCGCCACGCCGCGAGCTCATTGCTCTGTCCATGAGTGGAACAAGCTCGCTTGTTATCAGCCCCCAATTCTTTTTTGTTCCGGGCTGGCCCAAGCTCCTTGCCCAAATGGGATGCCGGGCAGTTTGGCTGGCTGGACTGGTGAAGCCTTGGAATAGGTTCGACATAGTGTGCTGTGTGTTGTAAGTTATAAGAAATGTGCTCCATTATGACGAGACTTCAAATATGCTGTGCCAGCATGAACACAGAATAGGTTTCAGTCTGAAGACAATTGTCATGTTGTATTATAAGAAGCAGTTGGATATCTTGAATGATGTAGAAACCCGCTTCGCGACGTACTCCTTACGCCAAGCTCCATCGCCGAGAATGACATGCTACTGCACCTCCTCCTCCACAGATTCTGTTTTGATAGCATAGCCTTCCGCGAACCCGTCTGGGTCACAGGCCTTCTCCAAGCTGATGCCATTCGCCCGGACCCATTCCCGAACAGCCTCCTTGCTGATGCGCACCCGCGGCACCTCCTTCTCCTTGTCACCGCTGGCAGGCGCGGGTGCTTCTTCACCACCGTCTCCGTGGCCCGGGGAAGTGCCGCGCCGGGCGGGTTTCGGCGGCCCCAGACCCGCCTCCTCCACGACGCCCATCTCCCTCAGGACGGCCAGGCAGTCCTCGGGCACGATCCACGTCGCCTGGCTGCACTCCTCTGCGTCGACGACAACCTCTTCGTCGCCAGAGGTATCAAGCCCCAGGAGCCAGGCGGCGATCTCGCCCGCCCAGAAGCGCTTGTAGCCGCGCTTGCCGAGGTCCGAGATGGGCTTCTCGGGCCCGCCGACGACGCCCTCCCGCCGTGAGATCTCGTAGCTCACCCCCATCAGCAGCGCGCCGAGGCCCTTGCGCTGCCATGGCGGGAAGATGAGAATGCACGCCAGGTTGTTGTTGTCCCATGACAGCTTCTCCTTGGAGAAAAACCCCACGATCTGGTGCTTGAGCGGCAGCGGCAGCGGTTGTGCCGCCGCGTCCTCGTCCTCCTCTCCCTTGTCAGTGGGTTCCTGGGGTGATGGGGAGTGCGGAGGGCGTGGCGTCGTGTGTACCAGAAGGTAGTATTTAAAGCCGACCACGTCGAAGAAGACGGACTTGTTGTCCAAAAACAGCTTTGCAAAGAGCGACAGGTTTTGGCAGAACAGGCCTTCTTCCTCCCCATCGACCTCCCAGATGGACCACTCGCCCTGGCCTTCCAACGGGTCCTGGTCCTCGACGGGCTGGGCTGCGGCATCTGGCGCCTTTCTCTTGCGCCCTATACCCTTGGATGCTGCCGCGGTACCATCAGCGGGGACGGGATGCCTGGCTCGCTGGCTCTTTGGATGTGTGTAAATCTTGTCGCCAGGGACGTAGCCTCTCCTCTCACACTGGTGGACGTGCTCCCACCACGGCACCAGCTCCTTGGAGTATTTGAAGCAGCACGGGCAGACGTACAGCCGGTCTAGCTTGTCCTCTTTTGTCTTGCGGGACGTGGCATTCGCAGGCGCGTCATCCTTGCCATTCCCGTCCTGTGAAGAAGGGCCGTTGCTGTTGGCGGATTTGACGCTGTTCCCGGACACGTCCCCCAGTGCCTCGGTGCCGTAGGGCGAATGGTACCAGGTTGAGAAGCAGATGTTGCCAAAGACTACCTTGTCGATGTTTCGCTCGGCGGTATTCGGCTTCTTGTGCTCTTTGCTGGGGTGCTGTTGGGTCTTCTTGGCGGGCTTTGGCGTGCGCTGGGCGGGCTTCGTGAGGGGCTGCAAGCACGGCTTGCTCGTATTTGCCGGGACGCGATCCGAGGACCTGGCCGACCGTGAGGGAAGCTGTGTCATGGGAGCAACTGAGCTGGCATTCGAGGGCATGCGCTGTTGTTGGCGTTGCTGCTGCTGCTGCTGCTGCTGCTGTTGCGTTGGTGGTGGTGGGGACGGCGGCGGGGGTGGGTGGTTCTGGGCGGGTCGCGGTGGTGCAGCCGAACCGCGTGTTCTCAGGTCTTCGGTTGATCCAGCATGAACCGGCCGGACGGGACAACTCGTGTTAGCCTGGTCGTTGTCGTCGTCTTCATGATGATGACGGTGGCGGAGGCTCCTTGCAGGCCTCAGGGCCGGGTCCGGCTGGGCCTGATTCATAGCCTGCAGCACGGGCCGACGCAGCGCTGAGCGCCCCGACGCGCCCGGGCGTGTTGGCTCAGCAGCTGCATGTGCAGATGCAGGTGCAGGTGCAGTCGCATGCGAGCGACCGCGGCGGCTGGTCGTCCTCAACTCGCCGTTTTGTTGTCTGTGATCCTCAGCTTCATCTTCTGCCTCTGCCCCTGGCTGTGCATCGGGCGCGCCTGCAATGTCACCAGCACGTCTGGCACGTCTGCGGCGTGGCTCAGGGTCGGCCTTGTAGACGGGCGGGGCATTTGGGGTGTGACGTGTGGCACGGTGGGCTGCCTTTGGTGGGGACCGGGTTGGAGCTGCGTCGTGGGATCTCTTGCGCTTGAGAGAAGACATTCCAAGATTTGACCGGGACAGATCTTGGTCAGGCAACTGCTTGCTTTTAAAACCTAGGTGGTATGTAGATCAACCAGGTCCATGATTCCACGGCAGTGTGTGGAGGACGGCAGTTGCCTCTCCGTGGTCGCCTCTGGGAGTGAGTATTCGAGGGATCGGCCCGTCCAAGTCAGGACATACTGTATTAGTCTACCTACCTACACAGCATACAGTGGGGGGGGGGGGGCTCCCCACCGTTGGCTTACATAATCTGGCTCACGCTCTTGCAGCCGACTCGCCTTGAGAAATCTCGTGGGAAATCTTGGCTGGTGTTACCGCCGGTATTGAGCTATCTTTTACACAAGGGCGGACTGTTCAACCTCCGCCAAATCTCGAGACCATGGAATGCCATCCTCTTAATACTAATCGACCATTCCCATTACCCGTCTCCCCGGTGCTGTCTCCCTGGGCATGCTGCGACTCCGCTTCGCAAAGCATCTCACAAAGGCGCGCCGTCATGTCTGTCTACCCTTGACCGTCAGTCCTCACATGTGCTACTCACCTTCCACATCACATCTTGTTGACTTCTTCATCCAGGCACCCTCGAATGCCTTGAACAGTCCACGCTGGTTGCAAACTGCGGCGAGACAACATGCTGGCCGAGCTGCCGCCCAGCATGGCGCACCCGGATCGGCGCGGGCCAACAGCCATCGCCGTAGGGCAGTTCGTGGTCAGCTGAAGCTGCCGCCCACGGACCTGCTTGTACGCACCCTGCGGGGCCGAGGGGAGCCCGTGACATGGGATTCTTGGGAGAAGGTCCGCATGGTTGCCCGGTCACGGAGCACACGACTTCCCGTAGTGGTCCACCAGCTGCTTTTGAGGCAGGATGAGGCCAGGATGGAGTCGAGTATCTCGGCATTCCTCAGGGACCCGTCGATATGGCAGAGCCGTCTCAAGGGTTTGGCTCACAGGGGTCTCGACCAGAGCGACCTGGACCACTGGCTCTGGATTCTGGGCGCAGAAGACACAGACACCAAAGTCGAGAGATTCGTATCGACCGATCGCCATAAACCAATCTTCGTGCTTATGGCAATATTGCGCGCAGATGAATACATGCGCAAGGGCTCATCCTTGGTGAAATTGTACGACTACATCGCGAGGAACTACTTACGGTTGGATCCCACCGTCCCACAGGATCGTTCCAAGAGATCACGCCCCCTTGACAACGCTTTCAACATGACAGCCGCACACTTCATGGTCATTGTGAAACGACTTGTACACCACTGCTTGAAGACATGGCCTTCATCCATAGTCACGGTCTCCAGGCTGGTGGTCAGTTATATGCGGACCATCCCGCCCGACACCAGGCCCAAAAAGACTAACCGCCGCACTGGCTATGGTGTCCGCTGCAGTGTATTCAACCACGCGTTGTGCAGCTTTCGGAAGGTCTCATCTTTGAGTCCATTGGGCAATCTTCATCACAACTGGAAGGCACAGAAGATCTTGCTTGGCTTCTCTGCCGGTCTGCCGCGGCCACTGACCATCAATAGGTGGAGCTACAGGGCCATCAGGGTCATCCTGCTTGGACTGAAGAAATCGCAGGCAGAGAGGAGAACGGCCGTCCGCCACGTGCAGACCTGGCCGCCGTACAGGAAACGACTGGATGGGACAGAAGAGAGGGAAGACCCGGAGAACTGGTTGAGCAGAACCGTCAAGGCTGGAATACTCAAGAGACATGATGGATATGCTGACGATTTGTCGGATCCTGCGCTTGAAACCCTGGGCGGCCATGCACTCGGTGACTCCATCACCATCCAAACACGTTCAGGGGCGCCAAGGTTTTGGTCTGGCAAACACTCCTCTTTGTCAGTCTTCTCGACCTGGGCTGCCAAGGTCAAGGCAACCAGAAACGCTTACGAGGCCTGGCAATTGTGTCAAGAGCCCCCGCTGCCCAATATCAGACCCAACTTCCAGGTGTACGCGGAGATGTTCGCGAAGCTCTTCTCTGCGGAGATCGATTATACCTCGTCGATCCTCCCAGGGACCGCCAAGGAGGTTTACCCCCCGAACCATATCAACCTTACAGAGTTTGAACGCGAGCGATTGCGTCCATTGTCCGTTGACGAATTATACGAGAGAATGCTACGTGATGGAAACCGGCCAGTGAAACACTGCCTAGTGTTGCTGGTCCGCAATGCGCCGACGGTGGACAAGGCTGCGCAATATCTACGCGACAGCCCTCTGGACAGGGAAGCTGTTGAGTGTCTGACGCAAGCACTGAGCCCCACCCACGACAGTCTGAAGCAAATCCCGGTGCGTGTCTTTGACGCATATGTGGGACTGCTCTGTGCTCGGCAGGCTCGCCGACGATGGGTTCATGATCCCAACGCGGCCGGGCACACGCCGCGGCCAGAAGTCCTCGCAGGATATGACCGCATAAAGCGAGCGGTCCAACTCGTGTGTATTCGTGCAGGCCCGAGGCGAGCGCCGGCGCCGGCGCCCTGGCACACGGTCATGCGGGCACTGGCACACCGCAAACTCGTCCTCAAGCCCTGGCGCAGCCAAGCGCAAGACGACATTGATGCCCTGGGCATGATGCTGTCGCTTTTCAACGCGTACAAGATGAGCGAGGGCATGCATCCCATCCCGTTTTACTGCCTCGCCCGCTGTACCTTAAAGGCCCTTGGACCCGATGGCGCCCCTGCTGCACAGATCAAGAACGCTGAGCGATTCATTGTGACTGCCCATCAGGCACTCAAGTCCACCTTGAGGGAGTTGACGTCGCCGGTTCAGGCGCCCAGTCACAGTATCGCGGACTCGCTACCGCCGCTGTATCACGAACTCAGCGCGGCGCATATCCACACGTACATGGAGACACTGGCACAGCTCGGAGACGTTGACGAGGCGGTGCAGGTCATCGAATGGGTGCTTCTGTCTTGGGAACAGAGCCCTGACGTCCTGGCACAAGCCAGGGACCCGCACCACAAGCAGTGGGCAATGCTGGGGGAGGCGTTTATTTGTTTCCGGGCATTTGCTGATGGGCGGGTCTCTGAAGAGATCATGAGTAGGATCGAGGCGAGATTTGAGGAGCTGAAAGGCAAGGGCTCTACCTGGTTGTGGCCCAGGGAGCAAGATGTTGAGGACTATGTTGAGCGGAAGAGCGAGGAGGAGAGTACTTAGTATGTACTTAAGGTGAAATCGCCAGAACACAGACGTTCAGAGGAGCACAAAAATACATGTGGCGTCAGCACTCTGCACGATTCCATTGCTTCAAATTCGCTTCCTCCCAATGTTAAAAAGCCTGGAACGACAAGCGTATGTACATATCAGAGCACGGGCCGGCAATTGCTGAGGCCTGCATTGCAAGCCCGAAACAGACACGGCAGCCACGCTTGCAGTGGCGCCCCCCTGCTGGAGCCACGCCTGCAACTGGTCAATTTGTGCTGACCCTAGCCCCACCAAGCCTACAACCTTGCAACCGTGCATCCTTTACGCAGTAATCGCGTGTCGCGTATCAACCTAGACCTTTTCTTTTCTTTGTGGAACTGTAAACGCTCCCAGGCATCCTGCAGCCTCCTCTTATTCTCACCCGGGTTTTCAATACTGTGTTTTTGGTTTTTGGGTCGTTTTCTGGGTCTTCCTGGGTAATATTGTCTACCGTTTATTTCACGGAGTTTGGGTCTTGCTGTTGGTCCTGTCAATGCACTTTGCATTTCCGCTCGTTTTCAAGGTAGGTATTTTGGTGTGTTGGCTAATATCTGAACCAGACATGACGTGCTAACAAACAATTCAGGCATCTTGTTAAGCATTATTTCAGTCCACGCATAAAGGCCTCTCACCTTTTGTCCAACCTTGAGTTCCTCGTGCCCAATTTTCACATGCGCCAACACACGCCAATCTCTCGCGAAAAGGCGCCAGTATGGCATTCCTGGTGACAGATGATCCATATTCAGGACTGGGTAGCGGGCCTATGGACTTAGATGGAGATCTCATGCAGATTTATCAGGACAATGAAGCTGCTCTCCTAGAGGCGGTTGCCGAGGATGACGCATTTGAGGAGACAGACCTTGAAAGCAACTTCGACAATGTGCAGCAGCAACCGCAGGCCTCTTTGAAGGGCCTCGTCATCCAAATCCCCACATCCACCTTGATCGCTCCTCGTTCGGCCTTCAGAAGCAATGTGTCCACCGGCAAAGAGTTTGAAGCGGTACGGAGTCTCCTCGAGTCTGACCCTACCCAGCTCAACGAAGACTTTGTCGAATTTGAGTTGGACGATTTCGTGGTGTACATCGACACTCACAGGCATCCTCAAGAGATGAGGGCCATACACACCTTTGCCACTGCGACCGGCCAACAAAACTTCTTTTTCAATGGCACGCTCAAGCTTGGCAATGTCAAGCATCGTGTAGAGAAGGTGCCTTTCGAGGAGATCCCGCTGGGGAATTATGGCAAAGACAACCCGACAGTGGGGGAGCAAGTTTGGATTCGATCCAAGCTCAATCGCCGGGAGAACATCTATTATCGGCTGAAAATGCCGTCTGTTGAGTACGCAAGGTTTCACAGGGACTTCCTCTGGGTGGCGGATCTGGCAAAGCATGCGGTCGACTTTTCGGATCACCTCCTGGAGATGCGCCAGGACGTGTCCATCCGACACTTCCAACGAGACTTCGCTTCGTGGTTACAGGCAAACCATGGGTCGTCACCAGCGTTTCAGAAATGGTACAAAAAACGTGGGACAAACGATTTTCGCCAGTCCATCATTGCGAACCAGTGGTTCGTACGGAAAGAACTGTTTGCTATGCTTGAAGGCAAGAAATGGTCTCACATACATCTATTTAGGGAGATTGCGAATCCCTTCACTATGTACAGTCGCCAGGGGTTGCTGCCGAAAGCGAAAGAGGAAAAAAAGATCCCCCCTACGATCGTAACACCCTACATATTCGACTGCTTTTCTCACATGAAAATGGGTGAGATATTGATGCCCTTGCAGCCGTCGGTGAGCACTGAGGAGGCTGTTGCTCGTTCCTGGCCCAATGCAACCGGGAACCTGAGTTTTATTCGAAGTGCTTGCACTTCCAAACACCGTCAGACCATGATCGACAGCATCAAAGCTGGAGACACGATCTCAATAGCCATCGATGCTGATGCGGAATGGTTCACCAATCAGGCGGACAAGAAGTGGTACGGTCTTGTCCAAGGTGTGTCTACGAACCGGTCCCAGCGGCTGTTTGACATCACATGGCTGTACGATCCTGAAGATACTCCGTGCTGCTCCATGGTGTACCCTTGGAAAAACGAGCTGTTCCTTAGCGATCACTGCACGTGTGAGGAGAGACGACGGAGGATCCCCGAGCATGCCGTTATTGGAGTTCATACGGTGGAATGGTTCGGCACACCCCAGACCAAGGCCGAATTCTTCATCAGACAAACATATCAGGTTGAACAACGGCGGTGGGTGACTCTCCAACAAGCTCACATCCAATGTCGCCATGAGGAGCAGAATCGTCCCGAGTACCTTGTGGGTGAGACCGTCCTCGTCTCAACCCCTGGAAGCGAGTATCTTGAGCCTTGCGAGATTCTGGCCTATGATGGGGATTACAAGAACACACGGCTGCGAAAATTCATACGACATAAAACGATTGCGAGCCGGTCTGCCCGGAACGAGCTCGTCTATACCGATGAGGAAATCTTTGTAGCTAGCCACCACATACATGCTAGATGCATAATCCGCTGTTATTGTCCTGGCGAGACCATCCCTGCTCCATACAGCCGGGATGGTACTGGGAATGCCTTCATTATCACTCACAGGAAGTCAGCTGATGGCTCAATACGCCCCTTGAGTCCCGCCAACAAGCCATCCCTCCGTCAAGGCTTTGATCCAACACGCCGAAGGAAAAAGCTTCACGCCCTGGATCTTTTCAGTGGATGTGGCAATCTTGGCCGTGGGCTTGAGGATGGAGGTGCCGTCGAAGCCAAATGGGTAAACGACATATGGGATGCCGCGATCCATACCTATATGGCCAACTGCAGAGACCCAGATTCAGTCCACCCTTTTCTTGGCTCAATAGACGATCTCAATCTTCGCGCTTTTCAGGGAGAGTTCACCGATTCCGTACCGAGGCCTGGTCAGGTCCATCTCATCTGTGGCGGCAGCCCTTGTCCAGGGTTTTCACTGATCACTCCAGACAAGCAGACACAAAAACAGGCCAAGAATAGATCTTTGGTCGCTGCCTTTGCGGCGAGTGTGGATTTCTATCGACCACAATACGGCTTTCTGGAGAATGTCATTACCATCGTGCGAAGCAAAGGCAACGGCAAAGGCAAGGTCACCGAGGACTACTTCTCACAGCTCATCTGCGCTCTCGTTGGAATGGGTTATCAAGCGCAGATCATTCTCGGCGACGCATGGTCCCATGGAGCGCCTCAGCGCCGCAAGCGTGCCTTCCTATGCTTTGCAGCGCCAGGACTTGACCTGCCGCTGCCACCGGTGCCCTCGCACTCTCACCCGGAAAAGACAAAGTTCGGTTCGTTAGGAAAGATGACGAACGGGGAGCCCTATGTCTTCCGCTCGGACGAGCCCACAGCTTTCCGATACGTCACAGCGCTACAAGCAACCGCAGATCTCCCCGACATTTACGATGCCAAAACCGAAACGTGCGTGGCATTTCCAGACCACCGGCTCTCGATATCTCTGGCTTCCGCAGACACGATCCGGGCCAAAGACGGCCACGGCAAGAACGGCCGAACCCAAAGCCTCAACATGCCCATACGACCCTTTGGCATGAACATGTCCCGCGCCTGGCACCACACGATCAGGGACAACCTCAGCGGGGACACGCTCCGGTACATGTTCGACCACGAGCGGGACGCCTACCCGGGCAAGGACGTCTACCGGTCGTCGAGCGTCAGCAACGGGTGGGGCCGCGTGCACCCCCACGGCCTCTTCAACACCGTCACGACCACCTGCGTCTGGACCGACGCGCGGATCGGCAGGCTCTCGCACTGGGACCAGCCGCGGCCGCTGACCGTGATGGAGGTCCGCCGGGCCCAGGGCATACCGGACGACGAGGTCCTGCTCGGCACGCCGAGGGACCAGTGGCAGATGGTCGGCAACGCCGTCGCGCGGCAGATCGCCACGGCCCTCGGGCTGTCGCTGCGGAAGGCCTGGGTCGGCAGCCTGTATGAGGATGACGACGAGTCAGCGCCGCTGGAGCTGGGGGAGGGGGAGGGGGAGGGGGAGAACGGATACGCCGCAGAGGCCGGACACGCTGTAGAGAACGGCGTAGGCTGTGTAGAGTTGCCGGTCACGAACGGGAATGGCCAGATGTTGCTGGACTGAAATCGAGCACAAGACTACATGCAGCCCACGCTGCAGCAGCGACTTTTTGGGTAAAAATTTATTCCATGTTTAATTTCCAATCTCGGTAGAGCCAAGCCAGACAAAGACATTAGATATGCATTGCCATTTTCGAGGCATTAACGGGGGTACCTTTACGACTATGTAGGATTGTTTCTTCCACAAGGTTGTGCCGTAAATCTGCACGAGTCGTTAGGTTGCCCAAGGTGTCGGGACCCATTCCTGTGCTTGTCATATATAATGTCGACGGGATGATTTTGATCTCTGGGTTTCACCTGCCCACTTACACGCGAGCCGACTGCAGTACCGGGTATAGACTGGACTGATGGTCCTGGCCGTCAACGTCGTTGGATATCAGAATAGCTTGGGAGAGCCTGTGCTTGTCTGTTGTACCACAAGCTTCTAATGCAGTCCTGTACATGGTTGCGCCATCCCCAAAAATTGCATTAGCCAGGTGCATGGATTTATCTGTCATTCCTCGGTAAGTAACCGCCATGGCTACCGCATGCTGGCCCAACAGCTCTAAGAGCGACATGAGAGTGTCCTTATTAATCTCTACTTAGCCGAGTACGTTCATACGGGTAACATTATCATTACTGGAAGTGAGCTCCATGCGCGCTTGATCCCCAAAAACATGGCTTTGCATCCCACATAAAACATTACCATATCTCTCTTGCAGTCCTTGTCCTTGTATCAATCTATCTCCTTGTTTCTGTTCCTCCCATCCTTGTCCCAAGCTCTCTTCTATTATGCTCGAACAGTCATTGTCGCCCACTTGAGCAGCGTCTCCGTCTCCGTCTCCGTAGCGGTCGAGACAGACGTGACCGTGACGAAGACTGTAGTCGTGACACCGTCCACGCTCGTGCTCGTGCCGTCGCCGCCAGAGTTGCCCACGAAGTTGTTGCCCTTATGTCCCTGGTCGTTATCGTTATCGTCATCGTCGTCATCACCACCGCCAAAAATTCCCGGGAAGCCGGAGCCGAAGCCCGTGTCTGTTGGGGCGGGTGCGTCCTCGGAGGACTTTGTGGATTTGATTGGCACCGGGATGACAAGTAGAGGCTCCCCGGTTGTTGACGAGGTGGACGAGTCAGAGGGGTCCGCATCTGGTGTCGGGAAGGGATCGGATACTGTGGTTGTCTGGACGGTGATTATGGATGTGCTTGTCGTGCGTGAGGTGGAGGTGGTTGTGGGTTCTTGGTCGGATTGTTGAGTTGTCTCGCTGGACAATGTCGATGTCTGAGTAGATGTCTCGCGAATGGTCGTGGTGATCTTGATTTTGGATGAGCTGGACTCGGCGGAGCCCTCCTCGGTCGCTGTCACGGTCAGGGACGGCACGGTGACAGTTGTGAAGCCTCCCCCAGCAGATTCCTTTGTCGAGGTTGTCTGCTCGGACGAGCTGGTTGTAGAATCGGTTGTCGTCTCCGTCTCACTTGTCGCCGAGCCCGAGCCCGAGCCCGAGGCTGAGCCTGTACCTGTACTACCCGCTGGAATGGCGCCCAGGATCGCAATCACCGTCTCTCGTGGGAAGCAGCGAAGACTGACACCGCTGGTCGTGTTGAGCGGCATAGCGGCGCAGACCGTGTTCTCGGCACACCCCACAATATTCCAAGATCCATCAGCGGAGCAGTGGGCGTACTCTGAGTCAACACAGGCATACTGTCCCGGGGAGCATGCCGAATCGGCGGCAAGTTCGGTGAAAGCTGCGTTGAGCCTGATGGCCTCGGCGAGGTTGGAGGCGTACTGCGAGTTAGACACGGTCGTTGTACCGGTAGGAACAGGCGATGTAATAACAGCGGTGGGGATGAAGTCGTCAGGCGTGCCGGTCGGGGTTATCTTGCTGGTGGTCGAGATGGTCGAAGAACTTGTGATGTCAGAAGACACCAAGGTCCCGGATCCTGTCTCCTCGACTATTGCCTGGGACCCGGTGCTTGAAGCTGGAGAAGCGATGATCGGGCGGCCAGTCGGGGTGGACTGGTTGGAGGGAGCCGCGTTGACATCAGGAGACGGCCCAGCCGCAGCAACTGGCGAGTTGATGGGCGCAATGTCTGTAGTAGTGGAGGTTTGACTTGTCTCTTGGGCGGTCGCACCCACGAAGCCAGCAAAGGCCGTGTCCACAGCTGAGCTTTCGAGCTGAACGGCTGTCGGCGAGACAATAGATGTGGACTGTGAGGAGCTTGTTGAACTGGAGTTGTCATATTGTCTTTGTCGTAGGGCGCCCGGGTGCAGCAGTGGGCCCCTTAGAGGACCAGCCTCAACTGTTGCTGACAGAAGAAAATGGAAAAATAGCACAGAGAACTTCATGCTGAGTATGGTGTAGGGAAGCACAGAGAAAGTAAAGAGCGACTCTGGGTGAGGGATAACAGGCTACTCCGTGATCGACACGGGGTGAAGCCTTGAGTAAACGGCCAGGCGATGAACAGATTCGTAAATCGGATCGAAGGTTGAAAGAGGGTAGTCTGTCTATCAGGCTTCAGAGAACCAAGAAGCCATATACTTTTCAAGGGGAAAAGAACAAAGCCAAGCCAAAGTTTAGGAAGCTAGGAATGATAACTGATGGCAGATTCAACAGCAGATAGAAGAAGCGCTGTACTGATGCTGCATGCACGTGGACAAAAAGAAAAGAGAATGTTTGGAAACGTCAAGTGGAACGAACTGATTTACCGGAGAATTGGCATTTGAGATCTGCAGGATGCCGCACACCTTATGTAAATGGGCGAGGCTTGACAGCAGAAGCGACATGCAACACCAGTTGACCAGATCACGAACGGGTGGCCCACCTCGAAAGTTGGAAAGCCCGGGGGGCCCATGACGGTGTGTTCGCGGGCCATGGGCCGGGGAGGATTTTAAGATGAGGCCAGCAATCCAGACCTGCATCTGCCGATCACTGAGATCCAATGCTCTGGACTGGGCCGATTTTAGACTGCGAGGTGGTCTCGCCGTGTGGTGTGGACTCGGGATGTGGTCATGGATGTGGCCATGGGTGTGTGTACTCATGGATATGCCCCCGGCAGCAGACTGATATCAGAGCAGACAGGCAGACAGGCAGACAGTCTGTACATGAATAGTACGCGCCGAGGGTGCAAAGTGCATGACGAGGCTTGACTGAGCCCCACGATGCCGACGAGTACGAGGGTTTCCGAGTGCTGTCGAGGCAGACGCGCGCCAACTGGTAATTGGAAGGGTCGGTACTGCAGGCGGTGCGGCTCGGGGCCTGTGAGCGAATCAATGGCGGCCCGCCCGGCGGACCTGAGGCGAGAGAGCTGCAGCCTCCCCTGCGCTTGCTGCCGTGGCCTTGCCCTTTTCGGAACTGGGGCATGCCACGATACCGTGTGAAATCATAAAGCTAGGCGCGGTCCCCTGATCGGACAGGACCTCGATCTTGACCTCGACCTCGCCCTCGCCCTCGACCTCGACCTCGACTGTGGCCGTGACCGTGGCCGTGAACTTGACCTCCCAGCGACAAGAGCCCGCCTATGACAGTCCAGTCTCGGGCATTCCACCTCGGACACGACTTTTGTGTTTAGTGGATCATGTGCTGCGCATAGCTGACTCCCCACCGTCTCTGGGAACCTCTGGTTCGAAGAGGAGCCTGTCGAGGTTGTCCAGACCAGTCTCCTGAACGCTGGCGTCGGCGTCTATTTGGAACGGCTCCATCTTAGCCGCGGCCAGGGAGTCCAGCAACGGGTCTTGATACAGGCACAGCCCAGTTGCATTCCGATGTGGCTATGCCTGTTCTTCTGGTGCCAGCCATACCAGACTGGGGTGAGGACTTGTCAGCCGGATGGCGTACGGCTATCGACCTCAATGTTTGTTGGGAGTGGACTTCGTGGTGTCGACGCTGCTGAACCAGGGCAGGTTGACCAAATCGGGTGTGTTCTCTTTTCCAAGGTTGTTTTGGATCCATGGCGCATGATACACCCGGCTGTTCTCAACCCGAGAGAAATGTTTCGTGCAATGCTGACTTTGTCTATACCCGTACTGTCTGTCGTACTCCGTAGTACATCCCAAGTTGGCTGTGGGTGAGGCTGATGCGTGGCAAGGGGTTGGGATTCTGCTGCAATGCGTCTTGTGCTGTAGCCCGTGGAAATAATAACTTGTGTGTACGGCAGGACAGGCATTTTCTCCTGCCCTGCATGGGGATTAGAATCGACTGCCTGCCGTCTCTCCTCTTGACAGCTCTGCATGTTGTTGCAGCAAGTACCACGGATCAGAGGTATGCACACTTGACACCTTGCTGCGGCCTGTCAAAGTCCCAAGGTTCCGCAGTAGGCTAGAGCTATGCACCCGGCCATCCGGGTCGATGTAATCAATACTGTAGACTACATGGAGACGGTGTTGAATGGTCTACTCCTTGTACCAGCAACGGCGACAACCGCAGCGGCACCACCAAGAAACAACACCTAAAACAACAACCGTCCAGCCAACATCAGAAGCCACATATCGCCATTTAATAAGCAACGAACGGATCAAGGCAAGGGGAGAAGAGCAGGACGGCAAAGCGAGGCCAGATGGATGGGTCGCAAAAAGCATTCTCCGAGCCCGCCGCCAAAAAGGGACTAGCGCCCGAGGTTAGCCTTCCTGGACTGGCCTGGTCTGGTCTGGTCTGATGCTGGCCTGCCGGTAGGACAGGCAGGAAGGAACTGGACAGGCAGATGAGAGCGAGCTGCAGCGCAGAAGGCTGTTTTCTCTCTCTCCCTTGACCTGCAAACCTGCTGCACGGCCATTTTTCATATCACTCTCGCCCTGACATGCACTGCCCTTTTTGACTGGCCCTGCCGTTTGCCTTGATAATTTGTCGAGTTGAATCGATGAAACCCCCATCCCTTCTCATTGATATCTCTCTGCATCTCCGCCCGCTGCTACTGCTACTGCTACTGCAACTGCTGCTGCGGGTCCCGGTCCCTTGCTCCAAAGCGCTGATGAGCTAAGCCAGCGGCCCACGTCCCTCGAGATAGACAGACAGACGGACGGACAGCAGACGGACAGGACCGTAGTCAGCCAGAGCCTGGGCCTACCTGCCTACGGTTCTGTTAGCTTTTGGCTGCACCGGCAGAAAAAAAAAGAGAGCACAGAAGACAGTCCAGCCCAGCCCAGTCCAGTCCAGCAACCCCCCCCCCATTCCCCCATCCCCCATTTCTGCCACCGCCGACCGACGCGACATCAGCGCGACGAACCTCCAGTTTTCCCCCGGCCTTGTCATCATCAAAATTCATTCCGCCCAGGCCCCTGCCCCCCACCCTCGCCTTGCATCACCGCACCGCACCCCATCGCATCGCGACAGGGCCGACAACATGGCCTCGCCTGCCGATGCCGTCGCTGTCCCACAGCCAAACGGCCTTGCAGACCCCGAGCCCAAGTCGCAACCCCAATCCGACCACTCCCAACCCGCTGATCCATCTGCGAAGCGGAAACGCGAGGCCAGCGACGATGCTCCTGCCGAGCCAACCATCAACGGGTCCCCCAACGCCAACGCCAACGCCAACGCCGCCCGCGATCCCGACCAAGAACACCACCAACCCGACCACGCCAGCGACCACCGAGACGGCGATGCCAAAGAAGCCAAGCCCGCCGTCAATGGCGACCGACGTCCACTACGCGATGAGAGCTCACTCATCCGCGATTACTTCCGCGTCCTACAGAGGTACGCGCCCGCCCGCTTCCGCCATGCCCATGCCATGCCATGCCATGCCATGCCATCACTTCACATCGCTTGCCCCCCTCTTTCCTTCACCTCAAGTCCCCCTCCATCCCTCACTACCATCCAATTGCAGCCCTTCAGCTGGCGGACCCTTCACCCACATGTGTGCGGAACATCTTGCTTACCCTCGAGTCCAGGCACGACACAACGCCCTCCCTTCTGAAGCGACCGCTGCCAGACCCCTCCACTACTGAAGAGCCCCAGCCGAAGCGACAAAAATCCGACGATGACTCCAAGGCGCAGTGCATCGAGGACAAGGTCAGCCGGGACTCGTACAAGCTGCTCGACCAGCTCGTCCTTGACCTCAAGCAGGTCATCCGGGACAGGATAGCCGAAATGCGAGCCGCCCAGTCTGCCGACGCTGCTAATTTCGACGAGGACGCCCTGACACAACTTCACAATTTCAGAGACACCGCCATGGCTTTGCACAGTCGAGAGATGTCGTATCCCGAGGCTGCCCCGTCCACTACAAGAGACGCCGCTTCGGCCCTTGAAGATGTTGCACAAGGGCTATCGAATGGCAATTCTGTGCTGACCCTGTTCGGAAATGCGCAGCAGCCTAGGCCCCTCTTCTCTAGTTTGCCCAAGAGGACTACAGACCCTGACCACCCTGAAGGCATCGTCAAGCCTCTGCCCGACGTCCAACTGCCCAACGGCCTGTCCTTGACCAACGTTCTTCCATCAGCCACATCGGAGAAGCCAGCTCGCGTCGCTACTCTGGGCGAGCTGTTTCCATCACCGGCCAACCTGCCACCCTTACAACCGCCCAAGGCCCCAAAGACCACGACGAAAAGCAAGATTCTGGGCTTCTATCACCCGGAGCTGGCAGAGCGGTCGAGGTACAGGCAGGGCTCCTACTTCTCGGCGGACCTCACAACCGGCGTCTGGTTGGACTACAGCAATGCGACACCGCCATCCAAGAACAAATCGCGTCAGCGCGAGCGTACCTTGAGCCTGGCGGGCCAGAAACCCTCGACGGCTGATGTCGAGATGACCGAGATGGAGGCCTTGTTCCGCGGCGCCTTCTCCAGCTTTGCGCCCGAGAAGGACGACAGTGGCGCCATAGTCTCATCGGGCGAGGTCGCCCGCATCTGGTACCAGCGCCACGGCCACAGGTACATGGAGCAGATGATCGAGTCGGAACTGGCAGGGCAGGAGGGCGACGCTGCGGATGACCTCACCGCTCCTCTGCCGATCGACGAGGACCAAATCGCCGAAATCGTGGAGAACTGGGATGATAGCCTAGTGGACCCGGCCTTGAGCATTGATGATGTGTTGGGCAAGAAATCGGACGAGGAGAAAGAAGTTGACGATACCCTCCAAGAAATCTCCGACCTCATCGAGACGCTTTCTTCCTACCAGAGAAACCGCAACATGACCCTGCCGACCAGCCAGAACCGGAACTCGGCAGATCCTGCCAAGGCTGACATGCTCAATGGGCCTCTGGCTCAGGAGCCTACAGATGAGGAACGAGATACTTACCAGATGTTGAGGGACCAGCTTGCCGTTATCATCCAGGCGCTGCCACCCTACGCCGTTGCCCGGTTGAACTCGGACAAGCTCGAGGAGCTCAATGTCAGCACAAGGATCGAAATTCGCAGTGATGTTTTCCGAGGCATTCTGGAGGAGGATGTATCGGCCAGGCACCGACACCACTCACAATCCGCGCAGGCGGCTCAAACTCCCCGGCAGCCACAACGGACGCCAAGCTTCCACAGCACTACGGGGTACCAAGGCCAGCCTTATAGTCGACCATATCAGCCACAGAACCAGACCCCAGTCCCGTTGCCGAATCATTACCAGCAGTCGCCGGCGCGACCGCCGATGCCTCCAAACTTCTCACGGCAGGTATCTGCTCCCATGCCAGGCATGACGCCCCAGCATCAGCGGCCGGTCTCGGGGCAACCTTTCAGACAACCCAATGGATACACCCCGCAGGCAATGCAGCAGGGCAGGCCGTATGGTAATCCGACAGCAGTCCCGCCGTTCCAGGCAAGTCCTGGCCAGCCAAGGATGGCGGGTGGTTATCCGGGAGGGCCCCAGCCTGGCACCCCCGGGCAGAGGTATCCTTCGGGCTACGGGGCTTACAACGCGCAGCAGCCGCAGGCAGGGATGCAGCCCCAATTCCACCAGCAGGCCCCAAATTTCGCTCCTCACATGAATGGTGCAGGCTCGATCCCGCCGCGGACCATGTCTCCACAGGTACCGCCATATCCGGCTGGACAAAATTACTCGCCCCGCACAGGACAGCAGTCAATGCCTCGGGGGCAGCCTTACGGCACCCCAGGCCAGCCAGGCGGACACGCCGGTGTCCCCCGCTACCCTTCCAATGGGGTGCAACAAGGCGCCCCTCACAGCCCTGCGACCGGCGGGGGTCAAGGCGGATGGGCAAACCCAATGTCACCACAGCGGCAGTACGAGCAACAGCTGCAGGCGAGGAACCAGGCCGCGGCGCGCATGAATGCGTTCAGTGACAAGATCCAGAATCACAGCGTAGCGGGTCTGGGAGGCATTGGTCTGGGAGGCACGCCGGGCCACATGAGGACCAACATGCCTGGAGGGGTGGGCCAGTCGTCACCCAGTCCTCGACCGCCATCGGCTGCGGGTGGCTTGAACGGTGTGCCCCAGCCTTCCCCCAGTCCGGCATCAGTCCCGGGTGCGTCCCCCTCTCCAGCGGCCATTCCTCCGCAGGCGCCGGCGTAGGGCGCCGGTCAGTACCTGCCGCCTATCCGGCAGGGTGTCTATACGGGAATACACGTGTTGGTGGGCTTGTCTGGTGTATGAAAAAGTTCCATCTTTGGATGCTACCCGCGCAGAAGGCGGAGAGCAGGCTCGCAAAACCATGAGGTATTCATTTACACTCAAAACACACAAACACACAACATTGTTTCGGGTCATGTTCAAATAAGTTCTTAGCCCAAACATCCTTAAGTCATGGCGTATGCCTGTTGTCAGAGTACGGAGCGGCAGGGACGTTTCTTTGCCGGGGTGCAAATGGGGATCGGAGTTCATGGTTCGGATAAACCTGATGATGGAGGCAGGGGTTCCTTTATTTCATACCCCAGCTCATGTAAAAGACGATTTTGGTGGCTTGACGAATTGCAGAGCTCCATTAATTACTTACTGCTGCGTATAGAGAAAGGATGAAAAAGAACGCTTGTTCAGTTGTCAATTGTCACTCGCTCCTTGCTCCAATGTGCGTGTGCATCTCGAATGTTGTGTGTGTATGTATGTGAAGTGGGATCCGGTATTTTTTGATTGGTGATCGGGGCCGGCCCCGGGGAAAAGACTCTTGGAATTAATCGCCGTCGCCCGACCGCCATCTCGGAATCAATGCACTACCGCCCATCACCCCTGCATGTCCGGCCGGGAGAGCGCGCCGATCCCCAACGGTATGCGGGCACGCTAGCGGCCGGGGCGACCGGCCGTGACCCACCAGGCCGGATTCCTAGCAGGACCGTCCATTTGAACCTGGTCTGTCTGGTCTGGTCTGGGCGCCACGGACAGGGCACGGTGATATTGTGTTACCGTCTGCCGGTCTACCTTACTCACAAGCTTAATTAGACAAAGGTGTCTGCAAGGGAGGTAAGGTCATTTGCGTGAATTCTACGAAAGAAAAGAAAGCAAGATATTGACAGAGCATGTTAGGAACAGTCCGAGGCGCTCAAAGAAGTGCTGTTGCATGAGAAAAAACTGGAGATTCTTCTATATGTAGCCATAACGCCAACCGTGCACATCATATCACTCGTTCTATCCTTATTGTACAGATATGGGAAGGGGGGGGGGGTAATGGAGCTGCGCTTGTATCTGTTTGTGTGTGGCTGTCACTGTCGGGTGACGGAACCCGGTGTCTAGTCTATCATCTCCAGCCCGGGGCGTCATGTCCTCGCGCGCTCGATGGCAAGGAGGTCCTCCTTCTCCATCGAGTCCTTGTACTCGACAAAGATGCGCCTCATCTCGAAGAGGACCTCGATGCAGATGAGGGCGATGATGATCTTCTCGAGGAAGGCGCCGTGGTCGGTGTCGTACATCTCGCGCATGACGGTGGCCATGTCCTGGGCGTAGTCCATGCGCTGGTTGAGCAGGCCGATGCGGTCGAGGACGTCGAGGGCCTTGCCGACCTGGTCGTAGTTCTGCTCGAGGCGCAGCTCCGAGTTCTGGTCCCAGAACATGTCCGGGAGCGAGTCGGTCAGCTCCGAGTAGAGGTTGAGCTGGGACCGCAGCTCCAGCAGCTCGCCGGTGCGCTGCAGGATGAACTTCTTGCTCACGCCCAGGCGGCCCTCGACCAGCTGGGTGGGGATCTCCTTTGTCCTCTTGAAGTAGGCGCTCAGGAGGGCCTCGAGGAAGGCGATCTTTGTGCTGCGGGCCAGGCCCGAGGAGAAGGCGATCTTGGCCAGGGTGGGGTAGTAGGTGGCCCCGTCGGCGACGCCGTCGTCCGCGGGCTCCTTGATGCCGAGGATGACCTTGTCGCGGCGCATGGTGCTGGTGGTCATGGAGCCGTCGACCTCGAAGTCGAGGCTCTCGCGCTCGGCGGACTCGAGGTCACAGTTGTGGGCGGCACGCAGCAGGGTGCCCTGGGCCATGTTGATGCCGACCTCGGCCGGCAGGCCCCAGGTGACGACGGTGCCCGAGGGGAAGACGAAGACGTCGCCGTGGTCGCCAGCGCCCAGGGTGCGGGCGTGCACGACGTCGGCGGTGTCAAAGCCCAGCCCGTCCGGGTCGAGCTGGTAGCAGTGCTCGGTGAGGATGCGGATGACGAGGTCCATGTCGAAGGACTCTGCGACGCATATCGCCCTGATCTTGGTGCTCGGGTCCTCCTCGGGATGCTCGACACCCGACCCTGTGCTGTCGACCCTGGCACCCGTCTGCTTGCGGCCAGGCTGCTGTGCGATGCTGACGACGCGGCGGAGCGGGTTGCTCAGGGACTTCTTGGGGGCGGCGGCTGCTGCTGCAGCGGGCTTCGCGGGCTTCTTCCTGTTGCTCGAGCGGGCGGCGGGCGGCTGCTGGGAGTATTGGCTCGGCTGGGGCGGCGGCGTAGTATGGGCAGGAGGTTCGCCATCGCCGTCGGCGTCCCTGGCCAGGAGGGGGTTGGAGGTGAAGAAGGAGCGCTGTCGGGGCCGGAGGGCGGGCGAGGTCTGGTGAAAGGCTCGTAGCGCGGGCCGGGCGGCGGCGACGGGCCTGGCGCTTGAGTGCAGGCCACGGCGGAGGCCGGCGGCTATCTCTCGCTGAGGGATGCGCATGGTGCTAGAGGGCAGGCCCTTGAAGCCATTGAGTGGGAGGGGGCAGAGCAACGGCAAGGGCTGGGGGACGCCCAGCAACAAACAGCCTGTGAGATGGATGAGTGAGTGCGATGTGGACGACGCTGCAAAAACAAAAAAGTAACAAACCCATGCAATTGTATCGGGTGAGGAGGCTCTTATCGTTATCGAGGTGGGGCGGTAGGTCTGGGCTCTGGCCAACCACATAACACGGCCACTGACGATCGCCCTAATCGCACTCACAACGGCTGAAGGCCGCAACGGCCATCTAACCTTCTCCTGGGCTGCTATGGTGAACAGAGAGAATGTTGCAATCCAAGCAGCTCATGCCTCTTCTGTTTCCTTTCCCTCTCTAGCATCCCTTGCTTTTCATTATTTGTGGAGTGCTTGCCGAGCACATCTGCCCCACATTCCATCAGGTCTCACTCGTTAATTGTCGTTCCACTTTGTGAATGAAAAGCACGGATACAATATCTTCTGCAGGCCTAGACCAATCTTATATTCAGACAGATATTTACCACGCTCTCTACGTTTTACCTCGAGGCAGTATGTGTGGATAAAAGCAAAATAACAACATATGAACCGGGCAAATTGCAGCCCACGTTGGCTGTAATGCAGTCTGAGTCGGATTTGTGAAGCCATCAAACATCATCCCACCACCCATCCCACCCGCGTCACGACTCGAGGGTCAGTCATTGGGCCGGCAATCAACACCTGAGGCCCTCCCGGGCAAGCCACTACGTCAGCTCGCATTGGTGCTCTGACTAGGTAGACTTTAGGGGTCCAGCGGCAGTGCGGGGGGAACTGCAGCACATGTGTGCAACGCTCGCTCCATTCGGACCGTCATGGACTAGGGACGGCCAGCCATGCAGCAGCATGAGACGTGTGTTGATCGGGCTAGGGCCTGGACGCCGGTGCGGGAGTCCATGCTGCCACGCTGCCATGCTGTCTTGTCTGCAAGTGCCCAATACATCATGATCGAACGATGAGCCAGACAATTAATTATTGATGTGCGTTCTTTCCGTGTGTGACCGGTTGATGGTCATGAAGCAGCTGCAGTCAGTGAATAACAAACACACCGTACTCGAGACAACATGCGAAAGGAAGAGTCGCGGCAGCTCAGAAGAAGGTGTGATCGTGCCCCTTGTTTACCCCAGAATCGAGATGCCAGCAAGAGGCAAAAAGCGGGGTCTCCACCTTCCCGTTATGTTTGTGTGTTTAGTGTTTAGGTGGCACTGGGGCGTGTGAGATGAGGCAGGGCTATGTACAGATGTACCACAGCACTCCGTACGTACACTCCTGCAGCAGCAGCTCTCGGCGGCTCACCAGCCCACACAGCCCACCAAGCACCACCAACCCCCCAAGCTCTCCTCACGCCCGCCTATTCTGGACATTAAGCCTCTTCTGGGCTTTGCACCACGCTCATGATCCATCACCCCACTGTCTGAGACCACCAGCGGCTGTGCATGTCGTCACTGTGCCTATGCACATCCGTCTAAGCTACCACCCTCAGTCTTGATGCTCGCGCTTGTAAGCCGAAACCTTAACCTTCCCTCCCCTAGTGTAGCTACCGTCTTATATGAACTCTGTTTTTTCCCCTTCACCTTCTCTGCATGAGCCTCATCTCCTCCACTTCTCATGTGGCCAACTTTGATGTACGCATGGGAATGTTGAGATTGTGAACCTTGGAAAACACAGTTGCTGCCGACCCAAAAACCTCGTTGCATCTTGCACTAGACTGACCTAGCCTGTCTCAATACCATCACACAATGGAGACCACCGTGCTTTGTGGGCCCATGGCTTACCAAGGGGGATTCCCAGGTCTGAAACCCGAAATGGATCCCAAGGAACGCTTTTATAGACACTTCGAGGCCCAAGCCACAGCCCTGCAAGAGAATATCGCAAACCTCGCCGACATCTCACCCACCGCCGGTGAGCGCAAGGACGCCACAGACCATGTGCTTGCTGGCATCTCCAGACTCACCAATGAGGTCTCCGATGCCTCCGAGTACGCGCCCCCTCGCGACCAGATGATCTATGGCCAGGTCTGTCTATTCTTCTGATATTATATGAGATCCTCAATGTTCTGACACATTACCACAGGCCCTCAAGGCCCTGCGTGAGCAGGTCAACATCCAGAGCCGAGGCCTGGGCCCCACGACCGGCTTCCAGTTCACACAGGAATCCAAAGACTCGTGGGTTGCTGCCGGCAAGGACAAGGCACCAGCCGATGCTGAAACCGACAGCGACGCCACCGTGCAGGCGGAAACGAAAGACGCCGTGGGCGACCTCCCGAGCTTCTCAGGCACGGGCTCGGCAGCAGGGGCCAAGGACTACAACGCCGAGATGGCCTCGCAGGGCGGCGGCGGGGTCCGCAAGCCCAGCTTCTCACAGGCGCGCGACATCGACATCTCCAACCACCGCGGCATGCACATCATCCTGCCCGCCACGGCGTCGCGGGCCACGGCGTCGGGCACGCTGACCGAGCTGCGGGGCTGCGTGCTGGACATGTCGGCGCCCTTTGCCAGCAAGAAGAAGAAGGGCGTCCACCACGGCGGCGGCGGCGGCGGCGCCGCCCCCTTCAACACGCTGGCCGTCCGCAACATCTCGGGCAGCCTCGTCATCGCGGGCCAGGTCGCGGGCCCCGCGCACATCACAGGCGTGCGCGACAGCGTGCTGGTCGTCAACGCCCGCCAGGCCCGCATGCACGAGTGCCGCAACGTCACCGTCTACCTGTGGTGCGGCAGCCACCCCATCATCGAGGACTGCGAGGACGTGCGGGTCGCGCCCCTGCCCGAGGTCTTCCTCGGCCGGGGCCAGGACAACGGCGCCGGCAGCAACCAGTGGGACCGCGTCGACGACTTTGGCTGGCTCAAGACCGAGCCGAGCCCCAACTGGAGGAGGCTGGCCGGGGACGACCACGCCGTGCCCGAGGACTTCTGGACGACCACCGTCAAGGGCGGCCCGGCGTTGAGTACCCAGGATATCCTCCGGAGGGCGGGCATCCGCACCTGATGTGGCCAAGTTCGTCTATCGACATGGCACATAAAGACATGACATGTAAAACAGGGGGCTTATTGGTGCGCACGGCGTTGGGCTCTTGGGTAAAGCATAATGTGGGAGTCAGGGCGGTTCGGCAGGGAGTGAGCAGCTACGCAATAAAACTTCCGCCCTGGCTCGGTTTCTCCCAACTTAATACCACTTGTATACCAACACGGCTTCATAGCACTGCAATAAAACGGTTGATCTTCTTATATCTCGAGTCATCTAAATTGATATGGCCTATCTCGAGTCGCCGTAGCGGTGGGCCCCAAAGTATTCTTTCCTCAGGCCTGTAGGTATGTATGCCCAAGTCACGATGGATCAGTCCATTGGCAAGTTGAGGCCGCCCTTACCCAGGGACCTCACGCCAATCTCACCAGACCAACGCCGTATTTTCACCTCCGCCGTCTCACAACAGGACCACCTCCTCATCGGCGTCAGCTTCCCCATCAGCATCGGCATCCGGATCACCCTCCCCTGCCGCCTCAGGCTTCGGCGCAACGTCAGCGTCTGTCTTGGTCTTCGATTTGTTGCGATTGAAATGGAGGATGATCTTGATCGGTCTCTTGCGTCGGGGTGGCGAGGCTGTTTGTGTGGCTGCTGTCTCTGCCTCTGCCTCTGCTGCCTCTGCCTCTGCCTCTGCTGCCTTCTTCTTCTTGGCGCTCCGGGTGGCTGGTGGCGACGTTGTATCAGGAGGTCGGGATTTGGCCTTGCGGGTCCGCGTTCGCTGTCTCGCCGATGAGCCAGAGGGGCCTTTGGATGGCCTTCTCGGGGACGGCGTGCGTGGTGCGGGCGGGGTCTCGGCCTCTGGGTGATCTTGTCTCTCCGAGACTTCGGCGGCCAATTCCACTTGCTTTCCTTGGGAAGCAGTTGCTTGTGTGGGGGGCATGGTAGCCGAATAGTCTGGAGGTTGGTGGTAAGGCGGTGGTGGTGTCCCCGCCATCATGTCTTCCTCCATCCCTCCCAAACCGGCAGTATCCCATTTCTCGGCCGCATCCGCGACGTTGGGGATACTGGCGGCCGTAGTCGCCTCATGCTCCTCATGAGTTCGCTCATGGGTCTCGTCAGGGTGTACCTGGTTGGCCGTGTTTGAAGCACTCGAGTGACCCATTGCACCATTCCCCTCCTCTTGCCTAGTGTCGATGAGAGGGGAAAAGAAAGCCTCTTCGTCCAGCACATCTGATAAGCTAGATGCATCGGTCATCTGTCCATCTCGACCGATGTCCGGGGACTCATAGAAGCTTGCGTGGCCCAAGGGATCGTCTCCCAGGGTATATTCATGCCCCAGACTAGGCGGAAACCGCAATGGAATAGCTTCTGATGCATCAGAAAGGTGTCTCTGTGTTCTTGCGTGGGGCATCGCTCCGGTCTGGCCTTCCAATCCATGGGTATCAATGCCGACCCGTAACGACCTCTCCAAGGCGGTGGTATCAAGCCCAACATCACTTGTATCCCCGCTGGCATCGCCTCCGACTTCGAGGACAATATGCCGGTCTCTGGACATAGGAGCCAGGGGGCTAGACACATTTGCGCCTCCATTTCTCATCGTATACGTCGACGCATCGTCCAGGTCACTGTCCGTCATGGCCGAGACCTCAAGGCTATCCGCAGCAGCATCAGGAGTCGGAGTTCTGGGCTCCTAGCCCAAAGAATCACCTCCTCCCTGCGCACCCGTCCCACCCATTTCGACATCTGTACTCCCATGGCTGAACTGGATACCGAACTCCTTCAGCTGCTGCAGAACCTTGCGCTGGCTCTCGATCTTGTCCTGCCACTCCTTGATCTCCGCCTCCTGCTCCGCGATGGTCCTGGTGATATCGGGCAGGGTGTGCACTGCGGCGCGGGCGCGTTGGATCTTATGTTTCAGCGGGTCGGTGGCAGCAGTGAGATCCTTGGTAGACAGTGTCTTGGTGTCGGCGGTCTTGGCTGTAGTGTCCGCACCTCCGGATGGAGTCGCGCCTGATGCAGGTTTGCTGGAGTCGGCGTCGCCATTTGTGGCTGCGCCGTTCTTGTCTGTGTAGCGCAGGCGGGAGAGGATCGTGAAGAGCTCGGAGGGGACATCGACCGAGTCGGGGGTGAGGCCGCCGGGGAGGGACTGTGAGTTTGCATCTGGTCCCAACGTCGAGGACGCCATTTTTGCAATGAGCAAGTGTGGGAGAAATGGCAGAGACACGATGCTGGCTTATTGGAAAGTAGTTAAACTTGTCCAAATGTCCAACTTGTGGCAGTCAAGTCTAAGAGCTAGCCCCAGCTAAGTGCGAATAAGGTGACTAGCTATGGGTACCTAGGTACTCCGTACAAGGGTGTGCCAAGTCAGGCACCTTCTGCGAATCCTGGGTCCTCAGCTAGCTCCCAGGTGGGTACCTAGGTATCTAAGTGCCTACCGACAGGTAGATAGGTGGGTAAGGGGACCTAAGAAACATGAAGGCTTAAGAGAGCTTTCGATGTTATCTGAGACCAGGCCGTCAACTCTGACCCCTCGGAGCCTGCGACGAATGATTCGTGAGCAAGAATTCAATCAAGGCCAGCGTGGCCTGTCAACCCGGGTACTCGTCAATGCCTTACGCTCCTTCAAGATGTGCTCCTGGTGTGACAATAGGAGTGTGTTTTGATTATATCCTCCAAGGGCGAAAGACTCCAGTCCGAGGCTATTGTGGACTGCGCCGGCAGGCAGGTTGTACTGAACCATCGGGATTCAGCGAGCATAGTGAACTTCGGTCAGCGAGCGAGCATTTGCCCTTAGAAAACCCAGTCGCGGGGAGTGAGCTGATGCCCCTCGGCCTGGTGGCCGCACTGTCTTCTCCCCGCATGGAGACGGACGGGAGGACGGTGTTATCCGTGGCTTATCGCTGTTCGTACAGTCCAAGAGCTGCGGGAGCGACGTCAGGTCATGCCAACTTGGACCCCCACCACCGACCAGAAATCACTCAACAAACGTGTGACAGCAGCTGGATCGAACCAGTTTGAAACCTCAAGTATTCCTATTTAAATCTCTCACCTGCAATTCTGACGCCTGTCCTTCACCCTGCTTCTAGAGCACCTCACGAACCTCCTCCTCGCCCCTATGTCCAAGAGAAAAGCAGACGAGATGACCAAACCAGACCAGAATGCCTGCCTGAGTACGTTTTTGATCCCAAACCCTTCTAGCAGTAGGAGCAAGTCGGGGCCCTTCATCCACCTCCCCCTTCTCCCCTCCCACTAGCGCACCAGCATCTCCCTCCCAAACCACTGCCGATCATGAACAACGAAGGCAAGATTCGGGGGCAGAGGGAAAGGAGCGCGCAGGTGCAGGCGCAGATGGGGATGCCCGTGCTGGCCGACGGGGAGAGAGCTGCTAGGGAGCGGCACGGCAGCTCTGGGAGCCCCAGCGCCACCAGCCAACGGCCGGACTACCTCCTCGTTTCTTGTCTCGTCCTGATCTACCTCGAGCTTTCATGGCTGATTCTAATGCTTCTGCGCACCTACAGTCGTCATTGACGGTTGGGGAGTCCCCTCTGCCGACTCTCCCAAGAATGGAGACGCCATCACCAACGCCAAGACCCCCGTCATGGACGAGTTCGCCAAGAGCGCCACCGGCTACACTGAGCTCGAGGCCTCCTCCCTCGCTGTCGGTCTGCCCGAGGGCCTGATGGGCAACTCGGAAGTCGGCCATCTGAACATTGGCGCTGGTCGTGTTGTGTGGCAGGACGTTGTGCGCATCGACCAGACCATCAAGAATGGCGAGTTCAGCAAGACTCCTGTCGTCAAGAAGACGCTCGAGGCTGCCAAGAACGGCAACGGCAGGCTGCACCTGTGCGGTCTCGTCTCTCACGGTGGTGTGGTAAGTATACACTCGACAACAGTTTCGTGGCACAATGTCAGTGTTCGCAAGCCGCTGACAGCCCTTGCCCCTCCAGCATTCTAAGCAGAAGCACCTGTACGCCCTCCTCGAGGCCGCCAAGGAGTACCAGGTGCCCGAGGTCTACATCCACTTCTTCGGCGATGGCCGTGACACCGACCCCAAGTCTGGCGCCGGCTACCTGCAGGAGCTGCTGGACACCATCAAGGAGCTCGGCGTCGGCAAGCTGGCTACCATTGTCGGCCGTTACTATGCCATGGACCGTGACAAGAGGTGGGAGAGAGTTGAGCTCGCCCTCAAGGGCCTGGTCCTTGGCGAGGGTGAGGCCAGCAGTGACCCCGTCGCCACCGTCAAGGAGCGATATGAGAAGGGCGAGAACGACGAGTTCCTGAAGCCCATCATTGTGAACGGCGATGAGGGTCGTATCAAGGGTAGGTGTTCACATCGCATCCACTCGCTCCTTAAAAACAGTACTAACTGGCGTGTGATAATAGATGACGACGTCGTCTTCTTCTTCAACTACAGATCGGACCGTGCCCGACAAATCACACAGCTCCTCGGAGACGTCGACCGATCGCCAAGGCCCGACTTCAAGTACCCCAAGATCAACAGGCTCGTGACCATGACCCAGTACAAGGTCGACTACCCCTTCGAGATCGCCTTCGCGCCCCAGCACATGGGCAACGTTCTCGCAGAGTGGCTCGGCAAGCAGGAGGTCGAGCAGGTACACGTCGCCGAGACGGAGAAGTACGCCCACGTCACCTTCTTCTTCAACGGCGGCGTCGAGAAGGTGTTCAACCTCGAGACCCGTGACGAGTCGCAGGATCTCGTCCCATCCAACAAGTCCGTCGCCACCTACGACCAGGCCCCCGAGATGTCCGCCGACGGCGTGGCCAACCAGGTCGCCAAGCGGCTGGGCGAGCACAAGTTCCCCTTCGTCATGAACAACTTTGCCCCGCCCGACATGGTCGGCCACACCGGCGTGTACGAGGCCGCCCTGGTCGGCGTCGAGGCCACCGACAAGGCCATCGGCAAGATCTACGAGGCCTGCAAGAAGGAGGGCTACATCCTCTTCATCACGTCCGACCACGGCAACGCCGAGGAGATGAAGTTCCCCGACGGCAAGCCCAAGACCAGCCACACCACCAACAAGGTGCCCTTCGTCATGGCCAACGCCCCCAAGGGCTGGAGCCTCAAGAAGGGCGACTCCGGCGTCCTGGGCGACGTCGCCCCCACCGTCCTCGCGGCCATGGGCCTGGAGCAGCCCGAGGAGATGACGGGCAAGAGCCTGCTCGTCAAGGCATAAACAAACAATAAAAGCAAAAGTGAAAAAAGGCGTTGTGTGGTGTGAGTACGGGCGTGTGGGTGTGAATTGAATGATGATTGGCATGGGTAGCTAGCACTGGGGTTCAGGGGATCAAGGGGTTCTACGGCGGGATGGGATGAAGAAATGATATACATACAGAGCTGATAGACAATACATAGACGGGTCACGCAGAGGGGGTTTCCCGCCGGAATACAATACCGAAAATCGACCAGAAGTTCAGTTTCCCCCTGTCGGCCACCGCTGCTGCGCGCACGTTATACCAACGAGCGCCTTCTAACACCTAGCAAGGCAAGACGACTGACTAGTTTGCAGCCAACTGAAAAGCATTTCTGCAGGGTGATTTGGTCTTGTGGTTCTTATGGCTAGGACATACCGCCCCTAGAACTCATCCTGACTTCTCGCTTTGCGACTACAAATCCAGGCAGAGAAGTATATATGTGCACGTCAAGATGATGAGAGTAGCATTATGTAAGCGTGTTGATTGTGAGAAATAAGATTTCTGCACGGCACCGGAAAATAACATGAGTCACTACAGACAGTCTCAAAATTGTCCATTGTCGCCTTCGGGCAGACACGCATTCCGTGAGTGAGAGGCTCTTACATCTGTGCCGTTCTTGGCTCAGCCCAGCAGTCATCAGCGCAAAGAAACAAAAGCAAACTGTTTTGAAGTGGCCTTTCTAGGTGCTGACGGGCGCAATGAGTGTTGATGTACTCCAGATGCCCCCTAGACTGGGGTTCCAACATCATGTGGAGCAGCAGACCGCATTATGCATCGGATCTAGGTACCTACTTAAGTAGGTAGCCAGATCTGAAAATGTTCCACAGAAGTGATCGATGCGATTTAATACAGACCCTATGCATGCAGCACCAGCGCGCCGAGAACCGCCGCGAGGCTCTGGAATGCCCTTGGGACATTCCATCCCCAGAAGTCGGGCGCGATGCTGTACCTACAGTACAGGCAAGGTATCTGGGTGTGGAGGACAGACACAACAGCCACCCGGCCCCGCGGTGGCTTGATCGATCGCATAGCGATCAGGGCGATGGAGATGGCATGCAAGGCGTCAGGCCCGAGGCTGGCTACCCTGCTACCCAGGTACCATGGTGAGACACAGAAGTTGGCTGGGCGGGCTTGACGGGCAAGCAGTTGCCCATTCGCTCGCGGTAAACCACACATGGCCGGCCGGGCGTGGATCACGATCCTCAGGCGGACGGAAGGAGGGGGTGTCCAATCAGCATATTTGTCACCCAGCTTGTTATATGTTCCCCGGACAATTAGCAGTGCATACGGCTGGAAACTGTCGGGCGTCTAGCCGCATTGGCCTGGCCTACACCTTGACAGGTGTAGGGGGAAGTGACCTTGCCAGCTTAGCTTCACCCCGGGATGCCACTGGCCCGGGCCAGCCACGTTTGCGGAGGGCACACTGGACCGGGGTTCGGACAGCGCATTGCGCGACACTGTCTGTTAGACTGGACGAGTGGACGGGTGGACGACGCTATCGTGAGGGCTCGCTCGGGGCAATCACTCCGGGGCTGTGGGGTCGAAAATGTTGAGCCCCCCAGGTGGCCAGGTGGCCAGGCGGCGGACAGCACGGGTCAACGCGAGGACACACATGGGGTAGTTGGGTAGGCAGGTAGGGCGTCTGAACCTATGCAGGAAATGCATATAGTGGTCGGCATTGCTTCTGAACGTGAATCTAGGCCGGACTCTCGGGAGCGACCGCAGGTATGGTTTCGGCTTGCCTCCGACTGATTGGGCCAACAAGTGTTTCTCACCCAGATCGAGACAAGATCTCGCCATCGATTGTCGATCTTGTCGCGGGTTTTCAAAGGAACAGAGGGGCAGAGGGGTGGGAGGGCTCACATGCAGACATGTTGTTAACAGACAGGGACATGCTCGCTGGGCACGCGGCTGAAGACAATGGCAGTAGTTCCCGCGTGGTTGTGGTCTAGAACGGTCCATTTGTTTGCCTGGCCGGCCGAGGTGGCAGGCTGGACGAGACGACAGGAGAGACCAGTCTGGCCCGGACGGGGATGTTAGAGGCTTCTGCCTCTTTCTCCGACAGCCGCCACCGCCGGCAATGACTGCGCCGTGTTGGAACGCCCTCGTTCATTTGCGTTACTGACCAGCAAGGACAGTGAGGACAGCACAGTTGTCTGATGCGATCGACACGCAGGTCCAGAGGTGCGCGTCAACCTCGTCCGTTGCGACTCTGTGCTGCCTGCCCTTTATCTCGATCGATCCCGTCAACTCGATTTTCAGGGTCTGCGAACCAATCTGCACTTGCTCTAACAGTGCTTCTGAGATCGGTCGGCCGCGCATGGAAACTCAGCACGCGCCCTACTGGGGTGGGTTTAGAGCTCCCCTGGCCCGGCGGTCGCATCGCACATACTCTTGACAGCGCCGATCTGGATCAGGTGGGCTGAGTGTGGTCTGCGGGCTTCAGGCTTCAGGCTCCAGGCGGCAGGCTGGTTGAAGCGCTCTAATTGTGCTTGACTGCTTCCCCAGCTCCCCAGTCCTTCGGTCCAGCCCGCCAAATCTGCCCGTGGTAGCGATCCAGACAATCCGGAAGTGAAGAAAGTAGAGAATCGCGACCACCCGACACATCTCAATCTTTATTAGGGCCGTCAGTCGGCGACCCACACACTTACCTACCCAGCCTAGCATAGTATTATTATCCCGGCAGCCTCACCGGCACACCTCGGAAGTTTGCCATTACCCAATCCACTCCTAAGTGGAGAGAAACGATGCATTGTCTTTTGCCTCGGTGCGTCGACTTACACGTGGTGGTGACCGTCCCAGCTCGAATGGGGGACTAGCCATTGTGCCATGTCCTATTGTCTACCAGGAGAAACAGAGGCAGGAGCCCTTATATGACGTCGAAAGATTTGTCGATCTCCTGAGGGTTGCGCCAACGAGATTACCGTAAGCGGCACGGAACCAAGTAGTGCATCCAAATTGACGCTTTGGGCGTGCTGATCTCAAACGAGTAGAAGGATCGGACGCTCCCAGTAAACCTGCGCCAACATGTCATGTGTGAGGATGTCTCCCTCGACCTGAGGCTTAATCTCATGATACTGATGCAGGTGCCAGTGGGGTCAGAGTGACGACACTCATGTCGCGGGCCCGTACGGATAGTCTCGGGGTTCGTCAGCACCCAGGTCAGACTTGGAGGGAATGCGAAGATTCGTCATTGTGCTGGGCTGCTCCGTACGCCGGTGGGATCGAGATGCTGTCAGGGCAGATTACTCGCTCAGAGAGGAGATTCCCGTCGTGTGGGGCCCAATGTTAGTCCGGCTCACTGGCCGCAAGAGAAAGCTTCCCCGTTCAAGCGCTCTGGTGCTTCAGGCGAGAGCGGTTATCGACGAGGTGTGAACAGATCGAAAAAGAACGCGGGCCCATGGAGTTCCCAACTCGTAATATGACAAGGCCATTGTAGAAGTCTCGAGAATGTTGTCGTGTGCGTATGTGGGCGCAAATGGCCGAGTCGAGGGATTGCCGACGGTGAGGCGATCTCAGGGGGCGGTTCAGATCGCACAATGTCGTAAACCGGGGCGGATGTTCAGGAACAAGCTCGGGAGCAGGGCCAGGTCGGAGGTGGTGAGGTGAGTCCAGGGTCCAAGGGTCCTTGTGGGCAGTCGGGCGGTCAGCAGTCGAGAGTGTTACTGGTCGAGAGTGCTGCTGGCACGCAACACAGCGGTCATCGAGACAGGTGTCGAGCAGCAGGCCCAGGCGGCTGGCGGGCAGAACGGGCATCTTGACCGAAACCAGTCAGTACTGTGTAAAATTGTGCTTGTGTCAGGGTCGTGCGGGTTGTGCGGGCTGGCTTGCTGGCATTGAGCGTTGAATGGCTGGCTGGCTTGGCTGGCATGGTTGCAAATGTGCTGGTGGACGTCGATGACAGGCAAAAGTTGCGATCGGGAAGGAGGCCAGGTGGATGGCGGCTTGTTTCTTTTGAAGCACAGAGGCCCCATCCGCAGCAGTTGCTCTGGCAGCCAGGGCCGTGATTATGACGTCATAATCAGGTCATGGGCGACAGGGCAGCAGGGCAGCAGGGCAGCATGCTCACCTCCTCGTCAACTCGTGTCCAGCCCGACCTGCCAGCCCGTCAGCCCGTGCAGGTGAGAGCTGTGAGCTGTCTAATGAGACCTCCGTCGCGATGCGTGCACACAGGGCTGACACCGGCACTGGGGGAGAAGGGTGCTGGAGGGACAACTAGTATAGGTCTCTGAGCATGCGCCCGAGGCAGGGGAGACTGACTATTGTAGTATAAATCAAACTGCACAGTAGGGGTCCAGGCACTGCGCCAAGCCTGTCCATAAGGCGGGCCGGCCCAATCAGAGGGCGTAGCTGGCCAAGGGTCCACGCTGCTGCCACCCCGGGTGTGGAGCCCACTGGGCCCAGCGCAGGGTGTCCCTGGGCCGAGTGTGCGATGAGCCCCGATCGCTGGCATCCCTGCAGCCCGTCCCTCATCGGCGGCCACAGCTTGGGATCTGAGCATCTGAAGCTTTTCCACACGCGCAAAATCGGATCGAGGCCGTCCTGGCACCTGGTTTCCTGCCAATTCGCAGCTCAATGCGGCGGCGCTGCTGCTTGCAGTCTCGGCTCACCACCGTTGAGGGCCCCTCTCCAAAGGCAGGCAGGCAGGCAGGCAGAGGCTCTCAGAGGCCCTCATACACCCTGCTTGTACCCTACACTCGTGCCCCTCCCTCTCTCCCGTCTCCGTCACTTACAAGCCGCAGCCTTCCGTGTCGTACAGAGTACCCAGTACCGAGTTGCACACCTCACGAATCTCGATTCTCATCGTGATTGCCCCCCGGGCTGCGTCACAGTCTGCCTGCGCTGTCCGCTGGCCCCTACGACGCCCGGCCCGACAAAACACTCCTCCTTCCCCTCCAGCTTTTGCCGAGAGGTTGTGCGAGGCATACGCTCATGTCCTGCTTCATTTTTGAATGAACATCGTCGACCTACACAGTACCGACTGGCCCCTGGAGCAACACGGCCACGAATCTGTTCACCCGCCGCCCGCTTATACACATCCATAGCCCAACCCCTTCGCAACCAACCTCGCGAGAGTCGTAACTCCCCGCCTCGCTCTCGTCGTCTCATCCCACCAACCAGCAAGGTATGGAAACCAACCTTCTTCTCCCACCCTCTTGCGTCATAACACCCCCTTCCAGCCCGCACGTTCGGGATCGCCAGGGCCCTCACGACTCCAGTCCGACGTCCTCGCATGGTTCCCTGTGGGGTCTTGCTGCTGCTGCCCTCCCCCTACGCTCCCAATCTGTCCCACCCTCGATGCACAGCGCCACATGGACCTTGACGACGTTGATGATGGTTTCAACAACCTCATCCTCCTCCTCCCCCCGCCCTCCCCACTTCCACAATACACATCCCGCTGGCCCCTTCCCAGCAGCACCTACGGTAGTCCCTACGTCTTGCTTGCCAAGGGGCTCGCCTGTCAACATGGTTCGACACGGGACTGGACGTCCCCTGGCGTGGCAGAATCCTGCACTGTTTTTTTTTTCACCTCATGCCTTGCCTCTTGAGGATGCCATCAAGCACGCTTCGAGCAACCAACCACCGTTACCAGGTATACAGCCGCTGATGATAGTCTAGGGTTCTACTCGAGGCCCTTCGATAGAATCATCTTGGGTAGCAAAGCTTGTTAGCATTTGATCACCACAGCGTTCTTGTGCTGTTGCGGCATGTCCTGGACGCCATGCTGCATTGCTCCGATTTGAGTCACCACAAGAATTGGCATAATACCAGACATTATGGCCGGCAGTGAACCCAAGTCTAAGAGGCCACAGTTCCGGCAGACGCTGAGTGACCGTGGGCACCCGATGCCGCGGAGGGCTTCGCCAGAAGGTTCCGTCACCCTTCGACACCATCGCCTCGCCAGGGATGCCTCCATGAGGCCCGAGACAGGCAGCAATGCCGTCTCCGGAAGTTCGCCCAGGAGGAATTCCTCGGGCGAGAGCCACGACACGGGTCAGAGCGATCCTAAACGATGGTTTGATCTGTCCAACAAGAACGCCCCGGCCGCATTTGATCACGCCACTATGGATGGTACGTACTCTCGCGTCCCGTCGAGGAGGTGCCAACCCAGGTTCTGGCTAACTCCTGAGCACTTAGTCGATCCCCCATTCTATCAGAAGCAATCTGATTCGTCCAATGAGGAGATGATACCGCCAGCTCGTGAGAGCGCGTATCACCACGTTCCGACGGGTCTCCACTCTCAGAACTACAGCAGGCCGACGATGGCGCAAAGCAGTAGCGCTGAAGACTACAGGAGTGTCATCGATGATCTGACCATCGAGAACAAACGGCTCAAGGACGAGCTCAAAAGATATAGGCAATTTGGGCCAGAGCTGCTCCGCAAAGACCGCCTTTTCGAAATCAAGGTACATGGTCTAGCTGGTAGCAAGAGGCGAGAGCTCGAGTCAACGTTGCGTGACTTTGCTGCGAGCTTGGAAGGCTCGCCGGCGACGTCTGTGCAGCGAGGAAAGAAGAGCTCCAAGCATGCCAACCGACTCCAGGGATCGAGTTCGAATTCCAAGCATGCTTCGTCGTCGTCCTCACACTCGCGGCCTGTCGATTCCGCCTACGCGTCCATGTCGACCGGGCGGAGCTCAAATGGCCCAAATGTCAATTCATTGTCCCAGAGGCCGTCTTTTGGCCGGACAAAGTCATCCACGGATCACAAGGTGGAGACATATCTGCAAGACATTCCCGAAGGCCTGTTTCCCCGGCCGGTCGCCATGACGGACAAGGAGAAAAAGAAGCTGGTCGTGCGAAGGCTCGAGCAACTCTTTACCGGTAGGATGTCCGGGAAGCACAGATTTTCCCGCAACAAGACATTACTTTCGGTCCCGGAGCCTGTCATCGCTCTCGCACCACCCCAAGAGGGCGAAGCGTGCAGGGAAGCTCGCATAGAATCAGGCAAGATGACCTCCACGGAGAACCTGTCCACGTCAAATTCCAATGGCGAGAATGACGTCGCAGGGGATCGCACAGGCAGTGGAAGTGGAAGTAACGAACACAACGGACAATATGCCTCGCCGCAGACAGGTGACCTTGCAGAACAGAGAGCTACTCGACCTCGAGACCTGGATCCTGATCGGGTTCAGGTCCCGTCAGAGAACATGCAATACATTCGGCACTTGGGCGTGACAGCGCCGAAAGACCTTGGGGAGACGAGATTCAGGTCCCAGGACGTGTCTATCGATGCAGAAGGCTGGATTCATTTGAATCTCTTGTGCAACCTGGCGCAGCTGCACATTCTCAACGTGACCCCTAGCTACATCCGATCGGCGATCAGTGAGAAGTCGGCCAAGTTCCAACTTTCACGGGACGGCCGAAAAATTCGCTGGCGCGGCGGAGTCGAAGGCACGAAATTCAGCAGCGACAGCAGTGGAAACAGTTCGCAGAGGAGCCCCGAGACAGAAGGCACGGACGGCTCAAACGAACAGGGCCAGCGGAAGAGGCAGAGGAAGAGCGAGCACGCGTCAGACCCATCCGACCAGAGTCACAACCAGACGAAGCTTGTGCCCCAGAACTCTGTCTCGTCAGAAGGCTTCCATTACAAGCCTTTATTCCTGCACAACCGTTCCTCATCTGCGGAAACCTCCATGGACGAGACGGGCTCGCAGGCATCCTTCGGGGCCGTTGAGAACAGCAACATGAACTCTCGATCCACGGGTTTTGTCAGTGGATCCGGATCGTCGCCGAGGAAGAAGCGACGCAACGATGGTGCCATCATCTACTACAACGGAGCACCTTTCTGTACCGATCTCTCTGGCGACCCAGGAGACGTCTCACCTGCCACATACCTCGCATCCTCGAGCCAAGATAATGCCTCGAAGGATACCGAGGCAGAATCTCCTGGTCTAAACCGCACCATGTCTGGCTCATCTCTCCCATTCCGACCACTCGTCGACGGACCTGAGCAGACAGATGTTGACATGGACCAGGAGCCCGAACTTGTCACCGACGACGGAGAGCTGTCAGAGAGCGATACCGGGTTTGAGTTCCCGTGGTGCGACAACTCAGAAAAGCCCCAGCTGAAGCCGCTCGCGGCACAGCTAGAGCCGTGTGGGCTCGGCGGTGTGACTCCAGAAGACCATTTTGCCATTCTCGTCGTCACCAAGCAGCCCATTCACAGTTCAGGGCGGGCTCTACGTCACCTGGTTCGCATTGGGTCGAATGAGACAGCCGCCTCGATTTCAAGCAGGATTGCGCATTTGGCCGACATAGAGGCACATGCATCGCGCCGGCGCCCCTACCAACCATCTCAGATTCCGGTGCAAGTTGTTGCTCAGCGTTACAAGGGTCTGAAGCCTCTTCCCCTACCTCCGCCGGCGATGTTTTATCCACCATTTACCGAGACTACCGAGTCGGAAGACTCGGGTTTTGAAGATGGCTCTGCCGATGAGGAGGACGATTCAGATGTAGATATGGGTGGCTTCGAGGCCATTTCACAGCGAGTGAACCCTAAACAGTCTGACCAGGACTTCCTCACAAGGGGCGCCCCCGGCTCCGACGATGACGAAGTTCACAGCATGGGCGCCAAGGTTGCCTCCAAGGCAGCATTCGTTCCCCGAGTACGCAAGTTGTCCCACGGCTCTAGCCGGCCGGGCCGGAGTCTAATACAAGGCATGGATGTGCACCCAGATAGCTCCGGCGCCACGGCAGGAGGGGAAGCGAGTGGCTACAGCAGCAGTGAGGAGGATGACTAGAGACTTTGTTCGTTGACTCCGGCGGGTGTTGCACCTGCATGTGTGCTGTCCCTTGAAAATGTACACAGACCGAGTTCTTGCATCTTTATTGGCGTTGGGATTGTTTATTTGATGGACGAGCTTTGATCTCGGGGCATGATACCAATTTCTAGCGGCCGCTGCGAAAAGTTCACCAGCGAGATTTATCCAAGTCATGTACGTGGCATCGAGTTAAGCATTACAGGCAATGTCATTGGTTTATAGCAGTTCAGCCGAAGTTGCGTGTTGCCCAGATTCAATCGAGAAACTATCACCGGAGATGCTACTGCACTGTATAAAACCGCCTGATAATATCCTCCCATATGTAGCACTTGAGACACTGATTCGCTGGCAAACCAGCTCTGCAGACTTAAGTTGTCTGCGGTCCTGCAAAGTGGACTGATTCTAGCCACGAAGCCAGCCATGAGCACCTTGAGTACGATATTGGAAATTTATCAACAAACTGCTCAGCCGGGCTCTGTGGATGCCCCATTGGAATGTCCCAACAAGCGGCCCTGGGCTGTTTCTCTCGATGCTGGGTAGGACGTTGTCTGGGTTAGGGTATAGGGGGCGGCAGCCTGATGTAACAAAGGGGGGTCCCATGTCCGCTGAAAGCCGACCCCCTTCCCCACCTGCGAGAAAGATTGAACCCGTTAGGTGCATACAGTCTGGACTTAGCGGTCCTTCTACAGAAAGCTGCCCCACCATCAAGCTGCCCTGGGCGCTGGCAGCACAGGCTGGATTAGAGAGAGCTTTGGGCCAAACCGACGTCTCTTTCGCCGACTGACCAAGCAACAGCCGTCGACATGGCAGACAAGGGGAAAGCCGCTGCTCCGGGGTAAGCAGCCCAAACCACTACCAACATGCAGAAAGGAGGAGACATTTCTTTCGCGCGCAGACGGAAGACGGACTGACTGGGAAGTGTTTGGCCCGCAGGAGCAAGGACACCCCCACCAACCCGCGAGGCATACCGTATGCGCCGTTCGTCGACAAGGTCGAGGACTATGTGACCTCGCGCGCCGATACCGAACCGACACTGCGCAAGTTCCAGGAGATGATCGCGTGAGTCCGCTGCCGCACACCACCACCCCCGAGGCCCACCACCCAGGCTGCAGGATGCCACGGGATCGCAACTGCCGTTGTGGCGCGAGCGATGGATAGTCCAACAGGCGGGCGGGCGGGAGGGAGGGGCCTGAGGAAGAGGAGTCGTGGGTTGACGCGGGACAATCGAATCACAGGAAGTACCAGTACATGGAGTCGAACATGCAACGGAGAGCCGCGGGCCTGAAGGACAAGCTACCAGATATCCAAAAGACGCTGGAGACGGTGCGGTTCCTGAAGACGAGGACAGTATGTCACCCAGGCCCCGGCCTTGTGGCGTCGTGGCTGACATGAGCTACTGCTACTCAGGACGAGTCGGACCCGATCGAGACCACGTTTGAGCTCAACGACACGCTGTTCGCCAAGGCCGAGGTGCCGCCCACCGACGAGGTATACATCTGGCTCGGCGCCAACGTCATGCTGGCCTACCCGATAGACGAGGCGGAGACGCTGCTGGCCGACAGGTTGAGCAAGGCCCAGAAGAGCCTCGAGGACTGCGAGGAGGACGCCGAGTTCCTGAGGGAACAGATCACGGTAAGTATACTTTGTCCGCCCCCTCCCCCTCACCCTGCGCTTGTTGATTGTCTCGCACTCACACCACCCACCTCCGCCAGACCATGGAGGTCGCAACAGCTAGGGTGTACAACTGGGATGTCGTGCAGAAGCGCAAGGAGAAGGGCGAGGAGGAGAGCAAGGAGAAGGACGACAAGGCCGCCGGCGGCTGAGCTACCCGTGGCGCGGATAGGATAGGAGTTGCAGAATAGACGACCTTGTCGGGCCCCCATCACGTCGGTCATGTCACCAATCCCTCCGAATGGGAGGGAGGGTTTTGGTTTGAACCGAAATCACTCGATCCGCCCACAGGCCGAACTCATGGTTCAAAGAGCCAGTGGGCAGATTCCGGGCACTCAGGGCGATTACCGAGCAGTACGTAAGGACACTCGGATGATGAGAGGTAGTGGGGACGGCCTGCGGTAAATAGAAACCACAATGCCTTTCCAGCCATCCGTTTCATCGCCGTCCTCGTGAATTCGCAACAAGTATGGTTAGATCACTTGCCTGTCTCTATCGAATACAGGTTCACCGCCGGGGAGCTTCAAACTATCAAAGTGTTGTATGCCTGTCATGTTCTTTTTGCGTTGGGCGGAAATGAGCCATCCTGTATAAAACCAGAGGAATGGCTCCGAAGCCATCAGCTCACACCATCACATCAGTCTCGAAAATTGGATTGTTGACGTCAGCCTGTGTCATATGTATTCCTTTGTAAGCCCATGTCAGACGCACCTCCTGTCAGAAGCCGTCTTAGTCCAGTCTGATACGCCACCCTTTACATCGCCCAGGCCAGGGGAGCAGCTTGGGATCAGCTGACACCATACTCAATGTGTTCCTGAAGGCGGAATTTCTTATGGAAATCTACTTAGGTGATAGGATTGTGAACACAACACAAGACAAAGTACCTGTGTACTGGTGAAGGCTGGGTCGGGCCTATAGGCAAGGCATGTCGCGTAACAGCGGTTTAAGTCGACTATGGCTCAGAGTTTTAGTGAAAGTCAGGTTATTTTGAGGCTGGGAACGAGTGAGGAGTATTTTCATGGATGAAAACTTGAAATATGACAAAGGCCACTTACCCCCCATATCAAAACAGTTGGGCTTACACACATGCAATATAGATGGCGAAGCCTCGGTGCGGTCTGGCATGCCGGGCCTCTCGAATCGTGCCAACATAAGTAGTCGCCTTGATTTGCCCATGTCGCTCAACAGCAAGACAGAATGGCGTGGTGGAATATGATCCTCATCTCTGGATCTGGGCTTTCCAACACATGACTAAAAACCAAGTCACAAACATGGTCAGTGCTAGTTCGTCTTTGATCCTGGAGCGTCTATGGATTAGACACGGTCGACTTGTGTCATCCTTCAGGATTGATGTGAGTGGACTGCCACGAAACAGACCTTTGAATTCTGGTCTACTACAGTGTTCTACAAATCCCCGGCATCAATGCGCTTTTATTTGGTTCCGATGTCCTGTTGTTGGCCTAGTCTGTGACCACGAGTTGAGAAAACCGGGAGGCCCTATGCGGTAATTGCTTGTCCCTCGACGGTGAAAGACAAATCATCCGTGGTTAATTGCACGTGGTTCGCAATGAGTTTTGAAATACTGTCGTATTCGGAATGAACAATGTGTTCACAGCTTAGGCCGTTTGATACGTGGAGGTCCTGAAGCGTTGACAGATAGATCGTGGCAACGAATTCCAAGGTAACTGACCAGTATCAGGACTCCTCAAGGAATACTTGCGGGCTGATTATGTGTTTCCCTGAGAACAACGGGAAACGTAAGTGATGACTGCCGCACCCAAGCGGTGGAGTGACGACTTGCTGTCCTCTCGTTCAATTGAACTCCAGTGGACTTCCCCTTGTTCTCTTAGGCCCTGCCGCAGTGGCCATCGCCAGTCATACTTGACTTCGTTGTGTATGCCCATGGAAGACTTTGGCTACAGTATATTTCTACAATCAACTATTTATCTATTTACCATCTTCTCAGCCTTCAACAACCTACCCCATATCCTACACATGAAGTTGAAGACTACTCGGTATGTATCCTTAAACTTCTCCTTGCTCATACAGCCATGCATCTGCATTCGCATGCAAGCATCCCGGGAACCTGAGCGTCATAGTCGGCTCATTCTGTGTAAATAGATACCTGCTGCAGGGCGCACCGTATGAGCCAGACCTCTGTGATGTGGACTTTGGACGGCATTATATATGGAACACGATGACCTTACACCTTTGGTAACAACTTTGCTGTTCTAAAACCGTTGCAAGACGAGTTTACTTGAAACCGGGGAACATGACGTCGAATTGGAGTAGCGTTTACTGGATTTGGTGTCTATGATTACCCAATTCTGGCGACGGCAAGGCCGGCCTTTGACGAGGTTGTTTATATAAGAGGCGGTGGCGCCGATTCTGCTGATGACGCAGGGCTTTTGAAAGCGATATTATCAGAAATCACGTACTGTGCAGCTTCTATTTCCGTAGTACAGCCGTGCAATGCTGCAATTAGAAAGTCAAACAACGCGGTTACCGAAGCATAACAATTTCTTTCCCGTTGCCTCTAGTCGCCAGGGCACAGCAGTAGTGTACTGAGGCAAAGTCATATAGTCCTACAACTCAGGCGTGCATACTACATAGACCTGGCTACGCACAGAGAACACAAGGATGTACGTACCTAGGTAGGTGGGCTGTCAAAGACTGGGGCTCAGGGTGCTGAATGCTACCACCCTGACAATCTTAACTTGTGCACAGGGCGCAAACAAGGCGGTGGACGTTGTGGGGAGGGAGATTGACAGAGGGAATTACGGACTTCACCACATACTGTGGAGGAGAATGATACAGCCAGAAGATGCCCGTGGCAAAATACAGCCAGTCAAAGAGAGACGACCGGGGCACATGCATGCGTGCATGCACGCACTTGGACAGTTTAAATTCCGATTCATGTACTCTGTCATGTCAACAAGACTGCAAGTCGAGTTGGGCACCAGATGAGATGAGATGAGATCTGGATGAGAATGGGGCCCTGGCAGCATCCATTTCTGCCCTGCAAGGCCTGGCCCTCGCCCCGTTGGATGGATCTGACTGGCCAACCGGGAAATGCTCTAGAAGAGCGAGGAACGGGTTGGGGCGGTGCTGGCGGTGCTGGCGGTGCAGGAGAGCAGGCGGCGGTGGAGCAGCGGTTGATGACGTCCCCTCCAGATGCCCACCCCCGGCCGAGAGACCCTCCCAGCAGGCCAGTTGCCCCCCCACCACAGACAACATCAGACGGCCAAAAACGGGGCGCTCTCAAATTAGACAGGAGAACATCACAGCGTCGCCGGCCGCCACGCCTGCCACGCCTGCCACGCCCGCCACGCCAGCTCTCGCCTTGCTCGCCTTGCTCGCCTTGCTCCACCACACACCCCCTGGGCATGTTTCTGGACAACACCGCTTCTTTCTTGGACCCCTACACCTCGGCCTCCTGAGCGCGACCGTTTCCAGCTGTGGTCAAATTTCTGGTCTCATAATCGGGCAGGGCAAAAGACAATTACTTGGCCTCGACATCCCTCGACATCCCCCCGACATCCCCCTCAACCCTCAACTTTCCCATCCCGCCTTTTTTCCTCCTGCATCATCACCCCCGCCGCCGCCGCCTCCAGCACACCTACAAACCACAATGGCTGCCACAACAGGAACAGAGGGCATCCAGCTCGACCCAAAGTACGACGACTTTGACTTCCCCATCGTCGCCCCCGTCAAGGTCAACGGCCACCCTGGCCACTTGACCCCCGAGCAGAATGCCGCAGTCAAGCAGCTGCGGGAGTCGCTCGAGAAGCAGGGCTACACCGATCGCCTCGACTCCCTGACCCTGGTATGTACCTGCCTGATCTGAGGTCCGGCGAGCACCCATGTGGCCCTCGGAGCAGAGCTGACCGTGTCATCCGCCTCCAGCTGCGGTTCCTGCGCGCCCGGAAGTTTGACCTCGCTGCCACCGAGAAGATGTGAGCCGCATCCTGCCCTCTGCCTCCCCAGCATGCCCCGAGAATGGTTTGTTGACCTGCCGCAGGTTCATCGACGCCGAGAAGTGGCGGAAAGACACCAAGCTTGACGAGCTGCTGCCCACCTGGGACTACCCAGAGAAGGAGCAAATATTCCAGTTCTACCCTCAGTACTACCACGGGACCGACAAGGTACGATGCGGCCCCCCCTCCCCCCCAACGTCGATATTCCAACATTCACTAACAGGGAGCGTGCCCGACAGGATGGCCGCCCAATCTACATCGAGCAGCTCGGCAAGGTCGACATCGCCGCCATGAACAAGATCACCACCTCGGAGCGCATGCTGACCAACCTGGCCGTCGAGTACGAGCGCGTCGCCGACCCCCGCCTGCCCGCCTGCTCCCGCAAGGCCGGCCACCTCCTCGAGACGTGCTGCACCATCATGGACCTCAAGGGCGTCGGCCTGGGCAAGGCCCCGTCCGTCTACGGCTACCTCAAGTCCGCCTCCAACATGTCCCAGAACTACTACCCGGAGCGCCTGGGCAAGCTGTTCGTCATCAACGCCCCCTGGGGCTTCTCCACCATCTGGGGCGCCATCAAGGGCTGGATCGACCCCGTCACCGTGCAGAAGATCCACATCCTCGGCAGCGGCTACCAGAAGGAGCTGCTGCAGCACGTCTCCCCCGAGGCCCTGCCCAAGGCCTTCGGCGGCACCTGCGAGTGCCCCGGCGGCTGCATGTTCAGCGACATTGGCCCGTGGACCGACCCCCAGTACGCCAGGCCCGCCAAGTGGGAGAAGAAGGCCGACGGCGCCGCCGCGCCCGCGACCACGATCGAGACGAAGCAGGATGACCCTCAGGCTCCTGCCGCCGACCAGGCTGCGGCCCCAGCGGCAGCCGAGGAGGGCGCCAAGGCTGACGCCCCTGCCCCTCAAGCTGCATAGAGTCTCTGTAGTAGGTCTGTCATGGTGGTGTTTGGGGTTGAGGAGCCGGGGGGGCGGGGGGTCCCGTACACATAATTGTTGGGTTTGTTAAATATCGAGGAAGCGCATGGGTAGAAAAGAAGCACTGGGAAAGAGGTGCATGAGATGGGGCATAAAGTAAAGTAGTGCCTGCGTCTGCGTCTATTGTCGCGCAAAATCACAAGACCAAGATGAGGTTGAGACTGTCAGGATCCTGTCCCCATCTTGCACAGTTGACCATGCTCCCAAATCCGTGACGTGAGGTACATTGTTTGGCCCTGGTGGAACTTCAGCCCACCAGTTGTAGGAGCTTTCAAGGGCTCACTCAACAAGTGCCATGGTAGAAACCGCCGTGGTATCGTGCCAGCCGTGAAACCAACTCCATGCTTCTTCCACGTGGAGAGAGCGCCATCTCCTAAACGCCAGGAACGCCAAACAAGCTCCCATAAACACCGCCCTCCTCGGAAGGGACAGGTTCACCTCTCGGTGACAACATACTCGCCAGCAACCCTCGCCCGCTCCATCTTGGCCACCGTCGCAGGCATCTCCCTCCTCAGGCGGCCCAGCGTGTCCACCACGGCCGCATGGTCCGCCTCCACGCGGGGCTGTCGTTCCAGCGGCCCGATGCCATCCAGGAGGGCCTTGGGCTTGTTGTTGCTCTTCCGAGCATCGGCCCCCTCTTCTTCTTCTTCGCCTCCTTGTCCCTCCTCCTCCCCCCCTTTCTCCTCTTGCCCCTCGTCATCGCGCCCGCCGCCGCCGCCGCCCACGGCCGCCGCAACAGCACCGTCCCTCGCCCTCCCCAGCGCCTCCTCGTCCGCCCTCACGCCCTCCCAGAACCCCTCCGCGAAGCCCTTTGCCGTGGCCGCCGGCACGCGCCGCTTCAGCGCCGCGATCTCGCGCATCAGGTCCTCCTCCTCGCGCGCGAGCTCCTCCACCCGGGCGCGCTTCCGCGCGTCGAACGCCTCGTACTGCACTATCTCCTCTGGTTGCGAGTTGTTGTCGGCCCCGCCGCGCCGCTTCCGCAGGTTGTGTGTTGACGACGGCGAGGGGGAGTCGAGGTATACGGCCGGGAAGGTCCTGGCGTCGAGGTCAAAGCCGTTTATGGAGAGGTTTGGGGCTGCGAGGGTGAATGTTTGGGAGATGTACTGTTTTGTTGGGCGCGCGTCGAGCTGGTCAGCCTCTCTTGTGCTCTCTCTTCTTTTTTGGTTGCGTTTGTTGAGGAAGGGTAGGACAGTAGGAAGAAAAAGAAGGGAAGCAAAAAAAAGAAGGCATACATCGGCGACGAGCTTGTCGATCCTGACGCGCAGCTCGTCGGCGCCGTCATCGTGGGCGTCGTCGACGGGCGGGAAGGCGGCGTTGATGTGCTCCCCGGCGGCGCGGCGCACGTTGTTGATGAGGAAGGTCAGGTCCTCGGGGGACTGCAGCTCGATCTTGCGGTGCGCGCCGTCCATCGCGTTGCCGTTGTCCTTGTTTTTGATGTCGCTGTTGGTCGCCGAGGACGGCACGTTGGCATCAGCCTGTGAATGTTGTGGTTGAGTTTGTTGTGCTTGTAGGTCTTCGTTGGGTTTGTACGAGGAGCGCCTTCGAGCCGGCTTGTTCATTTCTATCTACCTGTCTTTTTTTTTTTGTTGTTGTTTAAATACTATCTGGGCCAGGATAAGTAATGTACCGCATTCATTCGGTACGTCAATGTCTCATTAAAGGCACCCAAAAGGGGAAATCATGGAGGATTGATCATGGCTTGCAGGGCGAGCCGCTCCCGTCGTACATGTCTTGAGAGATAGATGTGTTCAACGTTCAGTGCCATCGCCATGTTGCCTCTTCTGCAACGGCTGTCTGCTAAACCCGCGTAGCGCGTCGAGCTGCCCGGCCCCAATGCGGGTCGTGCATGTCAGGCAGGCATGGGAGCGCCAAGAACCTTGCCCGCCAGCCCGCCTGCCCACCTAGCCTGCTAGCCCCTGCACCCATCCCTCACTGGCCGACACCGGCGCTAGCTGCTGCTTATCAGTGACCGCGGGGCTTCTTATCAGGCAGCAAGGGCTGGGACCCGGAAGTGCTTGCAGCTATGAAGTAACATGGGATGGCCTGGCGGCAGTCTCGCCTTGGACCATGCCAACACGAAGGCCATTACAGTAACATGGGATTGTGGTTCCTTGGCTGTGGATATTGTGTATAATGCCGTTTCAGGAATGGATGGCCCCTTGCACAAGTTTGATTCCAAAATTGAACAAATATCTGTCAGTCAGTCCTGTTGGAACCGGTCCCACAGGATCCTGGTCTGGGGATGCCGACGTTGGATATTCTCCAAACCTTCTTTGTTCCCATAGGAGACATCTCACTGCTAACCCAAGCACCACCTAAGCAAGTCATAACGATTAGGTTTACCATGGGATTGTCGCATCTCTTCTTGGAGCAATGTCTGAGCGGAGTGCCAACAATGTCTTACAAGCAGTCAGATACGTACAAGCGGGTCTCTCTGTTGAGTAGAGCTGTTAACGACCAGGTGACCGTGTTCCCCCTTGTGCGCATACCCGACGACAAGAAATAACAGAACGCCCCATCCAAAAACCCCCTGACTAAGATCATAAGCATGATGAGTGTACGAAAGACCGCCGTGGGGAATAAGATACTACCAGAACAGCAATGAATGAGAAAAGACCCCCAGCTTCCAGTCTGAAAACATAACCCGGAACCCCTGCTATGGTGATGGTATCGGATGTCGGTGTCCCTTGCAGCGTCTTCCTGCTGGGAACCCTCCTGTCGTATTTGTTCGGCCCATGTCTTGTAAAAAGAAAACCAAGGAATGCCGTCCAGTGCGCCTGTTTGGGGGTGGAAGACAAGTGTTCTCGTGAGAATCAACCGTTCTAGAGCCGACCGGAATGGGAATGCAGAGAAAAAAAGAGAACCCTGCCTAGTTGTGGGGGAACATGTTCTGGATCTCCTCGTCCGTCAGGGTGATCTCCTTGACAGGCTCGCGCTTGTTCTCCAGGGGCGTATAGTCGTAATCGATGTAAGAGGGCAGGAAGAGCTCCGGGTTCCATTCAAAGCCCTGGCTGGTGGCGAGATAAGAGATCTGTCACACGAGGCCGTTGTCAGCTCACATTCGCAAGGCCGGCCTGCCCGGTGTCGGATGCTACTTACAAGCCGAGGTGGGCCGTCCTCGTCCCCGATGTTGATAGTGGTGGATTTGGATTCCGAGAGAGCGGAGCCTGACCACCAAGACAAGTCAGCCAACGGTAACAGACCCTCGTATGACGTGACAGGGGTTGCGGTGTGGGGAGGCTGAGGGCCCGGTGCCAGCCAGCACCTTGTTGTGCACCAGCCGAAGCGACCGACAATCATTGCGGGACTAAAGTGCTGGGTTGGGATTGGCAACTCACTCAGCAGGCTCGGTCGGCGCTCGTGTGCCATCTTCTGCTTCTGGGCCGAGTTGGAGGACTTGGAGGGCGTGGTGGGCGAGGTGGAATAAGTCGAGGAGGAGGAGCTCATGGGGCTGTGGACCTTGGGCTGCCTCTGGGACTGGGCGGGGATGTCGATGGAAGACGACATGGTGACGGGACGGCAGGTTACCGTAGATGGCAGCGAGGGGCCGCGGCCTGCAGGAGGCAGCCGTGTGATGGTGCTGCTGGCGGTGCTGGTGTTGTTTGTCCGGGAAGCGAGGGCTCACCGAACAACAGGCTGCCAGGTTGAGGAGAGATCATCAGAGAGTTGACGGACGGCAGGCCAAGGCGGGTTGGGGAGGTCGGGGAGGGAAGACGACAGGGAGATTAGCAGACAGGCGAAAGATAGACGTCAAAGGATTACAGCGTAACTCGGCGAAAGGATGACGGCCGACAAGTGAAGTGACGAGTGGGAGGAAATGCAAATCCCACGGCGGCAGCAACAGGCACTGCAGAAGAAAACAGGGAAAGGTTGCGGTTAAGGTTGGAGTGGAAGCGAAGGTTGGAGAGCAGAGGATGAGTCGGACGAACAGCGGACTGTGAGGTGACTGTACCACAGTACAAGCAGGAGGCTCTCCAGCCAGTACTCCGTACGGCAAGTCACCCACTCAGTCCCAAACTCCCAGCAGGCCACCCCTTGCTGCCCACCGGCGGGTCTCGCACTGTAAGGTAGAGGTATCGCCAGGCGTGAGCCGTAGTGCGGGGATACATTGGTGGGAGTCACCAGGCACACGGTGGTCTGGTACCTTTGAGTGCTCTGCCTTACCTGGAGCGGCTAGCCCCAGACTCGTCAGTAACACGGGTTCTGGTATGATTGACCTGGGCAGCAAGGAAACCGCAGTCTCGACTGCAACAAGCCGGGCGAACAGGCAGACAGGCTGCTCCGACGGCTGCTGTGTGGATATGCATGTGGGTATAGCCAGATGCAGGACTACCTGACTTCGAGCCAGCCAGCCAGCCAGCCAGCCACTCACTTAGCCTGGTTGTCGAGGGAGAATTAAGGTAGGCTCCCCGAGAGCCCAGGCACATGGCCGCCTCGCCTGGTCTCAGCTATGGTTCCGTGCCACACGAGTGCCTATCTACAGTGTACGTGCGACTACAGCATGTCCCCGTCCGTATGATGCCAGGCAGGATTGCCAGAATGGGTGCATGTGCCACTAGGTTGGCAGGTTGGCTTCACCAACCACCCCATGGGCTCCTCATCCCGGCCCGAACCTGGTGATTATATGTGGATATCGGGTTCGTTGCCTTGTTGCTCACCCGGCAGAACCACCTGTCTCTTCTCCCTGACGATGTGACACAGTATCCTGCTCGGTCCAGGACATGGAGGACTTGGGCTCTCGTGGACAACACATGGTCCAGAGGGCGCTTGCTGCCGAGTGAGGCACAGGTCTTGCATGAGCTGTCTGGCCAGTAGTATCGTATTCGGCAGGGGGGCGGGATGGGATAGGCAGCCAGGCAATGCTGGAACGGGGACTTACGGGCCCATTCAAAGCTGGGGCCGCGGATGCAAAGGTGGTGGGGCCTGGTCTGGCAGTCAGTCTGGTATGCCATCCTGCCTGCCAACCTGCCTCGAGCTGCCGGGTGCTGGACGAGCACGGACCAGTTAAGTCAACTGCCACTTTGTACCTATGTAGCCTAGCCTCTCATGCTTAATCGCGGTGGGTCTCAACTTGGAAGGGACGAGCTGCTGGATGACTCAGCAAGAGTTGCAGGGTGGCCGAGGAGCTGGCGTTGACGTTCGCGTGCCTGGAGCCGGCCAGAGCTAGGAGCAACTTCCATCAGCTTCGCCTCTCCCAACTACTTCCAACCAAGCAGCAATCCACCCTCCCGCCTCGCCCTCTTTAGAACACCTCGGTTCTTCTTGCCATCGTTGCCGTCTTCCATCCTCGTCGTGTCAGCCGCCAACCTCGCCTCACATACATCCAGACCCGACAAGATGGGTGACGTCTTGGTAGAAAACCCGGCGGGCCTGGCATCCATCAAAAAGCCGGCGCCGTCGACGATACCGGCCATCGATAACTTCGAGGGGATCGCCACGGACACCGGTGATGACTACGCAGATCTGAAGAAGCTGCAAAGGCAACTGGAGTACATTCAGCTGCAGGAGGAGTACATCAAGGATGAGCAGCGAAGCCTCAAGCGGGAGCTCGTCCGCGCCCAGGAGGAGATCAAGAGGATCCAGAGTGTGCCCCTGGTCATCGGCCAGTTCATGGAGGCTATCGACCAGAAGTGAGTCTCCCCAAGTCGCCGCCCAACAGACATATTGCACACATCCCCCCGCTCGCAGTGAGCTGACAGGGCATCGCGACAGCACCGGCATTGTCCAGTCATCTACCGGCTCCAACTACGTCGTCCGCATCCTCTCCACCCTCGACCGCGAGCTTCTGAAGCCCTCGTCATCGGTCGCGCTACACAGGCACTCCAATGCCCTCGTCGACATCCTGCCGCCCGAGGCTGACTCCTCCATCGCCATGCTTGGCTCGGATGAGAAGCCCGATGTGACCTACGCAGACGTCGGTGGCCTGGACATGCAGAAGCAGGAGATCCGCGAGGCTGTGGAGCTTCCCCTGACACACTTCGACCTCTACAGGCAGATTGGTATCGACCCCCCTCGTGGTGTGCTGTTGTACGGCCCACCAGGAACAGGAAAGACAATGTTGGTGAAGGCCGTGGCAAACAGCACAACCGCGAACTTCATCCGCGTCGTGGGATCCGAGTTTGTTCAGAAGTACCTAGGCGAGGGACCCAGGATGGTCCGAGACGTGTTCCGGATGGCGAGGGAAAACTCGCCCGCCATCATCTTCATCGACGAAATCGACGCCATCGCCACCAAGCGATTCGACGCCCAGACTGGTGCCGACCGTGAGGTGCAGCGTATCCTGCTCGAGCTGCTGAACCAGATGGATGGTTTCGACCAGACCGCCAACGTCAAGGTCATCATGGCGACGAACCGTGCGGACACGCTCGACCCTGCGCTTCTGCGTCCTGGACGTCTGGACCGAAAGATTGAGTTCCCCTCGCTTCGGGACCGCCGGGAGAGGCGACTGATCTTCACGACCATCGCATCCAAGATGAGTCTCGCGCCCGAGGTCGACCTTGACTCGTTGATCGTGCGCAATGACCCCTTGAGTGGCGCTATCATTGCCGCCATCATGCAGGAGGCTGGCCTGCGGGCCGTGAGGAAGAACAGGTACAACATCATCCAGAGCGATCTGGATGACGCGTACTCAAGCCAAGTCAAGGGCACGAGTGACGAGAACAAGTTTGAGTTCTACAAATAAACGAACGGCCGTGGGAGCACTGGAGATCACCGGGCAGGATGGAAACTTGGTGCATTGCAATGGGTGGCAATGGAATAGACAGCTGGCAGGAGATGTATAAGGATAGCACCCAGTGTTGGGACATACCAACACGGCATCTCCAAATGTACAACATGACGATATTATTTGACGGCCTGCTTCGGGCTCCAGGTTCAACCCCATATCCACTTGTGTCGATAATTACCACAATTGGAGATCAACTCGCTACAAGCCCGTGTCAAGGCGCGGGACTGCCCCCCAACATCCTTCATTCCTGTGACTCTCCATATCCTCCGTGCTGCGCACCTGAGACACTAATTGTCTGACACTGTGATCGGTGCTCAGTAAGCGGATACAAACCCACGGTGCGGGCTTGCTGGCATATGGCCTAGGCAAACGCAAAAAAGGAGTGGTCATCCCATGTCGCCCACTCCCCTATACAATGAGGCTTACAGCACCCAACCTGATATCCTGCTCGAAAACTGCAGAGGCAGCGCAGCTCACACATCAGGTTCGAGAAGCGTGTATGTATGTACAGCTGTCTGAGGTCGAGCTGGCTTGGAGTCGGGTGACTAAATCTTCAGCTCATGACTAGCCGGCACCGCCGATGATCAATAATAAATCCGTGGAAAACATCGGCGCCAGAGCCACTAGACGTTTTGCTACATGGGTGCCTCAGATATCAGTGCATGTATGTCTTGGTGCTGCAGTTGTTCATGGCAGCGGAGGACGGAGAGTATGGACGACATCGTTTTTCGTAAGGGGGCCTGCCTGGTGGGACACGCATGGCGAGTCGGTCGTGTTGGGCGGCCGATTTAGACAGGGCCTCATTATCAAAATTTGAAAGAGCTTGTAGACGATGGTAGGATTTCCCGAGGGAGGGAGGGTATCACAGTATCTGCTCCCAGGGGCTGCTTCCGCAGTATCTGTTGCGAGGAGACAGTTCTCTGCCAGTCTTCATACTTACAATTCGGTCCTAGAACTTGGACTTCATCCTTGTTAGAACCACTGCGATGAGTCTTTTCCTAGACGATTCTCGACGCCCGGGCACAAATAATCCAGCTCTGGGTTCCCGGGCTTTGACGATGTTTCGGTGGATTCAGAGACTCACCTCCCCACAACGGACACACATTTTAAGACTCCAACCAGGTTTGTATGGGGGCTGCTCCATATGGATAGTTTGTTATAATTTCAGTGACATTTGCTTCACAGTTCATCTTCACAGACACCTAAATTCATCACAAATTGCCACGAATGTTGTACACGCCGGCCTGTATATGAGCCGAGGTATATCGATTGGTAATTTTCCCATGGCCACACATATCTGCTATATATGATTCAGGTTACATTCTGGATAAAAGAAAAATGCCCGGTTTGATGCTTTACATCTGGCCCTCAACCACTGCTGGCTGGACAAACCCGAGGAGTGATTGAGCAGGACTCGAAACATTCACCAAGAAGGCAAAGTAAGGTGGCCTGATGTTCAGGTGGTAGCCCGCCCCGTCCAAACCATCAACAGCAAGCAACCAACAAAGTTGCCCAGCCATGAGGTTACGGGACGAAGCGGTCCATCTGATCAGACCTGGGGGAGCAGTGAGTACTTATTTCAAGGGCACTGTCCACATAGAGCATGCTTGAATTCCCCAGCCCCACGCACCTGTCTCGTGATGACTAGCAAGTTAATCAAATCCAGTTGCATGCCTAGACAAGAGGGAAAAAAACACAAGAACAAACAAAGTCCAGCTTTCTCGTCACCAGCCACGGAGCGTGCTCACACCCCTTCCTCCGTCCGTCCACCCGACACGAGAGAAGTCTCGTATTCTCATTCTCCATCAAGAGGAAGGGCACCGATGGCTGTGCTTGTACAGTGACATGGCCTGAGGAAAATGTGGCGCGAGGAAAACAAACCACCAAAAACAACATCAGCTTTTGCAGCCGTAATGACCATTCGTTGGTCATGTCTGACGCCCTTCTATCTGGCGTCTTGTTGTCTTTTGACAGCGTCTCTTGCTCCGAGCCCTTCTGCTCGGCCTTTAACCATCCTTGCTATGTCGAGCACGCAGAATTATCAGACTCAGTCCCGAGTCCATGTTTAAAGGGGGCACTACAAGCCAGGCAAGAGAAGAGCATTGGGTAAAAGAAGGCTCATTGTGATCGAGCAAGTGGCATAGTACACACAGCCCAAGCCCTCCACATTTTGACCAGGTACAAACAGCATCAGAAGGAATGATAATAATACTTACTACCTGGTAGGCAGTATCTAGGATAGTACAACTCCTACACACACCCCATGTATTTTATCGGCTGGCCGGTTTGGTATCTCTTTCAACCCCGTATCCCTTTGCCCGGATGCTTTTTCCTCCCCCGTCTAGCAACTTTTGGTATATCCTCCAATTGCACCCCGTCCGTTCCCTTCTGGAAAAATTAACAAACAAACAAAAGCGTACGCCTCGCTTTGCGCCTCGAAACAGAAATTCAAAGTTTTCCCCAAATACCTCATGGCGTCCCGCTTTCGCACACAAAAAAGGGACCAGAGAGAGAGTTCCCGCCATCTCTTTCCGGCCGCCCTATCGTACAACAGATATCCGATACACCATCGTACATTCCCTAGCCACTCGGCCCACAGACAATGGGCTAGCTGACCTGCACATTATCAAGAGCTCAGCACGACGCCCAGCTCCAGCAGCAGCCTCACGAACCGCGAGTGTAGCTCGATGAAGAAGTCCGGTAGGCCCACCAGCTCCGCCAGACCCCGAGCCTTGAGGCTTACGCTGCCGGGGCCGTACCCACCACCCATGCGGCGCGACAGGCCACTTCCCATGCCCCCAGAGAGGAATCCGCTGCCTGTAGTATTGCCGCTGCTGGCGTCCTCGCCGTGGCCGTCGCTTTGTCGCTGCTGCTGCTGCTGCTGCTGAGCTGCCATACCGCCGTACATGGCGCCAGCCGACAGAGGGCTGCTTGCGGTGCTCGTATCATTAGCGTAGCGCTCAGCCTCAGCCTCGGCGAGGCTTTGGATCCAGGCGGCCAGCTCACGGAAGGCCTGGGACATGAAGGTGAAGGCCTTCATGGCCAGGCGCTCACGGTGTGTCGACAGAGCCAGGAAGGCGTAGACTCGCTTGTGGCCTCGTGCATGTACGTCCGGGATTCGGAAGATGTAGGCCGTCGTGTAGCCGGCGCCTGGGTCGCCGAAAAAGATGGGCCCACCTGAGGCGGCAGCACCGGGGCTGTGTGTCGTCACGAAACCCGGGGATGATGGCGATGCAGTCGGGGTGTTGCCCGTATTCATGGCCGTGCCGCGGGGCAGCGTTTCGAAGGACAGTGTCCGGATGCAGGAGGCACGGACTATGGAGAAGGAGGACGGGACGACGGGCTCGTGGGTGGACGTGTAATCCAGGTAGTGGGTGTGGCCGTTCGCCGGAGAAGAGGAGCTCGCACTCGACCGGGAGGTGACAGAGGTGACAGTGCCTGTCCTGCGGTGGGCGGGTCTCCGGGGTGGTACCTCTTCGTCATCGGAGACGGTGGAGGTGGAGTTGGGGGGCGAGGCATCGCCAGGCACGCCGCTGCCGTACACCCGGGCATAGGGAGCGCGGGTACGCAGGGTTGGTCCCGCATCGGCGTCCCCATCTTTCGACCTGGTCTCTTGCCGCTTGGGCAGGGTGAGGGCACAGTTGTCGCAAGGGCCGGCGCGGCGCATAACAGTCTCATCATATGTCCTCCTGTAGCTTGACTCACGGCGCGAGTGCGATGCTCCCGTATGCGGGGAATCTGCCGTGTACCTAGGGCTGACTGGTGGGGTGTCCACGGCGGAGGCGGATGCGATCTGGGTGGCGCGGCGGAGGGCAGAGCGGTTCACAGGTGGGTCTTGGTCGGAGGCGGGGGTGGAGGAGCTGCGTTTGGTGTCGAGATCGAGCCTTCTCAAGGCCTCGGTAATGGCTGCGCCGGACTGGCTAGTGGAGGTGGGCGTGCTGGCGCTCGAATGTGGTCGGTCGCTGGCCGAGTAGGGTGACTCGTCATAGCATGCGCTGCACGGTACCGGCAGGCCCTCGGTGACCATCAGCGGAGTGGGGCCGTGGACGTCGCAGTAGTGCGCCAGACATAACTGGACACCGGATATTAATATCATGTTCGCCGTCTAGGCCGGCTCGCGAACCATGCCGGGAGTAAGTAACAACAAAGGACACAAAGGATGACGGTGAAGGAATGGAGGGCTTGAGCCAAGCAAGAAGCTAAAGAGTGCGACCAGAGAGTATTTAAGACGCGTGGACGGGGTTGTCATGCGAAAGGACGTGGAGTGGGCGTGTGGAGGTTGGTAATCAAGGCCTAATAAGGGGCGAGAGAGGCCAGGCAGACAGAAGACTGGCAGACTGGCAGATAGATGATGGATGGGCCCCAAGGTTTGCAGGGCGATTTATCATTCGCACGGGAATCTGGGGGTAGAAACTCCGGGATAATTTCCATGACCGTGACAACGCAATTAGACGGAGGTCCACGTCATGGGCGGAGCGAGGTAATAGGGCAGGTTCCGTATGCCAGAACCCATGTGTCTCACAGCACATTCCAATGATGCCGGCTTGGAAGGAGGGTGAGCTGGTTGCCCGGGCGGGCCTGGATGCATGTGATGGAGGGCGAGGCGAGGCGAGGCGGTGAGGCGGTCAGGGAACAGGTGCAGCGAAGGAGGGTAGGGTAAGGGAGGTAGGTACGTTGCAGACCGAAGAAGAAGTAAAAAAAAAAAGAAAAAAAAAAAGTTGTAGTAGTGTATGACTGCGCAGCAGCAGCAGCAGCAGCAGCAGCAGGAGAAGCGTGGGATGACGCGCGCAGGGTAGAGAGGACGAGTGGGTGCGGGTTTGGGGGTCACACCAAGCCGCCTCGTTCGGATCCCAGTGACCAAGGGGAAAGGATGAGGGTGAGAGAGACGCGCAGAGGCTTGCAGAAACGTGCAGGGTGTGCAGAGGTGCAGATGTGCACTTGTGGAAGTCACTTGTGCAGAAGGGTGAGGGTGGTGTGTAGGACGACGCCGGCTACAGGCTGTCGAGACGGGACCGATCCAGCGATGATGGGATTGTCGGGATCGCCTGGATGGGGGTTTTGGAAGTCGTCGGCGCCCAACCCCTGCTTGTTTGATACCAATCTGGGACTTTTGTTTTGACCTGCCCTGCCTGCACGTTCCACACCCTGGAAAAGGTGTGTCCCGGGGAAAGGAGAAGTGGGGGACAGAGCGAGGTTGTCCATGGCCCTTGCCTGCCTCTTTCTGCCTTGCCTCCCGTCGACCCTTGCATCCGCGTCTGCAATCGCACTCGAGGGGATTTGAGGAAAGAGAAGCCGAGCCAGGAGAACCGAGTAGACGGAACAGGCAGGAACAGGCACCAAGAGGATCCGGGGAACCAGACAACAAGGAGGGGGAAAAGGAAAGACAATTTGTTACTCACAATCGACGTCATGGCGGCGGCGGGCCCTATCTTATCGGCGGCGGGCGGGATGTGTGTTGGGTGGCAGGGCTGCTGCAGGCAGGTACGATGTAGGTATGTATGTGTGTATGGCAGGCACGTCCCGTCCGCTGAGTGTGTGGTGTACCGCGCCGCACCGTACCGCACCGTGCTGTGCTGGGCCGTGATGTACCGCCCCGTACCGTATCGTATCGTACCGTAGGATCCAAGCCTTGCGTGCCCCCAAACTCGGGTCCTTGCAAGGCCAAGCCGGCGTGGGAAAATGCAACTTGGGACCCGGGCTAGGCCAAGGCCCACGCCTTCTGTTTTGGGTCGGGCTGATAGACTGATAGATTGATAACCTGTTGGTGACTTTTTGACCTGGGGGATATAACCTAGGTACCTTTTGTGCAAGCACACACGCGCGGTGCGCACACACAAAAGTCCACTTGTGTGCTCCCGGGACTGCTGCTGACAAAAGTGAATGAATGACTGTCTGTCTGTCGGGACCGAGATCCAAGTACCGAGTACCAAGGGCCTGGTGGTAGGTGTAGGCAGGTGTAGGTGTAGGTGAGAATATACTGTGCAGGCGCAGGCGCAAAAGTAACAACAACCTTGGAAGTAAGCTGCAGCCGTCCAAGTCGAGATGCTGGTTTGATTGTTAGGGAAAATGGGCTGTGCGCCTCCAAGTTACCCAATCTTCGGTCGTGCTAGTGTGTGGCAGCTGCAGTAGCCCGGATTCGTCGGCAACCTGATTGGCAGGGTGTGATGCCGTGCTTCACTGCTGCTGTGCGTGGCCCCCCTTGGTTCTGCGGGGAGTGGGATGGAGGGGGGGGTGGATGATGGATGCTTGCCCAGGTGGTGGATGGGAACGGGGTGTAAGGGAGGTCGGCTGGTCGGTCGGTCGGTCGAGTCCGAGTTATGCAGGCAGGTAGATAGATAAGATAGGTGGTGCCAGATGGGACGGGCTGGCAGGCTGGACGGGTGGGCGAGATGAGAGCAGGCGGATGGGTGGATGGGTGGATGGATGGACGGCCTGTGTGATATCCTATTGATCCTTGGTGCTTCCTTGGAACCCTTAAGAGCCGCGCCGCCCGGTATAACCGGAGATGATGCCACAAACTAGACCCCGTGGGCTGACCGGTTCGGTGACGACGGGAAGGACAGCCGAAACCGCAGGACACACACACTGTCTCTCTGTCTCTCTGTCTCTCTGTCTCTCTGTCTCTCTCCCCCTCTCCCTCGCACACACACACACACACACACAGCCAGACCGAGGGCAGATGTGTGGGTGGCAGGGGGCGGGCTCTCGTCAGGGAATGCAGTCGTGAGACGTGTTGCTCAAGTGGGTGAATGCGCGGGATGGCAGTGGGATTGGATGGGATGGGGTGATATGGGCCAGGAAGTGTGGGAGTGAACACTTGAGCGGAAGGCAAAAGGCTTGTGAATTCTTCTTATTCACGTTGGATGGCCCTCCTCCTTCGAGTGCAGTTCGGCACCGGGACCAGCACCGGCGAACGGGCGACACTTCCCCAGGCTGTCGCAAAACGGAAAATCAGACGAGGATGGTCCCCGGTGTTGCAAGTCGTCGAAAGGCTAGTTGGGCATCCATGAACCAAAACAGATGTATACGCCCGGCACTACTCCGATGGTTCTGTTGCGCCCGTGTTGGTGTGGAATGTCGATGCGCAGCCGAGGGGTGCAAGAGGGGGAGAAAAGAAGGATAGATAGACCAGGCTTAAAGGAGCGCTCAGATCGGTGTCTGTGGCCGCGCTGACACGAGGCTAGGATGTGTTCCAGATCCAGATCCAGATCCAGTCCAGGCACCTCGGGTTTGGAATTCCTGTTGGCAGAAGCAACTCAAACAAAAAGAGAGTCAAGGCCGGCAGCCTTTCCTGTCCAGCTCAGTCCGGGCCGGAGATGGGATTCGAACCTCGCACGACGAGATCTGCCAGGGGTGGGGGCGCAGGATTGCGATCGCGTGGTCAGACAGGCGCTCAAGTCGGGCTGCTGGGCTCCCCTTGGATTGATTGGGCCTTGTCGAGGCGCGAGCGACGGCTATCCCTCGTCTTATATACTCCTGTGAGTTGTGACAGATCGGATGGGGAACGAGAACCGCCCGGGGGCATGGTACGAGAGGATAAAAACAAAAAATGCGAATGGAGTAAACGCGGGACGCACAACAGACGAGAGAGAGCTTGCGCCCCAGAAAAAACCAAGAGATCCTCGCATGCACCAGGCTGGATCGTCTATTATGGACTAGGTTGAGGCCGTCTCCACTTGCTATTCAGGTCGGCAGTGTCCCTCGTGGGGATGCGACGGGATATGCCCTTTTCCTCTCCAGGGCAGCCCCCCCTGTTCAGGACCTCCGCAATGCTAAGTTCGGTCCAGTCCCAGGTTCTGGTTCGAGGTTCTGGCCGTTGGGAAGACAGGTGGGATTAGGGTGCGGAGTCTCCCACCACCCGTCGTTACTCGGTCAAGTGCTGCAGCAGCAGCAGCAGCTATTGCCACTACTGATGAACGATCCCGAGTAAGTGATGTCCTGCAGGTCACATGAAGTCATGTAGTGTATGTACTGCAGGTATGGTTTATGTATAACTCGCAAGCTTAACGTCGGCCCTGCAGGCTGACCGTTGGCCGTCGGCCACTGATGGGAGGAGCTCTGGGCCTTTGGGTTGGATCCCGGACTAGGATCTCGCATTGTTTGACCCACTCTCGTCGCTTGCTCTTTGCCTGCCCTTGATACACCGACGCCGAGCCCTTTTTCACTTTCAGATGCCAGAAAGGTGTGGTGATGTGCATGCGTCGTGACAATGCTGGGCGCCTTGGGGCGAAACTCTGTTGATGACTTTCTGGGATGTGACGCGCATCTTGGGGGGCGGGGCGCATTCGTCTGCGGTATACCGCCTGCGAGGGTGAAGGCACAGGCTGTCGTGTCGCTCAGGCGCTGGTTGCAAGTGGTCACCCTCGGGATGGGCCTGAGTAAGCTGAGCAGTGTGACCTGGCCCTGTGTTGAGTGCGTATCTGCGAGACAGACGCAGAGCAACCCTCTGATTCCCGTTAGACTTTCCGCCGCGGGAGACTGTGAGGCTCCATGGGAAGCCCTCGAGACTCATTGCCTTCTACGAGTTACAGGGTATCGACGGCCCAACTCTAACCTTCGGCAGTCCGGTACGAGGGGGAGGGGCCAGGAAGGGGTTGATGTGGTAGAGAAGGCAGGCAGGCGGATCCCTTGGTGAGAAATAGACCCGAAGCATAATAGATTTGGGGCCGACGACGCCGCGGGATTGGGTGCTGGCTGCCGTCTTGGACTTGCTTTTTCGCTGTATGTACACATGTGAAAGAGTCGGCGGCGGCTTCGGATAAGCCCTGCCTATTTGTGTACTGTACTCGCAGCCAAGGCCGATAATAACAAGTACCTAGGTAGTATGTACTCCTCGAAACAACTACATCTCAAACCATGGTACCGCTGAGACGGTGGCGGCCACTCAACGACCACCTGGGAAAAGCTGCGAACACACAGCAGGCCATCCGCGTACACAGGATCGTCGAAGATGCATCTTTCCGGTGGGCCATGGTTGACAAAACGGGTGGGTCTGCTGTTATTCAGTAGACTGCGGATCACCCAATGACGCGAGGCGAGGACAAGCCGCTGTGGAAAACTTCTAGAACACCACGAGCACAGAAAAAAAGAACCGGGGCTCGGGTTAGTGTGTCACGAATCGCCTTGCAGGGAGGTCAGCAGAGGGCCCCGCCCATGCCAGACTGAGCAGGGGTGCGGCGTGGTTCCAGGTTCAGCCAAACGGCAGATCTCTCTGTGAGATTGTGGGCGGGATTTCGAGCAGGGGAAGGACAAAAAGGTGGGCCACCGATTTACATTACGGTACCAACCCACCGCGCGAGCCAGCCAACCAGATCCCGAGGGACGGCAAAGAGCAGGTGAACCAGTGACAAGGGCATTTGCATATGCTGACATACCGCCCCGGCTGCTTCGGCGGGCGTGGGTTTCTGCACGGAGGGTGACGCTTTTGGGGCGGGCGGAAATTGAACCTGTGGCAGGATAATAGCCTGGACAGGTTTGAACCAAGTCCCTGGCGCCGGCGCATTATTTCTCTGTCGCCGTTGAGAGACCGAGCCTCTGAACCTGAGACGAACCTCCTTGCAGCCAAGCCAGAGGGAACTAACTTCTAGCGGATGCTGGAGCGGGAGCGTACGAAGGCGTTCAGGCGTGCACGGCTGAGCGGGCTGGCGGGATGACGCGTGTGGAGGGAAATTTGCCGGTACCCGGTCAAGCCACGCATTGTGGGAAGGCCGGAGGATGGCCGGTGAGACTTGTTTCTCAACCACCGCCCATCCAGCCCATCCAAGCGCACCCTCTACCAACCATGCACCTTCTGATCCAGTGTGGTGGGCGCCATTTCAGTTTCGGCCAATTCTGAATTTGGGCGGGGCCAGTGCTCCTTTAGCCTCGGATGAACAGAGCAGAGCATTCACCATGGCGTCGATGTGAGGGCGGAGTCGGAAATCGGGCAGCGGAAAGCCGGTCGCTGCTATGGCAGACAGCCTCGCCGTCGTGGGCAGACCATGGTAGGGATGGGGCCCGCTGGCGCTGTCACATGTCGTGATGGGGTGCTATGGTGTTGATACTACAGTACCGGCCCGGAGCCCCAGTCTGAAGCATCCTCCTGGTTTGGCTTGGGAAAAAGGCAACTTCCATGATGAGGTCGGCTCAATCACGCGCCTTCCACCACATGTTGGGCATCAGACAGAGACACCCTCGGACTGTCATGTCCAAGGTGCTGCCGCGCATCCAAACCCAAATTGCACAGCCTACAAACCCGACATCCGAGGACCCTTGGTCTGAGCCCAGAGAGACATCCCGAGACGGCGCCCCTTTACCGTGGTTCATGCGGGCGCATCACACCTGTCACGGCCGAAAATGGCCTCGCAGCGTTTCTTCCCCTCCCTCCAACAGGGGGGATCAGAAAGAAGCCAAGCTCTGTGACGGGCCGCGGCTGCCACCGGGCCTGAACCTTGAGCCCCTGGATGTCTGACCTCTTAGGCTGGCCCCATTGAAATAATTGATTGACTGGTGTGAAGAAGAGGCGTCGTCGTCAGCGCGAGCCTCCGCCCAGGTGACACGGGGCCGGGACGTGATCCGAGCTGGACGCCTCGCAAACTCAATCAGGGCAGTGAAAGCGTGAATTGGCTTTCGTGGTGCGCACTCGGACGCATGCGAGATAAGGGGCTTGACTCGGGTCTCCCACGAAACAACAGTCAAGGCCTCAATTCGGCCAGAGATGGACGACAATTGAGGTGAGCTGAGGTGAGCTGGGGCTGGGCCGGGCCGGGGTGGGCCGGGCTGGGGGTAGCTGGCGGGTTGGATTAATTGAGGCTGCTGGCCAACTGCTGCAGGCGATGCTTTGTCGGTGTCATGAGTGAGACACGGGAAGCGACTCAGACCAGACCAGACAGACAGATGGTGACACCACATGGCAGGCCAGGCAGCCCAGGTCGGGCATCATTAGGCGCGAAGGCGGTCGGCATGTCATGCTGGCGCTGATCCTCATCCCCAGCGCGTTCGCAGGGTGCGTTCGGAGGGTGACAGCAGATGATGATGGAGTATCGACGGCCAGAAAAAGTGCCCGTGCAACCGTGCTGCAGACCGGGCACGCGACTGCGGGTGCCTGGCATTACGGGCCCTGGCAGCCCCGGTCGAGAATGTCTGTGCCCTGATCTGCACAGCTGCCTGCACATGGCAAGCATGGCAGATGCAGAGAGAGAGAGAGGCTGAGAGCTGAGAGCTGAGAGGGTCGGGCGGTGGGACACAAACCACCCACACGAGAGAGCTTGGGGCATCTCACGGGATTGTCGATTATTGCGTACCCCGTCCTTGCTGTGACATGCCCACAATGAATGCCCACATGCCCTGCAACATTGCCGGGTCGCCAGGTCGCACACACCAGACCGCGTGGTCGCCATGTGGTCTTTTTGGTCTTTTCTGGCCCATCCCGGCGGGTGGGTTTTTGCGTTGTAATTACCATCACGGAGACTAATATCATCCCACCGCCTGTCGTCGCCGTCGCCATCGCCATCGCCGTGTTCATCCAGGCTGGTACTAGAAGGAAGAGTGACAAATCGTTCGAGAGGCACGTGCCCCCAAGCGCACCGAGGATCAACGATGCTGGGCGCTTCCGGGGAGCACGAATCGGGCAATGATTGGCGGTGTCGAGGTGTTTGGAATCATTATTGACTTCTTACTACCAGGCAATAGTGGTGCAGGGCAATGCACAAAATGTGAGAGGGCGCAATGCAAGGCCCAAGGCCCAAAGCCCAAACCTTACGGTCCAACTGATAAGGCTGACAAGTTGTAGTCGGGGTCGGGGAATCTTGCACTGACCGCCCACAAGAGAGGCAGGCACCTTCCTTCCACACAGCAGCTTCCTCCTGCTCGACGTCACATCCGGCACAGGCAAGCGACAACCTGGGGAAGTGCATGCAGGTGCCCAGGCTGCCAGGCTGGCATGTAGCTGGTCCCCCAGGTGTGGCAGTCGACGCCTAGGCTGCCAACGCCCCCGGCAATCACGTCCCTCCACATCGCTACCGGGTCTATGCCCATTTGCATCTCCGTGTTCGGCGTGCTCGACACGAACGCCCCTGCGGCCGCGAGGGTAGCGACGTCCTCGGCCGCCAGCCCCGGCGCGTGGCTGAGCAGCACGTCTGGCCCCAATAGGCCCGCAGCACCCAGGATCGAAACCGCCGGGGGCCGCCCGCCGAACGCTGGCCCACCCGGCGCATGCGTCGTTATCAGCTGTGTTCGGCTCGCCCCGCCGCCGCCGACGCCGCCGCGTAGCCATCCGTAGAGGGACTGCAGGTCGGCCTGGGGCATGTACATGTTGTCCTGCGACCAGCCGAGGACCACACGGCCGTTGCCGTCAGGCGAGGACCGGGATGGCAGGTCCTCAAAGGCTTGAAGCGCCTCTGGTGAGGGGTAGGGCTCCTCCTCCAGTTTAAGCGGGCTGAAGGAGGATACGCGCCGCTCCGGTGAGTAGCAATAGATGGCCCGCAGGCCCGAGGTGTTGAGGGCCTGGATCGCAGTTTTGGCTATGTGATGGGGGTCAGTACTTTCTGCTTTCCCCCTCACACGCGAAGACGAGAGCAGTGGCTGAGGAATTCAGTCTCACGGTAGTCAGGCCCAAGGTTGAGGTGGGAGTGGTCGACGACGGTGGTGGTGCCAGCGTCGACAGACTCCATCGCGCCGGCGAGCTGGCCCCAGAAGAGATCGGCCGGCGAGTAGAAGGCGCCCGAGTAGCAGCCCGCCGGCATGTACTCGACCAGCGTGTGGTCGGCGTGCCGGCCCTTGAGCTGCGACTGCCACAGGTGCGCGTGCGTCGAGACGAAGCCCGGGGAGACGATCTTGTCCGCGCAGTCGATCACCTTGGCACCGGACGCGGGAGTCTGGATGTCGCTGTCGATCCGCGCGATCCTGTCGCCCTCGATGAGGAGGTCTGCCCTCGTCGGCACGACACGGTCGTCGTCGTCGTGGACCAGGAGGGTGCCGCCCTTCAGGAGGATGGGTTGGGATGCCATGGTCGCCACAGTTCCTGGCGCGATCGGTGTGGTAACTTTATAGTTTCATATGCTGTGGTGTATTACTAGCACACGACCACCCAAGATCACAGGCTCGAGAGACATTGTCCCGCTGTGGCTACCGCCGATTCTTTATATTCACCCGTTACTCTGGGCCCCCTCAGGCTGGCTGCAGGTGACAGGAACGGGGTCGCTCCCGCGGCGTTACAATGTAGGAGCCGAATGGAGTTTGGGTATTACCTAGATCTGTTGTGCAAACCAAACCAACAGCAGACATGTCCGCTCCCCACGTTCCCCGCGACGGACTATGGGCCGCAGATAGGAGCTGCCAATATCCTCCTAGTGTAGGATGTCGGTAGTTATCTCATGCGGGCTCGGACATATCGGATTTCGGCGGCCTTTAGTCCACCTCAACTGGGGATACAGCTCACTAGGTACACTAAAGCTCGCCAGGGGAACAAATTTCGAGTGAGGAGGATTTGGCACACCCTAATAGAAAGGCCGGCAGGGCGAAGGGGGCAAGCCCTAAGGCGCAGCAAAAGGCTGCAAGTAGGGCCAGTAGGCAAAATACGAGCCCGAAGGACCAACCTGCCTCCTTCATTTTCCTTGAAAATTCGTGAAGATGTGGTGTTGACCAGGTAGAGTATGCCAGACTACCAGTGGGTGTACCAGACCTGGGTGTGCCAGTCAACAAGTCCTCTCTCGAATTTGTACCCCTAGCCAGTTTTTGTACCCCTGGCGAGCTTTAGTCTACCCCTAGTGAGTATATTGCCCCCTCCATGGGCAGACCATACAATACTGTAGGGTTTAAATCAAATCAAACAAGGGCCAGCTGCAGGCAGAAAGAGGTCTGCGCAGACACACGTACCGCAGCATTAGCGAGCGCTCGCCTCACGGGGAAATAAATCCCCATGTCAGCTGGTCAGCCAAGACCAAGGCCTAAGAGCCCAACCCGACGAGCCGAAGTCTACTTACAAATCACGCATGCCACTAGCCTCTCCACCATAGGAGCGAAGTCACGAACCCAAAGGCATTATTGCCGATCCTGGAATGCGAGATCTGGGTTCTGTATGTAGATGATGAAGGAGGGGGGGGACAAGAGAGGTTATTGTCCACGTATGTAGGTTAAGATGTATCAACGCTGCTGTCCCGTCCATGGGGGACACATAGTTTCGGTGAGTGAGTGGGTGAGTGCTGTATTGTCACGGTAGACAGACAAGCGTTTCGTGGAATTCACGTAGATCGCACTGCATGCCACGCCCATAGCGAAGACAGTATTCCATTTCCTTCAGAGTGTAATCAAACTTATGTGTATGCATTGTGCACGTGGTATATGAGGCTCGCCACCATCGCTTTGAAGAAAAACCAAGGGAATATGCTACTCTCCCTCCCCATTCCCCCGTCTCCGTTCCCGTAGTATCACGGGAGGAGAGAAGGGGGAAAAAAGACAATGCAATGCTGTATGATGGGTCCGGAACACGAGGTACAAGAAGGGGGCAAATAAGGACTACAAAATGCTATGCTGTGACAACCACCCCCGCCCCCAAACATTGGTCTCCTTAAGAGACAGATGCTTTGTTGAGTATGCTCAAGACGTGAGATAATCCAGGGGGCCAAAACAAAAATAATTCTGTCGACGCCTCCTGCCCAACCCCTAAATGCAATATCTCATGACATGGCCGGGTCCTCGGCGGGTCGGAGGTCCCGCGATGACCTCTTCCTCTTGTACCCGCCTCTGTGGTCGCCATTCCAGGAGACGCTTCTCCGCGGGCCCGGGAAGTCATGCGGTATGGGTATCAAGAAAGAACCACTCGCCTGCCTGCTGCTATTATTATTCCCTCCGTCACGGGGGCCACCCCGGGCATGGCTGCTACCGCCGCTGACGTCGTCAGAAGACCGCCTGGTGCCGAGCCGCCGGGCCCCAAGCCCCTAAGCCGGGTGGCCCCGGTGCTGTTCGACAAAAGGGTCAAACTCCTGCCTCTTGCGTGCCGGCTGTCCGGTATCGCTCTCCTCGCCCCCGGCGTCCCGGGGCCCGTTGATCCGCGGTGGCGGGGTCGTATGCTGGGCCGCTGCTGCAGAGGTGGTGGGAGACACGGTCGTCCCGTACTTGTCCTCCCAGAGCCTGCGCATGACCTCGTAGATGAACAGAAACTGCGGCTCAGCCTGCACCATGCTGCGCCGCTGTTCGCGCAGCTGGTTTACCACGTGGAAAATGAGATCATCGCCCTCTACCTCTGTGGCGGCCGCGGGCTGGTCTTCGACGTCCATCTTTCCGTCCGAATCATCGTCGCTTTGAGGGTGGCCACTTTGATCTTCGCCATCCGTGGTGGCAGATTTGCCCTCATCCGTCCTTCCATGTCGAAAGTGTGAGGGTGAGTCCCAGTTCTCCAGCACGCCGGCGTCCAACTCGCGCATCAGGTGCTCCAACGCGATGAACGTCCCGCTGCGCCCGACGCCCGCGCTGCAGTGCACAATTCGGGGGTTCTCGGGGCTGGCGTTCTTCTCTCGCGACAGGCGCATCAGCGTGAAGAAGCTGTCGAGGTCCTCGTAGGCTGGGACACCAAAGTCGGGCCAGTTCTTGTAGAGGAAGTGCCAAACGATGCGCTCTTCGTACTCCGCCGGCAAATCTTTCTGGTGCGTGGAATTTGTTGATTCCCCGAGCTCGGTGTTGACGCTCTTACCATCACTGCCATCTACTCCGGACAGGTCTTCATGGCCCGGGCTGGTTTTGAGAGGTGACAGCATCTTCACGTCACCGTTGTCGTCGACTGCATTAACTGGTGTTGTCAGGTGGTCCCTGTCGCCCTCGGTGCGCGATTTTGCAACTTTGGCTGGGCTCTTGTATGATCGTATCACCAGCTTTCGTAGCTCAATAGCGTCCCCGGCCTCGGTCTCCTCGATTGCTTCGCAATGTACACTTGCCCTGAACGCGTCACCGAATTCATCCCTCTCGTTTATCTCCAGGGGTGCGTCGCCAGGGCTACGCGGAAAGTAAGGATAGCACTTTTCCATATTGGCTTCATGCGTCTCTGTCAACATGACAATCACGGCGGGGCTCTCTAGTTGCTCAACCACCATGCGCCACACGTGGTCCGTGGTGTTCCGCTTGGGCCCTTGCATGGCGATGTATCGATCTGACGCACCGCCCGCAAGATCCGACAGCCCCAGTATTGTAGAGTCCTTACCATCTTTGGTCTGCGCCTTGGGCCGAGAAGGCTGTGGGGTGGTGGCGCTCAGGGAGATCGGCGACGCATTGACGTAATCCACCTTGCCTGAGGGAACGCGCAGCCTGACGCGGTTGTTCTCCCAGGGCTGGATGTTCATGTACCTGTCCAACTTCTTCAGATGATCGCCAGTCACGCGCGCCCACTTGAATTCTGGAGAGGGGTTGGTGAGGCTTTGCATGATGCGATTGCGCTCCATCCACACGATCTCCTGAAACTTTGCGACAATGTCCTGCGGCGGCAGGGCGAGGAAGGAGGGCATCCTGGGGGGCTGTCCCCCGGCGGAGGCGCCGTTCATGTCTTGTGGTCTGTGGTTCGAGTCACCACTGCCTCCCCGGACGGTGGGCGAGGTCGTCGGGGTGTCGTCGAGCCCATCGAAAGTATAGGTGGCGCCGATGGGCGAACGGGGGAGGGAGCCGGTAGCGGGAGACCGTGCGCGCTTGTGGGAGCGGCTGAAGTCGCGCAGCGAACGGAAGGGCGATGCCTTCTTGTCTTTGTTGGAGAGGTGCGGGACCTGGAGGGGAGAGTGCGCCGAGACGGGCTCGGGGGTAGTCTTGCCGGAGCTGTGTGTGCCGTCAGTTATTATGGTAGGTCGCGAAGGCGAAGCCTTTCTGCTCTTCCGGTGGAAGCCGGACCGCAAGCGGTCCATTGTGAAGTCTGGCCGGCGATGTGACTCTGTCAAGGTTGTGATGAGTGGCGTCCTTGGGTCTGAGCGGCGGCCGCTGGTGGGTAGGACGGGGTGGGATGCGACTGCCGACGATGACGCTGCCGGGAGGGACAGGGGAGTTGCGATCCAAGACACAGGTCGAGAAGAGCGCTTGCGGGCCTGCAAGGAAAGACTGAGTCGCAGGAGTGTGCGCGAGAAGTAGCCGTCGGGAGGCCGGAGGCCAGCAATGTGTGGGCAATTTGTAAGTGAGAATGTGGGCGCCACCGGGGGCGAGTGTTCCGGCGCAGACTGGGGTGGACTCGGCGCGAAGGAGGGCACAACAAAGGAATGGACGTGTTAAGAAGCAGAGCTCGAGCTGCAGGGTCGCGCAGCATGCAGGAACAAAGCAGAGGCTCTCGAGCTCGGCCGGTCGGTCGGTCGGTAGGGGGATTTCGTGGGAGCACGGAGCACTACAAATAGTGCGAAGGGACGATCCGTGACGAGGCCGAGGTCGAGACCAACAACGGTGAGGTGGTGACAAAGCGATTGACTAGGCGGGAGGGTGCAGTCGAGCACGTGCGGCGTGCGGCGTGCGGTGCGAGTGCGAATCCCCGGTCCAAAAAGAGAGAGGGAGGGGGGGGGGAGAGTTGTTGGTTGAGCCAAGAGAGACCACGGGCGAGGCTGAGGAGCAGAGGAGACAAATCCGTTGTCGTGCCTCGTCGTTTCGTCGTTTCGTCTTGTCTCGTCTCGGGCAGGCTGGCTAAGTGGCCGACATTGTCGCAGATTCGCAGATGAGGTGTGGCCGTCGTGATTGGTGACCCGAGGGAAGTCGTGCGGCTAGTCTACTCTGATGTTGGCCACCGAGGGAGCTTGCTCTGGTACAGCTGGTACAGTCTGGCCGTCTCGCCGCCTTGCCGCCTCGGCTCTCGACGCCCTACTGTCGACTGTCGGCTGTCGACTCCTCGCCCGGGTACAAGGTTCTGTCCGTGGTCGGAAAGGGCCCGGCGCCGAACACGACCTGGTGTGTCAGACAGAAATGGGCGAGTTCTTGATGTGTAAAAGGCCAGGTCAGGCCTTGTCGGAGCCTGGGCCAGAAAGGGTCTTGTTGCAAGGTCAAGCCCGTGGTGGCGGCGGAAAAGGAATCGCGACGTGCCTGGCTTCTGTTGCTACCTCAACTTAATTTTCTCAAAAGCCTGGGGTAATCATGTACAAGTAGAGCTGCTGTAGCCTGTGGCCTGTAGCTACACCAGACCACCTGCCGTCCTGGGCAGGTACCTAGGTACCGAGGTACTGAGGTACTGTGTAGCTCTCCTGCAGGGCTCAGGGCTTGGGGTACCCTAGCCGTGGTCACACCCGCCCGCCTGTCCGCCTGCCCGCCTGTCAGCCTGTCCGCCCAGCCAGAAATGACCTGCAGCCCGCCCGCCCTGCCGCCCAGCCCAGGGGAGCTTCCAGCGGCCACAGGTGTGACGTTGTCTGTGGGCCGCCGATCGACAACTGGGCAGCGAGTGGGTTTGAGAGTTGCTAAAATAAGCCTAGGACGGCCCCACATCTCGACAACTCATTTGCAGGGTCAGCCCGCAGATTGCAGGGGACACGCCGACTGTATGTTGTCAGTCACTAGTAGGTAAGTAGGTATGGAGTCTATGGACGTGTACTAAGTATGCAATAGTTGTCGGGTGTTTTTTTTCCTTCATTCTTTTTTTCCAATCAAATCTCACAGACTCGCTAATAGGAGGATACCACCCTCATCCGATGGAGACGGATGAACACCAATAGTTCCTATCAGCTGGCTGGGGTCGGCTGATCACCTGGCCCATCTGCCCGGTGGCAAGGTGTGTTCATGGGATGCTACACTGCGATGCCCTCCCCTCGTCGGGTTCCGGCAGCCTGGGATGACACCTGACTGCACCGGCACCTGCACCTGCACCTACGTGCGGCTGTTCTTACTGCATGGGCCCCGGGGACGGAAACTATCGTCTACTATACTCTATTTGTAGACATACACCAATAAACACTCGTGTTTCTATGTGCTACCGCTAATGAATACGGGTGTTTACTTAGACTATAGTACACTAGATCCGTGACAGAACTCTCATGACTCTCCCACCGCCGACCCACCTCCCAAGAGCCCGTCAGTCCCGTCTGTTGATGCCAGCTCCCAACCTCTTCCCCAACACCGGACCAATCCACGAATACTAGCAGCAGCCAGCCTGGAACATCCTGTCTTGTAACCCCAGATCTGAGACGACACACATATGCTTTCGGCCAGTGTCCGAGTCAAAGGATCTCCGCAGGGATCTTGCCCTCTACTGCATTACACCCACCCCCCTTTTTTTGCCGCCCAGCCAACTGTGCTGCGTTACCATGCTCTCGGATACGATCCATTGTTCTTTTCCCTATTCGATACTTTCATCTCGGATTCAAATCGGCTGTGAGAGGAGAGCTATGCTGCTTCTTGCTGTACTCATATACACGGGACATTAGGCGGTACAGTAGTAGAAATGGCCTATCCAACCATGTCTGGCCTGAGATTCCTGTTTCATCCCGCCCGTCACACTGCCCCTCCCTCCCCTTTCTCCCCTTTCTCATGGAACGCCAATACCCGACGGTTGCTCATCACAAATGCGACAACGCCTTGGACTCTGTCCAAATTCCGGGGAGCCCGGCACCTGGCACTTTTCGTGCGTGAGACAGGTGATTCACACAGTCGCACTCAACAACCCCCCCCCCTTCCCCAAATTCATCGAGCCCCACTAGGCTGTCATGTCCCAGAGTAAACGGCCGTAACATACCGCCCACACTCCACCCTCTGCTCCATGCTCACCTTTCTGCCCTTGCCATCCTTGCCCAGCCGCGCCGTCTGCCGCGGGGTGATCTGGAATCGGTGCTCCTCCCCCTTCCTGCCAGCCCTGGCGTCCCCGGCCCCACCGTCCAGCGGGCCAATGTATATCGGGGCGTTCGAGTTGCTCCTCTTGCCGTTGCCGAGCTGGTAGAACTCGTTGCCGCCCCACCACACGATGTCTGCACCCCAGTTTGTGTCGTTCTCCCCCGACTTGCCTGTCGCATTTGTATACGTCACGTTGTCCATCACTGCTGCCGTGTGTGTGCTTCCGACAGAGAGGCGCGCAAGTCGGATGGGCACTACCTGGTTCGCCTTCTCGTCCCACTCAAAGAGCCCCGAGAGGGCTTTGATCTTGCTGGGGCCGTTCGATATGTGCGTCCACGCCCCCGTGCCGAGACTGCCTTTGATGCCCTCACCCGTCGCCCACGTGTCCGCAACTACCTTGCCCAGGTCTCGTGCCGGTGCGACGTTGTCCGACGGGGGTGTCTGAGACGCAATCTTTGTGGCATCCACGGTGAAGTACGAGTTGGAACCACCAGCCGCGATAGAAGTGACCTTGGGCAGGAGCCCGGTCGCCTTGTAGAGCTTGTTGAATGGCAGCAAGGAGGGGATGTCGATGGCGGGGACCTCAGCATCTGGGGGGAACCCAAGCTGCCCCACCGAGTTATCACCAAAGGCGAATACCCTGCCCTCATCGTCAAGTACCAATGAGTGGTGGTCCCCGGTTGCGATCTTCTTGGCCTTGAAACCCTTGAGCGTACCAAGCTCGTGGGGCTGGTCGTAAGGGCCCTGCGGCCTTGATGCCCATGTGAGACCGGGAATGCCGAGCTGGCCGCGCGACGGGAAGCTTTCCGAGCTCGATGCAGCGGAGAACACGCGCCCTTTGGAGGTCAGGAGCAGTGCGTGTTCCCGTCCGCTGCTGATATCGACGATCTTCTCGCCCCAGCCCAGGTCCTTGGGCTTGATCTCTCTGTAATTGATCGCCGCCGTAGGATTTGACCAGAACGACAACCACGACGAACCATCGCCCTCCTTGCCCCCGGAAAATTGGTCTGACCTGGCCACGGGGATTGAGTAGACGGACCCGCCAGTAGACAGTGCCAGAATGCGATCCCTCGAGATGGCCAGCTTCGAGATATCCTTGCCCTTGAGGGTGACAGCTGGCCTGGGATCCTCTGGGAGGTAGCCGGTTCCCCACTGCACAAGATCACCCTTCTCCGTCACAGCAGCACCGAAGTCCTGGTCGAGCTTCACGTCCCGGAGCAGCTGGCCGTCAAAGTAGGGGATCCTCCGGGGCGTCTTGACGACGGTCTCCTTGGACTCCGGGGCGACGACCTTGCCGATATTGGAGCCCCAGGCGTAGACGCCCGGGTTCTCCCAGCTCTTGCGCACCTGTATGTGCTGGGAGGAGATCAGGTCCCGGTTCTCCTCCTTGTTCCTGGGGGCCTTGCGCTTCTTCTCGAACTCGATCTCGGCCTGTGGAATCCCGGCGACGGCATTGTCGCCAAAGAAGAGCGGGTAGGCCCACGCTGCGCTGGCAACCGCCAGGCCGGCAACCGCGACAAGACCAAATATCCTCCTGCCGCCGCGGTACCGCGGTGGTGGACCCGCGCGGGAGCTCCTGTGGCGGACTGACGATCGTGCGGGGCCTCGCTGCAGTGAGCGTGTGAGGTTGAGGGCCAGCGATGGGTGTTGCCGCAGGACGGCCCTTGACGTGAGATGAGACATGTTCACAGCACCGAGCGTGGTTGGTTCTGTTGGATGCGCGTCAATATCGGTCTCAGTCCTAAGGGACCGTTCTAAGGGTCTTTTTGGGCAGCGCTGGTGCTCGAGAGTGGTGAGGTCATCCGCCCGCGGGCCATTGAAACTTAGTAAAGCTCGAGCTTTGAGTGGAAGAGCAGTACTGGGCCTACGGAGTAGTCTAGGTCTACGGAGTACAGTGCAGCTGCCCAGATCCCTGCCCCTGTCAGCAAGTGCCTGCTGCAAGCTGCAAGCCCAACACAGCAGTGCAGCCCCACACCAGCTTGTCCCCGCTAGGGCCGGGTCCTTGCGCAGAGCCCCACGCAGCTGCCACGCCGACGTGCGGTTGGGCTGGGCTGGCTGGCTGGGTGTGTGCAATCTGGCAGCACGTTCCGCGACTGACTGTCGCGACAGGGCTGAAGCTCGGGAGCTTCCAATTAGGACCTACACTAGAAGCCCAGCAAAACACCTGGCGCCTTCCCACTAACATTGAACCCTCCTCCCTCTTTGTCGACTGCCCGGCCCAATCGCAAGCTCCACGGCGCTGCTGCCGTCCCCGGCCATCGAAAATGTACGAGGACTCGTGGTACAACTCCATATTGGACTTCCAACAGCCACAGGCACAGCAGCACAAAAGGGTCCCGTCTCAAACCTACGCCCATCGACGCAGGAGCAGCACCCTGCTGCAGCAACCGAACGGGACGAACACGACCAACGGGGGCGTCGAAGACCTCGAGGAGCTGCTGGAAGAGGATGATGAAGAATCCCCTCCCGAGGCAGACCTCTCACGGCGTGCCCAGTCCTTCTCCGATTTCCACGCCATCGTGCGCGCGGGGCTCAAGGAAACCCCTCCACAGAAGAGGAGAAGGCGAAGGACGGGAAGAAAGGAGCACAAGAATCTGGATGCATTGGCGTTGCCCGGTATCGAAAAGGTCATAGACGAGGACGACGATATCCTGCTGGACGCATACCAAGATGAGCTGCTGGATGCCGGCCAGCACGAGTATACGGTGTACGGGGAGCAGCTGGCGATGACGGAGAGGCACCTCGACACATTGATACAAGATACGAACAGCGCCCTGGAGCTGCTGGCCTCCCTGTCGGAATCCTTCCGCGGTGTGGAGGAGCAGACATCATCCTTCCAGGCCCAGTGCGAGGACTTGCTGTCAGAGCAGCGGCGTCTGCAGAAGCTAGCCGACGAGGTTGGGACCGACCTGCATTACTATGCCTACATTGACAGCGTCAGCCGGCGGCTGAACGCTCCTGGGGCCGGCCGCTTGGTGGAGGATGAGTCGTTCGGGGAGGTGCTGGAGAACCTGGACGCTTGCATCGCTTTCATGGAAAAGCACCCTTCATACCGAGACTCCGAGTCCTACCTGGCTCGGTACCAGTCTCTACTGACCAAGGCTCTGCATTTGCTAGAAGTTGGACTCGAAGCCCGGCTGGAGAGGGTGTCCTCCGACATATCCAGGCAGATCGCAGCGACGCAATCCGAATCAGCACGGCACGCTCTCGCCTACGGTCGTTTCGAGGAGATGATGCTCGAGGACACGTATTTCCTCATTCCAAATGTGCAGAAGGTGGTGCATCAAGCATACGACCCGGATGGAAACGCCCTCTCTGGTACCAACTCGGAGATCTACTCCAACACCGCCAACAACATCTTCCAGGCCTATATTGCAGCCCGCGACCGCGACCTCAGGCCCATCATCCAGCATGACCTGGACACCTTCAAAAGGGAGTCCAAAGATGCCTCCGTCGAGACAGCATCGAGGAACTTCGTCAAGCAAAGCTTCGAGAGGTCTTACAACGAAGCAATGCTGTTCGCAAAGATCTTTGCCGTCGAGCCACACTACAGCACGGATCCCACGTCTGCCTTTGTCACGCTCAAGTCACACCAGAGGGTCATGGTCAACGCGACCAACGTTGTTCCCATCGCGAACAGCTTGCAATCGGCACTACAGTCAGCGGAACTTCAGACCATCTGCAACATACTCGGGTGGATCACCAATGAGTATCTTGTCTCGGACTACGACGAGGAGGAGTCTGCCTTTTCGAGACATTGCCAGGAACTGGCGGCGCGCTTACTAGCGGAACACCTGTGGTTGTTCACAGATGCTGCCTTTGAGGCGGAGATCGGCAAGTCTATATCCAAGGTGGCCGTTTTGCCTGATGCGCTAAAAATCGGCCCGGTGGTCGACGGGGTCGCCTCGTCAAACGCATATCCCCCAGTCAAGCGAGCTCTCGAGCTGTTGGTCATGTTCGATCAGTCTATGCCGAAGGAGCGATGTGTAAGTTGCCCCCTTCCCACAGGCCACCATCCAATCCCTGACAGCACAACAGCAACGCAATAGCCCAGTGGTCTTCAAGATCGTGAAAGAAACGATCCAGGTCCTGCAACGCGCCGAGGCTCGCATAAAGACCACCAAGGGCGGCACGGACCCAGACCTCTTCATGATCAAGAACCTCCTGATCCTCAAGAACGAGCTCGTCTCGCTCGAGATAGGCGACGTGCGCAACCAGGACCCGGGGATGCAGTACTTCTCCCAGATCTGGAACAACATCACGCCGCAGAACCTCGTCGGGTACGTGAGCAGCTTCATCCCCGGGGCGGCGTCGTTCCTGTCGTCCCGGCTGGGCGGCGGCGCGGCGGCGGCCATCGCGCAGGCATCGTCGTCGTCACTGTCGACCGGCGGCGGCGCCCCGGCGGACAGCGGGGACGCGAGCGAGCAGCTGGACGACCTGCTGCGGCGGGCCATCGGCGCCTTCACGCACCGCTGGGCGGTCCTGCTCGACGACTCGCGCGCCAAGAAGACGGGCGGCAAGAACCTGGCCAAGGTTGAGAGGGACCTCGGGGAGATGCTGCAGACGGCGTTCAGCAACCAGCCCGAGGTTGTTGGGAAGCTGAACGAGGCTATCCAGCTGCACGTGCAGTCGTTCAAGAAATAGGGCGCTATAGTTGGGCAAGATAATCTAGGTAGCATATGACGTCGACGATGGAATGTGAAGCATGTGATCTTAAAGCGGCCCGTATACTGCCCAATCTGTCCTGATCACTCTTGCCGTGTCTGCTGAGCTGGACCCTCCTTGCTCCCGACTGCAATCCCAAGCAGCTGTCGGACTTGAATGTATTGGCACGATGTCGTCCCTTGATTCCCCTACTAGGGAGGATTGGTCTCTTACTGTGGTGGGTGTTGTATTCTCTCTGAACTGTCATTGGCACTGTTTTTCTTAGCTGTGGAACTGCCCTCATTTATTCTTCTAATGGTGGCATGATTCCCCCCCTAAAGCGACCGCCGCCTACTACAATATTGTCATTAGCCTTATAATCTTTACGGACAATCTAACACCTCTTACAGTACTACCCCTATTAAACATCTTACTTTATATACTTTTAGGACCCCTCTCACTGAATTCATAAATGTAAAATTTCGCTCAGCGCTTTAAAACACAAGAAATGGTCAAGTCTCGTGTGAAGGGAAGGAATGTAGTCCCTAATGACGCTCCTTCAATGCGAAATCAAGCAGGCAAGGCAGGGCACAAGGCACCTGCATGTATCTAGGTAATCAGGTGATATGGCGAAGCCACCTTGTCGGGAGAGGCTGCATGCCGATTGTGACCAATCTTGAGGTGATTCCGGATTGAATCTTTTGGAGTGGCTGAGGGTATTCAAATGTCAAATCGACATCAATTGATCGAGAGTTGACCCAGATCAGGCAGTGCAAGACGACACAGCCCCACAGACCGCAGATGTGGCATGCATGCATGCGCAAATGGCGGCCTCACCGAGCCCTGCTTATGAACTGCGCCATCGGTTTGCTTTCCAGCTTCTAAGTCACAAGAAGTCCAGTCTGACCGGGAACCCATCGCGGAGCATGATAAATGTATGGCCATTGGACTCCGTTGCTCAGCTTGTGCCGTACAACATCCCACACTTGACAACTCCTCAGCACCTTGTTTACATTCTTAAATCCTGTCCGCGCCATGTCTGGCCATCCCCCCAATGGATCCCGGCAAACTCCGAGAAGGGGTCAGCAACGCAGCGAGAGTCCCAAAAAGCCAGCAAAACGAGAGAAGCATACTGGCGAACGACCCCTTGCCACTTCACCTGCGGGTGAGAACACCAAACAAGTGGCCAAAAGCACGGAGTCTAAAAAGATGGGTCGACCAGTCTCTCAAACACGTGCTGTTGCCCAACATATGCCACCCGAACAACCTGGTAAGGGACACAGGGTCGAGGACAAGAGCAAGCGCAACATGTCCCCAAAAGGGTCAAAGACCAAGCACGGTCGCGCGCACAGCGGGACACGCGATCACGGACTGGAACAGTCAAGAGGACTCCGCAAATGTAAGCCTTCTCCGAGTCGAGAGTCTCTCCGGAACTGCGAGAAGAATCATCGCTGGCAGCCAAGGGACGTGGCCATACCCCACCACAGTAAGAGGGAGTCCCCCGTCGAGGGCCGCAAGGGCAGACCGCCCACCCCAGCAGCAACGGGAGAGCAGATAGATGAGCCCCGCGGCAGGAGCCCCATACGAGGTGAACCAGGCCCAAGTCATGATAGAAACAGCCGCAGGACGCCGTCACGATCAGCCGTGAGTGCGGTCCAAAGATTTATAGGCAGGGAATCCAAGAGGCACGAGTCAAGAGAAAGGGTTGTCTGCAAAAACTCATCATCGATCCTTTTCTGGGCGGATAAGAGCAAGTTTGCAGAAGCGCAAATCAGACTGGACTGTGTCAGGGCCGGCAGTCACGACAAAGGGCGAGTTATCTATCTCCGAGTGTCCGTTACAATCAGCAGGGGCAAGATCGGTAACATCAAGATGCTGTTGATCGGCCTTCAACTACGGTGTCCCGATTGCAAAAAGCCGTGGGGAGTAGTCAGGTACAGTCCTAAGAAGCTCCTGGGTCGTGGTACTCCCGTGGACTGCAAAAACACGCAGGCCGGCAAATACGGTGGGCAGGCTGGTTTCCATGCTTTGGGGGTGAAAGCCATGGGAGAGTTTGAGAACACGAACACGAAAGAAGAGCAGCGCCCCCTCATAGACCGCTACACATTGGTAGTGACGGAGGCAAATAATATCCTCACTTCGCGCCTCGCAAGGGAGTTTGAAAACGGCAAGGCCAGCCCTCCGTCCCGCTTCAAGCTCCAGATCATCGCTGAGCCGCCTTGCGACTCAGGCGCAATGGACATCACGGCTGACCTGGATCTCAACGATTCACGCGGCGACGGCAGCTGGAGACCGGTGTCGCTGAAAAATCTCCCCCAAAGCGGCCACGATTATGGCAAATTCAAGAAGGAGGACTGGAAAAAGAGGGATTCTAACGATCTTTCCGGCACCAGGTAAGTTGCTCTGCCAGTTCACCTTGGTACTCATCTCATACCCACCAAACTGATTTGCCGAAAGAGAAAACATGTGGTGAGAGTACCGCCTCCATCCTGAGTTGGCATTCATTAGGGGTGAGTGGATCCCGAGGTCACCATGGCTCGTTCCAGAGTGTTGTTTCACGGTGTGCCTCCACAAGTTCTCAAGCCGCCGGTCTCATTCTCTTCCTCAAACATTTCCCTCTCCGAGTACTAATTTTTCGGTAGCCCCAATAATTTTTTTCTGTCTTTTCTTGATGGCTCAAGTTAGTGGGGAAGCCTTCGCAGAGCCCGATCGCCTATACAGAATCGTTCTGTTTGTGGGACTTCAGTACCTAACTGGCTACCCGGAGTTCTCTTCAAACACTTTCTTTTTTTCTTCCACATTTACCACTGTGCATTTTCGTAAGCTTCTAAGGATATATTCAATGTCTGGGTCACAGCATGATGAGTGGTTTCGTTTCTAATACCCATACATATAAAACATATGTGGCGCCTTAATACAGTGGTAAACGCTCAAGAGCCAGCTTTTATTTTCCTAAGTATTTGAGTGTTGGCTTAGTAGTGATGATCATCCATGAGACTGAGGCATTTCTTCCCCACCTGAGAGCGGTTTTGTTTCTGATCCTTATGTGACCAATATGTCCGGATAAGTAAACGATATTTTATCCTTCACCAATATCAGATTTTTTTGGCTGAAGAACTAGCTGAGAGCGGCGCAATTGAACCTTGGGAAAACCAGACTTAACATTACAGGGGCCCCACAGAACTATTCGAATACAGTATGTGTTGGATAGGTGCGAGATAGGGTCTTGAATTTGTTACAAATTATACGTTTGAAATACTCCAGTTGAATGTTCTGAGAAGAGTACGCAGCAATAACATTAATGTGTGCGTCTAGGGCGGCATGATCAGATAGGGAGAGGCCGTGTACTCCCCACCCCATTTATGAGCCTACGAGCCTCTGGTCTCTTTTCTGTTCTTGCGTCCAGTCCAGGGTTTACCGCTGCTATGACTAACCCCGCATGTACCTGCCTAGGTAGGCGTTTACTTACTCTCCTGGGCACTCATAATAAACGCCCATCCGATCTATTCCCCCCGGATCACAGAATCAGCCTCCTTGGCTTTAACTTTCTCTAACTACATCCATACACCAACAACCCCCGAAGAAAATCCTACACTACCCACTGTTAACACTATTAGCCCTGCTGAGATGTCGTACAAGCACCTCTCCCCGCTCGCCACCCGTCTCCGTGCCCTACACATCCCCTCCCGGCCCTTACTCCTGACCAACGTCCACGACGGTGCCACTGCCTCGCTCGCCCTCTCCCACCCCTCCACGACCGCAATAGCCACCGCATCCTACGCCATCGCCCTCGCCCAAGGAACCACCGACGCCGCCCTCACGCAGGCCGAGAACCTGGCCGGGATCCGCGCCGTGACGCGTGTCGTCGCCCGCGAGCGCCCGGACGTGCCCGTGACGGCTGACGTGCAGGACGGCTACGCCTCTGTCTCTGAGACCATCAGGCAGGTGCTGGATCTCGGGGTCGTGGGGGTGAACCTCGAGGACGTGAGCAGCGAGACGGGGGAGTTGTACCCGGAGGAGGAGGCGGCGGCGAGGGTGGCGGAGGCCGTCAGGACGGCGGCGGAGGCAGGGGTGGACGACTTTGTGGTGAATGCGCGGACGGATGTGTTGGGGTTTGGAGGACGAGTCGAAGACGCAGTGCAGAGAGGGGCAAGGTACTTGGAGGCAGGGGCTTGTACGGTGTTTGTATGGGGCGGGCCTGGGGGCCGAGGGGTGAGGGATGACGAGGTCAGAGAGCTGGTCAAGGGGTTGCAAGGGCGGGTGTCGGTGAAGATGAACCTGAGGGCGGGGATGTTGACTGCGAAGCAGCTGGGAGAGATGGGCGTCGCGAGAATTAGTGTCGGGCCCGAGTTATATCACAAGGGGATGAAGGGGTGGAAAGATGCGATGCAGACGATGCTGGGGAGTGGAGGGTTTTCGTGACGACTACATATACTCGAGTACATAGGTAGGCATATATGTATATTAACTAGGGGCCATTATTGGTGACGAGGTGATATCTGTGTGATTGATATTGGCGGCTCTGGCAAACACCAGAGTAGCTGGCACTCAACGTTCAAGTAACTCATTGCCAACTTCTGCTATTTGAACTGCTAACAGTACCTAGGGTAGTATGAAGCACTCGAGCTGTTCTGACAGTTGAGATTTGGCCCTCATGCTATTGTAGATTCTCATGTGACAATAACCTTGATCATGACGCTGTCGTCTCCATCTTGAATCACAACTTGTAGATTCCCATGCGCAGTGACAATCTCAATCTCCATTTTAACAGTAGATTTTTCTTAATCCAGCCTGTCAGTCATGCTGTTCTTTGTCTCAGTTGCCAGCGTGCAGCTACTAGTTAGTCCCCAACGCCCAGCACCCAGCCAAGCGTTTGGGGCGCCTATCTTTGCCGGCACGCCTGCCTGCCAGCCATCTTAGTACGTAACTGTAGCCTCGGCAATTGCCGCTTTAGAGTCAATCCAATTGCCTGCCTCCAGCCCCAGGTACCTAGGTATGCTCTGGCTCCTGCGTGTCCATCTCTCCATTCCTATCAATCCCTCAGACCGCTGATTGCTTCAGTGTTTGAACTGTCAACAGAAACAGAACACGTTACACGTCCACAACAAGGCCGCAACAATGGATCCCCAGGTCAAGTACCTGTTATCTCTCCAAGCCGTTCGTGAGAGGGCTCGAGTTGTTTGGCAGGCCGCAGAAGCCGGAGAGCTGTCCCATTTCGATCTCCATAAAGACAAACTCGGTGATGTCGCCGACTTTGTCATCTCCGTCATTCAGGTTCTTATCTATTGCCTCAAGATCCAGCGCAAGATGATCGAGGGCTGACGTTTTGGCAGCGTGATTTTGGACCTGACAAATATGACACCATCCCGCCCCACGGCCGTTGGCAGCATTTCGACGTCGGCAACGTCCCGCGTGTCCAGAAGATGATTGACTCTTGGAAGGCTGACGGGACTGATGATCTGGAAGTTACTCGCCGCCTTATCGATCTGTTCTTTGTCTCCGTGCTTCTTGATGCTGGTGCCGGTGACCACTGGCGTTTTATCGAGCCAGACACCGACCGGAAATACGAGAGGAGTGAGGGCATTGCAGTTGCCAGTCTCTACATGTTCAACTCATTTGCCTTCACCGACACTACCTCCGGGAAAATACCCTCAGTCAATGGTATGTCCTTCCTCATATGGGCCTGAGGTGACTGTCACATGCTGAAGCATCGCTACGATGACATAGGCAAAGGCTTGAAGAGCATGACGGATGAGAAGCTTGCAACGGGCTTTCAGGTGTCAGACAAAAACCCCATATTGGGAATAGGTTCTCGTGCAGCTCTTCTCAGGAGTCTCGGGGCGTCCTTGTTGGAGAATACGGACGTCTTTGGCGAGCAAGGTCGCCCGGGGAACCTCGTCGGTGAGATTGCAGCGCCAATTACCCCGTGTGAGTGATAATTTGCGCTCTAACCGCTATGTCAGATCACATGATTAAGACGAGTGAGAGTTCATCAGAGCTCGACGTACTCGAGTTCTGGGACGTTCTCCAAGCTCTTTTGATTCCGTGCTGGCCTAAAGACCGCACAACGGTCAACGGATTCCCGATAGGCGATGCCTGGCCCCTGAGCACATTGAAGACCCACACCGACAAATCCAAGCCTGACGACGCCACCGCCGGTATTCAGCCATTTCACAAGCTAACCCAGTGGCTCACCTACTCACTGATGGTTCCATTTCAGAGGATCTTGGGCATGAAATGGAAGAACACGGACTCCCTGACAGCTCTGCCAGAATATCGCAACGGTGGCCTCTTTGTCGATCTAGGGGCCATCACGCTGAAGAAGGAAGCGTACGAGCGGGGGATCAAGGCATCTGGTCAACAATTGCCCCTATTTGATGCGGGCGACGATGTTATTGTGGAGTGGCGTGCTCTGACACTGAATCTGCTGGACCGGGTATACGAGAGCATCGTTTCACGGATGGGTCCAGACGTCCATCTGACTATGGCTCAAGTTTTGGAGGCCGGGACCTGGAAATCTGGCAGGGAGGTTGCGGCTCAGCGCCGGCCAGAGACCAAGTCGAGTCCAATTCTCATTCAGAGTGACGGTACCGTATTTTGATATCCGATAGATATCAGACAGGTACTATATCCTGCCTCAATCAAATAGATCGTCTCAGAAGATAGCACTGCTCATAAGAACCGATTTTATAAAATCCTGCGTTGATGGGGTTGCAATTCAAAGTTCACTCAGGCCAGTGGACCGCTCGGCTAAAAGACCATAATAACCAATTCGTCCCGGTCTGTTGCGCTAGCAGTTAACGGAGTTCCTACCGTCTCACCACATATAATTTGTATACAATGGCATGAGAAACGAAGCTACTATCGTAATATTAGGACTTCGTGCCTATGGCAAGTGGTGGCGTCGCTTTTGGTAGGAATAGTACAGTGGCTTATTCGTCAAAGCTACTTACCTAGATAGTCTATATTGTGGTCACCGATTTGGAAAAGTAGGTTCAAATGTTCTGGTTAAAGATCCTTCTTGAGTACAAATATTTCGCGAAGTCGAGAACAACAATGATTGCATCCTATCACTCCCCTCATTCCAAAGCAGACTTCAGGTCAATCAATATATGAAACTCGAACGGCCTATCCGAAACAAAATTTTTCCAGCTTACCAGAAGCAGGGAGCCCTATCGCGCTATATCATCGCTTTTAACCACTCATCAATTTGAAAAACAAGATCTTCGACGGCTTGAAATCAACAAATACACGCTCCGAGAGATATCAACGCTTTGCTCGCCGAGGATGATCGGAAGACAAACAGTCAGCGAATGAAATCTTGACTTGGCTGAATGAAATGCTCGCATCAGTCCACAAACTTCACAACAGGAACCCCACTACGCGTCCCAGGAAAGAATGTGTGGGTCGAATGGCCCTCGATATGCAACCTGTCTCTCCGCAAGTCAGGCAAAACCTAAAACGGGCGACTCCTAAAATCGGCACTGAAAGAATCAGGGGAGTAAGGCATGGCCGCAATGCTCTCTGAGGATTCTGAGTCATAGTCTGTGCGGTTCCAGGTGTTTCTCATATCCGAAATGCACGCATGCGCCTGCATCTGCGGTCGTGCCTTTGGGCTTATTTCCCGCTTCAAACTGCGCAGTGATTCTGTCGACGACGTCGGAGTCTTGCCTCTGATGTAAGAGTCGTCTTCAAATTCGTCAAGCCGCGAAGTTGCAAGTCGAGTCCCGGCCATTGGCTGGGAATTGACGACCGTCTGGAAGGACATGGCCAGACCAGGAGCTTCGGGAGAGTCGACAGCGAAGAACTCGTTCTCCGACCGCTGAGATTCCGCTGGTAGGTCCATTCCAGCTAACTGGTAGCCAGAATGGTACGGTTCCTCGGGGGGGGATAACGCCGTCCGGTTGCGTTTAGCGACCGGTTCATCCTCACCAGCTGACTCCTGCCCTGACACTGACTGCGGCAGCTTGGTCTCCGCCCGTTGGAACTTCCATAGCCTGTCTCTGATCCGGTCATGGTCCAATTGAACGATATTGCTCGATCCACAGGACGTGAGCGGCAGGTCGAACGTGTAGTGGGGTCGAGTTCGGAGGTTCTTCTTGCCCGCCCTTGTTTTTTCTCTCTTCAGGTGCAAGTGCAAATTAGCATCAAGTCCATTTTCGTGGTACTCGACACTATCCACTTGAATAAACCATCTGCCATCGGGTATCTGCGTGGCAACGATGGAGCCGTCCGTGCGTCTCGCCTCGAAGTGTGTGCTGACTTCCCAAATGTCATAACAGCTGTTGTGCGCGGCGGTACCACCAGACTCGATGGTGATAAAGCCTTTTGGATATTGGAGGGGGTGCCGCTCATACATTGGGTCGCAGACAAGCTTGAACTTTTTCTGCGCACGGCGTCCCAAATGGATCTCGACTTCTTGTCTAGAGGTGTACTCAAAGCGCTCCAGCTGCCCCGTCGAGTGGAGGCCCGATAAGCGCAACTCCTTTTGCTGGCCATGGTTAAACAGCAAACCCGCTTGGGTCTCGTGGTCGCCTGCTCTTGTGTACGTCTGGACTGCGATCGCCGCGCCGAGCTGAAAGAACTGCTTGGGGCTCTTGGCACATGCCTCGGACGTAGCGGCACCTTGACAGACCGACCATTTGCTGCCACAGTTTATTAGTGAGTGCGTAAAGTATGAGCTCGTCGCACAGGCTTACCTTGACTCAACGCTGAGATCAAAACCCACGACTTTACAGCTTATACCAAGTGTCTCGCACGCTTGCTTCACCTCAGCCCTCGCGTGATAGTTCTGCATACTCCCTCCCGAGAGAATGACAAGTGTTCTGTCTGATTGAGGTGCGGGAAGCGACCGAACTTTTTTGATTGCCAGATCGATGGCTTCCCTGAAAGCGAGCTCCCACGTCTGCTTTACATCGGCTGGCTTGATGAGCACATAATACGTAGTGGTATCATCAGGGAATCTATCTGTGATTGACGTGCGCAAATGCAAATGCTGACCACTCTCGTACCACTGTGATGGGGTCAAAATTTGCTCAAAAATACCAGGAATGTGAGGTCCAGAATAAATCCTCGCCTTTTTGCAGATGGAAGAGAAGGGTTGTTGAGAAGAGACCTACAGTTTCATTCACGTCACCCTTGTCGATGAAGAACATGAGCAGGAGCCTGGCTCGAAGCACAGTCGCCCTTTCTGCGGGTAGACCCTTGGATTCTACATACGCGTCGATGTAAGGGAGAGCATGGTCTTCCCAAAGCTGTGAACCCCCACGAATGCCGAAGTTGCCGTGCGGCAGGGAGAAGAAGGCGGGCTGATTATCGTTGGCACTGTCCCGGCAGAATTGGAAGAGACTCCCACCCTGCGGCCCTTGTGTCAGCATTGCGCACCTCTCTCAGCCCTCGCCTTGTATGTTTGAAACATCGACTCGATGCTTACCATGAAGTGGCCGCCAAAGTCACAGACAAGAACGAAGTCTCGATCCTTCAAGACATAGGATTCGTCATGAAGAATGTACTGTGCAAGCGCTTCCGATTCAAAAACGCAATACGTCTCAAGCCCCCGAGCTATCGTCTCAGCCACCTCGTCCATGATAGGTCTGAGGACGTCCTGGAAGTTGGGCTTGTCCCAAGCATTGGGGACGCAGAGTACCAGGCTCCGGATGGTTATCTCGCGCAACACGGCCTCTCGACGAATCTGTTCCGCCACGATAGCCAGATGCCTTACAAGCATGGATTTCAGCCTCTCTCGAAACTCCTGCTTCTCTTGTGCTCCGGACAGCGAGTTGTGGTAGTCCTTCAGGTCTCTAGTGTATGGATGCTTGTCGTCATCATCAGCCAGGAACCACACAAAACTCTTGAGCGAACGGTCACGTTTATCGGCGTGCTCTGGCCCCGCCGCATCGTAGCCGACAGGGTACGGGTAGTCGAAAGGGCAGCCTTTGGAGGGCCATTCTCCTCGAAGGAAGCGCTTCTTCTTGTCATCATCCACGCCTGTCTTTTGAACGCGGTAGCCCTTCAGTGGCTCTTTCTTTCTGTTGGATGTTTTCAGATAGGCCCGTGTCGACGTGCTTCCAAAGTCGATAGCCGCATAACTGTGACAATAGTGGGTTTCAGCGATGGCTGCTGGAAGCTAATATGCGCAACAAGTTGTCATCTTACCCATCAGTGACGTGACCCTGCAGACCGGAACTGCCAGGCTGGTTCTGGGATGACATTGCTTTTGACTGTGGTGTCTGGGTGTTATGTGTTTGTGCGTAGACAGGAACAAAGCCTCTCAAATGATTGCGGCCCTAGTGTTGGCTTCTTGTTGACAACCTTGGAACCGTAGTTTCTCCCCCAATACTGTAAAGGATGGAAACGGTGGCAAGACGCGAGGCAAAACCAGACGCGACGCGCACAGATAAATATTCCCAAGCATGTATATCGAGTAAAGAGACTTGAGAGACCTCAATGCTCCACCATCTCTATCGAAATCTCATAAAGCTTTGTCGTTTTTCTGTTAAGAAATGTGCAATACTTCGCGTGCCAGGGAAAAGCAGAAATGACTCCGCTTTAACGTATCACTGCAGCTTGGAGACCCCCTGATCTGTCACATCTCATGCATTCGTACATTTAAGGATGGCCAACCAACGCCGACTTTTTGTCTGTTGGTTGCTCGGTTATGGACTAGTGGACAACAGTCCAGACACCGCCCGGTCAAAACGTTTGGAGTCGCGTAGCCCGGATACAGCATCAAAACTCACAGCTCCAGGAGGAGAGCACGGCTTGATGCCGTCCAGCAAGCGGTCCAATACCATCGCATCAAGCCGCGAGTATGCTGGAACACCACAACACTGCCGAGCTCTCCGAGCATGGCGGTTCGTCGAAATCACCAAGGGAATCAGCCGAGCAGGACCGGATGCTTCCAGATGCCAACGCTGTCATCCTTCAAACGAAAGCCGAAATCGAGAAAGCTCGGCGAAAGGCTGACGAGCTCATAGAACAGTTCGCTAAACACTTCGTTGCAGCTGCTGGGCAGCTCAGGGAAGAGGCCATACAGCGATACCGGAGACGACTGGAGGCATTGCCCCCCGATGTCTGCGCAACGGTGTGTGACACATTGGCGACAGACGATGACTTTTGCGCGCAAATGCTGTTCGGAGAAGGGCGAGTGTTTTATGGTGGGATGTCCTTAAAATTCAGTACCGGTAGCGACGAAGCTTTCAACGCCCTGTCTCACCATGTGTGGAAAGACTGTGAGCCCTTCAACCCCCCACCCCCACCACAAGCGCTCAAGAAAGCAAAGGCATTGTCCAGTATTAAACTGACCTAAAATTGCATTTTGCTCTTAGTCTATCAATCGTTCTCGAGTTATGAACCCCCTCCGCCGTCTAGCAACGTGCTCGACCGCGGCCTCCCATCCACAAGTCGCCTGGCGCACCCTGATGAACAAGACAGGTCGGCATCCGATCAAAACAGACCATTACGCTCCTCCGATGAGAGTGAACTGTCTTCTGTTGAACACTACTCTCCACTCTCTGGAGACTCAACTGGGGCTTTTCAAACAGACAAGAGAGGGAGGTGCCAAAGCAACTCCTCGCCATCCCCGGGCTCGGCCACAGACAATCAATTCGGAAACTTGGACACATCGAGGAGATGCTTAACAGGTCAATCATCGAAGTGCCAGAGTGGCCCGGATACTCTAGAGAAACAAGGACGAAGTAGGCCACCAAGTACACTTTGGTCACCAGAGGAAGAGGCTTTGATCCGAGAGATGATGGCGGTGCAGCTGAAGGGGCAAGGGAATCTCGAAATTGGTTTATCGCAAGCAAAAGACTTGCACGATTTGTTCCCTGGCCGATCTGTCTCAGCTATCAGAAACAAATGGCGGACGCTGAAGGCGAAGCAGACACAGTCCAGCTGGGTACGAACGGAAGCAAACAGCCGAACCCACGATGCCAAACACCAAGTTCCAGACCGTGATACGGAGCATACGAAACGCGATCAAGGGGGTTCGGGTCCAACGATGGAACACGACCAGGGCGGTGGCGATGATCAGACTGACCATGCAGTCAACCGAGGCTCACAAGTGTCTGCCACACATGTCAAGAATAATAAGTGGACCCCCGAGCAAGACCAGCTGCTAAAAAGCACTGTGCAGTCGAAAATGCAGTCATCTGCCGTTGTGACAATATCAATACCACCGCTTGTCAAGAAGGAACTGGCAAAATCTCTGGGCCGCAGCGAGAAGGCCATCTCGAGGCGCTGGGCGTTTCTTTCAGGGGATGGCAAACGACATGAAACCCAAGAGCCGAGGAAGTCCAAGGAGAAGGACGAAAGCCAAGCTGAATCATCATCTTCAAGGCCCCAGGCGTCCGACACAGCACGGAGACCAGAGGCAGCGCGTGGCCCAGGGCCGCGATGCCCGGTTCAGGCCCCGTCGTCAACTTGGTCTCGCGAAGAGCATATATCCATTTGCAGATCGACCCATGGCCTGATAAGAAGCCAGATTGACTTCAAAAAAGTCGCCTCCGCGCTTCCGGATCCTTCCAGGCGCACGGCATCTGCCTGCAGGTCTTACTGGAAGAGATATATTCATCCTACCCTGGTAGGCCAAGGTACGCCTCCAATTCCCAACGCAGCATCACGCGCACAAGGTGCAATGTATAAAGGCTGGAAGCCCGCGAAAAGGAAGCTTATAAATCTTGATAGGCGGGAATCCGTTCCAGGTTGGAGACGCGCCCAAGGAAAGCACAGGTTCTGGGAGTAAACCCCCCCCCCCCCCACCCCAATTACAACACACGACTGCCGCCAGACACCCACTTCCGCTAACACGAATTCCAGCAGACCATCCTCATCCCAGACATTCCGAGACCGGGCGGACCCAGGAATCAAATCGAGGACCGCCTGGAGAAGCAGACTCCGCTGTGTCGGTGACTCGAGGGTCTAAACACGAGCGGGATTCAGACGACGAGTGCGAGAGACAATCCTCTACAAGTCGGAAGAAGCATAATCGCTTGCCTCATCAGTCTTCCCTCGATAGGCGTGAAAATGATGGCGTATCAGAGGGAGAGGGGCATGATGTGTACAGGTACGAATCTGAGTAGATGTTTTTGTGTTCTTGAGGGAAGAGAGAAGGTGAAAAGGTTGGGGGGGGGGTTGGTGGCTGGTGGTCCACAAACATAAGGGGCTTGTTAACTACCTAGGCAATGACCGCTTAATACTATTTTGTCAAGATTGAGTCAACTAAATTAAATATTTCCCCCACTTTGACTATTGGAAGATGACGGAAGCCGACCCGCACTACATGTGGGCACCTGCGACAAAACGAAACGTACATAACTGTGCACCATATGAAGGCGCCACGTATGTCCCCGGACGTATATGGAATAGAAGCGAAACCATATATATTTATAACCGTCGTCAAGACGGTGCCCCTTAGCCTTGTCTGTGCCTCGCAAGGCTGAGGCTATAAGCACTTATTATATTATAACTATTGATATCGATATCGTATTCCTTCCAAGCGCTGGGTCTTAAGTGCTTACCACCGTATAAAGGCGCCATGTATGTCCTCGGACGTATACGGAATAGAAGCGAAACCACATAGGTAGCCTAAAGGCTAATATAACACATGCTTAGCATCGATCTCACGGCTTTAGCCGCTGGTATACAATCCTTGATGTGAAGGCTTATCAACGACAGCATCGAGGAAGCGAGAATTAGTCTTATATGCCTTTCCATGGTCGCCTGGCATGCCGTTGATGGTGCTCTCGAATGCACCCATTGCTGGGTCTATACGGAGCGGACTTGAATGGAGCAAAATTCCCTGGGATGTTGCTGAGCTCGTGAAGCTCCTATTGTCCGCTTGGTAGCTGGTGCGTGGGAAATCAATGTAGTTCAATGGTATCGAGACCCTGCTTCTAGTATAAGATCACTAACAGGAGGAACATGATTAGGAGTGCTTGCACCAATAGCCTAGGAAGCCTCGGGGAGCAACAGTAACAAGGCTAATCGAGACCAGCCTTTACCGGCGCCATGTACTAAACCTGCCGGATGGCAAAACGCAACATGGCTTCTTATAAGTTAGGGAGATCAATCACCAACCAGTTTCCGTCAATGTTGACACCTCTTCTCTCCTTCACACACACAAACACACAGCCATCAAGCTTTCTCTCAAGAGTCTAGAAGAGCAAATTTCAATATGTTTATTTCGAAGCCAATCATCGCCGCACTGTTCCTATCCGGATATGCCAGCTCGGCCAGCACCCTGGCTCCCCGTGCTAAGCTTGGCGTGTCTTGCCAAACATCGGACGCGTCCCCTTCAACCGGTGATGTGACCGGAATCATTAATCAGATCAGAGGTCTTACAGGATATCAAGCCTGTGCATGCCGCAACAGTTTAGGCTCTCGTAAGTTTAAGACGTCCGGCAAGCGAGGAGTAGACTTAACCGAACTTCTGCCGGGGCTTCCTCTTCTCCTCTCAGCATGGTCTTGATTGTCTGCTTGGTGTACTAACGTGATCACTCCATAGGTTGCACCACGCTTGGGAACCATGGGGCTGCAAGAATCGGGGTCTGCGGAGGGACGGATTTTGCTGAAACGGTGACCCTTTGCGTAGATGTCGCTCGTTACGCGATGGAGATCCAGGAGAAATGCTTGAAAAACGGTAAGGTGGGAGGAACATATCAGGTCGCTAATTCGAAGAGAATTATTATATTTTAAGAGAACGGATATTTGCACCCCCCAAAACAGCTGGTACACCTAGAGATATACCTCTAGTATATCAACCTTAACTTATACTACTAATTCACTATATATAATAAAAGTTTATATCACTAGGTTAGCCTCCTTACTTCTTTATTTACTAAAATACATTCTATAATATTATTTACTTTATAAAGTAAATATAATAATTTATAAGTTTTTAAATAAAAAAGTAATATATTTTTTAAAAGTATATTATAATTAATTAATATATATTTTATAATAATTTAAACTTAATATTACTTAAATTTAAATTTATTATTATTTATACTTATATTATAAAAGTTATTATTATTTTATAATTACTTTTATATTTTTAATAAAAGTATAAAATTATATAATATTTTATAATTTAAAGTATAGTTAATATAATTATATTATTATAATAAATATATAAGTTTTATATAATAATTATTTTTAAACTTTTAAAAATTTAAAATTTAAAAATATTAATTTATTTATAGTAATATAATATTTATAAATAATAAATAATAAATTAAAAGTAATTTAAAATAATATTTTTAAATTAAAGTATTTATAATATATTATTATTTAAATTTATTTTATAAATAATATTTATAAAAGAAATTAGTTTAAAATATTATTTAAAAATAATATATAGTTTAATAAATTTAAATTTAAATTATATAAATATTTTTAAAAATATAAAATAATATAAATAAACTTAATTTTTAAAAATAATTAAAATTAAAAACGTTTTAAAATATAAGTTAAATATATTATAAGAAATATTTTATTATATATAAAAATATTATTATTAAATATATAAAGTATAATTAAATTAATTATAAATAAAGTTTATATAAACTTTAATATTAATCTTAAAATATATTAAATATTACTTTTAATATAATAACTTTTTATAAACTTAATATTAATATTAATATTATTAATGAAAGTAGATTAGTTCTTAATATTAGCCTAAGATATTATGTAAGTACTTATATTACTAGGCTATTTTATTGTTAAGGCGGTTACGGGAGGGGAGTGAGTATTTGCACTCCCTGTAGGTTGCTGGGGTCAACCCTGGCACCGGTGTCGGCGTTCACACTCGGGCATGGCTGACCTGAATTATTTGGACGACTACTAAAGTACCTTGTCTACACACTCACTTATCTTTCACCCAGCACGGCTTTGTGCTCTCTCATACTACCCCGTCGCCTCAACCGTCCACCAAGCCCCTCCCCACCTTCATTGCCTGACGCCTGACGCCTGACGCCCTCCTCACCCGGACACGTCAGAGAGCTCATCAACAGCGGTCCAGGCCGAGAAGAGCGCCGATAGCGTGGGGGTGGGACAGCAGCCAAGTGCCGGGCCATCATCTCAAAATGGCCGATTCTGCTGCGGATCTGGAGGCTCACCCTCACCCGCAGGGCGGTGCCAAGCAGACGGCCAAGGACCTGTTCTCCGGAGCTGCTGGTGGTGTTGCACAGGTGCTATTGGGTAAGAAGGCCTCTCTGGTGATGAGACTGGGACGGGCGTGAGGCTCTCGTGAACCAACCGACTAACAAAACACCCTCCCAGGCCAACCCTTCGACATAGTCAAGGTGCGCCTGCAGACATCAACCACAAACACATCAGCCCTGGCAACAGCAACCTCCATCCTCAAGAACGAAGGGCCGGCGGCCTTCTACAAGGGCACCCTCACCCCGCTCATCGGGATCGGCGCCTGCGTGTCCGTCCAGTTCGGCGGCTTCCACGCCGCCCGGCGCTACTTCGAGGAGCAGAACACGGCCAACCACGGCGCCGCCCCGGGCGCCCCGCTCGGGTACGGGCAGTACTACGCCTCGGGCGCCTTCGCGGGCGTGGCCAACACGCTGCTGTCGAGCCCCATCGAGCACGTGCGCATCCGGCTGCAGACGCAGCCCCACGGCGCGGGGAGGCTCTACTCGGGCCCGCTGGACTGCGTGCGCAAGCTGACGGCGGCCCCCGGCGGCGGCCTCCTCGGCGGCGTGTACCGCGGCACCGCGGTGACGGTCCTGCGGGAGGCCCAGGCCTACGGCGTGTGGTTCCTGTCCTTTGAGTGGCTCATGGCCCGCGACGCCGCGCGCAACGGCGTCGACCGCAAGGACATCCCCGCCTACAAGGTCGCCTTCTACGGCGGGCTGGCCGGCGAGGCGCTCTGGCTCTCGAGCTACCCCTTCGACGTGGTCAAGTCCAAGATGCAGACGGACGGGTTCGGCAAGGACAAGGTGTACAAGAACATGCGGGACTGCTTCGCGCAGACGTGGAGGAAGGAGGGCATGGGCGGGTTCTGGAGGGGGCTGGGCCCGACGCTGCTCAGGGCCATGCCTGTTTCTGCGGGTACGTTTGCCGTCGTCGAGATGACGATGAGGGCTATCAACTAGGGCGGTGGGACAAAAGCCGTCGGAAGCTGGGGATGGCAAAAATCATGCGAGGCCCCGGCAAGGGGGAAGCAGGTCTCTGGGAGCCCGGGACCATTTTGAATGCATCAGGAAATTTCACGCGGTTCAACACTAGACATATCGAGAGGGGCAGCAATAGACACGGCGGGACGAGGGCAACCCCTTCACTGCTTCACATTTCTGGAGCTACATTTAGGATCTAATCACTGTTCTCAACGCGCCTCTGCAGGATCATCCTCGCGTTCCCGGGCTCGAGCGTCTCGATGCCGAGCTCCTCCAGCACCTTTCTCGCCTCGGAATTGTCTGTGAACACGCGGTCATTGGCCTGCTTGAGCGACATGAAGCCCTCCTCGGCCTCGAGTGGCAGGTTGAGCAGCTTGACCGCGTCCGCGAGCGTGGCCATGGCCTCGGACGCGTTGGGCACGTAGCGGTCCACCATGGCGAACACGGCGTGCAGGTCGCGCATGAACTGGGCGGCCCCGAGGGCGGTGAACTTGTTCTTGCGCAGGACGTCGCCCCACAGCGTGTCCTGCAGGCTGTCGAGGGCCCCGCGGACGACGCGGCGCATCACGGCGGCGCTGACGGTGCGCGCGAGGAAGTCGAAGTTGCGCTTGATGATGCGCAGCGGCTCGTCCAGCTCCGCCGTGATGGCCAGCTGGTACGGGTCGATGGGCGCCGTGTCCTCGCTGACGACGGTCCACTGCGCCCGCTGGATGTAGGCGCGGAACGCGTCCGCGTGCGACCTGATGACCGCCTCGATCAGCAGGTCCTGCGCCGCCGCCCGCCGCTCCGTATACGCCTTGATGGTCTCGTCGAACAGTATACCTCCGTCCTCGCCTGTGCCGACTGTCTGTGATGTCCGGCCCTTGACTTCGTCTTGGCTCATTCCACCCGCGAGGTTGCCCTGGTCGTCGGCCATGTTGGCCCTAGCCCTGGCCTGCAGCCGGTCCCACAGGTCCACAAAGAACTCCTCGTTGCTCCAGTCCTTCAGCGCGCCGACAACGTGATCCGTGCTGCCAAAGACCTTGCACAGCGTCTCGAACGCCCCGGTTCCCTCGAGGGCCGCCAATTGCTCCTTGGTCGCACCGTACACCATCTTGCCGGCGGTGGAAGTCATAGCTTTATAAGCGCCCAGTGACCCGTTGAGCCGGTCATGATACGAGTCCAAGATCTCCAATTGGATCTCGATCAGGAAGCGCAGCTTATGGGAGAATCTCCTGACCCGCTCGTATTGAGTCGTCACGGAGCGCAGGAGGTCGGTGACCCGGACAGCACCGTATGTCGGCTTGGTCTTCCCAGGGCCGTTGTACTCGTAGTCGATCTGGCCCGCGTCCGGCGTGGCCATGATCGCCTTGTACCTCTCGAGGGCGAACGTCTTCTCCGCCTCGAGCCACTTGTCAAAGTGTTTGTCCAGTACCTCGGAGGTGATGCCGCCCCAGCCTCGCTCGAGGTCGCCTCCGTCGTAGTTGAACCTGGCCCGCAGAGTTTCGTCGAAGGTCATCAGCTCCCCCATAAGCCTGCTCAGGAAGACTGGGTCCTTCAGGGCGACCTCCACAGCTGAATTGACCTTCTCCCTGATTACAGGCAGCAAGGAGGTGATGACGGCACACGTCGGGTCCATGTAAACCATCTTGTTGGCGGCCGCCGTGTCGCTGAACTTGGTCGCGAGTATGAAGCCAAAGTTATCGCGCATGAAGTCGTCCCACTCCTCTATGCGAGCGGTAACCCAGGGAAAACACTGGTTCCCAATATTGTGCGGATTGCTTGTGGGTTTGTCGCTCATGAAATGGTAGCGGAACTCCTTGGACCAGTTCTGCACCATGACATCGATGGGCAGCAGCGTCACCACGCCGTCCGAGTAGAGGACCTCTGGGACCTGCAGGTCCACCAGCTTCTCGAAGCACTCCCTCCACTCCTCGTCGATCTCTGACCGTGCGTCCACCTTCTTTGGCCAGCCCCTCTTTGTGAGGACCCCGTCCATTTCTGCCCACATGGTCCTCTTCATCTCGTCCCAAAGACTCTCGGCGATGCCAGCAACGTGTGACACCAGGTGGGTGGCCGCATAGTCGGCCTGAGGCTGCAGCTCGTGCAGGTACTGAGCCAGCTGCTTAAGCCTCGTGTAGGACTCGAGGGCGGCCTTTGGGCTCTTGGGCAGGTGGCTCCGGGCCTCTGCCCTCAGGTTCTCGACATCCTGCAGCAAGAGCAGGTACTTGTGGGCGAGGTCGACCTTCTGCAGCTTGTGCATGGGGGCCTCGAGCCTGCGGATGGCCTCGTCGGGAGCATCGGAGCTGGAGACGATCTGCAGGCGGACGTCGATGCTGCGCTGCAGGGACTGGAAGTCATCGATCTGCTTCTGCAGCGAGGCTTGGCGCTGGTCGGCAGACTGGCGGGCGACCTCGAGGGCGTGGGCTGCGTCGTCGAGCTGGGACTGCAGCTGGACGTGCTGCTCCTCGACGCTGGCGAGGAGCTCGTCGAGGTTGTCCAGGTCGATGGTGGACTGCAGCTTGTCGTCGAGGAAGTCGTCCAGCCGCATGTCCTCCGAGGACTGCGAGGGGAACGACCGTAGCTGGACAGCCATGATGTACGGTGGGTGTGCTCACCTCGGGTATATCTGGGGCGGCAGGGCGGCAGACCGGTAGTGGTATCGTTGTCGTCGGTAATTCGGTTTTGGCTGGCAGACAGCTTTCTCCAACTTGTCGGAACTGCACACCCAAGCAGTTCCAGGCCCCACCTAAAGTCCGGGGTCGGCCAACCACACAGTGGTCTCTCTTAGGGGCTTGGCCTGGGTAGAATTGCAGAGCACCGGGTACAGCAGCTCGGTACGGAGGTCGGGACCGAGTCTACTCCACCACAATCCGAAGCTCCCAGGCAATCCCCAAGCAGGGTCACACTTTCCGACTCAGCTCGGGGGCCAACGTGCCAGCGCGATTCAACCCACAAGAGGTGATGGTTTTGATATGTTAGCTTCTAGTATACTTAGTCTTTCAAATTCTATTTATATGGTAGGTTTAGCTTTTTAATATATAGCTTATGTGTTGTCATGCAGGTGCCAGCGGTGAACTGTTATCGTGACAAATGGGAAGGAAGTAAGACGAACTCCCAAGGTTCAAATGTGTTGTCTACGAGGTGGCCAGCGTGGCCTCAAAGCCTGTCATCTTCGCTGGTGACGGCCACGAGGCATGGTAAATGTTGTCATCGTCCTTCAGAAAAAGACACACATGCATAGTACACACACATTCGGGGGGATCAAACGTTCCAGGCGTCCAGGCCCGAGCCCTGCAGGTGCGGATATCCGAGCTTCTGTAATACCTCCGGCCACCATTCCGTACTGCACCTAGGTTGGCTGGCGGAGCGCTTTAAATAAGTTCTTAGTACCCGAATGGACCCTGCACCGTTGCCCTGAGACATCACCCCCATTTGCAGCCATTGGAAACCATACCGGCAACACCGGGTCCTGTTCCCTGTGCGGCTCCAAGGTTCATGAGAGCAGATTGGAATCTCACTTCTCAAATTGTTCAGAGCGTCTGAACCCCTCACCCTCTCCTGCCCCTCCTCTTTGACGCCTTTGACGTTGGAGGGCACAGATCCAAGTGAACGGCCCGCCATACTCATCCACAGTCCGGACCAAACCACCTTGACAAGATGGGATGGCCTTACAGATTTGTGACTTTGAGTCAAGACGAAACTGATCTAAGAAGGCAGACAATTGACAGATACGCCGGGCTTGCCCAGCTGTCAGCCTTCGTCCCAGTCCTGCTATTCCTCGGCTACAGGTTGGCCTCGTGGGCTTACGCCGCAGTCGAGGCCAAGAAGGGTGCCTACAATGCCATCCCAGAGTCTCCATTACGGAAGGTCAGGCGGCAGGGCCCACTAGGGGTCTGGGAGTCGCGATACAGGCATCTCCAGTGGTGGCTTGGGGATGATGTCGTCTTCTTGGGCCGCACCTGGGGACAGAGAGACGAATGGGTCTTTGGGCTGGCCTGGGGTTTGTGGATGGCGGCACTCACTGTGGCTGGGACTCATGATGGTGAGAGAGGCCAACATTTCTTTCTACCCGAGCAAGTGAGACCTTGAGTCAAGTTCACTGACAACAACAACCAGACTACCTCCACCTCACCAAGAGAGCCGGTGCCATCGGCATATCTCAGCTGCCTCTTCAGTACCTCCTGGCGCTCAAGAGCCTCAACCCCGTCGCCTACATATTCAACTCGTCACATGAGCAGGTCAACCGCTACCACCGGGTGCTTGGCCGCATCATCTACACCTTGCTGCTCGTCCACGCCTTGCTCTACCTCAACTTCTTTGTCGCCTCGGGCATACTGGTCGAGAAGCTCACCACGTCTCGGGCCGTCAAGACCGGCATGGTGGGAATCTGGGGCTTGACCTTGCTGAACACGACGACTCTTAGGTTTATCCGGACCTACTCCTACCGGATATTTTTCATAGTCCATCTCGTGGTGGCAATGATCATTCCGCCCCTAATCTGGTTCCATGCCCACCACCCGAGGGTTTTCCTGGTAGAGGCGCTCGTGGTGTTTCTTGCCGACATCATCACCCGCAAGTTCGACACCTTCACCGCCGTCGCGAAGCTGGAGATGGTGCCCAACACAAACCTCGTCAAGATCACGGCGCCAGTACCCAACAAGAAGATCCACCGCTTCGTCACCCACCCCGGCTCTCACATCTACCTGCAGATCCCCGCCGAAGCGCGCCCGTCTGATAGCGCTGCCTCTGCGGGCCACATCGTCCACGAGTTCCTGTACAACCCGTTCACGGTGGCAGATGTCGACCCCGAGTCCGGCAATCTCACACTGGTGGCCCGGCATCTCAACGGCCCAATGACCACCTCCCTCAACCAGATCGCAAGCAACAACAGCCGCCACGACTCCACCAAGATCCCCCTGTCGATCGAGGGGCCGTACGGCGTGGCCGGTCACCTGAAGGCGCTGGTCGAGGGCGAGTTCGACCGCATCCTGCTGGTCGCAGGCGGTGTTGGCGCCACCTACACGGTGCCCCTCTACCGCGCCCTGGTCAAGGACAACGCAGCCGCGCAGGTGCAGCTGGTCTGGGCCGTGCGCGACGTCGGCGACGCCTCGTGGGTCACATCTGGCAAGAACGGCCAGGGCTTCACCGAGGACGAGGGCGTGCAGGTGTTCGTCACGGCCCCCGAGGACAAGTCGCCTGTTGCCCAGGGCCCGGGGGACGAGGACGATGGCGTGGAGCTGACCCCGCTGCAGCGGAGCGGCGAGGTCCGACACCAGCTCATGCGGCCCAACATGAAGAAGATCGTGGATGAGGTGTTCCAGCACGGCCAGGACGAGAGGGTTGCGGTCTTCTTCTGCGGGCCCACGGCGATGGGGCGCGACTTGAGGAATCATGTTGGGGTCTGGGTGCGCAAGGGCAGGGTGGTGTTTTGGCATAGCGAGAGCTTCGGGTGGTGATGACTACTTGGCCGCATCGAGCAACTTGCATCATGTAAACTTACTTGTTCTAGACTTCCAAACTTCAGCATGGTGTTGGTTTCGGGGCACTCTGATGATCACAGCGAGGAAGGCCTGTACTCAAAATCTCCTCAACACTTCCTGTTCCCGATCTCGTTTTAGTTAATTAGAGGGTTCCAAACCGCCAATTCGCAGGGCTCGCTTCTTGTTTAAAGGCGGGCGCTGATCCTCATGTGGGTGCATCTTCGCGCTCATCGCCGAAGAAGCTCGACAGTCACTGGGGCCGAGGGGCTGGTGGAAGGCTAATGTGCTCGTTTTGACTCCTACTCGCTTCCTTCCCAGATGGATCATATCCAGCCCGAAGACATGTTCAACCTGGCAAATCCACAAGTCTCACCCGGCTTCTTCGAGCTCTTGGAGAGAAATAGTTACCCGCGCCTTGTAGATAGATGTCCCTTCCTGTAATGCTCAAGTAATGATAGACGTCAAAATCCCTCGTTCCAGTCGTACATGTCCTGCCCAACGCCAATAGCCAGCCAAATCGCCACAAAAAAGGTATCAGAACAGACCCTCGCTCTTGTGTCCAGCGCCGTCATTCTCAAAGTCCCGCAGCCTTGCCCAGAGGAGAGGGCGCCGTTACCTAATCCGCCCGTTTCTTTGGCTCCTCATCTTGCACGTCGTCCACGCCGTCCCAATCATCCGGGGCGTTCTCATCCCAGTTATCAACCTCTTCTTCCAGGGACTGTACCTTGCTAGACGACCCTTCGCCCGCTGCGCCAGACGCCTGCATTATACCACTCTCTTGTTCCCCGACAACACCCTCACCAAGCTCGATGTCGCCCTCCTCGTCTTCGACACCGCCGGGCACGGCCGTGTACGACTTGCGGCTCCTCTTCCTCTCCAGCATGCGCTTGTGGTACATGGAGCACAGGCCCAGCCCGGCGAGGCTGCCGACCAGGTTGGCGACGATGTCGTAGAAGTCAAAGTCTCGGCCGTTGGGCAGGAAGCCCTGCAGGAACTCGGAGCCGACGCCCAGGCATAGGGTGCACACCACCAGCGTGAAGTGGAGGGTCCGGCGGCGGTTGGTGTCGACAATCCAGTAGAAGACGACGGTGAGGAGGAAGAAGGTCAGGGTGTGGAGGACCTTGTCGTTGACGTAGGCCCCGACCTGGAGGGAGGTGAGGCCGGCGTACCCCGCGAGGAGGAGCAGCAGGAAGAAGACTCCTGTCTGCGCTGTCAGTGGTCTGCTCGAGGGGTTGGCAGGCTGCGAGCATGCCTTGTCGGAGGCATCACAGCACCGGGGGTGGGAGCGGGGAGGGGAGCTTTGGAGCTGAGCTTCAGCTGCGTACGAACCTGCGAACGGAAGTCGTATCCTCATGTCTGGGTGAGTAGACTATCTATTTAGACCAACGAATCATGAATGATCTGCGGTGATAATCATGGCTGGGGGGCGCGGTGTTGGTGGCAAGTCCAGTCTGTCAGTCTGTACTCGGGCTGGTGGGTTTGAGCACTGGAGGTTTGCGATACGCAATAGGTTCCAGGATGAGGTGGCCTGGAGCTTGCTTGTTTGCGGCCCGCCCGCAGAGAACCCAGGCCACCAGAGCACCCGAACCGAGCCCCACACAGCCCAGGTGCGACCGCCCTGTCGGGCCATCCCCACACATCGGACGCGAGGTCCGCAGCATTTCGGGGGACTTTTTTCAGAGGGGAGAAACGTCAGGTTGACAGACAGGTCCTTTGAATATCAACTCCACCTGCCATGCAGCATTGACCACAGTAGTTAAGTTGTTCCATAGATACTGGGTCTATCTCCTGTGCGCATATGCAATTCTGTATTCAAATGTTAGCATCTTTCGGAGAGCATCAAGCTGAATACAGCCCCGGTGCAACGATCTTATAGTCCGTACTCCGTACCTGATGTGGATATTTGACGACGCGTTGTGCTACGCCACCAACAAGATCGATCCCCTTGAGTGATGACTTCACCTTGTGGTTCCCACCTCTATGATCAAGCAAACTGGCTGAGGCGTACAATCCCCGATCAATTGACCGCAAGGCACAACAGCACCTAGTATACCTGATAAAAGACCTCTGGAGTTTACTCCCTACTCCCTATACCAAGCTGATTGCGGGTATATCACATAAGCGGAGTGCTTATGTAAGACAGCCCGGCCAGGAGGTACACCGAGCACAGCCCAGGATGGGATGATGGGCTCCTCGAGGCAGAGGATGCAAAAGCAGACAGTGGAAATGCTGGGGACGCAGGGAGCTGGTCTGTATTGAACCATTGCACAAGCCCACAGGTGCCCACAATTGCGCTGTGCGCCCCGTAGCCTCGTCGAACACAGGCAGAGGTACCCGGTGACGCTCTTTGGGCGCCGAGGCCCACCCGCCGTCGCGCGACGGTACTTGCTCCACCCAAAACGGGACATGGCGGTCTCCAGACACAACGTCCATCCATCCAGCCATCACGTCCACGAACATCGGCCGTCGCAATTCCATCGCCCCCTCCACCACAGCATCCCGAACCATCCTGCACTGCACCGTCCCCATCTATGTCAATGAAGCGCTATCAGCCGGTGCCCATCTAGTCCCCCGACTCCGACCGGAAGGCGGGCGAAATCACCTCGAACCCCCGGCGCATGGGGTGTCCGGCCGTGCATCAGTCCTGTCCATCCCCCAGGGGCCAATATGTCATTGCATCAATCCCAGAATGGCTGGCCAACGCCTGCTGGCAGCCAGGGAAATGGAATCAGGATGAACCAGCCCCCTTCCGATGCCTCGTCGCGATCCCAGAACGATGCGCACATGTTGATGCCTGAGGCATCAGACAACCACGACGAGGACAGTCGACGCGCTCACTTCGCCAACCTCTTTCGCAAAGCCGACGCCCGCATCGCCGCCCTCTTTTCCGATGACGGCGACATCCACCCCGCTGCAGTCGAGTCCCTCAAGCGCCCTCCCACCGCTGACGACTCCTTCAACCTGCCTCCCCCTACCACCGACCACGCGCCCATCCAGCAACCACCCCTGAAAAAGGCGAAGCGCGTAATTGACGAGGATGACTATGGCGATGATGATGAAGATGAAGATGAAGACGACCAAAATGCCGAGGGCGCCTCCGCGCCGCTCAAGTCCCAGACTGCGGCTGCAAATGCCGCCGCAGCAAAGACATACCTCTCCCCGTCCAAGTCGGGGAGCTCTCCCGTCCACTCTGTCTCCTCTCCCGGCAAGAGTGGCGACAAGACTAAAGAGGATAGCGCGTCGCAAGACCAGGCGAGGTCATCCGAAGATGCGCGCAAGCAACTCGAACAGGCCCGCAACGCGACCGAGGAGGCGGCCAAGCGCAGCTTCCACACCCAGTTTTACACCCTGGAGAATGACCGTACCGCCATGTTGGAACAGCAGCAACTGGAAGAATCCGAGAAACAAATCCAGGCTGAGATGGACAAGAACGGCGGCAGCGCGTCCAACGAAGGCCCCGGCCAGGCCCATGGATCCCTGAGCAGCGCCAACCTCGGCGCTTCGAGCCTGACGCTGAAACATCTCATAGCCCGGATAGACATGAAGCGCAGTCAGGTTCAAGCGACTGACCAGGAATTACGCAGTCTCATGAATGAGGTCAGAAAGAACCGATCGAAATGGGCGAGCGAGGACAACGTGGGCCAGGAGGAGCTCTACGAGGCTTTGGAGAAGGTCCTTAGCGAATTGAAGGCGCATACCGAGTACTCGACACCGTTCTTGCAGAAAGTCAGCAAGAGAGACGCGCCAGACTACTACAGTGGTAGGTCGCCCCTGTTGGCCCGGAGAGACTCGCGCAAGCATGCACTGAACCCCCCTACAGTCATCAAGCAGCCCATGGACCTCGGCACCATGACCAAGAAGCTCAAGCAACTCCAGTACAAATCCAAGGCCGATTTTGTGGCCGACCTAAGCCTGATATGGGACAACTGTCTTCGATACAATCAGAACTTGAACAACCACCTCCCTCGGATGGCTAATGGCATGCGGAGGGAGGCGGACAAGCTCACGCCCCTGATCCCGGACCTGATTATCAGACCTCGCGCTGAGGTTGAGGCCGAAGAGCGGCGAAAGCAGAACGGTGGCGAGGAAGACGCTGGCGACGATAGTGACGATGAGCCCATTATATCTTCGCGTGGTCGTAGCAGTGCCACAAAAGGCGCCACGAAATCCAGAAAGGCCCCCTCGGACCAGAAAGAAGGAACGCCGAACAACGATACCAAGCCAATACTTCAGCTCAACGGAATCCTGGCCAAAACCGGCCGAGAAGGCTCTGAGATGGGTGAGGGCAGCAATGGGTTCGGCACTCCACCAGTCGGGTCCTTCACTCCCCTGGGACAGCACGGCCAGTCCGGAATCGGTAGTAATGCCGATGCCATGGACATTGATGGACCATCTTTGAGCGGTATGGCTCTCAACCACGCACTCGGCGAGGCTGCCGACCAAGAGGTTGAGGACGAGGAGTACAAGATTTGGAAGCAGGTGACCAAGAAAGATCGTGCCTTAGCCGCACGGGAACGTCACAAGCTCTTCAAGGGCAACAAACTGAACATCGACGAACCAGCTCTTTTGAGGACCAAGACGGGCATGCGGCGCGTGCTCCGAAGCCAAAAGCAAGCAGAGTTGTCTGGTATCCTCGCTGCATCCGGCGTGGACTCAGCAGCCATCGCTGCCAAGGACGCAGCAAAGCCGATAGAAACCCTGGCTGAGGGCATGGAAGAGGAAGAAGAGCGCGCCATTCCTGATTACTACGAGACGAACAATCTCGTGCCTGACGTTCCGCCCAAGCTGCAATGGATCGAAGATGACGAGGGCCAGGTGATAAATCAGCACGAGGATGTCTTGCGGATGGTACCACGAGGCTCGTTCGTCGCCCCTTCGAGCATCCTTACCAAGAAGTTCGATGCGAATCTCCGGCAGCTGCAAGAGACCAGGAAGGTTGTCTCCAAGATTGGCGTTATCAAGCAGATGCAGATCCAATCGCAGGTCTACGCAAACCAATTCCCAAAGTACGAGCCCGAGCCGTTCGTCGAGGCGGATATCGAACCACATTTTGTCGCTGGCGATGCGCCCGTTGTGGCGCCCAATGTTTGCAAATCGGCTCTACAGCGCTCGGTGGCCAAGATCTTCTACCATGCAGGATTCGAAGAGCTGCAACCATCTGCGCTGGACGTCGTTGCAGACATTGCGGGGGATTACTTTGAAAAGCTCATTCGCACCTTCAACGTCTACCAGGAAGCCGAGAAGAAGACCGCCACTGGCGTCTACGCCGAGCGTGGGGCCAAGTTCCAACCCCGCTTTACACAAGAGGAAGCCATCTTGCACACCCTGAACGAGAGCGGCCACAGCCTCGAGACACTGGAGGGTTACGCCAAGGATGATGTTGAGAGGCTTGGCACCAAGCTGGGAACCATGCATGAGCGCATGAAGTCCCATCTAGCGGACTTGCTCCGGCCGGCGCTCAACGACGTTGGGCCGGACGGTGCTGGAGCTTTCAAGGACGGCAGTGAACAATTCGTTGGCGGTGACTTTGCTGAAGAGCTAGGCGAAGACTTCTTTGGCTTCAAGGCCCTTGGTCTTGACCGAGAGCTCGGCTTGGAGATGATGTCGGTGCCTCTACACCTACTCCAGACTCGTGTCCGGAATACGTTCCAGTCACAGGCACAGACCGTTGACGCCGAGATCCACGATGTTTTCGAGCAACTTCCTCCTGCAGATCCGGTCACGAAGGACAACATCCAGGACCAGATCGGGCTTGTCAAGAACTTCTTCCTCGCCAAGTTGCATGCTAATAGCGATCAACCTTTGGTGGAGGATGAGGATCTCCCAGTGAAGCAGAGGAGGCCCCGGCCTCGCCTTGGAGCGACTGGAAAGATTGTGTCACCTCAGAAAAGGCCGCCAAAGGAGCAAATCGCGCTGGCCAAGAAGAAGAAGAAGCTCGAGGCCGGTAAAGCCCAGGTCACCGATCCGAAGCCCGGCGGTCCCAACACCACGCCTGAAAAGAGCAAGAAGTTGGGCAAAAATATCCCCGCGCTGCCCAACGGAGCTCCCAATCCTCTCCAGGCCCCAGCGATGGAACGTGTCGACAGCCTGCAGAGTCAGGGTATCGCGAGCAGCCCGCCTGGCGATAACAAGGATGAAGCTGTCGGCATGCTGAGTCCTGAGAGCAATGAGCAGTAGGCGTGAGAACAGCTAGTCTGTTCTTAGGAGACGGACAGGATGCCAAGAGAATTTTTCGATCTACCAGCGAATTGCCCCGGCTGTACAGCAACAACAGTCTTGACAGCAGGTTCATTTTACTTGCCCTGATTCATTCCACACATGTCGCCGTGGTTCTCGGCAATTCTGTTCCTTTCCTCGCAACAGCGCAAGACGCAGCGCACAGGGCTGGGTCTCCGGCTTATCTGGTATTGCTGCTTCGCACTCATTCAGATATACAATTTTCTGTCAGGATTTCTCGTCAACTACTCGTCAAGCCCGTTATGGACAACTTTCAAGTGCCCGGGGATCACCTTTTCCGTCTAAAAGAAATGCGGGTTGGATTGTTGATAAGTATGGAAGGGCAGGGCTTTTCCAGCTACTCTCATTCACTGCTGCCGACCCGATCAGCGGGCATCCCTGTCTCAAAAGAAGTCGACACAAGCAACATCATCAGAGCAAGACGGAGCATCACTTTCACATTCTGCCTCTGCTTGATCACCACACAGCAACCAACTAAGCCTTTAAGTGTAATCAATGCAGCATCCAACATTGGCGACTTCCTCAGCCTCAGACAACGTTGGCTCTCTTTGCTTTTCAAAGGCGTTCAGGACTTGATACACTGCATCGAAATCAAAGGAAATAAAAGGGTCGGGCAGGACGAAACGAAACGGGGACAGATTGATGGCTTTTTTCTTGGTTATTACGCCACCCTCTCCCATGCTTCTGCCAACCCTCAAAAAGGAGATACCTACGTCGATTCTGTATTTTGCGCGTCTTCAAGGCAGCCCTAGCCTCGAATATTTTTTTGTACTTAGGAGTTTTAGACCGTGGTGTATTTGGTGATTGGCCACTTGCGTGGTGTGAGGGTCTGACTTCGGTGGGCTCTTTTTCTGCGCCACATTTTCCCTGGAATGTCGCCTTGGTCCGGTCGATTGGTGGCTCGGGTGTTGGTATACCTTCTTCTTATGGGCTTCTTTTAACTGGCAGAGAGGCTTCTTCCGGTTGGTTCGGACTTGGACGGGTGATCATTGATACGAACGAATGAGGCGGGCATTTGATGGGATGCGCCTTCGGGACTTGAAACCGGCATGCCGAGTAACGAAATATGGCGCATGGTCGACGACAGACGTGGCTCTGGTGGGGTCTCTGGCTAGTGATGGAGGGCAGACGTAGCAGATACCATGAAATACTTGAGCCCTTTGCCTTGTTGGTCCCCCTCCCGCGTGGCTGCTTGTGGTCGAAGTTCTGGCCTGATTGCAAAATCACACAGCCCGTAATGTCAAGCGCCCTCCCAGGTCTGGTTCACAGCTTCGATCTCGAACAACTGCATTGCGTGTGTGAGACGGAAGCTACTTGCACCCCAATAGCCAGAAAACTGCTTTCGCTTTCCAAGTGGAACCTTTGTACACATTGGCTCCTCATAGTGATCGCGACGGTGTTGCCGGAGCTGTATTTGCACAGCCAGCCAGCCAGCCAGCCAGCCTCGCCATTCAAATTCATCTACTTCCGTCCGGCTCTAAAGTTCTCGTTGGTATTATAGTCGAACTACTTGTTGCCGATGTCCTCGGCAGCGACTATCCACCTTAGACGGCACTTGGTGAAAGTAAATCGGGGCGAGTGCCCCAGTCACGGAGTGATTGTGATCTCAGTACTGAGTATTTGTTGTATTGGCAGTCTGTCATGATGGAGCCTCTGCCATAGTGCGTACGCCAAGTCTTCAGTCTACGGCCACTGTGTTTTCTCTGCCCAAATAAAGGCGTGGGTGGATATCACTTCTGCCCAGCGCATCTAATCACCAGCTCCATTGCGACCAAGGTCTCTCCTCACTCTCCAGGCTTTCGACCCAACGATCCTCTTCTGACCTCCATGGAGACTCTCAACCCATGGAATTTCCCCTGTGATATCTTCTCTCCCATGGCCTACCTCACCTGCAAGACCCCTGTCATCAAACTGGCTGTCATCTTTCCGAGACCCACGATTGTAATGGTCCTCAGTATATGCCCAGGTCGGAACATCGAATTTTCCTGACACCAGAACAATTTCCTTCCCTGCTAGGTGAGCGGGGGACAGAGGTGATACCATAGCCAATACAGAGCGCTGGACATCAATACCGCGGACAAGGGCCAGGCCTATACATCGGGAGAATCGGGGGTTGAGAGCTGCCCCACGACGTATATAGGGAATTCCCTCCGGAGTGCGCCGGATGAATTTTTTGATGTCTTGGGGTTGCTCAACTTGTGGTGCTTCCGAATCTTCATCTAGTGGACCGCAGTCGGCCCGTGTGGCACTGCCGAATGCCCTGCGGTCCTCAATCTCAACAATTGCGAGGATAGTGCCATCGATAGAATCGGCTAGTAATTCTGGTCCTGGCTGATATCCATAACAGACGACGCCAAGTATTCCGCCTTCGGCCCCACCGTAATGCAGCAGCATTGGTGGTTTAGACGTGAGTGGTTTGGCATCCCACTTGATGGGGGTACCTTGGCTTGACTCAGTGTCCATGTGGAAATACGACATTGCTTGCATGTGCCGGAGGTGTAATGCCGTCCTTGAAGTATACTCGCTGGACTGAGACGGAAGTGAAGTGAATGGAATTCCTTTGCATGCTAACTTCAAGCCGTCCACTGTGTCTTCTGGCCCGTCCTCAGACATGTAGATGACCTCAGTTGGCGAAATCTTAGCCACGAGATCCATCAACAGACCTAAGCCAGTACCCTGTATCCAACCAGGAGTGTTGATGAGTAAAGGCTTATCCCTGTGAGATGACTGGTAGGAATTATAGAGATCCATGACGCAGTCCTGGTAGTGCTCTGTATCTGATGCTGGTGTGATAGAGGCCAATGCATGTGACCTCACCACGGATGTGGCATCCAGGTTGGGGTGTCCAAAAGGAGGAGCTAGGTTGGGCTGGTGGAGCTGGACATGAGAAATGACGCCAGGTGGTGAGAACTCAGGCTGACCAGGATCAATGTCCAGAATGGCAACATCAGGCCATGCTTGGTCCTTGTTGACACCTCGACTGGTCACCAGCCTGTTAGCCACAAGCCTTGAGAAGGTAGACTTGCCAGATGATTTTGGGCCGCAAACCAGGAGAACCGGAGGCTTCTGTCTCTTGTCTTTGATCAAATCAGAGATCTTCTTGTTCCATTCCGCTGGTGATCGAAGATCCTGCAGTATGGCCTTCTTAGGACCATCTGCTGAGGTTGAGAGTATTTGATAGCTCTGTTTTGTCTTGGTCTCGCCTTGGTTGACTTCATTCCAAAGGGACCCGAATAAAGGGGATAGATTTTCCATATTCCGGAGCCCGGGAGCGCTCTTGTGTGTGTAAAGCTCAATCACAGACTTCTCCGTGCACCTCAAGACGGGCAGGGCATGGCAGTGAGGCGCATGGACCCAGTGTATCGTCTGTGAAGGGAACAGAGTAGCACCAGCAATGGCAGCCTCACCACTCTTGACTTTGATGCCATAGCTGCCCAGGATGACCAAGCGCTACCTCCCTGTCAGCAAGCTGCTCCTGCCCACGATATGATTCTGGGACGACTATACCTCTCCATCTGGGAAGTTCAGGGTAGCAACGCCATTGGATTTGGACTGGAAGTTGCTCTTAGTAGGTTTAAAAGACGACAGTTGGACCACCTTTCGTTTGGGAAGCTCCTCAGTGGGCTCTGGAGTCTGCAGACTTTATTCATAGTCAATATCTACTTGGTCGCGATCTTGGATGCCGAGCCAGAAAAAGATTTGACCTACCCGTCACCGCCAGCAGGCATCTCGGCACCCTCTAACAAAAGCCTTTCAAACGCATCAGAGACCTTGTCCCTTGCTCCAGAATTTTCAGGAGAGGCTTTGTCACCATCGTCAATGGTCTTCCCATTGCCATCAGGCGAGATAGTTGACGCAGCAGAAGCACTTGGAGCATCTGGCGCCGGAGAAGCTGTCTGCCTCTCTAGTAACCTTTTCTTGAGGGCGGCAGCACTCAGCACTGCACCAAGGTCAGCTCAGCTCATCACCCAGCCAACTTGCCCCCATTTTCTTGACACATCCAACCTTCCTTCTGCTTTGGAACAGACAAGACCTACTCTGAGTGCCCTGGCCGACCTCCAGCTTTCTCTTCTTGTTTGATGACATGCTGAGGATTCTGGTTTTGTGATGGGATTATTGGAATTCCTCCGTCATCTCGTGGGCAACGCTCCCACCCCGGCGGCCGCGCCTCCCTCTTCTCATCGGTCGCCGCAAGATTTGGCTTCGAGTGAGGGTGTCAGCAGTGCGCATTCAAGCCCAACGTCAACTGCGGCGAGCGAAGTTGAGAACAGTGGAAGCGAAGACCCTGGCCCGCCTAGTATGGCACCTGCAAGCTCCCTGTAAGTCGGCAATTGGACCAATCACTAGCACCAGATCCCCCGAGCACCCACCCCACTACGCCCACTTCGATCCCCTGCAAAGAGCTGGACCTTGGGGACGTTCCATTTGGAGAGACGCGACTTTTGGGGCGTCTCCGAAGAAACTTTGCAAAAACTTCAACCCATCACATATCGCGCCCCCGCGAAACCACACCACCGACTGCTCCTTCCTTCCTCCCCTTTACGTCGCCTGCTGCTCAATTGGCAAGGCTTCTTCCCCCAATTCCTGCTTTTTCACCACTCGCGAACTGTGCTAAAGCCCCGCTCTCCCAGCTCGCCCCACGACAGGCGACGAAACAAAGTGCTGCGCTCCGTTGCTCAACAGTCGCAATTCTGCCCGCAGCTCGTCAACTCCGTCGAGCGCACCATGGCTGGCTCCAGGGCTCCCTCTGGCAGCTTGCGCAACCATGCCTCGACCGCCAGCAAGGCTTCCAAGGGCGGCGTGTTCGGCACTCAAGTCTCTGTGCCCCAGGTCAAGAAGAACACCTTCACAGGCGACGACAGCGATAGCGACAGCGATAGCTCTAGCAGCAGCTCCGATTCCGATTCCAGCGATATGAAGAACGTCAAGCAGACCCCCGTGGTCAGCAAGAAGGCGGATCTCGCAAAGTCAACGCCCGCGAAAAGCCCGACGGTCAACGGCCTGAAGGCGTCTATCAAGAAGGAGCAGCCCAGCAAGAATATCAAGAAGGAACCCACCAGCTCTTCAGGATCCTCTGAGAGCGGCAGCAGCAGCGGAAGTGACAGTGAAAGTGGCAGTGAAAGTGACGGCTCATCTAGCGACAGCGACGAGAAACCCAAGAAGGCGCCCGCAAAAGTCGAGGAGGCCAAGAAGGGCACCAAGCCCAAGCCGGAGCCCAAAGCTGCTCCCACCAGTGACTCGCAGACCTCTACCTCCAGCGAAAGCACAGGCGAGAAGGCCAAGAAGTTCGCAGCCAAAACCGACAAGAAGCAGGAGACGCCATCGAAAGCCAAGGCGAATGCTGTGAAGCAGGCAACTCCGTCCGAGTCCGAGTCTGAGTCCGAGTCCGAGTCTGAGTCCGAGTCCGAGTCTGGATCCAGCTCGGGCTCCAGCTCAGGAGAAGGTTCAACTGAGAGTGGGAGCGAAAGTGGAAGTGACAGCGGCAGTGAGAGCGGGAGCGACGAGGAGAGTGAGGAAAGCGAGGATCATGAGGCTCAGATCCAGCAGCAACTCAAAGACGACGTCAAGTCTGCAAAGGCCACCAAGTCCAAGGCCCCGGTTTTGACCTCGAGCGCTGAGCCAAGCAACAAGAAGATCAAGACCTCGCAACCAACTGCTGTGGAAGATGCCGACGGCGACATCGAGATGACCGACCAATCGACCGCCCTAACTAATGGCGGCGCTTCCACCAAGGTGTAGGTTCTCACCACCAGCATGGCGCAGCCAGAAAGCTAACAGAATTTCCAGTGGCTCCGTTCCAGAGTTTGTGGCGCCCGACTTCCATTTGCGCAAGCTCGATGGCAGCATTGGTGCTTCTGACGTCGCCGCCTTCTTCGAGAAGTCCAAGACGGAGGGCAAGCAGATCTGGTACATCACTGCGCCAGCTTCTCTTCCTGTTACTGTAGTACAGGACTTGACGATCCCGATGGATTCAGCTCAGAAGGGCCTGCCCGTCCTCTCCCACAACGGAGACGATTACCGTTTGGCCTTTGATGATCCTGCGGCTGCTTCGTCATTCAGACTACTCATCCCAAACAAGAAAGGACATGAGTACTCGGAGCGTAAGCAGCAGCTTCCGAGATATTTTGGTACTTGACTGACCATGGATTAGTTGGCCGCCGTGTTGATCAGACTCTGCATTTTACTCGCAGCGAGACATTCATACCCGATGGCCCATCGAGCATGACCACAACTCAGACAGTCTCCAAGACTACGAGACCAGCTCGGCCTCAACCGGAAGGACTTCGTGCTAGATACACTCCTCTGGGCGTGCCGGCCTCCAAGAAACCCCTGAATCCCCAGGCGAGCCCTGAGAAGAACAAGTCTGTTGCAAACGTTGCTGCTCAAGAGGCAGCAGCAGTCAGCACACCCAAATCAAGCTCCAAGAAGAAGCGCAAGCATGACGGTGAGAACGGGCCTGTGGCAACCCCTGTCACCAAGGAACCCAGCAAGAGTGCCAGCGCTGAGAAGACCGCAAAGAAACAGAAGACAGGCAACAGAAATGATGAGCACGCCGCCGACGGAAGTTCCGGACGGAAGGAGACCCCGGTGCCTCTGCCTCCCCATCTCAACGTCGGATCCAGCTCCTCTACCAAATTCTCCAGCCCGAGAGCTGCCTCGGCTGTACCGCCGACTACCCAGCCTAACCCAGTCTCCAGGCGATCTGCCTCTCCAGGTATCCACCTCTCGTCCACACAGCTGCCTCCAAGACAGACCCCCATTCCGATCCCATTGCCGATCAAGTTCACCGGTGCTGCGGGCACGCCCAGTGCGAAGGCGCGAGAAGGCAAAGACAAGAAGGACAAGCCGAAACTGCCCAGTGTCGGCCAGGTGGCTGCACGGTACAGCGAGATGGCCGCGGCGAGATCGCCCAAGTCAGAAACTTCCCCCCGGAAAATCGCCAAAGCTTCCAAGAGGAACAAGGCTACCCTTTCTCCCCGTCACGACAGCAACTGAAAGTGAGCTTTTAACCCGCCTTGATAACAGAAGGCATTTGGAGTGGCTATGACCACCTGGCTGATTGCCTTCATGGATTCGCTGATCTGTCTTGTCTTTTGAGTTTTTCAAATCCTCGATTTGACAAGCCACGACCTATTGGCGAGTCCAGTACGTGTCACGTTGCGCATTGGCTAGGAAAGCCTGACCAGAGATATTGAATGCAGAAGGATGATGAAAAATGGGGTGGAATCTGGAAAATCGGAACTGATCTGAGGGCGGATGCATGAGGACAGGAGTTCTCTGCGAACATGGGCATTCCTATGCCGGTGCGTTGTGTTGATTATTTTCTCGAGGGAGGTCTGGAACAAGGGCACATCTGAGTGCCTTCTCCATCCCTGGCTTTGCGTTGCGTTTTGGCAACAAGGGGCGTTGCATAAGCCTGTTCTGACGTGGACAGCATGGCGTTGTCGGAATCGTTGCCTTCCCCGGGTTGGCCTCACAGGAGAGGCTGACTGCACCGGAATCGATAGCTCCCGTAGTGAGCCAGTATCTGAATTATTGCAACCGAACGATAGTGCACCCACCCTGTGTGAAATCATGGCGACTTTGTCCATTACAAGCTATCAAGGCTGTAAACGGCGCGAGAGGTCCTCTAATTCTGCCCGTGCCAGGCACAAGCTCAAGTAAAACGTGCTATTGAAGAGTTTAGCGGGCAACCAGTAAGTATTTGTGCCCATGAACCTAAGTAAAGAAGCACTTCGTAATCCCTTTTGTTGGAGCCCTGAGCAGACTTTGACCAGCAAAACGGCACACTATTCCTGAGTTCAGGGACGTGACTTTTGTGCAAGATCTCACTCATACTGCACATTTTCTGCCAGATATCTCCTCTAATTAGCCTGGTGCGGGAATTTGACACCGTTCCCCATGGGTTGAAGTGCACCTGTAGTCTTGCACACGATATGACGTACTTATGCTGTTGTTCACTTTCACTAACAGGAGAGCTTGAAGGGGGTCCAGACTCTTGGTAGGTGCAGTGCTTGAAACATGCCCTCTCAAAGGCCATGGTTACACACACAACACATTTCCACTTGCCCCAGTTGCCGCAGACCAAACAAACAAACAGCTGCCCAGCAAACTCCACCCCCCCCCCTTCACAGACAAACGACATATTTTGGCTCCTTGATGGATTTTATGGCCACTTGAAATTTCCTAGATCATACTGAGCACTATACACCTTTTCAAGGAAGAACCAGGATTACAGTAATTACTTCTTCCACGACACAGTAATCTGCACGTAGTTACGGCAAGATGGCCGGCCAAAGCACACTTCATTTCACCTCTCTTCCGGCTGAGATCCTCCACAACATCGCATTCCAAGTACCTGGCCTGCAGTATATTTCCACCCCAACATGCACACATACTAACAATCCTCGACAGGTTCGAAAGAGGAGAGATTTGGTGTCGCTCTCATTGGTGTCAAAGGCCGTCTCGGGAATCTTTCGGGAATGCCTCTGGAGATCACTTACTATCGAAATCGACGAACACGGGCTAGGCCGCGTGCCACATTTCCCATCTTTCACCACGACCGAACAGCCTCTCAACTACACCAGAGAATTAGGTTTCTCTTCCGAGTTCTTAAATTATACCCAGGGTCGATGCACGCATTCCCATGAGAAATACTTCAAATGCACTTGTCATGCCGAAGGTGATGCTGGCGCTGAAGAAGATGGGGTCGGCATCAGCAAGAAAGATATTGTCCCATGGAATCACAATCTGCCCGAAACACGAGAGTCCTATTCCAAGTGCTTCGAGAAGATGTCCAAGGGGGCAGCATTGATTCTCTCCCAGCTGCAAGATGACACACTTCGCAGCTTGAGGTAAAGGCCCACTGCTCAGTATTCACACCGTCCCCCGATTTCTGACTTACCCTTGGGATAGCACTTGCTAATTGTTGAATCAGCTGGGACCTGGGAACCTGTCTCCCGGGCCGTATCTTCGGGCAGGGCGGAATACTTGCCATGAAGCAGTCTCGGATCGAATCGCTTTCGATAATCACAGATCGCGTCTGTGACAAAGCCGAGCACCAAGCAGGCCTGTACGAGCTGAAAGGTCTGAAGCGATTGCGTTGGAGAGCCCCAAGCGACAAAGCCGTCCGCGACCTCAGCGACCTGATCTACGCCAACTCTGACACCTTGCAGCACCTCGAGGCCGATCTTCTCGGTTCGGGTAATGTCGACTATCACCTAGGTCACGATGCCCCACACAAGGCCAGCCCAGACGGCCTTGCCCGTACGCATCTTTCTTGGAGGGGGTTCGGAGCCAAGATCTCGGGCCCGGCGTTCCGGGCTTTGCAGACGCTGTGCCTCGCCGAGGTGGGCCTCCGCAAGGGGTTTGTGTGCGCCTTCGACTTCAATGTCCTTCGAACCCTGAAGCTACGTGATTGCGTGAGGTGGGAAGGCTTTTTGCGAGACGCCGTGCGGATGCGCCTCCCGATAGGCTTGAAAACCTTCGAGATCCAGGCGAGGTTCACCCGAATCAAATATGACCCTCAGAGCTGGTTCCCAGCGGACATGCCAAGTGACCAGTGGGGCCCGAGTATCGAGTGGGACGCGGACGGGGTCGTGTCGGACTTCCTTGCCTCATTCAACGGGCTCGAAGCGCTCTACGTGAACCTCGACGGCCCCCTGTTATTTGACAAGCTCTTGCCAGGAGTCGCGGCCCATCGCATGACTCTCAAGAGGTTTGTTAACGACCTGACAACGAATGGTTGTATTCTATCTACCAAGCACCCGATCAACATTGGCCCGCCCATACCCATGGCCTACACGTTCGCCCGATCCCTTGGCGATTTTGACCTGCAATTCGAGGCCATGGGGGTATTGATCAAACCTGGACAACTGGTGAGTGTCTCGACATCAAAAGCACATGGCGAAGAGCACGCAAAATTGACAAAATAACCTTGTAGATGCAACTCCTTCAGTCTTGGGCGAGAAGCACGCCATTGAAATTGCTCCACTTGCGTTACTCACCACTGGCTGACGGTCCTTCTCATTTCCCATTGCCCAGGGTTAGTGAGGAGATTACGGCTATTTACAGGAGCCGTAGGAGGGTGATCTCTCTCCCGCCCGACCTGGAAGCTCTCGCTGAGTGGGCGTTCGGGAGCGATGGGATCCCCTCCCTGAGGGCCATCGCCTGTGGAGACTACTCGCATGCAGGACGGCCGCCCGTGCTTGACATACCCGAGTTCATCGAAGTTATTCTCTGCAGAGCTGAGGCCGGTTCAAAACATGACTTTCGGGTTTTGGACAGGCGCAACCAAGATCCAGAGGTGCAGGACGAGAGGGCGGAGATCATTGATCTTTATCGTGACTTCTTGGAGGCCTGCCCAGGTTATCCTCTCATGGATTGGTGGCGTGGTTAATTATAAGCCGCTTCCGCACGAACACGGTGTTCCTCGTCCGAGCCTTAATTGTAGGGCGGTGCCCACATGGCACAAGGTATCGGGTTTTGATTCGAGGTTTGAAGTGGCGCTTTGCTACGCTTGTCTTTTCACGGACAATACGCCATTAATAGGAGGGAGAAAAAACGAGGCATCGTTGTTTTCAAAGGGGCATGTAACTTCTGCCGCCCGTCTCGATTTTGGTTAAAGTTGTAGATGGAGCAATGAAGGCTGGTGACCAAGTTAGCTCCTGCACGCGCTGTACGGGAATATGTAGGCTTCTGTCGAACTTCTGTCGAATTTATCACTGGGCAATAGATCAGTGCGTTGTTCAACAATTCAAAGAGTCAGTTAGGTCGCACTTCGTTTGTGGATCTCCCCTTTGAGTCCTAGCAATATAATGGGCTGCCAGATATCGAAGTAAATACACAACACTCACCTCTCAACCAATAGAACTATGAGCCCTAGAGTGATCATTCTTCAATGCCCACTGTACACCATTACCATTGCCCCTTGGAAATACTCTAGGTCTAGTTCCCGGGATTCTGAGTTGCAACAGTATACAAATTCTTGGGAAAGCTGCAGGTAATACTGTACAGGCTTCCAAAAATAAGAGTAAACAGCCAGCCCCATAGCATCATGAGGCTGGGACCCACATATGCCGCATACTAGTCCTCGGGCTACTTGTGTCGACGATCAGCCGCGCCGTCGGGAGCGATGCCTTCCAGCATTGTCTGTGCCGCACGAGGCTGAGGCCACGTGCCCAGAGGCGTATTGCATTCTCTCTGCACTGTTATTGGCATTATATTTTCCTTTCTTGAAAGGCTGGGACTTGGGTGTTTATCACTGTATGATAGTGCCATATACGTTTTATATATATGTGGATCAGAAACGAAACCACCCACTTGGATCCACCTACGTAGTCAGTCAGTCGCATGCCGGCCACGATAACAGCCTTCTTAGTGGACCATCCGATCGGACTTGGCTGTATAATCAAGAGCCGCTGGCCAGAGGAAAATCACTGCCTGCTGCTGATCGCAAGACTTGGGCCTGTCCTGTTCCATTTTATTCGACTTGTTCTGATCTGATAAACTCTACCCTCAAACCCAGGACAGTGTCTCATTTTCTAGCTCTTTGCTCGACCACCCGTGGCTGAAATCTTGCCCACGCCTTTGACAAAGCTTTGGGCAGTGGCAAGCGCACATATTGTAGCAGTAGAGATTTCTCATATTCATTCAACTCGTCTCCCATTACATTATTGCAACTATTACTTCTACACACTATACCACAACGGGGACTAGCCGGAACTCATCATCTCCCCTTTCCTTCCCGCGTGATCCCAGGCCCCGTTGCTGAATGCCTGAAGGAAGCCCTCTTATTTCCTATCGTTGTTGGCCTTTCACCATTAAACCCATCCCATCTAATTCATTTCCCATAAATCTTTCCGAAGCGATGTTGCGCTGATTCAACGAAACGCCGTTACAATGCTGTTTTCTGTTGTCCAAAATGGAATGCTTCGGAGGTTACGCCGCCAAAGATTAGGGCATCGCCTATGCACAAAACAACCCAGGGTTTTGGACGGGGGTATCAAGTAATTATGAAGCGAGAGTCGCACAAATCAAGGTGTTCCGGAGGTTTGAGAACCCCTTGGACCCAAGCAAGGGGTCACTGCTGGTTGCAATCGACAACGGAGCAGCTGGACCAGGTCTCCGTTGTGCATGTCGTTCTGATCCGACTTCAGGTCGCTCGGGAATTCCAAGGTCGACGCGGCGGTAGTCATCGGCTGGCATATTACCAGAGCGGGCTCCTTCTCGGTTGCTGCCGACGCGAAACTACCCGCAGCGGGCTGCAGGGCTGAGGTGCCATTAAGCTAAGGCGGCCGCTAAGCGGCGCGTTGGAGACCTGGTCGGGGCCCGGCTAGCCAGGGGGTCGCGATTGCTTATTTAAATGTCGAGGCGATCGACTGGGCCATTTGCAGCAGTTGCTGGCGTTGGGTGACACCATGCCTGCACGGCTGCAACGAGACCGTCGAAAGCTGCACCTGCGACTACCTCACCACCACAACCTCAGACACCTCGTCGTCTCTCGTGGATCCGCGCTCGCCAGCACCCCACATGAGCTGGCCGTTGAGGTTCATGGGGATTGTGACGTGGTTGAAGTCGGGATCGGTGGGCGTCGTCGGGGACATCAGGGTGGGGCTGGTGGTGCTGGTGCGGGGCGTGGACGTGGACGAGAAGCTGGAGCTGCTGCCCAGGGTCCACTCGTCATCCTCGCTGAGGTGCATGCTCCTCCTCTCGAGCAGGCCCATGCCGTACTCGCCGCCAACGCCGATGTAGCCTTCTTCCTCGTCCAGGGTCTTGGGCTTCTCGCCGATCTCGACGTACTCATACTCCCAGCGGTGGCGCTTGTTCGGCTGCTGGCGGGGTAGGTAGCGGGTGCGAGCAATGTAATAGTAGGCGGTTGCGATCAGGGCGCCACCGACCAGGTCGACGGCGTAGTGGTGGTTGAGATACATGGTGGCCCAGCACAGCCAGGCGACGTACATGATGAACAGGGAGCGTGCGCGGGGGAAGCAGTAGCTCATGAACAGGGCCTCGAGGGTGGCGTTGGCGGCGTGGAGGCTGGGGAAGGCACCGAAGGGCACGGGGGCGGTCGAGAAGCTGGTGGTGTACATGTCGACGCCGAAGAGCTGGTCAACACGGGCCAGGCCGGCGGGGCTGCCTGGCATGCCGTAACGGGCAGGCTCCAGACCGTGCTCCTTCTCATACCAAGGCGGCGTGCAGGGGAACACCAGGGCCAGGGTGACGCCGGTGATGGCCAACCAGCCGAAGGTCTTGGCGAAGACGGGAGTGGTGGAGGGAGCAGCGAAGATGAACATTGCCAGGGCGCAGACGGCAGGGCCGCCAAAGTGGCCGATGCCGTAGGGGAGCCATGCAAGCAAGTCGAGGACGGGGTGGGTGTGGGCCGAGAGGATGTTGGACAGGTTGGCGCCATACAGGACGTTCTCGAGGGCGGGCAGGACCTTGACCCAGATGTGAGGGCGGACCTCGACAGGGATGAAGCTGTCGACCCGTGGTCAGCTCGTGGACGGGGCCAGGAGAGGGGCAAGGGCGCGAAATGGGACGGGAACTCACCGGCTGCAGAAGAAGTAAATCAGGTATACCCAGATGGACATGGAGGGCATGAAGAACTGCCTGGTTGCGGGCATCAAGCACACGAGAAGCGACACCATGGGAATAGCGATCTTGAAGAACAAGGGCATAGGCGCGATGGTGACTGAGAAGATCATCAGGGCAGCCAGGGCGACCCACTGAATGTCGGACCAGCAAAGCCTATGGCGGCGACAGGCACGCACGCCGTCGAGGGGGTTGAAGGAGCGCTGCAGCCTGGTGACGGTGTTGGAGTCGCGGTACGGGTGGCGCCATGGCTTCTTGGAACGGCTCCTCTTGCTCCTGCTGCTGGCGGGCCGGAAGTGCTCTGGGATGGCGATGTTTAATGCGCGGGGCCACTGCAGGTGTGGGATGTGCAGCTTTGGCTTAGCCTGGCCGAGGAACGAGTTTGCGTCGTGCATTTTCGCTGTTGCAATGGCGGCCTGTCCCGGACTGAAGGGGGTGGGAGAGCAGCGGACTAGTAGCGACCCGGCCGGTGGCGGGATCGGTACTTTGGGCAAGGGAGGTTGGGGGAGGTGGGCGAGGTGGGCGATTGGAGATGGATGACGCTATTGCCTGCTCATATATATCATGGTCGACAATGAGTCAACTGGGCTGGAACTCTCGGGGACGCAAACGCAAGACGCAAGACGCAATACGGAAGAACAACCAGTCAGTCGGAGCCGAGAAGCCTGGTGCGTGGATGGCTGGATATATGGTCGGGGGGCGAGGGTGAGGCCCGTTCTCGTCGTCCCTGTCGTCGCTTTCGTCCTTTCGTGCCGAGACTCCCGCACGGCAGCAACAAGCAGGTAACACCCAGCAGGCAGGGAAGCAGGGTCTGGGCTTCGGTGTTTATTAGCTGTGTCTGCAGGCGGGCTGGCGAGTCGCAGAAAAGGTGTAACAAAACTCGGGAGGGCCAGTCGAGGAGAAAACTTTCCAAGGCAGGGCAACCCTTTATTATTATTATTATTACTGTCAGCCAGCCCAGGAGGGAGCAAGCAGCTAAATGCAATGCAGGCATTGCAGGGCGGTAAGGCAGACATGGCCTGGGTCAGAATTGGGACGGAAGCACCCTGATTCCCCCAAGGTCGGGCGGATCCAAGTGCCCGAGGAAGTCGCGAGCGCTGCGCTTCATTCAGACGTCTGTCCCACGCCCTCGCTGCTGCACACCAGCGGCGGGTTGGCACATGTTGGCTCCTGCTGGCACTGGTGGTATCGGTACTTGGGGCGGGTGAGGTGGCAGGGGCTCCCTGCGCAGATACTACATAGTACATTTTTTGGCGGTTCACCACGGGTCAGATGGGGTACCAAGGCGCGCAAATCTTGCAGAGCTTGTACCCTGGTTGCCTGGACCCAACTGGGAGCTCTTGGCCCTTGATGTAGCCTTGTTGTGGGCAGGGATCAGCAGCGCAGTGGTGTCGAGGGCCCATCCGTGCCTTCCGAGCCCGATGGGCACGCGAGCAAGCATGGGCCGAGCTCCCTGCTTTTCCTCGCTCGCCCCCAGCCTGTCACCCTGTCTGGCAGTCAGGCAGTCAGTCAGGCAGTCAGTCGGTGTCCGACTGTCTGTCCAACGCACTCGCAATGCCGACATACACAGTATGCACAAGTCACGCAACACCACGCCAACAAGACAACACACAACACAACCACAGGAATTATGGACGACCTAAGTATATATATGTTTCGTCCGACAAGCACACCAGACAGCCCCCAGCCCATCGTGGCCCGTCTTCTGCCTCCCCACATCACACAAACACACCAATCTGCCGCCGAGTCGTCCTGACGTCAAACGCTTATTGACTTGCCAAGCCCTCTAGCACTCGCTTCAACGCCCTGCTACCCTAGTGGTGACACACCCAAACACATCAGCGCTCCCTGCTCACCAGCTTACACAGCACCAGCCTGGACGGGCCCCGAGTCTCCCGGAAAGTGTCCGACCTGCCAGCCTGCCAGCCCGTCCCACGAGCCCGACACCTACACAGGACTCTTGCACTCTCCATTTCCTTCTCTGATCTGCTGACAAAACAGAAAAACAAACTCTAAACTCTAGTCCCCGCTGGTTGCCCGTTGCCCGTTGTCAATCAGTCTCTATCTTTCCACACGGGCGCCTTCACACGGACGTAATCTGCTGCATAAAATCCGTCAGAAACTCCGAGAGCCCGGAAGGATCACCGCGCTCCGCACTCGTCAGCAGAGCCGCCCCCGAGGTGGCATAGTACTGTCGGTTGTCAGCGAGGGCACGGCACAGCATGTCCCCTACAATTAGGTGTGCGGCACAGGCGGAACACCACCAGAGGAGCTACTTCCTCGCCGCACCTCATTTCCCCCATACCCACATGCTCATCGTGCAAGACATGCCAATTCAGCTACCCCATCCATGGATCCCTTCAGCGAGGACAAAAGGACCAGGAGGCCTGGAGGCTCGTACGACTGGCCAGTGACTACGCTAGTATACCCTGCGGAAGATCAAGAAAAGAAGCCATCACCGATTTTCGTGGCTGTTACAGCATTCATCCTAGCTTCTGCGGCGTGCTTCTGCGGCGTGCTTCGACCTAAGCTGCAGGCCTAATCACCGCCGGCTCTCGACAAAGCTGAAACTCTTCTGGTGACGGCGGACTGGCAGACTGGATGGAATGGAAGTTTGCTGCGCTCCGAATCCCGGTCCCGTGCCCGATTCCCCATTCGATTGACCGCCCAGGGACCGCCTTGAGAAACGCCAGCGCTTGGTCCTGTCGCCCTGTGGGTGGGTCCGAGGTACCGGTACATCTGCACACCACCAGCCATCCACCTCATCCCGCGGTTTGAGGGTGGCACGACAGCAGGCCCCACAGGGCCAGCCAGTTGCTGGTGGTGATTACTTGGACTAGATGATGATGAATAATTACCCAGAGCCGCTCGACAACCTAAATCTGGCTTGTAGGATCGAGGACTTCATGGCACTGCTCACCGTGCATTTGCCCAATTCTGTCGCGACCAGGACCGTCCTCTTGGTGTCATCACTGCCATGACAGCTTCCTGTTCTTTGTTTAGATCGTTGCTTGTTGGCTTGTCTTGGCCCCAAGGAAAAAGGAAGGGCTGATGAGGGTCTCGGTTGGGCAGATGTCGAGCTGCCATCACCACCAGTCAATTCATGCCCACATTTGCACGGAAACATGTGCAAGGGTCCACGCCCCAACCGATCTAACCCCGATCAAGTCGGTCGGATGATTCTTGCAACTGGCTGCGCGTCGATCAATTGCGACCTTCAGACAGGCTCCCCCACTCACCTTACCTGACCCGCTCCGGCCGCGAACTCATCAACGTATCTGCGTGTCATTCGCCTTTATCGCGGCCAGGCAGAATGCCAGCGCGTCGTTGCAGTAGAGCAAATCGAACCGTAGATGGTACGCTATGTGTCAGCCCTTGGCTGCAGTGCCCAACACTGCTTGCGGCTAACAAATCTTGCAAATCTCTTGGGGCTGACGGTGGGAAGCGTTGGTGCACAGCAGCCAAGACATGTAGATCCCCATGTGCCGGGTGCGACGGCATGCGACTGATACGGTATACGGTGTAGTCTACTGTGATAAACGGCGAAATACACAGTACGCTACGCCAACATCGCGACCCAACCTGCCGCTGCACCAACAGTAAACATCTGCTGTGAAGATATCCAAGGGTCTTGGGTCTTGGGTCTTGACTACCCATGCAAAAAGGAAAAAAAAAGCCATTCACAAATCCATCTAATTTTCTGCGCGCTGAAAAATTCGATCTCGATCTCGCCTTTCCGCCGGACCATATTCTCCACATTATTAGCGCCAGCGTGCAGCCGTGAAAAGATCATCTGGCGGGCGGGTCTTGACAATCGACCGACACGCCGGCCACCTCGGTACAGGGTCCGAAGCGCGAAGATTTCGGTCAAGATATCCCTGCTGCGAATTCTAGACCTACGGAGTACTAGCCTACCTTTCCTTCCTGTCAGTGGGTCAACTACGCTTTGATTTATTAATATATTTTCTTATCCACCACCGATCACTATGTCAAGTTAGGTTTGCCCATACCAGATGCCAACCCGCCGGGTTCGCGCAGGACCTGTGAATCCCATGGTCGCGTGTTTGGATGGCAGGGGGGAGTCAAATGGACAACCAGACTTTTGTCTTCGGCCATGGACAGCTGAACCAGCCTGGCATTTTGACATAGGTTGGCCCCCATGCTATACCGGCAGACTTCAGAGTTGCGTTGGACCGACTCAAGGTCAATGTCGAGTCAAGCTTCTACACCCGGATCTGCACCTAGAGACGCAGTCACAGTCTGCCACTTCACGACGCACAAGCGCGACCACGCCAGTGCTGACTGATCAACTGGCTGCTGACTGGGATGGGATGGCACGATGACACTGGGTCTCCCCCGAGAACTGGTCGGCAGCCCCGGGCTTGTCTTTGACCGTACTGGCCGGGCCTGAATCACATGTGTTGTCTGGCAGAAGTCAATTGCCACTGTAGATCATCAGAAAGAAGCTTATTAGCTGCAGCTGCCGCGCAGCGCCAAGTCAGGGCGCGTTGAGCCAACGTCGCGCCAGAGACTCAACCTTATTGTGCGAGGGGAGCAAGGTCTTCCGGTCATCTCGCTGTTCGGATTCGTCGGACCACCCCCGGGCGCGACAAGCTTGTGCTTGCTCGGTGTCTTGCCCTCCTGTCTGGGGGTGGGACCGCCCGGTACTCTGGTAGTCTTCCACTTCGGTGCCGAGCCTTCTTGACCATCATCCCTCCTGTTCCTGCCGCGACTGGTGAACCCTCACCCGAACCCAGGACCGAGACATGAGCAAAGAGGCAGAGGCCGAGGGACCGAGCTCTGTTCATATCCTTCTATCCCGCGCAAGAAGCTGCCTGCTGCACCCGAGGGAGATGAAGAGCAGAATCCTCAGCTTTATCCATGTACGTCACTTTTGTGGGCTGCCCCCCAAGCGAACCCTTCAGCTCCTGGCGGGTCTCGGCGAGCTTCCCTCGGGTGCTGGGCGGCAGGGCGGATGGTGTGTCGAGTTTGACAGTCCGAGCTTCTGCGGGCGGACTTGCCGTGTTTCCCGCCCCCGGACCGTCCGTCCGTCCAAATCTGGCCGGTCCATCGTTCTTCCTGCGCCCCTGGGAGGCAGGCAGCGGCTTCCTTGAACCCCCCGGCGGCATTGTTGTTGGGCGCTTCGCCCCGCCCCTTTGCTGTCTGACACGCGATACGGGGTACGGACGCGTTCCTGACTATCTATCTAGTCTATCTAGTATGCATGTCTAAGGTTGATGTGGGCGGATCTGGGTTTGAAGAGGCTGTGTGTGTCGTGTGGTCTGCCATGTCAGTCTTGGCCCTCGTGGCCTCGACCAGAATGGCGGGACACAGCCGCCGGGGCCTGGGTTCTGTCTGTGTACTCCCTACACAGTCGCCAAGCGAGCCCGTGGGCTTGTGCATGAGCTTGGGCTAGGCTTTTCGGTCTGGGCGGGCTGGCCTGAGCTGCTGTGATGATGATGATGATGATGTAGTCTTGACTTGGCCCACCTGACTGCTGAATATGTGATCACGATCCCCGTGGTCTGTGTGTGTTTCGGGTAGATGGATTGCTGGTGATCACGGCCGGGGAGCAAGCAAGACTGATTCTATAGCTACAAATCTGACATCACTTATCATCATGGCTTTGCCATGTGGCTTACTACTTGCCTACCTAGCTATGCCACCAAGAGTCAACACCCAATAAACCTATTGAATGGGAACTTATTAAGAGGGATGTTATAGCACTATCCCAGCGTCAGTTGCCTCGTACAGTTCTCTCCAGGAGCTTGTTCCGCAGAGGGACAGTCTAAACTAGAGCATCCTACGTGGGTTTAGGCAAGGAGCACTCACTATTGGGTGGTCCATGAAGTGCCCAGGTGTAGTTGACACCGGAATGAGCTTGCCTGGGTTCAGCGCAAAATCCGTACTTTCTCATCGACGGCATGGATGTGCTGCTGTTGAATGCTAAGTACCACGAGGACACTTGCCAAATAGAGTCAGTCTTATGGGACAGAAGGCATAGGTTTTGATGTCCGGATGTCCGTCCGTAGCTAGCAATATCGAAGATGGAGCTGGTCACTTCAACCAGTGCAAGCTCAGTAGCAAGCGCACTTTGTCAAAGGCACATGCATAGTCATGAAGTTGAGGATGGCATCAGTATTCTTGTACGTCACAAGCCCCGTTGCACCGGTTTGCCCTAATGATTGATATTTGACAAAAAAAGGCTGCACATCTCTACCAGCTCCCGTGTTGGGCTGAGCTGGATACATAACTCCTGGCCCGTAGGGCGAACAACATGCTCACCCGTCGGGTTGTCCCGTCTACCCAGATATATACCAAAAGAAATGCATCGTATAGGCTTGATACATTCGGATATCATGAAATGAATTCATCTCTTTGCAAACGCTGCAACTCTCCTCCCCTCCCCCCGACCCCGAACCTCCCCCTCCCTGCTGCTGTCTCGTCACCATCCTACGCCCGCCCTCCTCCCGTTGTCATTCTCCCCTCTTCATCTCCTGGGCGGCGTCCACAAGCCCTTGGATGTCTCGACCACCTTGTTCACCTCCATGCCCGGCCTCAGGCTCACCGGCACCTGGTTCTGGGCCAGCGGCGGGGCCTCGCCCATGGCGACGTCGCCGTCGGGCTGGGTGGCGTAGCCCGAGTCGTTGTTGCGGCTGCTGGCCATGCTGACGCCGCTGTCCTCCTTCCTGGCGGGCGGGGAGGCCGCGCCACCACCACCCCCCCTCGTGGGCTCCTGGCTCCTGGCGCCGTCCATGAGGCCCGCGGCGGCCTGGCCCTCGCGCAGCTTGTTGATGGCCCTGACGGTGTCGATGGCGGCGTGCAGGGTGCGGCGGGCGTTGAAGTTCTTCTTGACGGTGGGCAGCAGGTTGGCGCCCTTGTCGGAGCCGTCGCCGGTCATGTAGCCGACGACGAAGGGGTGCTGCAGGGCCTCGTGGGCGGTCATGCGGCGGGCGGGGTCGATGGTGAGGCAGCGGCGGATAAAGTCCTTTGCGCCGTCGGAGACGCCGCGCCAGTAGTCGACGGGGGTGAAGCTGTAGTCGGCGTTGAGGATGGCCTGCATCTCCTCGAAGTCGCTGTCGCGGTCGAAGGGGGTATAGCCGCACAGCAGGAAGTAGGTGATGACGCCGAGGGCCCACAGGTCGACGGGCTTGCCGTGGCCCGACTTCTTGAAGATCTCGGGGGCCATGTAGCCCGGGGTGCCGCAGGTGGTGGTCAGCACGTGGAACTGCTCCTCGTCCATGACGCGGCTCAGGCCAAAGTCGGCGATGAGCAGGTCGGCGTTGTCCTCGGGCGTGCGGAACAGCAGGTTCTCGGGCTTGAGGTCGCGGTGCACGATGCCGTGGTCGTGCAGGTAGGCCACGGCCGACAGGGTCGCGCGCACCAGGTCGGCCGCGTCGGCCTCGTAGTACGACCCCTTGCGGCAGATGCGGTCGAACAGCTCGCCGCCCAGCGCCAGGTCCGTCACCAGGTATAGGTTGTTCATCGTCTCGAAGTAGTCGACCAGCGTCAGGATGTTCTGGTGCCCCATCGACACCTTCTTGAGCACGGCGATCTCGTTGCGGACCTGCGGGGCCGCCGGGGCGTGTCAGTATGATGGCCCAGAGAAGAGGGAGGAGGGAGGAGGGACTCGTGTGCGCACCATGTGTTCCCTCCCCGACATCAACCTCTTGTTGATGACCTTTGCGGCATAGTACCGCCCTGTGTCGATGTGCACGCACTCCTTAACCACCGAGTATGACCCTGCCCCGAGTGTCTTGCCAACCTTGTACCTGCATGGTTGGACCTGAGGCTGTTGGCCGGCATTGGCGCCGGCTTGTTGGACGGCTGCCGCCATTGTGTGTGTCAATGTGTGTGTGTGTGTGTGTACGTGTATGTGTGTAGGTGTGTTTGTATGCTTGTGCAGGTGTAGGGGTGTCTGCCTGCGATGCGGTGTGGTTCACGCGCGTGGGTTCGTCTATGTGTGTACTGTGTCTCCCCCTCTACCAGACTGTCGGTCTGTCGGTGTGAGCTCCACGGACGCGGGCAGAGAGAAAGAGACCGGTCTGGGTCGCGCCCCGCAATTGAGGTCGTCGTCAGGCGATGGGCGAGGCTGCTGCTTGGTCGCTGGGGTCGGTACCGTGATGACAAAAGCCCTGCAGTCCGCGGGTGATGATTTCTAGTCGTCGCTATCTCTGTCGTTGTTGTCCTCGTCAATATCTCCTGAGAAGGAGAGATTGCGCGGTCTCAGGGTCCTGCAGAAACAAGTGGCCAGGCCCCAGGAGGCTGTGGGTCAGCCGTCTCCGTATTATTTTATCCCGGGAGAAGGCGATTGAGTCGGGCTGGGCAGCTGGGATGGGCTGGGCTGGGCTGTTGGTTGCTTATACGAGGGTCAGAAGAGAGGGGGAAAAAAACAGATGCGATCTTACCTGACCGCATTAATCAGAGTCATATGCCAGCAAGTGGATCGGAGGCGTGGCATTGAATCTGGGAGAGGGGAGATGTCCAAGATGGCTCCGGTTGGCAGTGTTCTTCTGCTGTAGTCCTGTGCTTGTGCTCACAATTGTCTTATTGTTAACGTGAGATGGCCCGTCAGCTGCAGTCTGCAGAGCCAGACCACGGCTGCCCCTCACTTTCACGAGCCAATCATCGAGAAAATGCAATCGATTCCCGGCTGCTGTGCAATAAGGAATCGGCATGGCCGCACCCAACGGCCACAACCCCCCGCCCGCTAGGACCTATACAGCTGTTGGACTGCTCAACGTTTGTTGGTGTCCTTCGCGACGTGTCTTGTCTTTGTCTTGTCACTGACCTGACAGGACCCCAATGCCCCAATGCTCCAATGCTCCAATGCAGGCTGTCGCTGTCATTCCCGGGAGCTTGTTGAAGCTGGACCCTGGACCCTATCGAGAGCTCCCATCCTAGCGTCTTGGTCTGAACCAGCAGCCATCTCATATGCGTGTGACGGGCTAGGTCCATCTATCTAGGTACCTTGGGTGGTGATGATGCATTTATTATTTATGTGAAGCCGAGGCACCGTCCTACTCGGAACCGCCCCTTCGGGATTGCTTCTTTGAGCTTTGATGTTTCTTCGCCTTCAGCCTGGACTCTCGGAATGACCTCTCGCTGGCCGGCTTTTAGCTGTCTGAGTCTGGCGACTTGTGGGTGAGTCGGAGAGAGAGGAAGAGGGCGGCTTACAGTGCCTTGTGCTTTTGCACCTTCTCAGCGCTCGTGTCACCGGGCACGGCATCACTGTACATCTGGTGCAGCTCTTCCAGCAGCTTGGCCCGGTTCTCGTCGGCATTTGCGTTCCTGTCGCGCTTTGTCTGCGCCTGAAACGAGATGCAGTCTTTCCCCTTGACGTAGTTCTTGGAGGAGCGCAACAGAGGGCGCATGAGCTTTGGCACGACCTGGCTCAGTTCTGACACGGACCAGGTGGTGATTGCCTTGGTCTCAGTCCTGCGGACAGTGTGGGCGGCATGTCAGTGCATCTGGGTCGAGACGTTGAGGCGTCGAGACGGACTTGTTCACGTGTTGCCCACCTGGACCACTCGACCTGGCAAATGAGGTTGTGCCCTTGGGTATGGCAGCCTCGCTGAAGCCCTGACGCCACCTCCTGGCCTCTGCCAGGTCGTCAGGGTCAAATGAGGCATCGAAGGCCTGGCCTCTTGCAAATCTCTTCCATGGTGCCAGCTGGACGGCGTGGGCAAGGGGCAGAGGCTGGCAGGTGGTGAGAAGTGGAAGCCTCGTCAGGGATCTTGTTGTCATCGTGGGATCATTGTACAAAGACCGAGTGAGGGCCATGCATGCAGCTCGATGAGGTTGAACGTTGAACGCGGAAATCAAGACCGATCAAGACCGACTAAGCCGCATTTCGACAGGGAAGAAACGGGCAGAGTGCTCCGCAGCCCAGAAGATGCGATGCTTGGATGACAAAGAGCCCAAGACAAGAGCCCAAGAGCCCAGCTTCGTCCACCTCTGCGACGTTTGCAACTGCCAGTTGCGGTCAGAACTTGACCCTGGAGCACCATCTGGCCAATTGGCCATTTCACATTTCCTCACCACCTGGGCAGCTGGGCAGTCAGTGACGCTTTTAGGCACCAGAGTTGGACCAGGCAAACTGGGCGACCGTCCGCCGGCCGCCGCCTAGTAGTACTGGTTTCCCTCCCGGCTTCCAAGGTTTCCCCTCCCCCACTTTAGCGCAAACTTTACTGCTCCAGCATTTCTTCGAGCTGGCGCGCAGTATCTGTTACCCCGTCCGCAGCTTCCTCCTCCTTGCAGTTTGCAGTCTGCAGTCTGCAGTTTGAAAATCCACTCTTGAGAGTCAACTCTGGTCGCCCTCCTCCCACCCCACCCCACTGCTGGTCCCCATCACCATGGTCTTCAGGACCTGCATCCTCTAGCAGCTTTTTTCGAGATTTTCTTGACGCCCCTCCCGGCCGTCTACCTCGCGTGCGCCGCGCGCTCCCTTGATGACAGACGACGAGAGTCCCAAGCTCGAGGCTGTTGCCAACCTCAGCCCCGTCTCGCCGCGCCCTCTCCATAACACATACACTCTCCCACAGGTCCTCCCAGAGCTCCAGGACCTGGCCGAAGACCCAGACGTAGTCCCCCTCCAACTCTCAACCTTCCGCACCGCTGCTGCGGCCATGGCTCCGATCCAAGACCAGCAACAGCAGACCCTCGACCCTGCTGCTGCTGCTGCTGCTGCTACTGCGGCGGGCCCACCCGACTCGGACGGCAACGACGCCCAGTTGCAAGACATCAGCATAGCCGACGACGACAGCTTCGATGCGTACGACGAGGACGGGGCCGGTCAAGAAGAGCAGGAACACCAGCAGCAGGAGGACACAGCCGGCGTCGAGGAGCCGGAGAACGATGACTATGCGAGAACCTTTGATTCTCCCAAGGAACAGGCCGATGTCGCGGATGGGCAAGGAGAGGCCCAACAACCCCAGCATGAAGATGTAACAAAGACGCCAGAATCCATGAACATTTCCGAGCAGCTTGCAGGTGTCCCAGAGCAGTCTGCCGCCCAAATTGTCTCTGCTGAAGATCCCACCGGCCCCGGCATATCCGCCGCCCAAGCCTCCCAACCCTCCCAGCCAGCCCAGCCAGCCCACGCCGCAGACCCGGCCCAAGACGCCCTCGTCCCCCCAGAGAGCGATCACCAGTCCGCACCAGCCTCAGCAGTCCAAGAGGCGCCCCCACATGCCGCCGCCAGCGACCCTGCCAGCCTTCTCCAACAGCCCCAGCAGCCCCAGCAGCCGGTGGCATGTCCCGATCCCGACAAGGTAGACCCCGATAACCCCGATAAGCTAGACAGGGCTGCCCCCAGCGAAGAGCAGCAGCCCGGCGTCCAGCCCGAGGACGTCGACATGAACGAGGGAGATGATCCCGATGCCACTGCCATTGATATCCAGAAACTTGTCGATGAGATCACTGCCAAAGCCGCGGCCGAGGCTGAGGCTGAGGCTGAGGCTGATGCTGAGGCTTCACCCGAGCAGCAGCAGCCGCCGCCTGCCAAGCCATCCCCATCGCTCCAGACCCAGTCACCTCCCTCTATGGATGTAGACCAGCCGTCCCTCCCCCCCAAGCCCTCCCTGACCCAAGAGCAGTCGGAGCAGACCTACTCCCAGCCTTCCTACCACCATGGTTCAGTGCCCACCACCGCCCCATCTTATTCATCTGCGCCCGCTGCCAATCCCTCCCAGCCCGCCTTCAGCGCCCCCAACGGCGCACCAGGTGCCCACATGTCGCAGCCTCCCGCTTACAACCCCACTCCCTCTTTTGCCTCGTACCCCAATGCCTACCCGCCTGGCACCGCGCCCCCACAAGCCCCTGCAAACAATGGAGGACCCGGACTGCAGCAGACATATGACGAGTTCCTGGCCGACGAGCGGAAGCACATGTCCGAGGCCAAGTGGGAACGCTTCCCTGATGGCTCTCGGATCTTCATAGGCAAGTACTCTCACCAACAGGCCAAGACACCAGCCAGTATCGCTGACCAGGCTCGCAGGGAACTTGTCCCAGGAGAGGGTCTCCAAGCGCGATGTGTTTGAACTGTTCCACCACTACGGTCGACTGGCCCAGATTTCTCTCAAGTCTGCCTACGGCTTCGTCCAGTACCACACGAGTAGCGATGCCCAGGCCGCCATGAATGCTCTCCAGGGAGCCGAGGTCAAGGGTCGCAAGATCAGTATGTTGTCTGGCCCCACTTCCTAGATGAACCCTCACTAACATGGTCCAGACCTCGAGGTCTCCAAGACCCAGAAGTCCAAGAAGGACCGCGACCATTCTCCTGACCGCAAAAACCGTGACCGGGGCGGTAAGGGCGCCGACCGATATGACGGGCGCGACAGCCGCCGTTCTCGTGGGGACGATTATCGCCCTGGTCGGTCACCGTCTCCACCCAGGCGTGGTGACCACCGCGGTAGACAGGACTCTTACAATCGCGACCGTGGTGGTGGTGGTGGTGGCCACCATGAATCATTCAACCGAAAACGCTCGCGTTCTCCAGACGCCTATGGGAGACACGGACACGATGCGTACAGGCGCCGGAGCCCCAGCCCCTACGGCCGGTCTCGCCAAGGGAGCGATAACCTCGACATCCCTCGTCGCTACGGCAACGACGTACCCGATGTTCAGATCCTCTTGATGCAGGATGTCCACAAGGACTTTGTTGAGTGGGTGCAGAGAGCGTTTTTGGACGCACGTCTTAGAGTGACTGCGATGTTCCTGAACCCTCGCTTCCCTCGCGACCAGGTCATCCAGCGACAGGTTGTGGAAGGCGTCCATGCTGTTGTCGAACTGGACATGCGCGCTCAGACGACTGCAAAGATCCCGCTCCAGGTGTTTGACCGCTCCGCCGGAAGCAACGTCCGGTTCGATCAGTACCAGGAGTTGGACCCACCGATCGCCGCCCAGCTGGTCCTGCGTGCCAAGGGCTCCGTCGCACCGCAGCCAGCCTATCCGCTGCAACCCAGCTACCCACCGCAGCAACCGTATGGGGCGCCGGCACCGTATGGTGCTTACCAGCAGCCTCCAACCCCAGCGCAGCAGTATCCTGCTCCCGCTGCCGCTCCAGACCTGACGGCCATCATGGCCCAGCTCAGCCAGATGGGCAATGTCGACCCTGCGACCCTGCAGACCATCATAAGTACCATCCAGCAATCTCAGCCGCAGACACCTACTGCGGCCGTGCACCCTGCTCACCCGATGGGAGCACCAGCTGCACCGAGCGCTGGGGTTGATCTCAATGCGTTGATCGGTAACCTCACCGCAGCCTCCGCTGCCAATAATACCCAGACTGCAATGGGGGTTCCTGGCATGCCGGGTTATCCTGCGCCTGCCTACCCACAGGCTCCTCGCGGACCGGCCATGCCGCCTGCCGCAGGGTCATCAGATCCCGCCCGTGATGTGCAGAACATCATGGACACACTGGCCAGGATTAGACAATGAGTGGCCTAGGCCCCGGGCGGGTACACATTGACGACCCAGACGGTGAGCCTGGTTGCTGCTGTTGCTGTTGTTGTTGTTTTGATTTGAGTGTTATGTTTAGAAGTTATGGGCCACGGTGATAGCCATAGAAGGCTGGACTTCGCGTTTGCGAAGACTCGTCGGACGAGGGGGTTCATGCGGCAAGGAGTATCGGAACAAAGTTTGATGACAAATGACCCAGCTCTAAAAACAAGAGCGGCTAGAACAGAGGACAGCTGTTCGTGTGCGTGTGAATAGATAATTGAGTTATTGTACATTCGATTTGACCCCAAGACCGTCATCTCTGGGGCTTCTGTGAGCGGAGAGATGACGAGGAGTGTTGAGAAGTAACGCTCTAGTAGCACTACGTGTCTATATATAAACATGCAAGTCTGTCGGGGAGGTTGTTTTTGTGTATGAGCTTCCTAACTCTCTTCCATCATGCTGGCCAGTGCCCCCAGTTGCTGCTCATTTGGCGGCCATTCGGGCGCCGCCAGCAACGACACCACAAGCGCCTCCTGCCGGGCCACCGCCTCAGGGCTCCAAGGGCTCCCGGTATCACCACCGACCCAGCCGCCGCCGGCCAGGTCCACCCACTGCGCCAGCTCCTTGCGCAGATCCGCGGGCGACCTGCCCACGACCGGCAGCCCGCGGTCCTCACACGCCAGCACGACCTCGTCGTCCTCGAGCGCGGGGACGCCGCCGGCCTGCGAGAGGAGGTGGCCGTCGCGGACGAGGTAGGCGGCGTGGGCGCGGACCCTGCGCGAGGCCAGCAGGGCGACGGCGGAGTCGGGCAGGGGCAGGCGGTCCCAGAGGGGCGAGACGAGGCCCAGCGAGCGCGCGACGTGGGCGGTGACGGCCGCGGCGGCGGCGCCGCTGTTGTTCCTCTTCCCTGTTGTTGTTGTTGTCGTCGTCATCGTCGTCATCGTCGCCGCCGAGGCCTGCCGCCGCGCCTCGGCCGCCTCCCGCAGCTGCTCGACCTGCCGCGGGATCCGGCACGTCAGGGGCACGACGCGGGGGAGGAGGAGGACGACGAGGGGCGTGAACTCGCCGCAGACGACGAACATGAGGGCGAAGAGCGGGAGGCGCCGCACGTCGTGGCGCCAGCGGCGGCGCAGGAGCTCGGTGGAGCGCGTCGTCGCCGCGGGGCGGAGGGTGGGCGGCGATGCTATGGTGTTGCTATTGCTGGTGCTGGTGCTGGTGCTGTTGGTGTTGCCGGGGGACAGTGACGGGGGGATCCCCGAGGCCGTCCCCAGGGACCACACCAGGCGCGTGTTGGTGTAGATCTGCCGGAAGCCCGTCTTGTAGAAGGTCAGGTAGGCCTTGCCCGTCGCGAAGAGGTGCGAGAAGGTGCTCGCGGACGGGTCGCGGGCGGGCAGGCTCAGGGGCGGCGGGCGCGTCGAGGCGGGCGGGTTCGCGGCTGTTGGGGAGATGCCGTGTGTCTGTGCTGCTGCCGCTGCGCTTGCGGGCTGCTTCCGGGCGTGCGGCGACGTGGAGAATGGCTGTCGTGATGTGTGCGGGCGGTGGTGGGAGGAGCTGAGCTGCAGGAGCAGCAGCTGGGACGGAGGGGGTCGTGTTGAGGTGCGCAGGACGCGCAGATGGGTAGTCGAGGTCATCTCATCGCTGGGTCGGTGGGGTTCTTCAAGATGCGGGATTGTTGCAGATGTGTGAAAAAATGCGATTGTTCATGACGGATGGAAATTTGAGCCAGTCAGTGGATGGAATTCAATGCGTCGGGCATTACGTCAATCACATCTTGGGGCTGCTGCAGTGCATCTTAGATCAGAAGGGTCTAGGCCACGCTGGACCGCTGGGATCTGCTGAAACACCCCTGTCCATCACTTCCCTACTGGCCTTGGTTCCCAGGTACCACGGAATGGCCCAAACGGCAAGTACTCAAGTACCCTGTCACAGCCACACGAAAAGTAGAAAAAGGTCAACATGCAGTCGCCCGTGTGTGGCTTGATTATTATTAGTGCCTACCCGCTTCTCCCATACGGAGAGCACTCCCCAGGTCATTGATTACACGACCAACACTGCCAAAACGGTATCGCTGCATAGATGCTGTGGCCCCGCAGTGGCTTACTCGTTCCCAGAATTCCCTTTACAGCTTGGATGACGATCCTGGCAATACCCTGTCGTAATCTCAGCTTCCGGAACCACAAGACAGATCAGGCCGGGCTAGTTCACATACGCCGTGCACTCAATCTCAACGTCGGTGTTGAACGGCAGCTGCTTGACAGCAACGCAAGTCCGGGCCTGCGGTGGAACAGTTAATGGAATGCTCGCTCAGGGCAGCGTGCCAGTGTGGGCCGACTCACAGGCTTCGGCTCAAAGGTGAAGAATTCATCATATGCCTCGTTCATGGTGGCGAAGTCGTCCATTGTAGTGATGTAGACATTGACCTTGAGCACGTTCTTTATGCTGCTGCCGGATGCCTCAAGGACAGCCTCGAGGTTCTTCAGGGCTTGTCTCTGGCGGTGATCATTAGCTTCTGGCCCGTGCCGGGATTATGAGAACAGCCGAGAGTTACCGTCCTGTCCTTGACAGTCCCTGGGACGGCTGTGAAGGTCGCTGGGTCAAGCCCGATGTTGCCTGAGCAGTAGACCAGGCCGTTGTACTTGATCGCCTGAGAGAATTGGGGGAGTGGCTTCGGCGCCTTGTCCGTGAGGACGCTTTCGACCTTGCTCATATTGATGGAGGTGCTAAGTGGATGTGCAGAAGAGTAACCGCTCAAAAAGACCTGTTGATTCGCAAATGAAGCAGAAAATGGGTTGAAGAATGGCTACTGCGCAGCGGGCCGAAACTGACGGCGGCTAGGATCGGGATGAGATCCGATGTCGTGCCGGAACGACTTATCGGGGACCAATCGATCGGGCATGCCGGCAAGGGACCCCCGACCCTCCTCACTTACGAAATGCAGTATCCCTTCAACGCCTTTCTATTTCTTTTCAGGTGTTGACCCAGTGTGTTCCGGCTCTATAACTCAAACAAGCGTAACAGAAAAACGAGCAATGGCTCTTTACAAGAAGCAGCAGTGACCGACAAGTTGAAACGGGGAGATTCGATCCATCAACGCGCCCTTATAAATTTGCCGGGTACAAACGAACGTTCCGTCTATAGTAAACAAAAGAGATGCGCTACACAAGCCTACTACAACCTGACATGATCTTTTTGCTTGGTTGAAAGAAGCCCTGTCCTTAAAGCGTCAGCCTGGGTTGCCCCAAGATGGCTGGGGCAGGGGTCAGCCCTGGCAGCCAGCCCACGGGAACCGTCCAGTACTCGGTCCGTCCCGGGGCCAAGCTTACCGACCCCACAACGAAATACCAGCCACTCGGTACTGAACACAGCCTGAGACTGGCCTGACAGAGGAATTACACTCTCACCACGTTCCATCTGCTTTCGAGGTGGCTAGACTCACATTCGGAGAAACGACCGGAAACTCGCAAAGGGGCCAGGCCTTCAAGAGAAGAAACAGTGCTGGTCAATGACAGCTTCATGGTACCGGTACGCGTCAAACTGGGCGCCGATGCCGCGAAGATCGTCCTCCATAGGCGACTTTTTCTCAGTGTACCCCCTTGAACGATCTTGATGGGCGTGTCGAGGGGTATCGGTGTCCTTCAGTTGACACTGGGTGGCAGCGGAACGGCCCGGTTGTTCGAGGCTGGCCTGCTCAGGCTGTGCCCGACCGTCCGCCGACGTCGCACCGGCAGGGGCTTCACTGGCATGGCTGCGATTGTTTGTCAGCGATCCGCCATCTTATTGCCAGTCAACAAAGGAGGACAGTTGCTTTGAAGTTGTGAAGAGGGAAGACGTTGTGGGTGTGTCAGTGTCGTCTCCAGGTCTCCAGCATCTATACCTGCGCTTGTGCTGGAGTCTTCCTGGCCGCGGATGTCCTCGTCCTCATTGGCAAAAAGTGCAAGCGCCAGCACCGGAACAACGCACGCACTCGGAACATGTATGAGCTACGCTAGGGGTAACATGTCTTGGGTCTTGAGTGATCAAGGAAAAGGGGATTCTCTGTGCCATCGACAAATAAAGAGCTCAGAGTGAACCCATCATTTGGTATCTCGTGAGGCGGCAATGAGGCCCGGTGACATGAGGGATGGAGACAGGCGAGGAAAACTGTCATCGACCAAGGGAACGACTCAAGGGAATTTTTGACGCACTTTGACGAGAATGAACCCGCGTCGGCTGGGGTTGAAGACATGATGAAGACCTCGGGAGAATGGAATTTTCCTAGTGGAGTGGTCGATGGCAGCAGCAGCAGCAGCAGCAATGCTCTGAGTTGAAAAGACAGTTGAGAATCGGCAGGCACATCAAGACTGAGAAGACGAACTGAATATGTCTGAGGAAAACTGAGCGCCATTGTTCACACAGAATAGTCTCCATCTTGCGTTCATGTTGATGTGGGAGACATGTTCTTATGAATGCCACAGATCCAACTCATGGAGGTGAAGGCAGGAGGCAGACTTTGTGCGCCCGGCAAACGGTCTGTCGGCCAGATAGGAGGGAGCAAGTCTAGAGTACTTGGATAATGCCACCGAGCCTTGCTGAGAAATAACACCTGCCTGCTCTTGGCTTGGACGAGCGAGTTCTGTCGAATCCCTGGCAGTGGATGGCCAAGGTATTCCCGCCACACATGTTCTCCTTCCTTGTTGTCAGCCGCCGATCCCAGTCCTCGCTGCTGCAGGATGTCGACCCCAGTCGCGCTCATTTACGTGGGAATTGAACTAAATTGCTCAATGTATGAGGGGCCTCGGGGAACGCCAACGTGTAGACCCGTTGCATCAGGGGTCACATTGGTGTTGCGGGTCGGGCTTTCGCATGTAGCCCTCGTATGGAGAGGGCTTACGGCGTGTAGCCCACCCTGCATGCATGGACGGGGCCTGCCACATGTAGACCTGGTGTCGACAAGGATTGTGACCTGTAAGCCGCAAAGGGGGGGAGTGCTAGGAGGCAGCCCCTTGGGGTACGCGCAAATCTGCGAATCACCTTGAGATGAGCAGGCAAGCCTTGGAGACAGACATGCGGCTCCAGGATGCAACCGTTTGGAGACCAGGTGGATAGTTCTCGACATGATTTGATCGTGGCTCCCCGTGGGCTTGATTTGAACACACCACACTGTCTCGGTGTGGCGATCCAGGTAATCTCCAGTCCAGCCAGGGGTGCCAAGCCATCTCAGCTCGCTGCCATGTACACCATGGAAATGTTCTGGAAGGTGGCACGCGGCTCGCAGCTGGTCCTTGAAGGAATAGTATACAATGATTGGTTCCGAGGGCTGGCCAAGGACACGTCCCGGATATTGAGGACTGTGACAGCCAGCCCACAAAGTAGATCGCAGGGCGGTACAGAACTGCAGTGCGACCAGATCGCGAAACTTATTCCTTGGAATGAGCATGCTGCCTCGTTTCCCTCAAAAAGACCCACCACTGAAGCGGGAACATCAGTAGCCATGTGAGGCCGCAGAGCCCAGCTGTGGAGCTTCTAGCGGGTGTTCCAGGGTCAGAGGAACCTGGGGTTGATGGGCCTGCGGTGCGTCCCTCGACTTACACCACCGCTTCGAGCCCGGCTCGCCACTCTCGGACCTTTCCGAAGCCCCTGGAACAGCATGCATTGCATATAATCAGGGCGATGCAAGTACTCAATGGCGGAGTAGACCTGGACAGCCCCCAAGCATCGCTGTATGCAAAGAGACGCAGTTCTGGTATGTGGTTGTTGAGAGAAGATGGAGTTAGCCGAGGGCTCGGGGGTCACCAGCCACATCTGACCAGGTCAAGAACGCCACCCGTCTGCTGCCCTCCCAATCACGGGCGATCGTTGGACGACTTATTCATTGCCTTGCAGCACCCAATGTGCGGCCGTCATCATACGCATCCTGTGAGGAAGGAGCCTTATCGGGGCGATTGTGGCTTGTGTATCGGCTCAAGTGGGACACACATCCCCCAAATCAGCGTGCCTGTCTTGACGCTCGAGGATGAGTGGAGAAGGTCTCACGGCAGCTCATGCAGGCACTGTATCGTGACCTGCAAATGCCTCTCGGCATATGCATGGCACTCATGGACCTCGGCTCAGACCATCCTGATGCTCACCAGCCACAGATCCATGGGCTGCATCAGTATTCCTACTCGCTTCAGCCATTCTTCCCCCGGGTCACGCGCCACACCTCATGTTTGCCAACCAGGCTCCAGCCGGTATATCCGACTTGGTCGACTGAGATGTTTTGGATGACAAAAGTCTCCGTATGGTTTCTAAACGATGATCGAATAATGCCTCACTCGTTGAGGGCGACAGGGAGATGGGATCCCTCTCAAAACTGTGGCCAAGGGCTCGCAGCGAACCACGTGGGTGAGAAGTGTGGCGGTGCAGGCTGCACTATGAGGGAGCTCCAAATGCTCCACCCAAGCAGAAGCAGTAGAAGTGGCCGGCCGAGCCATTGGTGAGCCATTTTCTGCCGCTTCAGGGGTGGAAGTCTTCTAGAACCAGTTCGTCGTGTCTCATATACAGCCAGTCACTGGTTGAAGAGTGACGTCCAGTGCATCCTAGTTGATCCATTCGGTTGATTGGCGAAACAGAACCCTGTGAAGCGTTCTTGAATTTCAACCTTGCAGATTAGTCGCTCAATGCTTTTTTGGGGGGGGGGGGGTAGATGAGGCCTCTGACCATCTCACGGCCGAGCAACCGTCTAGAATAGCGGGCCAATTCCATTGCTTGTACTACTACAGCAATGGATTGCTGACATGCTTCTTGGATACCGAGGAGATTGCTGTTCCATGCGAGGTCGGGCAGTGAGCACCAAAGTGACGGGCGTCCAACCAATTAGGTACGACGCGGGCCAACATGACCAGGCATGAATCCAATCTGAGCTGAGTAATGTTGAGATTTAAGATTCGTGGGCAGGGCCTACAATCATGAATAATTGCATGTTGCATGTTGCATGTTGCATGTTGGGAGGGCAATGGATGACGTGGGGTCGACAATGATATCATCGCAGGGAAGAACCCCGCAGCCTCGATAAGATCGATTAGATAAAAGACACGATCTCCACTTCCCGCGTACCCACCCGCTCGCGCAAGGACCCGCCCAGTATGGAACAAACAAACTTAAAAGTGACGACGGAAGCTAGGACCACAACGCTAATCCCTATACAATACCGGTACTCCATTTTCCTCTTTTCACTCGATCCCGTGTCTCGCTGCCATCTACTGACCCGAACCATGATACCTCACCAAGATAGGCTGCCCAAACCCTGCGAGCGAGTTGCCCGGACCGCGGGAATGCCACCCCCCGTTGAGGATCGGCAACGGTCATCCGATTGCAACCTCAAGCTTCCAACGACACCTTGACCTAGTCGACCTAGTCGACCTAGCCTCGCCAGCCGCTCAGCCCACTTGTGTGGGCCACGAACTGTCCGCCCGTGCCACAGACCAAGGCAGGGTCTCGGGGGCCGGCGGCAGGGGCGCCGGCCGAGCCGGCCTGGGCGCCTCCGCCGTACGCCGCATCAAAGCTCTGGATCTGAGCTGCAACCATGTTCAGCCGACGCTGTTCCACCTGAGCGGCCGTCAGGTTCAAAGAGGCAGCACGTGCGACAACGTGCTCGAAATTCAGGGCTGAGCCTCGAGAGCTGCCGTGGCCTGCCCGAGGCCTGTCGAAGCCGTCGCCGCTATGATCCAGTCTGTCAGCTATATGAGGGTCATACCGGAGGCGCACGAGGCCCTGCGTCAGGGAAAAATCACCAAGGGAACCACGACGGGATAGGAGCTATGGGCCGCCCGGGCGGTCAGCCTGGACGACACAGGAAGGGGGGAGACTCCTGCCCGTTCCGCCTGACAGCGAAGCGACACAAGCGCCTGTGCTTTAGACGTGGTGACCAGAGTGGGATCCAAGCGAGGGAATCTCCATCAGTGGGAGCTGGCCAACCCAGTTCCCCAGCGTCAGTGCTGGGCGAATGCTCCGAGGGAGCGGTGATCAAGACTTCTGAGCCGACGACGGGCTTCATGGAGGACCTTGAACCGGAAAAGAAAAGGACTGCATAACGCCAAAAAGATATTGTGAAGAGCCCATTCGTGACGAGCAGCGGCAAGCAAAGCAGGATGAGAGTCTTGGAGAGGGAGAGACGGAAGGCAAATGTTCGCAAAACACATGACGACCAGAAAACGCCAACATGCCTGGCCGCTGAGCCTTTGTAAGCTCTTGTGGACATGGTCACCCGGAAAGGTCGCGAATCCGATTATAAAGAGGTGGTTCGTTTGTGGACTTGACGACGTAGGCCAAGGACAGGAGGAGGTGGGCGATGATGGAAGCGTCAAAGACTGGAGGCCGACAGCCAGCGGAGTGGAGGATGGTCTCGCTGTTCGTTTTCCCCAGCGACACAGAAACAGAGTGCTCAAGATGTTGCCGCAAGGAATGAGAGACGGCGGGAGAAAAGGATGTGGGCAGAAGTCAGAGGGAAGCGAGCCGAGAAATGCGAATAAGGGTGGGAAATAGGACTTGCATGGCATAGGAGCCCCTCCGCCGCCGATGGACAAGCTGAGTGGGCATGGCCGGCTTTAAATATGAATTTGTTTACAGACACGCAGTGCGGTGCACGCAGATGCGTGCCCAAAACCCATAACGACTTGCGGAAGCAAGCGGTGGCAGGAGGTCAGGGGGAAAAAAAAGACAGGTGAAGCTCCGAGTCAATATGTTTCCAGCCCCCCTGCCCTCCCGACATGGACCTCAGTGCTGTGTCATTGCCTCGAAAAAGCCAGTCCCCACCCCGTCCGCTATATCTTGGGGATGACGGTGGATCATGGGCTGGGCCAATCGTGTCAGTTGCCCGACCTAAGCCATCGCTACGAGCAGGCCTGGTATACGTGGTGATTGGTAGACGTATCTGCTAAGGGGAAAGAAGAGATGGCGGCCAACGAAAGCTCCCAGGTTTCAAGGTCGGATTGGAAATGGAAGTTCGGGCCCGTCAGAGGGACGGTAGCATAATTTGTGGATCTTATGCCATGGCCTTACCAAAACGGGCGAAACTCTTGAACTGATTTCAAGACTTCGGCCCGTTCTGGTATGGCGGCCGAAGTCTTGAAATCAGTTCAAGAGTTTCGCCCATTTTGGTATGTAGGGCAAAGGGGAGGGTCTGGAGGTAGAGAATGCGTGGGCCAGGAGTCCGGTCAGATGCTCTGTACTGTAGTACCTAGGGTCGACCTGATGCCAGTGCCGGTTCGGTAGCAGCTGGTCAGGGGTCCCCAGCAAGGATGTTGCGGCACCTGTGCGCCAAGGGGCGCCAAGGGTCGCCGAGGGTCTCCCTCTAGAAGGCGCTACTGTACGTGTCTAGTGTATGTACGTGCGTTACAACATGGAGAATAAAAATCAGCGCAACAGGGGATGGACGAGCAGAAACAGGGTGGTGCTGATCCTGGTAGACACCCTTTGTCACATACATAGATTCTGTTTGTCAATACATAGATTCTGCCCTTCTGCCCACAATGCACCTTCTGCACGTCATTTCGTCCACGGAACGGTTCGTGCATTGCTTCTGACCCGCGGTACCTGCCAGTGCTGGCGACCCTGACGCGGCTTATGGATTCGCACTTAGACACTCGTTGACAAGGCAAGGTCCCGTAGAGCAAAGGATGCTTTAACTAACAGGGTAGAGATAGAAAGGAAATCTCGAGCAGCGCCAGGGATAGAAAGTGCAAATTTGTGGCAGGCAGGAGGTGTTGGGCGGACCACTCTAGCTCCCAGAAGAGAAGTGCCCCGTAATTCGTCCTGCCTGATTTCTGATTTGCCGCAGCGGTGCTGATCTGTGGTGGGGCTGAAGGGGCTGCCCCGTCCCAAACGACCAGCGGGGCTTGCGGGGGTTTGTCCATATTCTTTGTGCACCTCCAGGAACGAGAGGGTCCGGCAGGTCGCGGGCGGCGTCTTGGAAAGTTGATTACAGAACTCTGTGAAGAGTAACTAACAGTCACGACCTCGGACCGCAGCCTAGCTGAAAGGGTCGCCGTGGATATCGCCCGAAATGCATGTCGGACGTGGGCCTGGCAGCGTGGAGGGGACGAAGCGCAGAAGATTGGCGCTTGCACTGCGCAACATGTCAGAGGCAAAGGTGTCCAAGAGCGCCCTGCCCAAGGGCTACGCCTTCGTACCCAAAGGCAACGTCTACATCACAAGGCGTGGAGTTGCACCGGAAGAGATTTTGATAAAATTTTGGACGCATCAGCCACAGCAGGCACAGGCGAGTCCGCAGGGTGGTGCAGCGAAGGGGTACAGTGCCTATCTCGTGCGGCCGTGGAAACGGAGGATGGTCAGATCGGGATCCGGTGTCATCTGCCACATCACTCGGCCAGCTTTTGTGCAACTCACCAGGCTGAGCCCCATCCGGGGTGGGAGGGAAGGGGGCTTGTCACTGTGCTGGCCCAGATATGACGCCGGCGTCCAAAAAGGCGCCATCAGAACACGGTCATGGCAGGTTGGGGGTCGTGCGGTAAAGTTGCGCTCACCGCCTGGCGGAATCAGCCGAAGGCTCTCTATGGCTGCCATCAACAAGTAGATCCAGTAGTCAACTGTTGTGAGCTTCGAGCTGTCCTGGTCTGGTGGTCGCAAGGAGGGGGAGGGGGCCGACAGGATATCCCCGGTCCCCGCCCCCGTTTCCCAAACATGCCCAGGTAACACGAGCAACATGATCGAATATGACAACCGCATTCTCATCGATCGATTAGCAAGGTGCAAATATTTGGACCGTGTTCCGGACCTCTCGGTAAATCATACCACCCCAAGAGCTCTTGCGCAGAGTCTCATGGCCGCTGCTCTCCCAACCTAGCCTGCTGGCACCCCTTGACGGGCCATTTGAACCTGCGCCCTAGAAATGCGACCAGTCGACGTTCTGTAGAGCCGAGTCTTGAGCATATCTGGGCGAGAAGAGCTGACACGTAACAGTGAAGACACTACCCGAGATCCAGCTCCCCATCTGCACCGCCTCGAGACGGTCTGCTCATGGCCAGATCCGATGGAAAGCTGCGCCTGAACAGCAGGACTGCTGTTGAGGTGCGAGGGAGTGGCGTCGTTGGTCTGGCAAAAGGAAAGGCACCAAGGACATATGCAGATCACCTAAATGCACAATGGCAACCGGGATGATGGGCAGGGCGAGACAGGCAGTGCAGACAAAGACAGTCTCTGTCTGGCCACGGCAGGCCCAGAAAAATGCAGGTCCAAGGTCGCGGGCGGCGGGCGAGAGGGCGGGAGGGCCAAGCACAGATTGTCCAGGCGTCTGCCTGCCTGTCTGGTCACGATAACGGGGAGGTGTTCTCGGCTGTCAGGGCGAACATGGAAATCCCTGCACAGCTCAAAGTGTCAGTCAGATTGACAGGGGCCGACGAGCGGGTCGAGGACAAGGGGTCTGGGGTCAGGGCTTGGGTATGGATCTGGGTCTGCACGGAATAGGAAAACAGTGCTGCTCCTGCGCTCCTGAGGGCGAGACTCATGGCACCGTATGACTGGGCAGTCCCCAGTCCCCACACGGGTAGCTGCATCACGTAGTAGTGGCTACAGCAGCCTACGCGGGCAGGGCAGGACAGGGGTCAGGACCAGGTCAGTCACTCCCCAATGGCAAAGACAGCTGAGGGCGACGCCATCTTTTTTTTTTTTTGGCCCGCCTTGCTGCCCATGTGTTGGGGAAGGTGGTGGGGGGCCATTTTACATGAGGCACATCGGTGTTGACGACTTGTGCGCGCCCCAAATCGGTCGTGCTCCATGCATGACCACCCACGCATTGCAGGACTCCCCAGCACCAGCACCAGCACCAGCACCAGCACCAGGATCGGACCGTAGCATGCGTGTCGCTGATGCTGCGGTTAATATGGCATATCGGGCGGCCGCCTGACACTTGGAGCGGGTCTGCCTATGCTTGTGGCGGGGAAGGCGTGGTCTGTTCTGGGCTGTCGAGCCCAAACAGTGAGGAGGTGAGACGTGCAGACAAGAGAAGAGATTTGCGAGGCGAGGCAGGGGTAGCACCCGAATCCTTCAGGCGCCCATCCGGTGCCGCAAAGTCAGTCCTGTCCAGTTTGATGGGATCATTCTTGTTCTCCGTCCCTGAAGCTACCCGGCTACCCAGCTACCCTTCACCCCCGTCACCCCCGTCCGTCTTGTTTCTGGCCCAGAGGATGGAATAGCAGGGATCAGGGGCAGGGCTGTACCGCGAATTTGGCGACTGCGGATAATTCGCCGGCGCCTCTAGTGCTACTTCAATGCCACCTGTCGCGCTGCCAGGTGAGTGTGTGCCCGTCACAATCTGCCCTGCATCTGGGCTCGTGAGGCAGGCAGGTCCCGTGGTTCCGTCGAGCTGCAGACCGACGTGCCCATCCTGTTTTTGCTCCTTCCTCCTCCTTGATAACCCCCCTCGTTGCCACATCCCGGCATCCCAGCGCCCACCCCCTGCCTTCTCGGACGCGGGGCGCGGGCGCGCCATGTTGCGCCGAAGTAAGTACCAACGTACCTGCCTACCCAATTAAGCTGCTAAGGTCAGCACCACCCTCCCTGCGGGCTGGCGGGGCCTGGCCGGCATGGGTAAGGACCAGGGCGCCACTTAGCGGTGGGTGTCCACGTGCGGCTCTGCACCAAACGAAATGACTTCCAATTGTTAGACGACGGGAGCTGTGGGACGCGCAACCTGGAGAACTTGTACGTAGTAGTACCCAAGGACCTGTGCAGGAAGCCCAGGATAGCTGGCATGCGCAAGCGTGGGATCCATTCACAGCTGCGTGTTACGCCGGCGCCGGTCTCTGTCCACGTATTCGAACCTAGGAGGCGGGTCGCTTGGGGTCTGCCTCACCCGCCCAAAGGCCGGCCCCGGTCGCTATTGTGTGGCAATCGAGGATGAGCAGTTGGCCCGTCGTCTCGGGCAGATATGTACCCCAGGTGCCTTCAGAAAGACTGCTTTACTGTACTAATGAACCTGCAGGTGCTCTATCTTACACGACGTGACCTTTTCCTTCTTCCTCACATCTTCAACCGGCCACACCCACCCACTGACTTTACAAGTTGGCGCCAGCCTGATCATTACGCCTGAACCCGTGGTTGCCACCCATGAACCTCTCGTCCACGAGGCCCGGCTGGTCCGCCGCCAGGACCTCGGCCACCGAGTCTCTGAACTCGTCCGGGATGCCCTGACCATAATCCCAGTCCTCCCATATGTCGCTGCCGCCGCCACCACTGCCAAGGGTATTGGACAGGTCTTGCACGAACCGCCTCGTTAGGGGGACTCCCGCGTCACCGTGGCCGTGGCCGTGGCCGTGGCCCTGGCCCACATACTTCGTCCACGCGTAGTACTGGCTGCGCACGCCCGGCCGGCCCGCGCCCTTGCCGACCAGCAGGGCCCGCTTCTCAGCGAGGGGCATGGCGCGGAACCTGGGGCACTCGTCGAGCGAGTGCTCCTTGTTGTTGCACGCCGTGCACACGGGCTTGTCGTAGTGGTCCGGGTCCCACTTGAGGCACGCCTCGGCCTCGTGCCCGACGCGGTCGCAGTAGTCGCACATCCCCGTCCCCGTCCTGTCCTGGAACCGGTGCGGCGACCTCTCCCTGGCCCAGAGCATCTCCGCTGGCGGCATCTCCGGCCGCTGCCTTGGGGGTCTCTGCGGGCCGTTGGGGCTGATTGTGTCGTTGCGGCTGGTGTTGCCCATTGCGATGCCTTCGTCTCGGGTTTGCACCTCTTCAGCACCAATGTGTTCTTGGTCATTATCAATCCGAAGACCCTCGTCTTGTTCACCCTCCTCTGGGTCACCATCCTCGGGTTCACTATCGTCGGGGTCACCGTACTCTGGGTCACCCTCCTCTGGGTCGTCCTCTTCAGGGTCGTCCTCCTCTTGACCACTCTCTTGTTGGTTATCCTCCTGTTGGTTGTGCTCTCCCTGATCAATCTCATCATCTTCTATCGTATTCGCGACAAAGTTGTAGAAGGACTGGGTATCATCCATGAGTTGTGGATCCATCCTCGTGATCGTGCCCTGTGCCTGCTGGGGGTCATCGAATCGTTGCTGCGGCCCCTGGGATTGATGAGGATGAGGGTACCCAACATCATTGTACATCCTGGCTCTGTGCATCTCATCGTTGTACAGATTGCCACCGTACATTCCATCCTCAATTTTACAAGCCTGCTCGCCGATGATGAACCCAAGCCCATCGAAAATTGGGCGGTGGGCCTGGGGGAGAGGTGCCATCGGGAATCCGTTGTTTGGGCCAAACATCATGTTGTTGCCCTGGGCCTGGTAGCTGCCTTGAGCTGGTCCGCTGCTGGGACCAAAACCTGGGTAGCTGCCCTGCTGTTGGGTGTGAGAGTAAGGCTGCCCCTGGAGAAACATCGCAGTCGAGCCGCTGCCCTCGCTGAAGTTTTCAAGCATGGGCGTGGTGAGCCGTACTTGTGGGGGCTGTGGGACAGATGAGTACTCCCGTCCATAGCCACTAGTTGCGCTGTTGGCGGCAGGAATTGGCTGTTCATTTCTAAAGAAATCCTGGTGTGGAACCGCAACCTGCTGGCCAAGGTAGGGGCTCTGCTGGACAAGGTTCGCCTGCTGGTCGTACAGGGCACGAATCTGGGCGGTTATAGCTGTCTGGATGGCTTGTGAGTTCTGCTGAAGTCCCAAGTCCTGCTGGTTGCCCTGACGACTCTGCTGTATGGGCCGCACTTTTGTGGCCATTGGATACCGATCGGTCGTTTCGGAGCCACGATACAAGTGAGATATAGTCTGGTTGGACATGTTTGAGTCAGGAAGGGCGATAATATGCCACGACTGTTCGCGTTGTTCCCTGGAACCTTGGACTGCTCGAGCCTCGAGTTCATTCGCGAGTGCGTCGCAAATAAACGCTGGGGTGCCACCGATACTACACGGAATGAAGATGGTCAGCCAGTTGTCAAATCTGTCAAGCGACCCAGTCATACTTGTCAAGACGTAGAAACAGGGGGGTATGGTGGCTCGAGGCCCAGAGATACTCCACGCCCAATCGAGCTCCTCATAGCTAACAATGGCGCGTTCCATCGGATGACTTACGCAAACTCTCCACCAGTGTTGATCAAATTGGCGACATAGTTCTTGTCGGCAGGAAGATTCTCCAAGACCATGTACCGACGGCCCTGGGCGTCAGATTTGAAAACACTCTGTATCTGACAGGGCATAACTTGTACAGGATTGGTATGATTCGCAGCGGGCAGTTCATCCTCATCGGGAACAGAACGAGGGGCTCGGCGGGCGCGGCGTTTAGCAGGGCGCTGGACGCCACCGTCTGGGCTGTCAGACGGCTCCATGATTGATTTTCACAGTCTATCGCTGTGAAGAAGGCCTCATCACTGGTGCCAAAACATCTTGTCAGTGGACGCGCTTGAGTGTAAAGGTTGCTGGTGGGGCAACCAGGGTGGTGGCATGGGGACAACACTGTTTCGTATGTTGGTTGAAATTCAAGGCAGTTCACTGAGGGAGCAGTGGGCGCACCTAAGTTCCCTCGTCACGGAAAGGAATGGTGCCGTATTTCCAACAATGAATCGACGAGGGCTGCGATGCAGTCGCTGGAGGGTGCTGGCAGTGTGGCCTGGGGCAGGGGGGGGCCGGGGGTTGGCTTGTCTTGGGTCAGTACATGCTACACTTTCCCAGCATAGCGCTGTAGAATGCAACGGCATGGAAACAGGCACTCTGTGGGGCTACAATTGAAAGCCAGGCACTTGAGCAATGCTGTAACTGCTTGGTCTATCACGGGAAAGCTTGAAACGGTGCCTCTCGTCACTGGCAACCGCATTGCAAAAGTATTTTGCTCGGGATTAAAGAGAACGCGATTCAATACTGGCTATGAAGGACTACAGCCGAATTGAACTTCTAAAAATGACTACGGAGCAGCCTTTGTCTCTCACCTTGCTCCCGGTAAGAGCTGATGCCGCTGTGACAGCCCCGTCGCTCGGAAAGGTTGTGCAAAACCTCACCCTGTCTTCCCAAGCATGTTTTCTTCTCAAATTTTCGCTGAAACCAGATCCTTGACCCAGAGAATCATACCAGTCCGTAACTCCAGATGTCAATTCCATGTGATCTTCTTTGATTTCCTTCTCTCCGCCTTGGTGGAGCTCGTCAGCAGTCCACCATCCATGATGTGCCCGTGGTTTTGCGGCCCTCAACGTGGAATATAGGATCCCATTATATTTATGGTAGATCCAGAGCCACTTGGCAATTTCAATGACGTTCTGAGCGGGGTAGGCCACGACGTGCGAATTGTCCCTGTGCAGCGCTGGCGTAAGGGTCGTGTTGATAGTCGCTTACAGTCGCGTCGCTTTCAAGGGACTGGACGGAGACAAAACTGGCCTGACGGCGCGAGCGCTCCCGGTCTTTCTCGTCGCTATGCTCCTCGGAGTGCTCATTGTAGGCCTCGCCATCCTCGAGGCTCTGGTACCCAGTCCTGTCGTCAGAGTCGCTCTGAGCCTCTGCCTTCATCTCGATTATTGGGGAGGGTCGCTGTTTGTCCTGAGCAGGAACCTCGAGTGCGTCCCTCGAGTCTTCCTTTTCAATGCTTCTTGCTGGCGAATCGTGGTATGAATGAGTCGAGTTGGGTGCACGTGGCGGCGGTGGTACAGCAGTGTCAACCCCAAGCTCTTGCTCTCTGTTTGGAAGGTTCTCGGCGACCAAGGTTTTAGCTGAGGAAGCCCTAAAGGTGGAATCCCCACTGTCGGGAGGAATCTCGACGGCAGGACCCTCGGGCGGATCAGGTGGGCAGATAGCCTCGAGGTAGTCACCCTCGAACACAGCCCGCATCTGTTGAGTAACATATTGAGAGCGGGCGTAAGTGGGACTGAAGTCCTCCTCGGGAATGTCATACAGACGTGTGCCTGAACCTTGCTTCTTCAGCTTCTGCCGGATCCTGTAGTTCCTCTCGTCGCTAAGAAACCACTGCTGGATCAGGCTGTCCAACTTCTCGGAAATGTACTGCTGGATCTTGTACGTATCCTTCAGCCACCAAGTCTTGTACCTCTCCGCTGGGAGGTACCGAGAGCGGACTGAGAGGCCATTCAGGACACCAATAAGGAACCTCAAGTCCCACAACTGGACGTAGAAAAGACACGCTGAGTGAGGTGCGTCGTCTCGTGGCGCAGTGGAGGCATAATCCTCGTTGGAGAAGCTGACACTGAGCAGGTCCTCCAGAATCACAATGTCAGGGTGGAACCTGGCTCCATGCTGCTGCGAAATGAAGAGGTATGCATCCGCATGGGCAATCAGGCGCGACTCTGGTGTTTCCTCCTCGAGCAGGAGGGTGTCGGCCAAGAACTTTATTTGGTCGTACTTCGAGTCGTCCATGTCGGGCATGGAGCCCATGGGCGGCGTGTGTATGTCCACACGCATGCGGACGACGAGCTGAAGGATGTAACGTAGCGTTTGAGCATCGCCTTGAAAAACGGGATGCACCATGATAGTTGTCAGGAGGTCGCAAAATAGTGGGCTGAGGCACTTCTTCCTGGAAAATCTCAGGTTTCCCGGATGGGGGCGCAGACCGTAGGTGAAGATGTCACTGAGGGGAACTCCATATCGATCGAAAGCTGCCGTCCACAGAACCGAATTGCTGACGGACTGGAGCTCAGCCTCATCGGTGACGGCAAGGCAATCCTTTAGCAGCTGGTCCTGCTCTTCTCGCGACCACAGAGACCTGACATATCGAAGCTCGTGCCAGAGACGCATGTCGGTGCGGTCCGCAGAGAACTTGCTGTCCTGGAGCAAGACCATGTTGCTGGAATGCTCAGGGTTGGCTCTTGCAGCACCTCTGCGCTGGCTGGGAACCAGGTGATCGTCGGTTGTGGAATCGGCCTCATCAGAAGTTGTGTATTCCTCACTGCTTGTGTCCTGTTCACCAACAGGGTTAGATCGCTCCTGCTTTGGACGGGATTTTGTTACTGACGGACCTCCTCAAATTCTGAATCCGAATCAATCCTGTGCTTTGGATGACGCTTGCCTTGAGCAACGATTTGTGGGGTGGGTGACGTCGACACGGGTATGCCAATACGTCGTCTCATCGCACGGCGCTCACGGTCGGAAAGGTTGGGGGTGCGTGTTCCTTCACCAGCTCGGAGAGCCATGTTGCTCGCTTGGACGACCGAGTGTGTGTTAGCCATGAAGGGCAATCAGTGGAGCAGAGCTATTATTTGACAAAGACTGCTGTAGGAAGAAGCAATGTCTGCGACAGGAAGTTTCGAGACGATGGAGTCTCACAGGTCAACCTGCTGTCGAGTGTCGGGCATGTTGGGCGGGTCAAGTTGTTTGACAATTTTTCGGAAAACAACACAAAGGCGCTAGCAGTGGGCTGCTGAATTTTAGTTCGCACCTGCCAGAGTCACTTTGTCCATTAACTCCCAGTCACGCGTTGATTTTCATCAATTTGTTGCAAGGCCACCAACACTGTTCATGTGGGCCGTGCACAGGACTAGAAAACATTCACCAGAATTCCAAGGCAAAGCCATAACCCTAGGCTGTCAAACTCATTACCTTGCGTGTCATCAGTGTATTGCTATGGATGGTCCACTCCAATTCCGCACTATCCTTTGCTAAGATGTTTGTACAATATTAGACCAAAGGGCCATAAATTTGCAACACCACCTGGGCACTTTGGCAACCCAGCACCCGGGTCTGCCCATATACGGCACAATGTTTAAAGCTAGTAGACCATATTTAGGTGTCAATTATTTCAGGTTCAGACCTTGTAGCTTTCCATGTCTTCAGATATTTGGATAATTCATATGAACAAAAAAGGGCATGCTGAGGTGGATAGCATGGGCCTTTCAGTGACAGCATATACACAACATTGAATGATTAGGGATTTTGAAGACTAGCTCTATGCGAAAGAGGCTAATGACGAGAAGAAGTCTCTTACGGGAGTGTTCCAGAAATATGTTGATGCGGAAGACAGACTCTAATGGCACCGGGTTAGGATCCCTGACTATTGTGTCGAAGCCGTCGTGTAGCACACTCCTCCAGGCTGCTGCAGAGCTTGTAAATACATAAACCTGAGCCACTTGGTCTCTAACACGAGATGTAGATCCACCCCAACTAGGTATTCATCTTTTCGCAGACGGTTTCCACTTCAGGTTGTGCATAGACCACCTTTCGTTCCAATATTTTTTATTATTCAGATTATGGAACGAGGGCTCCGGGCGGGCGACTTGTTTACCAAGCGACTCAGTTCTCATGATACATACTTGTATTAGCGTACACAGCTTAGGAAGCAGTTGTGTGACCACACACTCTTGAAACAGCCCAGCAGTGTTGCTGTAGCCATTTCGAGGCATCGAAATATGACAATGGGCTCCGCGCCCTTGTCCTCATGCTGTGCAACACCAGAAGCGCCATAAACGTGGCAGTGCTTAACCTGAAGATACAGGGTTCCAAGAGTGAGCCCCGTTTCATCTCGAATTGTCATGCTTCCATCATCCGCCTGAATAATGCTGGGCCAACCACCCAGATGACACACATAGGACACACGATTAGCTTATTTCAGAGAAGCATGTCAATAGACGGGATCAACAACGGTCCGAGACGACTTTGCTTTTCTTTTGTTTCGGCATCTCGCATTACTCCATCACTCCTGCCACTTCATCCAGGAAGTTTGTTGTGTACAGTCTTTAACAACATTCGAATTGACCGTGGTAGGAGCCCGTGGAAGTTGATCATATGTGGCATATGTAGAGGATATCATCCGGGCGTACCGGGTCATGTGACCATTTCTAGGCTTTCGTTCTGCCGGGGAGCACCCAGCAGGCCCACAGAAGTTTTACGTCAGGAACTGGTTCAAAGTCCCAAGCGCGATCGGCAGGTAATGTTTGGGGCCTCGGGAGCAGGCATGATTGGCATGGCTTGGATGAACTACAATACGTGGACGAACATGTGCAGCACTCAGGCTAGACCATCTTGAAACAAGTGACAGCAAAGAAGTCTGTGAGGCAAGGGCTGATCCACGTTAGAGACAAACCTTAATCACCCGCATACCAGTATGCATAAAACACATGTCTGTGCTACGGGAGCTTTACTCCCAGACTTTTAAAGCACACAGTGGCCACATGTTCATTTCTGGATCTTAGGCCCATCATCGACTCCCGAAAACAACCATGGTTCGAAGATTCAGCTCTCTCTTTTTCCGGCAAAGCAGCCAGGGTAACTTGGCTCGGCCTGCTGCTGATAATGCAGAGGCCGGGGCTTCACATCCGGTAGCGCCACCCAACCCTCTGCAGCGGACCGACTTCCCCAAGAAGACCGTCCGCCATGTCAAATCAAATGGAAATTTGCTGGGAACATTACGGTCGCTGCAGTATAGCACACAAACTCAAATTTCTCAGCCACCTCTTCCAATCCAATCCGCAACGGGCCTCGGCGAACTTCAGGAGTTTTTCTGGCTGGAGGACAATCTGCACCGTACTACATCGCAACTGGACCGCTGCTCAAATCAGCTTGATAAAATACACGGCTCGGCAGCAGAGGTCAGACGGGAGCTTGAGGGCCTTCAGTCTGAGCTTGAACTCTTGCAGAAGAAGATGCAGAATGGTGGAGACCGTGTCAAGAGCGAAGAGTCGAATAAAGAATCGACTAAAGAATCACCCAAGCCAATCAAACTTGCGTCAAAACCACAAACAGCCACCCAAATGATCGGTCTACAAAAAAGAGTAGAGGACCACGTCAAAGCCGAGGAACGACGGATAGAACCGGCCAAGCCGGCGCATCCGGGACCGAAGCAACCGGTGGTCGTCAAAACAAGCAATATTCAGCCAAACAGGGTGGACGAGGTTAAAAGCCAGATTTCAAGAGCCGGGCCGCCCAAACCGGTAGATTCTGTATCAAGACGACCAGTGATTGCCAAACCCAGTAGCATACAGCAGAGGATTCAGTTCTTCAGCAAAATAGCGAACAGTTGATGCATGAAAGACTCGGAAAGCTGATTGGCGTGGCAAATATGCATATGGTGCACTCGGGATTGAAACTTGATCGGTTTACACACTGCCTGATTCTAAATGGGGCGGTCTATCAGACACCCCCCAATTGTTTTGCATCCCCGGGCGGGTCTGTTGCCAGATGCTCGTGTTCCTCGGTGTGGGTATGGATGGACATTGGTTGGGAAATACAAAAAGATGAACGATTGGCGCATAATGAAGATATGGTTATGAACAGCTTATAAATCTGTAACGAACTTTGGACACTGTAATGTAATTGTTTCTTCGACATGACAAACAACAAGTCTATGCCAACCAGTACCACGCCTTTTCAACCCAGTTCTTCGGAACCGGTGGGACATCCTCAGCCTCCAAGGCGTCCATCTCTCGTACGCCGGTGATCACATCTATATCCTCGGTCCTCTTGGCGAACGGCGTCCTGAACCAAATCTTGTGGCCAAGGTACAAAGCCAAGAAGATAGGCAAGGTTATATAAGCAGCCAGGAAACTGGCAACGTCCCACTGGCTCGGGAAGAATACGGAGAATCCGTTGGTCAGCGTCAGAATAACCAAGACGAAAAGCACGACATAGGTCGCGTATGGCTGGAGAGGTGTCTTGTAGGGCAGCGTGTGCAGCAGACCGCGGAAGTCCATCGCCTTCCTGAAGCGGAGGTAGGTGATGATGCAGACGACCCAGGCGATGAAGCCACTGATGGTACTGATGTTGACAAACCAGTCGAAAACGACTGCACTGGTGCGGCTGACGCTCAGGAAGGACAGGAGGCCGATAGCCCAGGTGGCAAGGATGGCTGCAAACGGTGTCTTGGTCTTGCCTGTCTTTGCGAAAATTTTGGGCGCCTGTCCATTCAGAGCCAGACTGTACAGAATTCTAGACCCCGAGTACAGAAATGCATTACCGGCGGACCAGGCGGACGTAAGTACTGCACCGTTAATGATATGGTTAAGTACTGGGATGCCTCGAAGTGTAATGCCGATCACCCAGGGGCTGGCCGTGGCGTTGGACGTGTCGCTGAGTAGACGCGGGTCGTCTGCGGGACATATCGTCCCAATCATGAAGGCGCCTAATCCGTAAAAGATGGCAAGTCGCCAGACGAACCGACGTGCGGCCTTGGGGATGTTGCGCCGCGGTGCTTCGGTCTCTCCCGCGGCGAGCGCAATGAGTTCGGGCGAGGTGATGAAGGCGAATCCAGCCCTGGCGAACGCCGTCCAGAAGGCGAGGAAGCGCCCAGTGTCTCCTGGGACAAGATATTCTTTCATCGGCCCATCCTTTTGCCAGTACCAGAAACCGATGGCCTGCCCGTCCGGAGCTCCACCGCACATGATGACCAAGCCGGTCAGAATGAGCCCGATGATGGTGATCAACTTGATGCTCGCAAACCAGAATTCTGCCTCTCCGAAGATCTTGACAGCAAATATGTTCAGCCCAAGGTTGACACCGAGGATGATGGCAATCCAAACCGCTATTCAGCATTTCGAGTCAGCCATCAAAGAAGCAAATGAATAGCATTTTACCAAACCAGTAAAACGTGGGCCACAAGGTGCTCATAGCATGTCTTATGACCCAGAGTCTGATGTCTTTGTGATATAGGCTATGGATAGGGTATGCCTTGTTCCGAAAGGGACAGAAGTTGTATGCAGAACCCGCTTACCTGAAGGAACGGGCGTGTTCCAGTAATCCAAAATGATGGAGCCTGCACTAGCCTCGGCTGCAATACTTCATGTTAGCTAACAGCGCAAAGGGGTAACAGGACTGAAAGACTAGAGCGCTGATAATACGTCTCGGAAGCATGTTCGAACCTGGTATCCATAGCAAAAACGCGGAAGCTCCTTCACCAAATGCATCCCACAGGCGAGAAACGGAAAGTACACCACTGGCACCTCCAAGCTGAGATAATTTCAAGAAGGATTAAACGTACCGGCCACCAAGATCGCGTAAGCATACCAGTAATTCCACCCTGCAGCAAAGGCAAGACTCGGTTCCACAAAGCGCTCGACAAAATAGGGCACGGTTGCACCCTTCAGGGGAAGATAGACGACAATTTCGGCCAGGTCGTTCATAATATTCCAGACCAGAGCCATCATAGACAGATCTGCAGCCAAAGAGGGTTCATAATTAGCGACCACTAGTCGTCTTGTGGGCGTGCGAGATGAGTGACTTGTACTGACATCCGAGCAACAAGGAGAGAGGACCAGTCGTCTCCAGAATGGCGCCTGAACCGATGAAGAGACCAGTACCAATACTGCACCAGATGTATGTCAGTGGCATGTTCACTGTTCAAGAGCGAAGAGGTAACTCACGCTCCACCGAGAGCCAGGAACTGAATATGGCGGCTCTTCAGGCCACGCTCAAGCTGATCCTGAGCACCGACGAGGTTGCGGGTGCCTTCATCCAGGACCCTGATCTCGCCAGCCTCACCGGCTTCCTCATCCTTGCCCTCCTTGGTACCGGGCCATTGCTGGGGCTGGTCCGTCGTGCTGTCGCGCTTCATTATCGCGGCTGCGTCCAGCTGGAGGCACAGGCCAAGATCTGTATGAGGAGTTGAAAGCGTGCACGAAAGCAAAGACTGCAACGGCCGGCACTTCTTCGTTCTAGCTTTTTATCCCGCGGTGCTTGTTCGGCTGCTTGGCGTGGGAGAAAATTACGCCAAGTCCCAGCTAAAAGCTTGGAAGGTTGACTCCAAGGGCGTCGGATGTCAGCTAGCCTTGTGTTACCACTGACGACAACGGCGCAACTGGTGCCTGGGTGACGGTGTGTACATTTACCCTGCTGGTGGATTTTTGTCCATATTCTCCTTCCTTGTCCAGTACCTAGGTAGGTAGATCGACCCATTCTGAAGCAATGATGATCCCATCGTGCCTGCAGTCTAGATTCTGCTGGCGATCAATTGATTGCTGACAGCCAAGCTCGAGACCCGTTTGTAGCCGACCCAAGATATCAAAGCACGTTGTCTTGCGGGGAACAAGATACGGGTGTGGGGAAGTGGGAAACTGTTAGTCAAGGCAACCTAAATCTTGCCCCCTTCGGGCTCAGATAGGAATGCAGTTCCTATCGTTATCTATACTCTTTTGACGCCGAGGATTTCATTGAGTCTGGTGATCAATGACACTTTGCTCCTACAACCGCTTCTTCAAAAGCACAGTATGCGCGAGTCAAAAATCAGTACTGTTGGTCTGATCCTCACATCCTCTGACTTGTGTAAGATTTGCGCCTCGCTTTCCGTCGTTCCACGACAACCCGCCAGATTCCCTCGTCGCTGTCTTCAAGTTTGGGTCAAACTCATGGTCACGCAGCACTCGGTTATCACTACTGTTCTCGTCGCGGCCTCCTTGCCTCTGAGGCACGGTCATTGGCTTCTTGTGGAAGGCAGCTCTGGAGCCTCGCTACTTCAAATGTTGTCTGATGACGAGGCCGGATATCAGCGAGCAATTCTACCGATCCTTTGCACCTCTGCTGAGGGGATTCGGTCAGGGAAAGTATCTGGAGTGAGCATTTTGACACAGAAAGTCCTGATTTCAACTGCCAGTTGTAATGGAATCACTTTCAAACATTTTAATAGTTGATGGAACTCAGCCGTGTCTACTACTGAAATCGAAATGTCTTCCCGTCGCACACGAATCCGATGATCAGCGAGCTGCGGATATCTACCCATAGTGGGTTCGCCTGCAGCTCAATACTATGAATTTCCCCATACCTAGAAGTAGACGTGGACTGCCAGACTTGCGGTGTTGGAGACACAAAGGTAGATTGTACAGGGATTCCAGGTGAAACTCAGTGTCATCAAGGCCCTCTCAAGAGGAGTTCACCGCGTGCTAATGTATCCTGAGGACCCTTAAGTCGAATAAGGTCTTAGTAATACCTAACAGCATGACACTATCATATATCCACCCAAAAAGTTGCTTCAGCCTGCTAATTCTCTTTATAGAGACAGGAAAAAATGACACCTAGACACATGAGCTTGTACGCATCAGAGTTGACTGGATGACCTGGTTAATACCATGATTAGAAAGAAAACGACCACAAGGACCGACCTGAGCGTTTCGTTCTTGATTCGTATACATCCCCAAGTTGGACAGTCCCTTCACACAGCGGTAAATGCTCAAAGACCCAGTGGTCAAGGTATCACAATGAAAACAACGGTGTAGAAAGACTGGGCACATGGCCTCAGCCTCTCGAGGTCATGCCTACCGGGGGGAGGGGGGGTCCCTAACATAGGCGTATCATTATATTAAAAATTAACATTTAAATAAAATCTATTAAAAGATTAATTATATATTAGATTTTAATATTATATTAATATATATTGAAAATTTTAAATCTATTAATTTTAAATTTATAAGTTAATGAAAAATAAGATTTTTATAATTCCTTAACTCTATAACTCTATAAGCTTAATATATAATAATAATTAAACTAAAAATTAATAAATAAATAGTTAAATTAAAGATTAAAAAAAAGAAAACTTAATTTTAATAAGAATTAAACCCCCCCTTTTTTACCTATATATTAAGCCCTTAATAGTATATTATATATTATTAATTATAAAATCATATTAAACTAAAAAATATTATATTATTTAAACATTATATAGTTATATTAATAGTAATTTATATTTTAAAAGAATATTAATATCATTCTAAAATAATAGCACTATTTACTTAATTTACCCCCCTCCCCCCGGTAGGTGCCGCATAAACAACCTTGGAAGGCTAGAAGCATCGCTCTCGACGGGGCCAACCTGAATATTTACGTACCAAAGTAATTTAAAGAGCGGCTCTGTGTTCATCAAACCATGTGTGATGCAAAATAAGCAGTCATTGATGTTTGTCGGAAGCCATATTTATCTCAGAGATGTTCCATCCCTGCAAATATGATGTTAGTTAGAGTGCAGAGGTCGCCAATTTCTAAGATGGAACCCTAATTAATAACTTGGACGGCTTGCAAGTAATCAAACTACTAGAAGTAAGAGGACTTCTAAGTTTACACAGAAATCTGATATAACAACCCCAGAAACTGCAGAATACAAAGCTCCGCATTGAGCCTCAACTGCCAACATTGAATCCGCTAAGCGCTTTGAAGGTGCATGTTGAATCTAGCAACGACATAAAGCCTCAGCACTTTCTTGAGGACAACAAGCTCAAGTTTACATCAATTTCAAGCCAGACAAAAACCAGGGAGATTCGTTTGAGGCTGGCCCTGTAGATCAGTGTCGATGCGCTGGGATACAAATTACAAGGAGGGATGAGGAGCGAGCAGTCAGGTTCGGGTACTAGGTTGCCCGAGAACGGGGGGACCGGTCCCGATGCTCCCCGTTCAGTCAAACAGTTTTGTACTACTGTCAATCGGACTTGAGCGGCCGGTCCTCTCGAGCGGCTGGCTCACGGAACTGTGGAATCCGGACCACCGGGAACAAGGAGAGCGGCCTTAGTGCTTAGCCGCAAAGCAGATCAGCTGACTGTTACTATATGCAGAAGTCGACTTGGTTCCGGTGAGATAAATGCCATAAAAAGCTTTTCCAAAATTCGATCGGTTTCAGGAATACCTGCTGGTCGGAAGCCCCTGGCGGAGAAGGTGATAGCCACTGAACAAGCACGCCGTTACATCACATGCTTTTGCTAGAGTTTAATTTCGATGGGAGTGGCAGTGTTCACTATTATCTCTCACCTGTATCTACCAGTGGTCCGATTATGTATATTGTTCAGAATGTGCCAAAAAGAGAGCAAGTGTGCTGCTAGTTCATGCAGCGCTTCTTTGTGGACCTTTCGGGTGAATGTGATCAAACAGGATGCGTTTGGGTAAATTGCGCAGCCAGAGCTTGTACTACCTCTATCTCCCCTCACATATCATATCGCGCTCATACAACCATAAGGCTCTCCATGCAACACTTGGCAGGTGCATGAATTCTGGGAAAAAGAGTAAGCGCTTGTACGCTAGACTTCAAACCAACCAGATACCAAATGAGCCAATTCCTGCATTTGTACACCCACCTATCACAACAACCAGCAGATCAAACCATTTCTGCAGGGGCGAATTCGGTTGTATCAGAAAAAAGGAGGAGCAAACCATCGTTCTGCGGTGTGACACCCCCAGAATTGTGTGGGAATACAGCACTACTACGGGCAGTCTTCCGGATCTCACGTCAGCCTAAATACACTTAATATATCTCCTGCTGTGTCAACGCAATACATACGTTGGGTTGATTCATCCAATTCTCTCCTTGTCTTTCCTTTCTTTGTGATATTTTTTGCCTTACCGTACTTCACCACCACGTGGCAGTTAAGCACAGCAGCGAAAATGGTGGGCATCTCCAATCTTTTTGTTGCACTTTGCGTGAGCAGCCTGGCCTGCGCCGCACCTCTGTTGTGTATTGGGAACCAGAATGCAAACTTTCCATTCGAGCCGCCAAGGGCGAACGCGAGCCGCTCGCCATGTCCAGTACTCAACTCGCTCGCAAATCATGGTTTTCTCCCGCGTGATGGCAGGAACATCAGCCAGGACCAACTGAACTTCGCTTTCACCATGGCGCTCAATATAGACGAGGCCGTGACAATTAACCTTGCCAAGCCAACCTTCAACATCTCGACCACAGGCATCTCCGGGACGGTCAACCTAGAAGACATGAAAAAGCACAACGTCATCGAGCACGACGGCAGTCTCTCCCGCGCAGATTCCATAACTGGCGATGCCAACAGCTTCAATACCACCATCTGGGACACAGTCAAGGCCCACTTTACCGGCCCGACGATTGACATTAAGACGATGGCTACGGCGCGAGAAGACAGGATCGCTGCCGCGGAGGCAGCCAACCCGGAGTTCTCTCTGACACCAGACCAGGTGAAGACCTCATTCGCCGAGTCTGCCTTCATCCTTGGAGTGCTCGGAAACGATTTTGTCAACCCGCAGACGTCCACAATTTTCATGAACACTATTTTCCAGCAAGAACGGTTTCCGTTTGGGGAGGGGTTCCAGACGTCCCCCACCAAGATTACCGGCGATCAGGTTGATGGACTGGCTGCGCTTCTAATGAATGCTACTTGTATTTGAGATTTGGAAAAGATATTCAAGAATGCTCCATTATGAATGTTGTTTGGAGAGCGGAGTGATGATGGAGCATACGGTTTTGAAGGCTGACCAAAAACAATGGATATACATGTCGAGCCTACTTTGGTAATCATTGCTCTTCTACATGCTCTTAGTATCTATATATTGGATTAATGATATCTACTCAGCTTAATGCTGTCAAAAGCAGTGCTCCTCGCCTAAGTAGATAGTCTTGGATGCGTGTCGCACGGCTGAGACCACGTGCACCTTTCGTATTTTTACCACGACTATCGGCATTGCAAGTTTTCCTTTAAGCGTTAGGTCTTCAAGCATTTACCACTATTTGAAGGCACCGTGTATGGCTTCGGAAGTATACGAAATAGAATCGGACCTACATGTGTAGGCATGAGTGTCTGGTCCTCGGTTCCGCTCACGTGATCTATTCACATTCCGGCCCCACAGGCGCTCCGGTACCGATTCCGTCCGACGCGGCTTCTTGCCGGACCCAGACTTCTCTCAGTGCCTCCAAGGTTATGCTCATCAACCGACCCGGGGCAACTGAACGCATTCGCTCGGTGACAGGGATGCCGGATCCAAGGAGCAAACAAGCCTGCGAGCCATGCAGGTGAGGGCCAGTTTTGCTACCGGGGAACATTTGAAATGGACCGCGCTGATTGCCTTCGGCACAGGAGGAAAAAGAGCAAATGCACGGCAGAGAGACCTGCATGCTCGTGTTGCAAACGTCTGAATCAGCCGTGCGAATATCGGTCGCCTGAACCACTTAGATCGGCTGTCAGGAAAAGTAATCGGGTGCCGAAGAAGTGCGTCCGGGACCGTAGTGGCTCATGGACATCTCTCATGCTGATTGATTGATGTTAAGTGCCAAGAACAATGACCTGCAAGACCGATTCCAGGTATTGAAGTCTCAAGTCAAAGGTATCTACCACCTACTACAGTGAGTTGATAGTCTGAAACCAATGTTCGAGGCATTTCTGACATTGAAGGTCTCCATCAACTGGATCCGATTCTGCACAAAACGCTTCAACAAGTGTTCATGAAATAATGCCCCTTAGCCGGTTCCTTTCCAATATGGGAGGGAACAACATGCTCGAACAGCCGAGAAGAGACCTAGCTGAGGCAAATTTTACTGTTTCTCAGTATGTTGATGCTACATTTCTTGAAGATCATGTGGTTAATCTTGCATTCAAGTCCCGACCCACCCTCAGAGGTCCTCGACTACCTCATCGAAGTATACCGTATCAAACTTCATCTTCAGCCATTACAGCTTTTCATATTGGATGGATTGCGGGAGTATCTTGTTGAGAAACCTCGATTTCTCCGTTGGAGCTTCCTAGCTCTCGTTTTGCACTTTACTTCCCATGAATTCTATTCAGGACGGGAGCCAGAAGCGGTCGAGCTCTATAGCACTGCTTCCAGGCAAGATGTCATGGGTCTGGCTTTGCAAGGCATGCCTCAGCTAGAAGTAATTCAAGCCTTATCACTGCTAACTTTGGTAGATGTTGCAGGTCAGTATGGCCCTTCTTGGAACCCCCTTTCCTATCAGGTTCAAGGCCGTTGACAGGGAGGCAACAGCGTGCAAGCCGGGCCAAGCTTGGATGAGCATAGGGACTCTGTCTAGACTCGAATCTTTGCGCAGAGTACTACAAACGGCCTTTGTCGACTGTTCGACTGAGCAGGAACTCGATCTCAAGTGCCATTGGACCGTGCTCATCCTTGAGCAAACATTGACTCCGCAACAGTGCACAGCATCCTTACAAGCCGACGAGACTCTGGCTTGCCCACTCAGTGCTCCATTACCAGCATCGCTTCCTCCCACGGACGACAACGAATGCCCAATAGATCTTTACTCCGAAGACGCTATAAAGGACTTGGGAATCACGACCTACTACATCAAACTCATCAAGATATGGGCCGACCTATCATCATACATGCACCAAGTTCGAGTTGGGAAAGCCGGAATTCCTTGGGCGGCTGGATCATTGCACAACGCTCTCTGCGCCCAAATCTTCGAGCATGAAGCAGTAATGGCTCATCGACACCTTCTCAGAAACGTCCGTTTTACCGAGCGGTCCTCGGCCGAGCTTCATCAACAACGCGAATATTGGGTCCCGTGGGTTTTGATGCAAGTGGTATCTCATGCTATCCCAGCCATTCTGAACCACCCCTTCATTCACCTGGTAGCGATGCGTGATAGACCCAAAGCCCCGCAATCGCGCCTCTTTCTCCAGCAGACAGTAGATCAGGCGCTATACCATTCGGCATGGGTGATTCGTCTTCTGAGGTTATGTGAGGCCCAAAATTTCGAAGTCTTCGATCCCCTAGTGGGTCAGCTTGTTGCAGTCCTAGCGACAATACCATGGCTTTTCCAGCGAGCCAGCGATACCAAGGTCGCTCAGAAAGCGAGAGATGATATCAATTGGTGCAAAGACTTCTTGACGAGGTTCTCGAAGATATGGCCACATATTTTTCAGAAGGTAGGTCTCTTATCGGAACCGCTTCGCACGTACCAGCTGCAATAGCTTCGCCAACAGAAGCTAATCTGAAGGTGAATAGCTCAAAATTCTACAAGAGTTGGATTCAATCGCGGAAAATAACATGCAGCCACCAAACCAGAAAGGAATTTCCATCGTATTTCACCCAGCCCTGTTCTGGGCACTGGTTGATCCGAACATAAGCCAAATGACGCTGCCTATGCCTACCCAGGAAGGTTCAGGTCGGCTCCAAAACGCTACAATACGAGTATCCACACATTACATTCACCCCATACTCGAGAAGCAAACTAGACCACCGGTTGACAACCAGAGGATCGACAGCAACCAGTTCTTCCTGAGTGATGAAACTCTTGAGCAAGTCTATCTGGACAATATTTTTACACAATTTCTGCCAGATATGGACGGACTGCAATGATCAGAGACATTTGTCAAGCAACACAGATAAACATTTCGCAGAATCGAATTCATTACGAAGGCTGTCTGATACATGTAGAACGTGCGCTAAATCGTGCGTACCTAGGTAGTTATTCATTGCGGCAGAACTCGATCGGGATACGCAGGTAGCACGCTTCCATTCTCATCGAGCCAACTTTGGAAGATGCACAATCACGGATCTATCTTGCCGTGCGCACATATCAGCGCCAGCAGCATGCCAACATGCAAAACGCGCACTAGATGTCTCAGGATCGCTAGCCCCATCCACAAATACGCACTCAAGATTAACTTGCTGGCGTTAGATCTCAACCAGCCTCTCCCAGCCATGTTGTCGTTGCTTCTAACTTTCCCACTGGCATCCATCGCTTTATGTGAGAATGCATCTCTTCAAACTTTTACATGTCGTATTCAGGGGCCTTGCTTTCAAGAAGATTGAACGCATCTTCGCTACCTATGTGTCCTTCAATTTCAAATGTTTCTAGTCCGGATCGTACTAAGAGTCAGACATCTGCCTATTGTCGTTGTAGCGGATGACTCGAATGTAATTGATGACAATAACTACTAAGTACCTAGTCGAGTAGCTTATCTGACGCCCCTGCACACAGAGGCCTCTGGACTCCAAGTGTATTTATTAAGGCTCGCAATCCCTGCAGCTAGGCGCGTCCCTGGGCTAATCACTCGCACCGCGGGGATGACACAGTCGGGTGAGTCGGACTTGACTAGGGGGGGTGGCTGTGCCACAGTGGCACATGACGTGCGACATTGAGTAACCGCATGTTTTGGGACGCCACCAGACATCGCGGGACTCACCTTTGAGCTGAAAAGGCTCATCTCGCCCGTCATCCCAGCTGAGGGACGATTGAAATTCCTCCACAATCTTGCACAATTCTAGTCGCGAGCGAACGACCCAGACAGCTAGCTGCTCTTCCGCTCTTTCGCAAGTCTCCGGCACTACCATTTTTGAAACTACACCGAGGGTCAAAGCGGTATCTACATTGCAGATGTCGGTCGACGTACTTCACGCTTCACTCCGCCGCTGCCCAAGTTTTCCATCATCGACCAAACCCCGTGCATTGCCAGCCAGAGCTCAGAGCTTCATGGGCGCCTCAATCTCCTGCCTCGGGGCGAGGCCTGACTCCAAGACCGACGCGGACAAGGTCGGCGACACTCACAAGGCTATCATCATTTCCGGATACCCTGCCATCGGAAAGACCCATTTTTCATCTAACAAGGACGAGCTGCTCAAAGAGCTTGGGTTGGAGGTCTACGATCTGGACTCGAGCGCATACAGCTCCAAGCCCGAGTTTCCTCAGAACTATCTGGCCGACATCCGGAGACTGGCAGAGAAGCAGTGTGTCATTCTCGTCTCGACTCACAAAGGCCTGCCTACGCAGCTGGCCAAGGAAGGCTATTATGTCGCCCTGGTATACCCTGTAGATGGACTGGATGCAAAACGCGAATGGCTGCGCAGGCTGGAAAAACGAGAGGAAGGCGGTAAAGAGTCTAGGCTCTACAAAATTGCCGAGCAGAACTGGGAGCCGTGGTATGGAAGGACCGCCGGCGAAGAAGCCACCAGCAGATGGAATCTCCAGAACGACCAGTACTTGACTTCTATCTTTGAGGACATACACGCCAACTTCCAAGAGTTCAAAGCCCGCGAACGCCAGCACGGCGGAGGATGAACTCACGATGATCATTGATCGATCTCAATCCGACAAAAGATGAAAATGGCCGCGGCATAACACCCTGCGCTTACGAAATATGGCATGCCCAACGCAGCGCCACCGAGCCCGATGCCCCGCACCCACAGGAATGCCATCAGCGGTGCGCCGAGAAGTGAGCCCAGTGTCTTCACCAGCATCACGATGGAGAAGATGTGAGTTTGTGAGTCTGCTCCAGGCGATGACGACTCACGACCATCGTCTCCTCTGTCTGCGCCTGGACAACAAATAGAAGGCGACTTGAGGAGAGAAAGTGTGAAGACTGGGAGAGCAGATCCAAGCGCGTAGACAAGCAGCGCCGGCACCAGAAGCCAGATTGTCGTCGATACTGCGATGGCCGCAGCTCCTACAACCGAGACGCCCAAGCAAAGCTTAGCAAACCGGACGTTGATGCGGTCCGAAGATAGGCCAGACGCTCCGCTGCCGCTGCTGGCGACCATTGCCGAGCGGAGGACGCGGGGAACGACAACGGTCAGGAGCACAAAGTTGACGACCGCCTTGCCTGATAAAAGGTAGCCTGCCGAGGCGAAGGTCCATTGGTAGCGCTTGGAGATGTATTGGACGAGAAGTTTCGTGTCAGAGCTGGCCAGAGAAGCGAGAAGGAAGCAGGCGAGCAGCAGGGAGAAATTCCAGGGGTGGGTAGCCAGCGCTGCCCGTAAAGCTTGGAAGCGGCCGATGACTGAATGCAGGATCGTAGGGCCTGAGTCTTGAGCTTTGAGTAGAGGTGAAGACAACAGGGGCTGTGACTGTTCGTCTCGTTGGTCCTTTGCTATTTCATGATCGGGAAGCATCGGGATTATCGCAACAGCGACTCCGAGAAGAGTGATACCGATCCAGAAAGGGAGCCAAAGGAGTAATGTCATCGAGGCAGAGGCCAGCGCTGGACCTAGTAGATTGACAACATATGTGATCGAGCTCATATAGCCGAAGTAAGATGCACGGAGCACATAGTCATTTGTGATTCCGGCGGCCAGTGAATATGTGATAGAGTTGAAAACGCAATCACCACCAAGAAATGACAGCACTGGGCCGGCAACGATGGCATTTGTTGGGAGCAGTTGATCGAAGTAGCCAACGATGACAGCCCAGCTCAGCATGAAGACTCTGGGAACGAGATTGAGCCAAAGGAGGGCTCTTCGGCCGTACCTCTCAGCCACGAACCCGAGGGGTATTGTCATCACGAAGTCTAAGAAGCATTAATTCCAGTACAGCCAAAAAGTGTTGACAACGGCTGTTGTCATCACTCACCACCAACAATCCATTCCGTGTCCATGACCCCTTGGATCCTGCCCAGGCCAGCCTGTATCGCATCGGCCTTGCAGAGCCTTTCGTCGATATCCCCAGTAGGTCCGATAACAGATGGATCATGCTGGCTGTAATATTCCTGGCAAAGACGTCTTTCTACGACCCTGTTCAGCGGCAGCTGGTATAGACTCGCGGAGAGGTTGACCAGGAGGAGTAGACCAAGCAGTGCGGCAATGGTGCGCGGCGGAGGCTTCTGGCGGCGGTGTGGCCGAGACTCAGCATCTTCTTCCATTGCCGCAGTTTCAAGTGGCCGATCCACTACTCCGGTGCTGCTGAGTGCTCAGTGCGCTGCTCAACCCGGCTAGCTTTTGTGACCACGAAACTTGGCTGTGGTGCGTGAACTACCAGTAGGTCAATGTGAGCGGGGTTTGACCAAGCCAAAAACTGGGGATTGCACACTCCAGTGCTGTGTTATAAGACCCTCAACATGACGGCACCATGCGGGATTTGCGGGCGTGCTGGCTGCGCGATACAGTGCCACGAGGTGAACGTCAAATGACGGGCAGGAAGGTGAAGTGCAGCTCCAGCGCTCACCTGGCAAGGGTCAGATGGAGCGTTTTGCCCAGACCCTTTAGCTATCGGGACTACTCGGCAATCTACCTAGGTACATATCTGTTAATTGCATATTCTCATTCATGCCACACATACGATCATTCCAAGTTGAACACAAACATTGAACCCTTGCTTTGGAGCTGGTCCTACCCAGTCGCAATCGACTTCACAGGCATGAACCTGCCTTATTGGACACATTATGGAAATGACATAAGTACTTGAGTAAGTATGGACCGCGGCGGATTAGGCATACCAATGAGATGATGGCAGGACTCAGGAGCCCAATGATCAGAATTAGGAAACGTAAGACCGTGGGGTAAAGGACCCATCAACTCTAGATCACGCAAGCGATTCACGTCACTCAAATGTTCTCCCTGCTGCGAGAGGCCGATTTGACAACAAGACGTAGATGCTGGACCCGGGACACAGTGATCTACTAAGCCCGTGAACCGCTCACGTGCACGGCACCCGGAAGTGAAATTGGTGTAAAAGGTTCCGCCCCACCTGAGGTTCCACCAGATTGACCTCATATATTAGTGGGCCTGTCCCCGATGTCCACGTCCATGGATAGATTGTGAGATTCATCACGTTCCTATCAACCCCCCTCTGTACCGCCCAATATGGATCGAACCAGCAAAGTTGTCATCGTTGGTGCAGGCTTGTTCGGCCTCGCAACCGCCAAACAGTTGGCCTCTGAAGGCCACCAGAACATCCTTGTCGTCGACAGAAATATGCCACCGGTGAATCAATCCAATTTTCCTCTTGTCTGCGCGATGGGACTAATATTTTATGTCAGGTGCCAGATGGCTCAAGCTCAGATATCTCGCGAGTCATCCGTTTCGACTATGCCGACGAGGACTACTGTAGCATAGCCCATGATGCCTACCTGAAATGGTCCAAGGAGCCCAAGTACCATGGTATCTTCTACCCTTCCAAATACATCCTTTGTAGCGCAAAAAAGTCCGCCAAAGAGTCTTGGATGAGCAAAACGACGTTTCAACTGGACAAGCGGCAATTGCCTTGGTCTCCGTTGCAAGATGCTGCCGCAGCAAAGCGACATTTCCCGGTTCTCACCGGCAAGCTTGCTGGGCCAGAGTGGGAGGGCTACGAGAATGATTCTGGCGGCTGGGCGGATGCTAGCAAGGCCATCACTCAGCTGAGGAACGAGTGTCTCGCTCTTGGGGTGTCTTTCACCGCAGGCCCGGCTGGCACCGTCCTCGGCTTCAACAGCGACGCCCAAGGTGTTATCAAGTCGGCTCGCACTCTTGCTGGCTCGCTTATCGAGGGCGATCAGTTTGTGCTCACAGCCGGCGCTTGGGCCTCCGGTCTCGTTCCCACATACAATTCGACACTATCGACAGCCCAGGCTTTGGGGTACGTCCGTCTGACAGAATCGGAGATGGAAAAGTACAAGGAGCTTCCTATATACGCCAACTTCTCGACCGGGTGGTTCAACTTTCCTCCCCATGAGGAAACGCGAATGCTCAAATTTGCCGTGCACGGCTGGGGATACACTCGAGCACCATCCAAGAATGATAACAACGCGACCGCGACTAACTTGTCTGTGCCACCCGCGCTCTCACGTGAGCGTCCGAATTTCGCGCCAGCCGATGCCGAAAAGCGTCTCCGTGAGGGGCTACGGGAGATATTGCCCGAGCTCGCAGACCGTCCATTCGACAGGGTGGCTCTCTGCTGGTACACGGATACGCCTACGGGTGATTTCATTATGGACTACCACCCAGACTACAAGAACTTGTTCTTCGGAGGAGGAGGCAGTGGGCAGTGAGTTGAGTGAATGGCCTGATTGAAAACATGCACTGACATACTCTTCTCTAGTGCTTTCAAATTCCTGCCCGTTATCGGCGAATATCTATCTTTGGGAATCAAGAAGCAGCTCCCTCGCCACTTAGCCAACAAGTGGCGGTTTCGCAAGGAGTATGAGCACCAGCCGGACGCTTTTCTGGGTGATGGTAGTAGAGGTGGGCCGGAAAGACGGGAGCTGAACGCGCATGAGAGGGCGAAGCTGGACGGGCAAGATAGAGCCAAGCTTTAGTGACGATACGTCTTCGCGAGTTGCCAACGATCAATTCTCAAGAAACAAAAGCCTTAGGCTACCCCGGTAGTGCGGAATATGCAACATATTGTATTTGGGGCCAGTTCATATCTAATCGCTGAGAGTTGAGAGTAAGTCGGATTGTTACAGCATGATGCCGACACGTACATAGCCAGTTCTTGTCGTTCGACGCTTGAAGAGGCACTCGCAAAGCAAAGACAATATCAGGCAACCAACCCTCATGAATTATTGATCCTTTTTCGAATAATCAAACTGTGTTCGCACGTACAAGGAATAGAAGCGAAACTCGTCTTTCTCTTGCGCACCCTGGTGGATGAGAACTGGGCTTCGGGTGCGCCTCCTAGCTTGATGATGTCCGCGTCCTACCCTTGACTGGCAGCTTACATGCAAAAAGTATATCAGTTCAATTCAAAGTGTAAATATTTTAGAATGGTTACATGTCGGAAGGCTCCTTTCTTCTGCTCGCCGAACGTTGGGCGTTCCGGCTGCTATTCTTCTAGGCGACGGATGAGGCACATGTCTGTACGAATGTCTTGGTTTCCACGGTCTCCAGAAGAGATTCCAACAGTGGTAGTCTGAGCGCAGTTTTGGACTGACAGCCAGCCTTTCTTCCATAATAGGAAAGACCCGGAGAACTGCCGCTGACCAGATTGACAGGGAAAAGGTTATGACTGCGAAAGGACAATAGGAAGATCAGTAACAATCTCTTTCAGTGATTTGGAAACCTTAATTACTGGCTTCTCTATCATCAAGGCTGACCTTAAGTTCCCTGAGGACAGGGTTTACTGGGATCGTCCAAGCCTATTGCCACCGGGCGCGATTTGTAGTTTTTACCAAATTTTACAGTCCATAGGTGGATCAAGGCCAACTATCCTAGTGGGTTGCCAGGTCCTGTATTCACCGCAACATGGCATCTTTGGCGCATCATGGGATAATGGGATAATGGGTGCTGCGCCCAGAAACAGCACCAAGTGTCCAACTACGGTCTCTTATAAGTTCGATCACGATCTCGGCTTTCCACATAGTGAATTAGAACTGTCTGTTACGGATTTAGAAGCTCCGCAGTACAATCTATCAACCCACAGCGCAAGGAGATTCAACGTTTCAGACCGCACATCAATAGCAGCCTTTACCAAGGAGTAAATGACTGGGTGTGGCATCGAAAAATCACCATTCTGAAATTCATGGGAGCATCATTTTGGAATCAATCTCTAGTCGCCGTGTCCCTGACAAACAGTTCAAAGTTGATGGAGATATTCAACCATGTCACTGACAGTATGACGATCTTGATGCGCAACCCGGGATATGCAGAGAACCATAAGACCGGCGATGTGAAGACGCTGGAACACGCCAGAGGATGAAAATTGAGACCAGGAAGCACCGTGTCGTGCTAAGTACCCATAGGGGTGGCAGAAATATCCAAGGTAGACACATGGGTCAAGCGCTGGGTCTTGAGTGCTTACCACCGTGTGAAGGCGCCATGTATGTCCTCGGACATATGCGGAATAGAAGCGAAACCACATAGACACATGGGTACACTGGACTGGATATGTGTCTGCGCTTCAAGTCAAAGCTTCAGGGACATAGAATAGGCACGCGGCCAAGCGAGCGTTGACCATGGTAGTCGCAACCCGTCGTCCCCGATCAGGGGGTGATCATGTACACGTGAAATATATGCTTCCTCTTCTGGTCAGGCTCGCTTATCACCAAGAAAGCTTTAATGCGTCTTGCTTTCGTAATCCGCTAGAGAATGGCCCATCGTAATTCTGAAGTTAGACTTTGATTCCACTTGATCGACAATCCTGCTCAACGTGATGCTGGACGGGTCCGCGAGAGGCCGACGAGAGTTAGAAGTTAGAGTCTGGAAACACAAATGGCCGCTTGGCTATGTAATTTAAGGTTTGGGCATATGCACCACACTCCTAGAATAGTTCTTGTCATGACGAGTACATTTCCCAGCCTCTCCGACCTCATAGCGAAACCCTGCGAGGCACAGCTCACAGCGGGGACTCGCGATCATTATGGTTATGCAGTCATACCAAGCCCATTTAGTAATCGAAATTATTTGTCGGCATCTCTGCAGAAGGAGGTCTAGAAATCAACAGTACTCGGGACGAAATGGCCCGCTTTAAGCCTGCCTTCGAGAAGCACCTCCTGCACTCCCGGCTTGGCATCGATCCAGATCGGCGAGCTGAGCAACATCATTGCACAAATGTTTGCATGGAGACTGCGGAGAATGCTGGTCAGAACAGGAACGCATTCTAATCTCCAGGGATGATCCGTGACCAGCCTTCTGGGTTATATCAGAACGATGGAGCGATACTCGACTTCTTCTCCATGGGTGACATCGTTGACAGACGCAGATTTGCATCTTATACGAGAGGTTCTTTGAGATTGATTATCAGCAGTCTATGACGACTGCAACGAGCTTACGATCACAGATCACAGTTCATTCTCATGTAGGTTGTAAGGTGGCAGAGGAAATGATTGAGAAACGCTCGACGTTAAGATGTGTACTTATTCTCATCAGATCCGACTGTATGGGGTGTGTGATCCCATCCGCGTGGTAATTAATCCTGTTGGCATACATCAAGCAACTTGCATTTCTTTCGTGTGTACCGTGGTCACTTAAAATGAGATACTCCTCCGCAGCCACTGCTTTGGCACTTGTTGCCCAATCCAGTGCCCAAGACTTGGTCGCGGCCCTACAGGCGGACCCTGACTTGAGTACCCTCCTGGGCGCAATTTCTGCCGTTCCAGGTCTAGCAGACCAACTCGACGCGGCGGAAGGCATCACTATCTTCGCTCCTATCAACTCTGCCTTTGAGGCTGTCGACCCGGCCAGCGCAGCTGGACAGGCCATCGGGAACAGCGATATTGAAGGCATCGCATCGGTACTGTCGTACCACGTAGTGCCACAGACGATCCCTAGCACTGCGATCACGGCTACGCCGCAATTTGTACCGACTCTTCTCACTCCCGAAAACGTGATTGGAGGTGCTTCAGCAACGCAGGTCACTCCCGCGCAGAACCTGGGTGCGCAGCTCAACGGCACCAGTGTCATTCTCCGCTCTGGGAATCTTGCTACATCCACTGTAACACAGGCTGTAAGTCATCATTTCACTAAGGAGTCTTACCTCGATTTTCAAGTAGACTGAACTGTAGAACAGGATATCGTTGTAGGAGGGGCAACGATCCATAAGATTGATTCGGTTCTCACCATCCCAACCAACGCTTCCACCACAGCTACTGCTGCGGGGCTTACGGGTATTGTCGGGGCTCTCACCAGCGCTGGTTCGGTTGAGTTCTTCGACACTGAGCCAGATGTCACCATTTTTATCCCATCGAATGAGGCCTTTGAAGCAATTGCCGAGACCGTGGCTGGCCTGAACACAGAGCAGCTCCAGCAAGTACTACTCAAGCATATCGTGACTGGTGCAGTCGTGTATTCTCCCGCCATTCCTACTTGTGAGACTGTTGTGGAGAGTGCTCTGGGTGAGCACCTTACCCTCGTTAACACGGATGGTGCGATCACCGTGAACGACGCAAATGTGATTGCCGCCGACATCCTGTTGTCGAACGGTGTTGGCCATTTGATCGACAGGTAATTGTTTTCACACGTCTTCCATCTCTACAAGTGCTAACAAATTTCTTCAGCGTCCTGATTCCGGATGATCTGAGCTCCGGCGGAGGCAAAGATTGCAATTAAGGGGCTGTCTTTATCTTCGGGACTGCTGTCGACATCGCGTCAAGGCGGTAGCAGGAAGCTGCTGACTTTGCGGAAATGTGACAAAAGTCGACGCGCGCACACGATGACAGCGTCATGCTCCAGCAAAAGTTTATTTCACCCACCCGAGAGTCACTCTTGGATCATTGATGAAAGTTTAGAACTAAGTCAAAATAATGAAAGACCGAGGGGTCTGCGCCTTTCCCATATCATCTGCGAGTGACTATTTGTTCAGTGCATGCAATAGTGTAAGAAAGTCCAGAAGTTCGAATGTTCTACGGGTATTTCAAAGGCCGTGGCGCCAACGTGTGCCATTCTAGTTGAGATTGAAGAGCCTCGCTGGTCCTGTAGGTCAGATGGGGATTATCTCTGTCCCGCATTCGGGTACCAGGCAATGTTACCGGGCTAGGGGTGATCATCCGGGTATTTTGAGGGCCGGTTCGCGGGGTAGACGGCCTGCCCCGACGAGCAGAGCGTGGTCATCAATGACGGACGGGGCTGTGGATATATTCAATATTGTCCAAGCTGTTGTGATTCAGGATAAACCTTTATCAATTTTGACCAGCGCTCAAGAATCACCTGGAAATAGGAATTGAGAATGGCTGTCAGCGACAACAGTCCCACCGGCATCAAGGGTGAGAGTGTGTTTACCGAAGGTGTTGAAAATATACTCACGCGCTACAGTTGTCGTCATTGGGGCCGGTCTCGGTGGGTGTGCTGCAGCACTGGCCATGAAGCATCACGGCCACGACGTGATCGTATATGAGAAGCTCACAACGTTCCGTCGGCTAGGCGACTCCTTAGGCTTAGGCGAGAACGCACTCAAATTGCTCCGTCGGTGGGGCGGCGATGTTTTATATCACTCCCTCACATCAATCGGAAACCAGTCCAAGGATATGCAAATTCGCAGGTGGCATGATGGGAAAATTCTGGCTCAGCAGCCGTTAATGGATATGGCTGGTTACATCGGCCACCGCGGCGACTACCACGAGGCATTCCTGCAAGGTGTGCGCGATGCCGGTATTGAGATCAAGATGGGACACGAAGTAGTAGGATTTGGGGAAGGTGACGACGAAGATCCAAGACCAAGCATCGTGTTCAAGGACGAGGCAGTAATCAGAGCGGATGTTATTGTTGGTGCGGACGGGATCAAGAGCCGCGCACGAGAGCTCGTCCTGGGATTTACCGACGCCCCAAAGAGCAGCGGGTATTCATGCTGGAGGGCATACTTTCCTGGTGGACATCTCAAGGGTGACGCACTCTGTCAAGAGTTTATCGATCACGATTGCGTGAATATATGGTGTGTATTTCTTGCCCCCCAATCGTGTTCTGGACTGTTCTCCTTTCCCCCCACCACATCTAACCTGCTCTTGCTTCTGAAGGATTGGATTGGACACGCACCTCGTCCAAAACACCCTGCGCGGCGGCGAGGAGTTCAACTGGATCATAACACGTAAGCTCTCGCACGAGGCAGACATGGAGATCAAAGAGTCTTGGTTCCAGGAAGGGGATATGGCAGACGTCCGAGAGCACATCAAGGGACTAGATACGAGGATCGCGGCAGCAGTTGAGAAGACGCCCGCGCTCCTGGACTGGAAGATCTGCTACAGAGATCCATTGCCAACCTGGATCTCCAAGAAGCACAACATCGCCCTTCTCGGTGACAGTTGCCATCCACACCTTCCCACCAGTGCTCAAGGTGCGAGTCAGGCGACAGAGAGCGCGGCCGTATTAGCAGTGTGCCTAAAGCTTGCAGGAAGAGGCCGGATACCACTAGCCGTAAGCTCATCCCAGCAGCTCGATGTCCGCGCCACGCGGTCGCCAGCTTGATTACCTCGGTAGCTTCTCACTGACGCCATCTTGAACAGACGAGGGTTTACGAGAAAATCAGGTTCGCCCGGACCAGACAGAGTCAGACCGCGGGAGAAGACCTTCGTGATCGGTGGCACAACGCCCTCAAAGGCTTGGAAGATGGGGTGGAGATTGATCCGGAGTCTATCAAGATGCGCAATAGATGGTTATACGTGTATGATGCTGAAGCCGATACCATCACGAGGTGGGATGAAGTGTCGTCCAGAGTTGATGGGGAGCTGAAGTCGGGAAAGGTCGAGCCTCTTTGCACCTTCACGCCGAAAGGCGCAAGTTTGGGCAGGTAGCTCATTTCTAAACTGAATACCTGTACCTAGGTACCTAGGGCAGCGGTTGGTCAATGTGATCGACGAGTAAACAATCTGTGCTACTAGTTGCTGGGCCTGATTCAGTTTAGATCATTAAGTAATTGAATTAATTCTTGAGGTACCCAGGCACTCAGAGGGTACAATCTGAAGTGAAGCTCTGCGGATCCTCGGTTATCATACTCTTCACCGAACAGCTATGCTCCAGCAGTCGGCCCTGGTTGTGAAATAGCTTAAGAAGCAGCAGTAAGCTCCCACTTCTGAAAGTGCTCATCTCACTTCTGTCTCCCACATGACAACTGGATTATCCGTAAATGCAGCCAAATATGAACATGATGGCAAATCTTCGTGGACTCGCAATTACTTGGCTTATGTTAAGCCCCGGTGCCTTGTGCTTGCCTCAGCCCCCACAAACCGACACGTCTCGTCCACCGAGCTTTTCGAAACCAGACTATACACTCCCCGTGGAGCCCACCAGACTTACCCCGATATTTGTAAAACCTAAGACTACTATACGTGAGCTGACCAGCTTCTGTTCTGTATATTTCGTGCTATGTTAACACTTGGCCCCAGTGCCCTACCCACCCTGGGTCACGTCCAGTGTCGGGCCGACCAGCACCACTACCCCGCCCATTGACAGTACGGATGCAGGGACAGAGACGATGACGACCATCACCAGAACTAGTCGAACCAAACCCTATCCTATCCCGTACCCAATGCCTACCTTTGCGCCTGATCCCACGACCTCGGGAGTCCCCATTCACACCCCCAACTAAGCGCGACTGTGTGGTAATGGGCTTAACCTTGGAACACGCAAAGGAGTGTTCGCTCATACGTCAACAGTGAGGATGGAGAGATAGTATTTTATTATTTGACTCAGAATGGGCAGAGGAACATCCGGACAATCTTTTGGAAATTCGGTTGATAATTGCAGACCATATATGGCGGCGGTGGAGTACTTGTGTGTAAATGTAGTTAATATGACTAGGCTGATATTAGTCAACTGGTCTGAGCTTGTAAAACTACCGTACCAGGGTTTTATAGGCTTCAGCAACAATTACTCCTTAATTTTAACGGTTCTTCTTCTAGCAACAATTCCTCCTCTAACAACAGACAATCCCTAACTTCTAATTAGCTAACCAACTTTCCTTCCTCCTACTTCAAGATAAAGGCTAACTAAAAAGAAATTCCTCTATAAGTCTTCCTTCTATATAAATAAGCTTAATATCAAAAAAAAAAATTTAAACTCTCCTCTCTATATACTTCTTAATTCCCTACCTTTTCTCCTTCTTTATAGATAATAATTTAAAAATCCTATAGTACACCTTCCTCTCCTTCTCTCTTTCCTCACCTCCTTCCATACAACCAGAGGGCCAATCAGAAGCCAGGGATTATCCGTTGCCAGAGGAGGAACCGTTACCAGAAGAAGAACCGTTAATTTTAGGGCTTCAATTAGCCCCCCAGGGCAACCATTGCAAGAACCCATAGACCCCCGGTCCGGTACTTAAGTAGGTACTTAGATAATAAGCCATCGCAACCTTGGAACCCAATGTCGCCTGAGGTCAGAATTATGACGATGATTTCCCATCGAAGGCTGATCAATAAAAAGAGCATTGACTCAAATTTGTGACTGAAACAATTTACCTGATCCCATCAACCTTTTCAAAATCTCAGGATGCAGTCCTGGAGTTCGATTTGGTCAAGTGGCAAAGATTTAAGTACCTCGGCTACCGCATTGTGCGCTGGCTTCTCTGACCTAGTCACTGACGAAGCAAGCAGACCTAGCCTTCCGCCCCAAGCACGATACCATCTAGACTCCTAATTAGGAGCAAGCTACATTACTTGGCACATTCGTGCATCCGCTGTACTTCTTGCCGCCTGTCACGTTGACGCCGCTCCAGGTCCATCCGGAGCAAGCACCGGATCCGCAGACGACCACAACATCGTATCCGCTGCTGGAGACTGCTCCTGATCCAGAGATGGTGTTCAAGGTGAGGCCCGTGATTGGAATGCCCGAAGTCGGCGTACCGCCATCAAGGTCTCCGCCGTTGTAGTTCTGCTCAATGAGGATGCCGTACCTGATGCGAGAAAAGGATTTGGATTAGCAATCTGCTATGCTTGCTTAGATTGCTGGGGGTCTGCTTACTTCGAGATGTTTGACAACGTAATCTTCGAGTAGGTCACTCCTTTGATAGAGCCAGTATCATTCTCGGTGGCCTTGACACGGATCCCTATCTGGGTTTTAGACGGTGTACCCGACGCAACAAGGCGGATTTTGCAGACTTACCATTCACCGAATTCTTGACCTGATTGTTGGAAAAGGTCACTGTGTCAACTACGTTGCTTGTTCTGCCACCAACTGAGCCAATGGACAGACCGTGTCCGCCAGAGCAGAGCGAGTTTTCAAAAGTGATCCCCTGACAGTACTGTCAGTTTCCACTCTCATCAAAGTCTGTACAGGTGATGTGACTACTCACAGTTCCGGAATTGACAGCAACGCAATCATCCTGGTTATAACAATTCGCACCGGTGATGATAACATTTGAAGAGCTCCCAATGTCGAAGCAATCGGTGTTCTTCCCCTTGCTATCACCAGCAGAGTCGTCAATTGTCATGCCAGTGATGGTCAGACCGTCAGCACCACTGATGCTGACCGCCTGGACTGGTGTGTTCTGGATGTGTAGGTTGGTGATGGTCGAGTCGGTAAGGGAATGGGCGTAGAAGAATTTGGGCTTCTTCTTGCCACCAGAACCTCCCTCGCCGTCCCAGTACTTTGATCCGCCGCCATCTAGGATGGCGCCGGATGCGCCTTGGATGTTAATGGATTTGCCTTCGATCTGCAGAAGTGGCCCGGCCCACTCGGCGTAGCCCCAGGTAGTAGTTCCCTCAAAGATCACCTGTCATTGGCGGGTCAGATATCTTCGTCCAAGATGTAGTCGGAAACTGGGTATGGGATTTGCACTAACAGTGGTATCATCCTCAAGGCTGGAGAGGTCTAGAGTAGTGCCAGACGGAACGACAAGTGAGGACAGAACAATAGTGGCGCATGACTTCTGGCTGACGCTGGCGAGGGAAGCACCAGATGAGCCCGAAAAGGTACAGCTGCTGGCCCTCTTGACCTTGTCGGCGCTGGGAGCAGGGGTGATGGCGGGCCCCGGCTCGGCAACGGGTGAGGCCGCCACGCAAGCCGTGTAGGCTCCGAGAACTAAGGAATAATAGCTGAGTGCCTTCATGATCGATCTTGACAGCGGCTAACGACGAATCACGGCAGTGTCTGATGCCAAGCAGATGCTTAAGACATGATGGAGGTCTTGGCACCTTGGCAGCCTTATATACATGTGCGTGCCTCATCGTGAAGCTGAGCCAGCTCAAGGGACGCGTCACGAGTGGCCGAATGCGCAGTCCACGGAGCATAGCATTGAACATCCTCCTTTTGGCCTCGTCTCCACCATAGTAAGGGGAATACTTTAGTCCTCCAATAGCAAGGCTATGATATTGTCCATGGAAATTGTAGTTGAAAGGGCTTGCGCCTAGGGCCCGGCTACCGGATTCACAATTCCCCCAATCGGGAGGGATGCCAGACCAACCACGATCGTCCGTCCAGTTGGGGTAGCTTTCCCCGGATTGTGACCGGCACTGAATCGCGTTCACATGACCTGAGGGTCCATTCCCCATGCGTGACGTAGATGTGATTCGTGGCATTCCATCTCTTGCAGGTCCCTCGTATGACCGGGCAGCCTTGATCGTCTGTTGGATTGCTCAAGGTGATCCTGCTGGAAGTTGTCTTGGCTAAAAAGTTAGCTGGCTCCACTGTATGCAATTTAGGACTGGTTTGAAATATTTTGAGGTTCCACAGTCACACAGCTCGCTTGCAAGTAAGGATCGAACGCCCGTTGCATCGACAAATCGACGCGCCTCTAAAGACTGACCCGCTCGTGGTCGCGATGCCCAAGCCCCCTGTCGGGAGATCCTATGCCTCAGGTGCCGGCGGAAAAACAATTCCATGCATCGGAGCACGATCATTGCATGGCGCGTAAACGTCGATTTCGAACCTCGGACCCGTCGCGACCATTTTTCGCCCCACGGTTGAGTCCTTACAACTGGCCCAAAATAAATCGCCTCGGGGTTCTTGTGCTTTCCGGATTATAATAGTCCCATGAGTGATCAAGTCGATAGAGGCCCTTTAGTAAATCGGAATAGCGTTATTTGAGTACGAGGACTATAACCTCACGAGGTCCACACTCTCCGGTGGCTTCCAAGGTTATCTTGGAATCAGTTAACAAAGGTTTCACGATTGACTATGCGTTGGCTGCTCGTGGAACCTTTCAAGCCTAAGGTCCAGATCCCCAATCACCCGTCTTAGAGTGTTGCCCATGCACAGGTTGAAGAATTTCAGGTCTGGGAAACCATCTGAGCCGTCTGAATGAAATTTCATCATTGAGTCATCCCAGAGGCGGGGCTCGTATGAAGTGATCGTTCCAAACTTATCCCCTGAGCCTCCGCCACGATCTATGTTCTCTTCAGCGACGAATAATTCTGATCCCTGGAGGTGAAGGTGACAAAGTTCCTAGGCTCTCGCAGTATAGAGTTTCTGAAGAATGCTTTGCTTATTAAAATGCAGCCATTCAAGAACACATAACGAAAAATCACTCGGAAAAAGACAACAGGTGCCGCTTCTACGCCACGGTAAAAACCTGTTTAGTTCTACGAAAGAACCTTGGAAGGTAAAGCGGAAGGGGGGGGGGGCTGAAAGAGAAGGTGGGGCAGGGGATTCAAACTCAGTACCTAGGTAGTCCCTACCTGCTAATGCACTGCTTCTGAATGTCCTGTTCACTCTGTTTGCGCACCCAAAATCTCCTGGCAGCTGCGCTCTCTGGATGGGAACATTGGTAACACTTGCTGACTAGCATAGACATGAGATGAAGAAGTTGTCCTGCAACTCAATTTCAAGATGCTATTTGAGCCTCTGCGATGAGGTATACTTAGTATTTTATTAGAGAGTTGTGCCTATACGTAAAACCCGGCTATCCTCTGCCTTTCCAACTGCCACCGTACCTGCCGGCGGAAACATAGATTTCACCAAATCTCCCATCTATGAGCCTATGTGTTGTGCTCGAAGCTTCCATGCTAAAGCTTATCCTACATCATTATTCACATTTTTTTTGGCTATTTTGCAGACTGGGGTTTCATTCATATTCTCGTTGCATAATACGAGTTCGTGATGGAACAGACTTTCGGTTAATAAGATAATTAAGTTCTAGTTCCTGTGGGGATACATAGCCCCGGATTTTATCTTCGTCCAAAGAACCACCGTATACTCTGACCGAATGCTCCGCCCAGGTTTTCACGGAAGCAGCGAGGGCAGGTTCCTCTCACATAGATGTAATCCCTGCGGGGCCTGTCGGGGCAGGAACGATGCCTGCGGTATCCACGGCACTTCTCCCTGGACGCGTATTCCCTATGGCGGCAGTGAGAGTACTCGTAGTACCATTTGATACACATTTTGAAAGTGTATGGTAGTGCAGTCGTGTAAGTGGGACCCTTATTCTCTTGGGTGTCGAATTTGGCTACTGGTTCTGTTACTGGCTGTGTGTTGTATTAGATACGCTTTTCAGGTACTTTCGGTATGCGGTTGTTTCCTTGGGAGAAGCTTCTCTCTGGGAATCTGACACAGAAAATTGTTGTGGTTTATTATATGGGCTTTTTAGACCTCAACTACAAGTACCAACTGCTGAATGACACCATTGCTGGTCAAGTTCACGAGAATCTATTCGTTGCGTCTTTTCACTTGAATTCCATGATTTGGAAAGCGTTACGATCATACAAGTTGGCCTTGAAGCTCACCTTCAGTCTGTTTAGGCGCCTGACGAGCCTGCTGTTTCTAAAAAACAGCACGCAATCTTCGCGGATCGCACCATTGTAGCCTGCTAAAGTCACCCATCACTGTTAGTCATCGAGCTATTCCTCTGTGACAGTTTTTATTCTTTCAAGTAATGCTATGGACTTCACGCACACCACAGATTTTAGTTCAAATGTTCAAATTCGAATTCACCGATTACAGTTTGTGCAGTAGAATTATTCATTCAATTGCTCAATATCGTTGCGATAGGAAGGCAACTTCACTCCCATAAGTGACTGGTTTGTCCGATATCTCGTCACAGGATGTAACTCAAATAGCAATTATAGTTCAAGTTCCGTGGGGGGAGGGGCATTTGGAACCTCGAGTGTGCTGCTGCAGAAGAAACCATAATAGATGTATTTCTGCAGTCAATCCAAATACCTTTTGAGATTTCTTGAAATGATATCTGAAAACCTGCAAGATAAGGAGGAATTTGGATGGAAACCTTGTCCTATCTGCCAGAATCCGGAGCCCACCTCAAAATTGTTTGAAACGGTATTTGGAGAGGCTGGAGGAGCACATCAGAATACATGCGGTAGAAGTAGAAAGATCACTGCGTTATGAGAAGAAATCGGACTTCGACATGACAATGATGCATTGATTAAAAGAATGGAGAGCTGTTGACGCCCGCGATCTCAATGCCTGGTCTTTGATGTGGGTTTGGGATAGATTTCATGAGAGAAATTTACTACCTGCAACCTCCTTGCTGTTGCAAATTTACGTCGGTATCTGGATGATAATGGCATCCCATGTCTCGGTGCTGTGCATCATACATCAGTTCTGATAGTTTGCCATGCCTCGCCTATGGAGGACATGGTACTAAATATCAGCGGACGTTGTCCATGGAAAAACATACGTCGCACCTGCAATACCGGCAATTAATAGCCTGCTGTTCTCCCTAAATCGAGTCGCTTGTTCTCTCTTCAAGAACGCAAACCGTCAACAACCACGTATTCGTGCCAGGAACCTCCGGTTTGCGCGCTTCTAATGAAAATGTCCGTGTCCTCGGCCGGGACATCCTTCCAGATGCTATCTTGCCACACTGGACCTCCCTCCGCCGCCAGCCACTCAGCCGGCCTGACCCTCCCATCGACCCACTCCCCCAACCTCATCGCCTGTGAAACCTCTGCACAGCAAACTCACCATGCCCCAGCAACCCTCTCCGTGATAGCATCAGCCTCACACGCTCCTAGCCAGCACAGCCTCCTGATCCAGCCGACGAAAAGCCGTGCCTCCCCGCCGTCTCCTGGTACGCGGCTCGGCCCTGGAAACCCTCCCAGACGACGAACATGCTCGGCCAGTAGGCACGTGATGAAATCCCACGGGTCCTCCGTAGGGGTTGGCCTCCTGGTCGGGAGGCCTTCGGGCGCGCTCCAGCGCCTGCACGTAGTTGAGGGGCAGGTTGGTCTGCCTGTGGTCCTCGCGGGCGAGTTTCATATGCAACTTTTGGTACTCATTCAGGAAGCGGTCTTGCTCCCTTGAAGGCTTCTCAAGTGCTTTTTGCAACTACGATGAACCACGTTCACCTCGTGTTGGGCATCGTACTGGGGCTAACTTTTGTCTGCCGTCTTGGAAGCCTGGTGGTGACTTGAGTTTCGAAATAGCTGGGATGGATGTCGTGGGTTACAGCTGGCAAAAAGAGTCTTTCCTTGGCTGCGTAGGCAGCATGAAAAGTATGAGAGAATTTGAAAGTTATTGGAAAGGTGACTGGTTCTTTGTCTACTTAAGTAGCTGCTCACACATTCTCGGATACTTGCGACTGCGCGCTGCTCATGGGCCCGGTAGGTGACGGGAGGGGGTGCGGAATTGGCGAGCATACCAACGAAGACAGTCGCCACTGTTGTCAAAACGGCACAACGACCAGGGTCGCTACTAGTAGGATCATATGCGACGGTAGGAAACTTTAACCCGGGGCGAGAGTTTAGACTTCTCATGCTATTTATATTCGGTATAGCGTAAAGCCTTCGGATAGACTGTCTATTGTAGGAGGTAGAACACATGTGCAACACTAAACTACATTCGCTCCCCGTGGCGAGGTGTTGCGCGCCGCGCCGACCTATGATATGATAATCAAACGTGTATGCCATCCAATCTAAATGCCGATGCTACATGCAGATAAAGAACCAACAGCGTAAAAGGTGAGATGTTCAACACAAATATGCAGTTCACAAAGAAAAAGAAACACGCGACTCCTTCCGTCTAGATGTAGAGGAAGTCACCGCGGTACTTCACAGTCTGAGCATAGTTGCTCGCCTTGACACTGCTCACCGAGAGAGCATCAGGGTCTCGCTTGGGGAAGCCCTCGAACGAGGCCGCGTAGGTAGCCACACTATGGGCCACAAGCTTCGTGTTGAGCTCCCAGGCGGTCAGGTTGACGTTGCCCGTGTCGTCGCAGAGCTGGTGGTAGCACTGGTCGAAGGCCTCACCAGCCTTGCCGCCAAACGACTCGCGCTCCTTCTTCGTCTTGATGACCTCGGCACCAGTGGCAATTCCGCCGGCGGGGATGCCGGCGCGGATGAACCCGTCATAATCGCTGCGGCCATCGAACGGGATGAAGGTGTAGTTGAGGTCGTGGGCCTCGTACCAGTCGACGTAGAGGTCACGGAGCTCTTCCGAACCGACAGGATGGGCGTCGTTGGTCGCATTGTAGACCTGGTACGCAAAGTTGGGGCTCGCAAGCATGTCGTAGTCCATAAACAGACGGACCTTGAGGTTTTCGTCGCGGGGCAGCTTGGTGGCGTAGTAGCTGGATCCTACTAGGCCCTCCTCCTCGGCCGACCACCAGGCGAAACGCACGCAGTTGTTCACTTTGAACTTGGAGAGCTGCCTGGCCACTTCCAGAAGGGACAGCGTCCCAGATCCGTCATCGTTGATGCCCGGGCCGGCCTCGACGCTGTCAGAATGGGCGCCAAGAGCTACGCAGTTGTCCGGGTCACCCTCGGCGGTCTGGATAACGATGTTCCTCGTGATGGAGGTATTGACCCAGGACCTGATGTACGCGAGGGTGTCGACCGTCTCGCCGTTGTCCAGTTTCTTCAAGAGGGGCTCGGCATCAACCAGAGGAATGCCGAAAGTAGCAACGTGGTTGTCGTCGGGGTCGCCGAGTGTCCCGGAAAGCTCGCCCTTTTCGTTGTTGTAAATCACCGCGGCAATGGCACCCGCCCTGCCAGCCTCGGCAGATTTGGCGCCGAACGAACAGGTGCCGCGGCTAATGAAAGCGATGTTTCCCTTGACTTCGGAAGGGTAGTCTTTGGCCGAGCATCCCCTGCCACTGACGGCAACGAGATCACCACGAACGGGTTCCCTGTCCTCGGTGGGAGGGGTCAGGCTCATGGGTTGAGCGGCTTCATAAAAGTCATTGCCGATGACAAGACGGAACTCGTCAACCCAGCCAACATAAGCAGGGAAGGGCTGTTCCAAGATCTCATAGTAGTCCCCAAGTTCCGCAATGGAGTTGCGGATGTATTCGAGTGTCCCGAGGTGCCCTGTGAGACTGTCAGTTTGGGTTCTTGGGGCTTCAGGCGGGAATGGGTTTTACCTTGACTGCCGATCACTCGTGTTGGGCGGTTGTACTCGTGTGAGCTGAGGTTTGCTATGTCGTACAAGTCCTGGGCGCCTTTGGTCAGCCTGTCGATGGAGATGCTGTCCTGCAAGGCCTGGCTATCAACCAGTGGCTTCTCGGCCTGAGTCAGAGGTGCCTGAGGTGCTTGCTGATCATGGCCAAGCAAGGGCTGCTGCAGCTGGGCCGAGGATGCAGAAACGGCATGCAGGGTGGAGGTGGCAAGCGAGGCCAGACCAAAGAGGCGTGACGCAGCCATCGTTGTGCAAGATAGCTCGAGTCTCTTGAGAGGTTGTTGGTTTGTGTATGTCAAGAGGAATAAAGCCTCGAGCAGTTACGTGCTTAAAGTAGGTAGATATGGTTTCAAAGCTGATAAGGCGTGGTCGTGAGGTGACATTGCGGCAGTGGACCCCGGCAGGCAAGGGGTGAGAGGCTGGGGCCGTGCAAGGGTCATGCAGGGGTGTGGGGTGTCCCCAGACTGACCTAGGGGTGCACGCGGCTCAGATGACCACTGACTGCTGATACATCGAGTCGGCATGCCGTGTGTGTGTGTGCTCGAAATCAGCAAGTACACAAGTACACAAGTACACAGTACTGACTGGCAGACTGGGGTGTCGGGACAGAAGCCGCTGTAAACCATGCTCTAACAAGGTTTCTTTGGTCTTGTTCAATTCAACCACCATGAGCATTCAATCCATAAGCCCACAAACAAACTACGACTGCAATTGCCAGCACCATGTCTGTGGTCCAAGGTCTGTGGGTTGCAGCATGAGCAAGCAGCTGGCAGCCTGCAGCCCCCAGGCCAGGGGCAGGCAGTATGCGCTAACCGTTTTGTGCTGGCAGTACGGAGTAGGAGCATTTCACATTTCCCCAACTGCATCAACGAGCCTGCTTGCCTGCATCACTCAGCATGTCGACTTGCTTTTCCCTGCGTTTGATCCAGATTTGATCACCACTTTGTCAATTTCGTCCAGCCTGTCCTTAGCATCGTGGGCGTTTCTCTTTGCATGAGATCTTCACCGCAGTTCGTCAGTTGACACCCAAGCACTTTGGACCACGTGCATCCCAAGCCTGCTGCTTTACTCCGTACAACCAGCCGACGTCGCTGCGAGGCCGAGGCCACCTTTCCACCCTTGTTTCATCGCAGACAGCAAGCTCCAAAACCGGTATGTCCTCACGTGCCATGCCACCTACATTGTTGGAACGTGAATGCTGAGCCTGCCCTTAGATCTTCAGCTTGCATCGACAAGGGAGGGGGACACCGGGTAGTCGAAAGTCGTAAATCCACGGCGCAGCTGCGATTGACTGCAGCATGGCATCTCAGACGGCCGATGCCACCGACCAACCCCCACGAACCATCTCTTTGCTCCGTCACGGCCATGCCTGGAACAACATGATCTCGGGCTTCCCATGCAGGGACCCCATCCTGACCGAGCGAGGCCGCGCACAGGCCTCGGCCGTCCAGCTCTCCCAGCCCCCCGACCTGATCGTCGTGTCTCCCCTGACCCGCACCCTCGAGACCGCCATCCTCGCCTTCGGGCCCCTGATCCGCGGCGCCGGCGGCCCCACCGCCTCCGTCCCCGTCCAGGTCTGGCCCTCCCTGCGCGAGTGCGGCGACAGGCCCTTCAACCACTGTCGCACCCGCTCCCAGCTCGAGAGGGCATACCCCTTCCTGGACTTCTCCGAGTGCAGCCGCTCCGGCGTCTACGACAACAGCAGCGAGCGGAGGGGCCACCGCCGCGCCCGCCGCGTCCGCAGGCGCCTCATGGAGCTCTCCCAGACGTACAACCACATCGTCGTCGTGAGCCACCAGGGCTTCATCCACAGGCTGAATGGGGGCTCTGCTAGGTACCGCAACTGCGAGTGCTGGACGTACCGGGTTGGCGTCGACTTCAGCATCACGGACGATGGAGACCTCGCTGCTCCCTCGGGATCCAACGGCCCGACCCAGGTGGCCGCCGGTGAGGAGAGCGAGGTCAACGAGGCCGACTGAGTAGTGTTTCTCAGCCATGAGGTCCAGATGGTGACGGTTGTGCAGCCACGGGAACGGCAAGTGACCTCACTCATATTGCCGCAGCATATCTGCAAGTAGCTCTGAAGCAAGCGTTTAGGTCCTTTCTGGGAATATTCTTTGAGATATGGCCGTATTCCATAGCTCCTAGCGGCAGAAATAGAGTGGCCGAGGCCGTCAGCCATGCCTTGAGATGGAACCACGGGCCCCGGTATTTGTGGCTGTGTCGCAGATGGCGACTTCACCAGCTCCCTTTTCACGTGGCTATGTGGAGGCACCAATCAGGTATATGCTTTGCCTTGACTGTTCACGCATCTACGCACTTCATCTTTAAATCCATATTTTGCCATCCCTAGAATTACCCCAGACTTTCTTGTGGTGTCTGGAGGTCTCAATCTATACCCGAGTAAGCGTGACGTGACAGGCTATTACACATGTCACTTTGCGTTATATTCCACGTGTGACCCAGGCAGGTGGCCATTGGCGGCCGCAATCTCTTCTCATATCAGAAGCCCACGCTCCGAGTGTACGGAATAGATGGACGGCGGGCTTTTCTGGCGGGGTGGCATGGTAATTCCAGAACGTAACGATTTTGATCGGAACCGATATGGGAAGGGTGTTCATTTCTCTATCAGAGCATCCAAACTAGGCTTCCATAATTTTCGAATACCTCCTCGCACGGGTCGTGTGACTCAATCATGCGAGTGTAACCTGAAGCATTGTATAACTGTACAAAAAAGAGCGCTGCATTTTTCCAACACGTGGAACGCACCTCGGCCTCTTCATATATTTATAGTATCACGATCAATAGCAAGGATTTGTCCTGCACTAAAGCGCAAAGGGTATCCCCTCTAATCATGGGATACATGAGAGGCTGGGCTCGACGTTCTCCCTCCCCTGGACTACAATGTCTTCCACGTACTGCTCACCGTCTCGGCGCCAGGCTCCCTGGTCCCCAGGACTGCCTCCTTGCCGATGCCGCGATAAATGTCAGTCACGCCCTGGCTCTGGAATTCTTTAGGTATTACATATCTCACCCAGACTTTTAGCAGTAATGCCCCTATTATTGATAGTGGCTGGCACATTCTTCAAAGTTACTTGACCAACAGAGGAATAGTGTGTGTACCGTCGTCTGTGTGCGTCCGCTGGGCGTTCTCCTAGCCAGGTGACAGTGAAGAGTAGTTTGAATTCGTAAGGGTTATGATTGAAGCATAACCCAGCCACAGACTGGGCTCTCAAGATCCTGAGAGATGCCCTTTGTACTGGTATCACATAGGGATATCTTCTTAGAGTTGAAATATACTTCATGCAGTTGGTGCAGGACCAATAATAGAACGTGTCAAACTCGAGATCTTGAGTACTGATATTATGTAGGCATTTTCGAACCGGCAACGAGTCGCGTACTGGACGAGATGGACTGTGATGAAATTGGTGCTAGACCGGACGTTCGACCTCAGCCATACTTCTGAGCTTTGTTCTCAAAGTCATTGGCCACAAATTCCAACAAAAAATTGTGAAGACAACACTTCATACACTGGTTGCTTGAATCGCCCTTTGATGCGGCAGACAATAAGCCTTCGCCGAGTACGTGCGCTATTGTGATGAGCGCGTGCGCCTGCAGGAGGTGCGAGCGGCCATGCCAAGACAACAACATGCATCGGGATGCGCCGTCGGAAGCGATCACCACGAATGCGTGCAGCCTAGTGGTCTCCAACGGCGCCTTTTACGTCATGATGTAACCTCCTTCAAAGGGGAATCGCTTTCCGGAAAGTCTAGGTATGCGCCCGTTGGCTAGGCTGCGCGCATCCCAATCTTGCATCCTGCACACCTGGGCGGCGAAAAGCTTCCTTCACCTTGGCCACCATTAGCTATCGAGCCATCCGAACTCGATCTCGCGTGGGCCCACGTTCCTCAGGCCCCGACAGCACGAGCCAGTGCAAAAGCCAGAAAACACCCACCATGAAGCTCCCGAGACACGTACTGATCGCGTTGGCCGCGGCGTAAGCTCTGCCCTCAGACAGGCCAGGCAAGCCAGGGAGTGGCCAGAACTGACACTGAAGCAGCATCCCGGCTCGGGGCCAGACGCCATCGTCAACCTCAGCCCGAGAGCCGACAACCACCGCCTCCGAGTCTGGACTCACGGCCACACTCACGTCGTCAGCCTCCACATCGTCGTCAACATCGCTGGAGGGCTGCCCCACCGTGACTCTGACCAGCAACGTCTGCCATTCGTGCGCGACGCCGGACTGCGTCGAGCTGGTGCCCCTGACCAACTCGTGTGACTGCCCTTCGGCCATCCCCACCGTGTTCGTCGACTACCCCTGCGAGTCCGGCTGCGGTGGGATCGGATGCGCCGCCAACTACGTTTTCTTCACCGCCAACTGCACCACCGAGACCTCCAGCGCGTCGTCCGGCTCGTCTGGCACGGCACCAGCCAACTCGACCGCGTCGGCGACTGGTATTGGGGGTCTGAACTCCACTGCAAGTGGGATCACCGCGTCTGGTATATCGACGAGGAGTGGTGGGTCTGCGACCGGGACAGGGACGGCGGCGGAAAGCTCGTCAAGTATTGCGGCGGCTGGGAGGGTGAGGCCGTTCTGGATGGGTCTTTTGTAAGGCATGGGCGTATACCGCGAGGCGTGAGACCCGTACACAACCCCGATTGTGCGCTTTAATTCTTAATGGACAAGTCAGTTTTGGACGCCATGCGTGGGCTTGAGGCTCAGATGCACCCGAGCAATAAGCCGGAGATACTCGGGCTGTCTTGAGAAACACACACGACTAGAGTGAACCCTTGCGAAGTCGAAGTTGCAAAATTACATGTATTATTAGCGAGATATCTTCAATTCTGCCCGTGTTCTATCTAACGCCATCGACTGCCCCCTTGAAGTCCTCATCCAAAGAGCTAGAACTCATCCCGTGACAAGGTTTGACCGAAAACTTGGATAAGCTTTGTCTCAAAATCTTCGGTCAGGCCGATCTCCACATGACGAATCTGTCTAGCCTCACCAGGACACAGCCATTGTTTGAAACGCCTCGCTTCCTATGCCAGTCCCGGACCACGACGATGTAATCAAGCTCTGGCCTAGTACCGTAAGTCACAACAACAAGCGTTTCCAAGTGTCTCCACGACAGGTCGTCAAACAAGGAGTGATTTCTCGGCCTTCGCCTGTGGAAAATCTTGGCTAAGCACGCCTCGGTGACGAGCCTTCGTTTCTTCAGTTTGCAACATACTGCGACTTCCGGGAGCCCTCCATACTCCTGCCCGGTGAAACTGTGAGCGAAGCTTATTGGGAGAGCATCAGGCCCTCGGTGGCAAGACGCAGGGCGGGCTTCATCCTTAAGATCGATATCGCGGAGACAATTCATATTGCGTGTGAACTTGTGGGATTTCCCGAGTGTTGTACAAAATATAGGAGCACCATGCCGAATAGTTACCACTACGTAGCCAGCATGTAACACGGTGGCAGGAGAGCGGTTGAGCTGACTACAATTACTAGCCTCGTCTCTAGCTATGTATGACGAGTTTGAGGCCATCTGACCAGTCTTCGTACACCGGGTCTTTGACAGCTTAACATTCTATGAAGGGGCCGTGTCCTTTTGGGATATGTACAGGTAGAGAACGAAGCCACTTACCACCGGACCAATTGCTACGATAAGCACTCGGATAAGCCTGTTCAATTAAACACAATGACAGTAATACTAACTCACACGAAAGTGAGGATATCTGAAAGAAGGGAGATTGTGAAGAATGTGTAGAACATGTAGCAAAAGTGCATCTATCTAGTTCCATGTGTTGTAGAACTTAAATTTTTTATCAGTCTCACGCGGAGTTACAAAATTCATGAGGACCATAGGGTAGTACTGCAGTTTTATTTACGTCTGAGGACCTATCAGATCAATCAATAAGAGCCCGGGAAATAATTAACCGGATTGAAAAGATGCTGGTTCAGGACCTTGTTCTTCCAGCTTGGCGAGATCCCGTCAAGCAAAATACACGAGTCATAGATTTCTATAGCGGCCTCGTCCTCAACAAGGTCTGTTGGCCCAATGGCAAGGCGTCTGACTACGACTCGGGAGCAATCCACGAGACATTCGAAATCAGGAGATTGCAGGTTCGACCCCTGCACAGATCATTTTTTTCTTTCTCTCCCTCTTTCTCGATATCTTTTTAACCGTACTCTTCCTGCTTGAGCAGAACTTTTCTTGAAATACAAAGTACTTAATTAAGTAAGTATGCTTCGCTCAATAATCCTGACTTCTGTCATTAATGATAGTAGATCTTAGAGTTGGGTCACGGTCTAGTTTCCCGTCATGCCTGTCCAATTTTCTGGTTTGTTCATGTGCCCATCCTTTACATCAATCATTAAGGTAACAGCACCGCGGAATTTGATCATTGATTAAAGCTATAGACTATGTGACCCGTCCACCATCTTTGGAAGAACCTCATCTACGCGCTTCCATTCTCTCGCCTTGTCTGCTGTACAGTGTGTAACAGAAGCTATTCCCTCGGCCGCATCGTCGGACGATATTCCAAGGTTAGCGCGCAATAAGATCACACACCCTGAGGCAGTCTCTCCAAATGCGACACAGATGTCTGCGCTCGGTTGAGCCTCTGACATCCGTTTGGCCACCATCGAAGTTGTAGCACAGAACCCTTCTTCAATCAGAAAATTGTTCTTCCGTTTCAATACTCTATCGGTCAGCGTGCAATTCCTGGGGCTTCTCCTGCACTGCCATTTCTGAAGGACTCTGCGAGGCATCCATCTCATAGACCTGTGGGGGCCGCTGTACAGCCTCTGCGTGCAGCTCGGGCTTAAAACCTGTCATATATGTACTCTCGTCCGCATCATCCCCCCGGTTGCTAACTCGCGCAGCCAGCTTCTGACGCCTCAAGAATAGAATCATCCCTAGAATTATCAAGGCTGTGCCGACTACGGAACCGACGACAGCGCCGGCTATCCACGCTTTATTGCCTGAGTCTAAAACGCAATGTATTAGCATGATACAATAAACCGCTGTACAATTCTAGGCATACCGGGGGAGGCTGTGTCATCCACCAAAGAATTTACTGAAGCAGCTGCCGAGTCACTCGCGCTTGAGACAAGTAACGTCGAGATAGGGGTGGCCCTCAATTCATTTATGCTCGCCTCCAACGAACTCATTTCGGCCGTGTAAGTAGCAGGAACGGCGGCGGAAAACCACGGCGGCCGGGAGACGTCCTCAAGGGCCGCATATATTAGGCTAGTCGGGTCGCCGGTGACAGAGGCCGCGGAGGCCGCGGATACTGCGGATGCGGCAAGGTCGCTGAATACCTCGAGCGGAATGTATGAAGACACTAGAGACTGAACTGAGACGTGGAAGAAATATGCCGGTTTTGTTGAGGTGATGGTGCTAGGAACATAAATGACCGTGCTTTCTGCGATCGTTGTACCTTCCATTGCCAAGTTGGATGCTGTTATTCGTTCCAAGGTTTCGTAGTAAGTGAGCCACGATGTAGGTATTGGCGGCGAAATTTCATGGGAACTGAGTAATGATATACTTGAAGTAGCTGTTGCTGAGGTTGGCTCCGCTTGAATACCAGTAGCGGTAGCTGAGGAGGCGCTGCAAAAGTTGAGGTATTGAGCGAACGATTCGCTCACGTATGCTGCAGATTCACCCCCGTTTTGGTCTATGCATTTATTGCAGTCCTCCAAATACTGGAGAAATGCACTGCCAGGGTCGCATAAACTGGGAACCTTCCCTCGTGCCTGTGCTTCGAGATTGGCATTATCTTGTCTAATCAGCGGACCTGCGTTAGGTCGAACTTATGAATTCCGCGGAAGACTTACTGCAGGCATCGAAGCAAACCGCTGGGATGGTAGGTGTGTCGCGACCCTGCATATTGTTTAAGAGCCTCTCCATGGCTCGCTTTGATGACCGAGTCTCGACAAAACTACCACATTAAACAACACTTGGTTGACGGACAAGGTTCAGCCGAGGGGAATTGAAATAACTAGGGGAAAGCATCCGCTTTTTGAACAGGCCACTGATGCCCGCGTGGTTTGAGAGGTTTTTGACCGATGTCTCATTGCATTTAATCGAGCTGAGAACATGTAGGGTTCCACTGCAGGCGAACGTCGCTAATTTTGGCCTGTTGGGGGTGGCTTTGCTCCAAACTAGCTGTAAAATTGGGTACCTAGGTAGCCTGACGTGACACAGCATGTAGACGAATTGAGTCTACCTCCTGGGGCCGATTTCCCTTTTCATCTGCACCTTCTCGGAGTTGTCTCTGCATTATCTCCGACTTTGTAATGAGCCACAGCACAGCCTAAGGTGCTCAACCACTATAGGCTGTAAACGCTTGATTTATATTTAGCTTGCAGCCGACCTAGGCCCCATAAAGCCTGCTTGAATAAAAGGACCCCGGGCCTGAAAAGATTGTCAGATGTTAATCTGAGTGCAACGCCAGAAGTATGTCGGGCATGCAGAGAGAACACTGTTCATACCTGCCTGACCTCTGGGCTTAGAAGCGCTGCTCTGCAAGCCGAGTCAGGTCGTCCTACAGATGTGGAACAGTCCGATTTTCACCAGCTATACAATTCTGATCAATGGTATGATGAGAAGGACAAAAGTCCTACATATTAGCCCTTCCCGCGAGTTGTAGCGAGGTTGTTCCTGGTACGTCTACTCCGTCGTCTACAGCCAGTGTGGTTTCGCTTCTATTCCGTATATGTCCGAGGTCATACATGGCGCCTTCATACGGTGATCTACAGCCAGTATGACAGCTTTACAACGGCCTGGGCGGATAGTGATGCCCCATGCAAGAATCAAAACATTGGTTAGACTTCAATCAGTATATTTTGGCGACCCTGGTATGATAATCCCCACTAAGGATAGTCGTGCTCACTCAGAACGGCGGCTGGAGCGCTTCGATTCGAAACACCGAATGCCGGATACTTTGCTTACCATGATCCATTAAGTCCTGCATGCGATAGTGTCAGCCCCACACACCGCCGCGCCGTATTACTGCCTTGATTTGTATGTCGAGAATCATGAAGCTACACACCAGATTTACGAAGATTTGACTGCAGGATTTTGTTCTCCCCTGGCAGAGTTCAACAACGGACGAGTTCAGTTGCCCTTTGCCCAGGGTACAAGAATGACCATTGAAACAATCACGAAAACGGGGCCGAAAAACGCTACGCAGCATATTTGGAGTCGCTGTTCATCATTCTGGAGGAGATTGAAGATCCCGCATGCCTTATCTGCGCTGGATCGGAATCCGGTATATTGTTTGTGGCTGACATAGCGGGTCTGTTGAGTCCGTCATGACTTGTAAAGCATCACCCATTTGATGTTTCTTCAGTTTAAAGAGAAGTAAAAGAAGATTCCAATGCAAAGAATCCTGCATATCGGCTTTTGCGACGCCAACGAGGACTTGTGTGCTGTCCAGGCTGTCACCTTAATCCTTGGTGTGAGAGCCTCTCAGAAATTGAACACGGACCATAAAGTCGCGTCTTGTGCAAGCTTTGAATGCTAGCTACCTGTCAGGTCTTTTGCGATGCGCACCCATCTAAACGAAACTTGACCGGGGGACGGCCCCGGGGACTTGCGATAATGTCATTCTCACTAGGCGTCTTGTTTAGCCAGATTTCCAAGTTTCCAAGAGATGAATGATAGACACCCTAGGGTACCATCACCTTGGGCACTTGATGAGGTATATCTTGGCAAAATCAATTTCTATGAATCACATATCTTCTCACTTTTAGTGGCCCAGTCTGCTTTTATCAGTTCTCATTCAAGGCCTTTTCAACAATCGTGTCCTGTCCTGGCAGCCGGGTTGGAAATGTTCAATGATATGATTTTATTTCAGTGGCAAAAAATTCGCTTTGACAACAAGATTTGTACTGGTAGTCTCCCAACACGCCGTCAGGGAACCAATGTACTTAGAAGTGAAATCGTAATCGGGGCGGGCTGAAGCACTTTTCAGCCTGTTTCACCACCCCCTTCATCCCCCCTAACCCATGCGATCGCATACCACGCCGTTGAAATCAGCCGCACGAGTTGGTGTCGTTTGACGAATATGTTGTCATGACGAATGAAGCGGTCTCGTCGCAGTATTGTGTGCAGCCATTCAGACCGTATTCATCGTTGTCAAGCTTCAGAATCCGGCTGATTCCAGTGCTGCTTGCTTGTGAGGTGCAGTAGGCTACGATATCAGCCTGACTGGTAGCAGCCGCGCACCCACCCTCGGACCCATCGGTTGCACTGTCATCTTGTCGCTTCTTACTGCCGCCGCCGGCTGCCAGGCTTGAAGGGTACTCGATGTCAAAGGCCGGCTTGCCATTATCGGCGTAGTCTTCATAGCCAAGAATTAGCGTCAAGAACAGAACGTGAAGAGAGCGAGACTTACACTTTTGGAAAACGGTGCAGAACTCATCGGGTGCACCACGGTTAGAGCCGACGTTCACAGATCCGACACAGTTCTCGGAAATTGCAAAGTCCATGAACGTGTGGACGCGCTCGGTGATACTGTACGCGTTCTTCTGCCCGATCATGAGGGAGTGGCCAAGTGTTGTTGTCTTCGAATGGGCGTATTCGGCGAGAGTTGCGAGGAAGCTGACCATGTCATCTTGTGTGATCTGCTTGCCGATGGACTCGTCCGCCGACAGCTCCTAGATTACCGGTTAGCTCAATCATACCGAGGACGCTCAGATAGACAAACAAATGTATCAATGTTATCGGGATCCAGGCCATCGCAACCGATTTGATGCGCGAGGTCGATGCGAGACTTGTGGAGATCGAGGACAGTCGTATCTGTGACATCGACGTATTTTTCCTGGTCGTAGTTCTCCACGGTCTGGCTTGTCTTCATGAGCCCATCGTTTTCCCAGCTTGTCCAGTCGCAGTCCGTCGTCTTCACAAGATCTTGTTAGTACAGTTTCAATGTCACGGGTACTACAGTCCACTTACCTGCACTGCTCCCAAGTTGAAATAGCACAGGACTGTTGCTCCGGCTTCCTACTGTCCGTCAGATCAAATTTGTAGCAACACCAATTTGAGACCAGATAACTCTTACATGAAGTGCCGGAATCAGGGTAGGATCCTTGGATGCGTGAAAGAGATCGACGTCGATGACCTTGGCATCAGGCGGCTGCAGGCCGACTCGAGGATCGACCGGATTCTGGATCTCTATCTGCCATTTAACCCCGGGTTTAAATCCGTCCGGGACCTTGCTTCCTGATGTGGAGTTTTGGCTTGCAGGGGGCACCACCGATGCGCCCTCATCATTGGCGATCGGAGAAGTCGATGGAGCCGCACCGGCGGCAGAAGGAGAGCTTGAAGCTTGCGGCACGGCGTGAGGGAGGCATTTCGCACTGCAAAGCCCGAGAAGGGGGAGAAACAACACAGTTGCTGCGAATGAAGGCATCCTGATGCTTGGTGTCTAAGGAGTGACTGAAAAAAAAAGAGAAAAAAGGAGCGTGTTGGCATGGAGCGACACCTGGCGAACAGAATAACTCTTGCCGCCTTTCGGTAGAGGCCTTTGACGATATATATGGTCCCCCTTCCGGCTTTAGTCCATCCAGCTCGAGTGTAAGCCACAGAAGTCCCAGGCGGAGAATATGCAGGGGTGCCGTGACGAAAAGGCTAGTCCGTTTCAATTAACGATCTACCCGTGCGTGCCCCTTAGACGCGCTTTTTGCCGCCGTCCAATGGGAGAACCTTCCCCAGCTCTACTGACAAAACGAAACAGCCATCACTTTTTAGTCTCCAATAGTGGCCCGAGCCGCCGGAACTAATCTTGAGATGACAATCTTGGCAGGACTGTCACGTCAAGAAAACGCCGCACAGGCTGAAAGTCATGTTTTTTCGGGCTCGTCATCGTTGGGCCAGAAGCCAAGAGGCGCCGTGCGACCTGAAAAGGCTGCAGAGACCAACCAGGACGAGGAGTATAAAGCCAAGTGTCAAAGCAATCCGATCGGACAGAAGTTTTTTTTTTCCCTTCCTTTGAGGCCCGGCGGGTGCTTCAGCTGCTGTGCCACCCTGCGGCGCGGAATGTGGCCCAGACCTCCCTAATTTTCCATCGCACGATCCTTTGCTGCAGCCAACAGACTGTGCGCTGACGTTTCTAAAGTTATTTTTCAGTAAGCGCAAAAAAAACCAGACAATCATCACCCCTGATTCGGAATTCATTTGCGGTACTTTCAGAGCTGCCCAAGACAACTAGTCTCATACTACCGGCAGGGCAAAGTTACTCCGGGTATGGTGATGCGGGCTATTAGATTTGCAAATGGCTGGCGTACACAAGATTTCCTCTTGGGGATGAATTTCGTCACGCGGCTTGGGTGGTGGCGTTTGTGGCGTGTGCGAATGTCTGAGTTGGTCTCGGGTAGTGGTGCACATGTGAGCGTTGGGAAACGGCACGTCCCAAGAAGGTGACACGTACAGCTGTCGATACCTCTGCATTAAACGGCTTTTCTTGATTATTGATTGAAAGACTTGAAAGTGAATATGAAACCTTCACATTCAAACATGCATTTGGCATTACCACAAAATCACACCGTTGCTTGTCGCGGACCTCTGGAAGAAGTAGACTGAATATTATTACCTAGGTACCCTAAATGAATGTGGCTACTTTCAATGTGATAGCTCCAACTGTGAACCCCCGAGGACCATGAATGCAAAAGTCAAGAGTGAGTGACAGGAAGGCAACTGCAATCTCTCCAAAGCCGATGACCACACCCTCCAAAGTGGTCCCAATTCCGGCATGAGCATTACCAGGCATGTCAAAGAAATCCGACCTCGAACCTTTAATAAAGCCCAACAATGATATCTCCGCGAACACGGGCGGTAAGGTGGACTTCTGCTTCCTAGATTGTTCATCAGTGTCCTATGCCCAGCACTTGGGGGACCAGCCAACATACCAAGTCCAATTTAATGCCAACTTGAAGTGCGGCATCCTTCAAATCGCCCTTGGCATCAACAGCTCCACGAAGTAGATTGCCTGGATGACACATCAGCAAACATGAAACCTCAGCGGATGTGTGTAGCCGCTGCTAGGCGTGTTGTCAAATTCCCGGAACGGGATTTCTTACCCACTGCCCCGTTTGGGTTACCGCTGAGGCCCGGCATGGGGAGGTGATGATGGCTAGTGAGCTTGTTGTCCCTCTCCCTGTCATCGTTCTGTCCACCAAAGCGCGGCACGTTGTTAAGGGCGCCGGCACCCGAAGAGGCGCTCGATGAAGGGGCCGTGGGGGCAGAAGGCGTGGGCTTGGTTCTGCAGTCAATGTAGGTTAGACAGGCGATGTCTTGAACCGGAAAAAGTGCACCCATGGCGTAACTCACGGGGAAGACATTGTTTCTCGAAAGGTTCTGCCTTGGATGCTTCGGAAGGAAATTGTTTCAGCTGTGGTTGTTTCCGGAGGGAATCGAGCGGATCTTGGGATGGATATGATGCGATGGAGATGCACGGCTCAAGGGATGCTGCTGCTTCAACTGAGTGAAGGAAGGGATATATTCGATTGCTTGGGGAGGCATATCATCTTTATATCCATTCTCCTTCATCGCGTTTGGTCGCGTTTTCCTCGTCCGCGTGAGGGATATCTCCCCCAGGATGAGGTCTAGAGCCCGCCACCTGCATCCCTGCATCCCTTCCCGGGTCACTGCCGTGCAGGCACCTCATCGGGCAGCCGCGAGGAATGAATCCCCAGCTCGGCCGACGGGATGGGCCGCCCAAGTTGCATTTCCTCTTTCGAGTCAGCCACATATAGCACATCGAATGTTTTTCATGCGAGGGCTGGTGGGAAAGGCCGTCGGATTGAAGCTACACGCAAGTGCTAGAGTAGTCTCGATTGCCGAGTCAGCGAACAAAAGCAACCACGCTGCTGCAGCCAGGTGCCAAGCTTGACACACGCAGTGATCTGCCCGGCTCATCCCCGTCGGGTCGTAACTAATCTGGCGCCTCGGATGGCACACCTTGCGGGGATCTACCCTTATGCTTCAGATTCCACGTTGAACGTACCGATTGGGCTAGACACGTCACACACGGGCGCCTCGGACGGAGACATCGAACGATGGCTTGTCCTGTGTGACTTTGGTGGCTCGAGTCAATCTGGGCTACGGCAGTCTAGACGGGCACTCATCACATAAGATCGCCCACGAGGTGCGTAGTCTTCCACGCCTAGAAGGAGCACCCGAAGGTGTGGGGTTCCGCCGCTCGCTAAGCAGCATGTCGCAGCAGGTTTCGTTTATTGTCGCCTTTGCCTCGGTGTTCGGAGCAGCGGAAGCTATCAGGCAGACGCAAGCCAGGGCGCGGAGGCAGGAGCATCGCAGCCGGAAGAACAATCTTGTCGTCCATTGCACAAAGTCTTCACGGTTCAGTCCCTTGCTCGAGGGAAAACATGTGATCCTCTCAGGGAACAAGGTTCGTACTCCTTCAACCTGACCTTGTGGCCGAGTGATGGTCCCAGTCTAGGCCGGCAGTTGACCCAGGTATTACTGTCAGCTCTATGTCGACACAGGAACAGAATACGACGTCCCTTTCGGGCATCGTTTTGCGGGATATTTCCTCCCATTCCCAGAAACCCAACATGAAGGTCTTGTCTCTACAATCATGGACGATCCTCCTATAATGTGGGTGACCTTAACTGAGATAGATCGTGATCCATCTCTCCAACTGTCATTCACTATTCTGCCAACAGACAACGCTGACTACCCAGTCAGGAACTGGATATATATAGATCGCCAGACCTACGAGGTCAAGTTTGGTACAAGAGACTGCGCCGAGCCAAACTTCAAAGCCCCTTTCGACTGCACACGGCAAGACCGAAGACTAACACTGGGTGGATGGGAGGGTTTCTGCGCCGTCCAAGAGGGACATTTCTGGGCCTTGTACTTCGACGTTGAGAATAACCGTCTACTGTCAAAAGTCCCAGAGGGCACTCCTTTACTAGAGATTGAGCTGCAGCGGATCGAGATGAGGGTTGCGAAACCGTTGATGCCCGAGAGCGAGGCGAATGGGGATTGTGAAAAGGCAGGCGACGAGCTGGAAACACCCCTCAAGTCCGTGAGCCTGGAGTCACCAGAAGTTGATTGAATGTGCTCCAGTATTCCGTTCTGGTGATCTTTTCACAGCCCTGAGTGTTCGGAATCAAGTGGACACAGCATTCCCTAGGTAATTGAACGACAGGATGCTTTCCCGGAAGACTGGCACGTGGCAGCCCACCCGGCCCGCGTAGATCCTGCATATTTTCAAGCCACAGTGTAACATGCTGTAATGCATGTCTACAAGTACGCATTTGGCCGTGACTCGCCCTTAGAGGGGGGGGAGGGTTCTGTGAGATTTAGTAGTAGCTCCTCGTACCACTTCCAGGGAACTTAACCAGTGCCAAGGCGGAGGAGACTGGGTCAGGCACATGGACTCGGTCTCGAGAAGAGCGGGCCGGCCACGATTTCTTACATTTGATTAAACATGGGAGATGATTGGCGTTCAAGCCTTCGCAAAAGCACTCTTGTGACAATCCCTCGCGAATAAGCAAACAAAAGTTGCTGCATGGAGTGCGTTCGAGCCCTGAGGGCCAAGGTAGGAGTCTCAGAGTGCCCGATGGATGTACTTCAGCGTGAGAGGAAGAAGATTTAGTAACAGCGAGCAAGCCATCTTCCTTACGTAGCCGTGCCCCATCATCCAGCGGTTCCGCTTACTTCGTGTTTACGAAGGGTCCAACTGTTCCGCTCCGCCGCCGCATGAAGTCTGCAGCGGATCCGCTTTGCCGTCGGCCGTCACCTTCACCACCAGGAGATTTATCTCTCATTCCCAGACCTCCTATGGCTATAACCTTTTCCTTCTATGTGACAAGGGTATCCACCGCGTTTTCAGCTTGGTTGCCGCTCTCAGATTGTGGGACCCTTCTCCTCAAAATGTCCATTTCATGATGTCGGCCGCTCATTCGGTGCGTTGCGGAACGGCACGGTCGGTTCCGTACCAGACGCGGCTCATTACCGTCCGTGTGCATCAGGCATACGTCTCGAGTATCACGGCAGTGCTGTTCCACAACAATGACCCTATAAGGGCCGCCCCGGTCGCTTATTACTGCTGCAACGGCCTTTCACCGCCGGCTCCATGACCTGATCAGTCTCGTCATCACTTCGACGTCGTCCCGGGCATCTTGTTCAACGGCCGGGCCAGAATTGTCCAAATGGTAGATCTGGGCAGAGGGCTTTACCTGCGTACTTCTCGTGCAAGTGGTTTTGCGACACCCCTTCACAGACCGTAACACTGGGCTACCAGGGTGGTGTACCCGAGGGACTAATTCGTATTATTTCATCTATTCTAGTTCATCTAGAGCGGCCGTGTGTCTCTGGAACCCAGCCAAGAGCACGCGCCACAAGATCGACTCTAGCTCTGTGTGCAGGGTTCTTCAGTCAAGCATACACGGCTGAAGGATTCCCAGAAAACACTCCACATCGGTCTGGAACCACGGTGGCGTCGGGGTCAGGCGGGCGGGAGCGAGATCTCAAATCTTGTGTTACTCCAAGGCCGACAGATTGGTCCAGATCTACTTAGGTAACGTGGATTCCTAGGTAACTAATTACTGCCTTACAAACCTGGCCACATGACTCGGATGATGCTACTATTCACGAAGAGTCGAAGACCGGCCAGAACAAAATGATAGCTGGGGAGTCCCACCGAACACGAAGACAAGCCGTCAGGATAGACAGCAGCTTCTCTCATCCATCATCTAGCAGTGTAAGCAGTCAGCGTCTGATACACTCAGATGCTTGACTGCATGGGAGACCGACCGTGACGAAGTGAAACTCCATCGCAGCTACCTAGGTACACAAGGCCGAGGTACGGTTTTCTCACTTTGCACTCGGACGCATGATAGGGATCCGTTGAGTTTGGTACATTCATCGAATTGTGTCTTTCACTTCTTGGACGCCTCGATGATCTTCTCTGCCATCTCAACCAAACTGTCCGAAACCACATCGACTTCACCAAAGACCTCAGGCACTGGCTCGATTTCCCATACTGAGCACCAAGCCGCCTTGAATCTAGAATGTGTCTTGTCAGTTCCCGAGAGCACTTGAGAGTTTGCAGGCATTCGCCATGGATTCAAGGTTGCTCACCCGTTCGCCTTTGCTCCTGACGCGTCCCACATGTGGGCAGCGGCAAACCAAGTCTGCTCAGCGCCCTTGAACTGGTTAAGCACGAACTCGTAAGCCGCCGGCACAGGCTTCCTGACATCCAGGCCGTCACACGTGAAGAAGTTCTCGTCAGGGCAATGCAGACCCGCACCAGCAAGGTAGCCCTTGACCCGTGTCTTGTCGCCGGTCGTCAGGGCCCAGACCGTGAAACCCGCGTCCCTGAGCTTCTGCCACGCCTCCTGTACGCCGGGCCTCGCCTTGAGCGCCTTGTAGCCATCGGCGCACACCTCGGCGTCCTCCTCGCTGAAGAGCTCCCTAGGCTTCGGGATGCCCACCTGGCCGAGCACACGGAAGAAAAGTGGTCTGAAGATGGGGAAGAAGGGCTTGTATCGGCCTGAGAGGTCAAGGAAGGTGAACTCGCGCTCGGCGCACTCCATCCATGAGAAGCCGAAGATCTTGGGGCTGATGCCGTGTGCGCGGAGGCGGTCACCGATGCGGGCGTCCAGGATGTCGAAGAAGGCTTCGTAGCCGACACATGTCCCAACAATGTCGAAGACGACGTGCTTGCCGCCGCTGGCCATGATTGCGATTGTGGTGTTTGAGAGGAGCAAGGAGCTGTATACCTAGGTAGACGCGAGTTGGACGTGGACGTGGCAACTTTGTCTCCTGAGAATGATCTTGAACGTGGCTGTTTTGTTGGTGTTGCTGAGATAGACGTTGGGGTTGGGGGGTTGCGTGCTTCGGTGTTACGCTCGAGCTTCTGGGCGGTCCAAAATAAGGTTCCAAACATGTGCGCCGGATGTAGTCGTGACTCGCCGGCTCAGCTACCGGTCCGTCTCCACTGCTCGGGCCGGCCCCGGCAACTACGCATTGCGAGATAGGAAGTCCATGAGTATCGTTTGATAGGCATTCCGATCCGCTTGTAAATTGCATGACTTTACAATTACAAGACAGATGATTCAATTTCAGCACGTGCATGCAATTGAATCAGTCCCACAGCTTGGATCCCAGTTGCGATCGTGAGTGCCATCCTCAACTGGGCAAGCGGCAGTAAAAGGAGAGGACTTCAGGACAGGACAGCGTTTGGTTAGCGGACCGCCAAGATTTTACATATGCAGTCAACACATCAAATCAATTGATCGCCGCGGGCTGTTGTCGACAGCGGCCCAGCTTCGCGACCAATTACATCGTGGCCAGGGTGCCTTTGTTTCTTCTTGTTCACTTGAATTTTTTGTTTGAAAAAAGTTGCCCTGCTTTGTGACGATCGAGATAACACAACATTTGAACTTGCCGGTATTTAGCTGAATATGGCACGCTTGATCTTGACATACCACGGGATTCGCTTCTTCCCTAGGCCAACATCATCTTCTTCCATAGTCACTGCAACATGTCGCCTGCCTGTCTTCAGGTCCATGTCTGCGAGCGGGACAATCTTCGTTCCCTTTAGAATTTTCCAACCACAGAATAACACAACAAATACCGCAATGACAATGTAATTGATGACGAAGCCAACCGCGTCGAACCCCCCAACGAACACGCTATAGCCTGCAATGAAGACAAGCAGGGTGTTGATGCAGATAACAAATATCGTGCCGTAGGGATACCACAGGGCGCGGAATGGCAGGTCTTCAACTCGGTTGCCCTGGGCGACCCAGCCTTTGCGAAAACGCATGTGAGTTACGCCAATAACGGCCCACGCAATATATGTGGCCGAGCCACTGATGCTCGTGAGGTAGCTGAAGACCTTTCCCGGACCTGCCGTATAGTTGAGTATGGACACGAGCCCAAGAAGATTCGAGAAAATTAGGGCATTTGCTGGCGTTCCATTTTTGGTGGTCTTTGCAAAGAACTTGGGTGCGCGGCCAGCCTTGGCCAGAGAGACCAAACTTCGAGAAGCCACATAAAGGGCTGAGTTCATCGAGGACAGTTGGGCCGTGATCCTGAGTAGCCATCAGCGTCAGCGGGCGGAATTACCCGTGGAGGGAATGCGCTTACATTACAACGTTCACGACGTGACCAAGTTGAGGTGCACCGGCATTTGCGAAGGCGATGGTCCAAGGTGACTTCCCCGACTTGGTGGCAGCTGTCAGGAGGTCAGGGCTGTCTGACGGCACAATAATGCCGGCGAAGAATACAAGGCCCCTGTGATGGACGGTCAGTGGGGTTCAGACTGACATAATTGCTTTATAATAGATTTACTTACATGAAAATGATCAGGACCCTCCAGAAGGTTTGTTTTATAGCCCTCGGTAGATCTTTCGTTGGGTTCTTGGACTCAGCAGCCGTGAGTGCTAGCATCTCTGTTCCGCAGTAGTACACCGCTGCGAGCAGGAAACACTGACCAAAGCCATTGATGCCGTTGGCAATAGGACCAGGATCTCTCCAAAACCGAAATCCTATGTACTCGCCGCCGATGGCACCGGTATTGAGCAGGATTGCGCAGAGGAAGCCGCCAAGGATGCAGAACAGCTTCCAGCAGGCGAAGTAGAACTCCATCTCTCCCCAAACAACGACGCCGAGCAATGAAGTTACCTGATAAAATGCCCACCACAATAAAATCCAGCCGTAGGTCGGTACCTTATCGGTCCAGTATCCCATTATGATCGAGCTCGCATTGAAGTCCCCGGCGACATTGGTAATCCACAGGTAGAAATAATTCCAGCCCAGGGAAAACGCAAGTGAAGGGTCGACGAATCTCCCGGCAAGCTCGATGAAGGCGCCTTGGATGGGGAACAGGGTGCTCATTTCTCCTAGGCACTGCATCACAAAGTAGACGTCGACGCCGATTATGAAGAAGCAAATCAGAGCCCCGACTGGGCCGCTATAGGCGATGGCATATCCCGTTCCATACCATATACTCGCACCCACAACACCACCAAAAGATATCATAATGAGATGCCGGTTCTTGAGACCGCGCTGCAGGCCATCATCTAGGCTTGAATCAACAAGGCTTCCTCCCGAGGTAACGAGCCAGCTATCTTGAGCTTACCGATGATGTTTCCACTTTGCAACACGGAATTTGAAGTGTCTTCCACTGACTCCTGCGCCGAAGACACATCGACGGCCGCCCTCTTTTCGTCGCTGACTGCCATCCTGATTGCTCACTTTGGCTCCCAGCAGGCGGCGTGGCTGAGCTGCAGGAGATGATCTCAAAGACGAGCCTCGATCCAGGGCACTCAACGGTGCAACGCGGGACTCACACGTGGTTGTTATTTTTACCGTATGGTAGCCCGCGGGCTGAACTAGTTCGCGTCGCAAGCTCAGCGCCAGTGGTGAAGAAGGCTGGGAGCGCCCTGGGCTACCTAGGTATTGATATGACCCCTCAATCGTTATCAATTTGACTTCCGGCAAACAGCGTGCCGTTCTGGGCACGGAGCTCTTATCTCCACTATGCTGAAGACATTTTAGACGCGATGGCTGGCAAGAGTTGACAGGGCTTGCTATCGGCGCTTGGACGGGGCGGAATAGGCGGAGATGAAGATTCGATAAGCTTTAGGATTTTTTGACTGGGATCCCCCGGACCGCTAAAGAACTTTTAGAAATAAGCGCCAAAGGCTTTAACGGTACTGTCAAGGGTCTGGTATGACTGTATGACGATAATTTCATGTTCCGTATTGTGTTGCGTACATTAAGTTGCCGGTCAGCTATTCATGTTCCCGCCCCTGTTCGAAAACAGGGTTGGCCGGTGAAAAAAATGCATCACCAGACTGGCCGACTGTCTGTCGACGCAGACGGCGAGCCACACCAGCGCTGAAGCACCAAAAGAAGAAGAGAGAGAAAAGTCCCAAGCACCGCAATTCAAGGCACCCATCTACCTTTCTTTCAAGACGACATATTATGTTGCGGCAACTTGTGAATTAGTCTGGATCAATGGTCGCATCGGCGTATCGTCACCTGACCATGCCATTCGTAACATCTTGTGTACTTTTCTGCGACTGCTTCAGGCAGGCATCAAATGCCCGTCGATCCCTCAGCTCGAAATAGGCTTCAAAGGGTTTAGGGATGGCAGCTTGAGCGGTGGTATCTTCGTTGTCTTCGAAGAGTCAGTCATTTTCACGCGCGAAGACGGGAGTTTGCACGCAGTACTGCACGTACAATCCACATAGTGCAAGCATGGTGGCTTGGTTTCACTCTGCTTTATCTTGAACGACAAGATCACGCGTGCGAATATGGCATACAGAATGCGGTTCGAAAAGTTGATGGCGGTGCAGCCTCGAGCTCCAGCTCCGTATGAGAAGTGATATGGTGCAGGCACCTTGTGAGCCAGCGATGGGTCGGTCCATCGCTCTGGCCGAAATAGATTCGCGTCAGGACCATAGGTTGCCGTATCTGTTATTATTAGCCCTGTACCTGGGCAGTCGGAGTCGTTTCGGTCCAAGCGTACCGTGATTTATTGCCTGCGCGTTCACAAGAACCATTACACCCTTCGGTATTCTGGCACCATGCCAGTCAAATTCCTTATATATCTGCCGCGGTGGTAAAATATGAAGTGGAGGATAGTGCCGGAGGGTCTCCCGTACAAGTCCCGCCACATAAGTCGAGCTTTCTGCCTCAATTGCTTGCTGAAATGCGGTTTCGGCATTTTCTGAGATGCTCATCATTTCCGAATAGGCTTTCTCTTGCATGGCTTGGCCTTCTGGGCTGGCCAAGTAGGCGATACCAGCAATTGCTGTTGCTAGTATTGTCTCGAAGCCACCAGACATTAGGCCGCCCAATATTGTGCGGACATCATCTAAGAGAATGCCGATGATCAGCAATCCCGCCGGCGACTTGCAGTGTTGCGAGTTCCCAACGTTTCAAAAACTCACTTTTTGTCAGGCTCTCCTGTGCATCCGTAAGCAAGCCGGAGGCAACGCAACTTCTGCTGCTTTCTGCTCCAATGCCATTCTTAACTTCGTCAAGGAGCTTGGTCAGCCATTCATCCCTGCGAGCCCGGACCTGATTAGCAACAGCGGAGCGGGCTTCGTCGCGAAAGAGATGAGATCTGAGATATGGAATGTAATCCTGCGCATTTGCATTGGTCGATCGAAAACTGTGAATAAGCTTTGTCAGTGCTTGGCATGAACTCATTATCAAGGGAATTACACGCCTTGAAATTGTTTTGGCGTCATCCAGGATGCGAAGAAGCAGTGGGTCGGCGATGTCTTCGAAGCGCCTGCCGTAACAGAACATAAGGACAACATTGAGCGCCAACCGCTTCTGGTAAATATGGGGAGATATCGCATTGCCTCCTCTGCTTTCCTTGAAGAGACCCTCAACCATGCGGGATGTTTCGAGGTCCAACATCCCTTCAAGTCTTTTCATCGCCGGCGATGTTGTTAAGGAGCCGACGACCCGCCGCTGTTTTCTGGTGTGTTCATTCCAAGGGTTGGTCCCAATAGTCGAAGCTTGCTTACTTTATTAGCTCTTGAGCCTCTTCTCGCCAAGTCTCACTAACGTACCTGATGTTTTGGAGACAACATTGTGAAATGTGTATAACAAAGGTCTGTCAACAGTATAGTTCTGGCGAGTGACTAGCCATTCTCTCGCAACCTCAAAGCCGTTGAGGATCACCACACGCCGATTCCCAAGCCTTATCTGGTAAATTGGCCAGCCATAATCCTGTGACCACTTCTGTGCTGTGGTGGCATGGTCTTGTCCCAGCATGTAGAGGTGCCCATGCAACAGGGAATTGCCCGGGATCTCCGGGATCCCCTCTATCGCGGCAAAATCGACATAGAAGAGACGAAAGTAGATAGCTACTGTGAGAGCAATCACAGAGACGCATGCCACCATTGACAAGGCGGTTGGAGTAAGCAAGTCTGTCATGGTAGTAGTTGGATGCGCGTGAGGAGAGGCCAAGAGCTCACTTGGCAGAATACCAGGTCTGTATATGCACGGTTCAACGCATGAGCCAGTCTTTCAAACTCGCAAGCTTTCCCCGCGATAACCCCGAGACAAGACAAAATGATGATATCGTTCGGGATTAATACAATCTGTGCCGTGGAGAGTGTTTTCAATGTTCGGCATTTTCCGCCGGATCCATCGTCCCATGCGCGGGAATCCGAGGCCCACAGTTGCGCCGCGACAAGGAAGTCGTGGTGACAATCCCTCGCGGCAGATCGGTGTCTAGCTTATATTCGAAGAACATTCCTCCAATAGCACAGTTCCCACGAAGATCTTCCTTTCATCACCAAGCTCTGCCATCGATATCTCACACCGCTCGGGAGACTTGTCTCCATACATCATAGTAATCCTTGCCGCCCCTCCATAATGCCAAGGTGAAAGCGAGCACTTCGGAGCACTTCAGCAGATGCCCCGAATATGTTTCTGCAGAAGGCCAGTGACAGGTAAGCCCAGTCACAAGCACACAACCACCAGCGAAAGCTCGACAAGTGGCAAAGATTGGCGGGAGGAAGAGTTCGCGAGACACCACGATGGAGTGTGCCGCGTCGACCAGACACGAAGCTTCAAAAAGGACTCTCTCCTGAAGAGACGGATGGTTCTTTGACCGTGAGCTTGTCGCAAATGATAAACAAACCCCGCACGGTGGATGGTTCACCAACGCTGGTTGCAGCAGTGCCCAGCCCAAGTGTGTTAGTAGTTCTGAGGGTGGCATCAGCTGGAGAGTCTCGACCGCGTGAGACAGTGAGGCACGAAGTGGGCAGTGCGACAATACGTCAATAGGGCCCTCCGGCGACCCGAAGAGTTGTTGCATGAGCTTTATGCAATAATTGTAAGCCACGTCGCTTTGGGTTTGATTCCATGGTATGCTCCCGCTGAGCACGCTTGCTCGATAGACTAGAATATTCATCGTTCTGAAGTTGTATCAGCATGCGAATATTTTCCAGCGATGAATGCGCGAGCAATCGTGGAGGTCATCTCACCTCTCAATGTGGATCAGAACAGACAGCGTCCTCTTCTTGGTCTCTGGCGGTAGCCGCCTCGCTTGAGAGGTGGCCGGTAATGTGGGCCCCGGCAGTGGATGGACGGCCTGGTCGTCCAATCGATGCCAGCCGAGTTCTAGGCAGGACCTGGTTGCAAAGCTTAACAGTTCCCATATGAGACCTCGCTCCGGATCCGCAAGCTCGTATATGATGAGGAGCAGCAAAATGACCACATTGTAATCATTCGGCCCCGTCACAAACTGGGCGGCAAGCTCACCGCCCCACTCACGACACGTAGTGGCCACGACCTTCCAAGATGGTACATAGTAACTCTTATGGGTGGCAGCAATGGCGCAGGCAAGGAGCACACAGCACCTGTCTACCTCAGCCATCTGCTTGAGGCTCGCCTCGCTCTCCTCGGGCAGGGTGACGCTGGCCGGCAGAGCTGGCTCTATGCATCGTGCATAATGGGCGAGTAACAGCCGGACTGTGCTGGGTGATAGTGAGCCCCTGTCGAGCCTGGATGCTGAGAAAACATTGATGCCCTCCTCTTCCGGGTTGAGACTCCCAGGGAGCAAGAAAGGCGACTCGATAGTGACACCCTGGTCAAGAAGCTTGCGGACGGTAGCATCGCCAATGATGACTGGAGGAGACTGTTCGAGGAAAAGGGTGCCATTGCGGGAGCGCAAGACGAATTGGAATGCGGAACCCGTATCTGTGGGGCGTGAAGACGTGTTGTCGGGGTTCCGGGCGTGCGCGTGGTGGACGGCAACGATGGATTTGAGCTCCTCGATGCGGTCATAAAGGCTCTTTATGTGACTCCTCGGAACATCTTGCTGCAGCACATCATCATAGAATGAACACGAGAGGCCAGACTTGTGGCAGTTTTGGCATGCTGGCAGACGCGCGTCACACTGGGGCTATGAAGTCAACACCCGAAACTTACAACAGCGCGGCATCCGCGCCTCAGGTAAACAGCTGCTCTGCGCCCTGACAGAATGGGGTAACAGAAAACTTGCCTTGATACGTCTGGTCCGGCATCGAGTGCATGTTTTAAGCATGATCTGGTACAAAGAATCTGGGCAACAGTAGTATATGTGGCCGATCCCCGACCCTTGGGACTGGTGCGTGATCCAAGTGCAGAAGAGAAGACATCGCCCTTGGGACCTGCATGTTTTGTTTGACCATGGTCCGATACGGGAGGTTGCCCCATGTCCTGCACATTTCACCAGCTAGTTGTTAAGGTTGGGCATGGAGGGGTCACTCCGTACATGGCCAAGTAAGAAGGTCCAATTTACCTGGTAGGTTTGGCGTGGGAAATGACTCGAGACATACAAGGGCGTCCCCTGCCCAAGCTCCAACACGCCGACGGTCCAGAGCGGCGGAGGCGGGAAGAACCTGGGGTCGGATCGTCCGGCGGCCCCGTCTTCCATCACTACTGCATGTGATCCTGAAGCTCGTCGTCCCGGGCTCCTTCGTGATGGAGCCGGCTGGCAAGGACAATAAAATTCAGTCACCAACGCAAGAAGACATAGGATGGACAGCATACCGGATATCCAGCTGGCGGCTTCGGGTCGGCATTCTTCCAAGGTTTGCGCGAGATGCAAGAAAAGGAAGACAAAGGTATGCGCAGCCACACGGAGAGATCCATCCCCTTCCTGCCCTCATGGCCCACAGCCACGTGAGATCTGAGTCGTTCGCTTCAGATCCACAATGCGGCTCTTCGAGCTGGGGTTATACGTCAACTTCATATCGGTTGCATCTTACCCAAGGCGTACGCTGATACCTTACCACCACGGCCACAGTGTGATTCTGCTTGGCCATCATGTGGGGCTTGCACCAAGGCTGGCGCTGTGTGTAGAGGCTATGGCTCAGGCGGCGAAGAACTACCCAGAAGGTAAATTTTCTCACGGTCGCTTCGTCGAAGTCCAAATGTTGATGTGAAACACAGTCTTGTACGCGCATTGGAAACCCACGTCGCTCAACTGGAACGTGAAGCAGCAGGACTCCAACACTCGCCCAACAGTGTGGCCGTCGCCTTGGTCTCAAGGCTCGCCAATGCTACTCTGGCAGCTGACAGTCCCTCGTCAACATCGTTCTTCCTCTCTTCACTCTCACCAGCATTCTTCCTTCGGCCAAGTTGCCCTCCGCTGCTGATATCAAGGATAAAGCCGGATGTGTCACAGCCGCCTTCACAACCTCGACAGGTTCGCACGCCCCCTCGCGATGGACCGACGATATCTACAAACCTCGGACAAATTCCACCGGCTGCTCTTGACCAGATGATCTGGAATTATACCAACATACATTTGCCGCAGTATCCATGCGTGCAGGAACAATGGCTGCGCCAAGTCTTCTCGCGCGTGTTTGCCGTCCATGGGGGAGACACTGATGCTGCACTGACTTTGGGAATTTCCCCGGAGTCAGGATTAACCCACTTCGACTACTTTGTTGCCTTTGTTTCACTAGCGATTTCTTCCATCACCCTCACGTGGAAGAATGAGAACCAAGCAAGAACGGCGTCTGACGCCTTCTTTGCCATCTCGCTGCAGCACCTCCGCCTCGTCAGTGGCGCCACCGAGATCCAGAAGCTACAGATCTCTCTTCTCCTAGCTCACTATGCTCATATGAGTCCCGGAAAGGTCGATAACTGGGCCTGCATCCTGAACGGTGTGAGACTCGCACTCGAACTTGGTCTCCATAAGAGGCCTCCAGAGCTGACCTCGCACGGCCAGCTCTTTTGGGTTCTTTATGGCATGGAAAGGTCGCTTTGCACACTTCTCAGGTTGCCTCTCTCCTTCCCAGAGGAATGCATAACTGCTTCTCTGCATATTCCGAATTTTAACGCTATCAACAATGATGACACCAAAAGGCAATCGTCCGCGACACACCTGTACCGTCTGCGAGCCATGGAAACGGAGATATACCGTGTTTTGTACCTCCAGGACCCCAAGGCTCAGGGCGATCTGTTAGACCTTGACTCCTGGATTAATAACATTACAAACCGTCTGGATGAATGGCTGGAGACGGCAAAGGGGTTCTCCAAATACCAAATGTTCGAGTTCAGGCAGGTCCAACACTCGTCTGTCAAATCACGAGTCTACCGCCCCACGCCACGCCTCGAGATCAGGACGCCTGAGGACCGCCGCATTTGCTTCACCGCCTGCTCAGCACTAGTCGAGGACTACCAACAACAGACTAAACGTCGACGCCTTTTCTATCCCTGGCACGCCGTGCATATTCTCTACGAGGCCGCCATAGTGATGCTGGAGGCTTGCTGGGCGTTGCGGGACTACGTACCAGCAAGACAGGAGGCCAGACAGATTCTCGCCGTCACCATACCAGACTGTTTGATGCTGCTTACCAAGGTCGGCGAATCATGGGACGATGCTGCCCTTTGCTCAAAGTACCTCGCGCCCATAGTTGACGAGGTTACCGTCGCGTTTAGGGTCAGAATCATGGCTGGCATCGTGGCCCCGCACAAGGTTCCTGAGGATGAGACATCAGAAAAACTGCGGAAGCTCCTTTTCCCTGAGGGACCGCCATCTTGGAGTGCGCCCATGTCATCCGAGTCACTGCCATCTGAGCCTGAAGTATCTGCTCCTTTGCTGGATAGCAGCGCTCTTGGTGGACTTGAGGAGTTCAATTGGGATGCGGATTGGAATTTTCTGCAGGATGTCTCTCCGGTATTTTCAAGAGACACTCCATGGGCGCCGAATTGAGCTTTCTACATAATTTGTTGCCCCGCGAATTTACACTCCTGGTAAGGGACCGATAGTTGCTACGTCTCTCAGCGAACCGACGAGGATGTCTACACCTAGGAGCATCTCATCTACTGATATCGTGAGAGGGGGGCATATCCGAATCCTGTTAGGCCCCGCCGCCCCGGTGAGAAGACCTCGCTGTGTCGCCAAAGATGCCAATCGTTTTGATGTGACGGTGGCTGATGTTTCCAAGATTAACGCCCAAAATAAGCCAGCACCCATGTACCCAGCCACGTGTGGTGGGTTCGCCGTCCTGAGTGTCGATATGAGCAGCTCTCCCATGTGGTTGGCTCTCGCAGCGAGATCCTCTTCAACCAGCACGTCAAGAGCCGCCAGTGCCGATGAGCATGCAATAGGTGTCGCAGCCATGGTTGAGCCAATTCTGGTTCAGACTGTTAGCAGAAGTTCAATTGCAAGTTAGCCATGGGCATACTCATAAGGGTCCAGCAAATTTAAAGTGCGGTTGTCACCCATCACCCCTGAGAGAGGATAGAGGCCTGAATCGTTTAGCCAAGTCAGAATACCGAGTCCAAGCAAGGGAGTCTTACCTCCTGCCAGAGCTTTTGCTATGATCACCAAATCAGGACGTACACCGTCCCTGTGGTGGGCTAGATTCGCACCAGCCCTCCCAAGGCCGCACTGTACCTCATCAGCGATGAAGAGAATGTTATGTTTCTGGCAAAGCTCCTCGACGTGCTTGAGGTAGTCCGATGGTGGCACAATGACGCTGCTTCAGTCAGTCGAGAGCCCAGCCATTCTGAACCGGACATCTCACCCAGCCGATCCTTGAATTGGCTCAACCATGAACGCGGCGATCCTCTCACCGTCCGCCTCGAACACTTCCCGGACGTCGTCGATATCTCCAAAGCGAACCTCTCTGCCGGAGGGCGATATTGGTCCGACCTTTGGCATGAATGGTCCATACACTGGCGTGAACTGTTCAATTTACGATGCCAAAGTTTGAAGCATTTACTGAACTTACGACGGCTTTTCTGGTGCTCACTCCTCATCGCCACCGTGCTCAGAGTCACCCCATGGTAGCAACGGCCGGCCGTCAAGACCCACGCCTCTCCTTCTGGGATCTGCTTCTGCAGGTAACCCCACTTCCTAGCGATTTTGACCGCAGCATCTGCGGCCTCAGCACCACTTGTCAGCGCCACAAATTTGTCGTAACCGAACAGATCGTGGAGTCGTTTCGCCAGCTGCCCATAGTATGGATTATGGAATGGCTGCCATATTCGGTCAATAGAGCTCCACTAGACCTCGGCCCTGCTTTGGGCGTTTATTACTGCGTTTGGTGAGGGTTGCCGGGATGGGCTGGATCCCAGATATAGCATTTTCCCGTTGGATCATCAACTGAGAACGAGTTGGTACTCACCATATTCACCACAGCACACTCGGATGCGGCTTTAACAGCGGCAGCGACGATCTTGGGATGGCTGTGGCCAAAGTTCGTGACTGAGTACATCGAAAGAAAGTCGACGTACTCCTTCCCGTCCACATCCCATGCTTTAGATCCTTGGGCCCTAACGAGGGCAACCTGTCCGGCGTGCAAAGATTAGATCGGTCAGAGATTCGGCGTGATGTCAAAAGGACATACTGGATAAGGGGCAAAGCCTCCAGCCACATAGCTATCATAAAGATCTACCACCTCTTGGTTTTTTGGGGACACAAGATTCTCCGATTTCTCAGCTGAACTCATATTCAACTCAGACGCGGAGTGTTCTCTCGTCTGTAGACTGGACCTCGTTGAGACTTCAAAACTCTCCGAATAGTGCGGAAAATCGTTATCGTGATGTTCTTCTGATCACGCTACTTTGTCTTCGTCATGCTCCGCATTTTGCGCACATGCAATGGGCCGGACCGGAATCCCATCCCTCGGCAGCATGCTAGCAAACCTTACCGCGGGATCAACCCCTCATGCAGCTACCTAGGTAATCGCATTGGCGTGGGATTCAATGCGGGTCCCTGAATCGGGTTTCATGCCTGCGCAAGCCATGGGAAATGAAGCATGAAGGTGAGGAAGAGATGAGTTGGCTGACACTAGTCCACGACCGATTGGCCTCATGCACGAATTTAGGCTAGCAGATTCATCGTTTTCTGCGGTGCAGGGTGTTTCCAGCTTTGCGTGCAGGTTTTTCGTCGGCAGACCGCCTGGCAGCACTGCCTATGATGGAGAAGTGTTCAAGAGTTTGGAATTTGATTTGAAGAATATGTGCAGCTTTAGATCATATGCCGAGAATATCATTCTTGGTGCTCTGCAACCTTTCTTTCGTAGGCTTGAAGACAGCCGGTAACTCTGTCTCCTCAAATGTCTTCTCACCCCTGATAATCTCAGCCAAAGCCCTGGAAGCCAAATGTATCAGAGGCATTCCGTGTCCATTGAATCCCGCTGCAATATACTGGCCCTTCTTTCCTGGGACATCGCCGATGTGTGGCATAGAGTCAGACGTCCATCCCATGATGCCAGTCCAGACCATGTCTGTATTCGCGGCTGACTCCTCCCACCCGCTGAAATGGCGTTGCATCAACCCGTCGAAGTACGAGGCGGCAGGCTCAATGAGTTTGCTGTCATCCGTGACATCGTACCACTGCGATTTATCATGCCAGAATGGCTGTTTTGCGCCGCCGATGACTATTGACTTGTCCAGGCGTGGAATCATATAATCGTACAAGCCAGGACCATAGCGAAGAGAGTAGGTGTGCGCTAATCGAGACGTGTTCTCTGGCTTCGTGGGAACAATGCGGCTGCATATTCCTCGAACAGGAACGATCCGTTGCTCGAACTGTGGAGCGATAGCTGCGGTATAGCCATTTGTGGCGAATATTATCTTCTTCGCTAGTACAGAACCGCGTGGCGTCGTGACAGCCCAGCGTCCCTGCTCGTCTACCTCTGGAGAGACAAAGGTGACAGGTGTGTGAGTTTGCAGGTTGACACCTTTAGCCACAACCTTGGCGAGCAGGCTCATGACCAATTTATCTGATGGTGACGTTAGTCCTGCTATGGGTCCTAAACTGATTTATTCTAAAACATGAAAGACGGGGATCCGTAACAGGTCAAACGTGATGCTTACAGGGCCATAGATGCGCTGCAGTAAAGGAAAAGCAGCACTTGGCATCTTTGACTCCAGAGAGCTTGGTTTGTGTCAGTATTGAGACCCGAGACTCGGTGCAACTAGGCCGAAGCAACTCACCGCTTCGGCATCGAGTCCTTCAGTGTAGTGAATATCACCTAGGTCGGCGACACCAATCCTCCGCAGCTCCTGATACGTCGCGTGCGTCGATCGAGCGTGTGCCTCGTCCAGGTACACATCAAGAGCCCTAGTCAGCACGAAGTCACAGTCGATCCTTTCCAGCTCCACCAACTCCTTCACGGCAAGCACATTCGCCGACTCAAAGCGCGCAAAGGCCGCTGCATTGGCCGATCCATATTTCTCAGTGTACTTGAGGATGTTGTAATATACATCAGGCTTGATATGGCCGCCTGAAACTGTCAGAAAAGAACAGGGTGTGCACAAGGAGCATGGATTGTGTCCTCACCGTTGCGTCCGGACGCCCCGGAGCATGCTTCACGTGCCTCAAGCATCACTATCTTGGACGGGTCCGGAGCATCATCTGAGTCTAGGAGATGGTATAAGGTACTGACTCCGGCATAGCCAGCGCCTATGACGAGGATGTCGCATTGTCTGGGGAGCACCTCCGTTGATCTGGAGGTGTCCAGGTCGTGTAGTTCTGTCCTCCAAAATGGCAGTGTCGCGTTGGCCACAGGTAGGCCCGCCGTGATGCCTGGAGTTGTGCTGGAGCTCATCTTTCCCGTGCAGAATTGGGCTTCAACGCCCAGTCCAAAATCAGGAGACAGTGTGCTGTCATGTTGTCAAATCGGAGTTCCCAAGAATGCAGCCTTCTGCCCAGGGTGCCCAGCTTAATCGCACACCTAGCTCCGAACTTAAATCAGGGGGCGCCCCGGCTGGTTCCGGCTGACAATGTGGAAACACCGGCCCGGATCCTTCGCACAGGCAACGAAGACATTCTATGTTTGAATTGGTGGTGTCAATTGGCACGAATGCCTAGGTACCTTGGTAGCCTGGGAACAGAACAAGTACCCGCGCACCACCTAAATCAAGGTCTTAAAAGGCTAGGCTCGATTACATCTCTTTTCCGATGATTTGAACATTCCTGCGATGAGATCGCACGTGCTTTTGCTTTGAGGCTTACGTCGCATTGGGAACTAGTTTCAATCTGGAGAATGAGGGGTGTCCGAATGGTGATGATGACTGATCAAGACTACTCGTCTGAGTGTTGAAGACTTGAGTGTTTTGCCTAGGTAGATAGCGACCGCAAGGGTCAGGTCAGAATTGAGAGGGCCGTATCATCGGTGCATGATATCCTGTTTGTACTGAGGTCTCGCCATTTCGCAAGACCTCTGTTGTTTCGGCCCTCGGCTGAGGGGCGTGAGACCTCGGGAGGCCACTTTGGTGGCCGCATGTCGACGATGCAGCGCAACTTGATCATATCGATTGGCAGATGATGTTTCAACGCTGGGCTGCCGGCCGACAAAGCGGCCACCCTAGCCAGGTCGAATGAGTCAAATTGGGGGCCGTATTTGGTGCTACCGCTTTGCCGGTGATGATCAAGGCCACTTTTTATCGGCCGCTTTTTGGGGACCGTCAAGAGACTGGCCTGGTCAGGCCTTGGCTGGGCCCCCCAGGTTCTCAATCGCACCAACTGGCGACTCGTAACTCGGAAAATCATCCTAAAACCAGGTCAGAACTTCTGGGCCTCTCTTTATGCCCATGAAGATGGACTTATCAGATGCGGGCATTCTGATGACTTCTGCGCTGACACAGGGCGGCCAGCAGCAGAAGCCAAATCTGATGCGCTTTAGATCTTGTGTCTCCCACACGGCCCGACTGAAACAAGGACTGTCGAACTTGAAAATAAATAGCCAGTTTCGCCACTGTGCGTGTAGGTTGCCCGGATGAGATCTCTGATATTTATCTGAGGCTCAAGCCGCAGATCTTCCATTCCGAAAGTCTCGCAACCAACATTCCTTTCGGTTCTTTCTTTTCACTCTCTGTCTTTCTAACGGCAGCTTATATTTCGATTCTCTTCTCGTCACTCGAGCAGGTACTCGATAACAGAGTTATTCAGCATGTATCCCATCGCAGGAGTCTCGGCACTCCTTACCATCATCAGCTTCGTGCTGGTGATACTGACGATCTTTGCCGGCAACAAGCCCGGATTTATGGAGGATTACCACATTCTTTACGTAAGTCTACTGACAGAAAGTTCTTTGAATTATGATTCCTGGCTTCATTTTTTAACATCCCTTACAGTTCAATACATCGACACTGGGCGAGAACTTAATTCCAAACCTGAAAGCCCGCGCGCCCATGCCAGAGCCCACAGCAGCTCCAGTTCTCCTGGACCGCTTTCATGCCACACCAGAGAAGCGCATCAATATCGGAGATGTGGGAGGTGCTATCGGAGATGGTCTTGGTCAAGCTGGATCGGCGCTGGGAGGCGTTGCTACTGCGGCCGCATCTGCTGCCACCGAAGTGGCCGGTAAAGGTCTTGGCGCCCTTCAGGACATTCAAAACGATATCGCAGATAAGCTGGCCAAGGAACTCGGCATCAAGGAGTTTTACTCAGTCCACCTGGTTGATCTTTGCCAGGGTGACTTCTCACCGAAGCCCACGGACCCTGATGCTACCTTTGACGTGGAGAACTGCACCGAACCGTTCAACTACAGTGAGTAAAACCTCGCCACCAGGGGCAAGAGCGGGTTGGCATTGACAAGCATCTTCAGACCTTCTCAACATCACTGCGCTGCTCGACAAGCAGCTGGGCGTTGGTCCCTTCAAGCTGAACCTGGCCGACCTCGGTCTTACGAATGACATCCAGGACAAGCTCGACGATGTTCCCAAGATCATCCAGGCCATCGTGGCAATGTACATCATCGGAGCCATATTCGTCCTGCTCACCCTGTTCGGATCCTGCGGTGCCGTTGCCCTCATCCCCAACGCAGCCGGACGCACGATCGTGATGGGCAACCTGGGACTCGCCGGTGGGGCAGTCTTCTTCCTCCTGATAGGCAACCTCATCACCACCGTCGGCAGCGGCGTGGTAGTCGACAAGGTGACAGATCTCGGGGACAAGATTGGGCTGTCGGCCGTGCGCGGCGGCAAGTTCATGGCCCTGTCGTGGAGCGCCTTCGTGCTGATGCTGCTGACGGTGTTCTACTGGGTCTACGAGTTCTTCGCCGAGAAGCAGCGCGCACACAGCCGGGCCATCGGCGGGGGCAGCTTCGGCAGCCGCGACCTCGGCGGGGCTGACAAGTTCGAGGGCGGGATGAGCGAGACCAGCTCGGGCTCCACGTCCCGGACGAGCTCGTGGGAAAGGGAGCAACAGCGGCAAGACTTGCAACCTCCCACGTACGCCAACGATCCGTATCCACGCGACATGGGCGAGCCGCAGGCTGGGGACTTCCAAGATGTTGATCTCCACAATCGGCAGCAACGCGGATTCTATGCGTAATTAATCGACGGTCAGTCTCGGTCCTGGGTTCAGATCAGTCAGAGTTACTGACGCTTTTTAAGATGGCTCCATTTTAGCCGTTGTGTTTTCGGGGGCGGCGGTTCCACGGCCTTTCGCCTGGGACTTTCGGCACGAACTCTTGTGTGAACGGACGCAGATGCGACGATGAGATGAGGCGTTGGGGGTACGGCAGTGTATCCAAGTGGAATGTTTCGAGTATATGACATCTATGATCCGACATGAGCCATGTCCATGTCCATGTAACACGAGCCTGGAGTGCTAAGGCCTCAAGCCTTTCGCTTATGGCGACTTCCTGTCTTTACTAGCTAAAATACCCATTTCAAAGTTCTTTTATTTCAATGTTACTCGAATGCTCGAATGTGCTTCACTTGCCAGCTGCTTCGTCGAACCCATGCAGGTTGCATTCCCTCTGGTTGTCGAATGTTTGGGTTCTGTGGATACAACCATGCCCGCCATAGAATGGTGGAGAGATTGGGAATATGGTCTTCGTCCTTTGGCAGCATCCTGTTCCCACGTTTTAGGAAAATTAAGAGGATGGCGAGGAAGAGACATGCCTAGGTATTTCATTCCATGCGTCCAGATACTCAAATTCATCAAAGGATACAATATGATACTTGTTAGACTGGTTGATAATTCAGCGTTAGTTAAACATAACAATATCAAGTGGTCCCATGGGAAGTTACTCTGCGTGCCCAAGTGGCGAACACCCGAGCGGAGCCTTGTTGGGAATCCGTGCGGACGTCGCATTTCTCGAGCTGTGGCTGTAGGTGGAGGGGATCAGATAAGTACACTCGACTTGGCTCAAGAAAGTTCCTGGTGGAGCAAGCCAATCTGGAGCTTCGGTCAGTTATCGGTACTCCGTATTAGCTGCAGCTGCGCCGAGCCGAGGCTGCAGTAGGCGGCAGGGCGGGTGGGGGGACTTGGGGGACGTGCGCTCCCGTGGTACTTTCCGGCAGGGTGGCGTCCGTGCACTCGCGACCCGTCAGCCCGTGGCGCCCTGGCGGCGTGGTGCAGGACTGGTCTGGGACTGGAACCACTTTTTGCAACGTCAGTCGCGTACCCGAACATCACCCGGACAAAGACCGCACTTCTACCGGTCAACACCCCCTTCGTTGACCCCCCCCTGTTCTGCTTCTGCGCCTAATGTGATTACTCGTGATGTCTGGATATCATGAGGGTCATCTGGTGTCTGGTACACCAGCCGTACACTCCCTGACAAGCCCACACGCGCACACGCACCCGCTGCCGCACCCGCTCCCTCACCCGCACTCGCATTCGCACAACAAGCCACCAGCCAGCGTGCCTCCCTACCTCTCACCACCCAACGGACGGCCACAGGGCCCGGGCTCTGCATATCCCGCCACTGCCACTGTCTCTGCCACTGCCACTGCCCACGACAGCCTGGCCACTGCCCTCCAGGTCCCCATCACCCCCCACGGCATCGTGAACACCCCGCCCCAGCTTCAGCATCAGCATCAGCATCAGCATCAACATCAACATCAGCAAGCCCACCAGTCGCCCCAGTCACAGCATAATGTCAGACCCCAGACAGCCCAGTACTCGCCTGGAAACAATGCCTCCTCCGCCAGTCCTCAGAGCCAGCAGCAGCAGCCTCCGACGCCCGCTGCCTCCATCTCCTCCGCCCCGTCCAAGAAGAACACCCGCATACCAAGGGCCTGTGATTTGTGCAGCACGCGCAAGGTCAAGGTGAGCTGTCTCTCTGTCTCTCTGGCCCGCGTCTCCTGCCCATGGCCTCGACAATTGCTTACCCTGTCGGGTACAGTGTGAAGGCGGAACGCCTCCCTGCGCGCCATGCAGAGACCTCGGTGTCCCATGCACGTACGACCGTGTCAAGAAGCGCCGCGGTCCTCCCAATCGAGCTGCCGAGGCTGCGAGGCAGGCCGAGAAGCGCCAGAAAGTCGACGTCGACGGCCTGAGCGAATCCAGCCCGCCCCACCAGAATGCTGCCCAGACTCTGGTCTCGCTGGGGGCCCCAACCACTCCGACAGTCTTGGACGCCGAGCAGTGCATCGCCCCCCTCGGCATCCTCAAGCTCTTCGTCGATGACTTCTATACCTATATATTCCCCTTGGTGCCCTTCCCCCACGAGCCTACCTTCCGCGCCGCCTTCGAGAGACGGGAGGACCGCACAAATCCCGACTTCCTAGCCTTGTTGGCCGGCATGGTTGCCGCTCTGGTGGCCTCCTTTCCACGCTCCGCGCGCCTGCATCTGAAGGCTTCACACAGCTACGAGAAATTCCCTCGGGCCGTCATGCTGGTCGATCGTTGCGTCAAAGTGGCCCTGGACATGCGCAACACCGAGACCATGCTCAAAGACACTGTTACCGTGAATGACGCCGCCGTCAGCTATTTTGTCTGCCTGGCCACCGGCTACACCATGCGCTATAACCAGTGCCGTCGCTTCATGGGGGAGTGCCTGCGCTTCCTGCGCGAGATGGGATTCCACAGGAGGCGGCCTCCTCCGACGTCTCTCTCCTTGAATGAGCGCAGTGACGAGCAGCCTAATGATTTTATCACCGAGGAAATTGGTAAACGAATTTACTGGACCCTCTTCTTCGGTGTCAGGTAAGCCACGCCGTCGGTAGAGCGAGTTTTGACCTGATCTGACGTCTGCTCAGGTCCATGACCCAGTTAGGTGCTCCGTCTCGCGATTTGATCCTCCCGCCACCCACACCGAACGCGACGTACCCTGACTGGCCCCGAGAGGTGGACGATGCGTACATTTTACCAGACAGGATCTTGCCTCAGCCCGAGGGCACCGTTTCCATCCTGACGGGCTTCGTGAGGTGCATCCAGAACTATCAGACCATGGATGAACTTGTGCGCATAGAGCTCGCACACGGCACGTCCGCATACACCTGGGAGCAGCAGAAACACTATCTGCACGAGTCTCTTATCAAGGTCAAGGCTGTCGAGGCCCAGTTTCCACCCGCCTTGAAGCTTGACCTGGGGGCTCACACGCCCACCACGACGCACGCGAATCTCGTTCAGAAAAGCTCGGCCGGTGCGTCGCCTTACCAATACGTGCCTCCTGCCTATCCGAATACTCAGCCAACGAATGATGTTCGCCACCTATTTGCGGCCGACGAGAACAAGAAACGCCACCTTCAGTATGAGATACAAAAGGCCAACCTGTATGCCTCAATAGTGGCTACGCGCTCTTATTATGTGGAGCGATATATGAACCTACGCGAGATCTATCTCGTCAACAGGCGCGCCGAACAAGCCCGCCTGAACGGCCCAGGCGGCAGTGTCATCTACAGGACAGCCCCCGACATGTCTTCTTCGTCACTGGCCGCGGCCGCAGTACAAGCTGTCAGCGGGCAGGTCAATGACGATATTGATGAAATGTTCTTTGCGGAGCGTGATGAGATTGTGCACAATTTCTTCACTGTGTTGATGTCGATTGATCAGCGCAACATGGAGCCGAACGGTGCTTCGCTCATCAGCAAGATCCGGCAGGTTGCGAGCACGCTGCTCGGCGATCCAGACGACCGCAAGCGCTCGTATGAGCTTCAGAACGAAGAGTATCTGCGGATGTTTCTGGAAATATTGACACGGTTAGAAAAGACGACCACTGGCGCAGCTCCAAGCCCCGGTGGACACACGGCCGGCACGATGACCTCCGAGGACGAGGAGATGGAGCTTCGTAACTGGGCCGACCTACGTGAACATCAGCAGAAAATGGCACAAATTGCCTACATCTTTTAGGACCGCTGTTGGTCTTTGAGAACGACCCGCACAGAGATTTCAAAATCAGAAAATGGGCAAGGGCGCATTGTTTGAAGAGCGACAAGTAGATTTTGCAACAACCATATGGGCGACGAGCACCGAGACCTTGAGCATGGCTTCAAAATTGGCCCTGACCGGTGCAGCCATGCGGATCAAATGGAACCTTTGTGTTCATGTTCTCGTGTGTACGGCGCCTTGACGGGAAAGTTGACTGTCATTACTGGGGACAACCGGCGTCGTATGGGTACAAGCTACAGACAATTGTGCAGCGCAGTACACTAGGTGAAATGTGCAAGGATATGCCAATGGTCACAATAGCTCCGCGGTTCCAGACCCTGCTCGAAAGGCTTATCTGTTCCCACTGCAGTGCAGGTCTGTTTCGAGGCGCATTGGGATCGACAGAGTTCGGCCAAGCTTTGCAGACATGCTCGATATCAAGAGCAGCCAAGTCCATCTCGGCCCCAATCTGGGGCACAGGGTCCCGCGTAATTGGTCTGCATTCTGCACATGAAGAATGATCCATTTCTTGGGCCTCACAAATGAATTTGGAAGCTGGCAATAAGGCAACGATTCATTTTCCACCAACCCGATCGCTTGGGCGCCTCAAGCTGAAGTGCCGTCCGGGGTAGTGCGGGCCTCCTTGTCACTGCCAAGACAAAACATATCCCGTGCGAGCCTGAAAGAGGCTTAGTTGGCAGAAGCGTCCATATCCATCGGTTATATTCGATGTATTAAGACAAGTCCATCGTAACTGACCACCAAGACACCCTACCTAACCGCCTCTCACTGAAGTACACACTACTTTGGACCAGGGCGTATCCACACGCTTGAATCCCCATGGTCAACTTGGGCCTGGTCTGCCTGCTTGGATCCTGCTCTGAGCAGTCCCCCCAGTTCAGTCATTACATTTTCCTGGGATCTGGTCGACGTCCATATTTAGTTCGGTTATTGGTGGAACTTCGAGGTCAAGCAAATGCTCCTATACGCATCGATCTGGTGCATCCACGGGCCAAGGTGGAGTTATTCCCACCGGATGTTACACTGGCTCTCGGTCGTCTATCTCTACTTGTCTAGAGCTTGCCGTTGGCTCTGGAGCAAGCACGAGGAACTGAACGCCCTCGTTTCATGTACGGCCAAAGAATTAACGGACACGAAGCCAGGATGGGGCTTGGTGGGATGGCGATATGTCTCCTGAGTGGAGGAGAATAGCGACCAGATGGGGCCCGAATAAAGCGGAGACGGCGCGAACACTAGGAGCCTTGCCAACGCGTAACGAGCCTTCGATGTATAAGAACGTCCATCGCCAATGTTCTTGGCCATTGCTTGTTTCCTGCCCAGAAGTAAGGTCACAATCACATCAGTTTTCAGACCAACGCCACTCTTCAATTTTGACCAAAGTCTGCTATCCTTCAAGATGGTCTCCAAGCTCTTGACCCTGCTGTCCGCCGCCCCCGTGGCATACGGAGCAGCCCTCGCCGCGACTAACACCAACCTGCAGACAGCATTCCCTGCCTCATCTGGCACGACTGCCCTGGCTGCCGTCAAGACCATCGCCGCCAGCAAGAGCTTCGACGGAGGCATGATCCAGTGGGACCGCAACCCGTCGACATGCAACGACCAGGCTGAGGGCGGCGATGCTGACGCGGTGTTCCTCCTCGAGGAGGGCGCCGTTCTGAGCAACGTGATCATTGGACCTAACAACGGCGAGGGGGTCCATTGCAAGGGAACTTGCACCCTGAACAACGTGTAAGTCTACACTGTTACCAAAAGCCTTGTCTTATCGCCACCACCCTGCACACACCACGCGTGACTTCGGGATAGATACATGCATATGGCGAGGCTGACGAGAAAACCCCCCACAAACAGCTGGTGGACCGACGTCTGCGAGGACGCGGCGACGTTCAAGCAGACCTCGGGCACGTCGTACGTCAACGGCGGCGGCGCCCGCGGCGCCGAGGACAAGGTGCTGCAGCACAACGGCGGGGGCACGGTGGCGGTCAAGAACTTCTGGGCGAGCAACATCAGCAAGCTGTACCGGTCGTGCGGCAACTGCGATAAGCAGTATGCTCGCAAGTCCACCTTCAACAACATCAAGGTCTCCAGCGGCAAGGTCGTCGCGGGCGTCAACGTCAACTACGGCGACGCCACCACCATCTCCAACTCGTGCGTCAACGGCGGCGCCCTGTGCTGGCTGTACCAGGGCAACTCCAACGGCAACGAGCCCACCAAGGTCGGCTCCGCGCCTAGCGGGACTGCCTGCGCGACTTCTGCTGTCAAGACTGCCTCGTGCTAGGTTGGTGGTTTGGGGGGGGGGGGTTTCCTGCGCTGGTTGATGAGGGGTGTCGAAGACGGTCAGGGTTGCGGTCCCTGGGGGGCGTTTCGTTTCTTTCTCGAAATAATTGGAGATGGACGGCGATGTACATAATCCTCTTCCTGTAGCTCGACATATCCAACTCTCGTGTATCTATCTGTACATGCACCTAGGTAGATTGCATCCACGAGTTGTGAAGCCAGAGGGGATTAAATAATCCTCCAGTAATTCGAACCCGCACGTGTTCCTAGCCCTACGGTCTTTCAGAAAACGCGTGACACTATTGCAATCCTTACCTGAATGGTACAAAATGTGTCCCTCGATAGAATAAGAAGTGACAAATGAGGGTACTCAGTCCCACCCAAGCTCATTGGCCGCGGAACAACACCGGCCGAGCTGTGGCCATGTTCATGGGGACCAATTGCGGCTCTAGCTAGGAAGTCGACAGGCTAGACCCCCAGGCTGAGTTTTCAGCCTCGGCGGCATTCGATATGGTCCCGAAATCCCTGTCCTCGATGCTCTCTCCTTGGGCCCGGTATGCGTACCAGCCAAAGCACCACACAGGCTAATGTGCTGCTCCAAGAGCCGCAGGATTAGCCGAATCAACCGACGATAGCTCGTGCGAGCCTTCCGTGGGCCGTGGGCCTGGTCCTGCTGAAAGTGTAGAAAAGCCAGGCTGTCGAGCTCCTACCCCTGGAGTTGGGTGGGAACCGGCAGATGTGATGCAGCGGTCGATGACCTTGTATATTAATGTGGCCGTCATGGGCGAGGTTCCGCCTTGAAGTAGCTCATACGAATTGCCTTGCTCCATGAGGGCGTACTCGTATTGTGCAAGCGTCTACCCTGTATCTGTATAGGAGTATGCTGTGAAAGTTTGGTTTCTAAAAGGTAGGAGTATATTGGGGGTCATCCCGTAGGAGGTTGTTCCACAGCAGTTTACCTAGGGCCCGGGACGCGGATTTGGGTGCGGTGTCGGTGTAGCAGGCACCAGAGCAATTCTGTTCCACTCAAATCTCCACCCAATCTCAGCTCATGTATTCAAACGCTTTTAATACGTGCTATGTTAGTCACAGAATCTACCTGAACTCCTAAACACCATGCAGTCATCTATGAGCTATGCCGCAGGGGTCTCCACGTTCTCGAGGGCTTTCTGGTCACCTTTCGGCGGACTGGCCTCCCCCTTCGCTCGTATGGGAATTCCCGAGAACGGACACGTTTTTGGCGTTGTCGGGCTCTTGGGCGCACCACTCGACGAGCCAGAAGCCTCGGACTTGTTCCCCTCCTCGTCGATATCGTCCAATACCTTCTGGCCGTCCAGGTATCCCTCCTTCTCGTATTGATGCACCTCCATCTCGTCGCGGAACTCGTCGCCGTCTCGGACGTACCACTTGGCGAACAGGTCGTTCTGTATCCAGATCACCTTGTTGAGGGCCTTGACCAGGGCGATCTTGCGGTCCATCTTGATGCGCGGGTGTGAGAGCAGCGCCTCTGTTAGAGTATCTTGGATGAAACCCAGGCAGGCACCGATATGAACGTATTCCACGTGCAATGGGTGTTCTCTACCACGGCCGACATGCATCATGCTAGTGAAATGTAATGTCAGTTTTACGTTCAACTTTTGCGCGCATAAGCAACCTCCAAACTCACCCGACCTTGTCCAGATAATACCAGAATTCCATGGTGCTAGGGTCTGAACACAGTTTGTTCAGGTATGCTCGCAGGAACATCTTTCTATGCATGATCTTTGAGAGTTTAATTGTTAGCGATTTGATGGGTTCGCCATTGAATTTGACCGAATAATGATTTTGACCAAACGTCTGCGTTCTGAAAAATCTGGATGGCGGCCTTGCTCAGGAAGTCCGGAGATCGGGGATGTAGCAGTCTCACCTGTGGGCTGTTCTCAGTCAAACTAGGGTCTACTGGGCCCTCATAGCTTGTGCTCCGCGTTTCAAAAGCACGTGCAGTGATATCGTATTGTAGAAGCTTGTGATAGACAATCTATTATATATGTCAGTGATCAAATGGGCTCATATTCTCTCGAATAATGAATGAATTATCAATGAGGGTGCTCTGTGGGGTTTTGCACGTAATGACCACGTACATTTACAATGGCAGGTATCAATTGCTTGATGTATTTTGAACCAGTGATGAGCGCTTCGATATCATCTGTAATGCCGTCAGTATCAATTTTGAAGACGCGGAGGCATATTAATATGCAACACTCACTTGAACCGAAATCTAGGAATGTGTGCAGGTACTGAATTCTGGCCTCAAGATTTGTGTACAGATCCTTGCGGTCGATATGGCGCATTGGCCTGAATCCCATGAATGGCCCCATATTTTTCAGTTGGTAACGTGAGTCTTTGAGTTGACAGTAATTGATCCGCGAGAGACAGCGCTGTGAGGACTTGTGGAACGACAGGTGGTTTTGCTCTTGATGAGCCTCTTGCTAACTAGCGGATTAGTTCAGTGTTGGAGTCGATATCTTTATACGACGCGCATATAACGATGTTTTGTAAAGAGAGGATTCTTATTGAGCCGCCAGGATAAATTGACATCATGTGTTTTTGGGCTCTCTGCTGACAATTGAGGCAGTCTCCTTGGATGGAGTGATTGTGGTCTGACATGTGGGGCCGATTTGGGCGCTGTCGAACCACCATTTTTGGAGGCGGATCCCGAAACAAATCCCCAGCGGAAACAGCCCTTTCTCAGCCAGGATATAATGGCGCTTTCCAGCCCGATCGCTCCCGTGCACGAAAACGGCCCTGGAAAATGACTACACATCACAAAATCCCCGACATGGCAGGGCAGGGACTGAAACCCGAGGTCCTTGGGATCGTCAGCACTGACCGGATCCCTGCACATGTGCCAGTGCACTCTAATTTTGAGCGTGGATGAACCAACATTTTCTCATCCAGAACGGTCGTCTATCCCAGATTCCGCCCCAGTCCCGCCTGAATCGCCAACCGCAGACGCCCCCAGACAAGGCCTGATTAATAAGTCGCCGGGATAATTGATGCACGGCCGCCATCATTCAAAATGGCATTCCCGTTGGTGAAAGACCCAGCGCGACTCGCCAGATAAAGTATCGCACCAGCCATTTCCTCCGGTCCGCCAAACTTCTGTGTCGGGATCCAGATGGGATTGTCCTGGGTCTCTTGGTCCGGGTTACGGCCGCTCAACAGGCCGGTTGTCATTTCCGACGGGAAGACTATGTCGGACGAGTCAGCATCTCCGATGCGAACACCACAACTACATGCTCTGACAAAAGCCTGATGTGACTACTCACGTCCGGGTGCGAGCGCGTTGGCCCGTATGCCATATGGCGCCAGGTTCGTGGCGGCCTGCTTCATGAGATGGAGGATCGCGACTTTGCTCCCTCCATACGCCGGGGCCGTGAACCAGCTCCTCGAGAATGACGCCAGGCTCGCGGTGAAGATGACCTGGCTCTGGATGCTGGGGTGCTTGGCCCCTTCGAGCGGCGCGCCAAAGGCCCCGGCTGCGCCAGACACGGCGTGCTTGTTGCCCGCGTCCAGGAGCTCCAAGAAGCTCGCCATTGTGAACCAAGCGCCGGTAACGTTGACGTGGAAGGTCTGGGTAAAGTCCTCCATGGCAGGACTGAGAAGCTTCGTGCGCAGATCGGACACGGACAAGGAGAGGTCATAGTTGTTCTTCGGCCCGGAGATGCCGCTGTTGGCGATCAAGAGGTTGATATACCCGGTCTCCTTGGTGACCTGATCCACAGCAGATTGGAGGGATTCCTTGGAAATCACATCGCACACAACGGCCACCATGACATCCGGATACTTGGCTGCGGCTTCCTTGAGCACGTCGGCACGACGACCCAGGATGTATACCCTGCGGGCGCCGTTCACGGCCAGGGCTTCTGCCATGTTCCAACCGATACCTATGCGGTGGTCAGCGGGGAGATGGGACTGGATTGCATCATGAGCATCGTGAGCATCATGTGGGCGGCTTGGGTGTGTTCGGACCTGTGCCTCCGCCAGTCACGACGGCGACCATGCCATCGACTCCGAAGATACTCTTCGTATCCAGCATTTTGACTTCGATGTTGATTCTGTTTCGTCGGAAATATCGAACAAAGGCAGGCTCTCTCTTTGAAGAGTTGGAAGCAAGCAGTGGTGTCTTGTATAGGTGGGTGGGGGCTGAGCTCAAGGTGTTGTTCACTAATAGGGGACCAAGCTCGGGGTCCGAACCCAAAATCAACGGCAAAGTGCCCGCAGTTACTCCGCCGTCTACGTCTGTGTAACGGGAGCTTGCGTTGGGGACTTCCGCCGTTTCGGAGCCGGGAGGCTGATCAGCCTACTCCGTACATGGGTACATCTATCTGGTGTTACTGAGAAGCAGTAGATGCATCTTGCACTGAACTTCTCAGAAATCCACAGGGGTGTAATAATTACTCTCACTTATTGTTAACAACATTGAAGCAAAAGGGAAACTGGGCAGTTGACTAAGGCCAAGGGTTAGACCCTGAGCTTGACTTCGTACTCCGTACTGCCTCGCCGTTAGCGCGCCGGTCACCGCATCGACCCAAATGGCATCATCCGGAGCACTGCCAGTGTCTGCGTGTGTACTCTTCATATCTGCATAGTGCATGTAAAAGTTTCGATCCACCATCCACGATCCTCCTATCCGGTCACCGTTGACCAGCCGGAGACGATCGCGGTGAACAGCTTCCCGAAGCTTCCAAGTCTCGTCTACGGTTCTGGTACATACGCCACTGCAGATTGCAGAACATCATGTCTATTGTCAAGGTCACACTCGTCGGGGCGACTGGCAGCCTGGGGGCGCCCATTCTCGATGCCATGGTCGCCGAAGGCAGCTTCCAGATCACTGTCCTCCAGCGCGCTTCCTCCAAGTCCAAGCCTGGACACCTCGATAGGATCCGCACCGAGACCATATCCGATGGTCTCCCAATAGACGAGCTCACAGACAAGCTCCGAGGCCAGGACGCCGTGGTCGTCTGTTACAGGGCAAAGGACTCGTCGGAGCAGGTCAAGTTCGGCGAGGCAGCTGCCGCTGCCGGTGTCAAGAGGCTCATCCCCGCCGACTTCGGAAGCTGCGACAGCAGCGGCAAGAGGGAGCGAGAGCTGGTCAAGCTCTTTGACTACAAGCAAAAGATTCGCGAGGACCTCCTCAGGCTGGCCGAGAAACACCCCGGCTTCAGCTGGACGAGCCTGGTCAACGGGCACTTCTTCGACTGGGGCCTGCGCGAGAACTTCCTCCACTTCAACCTGGACAGCAGGAGGGCCGAGATCGTCGACGACGGGAACACCAAGAGCTCCCAGGCCACGCTGGCTCAGATCGCCCGGGCGACGGTGAAGATCCTGCAGCGGCCCGAGGAGACCAAGAATAAGATGCTGTTCATCCAGAGCTTCTGTGTCAGCCAGAACGAGGTCCTCAGGTCTCTGGAGAAGGCGATGGGTGTCAAGTGGGAGGTTGAATATGTCGACTCTGAAAAGTTCATCCGCGAGAAGAAGGCTTTGGCCGACCAAGGCAACAAAGATGCGATTGAGGATTTGGTTTTCGTCTTGGGGGCGATCAATGGTAACTGGGAGCAGAAGCCTGACTTCGCGATGGATCTTCTCGGGCTTCAAAATGAGGATCTTGATACCATAGTCCAGCAGGTTGTAGACGAGAGGGCAAGAAAGTAGCTCGTCTTGGTGGGACATTTGAGATGAGCAGCGAAGATATTTGTGCTGCCCTTGAGCAAATGTAGCGCGTTGACCACATTTTTCCACTTTGGGAACTATTACTCATGTGATTTTGAACACTGCTAAACACGGATGGGCAACGGTTTCGCTTTGCCATGCCGCTTGAACCAGCATCCTCGACAATCTGTCATGCAACCAAGACATGTTCGCATATTCACATGGCACGCACGCAGTTCTGGTTTATCTAGCGGACTGCAAATTGTCTAGACCAGCTGCCATTGGGGATTCGAGGATGATATCCCATATCTGGAGACGACGACTCAGATGAAGTCTTGCCTGTATCCTGGCTTTCCTTCCCATCCAGGACTTCGTGAGCAGGGGAATATTAAAAGCCAGGAGTGCCCTGCGACGATGGTACAATTTCAAGTTGTGCTATCTGGCGTGTATAACCTTGAAACTTAACATTTGAAGTTTGTGATCGTGACCGTCCAGATGTCGTGAGACGTCCTAACACTGGAAGCGTCAGTTCAGAACGGACATTTGTAATCCCAACTCCACATACTACTGGATAATACGCCGTCAGTATTGGATGCGGCCGCGTCTGGTGAGATCACATTAGATCAAAAAGAGCTTGAGCGGCCCGCAAAGCGACAAACGCCAAGAATATTGATTACGAACCCGCCAATTATTCGGGAGGGTGTAATTAATTGTCCGATTGTCAGTGAACATGTACGTCTCACTTGGATGTCAGGGGTAATTCCAGCCTTCGGGCCGCTTATAGCCGGCCATTTGAGCTTGGAAGGACTCCAACAAGTATGTTGCCACAAAAGTCCCAGAACGAAGAGGTTGTCTGCTACTTGACATTGGCAGAACGTGGAAGCATATAAAGTGGCTGCCTCAGAACGAGGTCTGGTATGAACACCTAGGTAAGCTTCTTCGCGTCCTTTTCACCTGGCATTCAGTAAAAATAAGGAACTTACGCAGTCCAACAAAAAGTCTCTACATAACTACAATATGTCTGTCGCCATCGGTCAATCCAATGCGTTTGTGATAGAGGATGTCCTGATATTCGATGGCAAACATTTCACCGAGAATGGCCACATCATCGTTTCAAATGGGAAAATTGAGAAGATGGGCTCTGGGAAGGCGGTCCTCCCAGGAGACACTCTAAGATACAGCAAACCGGGATGTACTATTATACCGGGACTCATCGACGCGCACGTTCACGCCGTTGGTGGGAACGTCCACTCTATCGAACAGTCTATCAGATTCGGAGTTACCACCATTCTCGATCTGAATAATGAAGTGGAGCACAATGTTCGGTTGAAAAAGGTTGAACCCCCCTCCATCAGCCTTACATCGCACGCGTTTGACGATCAAGGCTGACTTTTGTGATCTCAATTCAGCTTGCGAGTGACCCCTCGAAGAAGGGGAAATATGCAGACTTCAAGTGCGCAGGAATTGCAGCAATGGTCGAAGGTGGGTGGCCCGCGCCCGCCGTCCGGAAGATATTGGGGCAAGCCGGTCACCCAGAGATCGTATGCCGGCCCGCTATTCCACGTGCCTTATATAAGCCATCAGAACTGACATTGCTATGCTAGGCCGACGCCCTCATTTCCTCATGGCCCAAGCTCGCATCTGCCGACGAAGCACCCGGCTTCGTCCAGTCCCAGATAGACCAAAGCGGCGCGTCATACATCAAGCTGATGCACGAGCTGGGCGACACCCTTTCCATGCCGGACCTGCCTCGCCCGCCGCTGGACATCCAAAAGGCGGTCGTCGAGGCTGCTCACGAGCGCGGTATAATCGCGGTCGGCCACGCCCTCAGCCACGCAGGTGCGATCGAGCTGCTCGAGGCCGGAGTTGATGGGCTCGCTCACTGCTTCCTGGACAAAGCGCCGAACGAGGAATGGATCAGAACCATGAGAGAGAAGAATATACACTGCAGCCCGACACTGTCGCTTGGCGCATCGATGACTGGGCAGGGAACCGAGCTACAGCGGCGCTTCGCCGAGGATCCGTTGTCCAAGCGGATGCAGTTCGACCCGCGGCCGAAGGACGACGCCAGCATCGAGAACGTCTACGAGAACACGCGGTCCATGTACCGCGCTGGTGTGCCCTTGGTCGTGGGGTCCGACGCGTTGGGGCAGGAGACCGGTTCGGCATTTGGGCTCGGTGTGCACATGGAGATTTACCAGCTGGTGCATGAGGTCGGGATGCGGCCGGAGGAGGCGCTCAGTTGCGCAACTTCCGTGACTGCGGGGCGATTCGGCTTTACTGATCGCGAGGTAATTGAGAATGGACGGCTTGCAGATCTTGTTCTGCTAGATGGCGATGTCAGAACGACCCTGGGAGATGAAAATGTGCTGTGCTTGCCAGTCAGCATGGTCTGGAGGGAAGGAGTTCCGGCTGAGGTTTTTAAGATTACAGAGTGAAGAGACAAAACTAGCATGCCCAGGTAGTGCATTCATCACAAACTCACATTAAATTTTGAATTATGATAATTCATAGTATACTAACGAGCCAGCGTCCACCTACCCAGTGATTTCTATAGACCTACCCAGTACCTATTTTTCTTAGCAACTCCCTTACATTTACAAGTACTTTTCTAAATCAACACCAAGAGACCCTATAACATAATTTCCCTCTCTAATTTTCAATACTTAAGGTATAAACCCCTTTTAATACCCTTTCTAACACACTTTCTAGCACACCTTCTAGTATACCTTCTAACTTATATATATTTAAATATTAATTAAGTATTTAAATACTAATTAAATATTAAAAAGTTAAAAGTTTAAAAGGTTAAAAAGTTAAAAGAGGTATTAAAAAGTTAGAAAAAGTATAGTTTTTACTTTTATTTTTTTAATTTTTAATCTTTTAATAATTAATTAATATTTAAATACTTAATTAATATCTAAATATATATAAACTAAAAAATAAGTTAGAAAGTATATTAGAAAGGGTTTATACTTTAAATATTAAAAATTTAAAGAATTTTAGTTAAGTATATAGCTTTATATAAACCTTATATATTAAAAGTTAGTACTAGGTAGGTCTATAGAAATCACTAAGTAGGTGGACTTTAAAGCTAAGTAGGTGGACGCTAGCTCTATACTAACTATATACAATGCCTACCATATATAGATTCACAGCAAATGCACTATTAAGGAAGAAAAAGGTCCTAACTTGTGGCAGATAAAAATAGAGACATTCACAAAAAAGCGATCCTCCACGGACTCGAACCGTGAACCTTCACCACCGGAAAGTGACTAATCGTTGTTTAGCTGTTGATCTTATTACTAGAACTAAGGGAGTGAACTTACCGCGCTACCATTGCGCCAAAGGACCTGAGTATTAAGACGAAAGGTTTAGGAACTTATATAGCACTATTTAATTATTAAAGTAAACTTATACTAACTTTTACTACTTTATATATCTTTTAAATATATTTATATTTTTAATAATTATTAAATAAAATTTTAAAATAAAATAATTTAATAATTATTAAATATATAAATTATTTATATTTTTTTAATTTTATTATTAAATTAAAAATTAATAATTAAAGTTTTTTAAAAATATTATATAATATTTTATATATTAATATATTTAAATTATTATTATTAAAATTATAAATTAATATAATATTAATAATTATATATATAAATATTAAATTTATTATATAAATTTTATAAATATAAATTAATTAAAATAAAAATATAAATATATTATTTTTAAAAATATTAATATTATAAATAATTATAAGATTATTATAAAAACTTTTATATATTTAATTTTTATAATATTTTATTATTTAAATTTATAATTTTAATAATTTAAAATAAATAAAATTAATTATTATTAAATAAATAATAAAAACTTTTATATTAAATTTATAATTATTTATATTATTATTTTATTAAAAATTAATATATTAATATATAAAATTACTTTTTTAAATATAAATTTAAAAGATTTATAATTATAATTTTTAATTATTTTTATTTAATTAATTTATAATAATATAATTTAATTTAATTTTTAATTTTATTTTAAATTTTATTAAAATTTTTAGTATTTTTTTAAAAGTTAAATTTAAAAACTTTTAAATTTAAATTTAATTTTTTATAAATTTTAATTTTATTTTAAATTAAAATTAAAATTTATTAATTTTTTTAATATATATATTATATAAATAATTTATTTAAAGTTTATAAAAGTTATTTTTAAATAATTAATTAATAATAAATTTTAATTATATTTAATTAAAATATAAAATTATTATTATTATTATATAAAATTATTATCTTTTAAATATAAAGTTAAAAGATTTATAATTATAAAATTTTAATTAATTTTTATTTAATTATTTTATTATATTATAATTTAATTTAACTTTATTTAAATTTTTTAAAACTTTATAAAAGTTTTTATTTTTATAAATATAAACTTTAAATTAAAACTTTTAAATTTAAATTTAAAATTTTTATAAATTTTAATATACTTTAAATTAAATTTATAATTTTTAACTTTTAAAAATATATTAATTATTTTAAATATTAATAACTTTTTTAAAATAAAATTTATTTTTATATAATTATAAATTTAATTATTAATAATTTTTTTTTTATAAAGCTATTAAAATTATAAACTTAAATAATAAAATATAATTATTTTATTTAAAAGTTATTTTTAATTTAATAAAATATAATAAATTAAATAATTATTTTTAAATAATTTTATTTATAAAATTAATAAATAAATATTTATTTAAATAAAGTTAAAATTTAATTAAAAAATAATAACTTTATTTTTATTTATTTTAATTAATTAAAAGTTTTAAGTTATATAATAACTTTATATATAATATTTAATAATATTAAAATTAATTTATAATTTATAATAGTTTTAATTTTTAATAAATTAATAATATTAATTTAAATAAATTAAATATAATATAATATATTAATATAAAAATATTTTATAATAATAAATAGTATTATAAATATAAATTATAAAGTTATTATAAAATTTTATATAATAAATTTAATTAAATTAATTTTTAAAATATATTATATTTTATTTTTAAAATTTTAATTATTTATTTTTAATTTAATAATAAAATTTAAAAATATAAATAATTTATATAAAATTATTATTATTTATTATTTTTATATAAAATTATTATTATTTTATAATAATTAAATTAATAATTAATATATAATTAATAATTAATTATAAATTTAATAAATATTAAATTATAATTAATTAAAAAATAATAATATTATTTTATTTATTTATTTTATTTATTTATTTTATTTATTTATTTTATTTATTTATTTTATTTATTTATTTTATTTATTTATTTTAATAATATATTTTTATTTTAAATTTAAATTTAAATAATTAATTAAAATTAAAATTTATTAAATTAATATTAATTAATTATATAAAATTTTAAAATAATTTTAATTAATTAAAAGTTTTTAAAAGGTTTAATTTAAATTAAAATATTTTTATTATATATTTATTAAAAAAGAAATTATTAAAACTTAAATTTATATTTTTAATTTTTAATTAATAAAAATTAAAAAATAAAAATTATAATTATATATTATTTTTATAATAATTTAAATATATAATATTTTTAATATAAATTTTTAAATTATTATTATTTTTAATTTTAAAAGTTATAAAATTTAAAATTATTTTAAAAAATAATATATAATAAAATTATTAAAATTATAAATTTAAATATTATATATAATAATAAAATATAATAATATTATTTAATTATATTTTAATTTAATAAAATATAATAAATTAATTAATTATTTTTAATTAATTTAATTTATAAATTATATATTAAATAAATTTATAAAATTATTAAATAAATAATTATAAAATTAAATAAATAAATATTAATTTATAAAATTAAAATATTTTAAATTTATTAAATAAATATTTATTATTAAATAAAATTAAAATTTATATATTTTAATTAAAAAATAATATTTTTATTTTTATTTATTTTAATTAATTTATTTTAATTATATAATAAATTTAATATTTTTAATTTTAAATAATTTAATAATATTAATTTAAATTAATTAAATATAATTTAATATATTAATATAAAAATATTATTTAATAATAAATAATATTATAAATATAATATATTATAAAATTATTATAAAATATTTTATATAATAAATTTAATTAATTATTTTAAAATAAATTATATTTTATTTTTATTTAATATTTATATTAAAAATATAAATAATTTATATATAAAATATTAATATTTATTAAAATTAAATTAATATTAATTAATTTTTATTTAATTATTTAATTATATTATAATTTAATTTAATTTAAATTTATTTAATATTATTTTACATAAATTAAATTTATAATTTTTAATATTTTAAAATATATTAATTATTTTAATAATAATATTTTTATTTATAATAAAATTATTAAAATTATAAATTTAAATAATAAAATATAATTATTTTTAAAAATTATATTTTAATTTAATAATAAATATTTATAATATATAATAAAAATAAATTTTAAAACTTTAATATTAATAAAATAAATAAAATATTTTTTTAAATATAATAAAACTTTATATATTAAATATTTATTTAATATAAAATTATTATTTTTAATAATATAATAATTAAAATATTTTTAATTAAATTAAAAATATTAATTTAATTTAAAAATTATTATATTTTTATTTATTTATTATTATAATTAATTTTAAAGCTTTTATTATAATAATTATTTTTATTTTATTATTTTTATTTTTTTATTATTAATTTTATTAAATTTTATTTTATAATAAATTTTATTTTTATTTAATTAATAAAAAATAAAATTTATTAATTTTTAATTTTATTTTATTAATAATTTAATTAAAAGTTTTTAATTAATTAAAAAATAATAAACTTATATAAATAAAGTTAAAATTAAAAATCTTAAATTTAATAAATTTTTTAATTAAATTATTTATTAAATAATAAAAATAAAGTTTTTAAATATTTTTCTTTAAAATTATTATTATTTTAATTATATAATAAAACTTTATAAAAATTTTATTAAAAATAATTAAAAATAAATTAAATTTTAATTTAAAACTTTTAATAATAAAAATATTAAATTAAAAATTTTTATAATTTTAATAAATAAAATTTATAAATATAAAATATATATTATAAATAAATTAATATTTATTTATTTAATTTTAATATTTATTTATTTAATAATTTTTATAAATTTATTTAATATTAATTTTTATATATAAAGTTTATATAAAATTATATATTTAATTAAAAATTTTTTAATTTTTAATATTTAAATATAAATTTTTTAATACTTTTTAACCTTTAATATACTTTTAATATACTTTTAATATACTTTTTAA